TATAATTAAGCCCCTCTACCTTTCTTTCTAATTATGTAAGTTCTACTTCCTAATCTTAATTATTACTAGAAGACCTTTAGCTAGACATATTAGTATAGCTTTAAGTCTACTAGCTATAGGCTAGACCTATGCCTATTAAAGGAATCTAGGGATGTTAAAGTAGAGCTAGTAATAGTGTCTACTATGTATAGGCTAAGTTAAAGCTAAGCGTAAGCCCTTACTAGTTATATACTTAGTTTAGAAAGTAGGTTAGTAGCATAGGCATGCCTTAAGCTAGGTTTAAACTAGGATAAGAAAAGTATATCTACTATAGTAGTCGTGCTTAATAGCTAGGATTAAGTAGATAACTAGGTATATGTTAACTATATGCTAAGGGGGTGTATAGCATAGATAATATTTTCTGCCGTTTTAATAGCTAAGAGCTATCCTAGTTTAGGCGTAGAGATAGACCCATACTTAATGCTATACTTATAGCAATACTAGGAGTAATACTAGGAGCTATACTTATAGCCCTAGTAGCACTACCATGTCTAATACTACTAGTAGGTATAATAGACTAAGAAGGAGAAGGAGGTAATAAGCTAAACTAGGATAGGCTTAGCATATGCTAATCTTTCTATGTAGGAGTATAATATAGATTTAATATAATAAAAGGTCTTATTAGGTCTTTAACTCTTAATCTTTAGGACTTTTAGTATCCCTTATCTACTAGAGAATTAGCATATACTATGCATATGCTATATAGATACTAGGCTTATACTTACTAGCTTACTAGAAGTTTGCTACATACTATAAAGTATTAGATTAATTCTTCTATGTATCTATAATTTCCTCTTTTTTAAGGTCCTTTCTTCGATTAAATATCGATATTAAATAGACCTTACACCTATAAAGAGTTAGTAAAAGATTTAAGCATATGCTAAGCATATACTAATATAAGAACTACTCCTAGAAGTATCTACTAATAGCTAACGAGGCTATTATTAGAAAAATGGCTACTCTTACTAATTCTAGTTTCCTTATATATAGCAGTCTAGTAGGATATAGGTATCTTTAATACCTCTCGACATAAGCTAGCCTATATCTATTTAATCCTCTTACTATTAATCTAGGACGTAAGGTTAGGGTATGCTTAGCATATAGCATCTATACGCTTGTTAAGCTAAGTTTAAGAGTAAGCATTCTAGAGATAATCCTATACTATTATTATAGCTATGTACTTTAGCCATCGTTTATAGAAGTTTCGAAGAATATAGACACGGTAAAAGATTAGTATATAGATAAGATGCTCTCTCTAGTCCTAGGAAGGATTAATTAAATAGAGAAAGTTACTAAAGCCTAGGGATAAGCTTAGTATAGGTTTAGCATAGGCTTAGCGTAAGCACCTTACCTAGAGCCTACTTTTTATACATGTTAACTATAATTGTCTAAACGGCCTCCTCTATACTATAGATATAGCTAAACTAAATAGGCTAGCGTGCTACATTACCTAGGACACGAAAGATCTACTTAAACATCTTAGCATATGCTAGCCGTATGTCGGTATTAATAAAGGCGTAGATATAGGTATTAGTTCCTAGTAGAGTAAGTATAGCCTATATAAAGCATATACATTACTTATGCTTTACTTAAGTGTCCTAGAATTAAATTATATAAACATTTATAGTTCTATATACCATCTTAAATAAAAGATCTATTTAGATATGTTAAGTAGTTTAAAAAGCTTTAGTCTAAGCATAGATATAGCATATAATAAGGTAATGTCCGTTATTATTAAGATCCTAGACATAGCGTATCTACTAATCCTCGCTTAGCTTAAGCCTATTAAGATTCTACTCTCGATAGATGCCTATTAATTATTAGTATTATATGCTAGCTATAAACTTAGCCTATACTTACTAGCGTAGGCTATACTACTTAGAAACTAATATAGCCGCTCCTCCCGAATTAGTACTATTACTCGATTAAGATTACTAAGAGACTTATAGATCCTACTTAGTCGGTTAACTCTAAGGCGTCTATAAAACTAGATAAATGGACGGGCAATAGTTAGACGTCCTATAGAGGCTTAGCATAGGTATTACATATGGTTAGCATATGCGCTTACTAGCTAATATCTAGAGAATATCTACTTCCTTAAGCATTACCTAGAACTATTCCTCAATGTCGCTAGGAAGCCTTATTAGATATAGTAGATGATGGCTATAGTTGCCTCTTATAACTATAAGAATATAGTTAAATTGCTCTATATTAACTAGAATATAGATATTAAATCTAACATTATATACTCTAAAGAGCTAGGTAGTAATACTAGGAGTATCTACGTAATTAAACCCTACCTATACTTAGCATATGCTAAACGTATAGTTAATATAAACATACTATATTGCTTTTGTCGATAGCCTATATTACCTACATATATGCAAGTTAATTAAATAACTAGTTAACAGTACTAATTTTAAACAAGATGCCGTAGATACCGAAGATTAATATAAGCATTATCTTAGCGTAGAGCACGAGATCGATACTAGGTTTCCTATTTACTATAATAAGGGCATACTAGATACTTAATCTAGTTATATAGTAAGCATATGCATAGTATATATATAGTATAAACTTATTCTAAGCCGCTTAATCATATATAGCTTTTAATTTCGATATGTTACTATACTAGTTTTAGGATTTATGCAAGGTTGTTTATTATACTAGTTAAGAAATCCCTAGAGATACTTTATTATTTAGTCTTAAGTCTTATCCTTAATAGTATACCTAAAGGCCTACTTTAATTAACGCTGCTAAAGGGCTTAAATAGTACTTATCATAGGCCGATTATATGCTAGGCTTAGGTAGATGATATCTAGATGTAGTCTACTATAGATCTATAGACTAGTATAACGTAGCTAGAAATACTAGGCCTTTTCCTTTTCCTTTTTATCCTTTTATAGATTAAGTAAAGGTATAGTTATTTAGTAGATACTTCCCTATCCTTTAGTAGAGAATTAAATCTATTATATATATTAGCAAGATGCATATACTATATATATGCTAAGCATACCCTTAACTAGATTAGGTTAAAGGCTTTGTAGACGCTTTCTTTAAAATAGCCTATTTTAATAAGTGGTTTTAAGTAGTATTCAAAGTAAAGAATACCCTTTATAGATATAGTAGGGTAGTTAGAAACAACTAAATAGTCGAAGGCTTTAAAGTATTTAATCTTCTTAGGACTATTACTACTAATAATAATACTAGTAGTAGTAAGGGTAACCTAGCTAATGCTTAGTATATATATAGTATATGCTAAGAGTAAGCTAATAGGTACCTCTTCTAAGCCTATGCTAATAGAGACTATATTTAGTGATAGATTATATGTATTAAGGTTACCTTACTTAATGCTATTAAGCTCTTACTCTTTAAAAAGAAGATCCTATTTCTTATCTTCTATAGTGTCTTCTTTAGATACGTTATCTTCCTAGGTTGTTTATATAAGAGGAAAGGATAATATAATAGTCTATATATAGTTAGTATAGGCCATATAGTAGATACTAGCTCTATACCTCCTACTTACTTAGTAGCTCTTTAATCTAAGTAGGAATACTACTTGCACCTACTATACTACTTACTATTATAGTATATATAGTATGTATTTGTTAATATAAGAAACTTAAGCAAGGTTGAAATCTTAACTTATTGGTGCACGGTCCCTTTTTGTCTGTGCGTTTTTGGTTCTACCTTGGCTAAGCTTACGCGTACCTTGACTGAACTATCTCCCCCATACTTCATTTACTTATTACTTGGCGCCGTGCCAACGACACGGCTCCGCCTGCTGCATCTCGGCTGAGCCAAGATATTGAAGCATACCAGCTCACGCGAGGAACTCGCCAAAACCAAGACGCTTGTAGGTCCCACAACATGGAAGAGACCACTTGTGGAGAGCTTGAGTGGGGATGTTGGGGCCCCGGGCCCCTCTTCAGTGGTATTTACGGTGGTATGTCGGCCTTATTGTTTGACAGAACCGTGGAACCGATGCAACATCCGACCTCAGAGAACTTTTCGGTATGCCGAGTCGGCTGTCTCATTGACGTCGTACCGTCTTGGGAGTCTCCGCTTAGGGCGGTAAACTATCGACGAGTTATTGACCAATCTTTGCACGAGAGTCGTGGCTCGGGATGGACGGAGAATACATGTCTCGATCTCAATCTCCGTCGCTACGTATAGCCCTTGGGAAGACACGGTAACGTGTTTTGAGGACCACCCAAAAGACACAGCGCAGCTGAAGATGTCTTGATTGTTATACAGGCAATTCCTAATGAGGTAGGCGGTCGATGAGGACAATCTTGTCTGACTGCCCACATGATGCTTGACTTCGAGAACGACGTCTCAAATAAGCTGTATTTATCAACAGTCTCGTGACTCCTGCATTAAGAATTTGATCACGACCCTTTTCTTTCAAAGAAACGACAAACTCCACCATCGCTTGTGTCTAACGGCGTCAGTTCTTTGACTTCCATGGCACGTGGCAGTGCGGCCCTGACGAAACACAGACCAAATTCAGATCTTGCCAACCAGAGAGGTCATGATTTCTCATCTTATTCTGCTGTCTTTGTTCTGATCACGATTTCCTCAATTCTATGTTCTTGGCAGCATTCTTGAGCAACAGGCCGCTCCCGCTTGAGTATTGCATCGCATGATCGGCGACATTGATTCTTCTTTGAAATGCTGATATTGTTTCGGCGAGCCTCTGTTGTCCCTACTTTGTTAGTGCTTAGATTTATCATCTGGGGGCAACTGACCGAGATGCGACCGAGGCGATGGACGTTTCCTCCACAAGCTGATCCCCCACTGCCGATGGTTCACCTCGGCTCGACGTGCTTGATCTCCAGAGTCTCTTTATCACATGGACTCCCTCGCTTCTCCGAAACGCCAATTCCATCTGCCAAGCAACAGATCCTTGACCTCGTGTTTTGATCTTCGGGCCTGTTAAGTGCTCGATTCTTGCTGAGATGGGACCCCCTCGACATGGAAATTCATATCTACCATTCGTGGACCTGGTCGCACTAGAAAAAGTGGACGATACCACCTTCCGCAGCATCGCTCCTCCCTTTTCTCCTAATGCCGTTGGTAGAGCGTATGGTGGCCATGTATATTCACAAGCCGTCTGGGCAGCGGCGCAGACGGTCAAGCCTGGCTTTGTAATACATGTCAGTACCCAGAACACCAAGCACAGTTGAGGCGAAGTAATTTCTAGCATAATTCTGACTTCATTGCCTAGAATGTCACCGGTTTTTTCATTCTGGCTGGAAACTCTTCGATTCCATTTGTCTACCGAGTTCAAGCTATCCGCGATGGCCGGTCGTACTGTACCCGATTAGTGAACGTTACCCAAGCTGAGGGCGATGGGATATGCTTCACCTGCACTTGTTCTTTTAAACTGGCTGAGGAGAGCCATTTCGATGTTCAAGAAAAGATCGATCTAGACCGAGAGTATGGCGCTGTATTGTCCGGCAAGAAACCAGAAGACTGGGAGGAATTACCAAGCATGGATGTGCCCTGGTAGGTGTTATTACTTGTTTTCTCAGGAATTTCCCAGGCTCATTCGGTCCAGGTACAACGCTCGTCGCAAAGCCACGGGCCAAAATGATGAATTTCCTGGACTTGAATGTCGCAAGGTAGACATGACAGCCTACAACAATTCGCTCTCACCATTCGACCGCCGGCAGCTCTTTTTCTACCGCACAATCGGTGATCTACCGCCAGACCCGAATATCCATGCCTGCGCACACCTGTACGCATCCGACCGCAATTCACTCTTCGTAGTAGCCAACCACTTCGAGGTCAGCGAGAAGTTCACTCACATGGCAAGTTTAAGCCATACGGTTGTTTTCCACACCCCTGCTTTGCATATCATGACGCAGAGTCAATCTGAAAAGCACTGGTTTACTCAGGAAGTATGGACGACGCGAGCAGGTGGCGGACGAGCGACGCACCACAGTCGCATCATTGGACCAGGAGGTACGCATGTGGCTACTAGTTTCCAAGAAGGCATGATCAGGGTAGGTCTTGGTGAGAACAATTACGAGAAGGCGTACAAAAAATCTCTAGAACGTCTGTAGAGGATTTTTGATGGGTATAGCATAGACTCGGGCCCGGGGCCCTGCTTCATATAGAGCTCTAGAATATGGCAACAACAAATCTTGTATGTGATAGCATTTTCACCGATTTGAGACATGCAGCGTGCTTGCTATCTTTTCTTCTTTTCTGATCTCATTTTTTTCGTTGTATTCTCTCTCCATAAATTCTCTGTCTGTCGCTCCTTTCTATCTCATATCATAAAGCCTAAACAGATTCGGCCTTCCTGATGGTTTTTTTTTTTCTTTTTATCAATCCATATCCCCTTTATATTTTGGATTTCTATGGCAGATCCACCAAACTGTACTCATCAAGAAAGGTCGAACAATCAGTCAACGGTGTAGCGGATATATGAATTGCACAGCACAAACAGGTACTTGTAACAAATCTGAGATTAGACTTACAAAATCCCATTGAAAGAAAACGCCAAAGCTCGAGATAGCCGTTCATCTTCTTCCTCTATCTTTATTCCTACTCCAACTCCAAGGCAAAGAGATCAAGGATGCTGAGTCAGTGGTCCGTCAAGGATAGATGTGCCTACGCTCCAGACTCTCACCTCTGTTGTAATCCACAGTACCATGGTCCCTAGGATCAGACCTGCTACTATGCCAGCCATTCCTGCATCAAGGAACATTAGTCTCTTCCCTTGATACTTTTGAATATTTGGATAGAACGAGACTTACGCGATGTAGGCAGCAGAAGCATCAGCAGGAGCTTGTGCACGCACAGCGGCCTCAATCTCCTGCTTCAAGTCAGGCTTTGTCGAGTAAGCCTTGTTGTCGTACCAATGGGTCTCGATTGGTGGAGACATGCTTCTGTACTTGAAGTTTCTGTCAATTCAAAGGGGTGGGTTGAAGACTTACTCTGAGTTTGTGCTTCTGTAGTTTGCTTGAAGAGAAGAGATAGAGCAGGTGCTGGGTCTATATGAGCGACTTGTGATGGTAGAGCTGTGTACAACTCGCTGTCCTCATCAGTGAGACTGTCTGGAACATATGTCTTGATTTCTCTTGCTACATGAAAGCATCTGATACACCATCGAAAGAGAGAACAAAGTATTATTCCAGACATGGAGAGACATTCTGAAAGTGTTGAAAAACAGTCTCAGCTTTTCGCAGTCTGATAATTTCTTCCAAGACAGCACAGAGAAATTGTCACTCATGGATCTAGATCCACACGGGAGCAACAACATGAAATCTTGAAGTAGAAAAATACCCAGGGTCAATGCCACCTCACGCCGGCCGCATGCATCACCCTCCTATCGCCGAAGATCACTTTGGTCACTACGCGCAGGACTGGAAGATTCTTTGAGCCTATCTCAGTTGTAACCGAGCACACAAAGGACAAACTGATGCTGAGCTTGTTCGGTGGTCTTGAGCTTGAGATTACCCTCATGGCCGCTGACCTGCCAGGGATGGTGTACAGCGGTGTAATAACATAGTGGTTGGATATATACGCAACAAAGACTCATAAAGCATATTCTGTATGCGGTTATGCACTCCAAGAGCCTCACCATTGTGTCGATCCGAACAAATAGATAGAAAAGGAATCGGCGGCGATTCATCTTGTTTATGTACAGACTGAGCGGACAATTTAGGAAGGTAGATGTATCGGTAAGAATGTCAGTCAAAGGAGTTCCATATGAGCAAATGATATCAGACCTGGTTTTTAATAGCAGGCTTCATCATGCATTCTGGAATACCCACCCTCCGCGTGGGAAAGCAATGCTATTCTCTCGTGCCATGATTCCGTCGCTTTTAGCTGGATTTGTGGTCGTTTGCAACCTCGACGGCTATCTAAGCGATACGAGTTCTGGCTCGCGATGGTGGGTACAAAGAACGTCTTCATTTTTAAATCCCCCTTTCTCTTCTGATACAAATGGCGCTCCCAACGCCAGAGGCAGAGATCTCAACTTCTCACACCATGCACAGCATGATGTGTTGTATCGCTCTTGAGAATTGTACATATGTACGTAGACAAAGAATCAGGGTCCGTGTACTTGCTACCCCTATGCAAATCTCTGATTGTTTTACTTATGCATGTGATGATAGTGATGTGCATCAAGATCTCGTTTCCGCTAAGGTCGATGCGGGAGAGTGGTAGGCTTCAGGTGGTGGACAATGACCTGTGATCTGCTGTTAAGTTGCTTTGCCTTCGAAATGAAGATCTTTGCAACACCGCGGGACAGATGTGGTCCGATCTGCTCGACTGAGAGCATCTGGAGGTTTCCTGCCTGGGACAATACCTGTTTGCACTGAGAGCTGTCGCAGGAGATTAGTAGTTGTTGTTTAGCGAGGAGATGCTATTTGTATAGAGCAGCAGCAAGGGTTGTGCAGTGAGCATGACAACGGGTCAATGATTGTGAAGCGTTTGTGTGACTTCTTGGGCGTGATTCACTGTGCTTCGCACTTGTCGCTTTCCACTATCTTCGGCTCGATGTATACCCTTTATATCCTTGGACAGTAAAGGCAGAACTATCATGTAAAGTCAAGAGGCGAAAGGATGAGATGACAAATTTGTAGTTTCTACTTGAACCATGATATATTCTTGGACATCGGACAAAATATTTCAAATTCAACAGCAGCTTCTGACCCTCAGGAAACACTAGACCTTTAAGTCTCCTTGCCCCAGGTAGGGAACTTGGCTCCGAGGGCGCTGTTGCAAGGATTTTGCACGATGTCGACACTGCTGACTCCAGAATTCTGTCCCGCATTGCTCGAAAGCACACTGCTACCATCAGGAGCATAGATATTGAAACGCATGTCTCCCTGGCCTCCGCCGTTGCCCCAAAGTGTTCTGACTGGACTCGATTATTAGCTGTATTCTGAAGCAGAAAATGGTAGAAAAACTTACTGGGGAGATATTGGCCAACGGTGAGGTAGTAGGCCAATGTCTGGGGGGTCTGTGTAGCAATCTGCGAACTCCAGAATTGAGTGATATCAGCATTAGCGCGAGTCCATCCACTGACGGCATTAGCGCCAACCCAGACAAACTGGATGTCATCAGTGTAAGGGATGTTCAAGGAATAGTAACCAGTCTGCGAGGCAAACAGGTAGAAAGTGTGGTCAAGAACAAGGTTAGAGCCATCGACAGGGTAGTATCCGTATACATTGATCCAGTCACCCCATTGATCGTTGGATTCGGCAATGTATGTTGTGACATCGGAGAAGTAGGGTGTGACCTTCTTGTAGGTCTCGGGGATGAAAGAGGGATAGCCGTAGGTTGCTTGACCGCCAGAATACTTGTTGGTATAAGCAGCAAAGTTGATGCCTTGGTTTCCACAAGTGGTCACAGGGGTAGGATAAACAACTGTTACTGTGGTTGTTGCGCCGGCGACTCTGGGGGTGGCGGTAACGTAGCCAATGGTTGAAGCAGTACCCGAATGCGTGGTCACGGTTGTGTAGGAAGCTTTGGCTGTGGAAGATGTGCTGATGACCTGTCCTTTCTTGGCTGGTGTTTGGATGTAGACAGTAGCGGCCAGGCCAGAAACTGCTGTTGATGTCGCAGTGTATGTACCGGTCCAAGGAACAGTAGTGGTGGTGAAAGATACCGTGGCAGGACCAGTACTGGCAGCGACGACAGAAGAGGATGATGAGGATGAAGTAGTCGATGTGATCAATGAAGATGACGACTTGAAAGACGATGAGGCAGCAGATGCCGAGCTCGAAGCCGAGGATGAGCTGACGGAAGCAGATGACGAGGAAGCCACGCTGGAAGAGCTCGATGAAGAGGAAGGTGCAACGCTCGACGAAGATGATGAAGCAGCAACAGCAGGACACATGTTGGGGTTTGAGTTAATGTTGGCCGCGACAGAAGTGCGGTTGAAGTATGCATCGATGCTGCGGATCTTCAGCACACTGTCTTCAAGAGGCGGTCCTTGAGTCCAAGCATTGCCATTAGACCTGTGAATGATATCAGTAATGATCAGATGCGTGCAAGAAGTTATGGGGAGATTACCAGTTGTTCCAGATCCAAGATCCCGGTGTAGTCGGAACATTGTCCGTGATGGTCTGCACCAATGCTCCATCAATGTAGAACTTGCTGACTCCAGGCAACCAATCCAGTCTATACTCGTGCCAAGCAGTGTTGGCATCAGCAGGTGCAGCAACACTGTAGGTTGTGTACGGAGCACCGTATGTTGTTTGCTCGTTGGTAAGCCAAGCTTTTGAGATGTCCGACGTTAAGAAAGCAAAATCGACTTCTTGGGTGTCGTTGGCATAAAAGATAAAAGCATTAGTAGTTCCTGGCACGTTGGAAATCTTCGCTACAGTGCGGACAGATGCATAGAGAATATCACTGTATTCCGTCTCAAGCTGAGCAACTGAGATGGGGCCTACGTGTCGTGTCAGACGAAGGTAGAAATGACAGCAGAGGTAGAATTACCAGTGGTTTGTCCACCAGGGACTGTGAGCGTCAAGGAAGAATCTAGTGGATCAAGACCAACGTTGACAAGGTCAAAGCGACGAGCAAGGGGATTCAAACCGGCAAGGACGGTGTAGGTATTGGGAATCAGATTCTCGACTGTCGCATAGAGATCAACACTGAAGTCATGACCGAAACGAGTGTTGAATGGGCCAGCATCAGTGTTCCAGTAACAGCCACTCTTCGATCCCACAGCAGAAGTATAAGCGTAGGCAGTTGAGCCCAGGGCCAAAAGATTGGTGGCAGCCTTCTTCATGATGAAGAAGCAAGATTAAATAAGATAGATATTATAAAGAAAAGACGCAGAGAACAGCGAAGAAAACCTACCAGGATATACAGAGCCTTTCATATATACTCTACTGCAATAAAAGCCACCAGAATTCATACAGAAAACGATACCGTCGCTGATGGCAGGGCTGACGGGTTAGTCTCTGATCTTGGTCCAAACAATTATTCTGGGAAAGAATCCAGACCTCGACCTGCCCGAATGTCTCGTATATCGATATATCGTTTATCTGAACGGCACTCAAGCGAGAGAGGTTTTGGTGAGTATGACAGAAGTGCCGGCGGGAAGGGCTGTTCAGCCGTTGGATACTTGGCCGTTGTTTGATGCGGTCTGCAACTGCTTGTCCACAAAAGAATATTCTGCAGCGATTCTGCGCTTGAGCTGAAAACATGGTTCAAGCCTTATGATATATGCGATAAACTGTCTTTCCTTATCCTGCCTGTGGTATCCACTTGGGTTGAGGTGCAAAAGGCGTTCTTGGCATTTCCAACTCACAGATAGAGACCTGAGAGCTTTGATAGCTTCAGACCCGTCCAGGGCACGCTGACACTGGGTACTAAATGCCATTGCAAGTATTTTGTACTCTGTCGCTGACTGACCAGAGATGAGGAGGTCGAGAGAGTTGTGAGTCAACATGTATACCTGAGCAGACGGTATGGATGTGGCCCAAGCGTTTTCGCCGTTGCGACTGATTCGGTTCCTGGATGATAAAGCCGGTGTGCTCGGTCAGGTTTTACCATGTGGCTCAAGCAAGACTGCCGCCTGCCAGTGCAGTATGCAAGTCGACGGCATGTGGACGCTCCTCATGCGTGTGGTTGAGATCTAACTGGCCTCCTCTTCGCATCTTGCACAGGCACAGTCAAACTTCCAATGCTCTTTGAGCTTCTCCCTCCTCTCGCTTCTCGTCATATGCTTCTCATCACCACCCAGATAACTGATGCATAGTGCCTCGCCGACCTGTACATCTCTGTCCGCCCAGAACTTCCACATCCGTCCCTCGCGCCTCTTTCGTATATTTGGTCCACAGCTATGATTCCAATAGCTGGCTGCCGTCCACAGTCCGTAACCTAGACACTCGCTACCACCACTTGTATCCTCGTCCAAATCTTGCGACCAAATATTAAAGACATTATGTGATGATTTTGCTGCCAATGTGCGGAGATTGGTTGCAGTAATATGCTCGAGGAGGGAGAGTGGTGCGCAAGCTAAGAGGTGGTGATAACTGGTGATCTGAAACTTGAGGTCTGCTGGTGAGATATACGGCATGGCTTCCGACTCGAGAATCAGCACATCGGACCATAATGACGGCGAGTTTGCGACTGTCAACAGGGCTGGTAGCTGGTAGGCTATTACACCGCGTATCGGTGGTGTAGCGAGAATTTGTGTCAGAAGGCGGCGTTCAGGTTTTGAGGGTTTCGTGGACGTTCGTGCAGCGCGAATCTTTGTAGCCGTCTCTTCTGCTGTCGCCCATGCTTCCTCTATCTCTTGTACTGTTGGTCGAGGGAGGAGGTGTTCTGGATCTTCATCCGGATCTGACGTGTTGGATTGTCCTGTCTTTCCTAATCCCTCAATCGCAATTGCCGCTTCTTCATTGTTCACCTCATCGCTCTTCCATGTTTTTTGACATTCTTCACTGCAGAATGCCAATCCAGCTTTTGCATCTCGAATGCGCCAATTCCGACCTCTGTCATAAAGAAAGCATTGCGAGCAGACTTCTTTCCAGTATTCGCGATAGATGACGCTGGCTGCGATCTCTGCCGTCTCAAAGAGAAGCGTACCCTTCGGTATGAATTGAGTCGCGTAAACTCCTCGTCCAGATTCTGCTGTTTCGCGGACGGCAAATATTGTTGAAGCGTGAAGAGATGCTGGTGCTGACATTTCTTATGAAGAGATTGGCTGTACAGGGGAGATTTTTTGTAAACCTCGAAATCTAGACCCTGATGACGGAAGGGTGAAAAAAAGAAGATTAAAAAGAATAATTCGTTGCCATGTCAATCTGCCGAGAAAACAATCGTGTCGCCGGCTATTCGATCTGCTGCCAAATATTTTCCGGACTTGTTGGAACTGGTAATATTGCTTGCCAAAGTTGATACGAAAAGCTAAGAATCATATAGGACTTGAGAGGACCAAGAGATCCCTCGGAAAGCGAATGATTGAAATTGTACTAGCTTATTGCTTTATTCGTGATCATTATTATATACCAAGACCTGGTTCTTACGACTGACCAGCACCAGGAGTGTCGGCAATCTTGAAAACATACTTCACAGCTGAAGCCTTACCAGACTTCAGGTTAGCAAGACCTTGCTCGACACCGGTAAGACCGCCAGGGATAACCTCCTGGGGCTGAGGCTTGAACCAACCCTCCTCGAGACCCTTTGCGAAGTAACGGAAGAAGACTGAGCCAAAGTCCTTGAGGTTGTTGTGAACGTCTCCGACCATGGTGATGGACTGCTTGACGTGCTGGGGGCAGTCAGAGAAGTCCTTGCCAGGCAGGACGAGGGTGATGTGGCCGCCCTCCGACATGGCAGCGGAGACATTCTGGTATGAGCCCTTCTCAGAGACACCATCGAAGCAGTGGTGAAGCTGAGCGCCCTTGAGTGCGTCCTTGATGCCCTTCTGCACAGCCTCATCGCCATCACGGTAGTCGACGATAACGTCGCCCTTGCTGGGGTCAAGGATCTTCTCTACATGTGACTTGGCGCGACCAGCGACACCAATGATAGGGTGGATGTTGGAACGAACGGCAAGCTGGGTGGCGTAGTAACCGATCGAGGACGAAGCTCCGTAGATGACCAGAGGAATAGGCTTCTCATCATCCTTGCGAGGGGTCCAAGGCTGGGGCAGCTTCAGGCGATCGTAGAGACCGACAGCAGAGGTGAGTGCAGCAAGGGGGATAGCAGCACCCTCCTGGAAAGAGACGTTCTCAGGGAGGTATGCGGTGGTGTGAGCCCAAGCAACACAGTACTCGGCGTAGGAGCCGCCGGGAGCGAGCATTTGGTGGAAAGCAAGGACGCGGTCGCCCTTCTTGAACTCTGAAACTCCTTCACCGACTTCGTGGATGGTACCACAGACATCATCGCCTTGGTTCATTTCTCCTTCCTTCTTCATATCGGGGTACTTCCTGTGGTTTCGTTAGAACATCGTCTGGTCAGTAACTGGGCCTCGAGCATACCAATCCTTGGGGTTGCTACCAGAGTAGACATTCTTGATGACAACTTGACCCTTCTGGGCCTTGGGAATGGGCGAGTCAACGATCTCGACCTTGGGGCCGGCACGAATGATGGCTTCCTTCATGTTGTGTCTGACGGTTGATGTGATTGGTCTGAGTTGGCGAGAGATGCAATTGGTTCTTGCAAGTGATCTGTACTGAGCTCGAAAGACCGAAGAAAACATATGGAATGTTATAAGGCAAGACAGAAGCTCGACTGAAATGAGAGCTCCACCACTGACTTACAAATCCATGAGACCCCGTTGCGTCATCATGCTCTTACCTTCGAGCGGCAGCTACTCCGTATTTTCGGGGGAAAATCGGCAATTCTGATGGGCATACTCCTTTCCTCATATGAGGTGACCATGAGAGCTTTCGTTGTGGTTGTGTGTCTTCTCGTAGTCCATCTGAATTGAGATGTTTGGCAGGTATTTGAATCCTTTTGCTAAAAGCAGCTTCAGAGCCAACGGCGTTAACCGGAGTTTTCGGCAACAGCTCTATCCGAGAGCTCGAAAAACAACCATGTGCTTGCGAACACCATCAGATGAGAGGCAAGAGACTCGGTGCAGCTGCATGGAAGGACGAATATGACACATAAAAGAGAGAAAGAAGCAAGACAAGGTGCAAGGATACGCAAGCAAAAAAAAATTGGAGTAGCTGGGGATCGGACCCAGAATCTTCTTCAACACAACTCAGTAGTGCTTGAGATGAGCAATGCTAACACAACATGAATGCAAAACTCGAGCTTGAGGAGTACAGGTTCGATGGTAGGGCATGTGGACTTGTATGAAGTTGATACTCCTTAAAGAGGACTATCTAGTATTGTTACTGTGTCTCTCCGCTGTATGCTAGTGAGGTTCATCGGTAATCAAGCGACTACAACAGCACTTCATAACCTTCCTCTGCTCATTCATCAGACGAAGGACACGCGCACACACCGACTCAAGACGTTCCAGAGCTTTGCAGATTCGCATGTGCTCCTCGTATATTCAGACGCCATGCTGACACAGTAACCAAATCATATCTTTCGAGCCATATTCCTGTGCGGAGCGTGATTGAACTATGCACAAACGAATCGAGGTTCTTTGTAGTGTGTCGTCTCACCACTTTGGGGATGCAAATCCTCTCATCTTCATGACTGACGGACCCATGATTGCTTAATTAAACTGTCGAGTCGCCTTTTCCTAGCGTACCCGCTCATAGTGGTGTATCCTTGAGGGAGCAAAAACTCAACTAGTGATTATGACAAGAACGGCGAGTACCATAGGAGTAGAGAAGAGATGCTCTGCTGGATAGACCAGATAAATCAAAACAAAACGTACAGCAGCAGGGATTCCCACGTGGTCACCCACCGTAGTACTAATCTGCCGTTCAACTGCTTATGTATGGCAGAGCGGACGGGATGCCCAGTTTTCAGCTGACTGTGGCCGTACGTGCTTGGTCAGGGTTTTCACGACAACAAGTATGTATGTGACCAAATAATGCCCAACCATCCCATAGATTTGCTCAAGTGCTGTTGAACCTGCCTTAGAGAGGTTGCAGTGGTGAATATCATGGTTGCGATACTTGGCAGGCTAGCAGACTAGAATGCCTTGCAGAGACATCTGGGATGGCCGTGGAAAACTTGGTCCGTTCGACTTACAGTTGTGCACCTCGATCACAAGTTGAGATGTGCCTCCTCTAATGTCTTGTAAAAACCCTCGCAACACAATGCAAGAGTTCGGCACATGAACGACAAACCGATTCAACATGACTTTCACATGGTCTCTTGCGAAGGGCGGTGAACGAGGGCTTGACAGATGCGACTGTTTGAAGTGGACTTGAAAATGGCGAGATTGGGTCTTGCTGTCGAAAGAAGTAATTCTTGCGATTGAGACGAGGAAATGTCGTTGGCCCTGACAAAGATGAACGAGGCGTCTGTCAAAGCGTTCATGCTAAGCATGTGAAAGACGTGCATATACGGGAAGAAATGACCAATGTAAGGAGTCACAGAAAGCAAAGGGAGTTCAGGAGGTGTTTTAGACAGGGCTGGCGATGGCGCTTGGCAATCACATGCAAGCTTTCACATGAGAAGCAATGATGAAATGGCGGCGGAAATCGTATGACAACGACCAATGGCCATCGTGAGGTCTGAAAGCCTTTCCATAGCCTCGGGCTGCTCCTTGCCCTGTCGTGTGACTTGCAGACTTGATGCACATCAAAAATATATACATATTCACCAGCACCAAGTTGAGAGACTTGACTCTGGACTTTGACTTCACGACCGCCCAACGCTCGTCGACTGGGGGCTGAAACCATCACTGCCCGCCCTCAAACACGGTTTGACTCGACACTCGACCCTCGTACATAACCCAAAGACAAGGGCAACGAAAAGAGGAGGAACACCTTGAACATGGCCGTCAACGCAAACACCTCGCAGTTCCTTGGACTGGACGTCGACCAGAGGGCCTCGTCACCAACGCCTGGCACGTCATTGCCCGAGGACGACGGCATGCGTGCACTACGACAAAAGATGCACGAGATCAGGAGTTTGGCTGCTTCGACTGAAGAGAAGGCAAGGGCAATGCACCTACTCATGACAAGAGACTACATCACCATGAACAACCCCGACCACGAAATGCCCGACCTGTTCCAACAAGGCCCTCTCTGTCACCCTGTCCGCTCCAATGACAACCCATACAACATCACTCCACAAGACCTTGAGCCTAGCTACTGTTCCGACCATATTCACGATGAAGGTACTGGCTTGGGCTGCAAGCACTATAGCAGGAATGTCAAGGTTCAATGCTTCGACTGCAACCAATGGCATCCATGTCGACACTGCCACGATTCTTCGCCAAATCTACCCTTTGCTCACGGCCTCAATCGTAAAATGACACAGAACATGCTATGCATGCTCTGTAGCACCCCTCAACCCGCCGGACCCACATGCACCAACTGTGGTGTTGACTCTGCCTACTACTACTGTTCCAAATGCAAACTTTGGGACAATGATAGCACAAAGAGCATATATCACTGCGATGACTGTGGTATTTGTCGTCGTGGTGAAGGTTTGGGCAAGGACTATGTCCACTGCAAACGATGCAACGTCTGCATCTCAATATCAACCAGCAGCACACATCCCTGCGTAGAGAGAGCAACAGACTGTGATTGTCCTCTATGTCTCGAATACCTCTTCTCCTCATCGCTACCGGTAGTGAGTCTAGCTTGTGGCCACTACATGCACGGGAGCTGCTACAAAGAACTCATGCACGTCACATATCGCTGCCCAGTATGCAACAAATCTGCCGTCAACATGGAGCTTCAATGGCGGAAACTCGATGATGAGATTCGTCTCCAACCAATGCCAGAAGATGAGTTTGAGGACTCTGCTGCTGCGAGAGCAAATCCCACCCATCGACGTGTTCCTCGAAGAGTATTTGTGGGCTGTAATGATTGCGGAGGAAGAGGCTGGTCCGCCTTCCATTGGCTAGGTCTAAAATGTCCCCACTGCGACGGCTACAATACATCTCAAACCGCCTACGTAGGCTCCGAAACACCCGGTGCACGACCAGTCGTCCGCCGCCACGAGTTCGCCGGTGTAAACGCATTACCAGCAGTCGTAACCGCCGCCGAAGAAAGAGCAGACAGCGCCTATGGTTGTCCCTCCTCACCGGCACAAATCCCCGTCCCTTCTCAACAACAATTACCAGTTCAGCAACCAGTGTTTGCACCTCACTCACCCACAGGCAGAAGTTACTTCCTCCAAGCCGAATACGAAGAAAGCCTTCGCAACACCGAACGCGCATTAAGTGCTGGCGATGCATTCCGTAATTTACCCTATGATATCCTGCAACGATTTAGTAGGAGTCTGTCGCCTATGCGGTACTACCTCGAAGGCTTGGATGGTGGGGCTAACACTGCTCAAGCACCACAAGATTCTTCTACGCAAAAAGAGACCGAGCAGTCTGCTCGACGGCCGCAAACAGCGCAGTCACATGAAAGCAGTTTCTGGGGTGAAGGCAACGCAGGCGTCTTCTTCGGCGATATCTCAGAATCTGATGAGGAAGAGGAAGAAGAAGATGGAGAAGGCGAAGATGACGAGGAAGAGAGTGATGAGGACGAGGAATACGAGGATGAAGATGAAGATGACGATGACGATGGTGCGGGCAGTCACTTTGGAGATCGAGATGCTTTTCCTGCGGATGAGATTGATTTGAGGCTACCAGGCCACATTTGATTCTAGTTTGGCGTTTCTGCAAAGGCTGGGACTGGCAGAGTATAAAAACAGCATGGAGGTATTTCTGATTCTGTCAGGAGTCAAGGGAAAAAATGCATAGCGTTGTGATCATTTCAATCTATATTTCGTCGGCCTTTTCATTTTGAGTTGCATTATGCTTCAATTGCAAGTACAGCAAAAACATTCTTTTTTTTCTCTCCCCCGTGCAAATTACAGTATTTACTCATTACGTCTTTTGTGCAAAAGCCCTAGGCTCTCATCTCCAAAGTCTGCTACTCTCCCTCTCTGTGCTCGTAGATCAGATCCACGTGCTTGACAGGATGTAGCAGCATACCAGGCAAACACATCCTGCCCTCCCCCTCAACCTCTTCCATCTCGCCTCCATCACCATCAACCTTATATCCCAACCACCTCTTCCAAAGATTCCCCGGGAACCCAGCATGATAATACCAGGTCGTACCTAAGAAGTTGTGCTGCAATTCATCACTAAACACACTAGTTCTTGCACCGCCAGAAGCACCATGAAGTCCATTGTTGAACACAGCTGCTAGGTAGGAGGTCGGCCATCTACGGTCAACGTAGACGGGGTGAGGTGCATAGACGGCTTTTAAACCGTGGTGGAGAGCGCAACTTCCAGGCCACATTTCGGAAAACATGCTGTGGCGCTGGAGAGCGGTTTCTCTGTGCATGGTCTCGAGAAGACGGCGCGAGAGACGTGATGCGGTGATGATGGCTGTACGACGAGGAGGGAAACCGGCAGAGGTGTTGTAGCCTGTGACATCTTCGGCCAAAATCCAATTTGTAGCGTGAGGGTCAAAGAGAGGGTTGAAGGTTATGAAGTCTGCTGGTTCGCCTACGCCCCAGGAGTAGTTGTCCTTCTCCGGTGTGGTCGGTGGTTGGGGGTCATTCTCAGTTTCGATATGATCGCCTTCGCCAGTTGGTGGCATTGGGCCCCAGACAGGCGGTGTGCGTACTTGCGTATTCTCAGTCCCGGATACCTTTTCGTACATGCCTGCTTTGTGTGCTGTACCGTGCTCTGTCTGTACGCGCACCATGTGCTTAAAGTCTTCCCAAGAGCCGTGCTCAGATGGAATGTAGAATCTGCCGTTGCGCTCCCAGAGACCTTTACGGGGTTGCTGGTCAGCCCATTTGCCGACCTTGTCGAAGAGATGATAGAAGTGGCCAGTGTAGCGAATATCCATTTCCCAGTGCCAGAAGAAGTCGTATTCAGGGTGCATATGAGCAAAGTAGGACAATGGCATGTTTGTCGATCTGTATGCGCCATGGATAGGCAAATCGCGGTAGTTTGTTTCTGCTATGCCTCCATAGATCAAACTCATTTGTCTCTCTGACCAGAGTGTACCCATACCTCTGAACTCCAGAGGGAGTGATTCGTTCAGAACACGCTGGTAGGTGAAGTCATCGCTCCATATAGGCATGTCGTTATCCTTGACGTGGACCAGGAAATGGATAGTATACTCGCCGCCAGATTGAAGAGACAACTCATTGATTAGGGCGCGCAAGTAGAACATGTCTTCATCGTCATATTGGTAGTCGTGCCATGTTCGGATGACGACAGCTTGTCTCGGTAGCAGCTTCTTGTCTTGGTTTTCCTCTCTTTTGGGTTTCTCGTCCTCAGGACCTCCGACAGGCATGTCAGTGAAGAAGTGTTTTCGACCCTTTGGTAGAGGCTTGAAGCGACTTTTGTTCTTCTGGACGCATTTCTGCTGGGCTTGAGCCCAGTTGACCTCACGGTAGTCGATTTCGGTCTTGCCACCCCAGACTTGGTCTGATCCCTCACGATGTCCTTCCATGCCGGCACCACTGCCACCCCATCTCTTGCTGTAGCCCAAACCATAGGGACCGAGTCTTCCGTAGCGCTCGAAGCAAACGTCGCCATTCATGCCAAACAATTCATAAGAGCCCATGATAGGGTCTGGGAAGCCTTTGGGTATTCCTGGGTATGCCAAAAGCTGTGGAACATTGCTCTTTCTTTCCTCGTTGAGATAACACTCGACGACACCATCTTGATTAACAGGGTTGAATCTCTGGCCTTGGGGTATGTCTCTCTTTTGGAAGCCCTTTTCTTCTGATGGAGCGGTTTGCTCTTGTTGATCTTTCTGCACGGTAGATTCCAGTGTATTGTTGTCGGGATCTGGGAATTCGGGTTTGTTGTCGGCGCGAGAGATCAGAGTTCTGATACCGCCATGGTAGCGTTTTAAGAAAGGAAAACTCTCCCAGGTGGGTGGTGGAGGTGGTGGTTTTGCTTCACCGGATCGTAGTTGAGCTTCGGAAAGCGCGCTCAAGCGAGCCAAGGTAAGGCCGAGACCAACCAGAATCAGAACAATGATCAAGGTGAAGTATCTGGTGAAGCGACGTGGCGGCAAGGGGTAGGAAGTAGCACTGCGAGCACCAGAGGGGCGTTGCAAGATTGGAGTCGCATTCGAGTCTGAGGCGTCATCGTCGTCTGATAAACGTTCCTTGTCGCCGTCGACCCATCGTCCGTCCAGAGCAATGTAGCCTGCTGCTTTGTCCTTGCGCTTGGGAATCCGGAAAGGCATCGTTCAAGCCATACGAGTATACGGTCGTTATCCGAGGTCACTTAGATATGCGCACAGACCTTGTTTGCATCAAAAGTGCGTGACTTGAGTGCCTGGAGATGTTCTGGTAAGATTGGTGTTTGAGTTTCTGTGGTTTAGAGTTCTCAGGAGTAAGGAGTGGCACAGTGCGACACGAGCATCTCGACATGGCCCATGACTTCCATGTTGTTTAGCGACCGTCACTGTGTTCCTTCCACGTCTTGGCTGCTGCTGTTTCCGAGGGGACTGTGATGAAGTCGCCGCTCAAGGAACGAACTCCGCCTTTTGCACCACCGCCATCTGGTCTCTGTCTCTACCCATCATGTCTTTGCAACTGCTGAACAAGTTGAACACTGCCACAGTTGCCAAGATGCATTTGTCCATGGATGCTCAGGCATAGTCTTCGTCGTCGGCCGCTTTTTGGCGTCAACTCAAGCCAATCGTGTCTCTCCAGTCTTGCACGCTGAGCTTCATCCTCGTAAATTCCACCCTTGTTACAATCATACCGCTCAACCTGCCTGCAATACGAACTGCAACTTTTGTTATAAAAGGTAGGCTCTGGGTCTGCTTAATATGTGGCAGCTCACCTTTCTACTTCCACTCGCATTACTAGCCTTGACTACCTGGTTCGCCATGCACTATCTATATTCGGTCCCCGTTCTTTTCTCCTTTGCTTCCGTTGTATCTTCTTCAAATGCAACGGTAGACCTCTCATGGCATGCTCCGCCATCGACAAAGGTCAGCGACCTTCAGACTGTCATCAATAGCACTGGCGTGTTTGGAAACTTTATCTTCAACTCTTCCACCACTCCGGCAGGTCTGCCATACTGTAAGTTGGACATGATATTTCTGTTTCTATTGTTCTTGTCATGTATCGATTGTTGAAGTCATTTTAATGAGATGAGAGGATGCCATCTCAAAAGTCGTTGTATTGCTGGTTCTTGTGGAACAAGAGAATATGCTGCGAGAAGGCGCAAACTATAAAAGCATTTCTCATAAACTATGATTGCTAACTTTTGCAGCGACCTATAACTGGTGCAACATGCCTCACGTCCGCTGCACCGAGTATCCTAAGGTCGACTTCAGTTACAAGCTCGAATACGTCCATGTCATCCACCGCCACCACAAACGTACTCCATATGCATCCAACACTTTCCCTGTGGAGTCCTATGCATGGGAGTGTTCAGATGAGGGTCTCTACTACAACGCCAACACCTTCACTGGCGCCAATGCCGATTCCTCGGCATTGACGTATTGGAGTGTCTTCACTTCTCCTTCAAATCCCTTGGCTCCGCAAGGCTTCAATGGCACATGCCAGTTCCCTCAATTGACTGCAGGAGGTCTTGACGACAGTCACCAACACGGCAAAGACATCTTCGAAGTCTATCACGGTTTGCTTGGCTTCCTGCCCGCAAGATATGACCCACGCAAGATGCAATTCCGTGTGACCAACAATGTCATCACTTCTCAAGTTGCGAGCAATCTGATTCCTGGCATGTTTCCCTCGCTTACTGAAAGGAACATTCCCTTGATGATTCAACCCGGTTCAATCGACAGTCTGGAGCCTGCCTATACATGCTCATCTGCATCCACTCTGTACTCGTCTTATGGCGTGGGCAGCACCAATGCAAACTGGACCGCTCATCTCACTGCTTCAGCCGGTCTTGCTCATGCTTTAGATGCCATATCTGGTATCTCGTCCAGCTCCACTGCCTGGCACCAATCCTGGGACCACTACTTTGACAACCTTTCCGCTCGCCTCTGTCACTCGAAGCCCTTGCCCTGCAACAGCACCACAGGCGCTTGCGTCACCCAGTCCCAAGCCAACGAGGTCTTCCGTCTAGGCGAATACGAATACAACTACCTGTACCGCTCAGCTGGACCTCAGACTCTCGAGTACGCCCGTCGCAGTTATGGCATCTGGGTCGCAGAACTGGCCAATCACTTCCGCGCCGTACAGAACGGAACCGACTCTGTCATCTACAGACATGATGTTGCTCATGATGGCAGTATCTCTCGCTTGCTGGCCCTACTTCAGATTCAGGAGATGGTATGGCCAGGCATGGGCTCTGAGATTGTCTTTGAACTCTACTCTAAGCACAATGAGTGGTTCGTTCGTATTTTGTGGGGAGGACAGGTCTTGAGAAGTTCGAGCCCTACGCTCGGAAATCACGTCGACATGGTTCCTCTGCAGAACATCTTGGCCTACTTTGATGGCTTGGTTGGTCGTAGTGCTTCTTTGGTCCCTGGTCTCTGCAACCAAAAGTAGATTGACTTTTGAGCACGTGTCGGACGAGTGTAAAGGGAACGTGTGTTCTAGCCTGCAATCTGCGGGTTATGCATATGCACCTTTCAACCCTGTTGGTGAGAGTTAGGAGGAGAGCGAAGGAGTCTTCCCGAAAAGCCTGTTGTTTTAGTGAATAGATGTCATGTACCTTGTGTTCTCGACGATTAGATTGATTCCTCCCGAGCTTCCCACTTGCAATTGTGAAAATACATTAGCCCCCGATGTAGTCTCTATAGCACGTAATCATATTGATCTCGCACGCACGATCGATCTAGCAAAGACGGTGATGAGATCAGAAGTGCGTAGGAGTAAAGCAAGCAAGGAAGTGGCAGGTGCGACATCGGCTGGGTTGTGCAGTGTATAAGTCGGCTCGGCACGTGACCTGCGAAACTGAAGTCATCGTCAGAAAGAAACAGCGACGACGACAGACTCGACCACACACAGCACAATGAGCCTTTTCGCAACATCAAGGGCGTTAGCCTTCCGTCCGAGAACATTCGCGACAATCCAGAGCCCCATCGCAGCATCATGGCGCCGCAACTACGCAACCGACCCTAAGCAGAGCGGAGGCGCTGGACCCAACATGAACCAGCAAGAGCACATCAGCGAGGAGGCCGCAAAGATTGAGAAGATTCGAGGAGGCTCAGGACCTGACTTGGAAATGGGCACACCGGTGCAGGAGGTGTGTTGAATGCAGCATCGTGGATTGAGTGGGCAGAGACTAATCGTCTGCAGCTGCTCGAAGAAGACAAGGAAGCACAGAAGAAGGCTCCCCAAGTGCTCAAGGACAGCATCAAGGCCGGCGCCACTCCTCCCAAGCCTTCAGGAACCCGTTCGTTCTCGACATACGCACGCCGCAACCAGCAATTGAGCGAGCACAGCGACAGTCCCTTCGACGATGCCCTGATCGCAAACACAAACTTCAGTGCTCAGGAACTCTCTGGACCTGCCACTCCTGTTACTGCCGCTCCTGTCGGCCACAAGTTCGGCTTGCCCGCCCTGCCGCTGCCCAGCAACGCACACAAAGACTACCGCTACGACCCGGTGGTGCGCCAGTTCACCAACTTGACGATGCAGCACGGCAAGCTTAGTGTCGCCCAGCGCAACATGTCTACCATCCTGACATATCTGCGCACCCAGTCTCCTCCCAACTACAATCCCAGTAGACCTCTTCTGCCCGGTGCTCGTGAGTCTATTCAATCCATTCATCCTGTACTCTAGCTAATTCAACTCACAGCCCCACCATCCCACCTTCCTTTGAACCCTGTCCTTTACCTCACACTCGCTGTTGACAGCATTGCTCCTCTCATGCGTATTCGTTCCCAGCGTGGTGCTGCCGGTGGTGGTGTCGCTTTGCAAATCCCCGTCCCATTGGGTCTTCGCCAACGCCGTCGTACTGCCTTCGAGTGGATCCTGGATGCTGCTTCCAAGCGCAAGTCACGCGGCAGTGGTCGTGACATGTTCGCTCTGCGTGTCGCCGAAGAGATTGTTGCAATCATTGAAGGCCGCAGCTCTGCTTGGGAGAAGCGTACCGGTATCCACAAGATTGCCACTACTGCTAGAAGCAACCTTGGCTTCGGCAGAGTTGGTGGTCCCAGAAGGTAGATCAGCAACCTCTTCACATGCGGAAACGAAACCATATCCTTCTTTTGGCTCTGTCTGACTACAATACCTTTTTTTCTGCGTCGCGTACTCTAGAAAAGCACGTGTACCTGTATATTAACCTTCTTTTCGTTCTTTCACTCGCCATGCTGCAGATTGTCAGACTGTTGAGCATGTGAAATGTGTCATTGCCATGAGATTCTGATTTGGCACATACTATCCCGCGGACATCGTTTCTAGAGCAGTTGCAGAGAACACACAAAGATAATGGCATGCAGCTCCATGGCTGATCTTGAGGCCCTAGAAGCAGTAGTTTGCGTTAGAATGACTTGTTTGTTGTGACGAACTCGGAATGTTTTCCAAGATATGTATATTTCCAATCGAGCGAACAAGACCGCTACAGTACTTCCAATAGCCTATCCAATTACAGAATGTCCAAAAACAGCCAAAAGTCAAGTCAAGCCATGATCTCAGTCAGTCTACAGCTTAGACTCTCTCAACGCACCATTCTTCTTGGCCACAAAGGTAGCAATGGCATCCATCAAACCAGGACTCAGCGCATCATAAGTCTCCAACCCAAGCCCCTTTAACTGTGCTCTAACCTTGTCTGCCTGCTCAGGAGCAATCAAACCTTGCTCAATAACACTACTCACAAACGCCGCAAACTGAGGCTCTTGCCAACCCTTCTCATCACTCAACTCGACATGCACAAAGTCCAGTCCATGGAAGGCATGCTCAGTTTCAATCCTTCCGAACATATGTACACCACACTCTTTGCATGCGTGTCGTTGGATAACTGCTTTTTCATCCACGATGTAGAGTTTGTTGGCGCCGGAGGAAACAGAGAGGGAAGAGCGGGGCACCACGCCTACGATGCTGAAGATTGCACCAGAGGGTTTCCAGCATTTGGAGCAGCCGCAAGCGTGGTTGTGGGCAACATTCGAGGAAAGAGATATAGTAACCGGAGAGGATTTGCAGTGGCAGTGGAGGGAGCCGCCTGAGAAGTCATCGGTGCCTTTCTTGAGGCCGTTGTTGATGAGGGGGTGGAGGTTGAAAGACATGGTTTGGAGATTTGTATTGTTTGCTGTTGATGATGAAGAGATGTGGAAAGCACTCGAGGTAGGTGGTAATTGGCAAGGGAAGGAGAGAGAAAGGATGTTAGGGAGGAAGGTATTGCCTCTTTACTTACAGCTCTTTGCAGGGTCGTGGATGCGCTTACCTAGCTCATGCTACTGTACCCTAGCACGCAATATGAATGCTTGCTGCATCGCTTGTGGTTGAAGAGCTCAAATTGGAGTATCTATGTAGAGGTGGAGAAGGCGGAGTAGACCTGCCGTTCGGAAGATATATCCAAAAACAGTAATCAGGTATCTAACAGGCATAACTTGCATGAGGCGACCATAGCATAACTACTGCATAGACAGCTGCGCAAGTATGCAACGAGGAGTTCCACAGCAATTGCCTTTCTAGGACTGATGAGATTCGACGCGTCGCACTTTCCGCGCGCCGCGTCGTCCCTCGAACACGCCGGCTGCTCTTCGAATCCGCCAACATTTTTGTACAAACAACATATACCAATCACATCATGGAAGACCAAACAGCAGAAATCAACGAACTCTTTGCAGTACCAAACACAACTCTCGAACGCGATGTCTTGGGCGAACTCAAGTCAATCTTGCGAATCCATTCGCTCAGTCCGCAGGAAATGTTCTTCAAGTGGGAAGCATACAGCTTGAAGATGGGCCCGGAAACTCAGATGAATTACAAAACAGCCAGAGAGTTCAAAAAGGATCTGCAAGATGCGTTGGAGAGGGAGTCGAGGGGCAAGGCACATTTGCAGAGCGCTCAGAAGAGAAGCACAAACGGCACCCCGAGGAATGCCAATACTGGCGATGTCTTTGGCGTGTATGTCCATCTGTCAAGCTGACAGGAGACCCGAAACTGACTCTAGCATAGTCTAGACGGACTGGTCACCGGCACGCCATCTAGAGGTCCTCCTATGAAGCGACGAAACGACTTCGGCACTCCTTCAGCGAAAGCCTCCAAACTCAACAACACAAGCTCTCCAGCAGGTGACAAGACACCTACACTTGGTGCTACAGCTGAACCATCTCAGCCAGGGTATTGCAATCCACACATCTATCTTGCTCCATGCAGAGCTGACACCAAGACAGAGCCATTCCCTTCGCCGAACGTCAAAATGCTGGTCAGATTGTCGAACAACTCAACGGCCACATCGAGCTCCCTCCCGTCCCAACATCAGCACCTGCCGAAGCTCGTGTCAAGCTAAAAGCCAACACCGACATGGCCAAATTCAGCTACCGACCTATGGCCATGAAACTTTCTGAAGCCTCTGAATTCCTTGACGAGCGCATCGACGACTTTGTTGAAATCGTACAGAAACATCATCAATTGGAATACTCTGCTTTTGGCAATCCCGCTGCTATGAGTCCCACCCAGATCGTAGCTGTCGGGCGTATTGCTTCCGACACGAGCGAGGGAAGAATGAATGCCGCTTCTATGGTTCTGGAAACCAGTCGTCGCATGGGTGCTGGTCTTCGTGTACCTCTGCGTATGGAGAAGGGAGGATATGATTTCTTCCCTGGCAAGATCGTTGCTCTTCGTGGCAACAACCCGTCAGGAGAGTATTTCAGTGTCACTGAGGTTCTGGCTGTGCCCTCTCTTCAACCCCCTGCCACAGCTCCTACAAGCATTGATGTACACAACGAACGCCTGCAGAGTGACGATGGTACAGAAACGCGCCCTCTGAACATCATTATTGGAGCCGGCCCCTATACTACAGACAGCGATCTGTCCTTCGACAGCTTGCACGAACTCTGCTCGCAAGCCGCAGAAACCAAGGCCGATCTTCTCATCCTTAGTGGTCCCTTCATCGACATCGAGCACCCGAAGGTTGCCAGTGGTGACTTTTCATTACCTGCCGACAGCAAGATCGACCCTTCTTCTGCCACTCTTACAGATGTCTTCCGCGTCCTTGTCTCACAACCACTATCCCGCCTCGCCCAAACGTTACCTAGCATCACAATCATCCTAGTACCATCGGTCCGCGACGCTGTATCGAAACACATCAGTTGGCCGCAGGATCGTCTTGCTCGCAAAGAACTCGGCCTACCCAAGCAAGCAACCTGCGTCACAAATCCTATGACGGTGTCTTGCAATGATTTCATGACCGCAATCAGCAGTCAAGATGTCCTCTTTGAGATGCAAAGACAACGCGTCGTCAGTGGTCTAAACAGCGATGCCCTGGCCTCCCTAGCCCGAAATCTGCTTACCCAGCGCCACTACTTCCCAGTCTTCCCCCCACTACCCAGAGATGAAAAAAGTTTGACTGTGGGAGCTAGCCTGGATGTTGCATACATGAAGTTGGGCGAGATATTGACAGTCAGTCCTGATCTATTGATCTTGCCGAGTGTGTTGACACCATTTGTCAAGGTTGTGGATGGTGTTCTTGTGATTAACCCTGGGCAAGCGAGTAAAAAGAGAGGAGCAGGTACATATGCGAGATTGATAGTTGGACCTAGAGAACTGACCGAGGATGAGAGGGAGAAAGATGAGGATGTTGATCATCAGTTGTTCAACAGGGCTCGCTGCGATATCGTCAGGATATAAGAAGCCAAAAGACCTATGCAAAGATGTTGCCATTGAACAAGCCTCGTCCCAACTCCTTCTATATCTTCGCCTTGCCCTTGTTCCCCTCCACAGGGGGGTCAATATTCGTCTTGTCATGCTCACACGTACTACACACCCTCCCCCTCGCATCCCTAACCACGCCCCTCAACGCCACCTGCTGCCTTCCCACATGCACAACCTCACACTCGACCGTAACTTCCTCACCCACCTTGACCGCTCTCACATACTTGACATCCAACACCCTACTCACGCCCGCCAACATCCAGAACCCTGGCTTGGACACTGCGACTAACGCCATACTGGTACAGTTATCGTAGAGCAGGGAGTGGGCAGCCCCATGCAGGTTTCCGAGTGTATTGGAGTAGAAAGCCGGGATCTTTAGTTTGAACACCACGAGGGCTGTTGTCGGGGTTGGCGTGGTGACCGAGTGGATAGCGACGGAATCAAAGAAGGGAGTTGCGAAGTTCTAGAAAATTGAGGAGGAGAAGAGGTTAGTCCTTCTGATCTTTTTTTTCTTCGGTTGTGTAAGATGCTTTTTAATGTCTTCTTCCAAGGGAAAGGATGGACATTTCATTCTTCCATTGCAGCGATTTTCTTGTCTATTCTTTTGTTTTCTCTCATCATCGTCCATCACCACCACCGGTTTCCTACGCAAGGGAAGAAAAACATGAGAGGGAAAGAAAAGACAAACTCACATCTTTGACTTTTCCCTCGTGATCGCTTTTCAGTGTCGATAACAACCTTTCCACTTTCTGACGTGGTGACAATTGCTCCCAGCCCTCATAGGTCTTACCCTTGTACATTTCTTGTGGCGTTTGTGCTGGCATTTTCGACAAAGATTGGAAACGAAAAGTGTGGCACTTTTGGCAAAAAGCAAATCAAGGTCTTTTAGATTGGTATAAGGAAGGGCAAAGAGTTTACAGGTAAAGAACAAGAAGCAAGGTGTCAAAGAGTTGTAGTTGAGCAGCAAGATGGTGGTGGTTGCGGATGCGGAGGGTCAAGCAAGAGCCGAGGCTCTATGAAATTCCGTCGGATCTGCCTTTTTATCGTTGCCATTCCTCCTATCTTGAACGTTATGGTTCAAGTCTCTGAGAATCGGATTGACTGGATACTGAGGTGTCAAGATCAACGTATACAAACATATTCAATAAAGGGTTGAGGACATGACTTGATATGAAAGAATCTGTCTATAAAAGCAACATGCAAAACTAAAACGACCACAAGCCCCGTACGCCTCGCTGACTTTGACCAAAAAGAATCGAAACAACCACCCTTTAGAACATCAAAGAGTAAACATATGTACAAGACCTCCCTTGCAAACAAAGAACGACTCCACATGTCCCTAATATGCATATATGCCCACATAACCCTTTTTGATGCTATTTACATACTAACACCTATTATTACTCTTCAAGTTTCAATCTTTCCTGTTCTTGCCCCAGCGCAAACGACTGGTGCGGTGAGTGGTAGATGTGGCGGCTTGTTGAGGTCTCTGTGGTTCGGCGAATCTGATGTTGGTTGGTGGTTGGCGAGGTGCGTTGTCTTCATCCTCGCTGTCACTTTCTTCTTGAGTAATTCCGAGAGCACCTTCTCTGCGTCTGCGCTCTGCGGCCGTCTCACCTTCAGTATCAGAGTCGAGGCGAGATTTGGCAGGGCGTGCGCTGCCGCTTGCAAGACGAACGTCGCGGGCACGGCTGTTGAAGTAATCGGCTTGTGAATCGTTGTCCGAGTGTCTTGCAAGAGCTCCTTCTCTACGGCGGCGTTCGGCGGCAGTCTCGGTCTCGACGTCAGATGGATAGCGGCCTTCAGGTTGAGGGCGAGTGGGAGGGATTCTGGCAGTGCCATCGTCCTCACTGTCCTCCTCGATCGCTTCCCGGCGTGATTGTTCTGCACGTTCGCGTGCCTCTCTGCGGCGCTTCTCAGCTGGTGTTTCACCAGCACCGCTTGATCTGCGAAGATCACCGGTCACATCGTGGAAAGGTACGACTTCATCGTTGGAGTCGACCAGAGTCAGGCCTTCGGGTCCAGAGGGAGCGTCTGCGTGACTCGGCATTCTCTTGACCTTGGCGTTATCCGCCAAGTCAGGTTGGCCAGTGACTGCAGGAGATTCACCTCTGAGGCTTGTCTCAGCATCTCTGCTCGATAATCTGACGGGTCTATTCTCGGGCATCGAATGCAGGCGATGAGGAATTGCATCCTCGTTGCCCTTCTTGGCGCCTTCGCGTGCCTCTTTCTTGACGGCTTCGGGTAGATCGCTTTCCTCAACCAGCGAAGCACGCTGCCTGGGATTGAGACTGGAAATTTGTCTGACAAACTCGGCTTTGCTCATCCTTTGACCGCCAGCGCCAACAGTGAAACGCAAGCGCTCATCATCCTCAGCCTCTTGCTCGGCCTTCTTTCTTCTCTTCTCTTCCCTGGCGTTGGAAGCATCCATCTCATCGCCCTTGCGTCCTGTGATGCTCAGAGCGGTTCCCATGCGAGCGAGACCTCGTCTAGTAGGTCCTGCAGGCTTGGAGCCTTCAGCCGATGTGCCGGCTTCTCCTTCCTTTGCAGGCTTCGATTTCTTCGGAGGAGCCTCAATATCGTACTTCTTCAACACCTCACCGTCTTCGTCTTCCACAATGATAGTGTTTCCAAATTGGTAAGCACGTGCAGGACCTCGCTTTGGTGCGGGTTTCTTGGCTGTTGGCTTGTCACCGTGGTCCTCCTTCTTACGAAGGCCTCCGAGATGAGCCATCTTCTTGCGCCATTCCTTTTGAGGATGCTCCATTGCTTGGATTCCTTCGCCGCCCATCTTCTTGAATTCGTGCATTACTGCTCCATCCTCGTCTTCATCTTCGGTGTGATTGTCCTTTCTACGGGCAACACCGTGATGGATATCCTGATCGTGCATCAATTTCTTAAGTTCGGCTCTCTCGCGTTCTTCTCTTTGTTCATCAGTGTCGCCTGGGTGAGTCTTCTTGACAGCAAGGACATTGCCTTCTTCATCCTCATAGACAGTCTCGCCACCCTCTTCGTAGACTTCACCCTCAGGCTCACCAGGCTCGTCAGGCTCATCATCATCACACTTGGCAGGACCCAATGGAGGCTTGCCGTGTTTATGGTTCGGCGAAGCGTCAGACTCACTACGAGAAGTGGACTCCTCAAGCTTCTCGCTTTCGCTGCGTTGCGGTCTGATAGCTGATTCACTAATGGGGCCGCCAGCGCCATACTGAGACTTTCTTGACCTACGTCTGCTCAAGGGGCGAGCAGGAGTATCATCTTCACGTTGGCGACGAAGGAAGTTGGGAGGGAAGGCACCATATTCGCCCTTCTCTGCGAGCGTATCGTCCGTGTCATCAGGTCTGTTTTGAGACATGGAAGTCTTGGAACGTGACTGAATACGAGGGAGTCTGTCCATCCACGATGGGTCGTTACCTTGAGTGTAGGACATTGTCAAAGTAAGAGTGTTGATGTGCTTTCCGAGGGTGAACACAGCGATTGAGGATCCATGAACCAAAATTGAGGTAATGACCAGGAAGGTTGTGATGGGCCAGATGAGTTCAATGATGTTCAGATGTTCGAATCCAGGTGCTGGCAATTCTCCAAGCGGCGTTGTAGAGTCAGTTTCAAGCTCCGCTCTAGCAAGAATGGCGACGAAAATTGCACCGACACCGATGGGCCCAAAGTGTCCAGCGAAAAGAGCCTCTCTCCAAGTCTTGATATCGGGTATGATAGGCTTCAGCGCAAGCATGATTGGTATACGACGGAACAGCAACACCAAGATTGCAATCACAACCAATCTCCAAGCACTCAGACCAATAACCGCGGAGTTGTATTGAGCCCAGGGGATGATGGTGCCAAAGTAGACAAAGAAGGCCAAGTTGATGAGCAAGTCAATAACGTTCGAAACGTGAGATTCCTCAGTCTTTTCCGTAAACCAACCATCGTTGCTGAAACCAACTCCACAAGCAAACCCAACGAGCAGATCATCGATTCCCAAGATGGATCCGGAACCAGCACAGAACAGAGCCAGCACGAAGTAGAATACCAGAAAAGATTCACGATCGATCAGATTGTGTTCGTGTGCATATCTGACGGCGTGGCGAGCAATGTAGCCAATGATGACACCATAAATAGCGCCGAACACACATTCATACAAAATCGAAACGCAGAACCAATTGAGAGCAACTTCATTGGGATGATGGTGGTAGCGAATGATGTAGATGGCCAGGTAGATGAAGGGGAAGGCCATACCGTCGTTGCAACCAGATTCAGCAGATAGCAAATCTCTCAAATGCTTGGGGACTCTCTGGGCGAACTTGCCTTTACCAACGACTGAAGAAGCAAGAACAGGATCAGTAGCAGTAACACAAGCAGCAACGCAGAGACTGTCGAGCCAGTTGAGCGGTGGGATGAGAGCCCAGATAAACAGACTGGTAACAAGCCATCCGAATGTCATGACAGGGATCAGGAGAAGGGTAACAGATCGCCAATGACGCTCCATGTAAAACTTTGGCAGTTCGACACCCACGGCGAAACATTGTACGACTAGAACGATACGGGCGAACTCCAAAGTGATACGGTCCTCGTTTCCCCACGTACTAGGGTCGATAAGGTTGGCTGCATGTGGGCCGAAAATGATACCGCAGATGGTGGCGACGGTGGCCTCGCCGATGTATAGTTTTTCTTTAATGAGGGACGAACATAACATGAACAGACTGGTGAAGCCGCCGAGGATGATGTAGACCAAGTGCGGCTTGTCGACGCTCAGATGTTCCCAAGCCATGGTGGCAGGATGAGTGTATGGTAGGTAGTGGTAACGAAACGATAGTGGAATTAGGGTCTCGTGTCGTGGTTGTCGAGGTCGGGATCTAGGATAGATGTCGACAGGTGCATGCGGTCGTCGGTTGCGCCCAGTCGCCGCTCCAACAAGCTACGGTGAGTTGTGTCGGGTTGATGTATCGACCGGAAGACGAAGAAACCGTACGAAGGAAACGAAGGCAAGTGGTTCCAAGACCGAAGAAGCGAGATCCAGGATCTGTTGACCAAGAACGAAAGTCTTGTCGCTGACTCTTTGCCGACCTTGGCGGTATGAAGCCAAGCAAGCACGTTGGTAGTAAGAATTCAAGATCGAGGCGTGATTGTGCTTGTCTGAACCTGCTGGAGGGTCCAATCCTTCCTTCAGCTGTGGGTTTGCGTTTCGCGTTCTCCCAACCAGAGCTACAGCGACAGCGACAGAAGTTCACATGAGAATGGAGTCAAAGAGGGTGTTCAGAGAAATACCAAACAAGCGGCGAAAAACGGGCAGAATGACGACGTTTGGCCATCGCTTTACCAGGGAACCCCACGCAAGCGCGCCTCAGACGCAAATGTCCTTCTTGGCAGAGAATCAACACAATTCCCTTCATCAATTTCCGCGTCATTCTCTTGCGAATACCTGGTTTAAGAGTCATTCTAATCAATCGCAATCGATCTTCTCGGACATGCGGTGAAGACTACTCCGCTCTCGGCGCATATTGCTTGGACATGATGCTTGGTCTTTTCTTATACTTGGTTTTGGCTTTCTTTTGTCCGCAACTTCGGTGGGGCTAAAGGGCCAACATCCCGCAGGCTGCCCCAGAGCGGTCATCGTAAACCCTATTTTTTCTTGTTATAGGGGCCTCTATCTCAACCAACGTCTCCTAAGTTCTGGGTTGCTGTCCTGAATCTTAGGGCGATATTTTTCCGCAACTGTCGACTACACTCTGTGATCGATGTATGCCTGTGAAAGTTTACGTGAACGAAACCTGGTCGCCTGAAAGAGTGGAATGAATTTCAAGTATTCTCAAATTGCCGCGGACCTTTTTATGCTTCTATCTTCCTGTGACGCGCTGGTAGCTTTTGTTGAACCTTCGCTGTGGAAGGAACAATTCAGAAAACAAAAAACGCCTGCCCAAATGCTGCTCTAAACATGAGTATGAAAAGGCTCTGCCAGCAAAGCCAGGCTCTGTGTCTTGACCTTAAACTTTCAGGCTAGCAATGTCGGGGGTCTCGTCGGTGACCTTGACACCAGCACTATCCTTCTCTACACCGCCTGAAATGTCGCGGAGGCACTTCTGCTCACCTCCGCGGAGGTAGTCTTCGTACTCGCCGACATTTTTGCCAGCGTCAACCCAGCGCTGCTTGTATGCTTCTCTGCGTCTATCACATTCTTTATTCAAGGCGGGCCAGTACGCGGCGTGGTCGTAGTCGAAGTTCAAATCACCGCCGTAGTCCTTCCAGAGCTGTTTCGGAGGGACGTACTTCTTGAGATCCTCGTTGAATTTCATCTTTTCTTTTGTAACGGGGTCGATGAAAGGCGAGATGAGCTTGAAGAAGGTGCTGACGTACCAAGGCACTGCAGCGTATCAGCGACTTGTATGCAAAGGTATACGGCTCGACTTACGCTGTGAGATGAGAGCTCTGCCGAGTCTCTCTGGGTTGTGGTTTTGTAGAATGTTCAGGACCTGCTTAGCTTGACTAATGGTAGGAGTACTGCCGCTAGTGGCGCCCTTGAAGTTGATAAGCAGGGCAGTCGTCTCTTGTCCAGGGCCCATCATGTCGATGACTCTATCCAGCATGAAAGAAAGGTGGTGAATCTGACGGTCGCTATTCTTTGTGTTTTGTCTGCCAGGGTTGAGGTACAGACATGGACGGGCGTTGACGTCGTAGCCCATGATAACCTGCTTGCCTGTCTCGTTCTCGGGAGAGATGTAATCGGCGGTGAAAGTGTCGGCACCATACTCGCGTCTCCAGGACAGAGTTCCTTGCAGACGCTTGAGGGCGCTAGGAATGTCCCACTTGGTAGCGCGAAGATAACGAAGGAGACACTCGCGGGTTAACCACATGCGCTCGTTGTCTGTGATAGGCTCATCTTTGGCATCTTTGAGAGTGCTGCTGGGGAGTGTGGTCCATGCAGAGACAGTCGAGAGTACTGAAGCATACTTGGTCTCTTGATCAGCAGTCAAGGCTGCAGGAGGCAATGGCTTGCATTCGGGGAGAGCGATAGTCAAGGGAGTCTTGATGGGTCCAGTTGGCGCAGGGTCGGTCACAGCCTCAGGACCAGCTGAGAGGGATGCTTTGCTCGAGATCGAGGGTGCTTTGCTCGAGGACTTTGATTGTCAGACGCTGTCACTCTTGGGCACATGTGTGTTCACGGCATACCTGCGATGCCATGTTTGGATATGTGTCGAGAAGCTTATCAATGGAGGGGTACTTTGTATACGGCGAAACAAGACCAGACAACGAAAAGAAAAGGGCGCTGGGGATGCTTCGACAATGACACGCGATGTATTCGATACGACGATGAGGCAGCAATCTTAGAAGAAGAGACGGCACAATTGAGTAAGACAGGCAGTTCTTAAGCCAAGGGGATGCCCAGCAGCGATGGCGGCGAGACGGAGCGTCATCTCACTATTTTCGGCCACGCTCTGACAATGGCTCTCGCTTTCGGAACTTGTATCTTCGGCTCCCGGATGAATAGTCGCCCGACATGTTTTAGTTCTCTGTCTCTCTATCCCAATCTTTTCTGGCCATGCAAACGGTGCAGCTTTCTGAAGGTTCAGGGGCTTCTGTCCCGACTCCTGAGATCAATGAAAGATTGGCATGCCTATCTGATACGCATGTACCTGCTTGAAAAAGCAAAAACACCGAGACTTCAGGGAAGACTGCTTCAGCTTGAACCCTGTTTCAAGCAATCTGATAAAACGAAAGTGTTTACGGCGAGTGTCAGTTTTGTTGTGCCATGAAATCCAGGAACGAACATCAATGCACAAGAGGCAGTCACAAAATAGTTATCAAATAGCAATATGGCCGATGTGCCGATGTTACTTTGGTAGATCCACGAATAAACAGGAAAAACATTGTCGAGGGTAGAACCCTGTCTTTCACAACAGGGACAGATTTATACATGTGACTTTGGACAATGCTTGTAGATCATCGAACGTGTTTCTCTCAAGATATGCAGAAAATGGGGCTGAAGTGCTAGACATGCGTATTTCATATGGTCTTTCTCTTGAGGATATAGCAGAAGAGAAGGGATTAAACGCCGGCCTTCCCTACAAGCAAGGGTATGTAAGAAGAGCAAGGATGATGACAACGGTAAAGATGTGAGACAAGCAAGAGATGCGCCATGATCCATGCTGGGAGCTGAAAATAGGAAAACAAACCATCTACAGGGAAAGCACCTTTGAAAAAAATCCCCTCCCCCTGCGCCAGGTACTCCATCCCAATGATATATGAGAAGAGACAAAGGACGTGGCTAAGACGCAAACACTCGGACATTCAAATCAACGCTGCCTGTCGCAATGACACAGCGTATACTGATCTTCGCCGCTTCATCACCTGTTTTTGACCCGTTGGTAGAGGCATCGCTGTTGGCAGCAGCAGCGTCTTTGATCACACCTGGTGCCCAGCGCATACTGCTGACGAAATGGCCATGGGCATCTTCGATCGTCTTGACACATTTTCCTTCTTGTGACAAATCCCAGCAGCGTATCGTTTTGTCGTCAGCGCAACTGAGGAGATATTTGCCTCCTGGGTGGAACAGCAGAGCTCGCACCCAGTTATCGTGGCCAACAAGCGTCTTGATCAAGGTTCCTCTGGCATCCCAAAGCTTGATGAGCTTGTCGCGACCAGCAGTGGCAACGAATTCGGCCGAGCTGGTTGCCGGCGGAGCTTTCTTGAGACCAGCCATCGAGGCCAGGTGAGGATATGCGGCAGCGGGAGCAAATGTACAACATTCGATAACATGCTCGTGGCCAACAAAAGTGACTTTTGCATCACCAGATTGAGTGTCCCATAAGCGAGCAGTTTGATCGTTTCCAACAGAGAGAAGCCAGCGACCATCGAAACTTGGGGCGACGTCGCGTACCCAGTCAGCATGGCCGCGAATTGTCTTGACACAGTAACCAGTGGTGACGTCCCAGATTCTGATGGTCTTGTCTCTACTAGCACTAGCCAAGAGATTTCCACTTGATGGTGCGCCAGCCGCACCAGAGGGAATAAAGCGTACAGCCGACACACTATGATCATGGCCGGGTAGGGTTCTAATGTTCTTGTATTCGTCGCTTGGGTCCCAGAGCTTGATGGTCAGATCAGAACTACAGCTGGCCAAAAGAGTGCCTCCGCGCGGACCACCATAGTCGATGTCGAGGACACCCTTGGTGTGACCTTTGATCGTGCGTTCAAGCTCGCCTAGCTCCCAGTCCCAGATCTTGATTGTGGCATCTTCAGAGCCCGAAGCCAGTGAAGAGAAGACAGGGTGAAAGGCGACGCATGTAACAGGTTGACGGTGAGATTGGAGGGTGTGACGAGCTGGGGATCTTGGTAGCCAGGTTGCTGGGTCTTGATTGCGGCGCGAAAGTGAAGTTGGGGTGGCAGTATCGAGTTCTGTTTGTAGGGTTGTGTTGCGTGACTCAAGGTCCATTATCTGATGGAGCGTCAGGGCGCTGGCCAAACAAGTCGCGTTGGATGAGGGCATTGAATTACCTTCTTTTGCAAGCGGACGACACTGGTCCACTTCTTCTCCAGGAGGCCCTCGTATTTCTTTCGCGTAGCATCGTCAAACTCATCGCCAATGTCAAGCTCTTCACGGAGGGAGGCAGCCGTGTTTGTCAAGCCGGCGGCTGTGAGGTAAGCGATTAAAGACTTGTGGCTATCAGCACATCAGCCAACAGCATTCTGTTTGGTGTTTGGTGACGCACAGTTCTTCAGCCTGTCGCTGAGTCAAGAGATTGGACATTGTGATGGTTGCGCATAACAACTCTTTCTCGAAAGTGGCTGGCAGCAGTCACGGAGGTGGGGGAAGCTGGCAAGAGCGGCGGACCTGCAACCTGCGGCGGCGGTGAGGGTGCCTGAATCGAATAAAAAGGGGAAGTCGCGAGTTTCGGACTGTGACTTGGGTGAACAAGCGAGACAATAGGGAAGGCGCAAGTATCTTGGGCGTAGGTAGTAAACTCAGTCGAGTCTCATAGCTGTTGTCGCATGCTGCCCGATGCCGTCAGACGCGAATTTGGCTTTGGGCTTTGGCCTGTCTGTTTGTTGTTGTTGTCGGGCCTGAGAAAGCGATATTCTTCGACCACTACACCAATTCCCATGACGAGACGACCACGATCGTCTACGAACAAGACTTGAACAAGACGACGTAGCGACTTTCTGCCTGTAGTCGCTTCTAATACATTACATCCCGCACTCTGTTTACGGCCGCTCTTCCACTGGACCGGCTACCAACTGCATTTAAACACTCCAAGAAACCGCCAACATGGCTGAAGAGCAAGAAGATTTCAGCAAACTACCCTTGGCCGACCGCTTCGTCCACAAGAACTGGAAGGTGCGCAAGGAGGGTTATGAAGCTGCTACAAAAGAATTCAAGACGGCGCAACCGAGCGACCCCCTCGTCAAGGACTTCATAGCCGACTCCAACATCTGGAAGGGCGCTGTCGCCGACGCAAACGTCGCTGCTCAAGCAGAAGGTCTCAATGCTCTGAACGCTTTCCTTGAAATTGCTGGCAAACCTGGCTGCACTCGGTGCGCTATCTTCCAACCCATTCTGCTGTCCTGCCTAGCTAGCTAACCTACTCCCCCCAGCACTCGCACATCCACAATCCAGCCCATTGTCGAAAAGGGTGTGACTGGTCGTCCTGCCGCAAAAGCTGCTGCCATCGAAGCCCTCCTTCTCTACATCGAACTCGACATAGCCGATCCTGTCATCGAAGAGCTTATTCCCCTCCTTTCTGCCAAAACTCCCAAGGTCATTGTCGCTGCACTGCAGTCTCTTACCGCCATCTACCATGCATACGGCTGCAAGACAGTTGAACCCAAGCCCATTATTAAGCTCCTACCTAAAGTCTATGGTCACGCAGACAAAAACGTGCGCGCCGAAGCACAAAACCTCACAGTCGAACTCTACCGATGGCTCAAAGAAGCTATGAAGCCCCTTTTCTGGGCTGAGCTCAAACCCGTCCAACAGACGGATCTAGACAAGCTGTTCGAGAAGGTCAAGGACGAGAAGCCGACACAAGAGAGACTGCTTAGATCTCAACAAGCAGCACAAGAGGCTGCAGAGGAGGCGAACGACGCCGCAGCTGAAGATGCTGGAGAGGATGAAGATGGCGCGATCGATCTGGAGCCAGAGTTTGAGGCTGTTGATGTCATGTCAAAGGTACCGGCCGACTTCAGCGAACGTCTCAACTCGTCAAAATGGAAGGACCGCAAGGAGGCTCTTGATGAGCTCTTCACCGCCGCCAATCAACCCGCTATCCAGGAAGGTCCCTTTGACGATGTTATGCGTGGTCTTGCAAAGAGCATGAAGGATGCCAACGTAGCTTGTGTCACTGTGGCTGCAAACTGTGTTGAAGTGCTCGCCAAGGGTTTGAAGAAGAGTTTCTCCAAATATCGTTCCACCATCATGTCGCCTATGCTCGAGCGTCTCAAGGAAAAGAAGCAGTCCGTTACTGACGCTCTTGCTGCTGCTTGCGACGCCGTCGTCTCAGCTACTGGTTTGACCGATAATCTGGAGGAGATGCTCGAAGCTTTCAAGCACAAGACTCCTCAAGTCAAGCTCGAGTCTGCCCGTGTGCTTGTACGCTGCTTGAAGAACCTCAGAGAGGTGCCACCACCTACTGAGCTCAAATCCATGGCTGATGCAGCCAAAACCCTGCTAGCAGACTCTCAAGCACCGCCTAGAGAAGCAGCGGCTGAAATCCTTGGAACTTTGTGGAAGATTATGACTGATCGCAACATGCTCCCTCATCTCGAAGGAATTGACGACATCAAGAAGAACAAGATCAAGGAGTACTGTGATAATGCAGAAGTCAAGGTCAAGTGGAAGCCCAAGGCGGCCCCTCCACCTAAAGCTGCTGCACCTCCCGCAAAGAAGCCTGCTCCTGGAAGACGTCCTGCGCCAGCTGTGAAGAAGGCTGCACCTGCGCCAGTCAGACCTGCTACACCAGAGGAGCCTCCAGCTGCTGCGCCGCTAGCCGCTCGCCCAACTAGCAGACCCGGAGTGAAGCCAGGCCTTAAGTCAGGACTTGCCGCACCTGGATCAAAGATGAGAAAGCCTGGTTTGGCCCCGCCAGCCGCTTCACCTCGAAGAGTACCTTCTGAAGATGTCGAGATGTTAGACGAACCGCCAACACCCGCACCTGCACCTCGCTCAGGACTTGCAGCACCCCGTAGCCTTGCTGCCAGACCGCTAGGCAAGCCAGCAAACTCATTCAACCAGAGCACGACTGAACCTCCTCAAGAATACGCCCCACCTCCTCAGGCAGCTCCATCAGTGTTGAGCTTAGCGGAAAGATCGGAGCTCTCAGATCTGCGTTCAGAGGCCGAATATCTTCGTTCTCAAAATAGCGAATTGAGAACTGACAAGATGAGACTCAACAGCCAGATTCACGAACTTCAAAACCAGAACGCACAACTCATTGAGGACCACACTCGTGACGTGCTGGGTATCAAGGCTAAGGAGACACAGTTGGTTCGCGCGCGAAGTGATGCTGAAGCTGCCGAAGAACGTGCAGCCAGTCTCGCACGCGAAGTCGACAGACTGAAGCGTGAAGTGGCTCGTTTGGGACGTGTGGAACGCGATCACAGCCAAGATGTTGAGATGCACAACAGTGGCTACTCTGAGAGCAATGGCGCCAACGGAATGAGACACTACGATACACCCATGGGTGGTATGGGTCCGCCTCGACCTCAATTCGGACGTCCTGGCGGCGGCATGTCATATTCGTCATCCCAGTCACGAGAGCCCAGCGGCGAAAACAAGGAGCACATCAACGCAGCAGCAGGCATCGAACGCATCACAAGTCCTGTGAGTGGATTCAGAAGCTCTAATGCACCATCGATGGACCACTCAAGCAGCGGCCGCGCTAGTCCCGCGGTTTCTGGCTTGCAGCGCAGCACTAGTGGTAGCAGATCTGGTAGTACCATGGAGCAAAGTTATGGAGCAGGTCTGGGCGCAGAGTCTGGTATGCAACGATCCTCAGTGTCGAGGACACAAAGCGGTGAGGGCGCAACTGGTGGTGTCGAGAGCTGGCGACGTGCTGCTGAGGTGACACAAAACCTGAAGGCTAGAATTGAGATGATGAAGGTAAGTCCACATTTCCCACCACGATTCAAGGAGTAATATGCTAACTCTATCCCATAGGCAAAACAGCAAAGCCTCCAACGTAACCACTAAGCAAGCTGTACGGTCAAGAGCATGGAAAGGAGTATTGGCAGGAACAGCGCCTTCTTTTCTTCTTTCTTCTTTTTTGCTACTTTTTTTTCCTCATTCGATACCTACGACCTTTTCTTTTCGGGGCATTGGGCATCGGAGTTGTGTGTTGCTTACTTGGCTATGGTCCTGTGGACCGTACGCGATTTCGTATCTTTGCTGGGACCCCGTCCTTTTTGTTGGACGTCAGCATCAGGAGACGATGTTTTGGCTTCGCTTTGTTCAGGCCGTAGAATACGAAGTCGTCTTAGAGCAAATTGATGCTTTTCCTGCGGCCTTGGCCAATCTGTGTCCTGTACATTCGTTCGGCAACTTTCCCTCTCTTTGCGCCTTCAGCCTCTTCTACATCTTGCGAAGCTTACAACTTGACACAGTGACCATTCCGTTTTGTCCTCTTTCCATTGCCGATCACCCGAAAATGATTGTTGTCTCGGAGAAAAGAAGATAGTTCAAGGCAGCTCACAAGCCTTGTCGAGACGCCTCAGTGAGGCAGCTGAGGCTGAAAGCTTGGTAGGTTACTTTTGTATACGGTACTTGTCTACCTCCCCACACCATGTATCTTTTTTGTTTCCCGCCACATACAAACCTTCCAAAGTCTCCTTCCCTTCCACCCCCCATGTCCGAATGCCGTGTTCAGCTGGTCTTTGTCTGCCCATGTCATTTTTTCTGATAACGCCGAACTACACTCTTGGCTTCCTGTCACGAGTAAAGTGCTGACGAGAAAACTTGGTTCTCGGAGAATTCTTGTTCTTGAAGGAGGAGGGTAAGGTTTGGTCTTGGAAGGTACGAAGGGGGAAAGTTGTTTTAGACGTCGTGTCTTGGATTTTTGTTCGAAGAGATGAGTTTGAGCAAGGAGAGAGAGATAGTAGACATTGAGACTGGTTTCTCTGAACGAAATCTACCCATCCGCTTGAAGACAACACAATAAGGAAAAATACTCCTCACTTGGTCAAAACAACAAATCTTTCCTTTGCCTGTCCCACCCAACCAGAATATCACAAACATCTAACTTGGCAAAAACGGAAAATTCGTAAAACTCGCAATCTTCGTCTAAGTCATTCTACCACCCTTGGCGGTACAAGCAACAGCGGATGCAGAGTTAGTGGTGGTGCTTTGGATTCTCACCGTAGGCGAGGATGTTACGGTCTTGACGGTGGTGTAAAGAATGGTCATAGAAGTCTTTGTGGTGGTTTGTTGTGAGAGGGTCTTGGTTACGACGGGCAGAGTGGAAGTGCCGCTCTTGACGGTAACCACAGGAGGTGTGGAGGTTGAGGTCGAGGTTGCAATGGCTGGATAGGATATTAGCACAAGGCCTTCTTCGAGACCGGAAATAGAAAAGGAGAATAGCTTACTAGTTGTTGTCATGGTGGTTGCATCAGTTGTGGTAACCACAGTGGAGGTAGAGTAGAGAGACTAAAACACAAGAGATTAGCAAAAGATATCAGAAAGACGCAAGAGGGGATGCTTACAGTGTTAAGCTCGGTCACAGTAGTGGTAGCAGAATCAGGAGCACGTCTGTGCAAGTTCATCTTCTGGCGTGTTTCTCTTCTAGCCTTACGCTCGGCCAATCTGGCCTCACGTTCAAGCGGTACCGCGCGATCAAACAGACCACGGCGAACCTTTGGCGTAGCAGAAGCAGAAGCAGAAGTGGTAGATGCATCGGTCGACAGAGCTGCGGCAGTGACCAAGGTAGGAGTAATGGTACACTTTGGATCGGGCCAGCGCTGCGAAGGAGGCATCGAGCAATGGGCAGTCTTGGTAATGGTGCTGACGAAGGGGACAACAGTGTATGCTGTCTTTCTGAGCGTTGCAGTCTTTGTGACTTCAACTGTAGAAATTGGTGGTGTGATTGTCACAGTAGGAGACTTTTGATAGGCATGTTAGTCGAGAGTTGAATCAGAACGATATGGACAAGCTTACCTTTGTCACGGAAGCAACGGTGGTGGTCGATGCCGGCAGCGTGTAGATTGAGACAATAGTCGATGTACTAGTGACCATCACAACAGGTGTGGATGTCGAAGTGATGGTCACTGTGGGAGTGTATGTTATGGTTGAAGGAATGCCAACACTAAGATAGAAATCACGCTCGTACGCGATAGGGTCCCCATCTCCGTTGTTCGAGATGATCAAAAGGGACCAGTCACCAGTCCACATCTCGTTCTTGTCCATGGGACATGTTGACAGTTCAATGACATCGTCAGGTTGGAGAGGAGTGTCTGTGCATTGGTACTCGTTGCCATTCGGATCAACAAGGATGTTGTTAGCAGTATCGTTCTGACATCCTTCGAAGATCGAAGCAAAGGTGAAGGGGGCTGTGGAACTGATGTTTTGGAAGTAGTCTCCGTTGGTCTGGAAGTCTACACCATATGATTCACACACCTGTGCCACAGCACGAGAGCCCAGAAGAGCAGTAGCTAAGAAGCCACCAAGTCTGATCAGGGACATTCTGAAACGTATGACACGAGAAGAGAAGAAGCAGATAAACGAGAGATAGTTGGAACAATGGATAACAGCATACGGGGGCAGGCACGTCTATTAATCTAAAATCTCCATCTTCTGGAATATCCGAACAGAGACGCGGACTCACCGTACCATTGAAGGATGTAAGCCTGCGCTTGCACTGCTAGCCTGCTGAACGCCAACCATGAAACCCCGAAGATGCTCTCCGTATCACGCTATCGTCAATGGGCTGTTTCTCGGGAAAGGCATAGCAGATGCGGCCGGAACAGCAGCCTCTGCTCTGGGCATGGGTAAAGCAAGAACATCCGAGCGCGGTTCGCTAAGCGCGATATAGACAAGACTCCATATTGGTCTGTGGATTGGGCTGGACACGCCGCATTACCCGGATGCAGCACAATTCCCGAGGAATGGATACCAAAGAATCGACCAAGCTATCTTGATTCGTGTTGGAACGAGAACGACGCCACGGTAGGTTACGTGTGATTATTGGAAAGTGGCATCGCACGATTCCAATTGAGGACGAGAAGCTTCGGAAGGATATGAGCCTTGCGTAAGGAGCACAAGATAGGCACTGTTTACGGGTCCTGGCATCCGGACTGGCCAATGTTCTCTAGCCCAAGGAACCGACCACAAGAGCCAAGATCCATTTCTGGTATCGAACAGAACGCTTCATTTGCGGTGAACAGATCTTCAGGGTTTCCACATGTCGGTAGAATGCTCGATGACATGACAGTTCTCGCTCAGGCGACAGAAGCATGTTTCGTTGGCATTCAATATTGAATGCATCGTAGGGCTCGGAACGAGAAACGTTGATTTGACGTGTAGAAGCCGGACTTCATGCGGGGACTCCGACCTTGAGATGAAATCGAGACTGAAAGCGACGCGTTACACGGGCCCTTTTCTCGCGGTGCGGCTCAAGCAAGCAAAGGCTTGACATGTGGCCAAAATCGGATGGGTAACACAGCGCTGCACTTTTTCTGCACTGCTCGTGGGCAAGGCAAGGCAAAGGATCGAATCGAGGAAACAAAACCTACATCATATTGCCGGATTTGGAAGGGGAACACAAATAGACTTCGATCATACGAATCCCGTCGGAATAGGCGTTTGAAGGAATCTCGAAGAGATCATAGGTATCGAGAAGCAGAACATAGAAAAATCGCTCTACAATTTAGTGCATGGCGAGCATTGTTTATAGGGACGTTCAGCTACAAGCAGGTTTCAAAAGTGAGACTTGAACCGTCTTGAGCAGGATAGAGCAAGATCTGCACCTACAACAGATAGCCAAGAAGTGTGAATGTACTGTCTGCAGGATCGCGCCCGCCGTGTCTGCATCGTCAACATGAATCGGTCCAGATATAGACAGGCCGAAGCGGGCGGTTAGCCACATGTGTTCGGCGACCTGTGGCAAAGTGTCTGCAGCCCTAAAAGCAAATAGCCACGAGTTGTTCGTTATCTAGGCGACTCAATGTCCGATTGGCACAACTTGAACCGATCAATGTTTGTCGAAGAGCAGAGTGGTAGAGACTTGTCCACAGCGTGGTGTTGATGTGGAAAGCCATGCACGGTTTCCCGCATGGATGCCAGATGGATCCCCGCATGTTGGAGCTTGGGCCACTCAACACACTTCGGGTCGCAAAACATGCCACGATTCGTGACGACTTCTTCAACCTGAAAGGGAGAAGCTGATCAGTGCAAAGGATCAAGTCATGAGCCGAGAGCGGAGCTCAAGCAAGGAACCATCTTCCGTGTCAGACTGTACGAGCTATTGACGGCCTATGCGTTGAAGGATCGATGTGCCTTGCAAAGGTATGCTGACAAGTATCGGGCGATTTGGATGCTATTTACGGTAGGTACAAAGCAAAGAGCGATGTGGTGTAAGCAGGCTATTTCAGTATGCTCGTGTCACTACACAGATTAGACTTCGAGCCCTGCTATCTGCAGACATTCAGTAGACTGTAGATGCTGACTCGAGACGACCTTCTGTTTCACGACACTGATTCATGCACGGAATGCTTCTTCTAGAATCACGTTCTTCAAATGAATGCAAAAATCCAACAACAAGCAGATTTGAATTAGGGGTTGTAAATTTGGCATACCACGGCCTTGGTATGGAGTCCCTGCACGATGAGGAAGCGACGCCTCCCCCAAAGCCGAGTCCGATGCACGCATGCGCCTTCTATGTATGTACATTGAGTACGTGCTTACTTTGCACCATGCTAAAGCTTAGATTCAGCCAAAACTCTTCCCGCACGTCAGATCGGCCCTGACGTAAAAATGTCCTATTGGTCGGTTCGACTTCCGTCTTACCACACATCACAACCCATTGCTGCTTTAGGCCTGACTGTGAGGCCTGGATAAGGATCGACCTTGCACTTTTTGTTGCTGCATGCAAAGGTACATGACAGCAGGAAGGCTTCCGGAGACATATTCGCCTGCCAAGTTCTTTCGTTCAGCGAACCAGACCGCTTCGCTTCCAAGCCACTCTCTGCCCTGCCCAAACAGTACCTTCGCCAGCGGTATGGGACGCAAATTTCCCGAGACTTGCATTCCTTCTTGATCCTTGCTTAGGCCGTCTAGCATTACCGAGAATCGATCTAGCGCCATCGGGATGTACAATATGGCCCACGAGCTTTCTCACCGGATGAACTCGTGGTAGTGACTCGATGTGGAGAACGAGCTGAGATGCAATATTCAGTTCTGCTAGTCTCGTCATGATCAATCTTGGTCTAGAGCATTACAATGTGGAGGGCTTGAGGTGGGTGCATTGGGACGAGGCAATATATATACGAGCCTCGAACCAACTGGCAAAGTCGGACTATCCACTCATCACTCGTTGAATCTTCTCAAACTCCCTCAATCGTTCGCGTCTTTTTCTGTTCTCAGACACAGTGTCCAGGGTACTCACTGGTTGACCTGGATCTGACTTTCGACCATGCATTTCCAGAAGCTCACTGGCCTTTGCCTCTTGGCATTCGCCTCAGTCTCTTGGGCTGAAGCACTACCTCAAGACCATTATCTATGGGGAGCTGACCGTATGGGCAAGATGGTCCGTCGTGCAACTAGCTCCTCCACTAGCAGCAAGGCATCATCGACATCCAAAGCAGCTTCATCAGTATCATCAGCATCATCAAAGGCTGCGTCAAGCAGTGTTTCATCTTCCTCTTCCACTTCATTGGTCGCCGATGCTGCTTGCACTAACGGGCCAAACTCCCGCCAGTGTTGGAGCAGTGGCTTCAGTGTCAAGACAGACTTCGATCAGAAGCATCCTGTCACAGGGAACACCGTGACTTACAACCTTGATATCACAAACACAACTTGTAACCCGGACGGCAATGGTGCTATCGAGTGCTTCCTGATCAATGGCCAACAGCCTGGCCCTGTTATTACTGCTAATTGGGGTGACCAAGTCGTCATCAACGTCAAGAACTCTCTCACGAACAATGGCAGCAGTTTCCATTGGCACGGTGTCAGACAACTTAACAGCGTGGGCTCTGATGGTGTTGGCGGTTTGACGGAGTGTCCCATCCCTCCAGGCTCAAGCAGAACCTATTCATTCCTTGCAACTCAATTTGGTACTTCTTGGTACCACAGTCACTACTCATCTCAATACGGTATGGGTGTTACTGGCCCGATTGTCATCAACGGTCCCGCTACCTCTAACTACGACATTGATCTTGGTCCTCTCCCTATCAGCGATTGGTACTACGGTCTCGCAACCAGAGTCAACGATGTCACTCTCTACAACCTTCAGAACAATGCTCCCCCACCGAACGGTGACAACATCCTTGTCAATGGCAAGGGCATGAGTGCCTCTGGCGCCGGATCGTATGCCCAAATGACCCTTACCCCTGGCAAGAGACATCGCCTGCGTTTGATCAACACCTCTGTCGATAATGCCATCCGTGTCAAGCTTGATGGCCACAACCTCACTGTCATTGCTGCTGACTTCATTCCCACCAAGCCTTTGACTAACCAAGATTGGATCCTGCTTGCCGTTGGTCAACGCTACGATGTTATCTTCACTGCCAACCAGACTCCTGGCAACTACTTCTTCCGCGCCGAGGCAGCTACTGATTGTTACAGTGGCAACAACAAGGGCGGCCGTGCTCTGTTTACTTACTCCGGAGTCACAGCTGCCAACCCCACCGACAGCAATGAAACTCCTCCTACAAACGGCTGTACCGAGCTGGTGACTGTTCCTTACTGGACCCAGGCTGTTGACCAGTCTCAGTACGCCGCTCAAGTTCAGACCCTGAGCACTGGTGTTGCACCTGGTGTTACCACCAACGGCCAAAACTTTGCTCTTTGGCACTTGGACACAACCGCCATGATGGTCAACTGGGACAAGCCAACCCTTCAATACATCTTCGAGGGTAACACCAGCTATCCCGATCCCTATGCCGTTATCGAGGTGCCCACCGAGGGCCAATGGACCTACTGGCTCATTCAAATGGGCCAGCAGAACCCACCTCTGCCTCACCCAATCCATCTGCACGGGTCAGTCCAAGCAACTCCACGTTTCACTTAGATTTATACTGATTCTTTTTCTCTAGCCACGATTTCTTCGTCCTTGGCTCAGGCGCTGGTGTCTTCAGTGCTAGCAGCGCCACCTTGAACTTCGCCAACCCTCCCCGTCGCGACACCACCATTCTCCCTGGTCTGGGTTGGGTCTTGATCGCCTTCCCAGCAAACAACCCTGGAGTCTGGCTCATGCACTGCCACATTGCATGGCACATCTCTGAAGGTCTTGGCGTTCAATTCATCGAGTCCAAGAGCACAATCAATATGCCTGACAAAGCCACCTTCAACTCTCAGTGTGATGACTGGAGAAGCTACTCCAAGAGCATGGCCTACCCCCAAATCGACAGTGGTCTTTGATAGTTGTTCTTACCTTTTTTCTGTCATTTCTTTGGGAGTGGAAAATCGAGCGTAAGGGAGATCTAGGAGGTCCGGGCTAATGTTTTGGGCCCAATGGGTTAGGTTTCATGTTGTATGGGCTTCTTTACAATCATTTGCTATGCTTAGGAGTTCTTTTTCTTTGACTGTCTTTGGATCTTCTGTGGTATCGAACCAATGCATTGTTTTGTCTTTCGAAGATGCTGTCTCTCCTCTGGCAGCAAGCATTTTTTTTCTTGTCTCGCTGCATAACAAGTATAAGAGGTATTTGTGAAATTCTTCAAAGTCGAAGCAGTAGATGATTTTGGTGAACAAGGCGGGTGGTCCAAGCTCCATCTCCATCTCCGCCATCGAGTCCCCGCATGACATCAAGGTAAAATGTAGTCACAGTGACTACATCGTCCATGCAGGTGCAATAAGGCCAAACGATAGAATATATCAACATAGCCATTTCCTGCCTTCCTATTCTCTTTAGCAAACACATCAAATGCGTCCTTTTACACCTCGTTACATTCAACAAACTGCAAATATCCTCAGCAGACCAGCAACGCTACAATTCGCAAGAACTCAGCCTTTGAACCAGACACAAACCGCAGCCATGTCTTCGGGTCTTAACATTGAAAACACCAACATCAAGACTGCTCCTGGAGTCACTCTTGAGGGTCAGGAGAAGACGTTGGTGGGAAGTGTTCTTGATCTCTTTGCTGGTCGTCCTAGTCTCGAGAAGCTGCAGCTTTGGAAGGATGAGGGTGTTTTCGAGGACCCCATCACCATTGCTGAAGGTCGCAAGCAGTACGAGGCACAATGGGTAAGTGGCAATCTCATCTATTTGTGTGATTGTGTGCTAACGTTTTTGTTCTGCAGTACGGTCTTCAATCAGCATTCAGCGAGATCGAGAGACTGGACCACGAGGTCACATCATCGGGCAACCCTATCAGCATGAACATGAAGACGCGCTACAAGGTCAAGGGTGTTGGTATGGAGCAGACCATTTCTTCAGTCGTCAACATCTTCCACGAGGGCGGCAAGATCACAAAGGTCCAAGACAAGTGGAACGGCAACCTTCCCGAGGGCGCGATTGCAAATGTGAGTCTCGTGCAACTGTTGAGTCCATTCTGGTGGGCATATTACACTTGGGCTTGGGTATTCTACCTGTGGAGCTTTGTGTGGTGGACACGACCGTGGCTGGTGAGGACGGCTTCGCTTTGTCCAGCTCTGTGGTTTGCGCTGTCTTGTAAAGCTTTTGCTGACTCCTTCTCGCAGGCCTTCCGCAACCTCAACTCGGTCACAGTACCCAAGATCATCTCTGTCCCTAAGAACAAGGAGGAGGATAATGCAAGAGGCAACTAAGCCTTGATGAGTTATGGCCTGATACGACACATGTATAAATAGAGAAAGATTATTATTCTTGATCTTCTTGTTTCACCTCATGACCAGCAGTAGCGACTTTTAAGATCTCGTCTTCAAGACCCTCGACGTGAATGACTGGAATCCCAGCATCTTCAAGCTTACGTCTGCCCTTGTTCTCGCCTACAAACTTTTCAGGCTCATTGACACCTATGTAGACCTTTTGAATACCCTTATGCCCTGTACTTGAACTGCTTCTCGTCAACAGCACACGCTCTGTACATGGCAAATTACCACTAAGGCGGAAGTCACAAGGTTCCATGGTGGTGTAGAGAACCGTATCGTCAGGCATGATGGAGCCAACATGTTCTTCGGAGATGTTCATTGTGCGTGCTAGCTTTCCGAGACAGCATTGTTCGGCGTGGGTGTTGCCTTCAAGTTCGAGGGTGTAGCCTGTTGCGAGAATGGGTTCGGGCGATGAGGGCGAGACGAGCACGGCGCCGACGCAGAAGTTTGTGGGCTTTGGAGGTGATTTGCGGGCTTCGTCTAAGGCTAGGCGCATGTAGTCGAGATGGCTGAGTTGTGTCATTGTTGTTGTGTTTGATAGACAAGAGTGAAGGACAAGAGCAGTGAACGAGACTTGGTTTGCTTGGCTGCGGCGGTTGATTGATCTCGCGTGCTCAAAGCGCGTCATCCTGAATTCCACGCGTCTTCAGTGCTTCTATCCTTGTATTCAATCTACAACACCAACATCAAACATGCCGACAAACATTGATGATCTAGAGCTCGACGAGCCTCCCACCGTCGAGCCCTATGAGGTTCTCGGTGTTGAAAAAACTGCCACCCAAGACCAGATCAAGACTGCTTACCGCAAGGCCGCTCTCAAGTGGCATCCTGGTCAGTGACCTAGACTATCGTTCGGCGCACCACTCTGACTCGAACAAGATAAGGCGAAACCCGAAGACAAGGATGCCGCCCATACAAAATTCCAAGAAATCGCCCTCGCCTATGCCGTCCTCAGTGACGAACGCCGCCGCACTCGCTACGACAACACCGGCCGCACCGACGAGTCTCTCGACATAGACGACGATATTTTCAACTGGAACGACTTCTATCGCGCCCAATTCGCAAATGCCGTCACTGAAGACACCATCGTCTCCTTCACAAAGGACTACAAGGGCAGTGACGAAGAACGCGATGCCTTGCTCTCCGCCTACACAAAGTACAAGGGAGACATGAACAAGATCTACCAACAAATCATGGTCAGCAATCCTGCTGTTGACGAGGACCGTTTCCGAAACATCATCAACGAGGCCATTGAGAAAGAAGAGGTTGCTGCCCATCCCAAGTTTACTCGAGAATCCCAGAAAAGCATTGATCGTCGCATCGCAAAAGCAAACGAAGAAGCTGAAGAAGCAGAGGAACACGGCAAGAAGACTGCAAGCAAGAAAAAAGCCAACGCCAAGGGAGGAGACTCAGATCTATCATCTCTCGCTGCCATGATCCAACAACGCAACAAAGCCAGGAGCGAAGATTTCCTCGACAATCTGGCTGAGAAGTACGGTGCAGCTCCCAAGAAAAAGGGCAAGAAGAGAGCTCAATCACCAGATGAACCTCCCGAGGAAGCTTTTGAGAGGACCGCAAAGAGAAAGATCAAGAAATCTAAGGCATAGGCGGATATGGGATACCGATGGTTGCATACAAAGGCTGGGCTAGGACAGTGAACTTTGCACACATTTAAAGCGAGGCGTTGGTCAGGTCGATTTTCGAGCAAGGAGGCACAGATGTCTATACCTCTTTCTCAATACAATGACAGTGTTTATCAAATATTCATATCGCAGTTTCGCGTATTATTCGGTTGCGTGATGCTTTATTGACAGTAGACATTGCTTGTACTCTTGTAATACCACAACATCAACGTCCCGCACTGCATCTCAGCGAAATGGTTCGCGGCTCAGTGTGTGCGTGACAAAGATCTCGAGAAAGTAACATTCCCCTGTCCGCCTTTTATTCAAATACCGTTGACCCATTCACCAGGTACGTAAAATCGCCGAGTGGATGCGGTAGACGACTCGCGCGGATCCACGGCTTCCGGGAGCCAAACGGTGCCAAAATCTGATATGATCGTCCTCTTTCTTCAAAAGTCCGAGATCGACATGGAAACTTTGTCGTTCCTCAACACCGTCTGCGAACCGCTGACCTACGCGTTACTTGGTTCTCTGATTCGCATGGTGACACGGAGGACGGTTCTTTGGAAAGCTTTGGCAGTCTTGTTGTGTCTCGAAAGCGATGTCAGCCTTCAAGCTGCCGCGCAAGACTCGTTCGAAGACTCAAAGATACTGACTCAAAAACAGATCGGATGGAAAAAGGTAAAAGCACCAAAGATTACGGATCTCACTTCTTAAGGCTACGGCTATGTCTCGGTCCTTTGGTTGATCACTGCACTCTCACACTTCCTTCTCCACCAACCTCCACCTTGCTACCTTTGCCCATGACTACATGTGCGAGCTTTCGGTCATCGACTTTCTCAGCCCGTCGAGTCCAAACCGCAAACGTCAAGAAGAATGACAGATCACCTTGCTGTGCATGCGCTATGCAAGGGCACGATACTTTTCGCACGCCGAACAACTCTGTTTGTTTCTTCGTTGGCCTTAGACGGTAACGGGAATATGACGGCTTAGGATGCCGAATTTAGAACTCACTGGGAGTGGTTTTGTCTGCCGTGCAAGGTAGGAGTATAAGCTTTTATAAACCTTGGTCGCCCTTCTATGCATAATCCTGGTTTGTCCTAGTAGAAGCTGTGGGAGTGGGCCTGAGTAGGTTCGGACAAGATCTATGCTTCTCATGTGTCCATGACGATCAAGTGTGATGGATACTCCGAAGTGCTGTTTTCTTGGACAATCGATTCGTCTGGCGGTCACATAAGTAAGTCATCTAGCTGCTCTCGTGGTGGGTTTGTGCTCTTGTAGGTCCTGTCGTCTGTCTTTCATTTTCTCTCTTGGGTCGTTTGCATATCATACCTTTTGAATACTTGTCATACCCTTCGATCAATATGCGATCGACATTGCTCTTCGCTGCCGCCTCCCTTGGTTCAAGACTCGCTTCTGCACAGTGTGAAGTTTATGGCATTGACATTCAAAATGGAGGCACCTACTTCGAGAACAGCGAATTGACCGTTCCCTTCTCACTCGTCCAGGAGTTTTCTGGGTGCCAGAATGATACCGCCAATGTAAGATTCTAGATTTCATCAAGAACGAGCAAAGTCTAACCAGGCACTTTTTTGCAGAACATTCTTGTGGATCCCAATGGCGACCAATACGAATGCTCAGACACACCTTTAGTTCCTGCCTACACGCCAGAAACAGTAACCTGCAGCGACTGGCCTCAAGACAAGTTATATTCCGGCGACTGGAGTCTAGTTGTTATCTCCAACAACGGCGACGGCTCTCCCATAGCTTACCAAAGAGATTTCAGTCTCACAGTGGGAACACCAACAACAGTAACCATTACACCCACCGTCACAGCCACCGATGTCGAGACTAGTATCTCTAGCATCTTGTCCACGACCTCGAGTACCATTACCACAACGCTGGTACCTAGCACGACGACAACACAGGCTTGGATCGCTTTTGCAACGCCTACTTTGCTATCACATCCATTGCAAGTCCAAGTCGTCACCAAAGACTTGTTCACAGTAACCAAAACCCAATACGCACCGCAAGTTACCGCGACTACTGTGGAAGCCCAAGCCTCTTGTGCTTCTCCAACACCAAATTGGCATCCTGACCCTATTGCTACGATTCAAGTCACTATTCATATAAGCATCCAGCAGCGAATCAATTCTGCGAAATTCAAGCGCGGGGTGGAGCAAGATGCAGCTTCCAAGAAGGAGTTTGTAGAGCAAAGAGCAGAGAGGTTGAGAGGACTGCAAAAAAGAGGTCCTGATGCTAGTGTTGTTACCGTGACGGCGACAAACACGAATGACTTTGTGACGAGTACGACGACGCAGTGGACGACGGTTACGACCGAGGTTCCTACGACTGTGCTTTCTACAGTGTACGTTTCTTCTCCCCCCTCCCTCTCCTATTCTTTACCTTGTCACTAATGCAAACCTCAGCACCTCAACACCACCAGTGGTTACAGTGACACAAGCCCTTCTCAACTTTGCAGCGCTCCAGACTTTGATCCAAGATCTGGTTCAACCTACAATTACGCACTGGGATGTTGCACATGCGACTACGACGAAGAGTGTGCCGTGGACGGTTACGATTACTCAAACTACCACGCCTTCTGCCTGGGCCGCTGAGTGTACGAGTAGCGGCGGCAGGGTCTGGTAAAGAATTGAAAGGAAGAGGGTTTGGATTGCCTGAATGTTTTGTACGGAAATCACGGAAGAGAAACGGGGGAAAGCTATCTTTCATGATAAACCCTTTGCTTTGCTTGTTTTTACCTCTTGGGGGGTTTTGTTTCTTGTGTGTTAATTATAATTCTCATTTTTCTTTTTTTTCTGGTTCCCAGGACCTTTTTCTGCGTTTTGTGATGAGCAGCTTCATATGCATAGTTTGCATGATAGAGAAAAACAATGAAGGCAAAATCATTTTCAAATTACTAGTCTACATATTTCGTTCCGTTCATGCATATATTGATCGATTTCCTAGTGTTTGTTAAAACCTCATCAAAACAAAAGAGAAGAAAAACGGGCAATTGACCAATCTTTTCGTGTGAAGGCATCCTTCCTCGCTTCATTACAGGAGGCCGAAAACATCTACATGCCACTGCTGCTGCTACAAACAACATCAGGAGCGCACGAACTAACATAGCCAGTCGTGAACACAGTAGTAGTCAAGGTCTGCAACGCAGGACAAGTAGATGGACGAACAGTAATAGTAACTGCACTAGACGTCAGTAGAATCCCACCCTCAGAAATATCAGAAAACTTACTGGGGCCAGTGTAGTATGTCGACGTCGAAGTGGGAGGCATGACAGAACCTGAACGGCTGTCGGTAGCACCACTAGGTGTAGACGTAGATGCAACGTCAGAAGCTGCTGTGGAAGAGGAATAGGAAGCAGCGCCGGAAGAAGCTGCACTGGAAGCGAATGAAGAGGCTGCACTAGACGCTAACGAAGATGCAGCTGACGAAGCAGCAGACGAAGCGGCGAAAGAAGCCGCAGAAGATGCTGCAAAGGACGTTGCCATCGACGCTGCCGACGAAAAAGCCATAGAGTTGGCAGTCGAGAAGGCAGAAGAGAAAGCAGAAGAGTAAGCCGAAGAATAAGCAGAAGAGAACGCAGAGGAGAATCCACTTGAGTAGGCGGACGAGTATGCCGTGGACGAAGCAGTGGAGAATGGAGTACCGGACCAGGTGGAGTACCATGAAGTAGAGAACTCGGTATACACAGTGGAGACACTGACACTTATTGGGACGAGCGAGGTCGACACGACTGTCGAGCTGGCCGGACAGCTGACAACACCAGGAGAACACGAAGTGATGGTCGTGATATCAGTGCTGTAAATCGTGCTTGTCACCACGCCCACAGCGCTGGAACTTGTGGCAGAAGGCAGAGAGACTGTCGAAATCGTCACGCTGATAGGCACAAGCGAGCTTGAGACGACTGTCGAACTCGAGGAGGTGATAGTGCTGAGGGCTGTGCTATAGATTGTCGAAGTCACGACGCCCACAGCGCTAGAGCTTATGGAAGATGCAGCTGCTGACGACGAGTTCTCAGTGATCACACTTGTCCCAACAGGAATGAGTGTGGTAGAAATGACAGTCGAACTAGAGGAGATGACAGTGCTGAGGGCTGTGCTGTAAATTGTGCTTGTCACGAATGCTGGTGCAGATGAAGAGCTGGATACAGCGACCGCAGCGGAAGATGTGCTAGAGGCAGCCGCTGCCGTGGAAGATGTACTAGACGCAGCAGCAGTGCTGGACACAACGCTAACGCTGATCGGAATGAGTGTCGTGGAAACGACGGTGGATCTTGCAGGACAGCTCGTAACGTCTGGAGCACACGACGTGACGGTCGAAATGTCAGTGCTGTAGATAGTGATTGTCAATGGCCCATTGGGACTTGTAAGTCTGGTAGCTCTGTATCCAACAACACCAGGAGCGAATGGGGTGGTCGATGAAAGATCATTCGCGTTCTGCAAGCGACACTCTAGGGTGTTCTGAAGCCATGTAGCAGCCAAACATCCAGAAACCTGACTACAGGTGTTGACGCAGACGTACAAGTCTCGAACACTAGTGACTGTTGTGATGCTTGCGTTAACATAATCGCTCGTGCAATCAACGCTGTAGTTGTTTGGTGGGGTCTGAGCATCCTCATAGTATCCACCACAGTAGCTAGAGTAGTTGGCTGCAGTGGCGGTTGCGGTAGAAGAAGAAACCGTCACGCTGACAGGTACGAGCGAAGTCGAAACCACTGTCGAGCTTGCTGGACAACTCACAACATCTGGAGGGCAAGACGTCACAGTAGTTATATCAGTGCTGTAGATAGTCGAGGTGATAGCACCACCAGTTGAAGCACTGGATGAAGCATCCTGAGCAGGAGCACGCTCGGCGAAAAGAACTCCAGGTGCGTATCCCGTGCCAGAAATTTGTGCAAACATGTGACAAGTACTGTCAGTGGTATTATACGCAACAGCTCGGCAGTAGCTGACGCTATCGCACTGAAGTTGACACTGTTGGAATTGCGCTTGCTGTGCATCAGTCTGGCGCCTTTTCAAGCCCACATCAGCATCCTCCTCGGAGTACATGGCCATCATCATGTCGTCAAACATCATGAGTTCAGCATCACGCCTGGAATTGTCGGTATTGGCCATCACAATGACAGTCCCACCGCTAACGCCAGTATCGCATTGGTGTGAGTATGCCTTGCCATCAGCATCGGTACATGTGACATTGTTAACATTCGGGCATGCAGGCTGTGTACATGCAGGAGCCGGGGCTTCCTGGGACACATAGGTGGCGGTAGCAGAGTATGATGAACCAGGGTTGAATGTGCTGTAGGCCGAAGGAGTAATCGGAATTTGAGTGTTGGTTGATGAGGACGACAAACTGGACGTGGAGGAAAGGGCAGCAGTGATCGTTGTGAACGAGCCACTAATTCCTGAACTAGATGCAGATGAAGAACTTGTAGATGAGGCGGTGGTGGTAGGCAGGTTCGGCAAGCTGGACGGGCTAGAGGAGCTAGACAAACTAGACGAGCTAGATGAGCTAGACACGCCAGACGAGCTGGACAAGCCAACAGTGCTAGAGGTTGCCGTGGTGGGGCTTGGAACGACAGAGCTGGAGGATGTGCTTGACCCTGTAGACGAGCTAGGGCCGGTACTTGAGGACACCACTGAGGAGCTAGGGCCGGTACTTGAGGACACCACTGAGGATATGCTGGATGACTGGCTCGAGACAGACGAGCTTCTTGCCGAGGAAGTCGACGATGCAGAAGAGCTGCTTGACTGTGACATGTTAGAAGAGGACAAAGGACTTGAAAAGACACTACTTGCTGAAGATGATGCGGATGAGGAGGAAACAGACGACGAAGGGGAAGACAAAGACACAGACGAAGCGGACAAGGGGGAAGAGCTTGACTGAGACACGCTGAAAGGAGATGAGGAGCTAGATCCAGTAGTTGTGCTTGACGTCGCACTGCTCAGAGCGCTGCTGCTGGTCGTGGCGATGAAGCCACTGACACTGCTTGATGGTGTCGAAGATAGTGCCAGGCTCGGAGATGATGATGAAGAGCTGACAGATGACAAAGCTGGACTAGCACTAGAGGAAATGCTAGATACAGAGCTTGAAGCAACGCTTGATATTGAGCTCGCCGAGGACGATGCAATGCTAGACGTCGAGCTTGATGAACTAGTAGATGAAGAGCTCAAGCTTGATAAGCTCAAACTCGATAAAGACAAGGATGAACTCAGCCACGATGAAGATGAGGATGAGCTCAAACTCGATGAGGCTAAACTCGAGCTCGACGACAAAGAGCTAGAGATTGATGATAGCGATGATGAGCTCGAACTCGGAAGACTCATAACCGAAGAACTTGTCGTTGAGGATGAGGAACTCAGGCTTGACGTCAAAGCTGTAGAGCTCAGGCTTGTTGTCGAAGATGAAGAGCTTGTGCTTGACGTCGAAGAGGAAAGACTTGAGCTCGACGTCAAAAATGTAGAACTCAGGCTTGACGTCGAAGACGAAGAAATCGGGCTCGATGAAGAAGAGCTAGACGAGGAGCTCAAGCTCGACGAAAGAGAACTTGAACTTGACGACAAGGAGCTAGAGATCGAAGAACTTGACGTCGCAGATGTAGAACTCAAGCTTGACGTCGGAGATGGAGAACTCTGGCTTGAGGTCAAAGACGACGAACTCTGGCTTGACGACGAAGATGAGGAACTCAAACTTGACGACAACGAACTTGACGACAACGAACTTGACGACAACGAACTTGACGACAACGAACTTGACGACAACGAACTTGACGACAACGAACTTGACGACAACGAACTGGACGGAGAGCTCAGAGTCGATGAAAGTGAGCTCAAGCTTGACGATATGGAGCTCGAGCTTGAAGATAGAGAGCTTGAGCTTGAAGACAAGGAGCTCGAGGTCGAAGACAAGCTTGATGAGCTCGAAGTTAACAGACTTAGAGTCGAAGTTGACGTCGAAGAGACACTCGGGCTTGACGACAACGAGCTGGAAGAAGAACTCAGGCTCGATGAGCTCGAAGTTAAGAGATTTCCAGTCGACGTAGTCGATGTCGAAAACGAAGAAGTCAGGCTCGAACTCGATGTCGAAGATGTAGAACTTGTAGAACTTTGGCTCGGCGTTGGAGATACAAAACTCAGACTTGACGACAATGAGCTAGACGAGGAACTCAGGCTCGACGAAAGCGAGCTCAAGCTTGACGATATGGAACTTGAGCTTGAAGACAGAGAGCTAGAATTCGGAGACAAGCTTGACGAGCTCGAAGTTGAGAGACTTCCAGACGAGATAGTCGATGTCGAGGACGAAGGACTCAGACTCAGACTCGATGCCGAAGATGTGGAACTTTGGCTGGGCGTCGAAGATACAGAACTCAGACTTGACGACGAAGATGAGGAACTCAGACTTGACGAAAGAGAGCTCAAGCTTGACGATATGGAGCTTAAACTTGAAGACAAGCTTGATGAGCTCGAAGTTAACAGACTTAGAGTCAAAGTTGACGTCGAAGAGACACTCGGGCTTGACGATAATGAGCTAGACGAGGAACTCAGGCTTGACGAAAGCGAGCTCAAGCTTGACGACATGGAACTCGAGCTTGAAGACAGAGAGCTAGAGGTCGAGGACAGGCTTGATGAGCTCGAAGTTGAGAGACTTCCAGTCGAGGTAGGCGATGTCGATGTCGAAGACGAAAGACTCGGGCTTGCTGATGAAGATGTGGAACTTACACTTGACGATAATGAGCTAGACAGGCTTGACGAAAGAGAGCTTAAGCTTGACGATATGGAGCTTGAACTTGAAGACAGAGAGCTAGAGGTCGAGGATAGGCTTGATGAGCTTGAAGACAGGAAACTCGAACTCGAACTCGAACTCGAAGACGAGGAGCTGGAGCTTGATGACAGGCTTAATGAGCTCGAAGTCGAGGAACCCAGGCTCGAAGTAGTCGATGTCAAAAAGGACGAAGAACTCAGGCTAGAAGTAGACGGGCTAGAAGAAACCGATGTCGTAGTCTGTGTCGTCGCAGTCGTAAGGGTTGTTACGGTCGTCGCAGTCGTGAGAGTCGTCACGGTCGTCGCCGTGGTGGCAGTTGTAGGCGTTGTAGCTGTAGTGGGTGTAGCGAGGACGAAGCTTGATGATGACGATCCGCTTGAACTAGCGCTACTGGAAGACGAGCTTGAAACCGAGCTTGAAGACGAGCTAGAAGACGGACTTGAAGACGAGCTAGAAAGCGAGCTGGATGACGAGCTAGAAACAGAGCTTGAAGACGAGCTTGAAGTGGGTGTAGCGAGCACAGAACTTGATGATGACGACGACCCGCTTGAGCTAACGCTACTAGAAGACGAGCTAGAAAGCGAGCTGGATGACGAGCTAGAAACTGAACTTGAAGACGAGCTAGAAAACGAGCTTGAAGAGCTTGAAGACGAGCTTGAAGATGAACTGGAAGACGAACTGCTGCTAGATGACGAGCTGCTTTTTGATGATGAAGTGGACGGGGTGGTGGAAGAGGATGTAGACGTGATGCTTGATGATGTGGAGGAAACAGGGGAAGAAGTGGAGCTCACCGAACTGGAACTAGAAGAAGAACCCGAGCTGGAAGAAGGAGTCGAAGTTGACACACTAGTGGTTGTAGAGCTGACTGCGGTAGCTGTGGCTTGAAGAGCTCTGATCGCTCCTGTGACTCCATTTCCTGACTGGAATGCCATGTTTGGGTTATTGAGCTTGAGGTAGCAGTTACCATTGTAAGTGAAGCCACTGCATCCCACAACACCATCACAGATGTTAAAACAACCGTTGAAGTCGCTTGCGCTTCCATACAAAGTACCGCCTCCAGTTGTGTCATTACCGCAGCCAAGAGTGTAGATGTAGCCATTGACATCGACAACCCGCTGCATATTGTTGGCTGGGCAGGAGTAGGTCGCCTGAGATACTAGCGGGGCGAGTGACGAGCTTGTGCTTGTAGTGGAACCGGGGGCAATGACAACGGTGACCCCATTGCTAGTTGTAGTAATACCATTAGCTACAGTCACCAGGTTGCCTCTTACAGGATTCTGCGATGCTTGGACGTAATCACCGCCCAAAGATGTGTAGGGCGAATTTACACGTTTAATGTAGCAAGTACCGGAGTGGAAAGTGAAGGAAGTACAAGTTGCGTAATTGTCGCAAAGGGTAAAGCACGCCTGCCAAGTTGATGCAGCAAATTGGGTATTGGATCCACTGACGAGATCGTATCCGCACATGATGAAATAGTAAAGGCCGTTGGGCACACCAGTTCCGGTGTATGGATCATAGTAGTATGTTCCATTGCTTCCAGGACAACTCGGCGTAGTTGTATACACTGGGTATCCGTTCAGACTTGTACTGACACCATTAGCGGACACGGCCGATGCGGATGTAACTGGAGTTCCACTGCCAGATACAGTGGCAGCCGTCGTCAAGGAGCTGGCCGGGGTGATGGCTGGAGTGCTAGTGCTGATACTTGTAGAGATAGACGTGCTGATTGAGCTAGAGCTGGTTGTCGTCGTCACTGAGCTAGAGCTGGTGCTGGTGTATGTGGTCGTTGTGGTGGTTATGGTAAGTGTGGAAGGACAGGAGATGACCCTAGCACTTGTCGTCGAAGCATAGATAGACGAGAGATAATCCTGACTTGGACCGGCGGGATTGGTCCATCTGTAGAAGAAATCCAACGAGAATGCAGCCGCATCGATGTATCCACCGTTGCTTCCAAGGGAGTATGAATGCGGCCAGTTCGCGAGGCGGAATTGTGTGACGAGACCAAGAAGTCCAGCTAGAGATCCAAACTCCGCCTTAGTCACGTTGCCACCATTTGTTACAGTAGTGACGTTGTCAGTCGTCAAATTGTTGCGTGTAGCCCAATCTTGAGACCAGTGAGGGATGGCTGGCAGACAGTAACCTCTGCGACCACCTCCGAAGTACGGAATTACTCCATCATTATCTCCATGAAACTCGATAATCGGCACGCGACCCGCAGGGCTACACACGCTGTGAACGAGATCGTTTGTCGTGACAGTGTTTGGGAAACACACAGTATTCGAGTCGCCCGTCTGTGTATAGTAGGCTCCTGAGTGGGGTGCGAATGCATTGAACACTGTCGACATGACTGGATCGCAAGCCAACACGTTTACAAGTCCACCGCCGTTGCTGAAACCAGCAGCGAAGACACGACTTGTGTCAATGCAATACTGAGACGACATGTTGGCGACTAGGGTTCTGACGAAGTTCATATCGTTGATGGTTCCGTTACCAACATAACTTGGATCTCCCTGCCATGTAGTGTAACCACTCGAATCCTGGATTGCTGTAGGATAGACCACAATACCGTAGGGGTTGATCCTTGCAAGCGAGAATCCAGTCTCGCTTTCTAAGTTGGACCCAGTTTCGCCTCTTCCGTGGAAGGCCAAGATGAGAGGCGCCGCTTTATTAGGATCGTAGCCAGACGGCACATGTACGTTGTAGCTGTGCACATAACCGTCGGATCCATTGCCGTAGAAGACTGAGCTGGTACCTCCAGGACTGATTACAGAGTTCAAAGGCGTGCCACATCCGGAGCTCCTGTATTGACCATTTGCGACCGGTGCAGGATAGTTGGGAGGGGGGTAATAGATTGTGGCAGTGTTGCCACCTGATGGTCGGACGATGGTACTGAAGCTCTGCTTCAGATAACAGGCGGTACCAATGTACGTGACTGTGGTGCATACGCTTGATCCAGCGGCGCTGCAGTAGCTCATACAGGTGGCAAAGTCAGGAACATTGTTGACTGTCGTATACGAACCGGGCGAACTATCAGCTGAACAATAGACTTGGTATTGTTGGCCGCAAGAGTCTGTGTAGAATGTTGTGTTCGCAACGCCAGAACAAAGTCCATTAGTGCTCTGAGCCAAAACAAAAGAAGCGAGTGACAGAAAAAGCGTAGTCACCCGTAGAGACACCATCTTGGTGACAGATTGCAAGGAATAAGGCGATTGCGAGGACGAAGAAGCAAGCAGTGCGAGGTCAAAGTCATATCGACGAGTGATTGTTGACAGGGAGCTCAGGAATGTAGACAGTTGATACCTGCATTCCAGGACATACAAGAACCTCACTTACCTGCAGAGCCATCATGATGGCACAAGCAAGGAATGCTTCCCATTTCTCGGTCTAGTTCCATCGAGACCCTTCAACCAATCTCTCCGTCATTGAAGCTAGTCGAGCAATTTTGGAGCGCGAAGATCACTTTCGATAATGCTTTCAGACCTTCAAACGATGTGACCGTGAATTTCTGCTGGAGATAAATCTGTTGAAATCAAGGAGCCATTCAAGATGCCCAGCCTTGCAGTCCGAGGGCGGCTACGTGACAAACGAGAGATCTTGCAAGGCCTCATGTCATTTCAGAGACTCTAGTCTTTGGTAGTAGGCGCTGAACACAAAGCGTGACCGATTGCAAAGAATACAGAGGAAGGTCGAAACAGACGCGTGGGTGTGCGCGCGCCATGTTTCGCCTACCGATGTCGGGGACTTTTCTGCTGCTTGGACGACCCTGATTCGAGATCCCATTCACTTTTTCTGAGCACAAAGTGAATTTGATCCTGAGTATACAACTCACAGGCCTTTAATGAAAGATAGAGTGCATAAATCCAGAGAAAAAAAAGCGTTGGTCAAGGATGATAACGCTAGAGTATACGCAGCAAATTGTTGCGATGAATGGATTTCAAAACCATAGCACGTTTTGTTGTGACTCCACATCTGATGTGCAGAATGATCCTCATGCTATCAAACGGGAGGTAAAGACAAGTAGATATGTCATTAGAGATAATGATGGTTCGATGAAATCAGACCAGCTCAGATATCACGTTCTGAGTCCATGGTAGTAGCATTGATTGCCTGGATGCTGGGGTAAGAGATAGAAATCGAGAGGAATGTTTCGCTGATCTCTCCGCCATTTGACTGCTAGAGACATGCAGCACCACATTAGATATTTGAGGCTGTTACATAAACAAGCGGTGTCTTTAGAGATATCGACTAGAGCTTCGCCTTTTCCGCCCGACTCAGATAGAGTTTCACCTCAACACCCTGTACGCCCACAAGCATACGCCTCAAGATCTTGCCACTTGGTGACTTTGGCACTGCTGGTACAAAACACAACCCACCTGCCAACCACTTGTACCTCACGGTTTTGCTTTCCACCAGTTGCTTGATCTCTTGAGCCAGGGCTTGGAGCTCCGGTGTGACAGGACCATTTGGTGTACATTGAGCCAACAAGTGTTTTGAAGAAGGCACAACGTAAGCTCTAGGTAGTTCAGACGCAAGGCCGGCGTCAAAAAGACCACATACAGCAGCGTCAGCCACTGAAGGGCTACCGCAAAGGATGTTCTCGAGCTCAGAAGGTGACACTTGGAAACCCTTCACTTTCATGACATCCTTCAAGCGGTCGGTGATCCACAAATGGCCGTTGGTATCGACTTTGCCGACATCGCCAGTGTGGAACCAGCCTTCACTGTCGAGAGCTTCATCGGTTGCTGCCTTGTTGTTGAGGTAACAGGTCATGTTCGTTGGAGACCTGAACAATTTACTTAGCATCACAGCAATAGCGGAGATCGGAAACAATTTACCTTATCAGGATCTCGCCTTCGAGACCCTTCGCTACAACTTTCGTGGGATCATCGACAGACACGATCTTGAGCTCAATACCGAAACATGGTACACCAGTGTTACCAAGTTGTGGTTGGATGACCTCCCAAGTCTCTCCTACTTGGTTACACACAGACCCTGCTTCTGATAACCCATAGCCCTAGGGACTTTGTTAGCGCAAGCTTTTAGGCATACACTTTGTTGGACTCACAAGCTTGATCAATATGCCCAATCGTCGGTAGACCTGTTCGACGATTTCTGAAGGCAGAGGAGCACCTCCACTGACGGCGCCCTGGATGCTCGTCATATCGTACTCATCCAACATGGGCGATTTAGCAAGCAGCACAGCGACTGGAGGCGCCATGTGCAAGAAAGTGACGCGGTAGCGCTGTACGTGGCTGAGCATGAGCTTAGGATCGAACTTTGGCATGACGAAGATGGTAGCTCCAGCTGCAACCGAGAGAAGCAAGACGTTGCACAGTGCAAAGATGTGGTAGAATGGAGCAAAGCCTAGCCATCGTTGGTTTCCGTCAAATGCTTGGTTGATGTGCCATAGTGAGTGCACATTGCTGACAAGAGCCTGATGAGACAGAACGACACCCTTTGATTTGCCCGAGGTGCCAGATGACCAGAGGATGACTGCCGTTCTTTCTTTGTATTCGCTGGACTTGAATTGGACTGGAGCTTTAAGTGGTTTGGGCGCCAATAGTGCCTTCCAGTCTTGTGAGCGTTGATCTAACGTGGTGCCCTTGGAGTGCGAACAAGGAAGACCGTACTCGTCATGAGCAGGATCTACAACATAAACACGGCGCGTGTTGATAAGGTTGGCTTTGACTTTAGGACTACCGCTTTCGGTTATGGCTGCATTAAGGACCTGCAGGCCTTCCGGAGTGGTTACGACAACCTGAGGCTCAGAGGACTTGAGGATCCAGGCCAGTTCACCGGAAGTCAAGCCAGGGTTGGCCATAGTTACAGTCAAGCCTGAAGCCATTACACCGAAAAGTAATGGCGCAAAAGCTAAAGAGTTAGGCAGGTGCAGTAGGACAACAGGGGATATGACAGGTGTGTGGCCAGTTGATGAATGAGGCACAGCAGGGGAGGGCTGCAAGCCCAGAGCATGTAGTCCAGCTGCTATACGCAGAGAGTCGATTCGTACTCTATCCCAACTGACCTGAGCAGCTACATGATGTTGGTCAAAATATCAAAAAGGTAAGATTGTAAGACACGCACCAGTAAGAGGATCCACAAGCAGAGGCTTGTGAGGAGCTATGTTGGGAATGATATGGTTACGACTTTCAGTATCTGGAGCATGACTGGAGACTGGACCATTCTTTCGAAGTGGATTCGAGAAGATGAAGTCGAAGATGTTGGCTGTAGGAAGGGTTGGAGGTGGGGCACCGACGTAGGACAATTCGAGATCAGACATGATTGCAGACAACAAAGCAAGAAGCAACGGATCGAAGGATATCAATAGTAAGAGCTACCTAGCTGGTCTACATTATATGTCGAGATATATCAGGAAGGAGGTGATGACCTCGGGGGACGGCGTGATAACCGGGGTAAATGTGGAGCGTTGCCGCTCACCGCCCTAGCCCAACCTAGCCTGAATAGGGAAGGCGCAGGGTGCTGATGGGCAGGAACGCGAAACAGCAGGGGGAAATTATTACTGAGGTCGAGAGACTCGTACGAGCAATCTCAACCAATTGAAGACTTACTGTTGCTTCCTTTGAGACTTGGTTTTTCCTATCGTATCACACATCATGGCAGACAACAAGATATACCGCGCGAGCACTTTTGCTCCTGTCAACATCGCCGTCATCAAGTGAGTCTGGCTCGTTGACAAGCCAAGCAGCTGGCTAAATAGCTAACCACTATCAAAGATACTGGGGCAAGCGCGATGCCAAACTCAACCTTCCTACCAACAGCTCTTTGTCCGTGACACTGTCGCAAGACGACCTTCGCACCCACACAACTGCCTCGTGCAGCAGCCAATACCCCAAGGACTCGCTCACCCTCAACGGTTCAGACCAGGACATTTCGGGTGCCCGTACACAAGCCTGTCTCGCTGAGTTGCGTACTCTTCGTCGCCAACTTGAAGAGTCAGATTCGTCGCTTCCCAAGCTCTCCTCGCTACCTCTCAAGATTGTCTCGCGCAACAACTTCCCTACTGCCGCTGGTCTCGCCTCGTCCGCCGCAGGTTTCGCTGCATTCGTTCGTGCCATTGCCAACCTCTATGAGTTGAAGTCGACACCAACAGAGTTGAGTCGCATCGCAAGACAGGGCTCTGGTTCAGCATGCCGCAGTTTGTTCGGTGGTTACGTCGCATGGCAGATGGGTGACAAGAAGGATGGAAGCGACAGTGTCGCTGTTGAGGTCGCCCCTGCAGAACACTGGTCAGACATGCGTGCCGTCATTCTCGTTGCATCTGCCGAGAAGAAGGACGTCAGCAGCACTTCTGGTATGCAGCAAACCGTTGCAACCTCGACTCTTTTCGCCGAGCGCATCACAAACACCGTGCCCCGCCGCATGCAAGAGATGGAGAAGGCCATTGCCGACAAGGACTTTGCCGCTTTCGCCAGCCTCACCATGAAGGACAGCAACTCGTTCCACGCTACTTGCCTCGACACCGAGCCCCCAATCTTCTACATGAACGATACTTCTCGTGCTGCCATTCGCATGGTCGACATGATCAACTCCGAAGCTGGAAAAACTATCGCTGCATACACTTTCGACGCTGGCCCGAACGCTGTCGTCTACTACCAGGCTCACGACGAGGCCAAGGTTGCTGGTGTCTTCAAGTCCGTTCTGGGTAACAAGGAGGGCTGGGAGGGTGCTCGCGGCAAAGCTGTCGAGACTGCAAACGCTCCCAAGGACTCACAAATAGCTGCCGACCGCCTGAAAGAAGGTATCAGCAGAGTCATCCTTACCTCTGTTGGCCCTGGCCCCATCAAGACCGATGAGAGCTTGATTGATGAGAACGGCAACACCATCTAAGATGCCATATTCTTTTACTTCTCCGTTGTCATTTGATAGACATAATCTTTATAATCACGGACTGCCACAAGAGATGCCAGATCGTAATCGAAATGCAAGAGATACCATTGATTCGAGCTAAGAGCTGTTCCTGGCTTGTAAGGATATCAATTAAGAACTCTTCAAGTGAGCATAAACAGTGATGTCTTGCTTGAATATCCAGAAGGCTATCAAGGGCGTGGGTAAATGGTAAGGAGGCCCGTCCGCGGGGAGCTTCGCGACCAACATCTATTGCACTACTGCACCATCTGCCAGCCGCGTGTGGACGTGCCTAAATCCTTCGGGCAATCAAATATATCATGGTTTTCGTGATACAGTTTCCTTGTCTATTCTCATCATCAACACCATCGCTCCTCCATCTTTTTTACACAAATAAGCAATGTCTTCGTTAGACGATTTACACCCTCAAGCCTCGACACGCACCACCACAAAGCCACAACGAACCCTCGCTTGCACATCCTGCCAAAACCGCAAAGTAAAATGCGATAGGAAATTTCCTTGCAGCAGTTGTATTAAGAGTAACGTGCAATGTATCCCTGTAGCTGCTCCACGACAACGTCGACGTCGGTTTCCTGAAGCCGAGTTGTTGGCACGGGTTAGATACCTAGAAGATTTGCTGAGGCAACATGATGTAGAGTTCGAGCCCTTGCACAGGAATGCTACTGAAAACATCGAGAACAAGAGTGGCAGTGAAGGAAAAAGAAAAGGCAGTCCGGAAATCAAGACGGAGACGACATTCGAGGCTAAGTATCTACATCTACTGTCCAGAATTACTGAGTCTAATTTTACTGATGTACTTTCGAAGAAATCTGTGGCAAGCTATGAATTTAAAAGTGCGACCTCATCGCCATCTCTCCTTGATGGAAGAAGTTCTAATAACCACCGCCCAGTCTCCTTCAAACAATCACTCAGACGAAGACCAAGCCGACAGCGATAGTGAAAACGAGACCAACGACCTCCGCGACGCGGCTGGAAAGAAAACCTGGGACCAAATGTACAAGAACACTACCAATTTCCTGTTCTTCGGATCCCTAATTCCAGATCTGGATTTTACGGCTTTACATCCTTCTGATCATGTTCAAGTCTTCAGACTCTGGCAGGTGTATCTCGAGAACGTGGATCCGTTGTTAAAAGTTACGCATACGCCTACTTTGCAAGTCAGATTGATTGATGCCACAGGGAACCTCGGCAATGTTGAGTCTAGACTGGAAGCATTGATGTTTGGGATTTATTGTGTGGCTGTCATGAGCTTGACGGATATGGAGTGTTTGGATATGTTTGCAGCTGGCAGAGATGGTCTCTTGCAGAGATATCGGTTTGGGTGTCAACAAGCATTACTCAAGTGTGGGTTTCTTCAAACTGATGATCGAGACTGTCTAACAGCTTTGTTCCTATACCTTGTATGTCAGACTGCTGCTTTACCCATGCGATTAGTTGCTGACGTGTCCAGGTTGCTGTGAGACCAGATACCGATCCTCGATCTCTATCGTCGTTGCTAGGTCTGACTGTGCGAATTGCACAACGTATGGGCCTAGACAATGAATCAGCCAATACAAGATGTGGTCCACTAGAGGGTGAGATGCGTCGCAGGATATGGTGGGCTCTTCTCCTGTTTGACAATCGAGTCTGCGAGATGGGCGACTACAGAGCAGTCACTTTGACTCCATCATGGAACTGCAAGATCCCTGCAAATCTCAACGACTTCGACCTCCAAGCAGGAATGAAAACACTGCCTCAAAGTCACGACAGGCCTACAGAATCAACTTTGGCGGTCTTGCGCTACGCAGTGGCAGATCTCGTTCGCCACAGCTCTTTCTTCCTCGACTTTACAAACCCAGCTTTAAAGGCTCTTGCCAAACCCAACGATCATGGCGGTGATCTCGTAAGCCTTCAGCAGAAGATCGAGGACGATTACCTCCGGCACCTGAATCCAGAAAATCCACACCACTTCGTGACACTCTGGCTTATACGCGGCCACATAGCCCGCTACCTTCTTTTCCAGCACTTTTCCATTCCACCATACAAGCAAACGGATCAAGAACGCGACGAATCTATCGCACACGCACTAAAAATGCTCGACTGCCACACCAGAATAATGACCAACCCGTCCACCAAACGACATACCTGGTTTTTATATTTCCACTTCCCGTTCCCTGCTTACATCCACATTCTGCAATATTTAAGACGCGAACCTTTGGCCAAACATGCAGAGATCTGTTGGAAGAACATGAGCGACAGTGCGAAAGTCAGATTTGCAGATCCAGAGCAGACTGCATATCCATTTTACAAGACGCCGTTGTTCAAAACATTCACGAAGATTGTTGTCAAGGCTTGGGAAGCCAGAGTTGCTGCTCTACAAAGGCAGGGTAAGGCTGATGAGAAAGTGCCTTATATTGTCGAAGAGTTCAAGAGGAGGGTACAAGTATCGGAGTCTTCTCTCTCAGATGTCGCAAGCTGCGTTCCAGCCATGTCTTCTGGGTTTGAGTCTGATGAGTCGATATTGCCCTTTCCGATGATGAGTTTCGGAGGTCCTTTCGACGATCTCAATAGTCATGGTGGTCTAGAGCTAGGAGATGGGCTCGCTGGTGACAGTGTGATGGATGTCGATATGAGTGCTCTTGATCTGACAGCGACAGACTGGCCTCTGTTGAACATGCCTAGGTCCTGAAGCCCGAATAAAGGAAGAGACAGCAGCCAGGGAGACGGTATTGAGCAAGGCTTGGTAGTATAAGGACGGAGAAGGAAGACACAGATCGATGCTCGACCAGAAGAATCAATCATGGTCCTGGACACGCGCCGTCAGCATTGCCATCGTCATAATCGCGGGCCATGACCAATACTCACCTGACCTCTCTCGCATCTGTGCACCTCCACCAACAATACACCCTCCATCACAAACGGTCGTTCACACCATCAGGCAAGGAAACCCGCTTCTCCACGATGCACCCCGTGACTCACGACGTAGAAGCAGACTTGAATTGAGCACAATGGCATCAACCAGAGGGATGCTAAGACGAAGGTCTTTCGGGTCTCTCGATCCCCTTGAGGAAGGTAGAGTAAAGCGGTGTGTCGCGTGGCTGCACTGTCGCTGAAGGCTTCGCAGTTGTTTGAGATGATGGCGGATGTATCGTTGATGATGGACGATGAAAATGAATGAAAGTTTGCGAGAAGTTGATTTCTTTTTGGTTCAGCGTCGAGGAAGTAGCGATGTGTGCGCGTTGCCATGAAGCATAAGGGAAGGAAGCAGCGAAATGCGCCTTCCCTTCGTTTCGACTCACGAAGACGATCGCGACTACCTGCACTGGGACGCGATAGACAAACCGCACGCAATCTACACATTGTCTTTTCAAGTCATTTATACACAGAAGTTCACCAATTGCACATGCACAACACTCATCTAGCGCTAGCCAAAGTATATACTACTAGCTAGGCTTGCAGATCAGTGATTATTGCATAAGCATGCAGAACCACATAAACATCATCACCGATGACCATCTCGCGTAACTTGTTAACAGCATACTATCCTGCCAGCGCTTAAAATCCGCGACCTTGGTGGACATTCTAATGCAATGTTGGGAGAGACATTGGTTATTCGGCGAAAAAGACGAAGAAGATAGTCATTGGCTTTATCAAAGGAGATGCATAATGTTGTGTGAAAAATGGCACTTGGGATTAGTTCGCAGAGCACATCGTCGACGGTAGGGTTGAACGAGTTACAAAATGCAATGCGCTTGTTGGGAGAACCAGAAGAAAGCGATTTGGTGCTTGTCAAAGATGTTGTACAATCTTTGTATTTTCTTGGCTTGACGATTGAGGGTTGAGGCTGAAGGGTCGATTAGTCGATGCTATGGAGTGAACTACGGCGATCAATCAAGTTCAATACACAGTATTGCCTAAGTTGCAGTGTCATTGCGAGGAGGTTCGGCCAGACGAGCGATCAAGAGCAGCTGAGAGTCTCTTTTGTTCCACCTCGGCAAGCTGATCAACATCAAGCCTCTTGATACCATCTCCCAGCCTCTCGATCTCATGGTCCAGGTGTTCCAACCTTTTCTTGACTTTACTGTCTGCTAGGTGTACAGTGGAGTGAGGCGAATAGGCATACAATGCTCCCAGTAAAGTCTGCAAATCTCCATCTGCGGTGTTGATCGATTCAGCCACCTGAGCAGCTATAGAAGACTCTGTAGACTTTTGCAAATCTTGTAGACGTGATTGACGTTCGAGTACAGCTGAATGCAAGGCTTGAGACACGGACTCAGAATCTGTTCCAGACTCGGTGGGTATACGTATACTGTGGTATCCAAGCATCTCCAGGGCTGGGTCTTTGGCTCCTTGGCGGTGTAGGATGGGATTCATTGTCTTTTGGGGCGAGGGACCTCGGGTTGATGGTTTTCTGTCGAGTCTAGAGGGTGGCTGTGTTGGTGGAGGAAGTGTCTCAGCCAATACGTCTGAAACCTGGCTGATTGCAGTTGTGTAGGCTAAGGCGTCTTGAGTACACAAAGCCAAATCTTCAGTCTTGCGGGCGAGTTCGTCTAGTGTCCTTACAACCTGGGTCGCTGTGTCAGCTGATGTGGCTCAGATCAGGTGTTGATATTGATACATACATATTCGAACCAATTTTGCTGTTCGAGCTGAGCCTGTGCGTCGGATAGTTTCAGAGCATTGATGATGGGTGCTCGGTACCGCCTGCTGATGGTCATGTCGAGTACCGAGTCCACTTCTGTAATCAAACTTTCGAGCTCTTCGGCTAACGCATATGCTTCTTGAGCTGCGTGTGCGCTGTCCTGATGTCCGAAATCATCAGTCTCATCAGCCAGGCTCTCAAGAGCCCCAAGATAAGTAACATTCGTTCGATCCTTGATAATTTTGCTTTCCAGCTTCACCAAAGCACGCGACAAAGCGTTGAAATCAGGGAGTTGCTTCTCACTCGACTCAAGCGGCGCGAGTTTGAACATGACTTTCTGCAATCCATCAAGCAAGCGATCGTCTTTCTCTAGTTGACGCTGGGAGGAAGTCCTGAGTAAATTGAGACTCGAGTCTGCGTGTCGTTTGGTTACATTGACCCGCTGTTGAATAGAATCGGTGAGCTCTTTTGTTTCCAGATCCAGCTGTGCTTTTGCTCTTGCTTGACTTGAACGCTTCTCGTCGCTGTCAGAGACGGTCGATGAAGGCTGTCTGTTGAGATGCTGCAATTTTTGAAAAGCATCTCGTTGGGCTTCCAGTATTGCTGTTTGCTTCTCTATAGCGGCAGTGCTGGCTTCTAGAGAATCGATGGCAGATTCAAAATCAGGTTCTTGCATAGGACGTGGCATTCCATGGGAAGATGGGATTTTGTAGTTGGATTGAGAAATGTATGCATGCCTTCAATTCATCAGTCTCATTCTACCGCTGTATACCAAAGCACACACATGTCAAGTTCTTCTGGGCTGAGAAGGGTTGAACTTGTTAGATATTCATGGACCCAGGAGATCATAGAATCGCTGGTTTGAGGAGATTCGAACAACCATGCCAGATCATCATAGCCTAGACCAATGTCACGCTCAGCCAAAACGGCAAGCAAACGATTCAGGGAAGCAGCCGAGTCCATGATTTATGCTCGAGGATGGTATAGTGGCATGTCGGTGTAAGAGGCCGCGAGAGAAACAACAAACACGGGCCGAGGCAGCCGAACAAGCCCCACCATTTCGTCGTGCCAAGCCGAAGCTCTCGTGCCTTCAGATTCGAGCGTCATTTGAGCAAGCAAGAAGAAATCGTTCAAGTCATACAAGCACAATGCAGTCGCTACGAGTTTTACCAAGGCTACCGGCCTCTCGTATTGGCCTGCGATCAGTACAGTCATGCATCCAGCTTCGCACAGCGACAAGCTCATCCACAACCTCAGCCTCAGGACCAACACGAAGAAGCGTCACCATCACTAACGACACCGGTCGTGTGCCATGGTCTGAATTATCCTGGCGCGAAAGAGGTGCCCGCACAACACAACAATCCGCCAACCTTGCCGTCATTCTATTAGGTCTTGCCATGACTGGTGGCGTTGCGACTGTTCTCTACCTCGAAGTTTTCAGCAGCGACAGCAAGACTGCCGTTTACAATCGCGCCTTTGAACGAGTACGAACCGATCCCAAGTGCATCGAGGTGCTGGCAGGAAGGGGCAAGGGAGGAGAGATCGAGGCTTGGGGAGAGAATAGAGTGCGCAACAGTCGCTTTGCAAGAGACACCATTGCGTAAGGTCCACGACCTTCGGTGAAGCCGAACCACCTGACTGACATGCGCCAACAGGTCCAAATCTGAAACTGATGGTATCGGAACGACACACATGAGAATGCACTTCCACGTCGGTGGTAGCCTAGCTACAGGCACTGTCAACGTGCACATGACGAAACGCCGCGATGAAAGCGATTTCAAGTATCATCACCTAGCTCTCGACGTTCCCGGCCACGAGCGGATTTGGCTTGAGAATGCAGAAGCTTGGAAACTTGACAAGAGGAGCTCGGGCAAGATGTTCGGCGTACGCTGGTGGTGAGATGATGACGCTTGTCGCTCGCTCGATTTGGCCTCGTCCATCGTCGTCTGCAATAGTCTGGTTGTCAAGACTACATGGAGCTGAAGTGGATATCCGATATGCATCGCAGCGAGTTCCTCCGCCGATCGCAGCGTGAAGAGGAGGATGGTCATCGAGCCGCTTAGCCTTTGCGCATGCACGAGATCGAGACGATACTCCTCCCAGATATATCTCTTGGCGAGCGGTATGCAATACACCAGGATAACGCACCCTGTCGGCGTTCTTGACCGGTCAGGGACCGCCGCAAATAAGACAGCCACCTACTGTGTGGTTGCGAAGTAGGTCAATGCACCCGATTACTGCGTCGATACACTCACGCAAGTGGCGTGCGATATCAATGACATCTCTCCGACTTGATGCGAGTAACCGGATGGCTTGTCAAAGGCGAGCTGAAAGAAGGATTTAGTCTGTGGACCGGAACGCGGGAGTGCGATATGCTAAAAAGCCATTGGCTTGACTGCAGAACGCGTACGTGCTTCGGGGAGCAGGAGCCTCCTTCATCACGACTCAGACAAAAGATGTATGTCCGTCCGTTTTTCGTATGCGCCATACAAGAGGTCTGGCGCTTCTGGGAAGGAGGGGTTGTGGTGAATGTATCTGCTATACCATGTTACCTACACCGTCTATATCGACGATGAAAATCAGCTCATGTATTCATGTACCTCCATCGGATACAGTATAACGCAAGTCTCTAGGAAGAATAGGAATGTTGCATTGTACATCAAAAGTCAGTTGTCGTACTCCACTCCGAGTCGAGAGGAGAAGCTGCGAGCGAGCCCTATCTATCGCTTCGCTCCTTCTCCTATTGTAACTCTATTCGTCCAAAGTACCGAGGTGGTAGCCCACACGGTTCGCATTGCTTGCCTTTGTTCGTCTCCATGCACAACACAAACCTAGAAACCTCAAAAAACTCAACTTTGAATCCAGTTTAGGAGTATCTCGGTTGATGCAAAGTCCTAGAATGGGGTTTGAAGACGAACGACCCTCTCATCGCTTGCCGCAAAAGCTTGCTGTCAACCATCGATGCTTGCCATGCAGAGCAAAAAGTCAAAATATCAACAAGTCTCCTGGATCGTCTTTTGACTTCCTTCTGGAAGAAAAGAGCCTCCGCCGCGTGTAGTGTATGTACAGTACTTCGCCAAAAAGCGCTGTGCTTTTTGGACGGAAGGACGGCGCTCCGAGCAATGGACATTGGAGCACTCGCTCCGTTTCATGGGTAAGCAACTTGCATGTCTCCAGTCAAGACACTGCCTTCTTGCCGATCGAGCATTCTTGTTATACAAGGAGGTTAAGCATCTTGCATGTGAAGGCAGAGCCTTTCGACTCACGTGCAATCGCGAACCGTCCACTCTGCCCTTTTGCATGCAACCTTGCGCCAGAAAACGTGACTTCTTTCCCTGAACGTGTTTGCCGCATAAGGTTGAGCATATTCGCTTAAAAACCACAGCCTTATTCTCCTTCCTTTGATCCATCCAACCAGTGAATCTCAAAAGCAAAATCGATATCTTATCGGTATCCCGTAATTAAGCCTCTTGCTCGCTTGAAGTCCAAAACTCCTGTTGAGCAGCCAAGACAAAAGGGAGTTGTAAGTCGACGGTTTATACAGTTTATACAGTTACACGTTTTGCCGTTTCGTGTTTATTCTCCTTGTGTGAGGGGGAAAAAGCCGTTTGCTTTGTTTTGATCCCTGGAGGACAGCGAAGCTGTTTATGTTTGTTTTGTTTATCGCAATAAATAATCAAACCGATGGATAACCAGTTGATAGAGGAAATTGCAGCAAAGAGAATGCGAAAGAAGAATTGAGAAGATTTGGTTTTGGCAAGATGAATTGTGCTTTGATGTGTTATGCTATTCACTGTAGTCCCTTCCAATCATGTCCTCCCAAGTTAAAAAAGAAAAGCCAAAGACATGGCGAATCTAGTTTCGTACATAAGAAAAACAAAAGTGAATGGATGGATTGCATGATCATTTTCGGAAAAATGTTGTTCATCAGAAGCGGTACCTCAGAATGCATCTTTCAGCATGAGGATTTTGAATTCGTCGCATGATTCCTCGTGAACGAATGGCGACTCGAAAGTGCCTCGGCGTGCCGTCGAGCTTTGGTTTTGCTCGGTGGCTGTGACTGTTCATTGCCTTCATAATTCGTAGAGGTCATGTCGAAAAGATGGCTTTTGGAAAAGCCTGATGGTGGAAAAGGTGATTCATGCTTTGCTCTGGCGAAAGACAGTTGGCAAAGCTTCTCAGTCGTTGTTCAAGGCGAGCCCAAGAAACCAGAGTGAGCGCAGTTCTCGCAAGCATCGCCACTGGAGCTGCCAGAAAGGACGTAGCCGTTGCAGTTGCGGGCGTAGAAGTAGTAGCAGCGGTTGAAGCTGATGTCGGGCATCATACCAGGAGTGGTGGGCATGGCAGGAATGTCCTCCTTGTCATCCTCAACAGTGCGGAAGAGAGTGCCCCAGCGGTGTTGGTTGCTGGTGCTGCCCTTGCGCGAGGAAGGACGAGAGGGCACTGGAGGTGCGCTGGCGTTGATCTTCTTTGAGGCAGCCTTGAGGTGAGTGAGAGAAAGAGCTGAGGGGCGTCTGCTGCTAGTAGCAGAGATGGTACCGTTGGTCTTGACTTGGCAAAGGCTGTAGTCTCCCATGACTGAATCAGTGCGAGAGTCACGGGTAACACTGTAGCCACTCTTGGGTGATGCGAGAGGGAACTCATCCTCAGAGTGTCTGTTGAGCAGGCTGCGGAAGCTGTAGCCACGGTGTTGGCGAGGCCTTGAGACTTGCTGGACAATGATTGCGTTCTCCTTTCCAGACTCATCCTCATCGAATGAAGGTGATCTTTGAAGGCGGAAGGGAAGAGGAGGAAGAGACTTGTCCTGTCTGCAGGACATGGCAGTGCTTGGTCGGCTTACGGGTCCTGATGAAGCCATGGACTCTGATGATGAGCAGTTGCGGAGTGCAGGAAGAGCTGAGGGTGTTGGAAGAGGAGGAAGAGCACGCTTTGCATAGATGCTTGCATTGGCAGGGTACTCGAAAGGTGTAGTAGGGCGGTCATGGAATGCATCAAGGCAGCGGAGGTTGCTCTTCTTGACCGGCGACACCGAGCAATCCTCGGGCTGAAAGTCGAAGTAGCTCATAACGGCAGCTGGAGGTTGTTGGAGAGAAGACGTGCGAGGAGGCATAGTGGCAGTCCAGGGTTAAATGAGATTGAGATTGGAAAATGGTCTGCGCAGTGGATGTGGATGATGATATATTGATAAGGGAAACGAGTGGCTGGCTTGGTATCGTGTCGATCAGATGTGGCGGCGGGTTAAGAAAGAAGGAAAAGCCGTGGTGATGATTCGGATATTAAGATGCAGAGGGCGAAGCTTCAAGTATCTATACAGAATTCGTCTCACAACGAGACACCGCGACTTACCTCTTACATCTATCTTGTTTGCCGTTGACCGTTCACACTGGCATACCTGCAGCACCGGCGAGTTTAGACTTTCGAGGGGGCCTGGATGTTGGAGCTCTGGCACGCAATGATCACCCCCTAAGGATTTTGGTGTCAAGAAGACGTTGACACTTGATGGCGACTGGATTGCGAGCTTGACAGCACCCGCGAACGGCACTTGTGGCCCGCTCCGCCCACGCTTTCCCTCATTTCGGTGCAAATTCCTCGAAATCCTGGTTCGCTCCCGCTGCGGCGGCGCGCTAAAAGCGGCCACTACCCGCAAGCTTGCACCCCCTGGAACCACATCCGAGTTCTGGGCGTCCTGACCCTCTTCACAAGCGCCCGTTTCTCACGCTTTCTCGCGTCTTCAGTCCTCTTGCTCCCTGCTATGGTCCTTTGTCCATTCACTCTTCCGTCGCCTATTGAGCGTTAAGGTCGCTTCCAGTTAGCCAAAGATTGACTCGATCTGCTCCGAGTGCCGCGACCAGACTGGCCATCTGGTGACTCGCGAAATGATGACCATCCCCACAATCTTAGAGCACTGTTGATGGTCGTCATGAACCTGTCTCTGTCTGACGCAGCTGAAGCACTTGACATCATTTCTGTATGTACGATCCATCCTTGGTAATTGGTAAATTTGGAGATTCAATATATCTCAACCCAGCTACCATGCCCTTGGAGGTGTTTTCCAAATCCCGAGGTCTGGTCTTGACCAATTGACCCCTCCTTTCGCGGGCCGAAGTGGGACAACTGGGTGTCCTCTGGATGTGTGCAAAGGCCCACATGCAGGGAGGTGTTTAGGGTCTTTGTTGTGCAAACGTCTACCCGACTCGACTGATTTGTCCAAACAAGGAGGTACATTTCTCACCAAAAAGGTCCTTTTCACCTTCCACGATCGTCAGTCACTTTTTCTCTTTTCAAACCTGGATCACAGATCGAGTGCTTAAAATTCCTTGCAGCCGTTTGTTACTTGTTACAAAAATGTCAACACCAAAAGTCGAACTTGGCAAAGCCGCCCGAGCATCTCGTGGCATCAACTCCGCGACAAGTCTGTGCAGATGTGTCATGGGGAGATTTGCACCGCTTGTGCATTACCACCATTCCCTCTAACATAGAGTTTCCCTTGTCGATAAGCATCACAAATAATCCATCCACCAAGATAACACTAAGATATGCCTCTTGAGATGAACAAAACATCCATTGGAACCGTTTGTTCATCTTGTTGCTGTGCACAACCAAAAAGCCAGAAAATCCCTCTGGTTGGTGATGGTCTTGTGGAGTCTCGATTTGCCTCTGTCAATGGTTGCCAGGGCCGTCCAAGATGAAGCAGAAACAGGAATAATGAACAGAGATCTTGTTCTGGTTGTGCAAACTAAGTCGCGGTTCCTCACTGAATCAGTGCATCTGCCTATTATAGATGTGTATCTGGAGAGCGGATCAACTCGGGGTTGCACATGTGCATCCAGGCTTAGCCTTTGTTGTTGATACTGCATATCCACAAACGTGACCCAGACCAAGGCCACGAGTGTCTGCATGATCAACCCTGCAGATGAAGCATGTGCACCAACTAGCCTGCATGCACAGTGCACGATTAATTCTCCGAGAACAAGTTTCATGTTTTGGGATCCTGAGGGGGCCTTGCATCCGTTTTGACACAACGATCCCAATCTTGCACAACATGGTATACCTATACAAAGAGCACAAATCTCCCCTGTGAGCGTTCACACGCGCTTCGGATATCGGAAAGACCCCACTCTAAATCATCGCGTCGCTCATTTTGCCAATTCCCAAGCCTCGTTCTTGTCAGGAGTTCGCTCTGCTTCGCTTGCACGAGCGTTGCTCCACAACAATTACAACTTAATCAACATAGCACAACGAACTCCATATCATACTTTACTGTGTAGTCTCGGTGAGATCTATCTGAGTTCAGAAACATGCCAGCTGAAATGCATCCTACACGGTGAAGATTTCGTCATGATTTGCATGGAATGACGGACTTTATCGACATTCATGATACACATTGATATACGGGCCAAGGTGACCCGAGCAGCTGGTTCTCAGCTTGAGATTGAGCCTCCCCCACTTGACCTGCAACGCCTGACCATGATGTAAGAGCTGTCAAGAGATCATCCAACCCAAAGCTTTCAGAGATTGGATATACCCGGCATTAGCAATTCGATGCAATTTCCCAGCATTTCACTCGCCTCGTGGAGCAGTTCCCATCGGGTCTTGCTGAAGATCTCTTTCAGGAGCATCAACATCCCCAACATCCCATTGCGTTGCTTGACGTGCTGCAAATCATCGGCCGATCTGACCCCGCCTACGCGGCGAAGGAAGCCACGCAGGTCCCTAAATTGGATCTCATGCGTCCTGAGTGTGTAAGTAGGCAACGGCGGTGCTATAGGTCCGTCCAAGCAGAATCCGTAAGTCCATACAACAAGGGCAGCGAAGTAGAGCACCCAAGGACGGTTGAGCGAATTGTCGTCACGAGCTGAATATGCAAGTACTCGGGCACCAAGATTTAGTCCGGAGGAACCGTCCCCCTCTGGTAGCAGCACAGCCGACAAGAAGTGTAACGCATAGAACACTGCATCACGAGCTCCATGTGATGGAGCCCAAGTCTCTTTCAACTTCTTCGCCGTCAACGCATGATCATTGGCCGTAATTACGCGTCCTAGTGAGCGTTTTGCTCCAGCAAGGATCTGGCAATCAACGATGTCCACATGCATCGCCATCCGCGCCAGGTGGTGTAGGACAGTACGAGATTCGAATACCTTCTCCTTATCCATGACGTCGCTCAGCATGCGATCGTGCAAGTATACTGATATGTTTGATGATGACTGGTTTAGCGATGCATCAAAATCGCGTCTCCAGAAATTGCAGGCAGAGGCCAGCTGATCAGCCCAACTGTCTTGTTTACCAACTCCGATCGAGTTTGCTCTCACATCTTGCATTCTCATGTGCCAGCTGACACTCATTAGCCCTGCCATGATCGTGACTCGGCCGAAAGTGTTGGTCTGCACATGTTGACCGTTCAGTGTTCTCTTACACGCTTCAAGGAAGCTCATCGGCCTGTAGCCACTGAGTGTAAGGCTGTGCTCGAGTTTTCGCACCTCAGCCCCGCTAGGCGCAGCCCAAAGAGCCTCATCACATGGCAGAGGTATTCGCATCTCATGGGCGACCATCACTGCCGCGTGACCAAACATCGTCGCATGGGTCGTGTCAATGATGAAAGCTGCAAAAGCCGTTCTACGTGTAGCCTCGTTGCTGATCCAGTTGTTCCACCACTCGTCCTTGGTATTGCGGCCGCAGGTGTTGACACTACCGTTCGGACCTGGTGGTGTCCTTGTTGGATCAAGATCGTCGTAAGGAGCGAAGTCCAGTGCCGCCCGCCCTACTAATGAGCTACCTCGCCTCATCAAGGTGAGAGTGGTGCAATGGTGCACATGAGCTCTCTGGTGTAAAGTCGTAGTTGAGTACATCTTTTCATAAACTTCTAGTAGTAATAAGGCCTGGAATAACCAAAGTTTTGCTGGTGGAATGAAGTCTGGGTCCTCGAATAACATTCGACGGCTGTGCCAGGCTAGGAAAAAGGCCAATTCAGCTGAAGCTTGAGTTAGCTCATATCCATAGGATGGCTCCAAGCAAGAAGCTCCCAAAATCATGATGGCTATAAGCAAGAGATCTGGACATGTTTCGGTCGAAAAGGTAGGTCGATGCAGGATCGGCAATTGTGGGTGTATGTTCAGCCAGAATGAACTGCAGAAAACTTGCATCATTCGCAAGCTTAGCACATGTGTGTCCTCGTCGTGATCACCCTTGAGTGTCTTCTCTCTCTGAGCTGTGACTTGAGCATGTCTCCCGTCTCTGAATTCGGACCTGATCAGATCTAGGAGTCGCTGTCTGCGTGAGCTTGAAAGGACACACTCCGGTTGTATGCTATCTTGCTCCGTTTTGGCAACCGGACTAGGTCGAACAAGAGACTCGAGACGTACTTCTCCATTTGCGGAATGCATGTTCTCAAATGGCATCTGCGGATTCGAACCAGGGTTAAAAGCTGTCTGAGATGGCGGCGAGAACACTGCGTTTGGGTCCCCCTCGAATAGCCAGCTAATAAACTCTGTACCCGGCATGTCTGAGAGCGATGGTCCACAATTCTCGTTGAACACTGGTACGGTCGCACCTGTAGGTAGATTGTCGAGTGTGGTAGGATCTACAAGGCCGACGTTTGGATGATGATTAAGTGGTGGCCCTTTCGATAGATATGAAGCCACTGAATCTGATCTGAGTTCGAGTGGTGAAGTGATATGAGTACCGTAAGTCTGACCCGATTGCGACACTGTAGGTAAGTTGGTGAAGCTTGGCGGAGACTTCAGACTAGTTCCACTAGTCGGCGAGAAATAGGGTTGTGGCAAGTAAACCCCAGAAGTATTGCTGAATGGTGAAAACATGTTATGCATCGGGTTGAGATGGTACATATCCATCGAGAGTGTAGGAGGCATGTTAGGTCGAGCGAAAAAAGCGTTGGTGACCTCATGGCGTGCACCGTTCATTGGATCGGTCATGGTAACAGAGGTCGCCAAATTACTGGGCGTGGCCTGTATTGTGTCCGAATGGCTCATATGAGCAGCTAGTCGAGACGCGATTGAATTGCTAACAGAATTCGACATGTTGTCGTATTGACTGTTTGATGCGAGATCAGAGAAAGGAACAGACGGCATAGCTGGATCAAAGTGTCTAGACTCGGTCGTCAAGCGTGGGTCTAATGCCAAAGGGTTGAAACTTATCACAGCTTCGTTCGACTTTGAGACAGCTGGTTGCTCAGCGATCTGAGGTTCAGAGCTCTCGGAATTTGTGGTGGACGCTGCTGGTTGGACCTTTGACGTTTGTTCCATTGCAGACTCGGCAGTGTTAGAAGTCTTGAGCTTACCGTACTTGAACGCGTCTCGACGATATAAGTGAGAGTTTTCCTTGGTATGTCTTTCCCGATGTCTGGCACAAAGATCCTGGCGGACGAAATGCCGATCGCAACCCTCGAAATCACAATGAAAAATTTGCTTTGGAGCATCTACTGACATGTCAGTAATCATACCAGGACTTTGGTCGTATCGAAACCTACGATTCAACTGATGTCTGTACAAGTGTTCTGCACGTGAGTAACTCTTATCGCAGCCGTCATGAGGACATTCATATCTCTTGTCCTTCGGCTTGCTAGACGTTCTCTTCCTTTTGGCTGGTCGAGGACTTGCCCTATCCTCATCGATTGGGTTTTCTTGAGATTTCTTTGCACCTTGTCGTTGAGGTCTGCTGGCTGCTTTTGATTTCGATTTCATGATGCGTGAGAAGTGGCTGGTTGTGCCGAGGCTGATACCAGAAATGCATGAACAGGATAATTTGCCAGTATGACCATACGTTAGAGAGCCAGGAGACAAGGTGGACCTCGATGAGTCTCTTTTTCACAAAGAAATCTCACTTCAAGGCAGAAAACGTAGAATACCGAATGCGGTCAAGGGTGGCTCTTGGGTGACTTCAGATGGCATGTAGCAACCCCGGATAAATGAGAAACAAATGCGGAGAAAGGAAAGCTTGATGCGGCAGGCGCTGGGGCATTGGGTTCGATCCGGCAACAAGGTCTCTTCAGTGCAAGCGCGGCTGTCGACAGCAGGCACAAACTCGAAAGCAGAGACAGCGACACCTTGAGCGATAAAGACAGACACGTCGACAGATCACGACGTGATGAGCGGCGCTCGCCATCACGCGCCCCGCCGTCCCGCTCGACAGCATCGCCAAGCACGCAGCCTTGTCTTCGTAAATGCTAATGGCAGGCACAGGCGATCACGTGGAAGCTATTCATCCTTTTGAAACAGTGACCTTCATGCTCATGAGATTGGTGCGTACGTACCATCGACCGGATGAAATCATGTACAAAGCCATATGCAATCTCGACGCCTGTCCGTGTGTAACCCTGCCACAAATGCGCCTTGACCCCGCTGGATGCATCATCATGTATGAGAGAACTTAAATCAATCGCTTGCTCGTAACATTACCATCCCTTCAAGTAGATGCGCTGCCGTTCTTGCTGTAGTACTGCTGGTGTTGCTTCTCCTGCTCTTCGTTCAAAGTGCTGCCAGTTGGTGTCTTGTTCAGCTCGGCCCAGAAGACCTCCCTCTCGCGCAACAGGTCATTGCACCATTCTTTGACCTCAGGCAACTCGATCTTGCGAGCAACCCATGAGAACTCGCCGAGGTCGATGCGGCCTTGGTGAGAGCGTTCGTACTCCATCATCTGTAGAAGAAGCTCAATCTTGTCGACATCGTGTACGAACTTGCTCTCAAGAGTCTGGCTGTCCTCATACTCCTGCCACACAGCGCGCATCTCTTGTCCCGACAGGCCACCACCAACCTTGCCAAGCAAAGTCGAGCAGATGTAGTCCATGGTCTCAGCCTCTCTTCTGTTCTTCTCTGATTTCGGAACACCGTCTACAGGGGTAATGTCTCCAACTAGGGCTTCGGCCATGTCGTGAATCAAGGCCATTCTTGTGCAGCGTGGTACATCGAGACGAGACGACAGAGAAGGGGGACAAAGCATGGTGATGATGGACATGCGATACATGTGATCGGAGATAGATTCGCCGTGGTTGATTCCGAATCTGCGCCAGCCTTCGCGCTTTGTAGTCTTCAGGCGCTCAAGGAGGTGAAAGAAGGGTACGGGCGAGGACGAGTTCTTTTCGAGTGGAGTCATGGTTGAGAGAACTGTTTCGGGGGTCCATTGCGAAACTTGGCTCGGTGTGAGGAGGCCAGAAGTGGGCTCTGTGCGACACTTAGCAAGGGTGTTAAAACGTGGCATGTGATAGCAGAGTGAACGTACTAGGTGACGAGTTTGTTTGAACGGCGTCTTCGACGACACTGGGAGCCATGATTGAGGATGTAGCCTTTGGGTGCGCGCGCGCGGTTCAAGTAGCAGAATAGCGATGTCTTTGAATCAAGAGTCCGGTAAGAATAAGTTGATTGTGAACAAGAAAGATAAACTGCACTGCGGCGTTTGTCAGGCCAGACGCCAAAGTTGTTGAAGTATCAATTCATGCGGCGAAAGCCGGTCCCTCTTTGTTGAAAGAGATATGGTAATCGCACCCCTGCATACCAGTCCTGTGCGACAAGAAAGAATTGTAGACACTCCAATTGATTTTAATCAATAAATTCACTCAGAGTTTCTTTCCTTATTCCAAGAGCATGGCGAGGATCTGTTCAAAGCGTGGAGCCTGCAAATTGGGCAAGCAGTCTTGGGCGTCGTTACCGCTCTTGACCGATGTTTACTCAGATCTGTGTTGATTTACTTCTTTATTTGCCAACGCATGTGAAGTTTTAGCATCGCGCATACCTACCCACTAGCTAGATCATGCTTCCATCCTAGCTAGTACCACAGATCATCATCGCTGGCTGCCATGTCACGACCCGAGCCTGTGACTGGGCCAACCCCTAATCCCGGCCATGCTTCGAGGCCCCTGCCACCAAAATCACGATCAATCTCACCATCAAACATATCACTTTTTGTTTCTAATCTTCGACTTCTGAATCTTGACCAACGACAAGACTGGCCTGACATCACTGTTCAGACTTTCGATACCAAGGATGCCCTTCAAAACCAGAAGAAGCGTGTAGCTTGTGTCGAATGGTCTCTCTACCGGCTCTTTGAGCTCTGGGATCGCGAGACTACACGTGAGGTAAGTCAAGTCCTGTCTCACCATTGTCGGTTCTTGCTTAATCAAGACAGAAACTTCAACCCTTCTTTCCGCCTCTTGAGCCAATTCAATCTCTCAATCTGCGCGCCGCTCTGTTCAGATGCCTCAATGACTTGAAAAAGAACGATGTCTTGGGTAGAGAAGCCACGCTTCGTAAGACCATGCTTGATGACTGCAAGGGTGACAAGTTCGAAGAATTATTGCTCCTGTTCTCAACTATCGTCCTACGTAAGCAGTTGCTGTCGACTCGCCGTAATCAGCCATCATCTATTGGAAGGAACCTCGCACTGTCAAAGAACCTCGACAAGCGGGAACTAAGTATTGTCAACACTCTCTCGCTGGCTTACCGTGCATCTCTGGCGAAAACTCTACAAAGCCGAGCAACTTTGGATCTTACTCTCAACAACTTTCGCACTTCGCTGTACGAGAAGATCAATGACTACCACCAACGCCATCTCGTACTGCTCGAAACTCAGGATGCAAGTAGCGAGACTCTACCGCCCAAGACTGAGGAATTGATCAGACGCGAACTTCGCCAGAATTGGGTTGGTAGCATAGAGGGCTGCGATGCATTGCTGGCGGGCGCTAAGGTCGCCTCTGCTGATGCATACATGGACTCGGGATTTGACGAATTATGGCAGCACTTCCAGCAAGGTACAACCCCTCAAGTGCCTCCGGAAAGAATATCGCTGCTCGAGACTTTGCAGTCTAGGGTTGTTGAGCAAAACGATCGCTTGCGCATGTGGAAGGCATACAAAGACGTCTTTGAAGAGAGTAACAAGCCGACAAACCTTTCTAAAGTATCTTCCCTCCCACTTGACCAGAATGTTACAGCAGAGGCTCATGGCTTGGACATCTTCGATCAACACAGAAACATTCGCGTGGAACAAACGTCTCCTGTTGATACGGATCCCCCTTCACTCGACCCCGTGGTGGACTATGGACAAGTCGTGCAGGACATGAAGCAGGGTTTGTCCGAAGTTCGCAAAAGAAAGCAGAAGCAACGGGACAGACCAAATCATGCAGCGCCACCGGTCCATGGCATACGTACAAATACCATGCCAAGACAGGCGCTTATACCAGTGTTTCTCGAAGGCTCGAAGGATCCTAAGAATGATCTGTTCTCGCCACTCAAGCGACCACTTCTCGAGTCTGCAAATTCGACCCCGGTCACTGTCCGCGATGTACCACACCAGACACACCAGTGGCTATCACGAGCTCATACTCAACCTGTGACCACGCCTCAACCTGTGAGAAGCGAATATGATTCAAATCTCAGCTCAAAGATTAAAAGTCCATATGGCTATGTTCCAAGTCCTTCAGAAATTGCAGAACCTAGTCCCAGTGTACAAAATGACAGAGAACGATATGTCAAAGCATTCACGCCAAGTCCTACATATGGCTTTGAGGTCAGTCCGAAGGATGAAGCTGCATCCCCGAACAAAAGACATCTCGATTCTGTAGGATCTGGACACCAAGACTCGATTGATGATTCAATTACTTCACTTGGCCACAAAGTCGAGGAGATGGGATTAGAAGACCAAGAACGATCAATCGGATCTCCCGACCTGCCAGATTACTCACCACCACCAACCTCGAGTCCACCAGCACTATTGCACCAGCAACAAAGTCCACAAGAACAGCTAAATCTCTCGGGGCGCGCTCGCATGTCTATGGCGTCTTTCCGCAGCAGTGAGAACAGCTCCCCTTTACCTCAACCAACACCATCACCAATCAAGAACACCGAGCCTTCGCTGACCGAATCCCGGCGTACCTCCCTCGCCGAACGCGCCCTACTATCCATGACCCAAGCCTCTCTAAACCCGCAGCCACAACGCCACACAACCACCAAAGAACGACCGAAATCGTCTTTCTTCCCTGCCACAACAGCAGCAGCAGCAGCACAATTCTCCACACCCATGAAAAGTAGCAGAAATTCTCTTGGTGGTACGCGTGACACCACACCTAGAGACAAATTGTTCGAGCAGGATGCAGAATACGCTAGTGTCTTCAAGTCTCGGCCGAAAATTGCCATGAGTCCTGTGCTATCGCCGCAATTGGATCAGCAGATGGAGGATGCTGAGGATTTTAGTTTTGAAGGGGACGGAGATGGAGAGGAGGGTATGATGAAGTTGCATAGTTCACCACTAGCTAAGTTCATGTGATAAGAGAAGTGCTGGGGACGTTTGGGTATTATCGCTGTGGGAGTATGGGAAATGCGTTTAGAGGAAGATTGAAATGGATCATTGGTCTAATCAAGGTTTTCTCTTTTCTTCCTTTTTTTTCATCCAGACATCGTACCTGCACTCCCATTGCCATTGCCAGCCAACTCAGGGAACAGCTGTTGAGGAAACAAATCATTCATGTCAACAAGCATATCACCCCCAAGCGCATTCCACCAATCCGTTGGTATGGACTCTTGCATGACCTCCGTACTAGCCTGACTAGTCGAGATATACTTGTCAAGCTGCTTGGAAAGGACATTAGAGAGCGTGGTATACAGAGAAGCGGCAGAGGTGCTTGGTAGTCCGCGCGCTAATGTTTCCAGATGTGTGGTTACGGCGCGGACTTTATTGGCTGCGGCTTCCATCATATCCGGTGGGAGGCATCCGCGGGTGGTGGCCTATAGTAAGATACTAGTCAGGATCGGTTCTCAAGGAGATTGAGCGAGTTAGGGATGACTTACAAACAAAATCTCGCTCAGCGCATGACAAATCATGATAAGCATGTTATTATGCGTCCCATACATATGTTTCAGCAACACCGGATCAGAAAGAATAAGTGTCAAAGACCTGCAAGCAACATCCACAGTTTGGCGGGAAATCTTGCAAGGGTTGGCTAGACACTGCATCGCATTGGTAGCAACAAAGTCTCTTAGAGCATTGGCGTTTAGCACCAAGATGCTGTGATCCATGTAGTGAGCGAGAATGGGTAGGTATTCGGACGATGCAGAGGTGTCGGGAATACATCGTTTCTCGCGAAGGGTTTGTAGGGCTTCGAAGCCTCGGGCTTGCCAGTCTTCTATTAGTTCTCGTGTTTTGGTCATTTGTTGTCGCTCTTCTAGATATTGCATCTGTGCAACCGTGTCAGCCTTTGATTCACAAATGGACCTGTCTCTTTGGTGATCTAGACTTACAAGTAAGATACGCATCTCTACAACGCCGGTAGTGACGCGGTCGAAGGGACACGCCATTGGCTTCTTCCACCAGTCGAAGATTGACTCTGAGATCTCTGATCGGCCGACATTCATGACGCGTCCAGTGACAATACCAAAGCTCTTTTCTGCAAAGAATGCAGCAAGCCAAGTTCTCTCAATGTTTCGACGGAACCGCTCTTTAAAGTCTGAGCTAGCCGTAGGAGAGGTGTATGCTGAGACCAAATCTTCTACAGCCTTATCTTTTTTGAGGCCCAGCTCTCTCGCTAGCAAAATTGCCTAAACAGAAGCTTTAGTGCCCGCTGGCAAGGTGAAGAGGAAGGTGTTTTACATGACTGATGTGCAACCAATATGGATCGTCTTTTTGCGTTTCATGGACTGGAGACCAGTATTCCATGGTGAAAATAGCTTGGACCGTCTCCACGGATTTGACAGACGTTGCTATTGACCATTTGATGTTGCACTCTGCCAGAGCTAGTAGGGAAGGGTACAACACCCTGTCTCGTTGTGTATTGGCGACTGCGCATCCTAGTGCACAAATAACAGAAAACAAAGTGAACGATAAGGGACGCACGATTTCTGGTCTATGAAGGACGGGATCCAAGAGACACACGAGTGGATTCCGGATCTTGAAATATCTGGCAGAGTCGATCGGTTACATGCTCATACCCACAGAGAAGTGCTATAGGGGAAGACTTACAGGTCGAAATATCTTTCGGCATCGGTGTCGTTGATGATGCGAGAACTAATGGGGTCGCAGGTCAAGGACGTAAGCCTCACAGGAGCATTGAGGGGCTGTGCAGCCAGAACTTGCCAGTCCTTCTGGAACACAGAGCTGGGCCCTGATAGAGATAAAATGTCAGTGTTTTGGTGGTCAGTGGATGCTCGCCAACGTACTGAAGTACTTAATCAATCTTTCAGTGGATTGCCGAGAAAGCCATGCATTGCTTGTGTCGCTAAGCAGAGGCTCTTCATAATGTCCCAAATTCGGAGCGGAGTCTAGAAGGTTCAAAGATGCCAGCCTTTCAGTTTCCACGGCATCAGCGAGAATGTGTAGAGGCGACACCAATGAGCTCCCAGCATTACCATTTGTGGGACTATACTCTGGCACGTATTCTTCTGACTTGACAGAAGTGTATGCCTCAGAAATGGCTTCGGTATCAGGTGTGTGTTCTGTCGAATCTCTTCCACCGATAGTATTCGAAGCAGAATTGGAAGATTGCAGATTTCGAGATGAAGCAAGGATGGCGGCAATGACTTGTTCACCAACAGGACTATCATTGATTCGCTGCAGGAGTTTCTCGACAGTATCCGGTTTGCTATAGTACTTGGGTAAGCCGACGCGACATGAGTCGTGGACTTGACTTACTTGACACTTCCTTGTTTGCGGCCTCGGTTGGAAACTTGGGGATATTCACATCGCTTTTGCTGAGAGGCACATCTCACGCTATAGGATTTCTGTTAATCTATCGTGATCATGTTCTATAGACTATACATACCATGGACTCTGGCGATCGCATTTTAGTCTAGATGCACGACAATTGAAACAAGCAGTTCGATGGAGAGGAAGACGTCCTTCCGGGGCTGATCCCGAAATAGTATGTCTAGTCGGCTGCTGAGGATGAGTTGAATTTTTGTTCATATTTACAACAAGTCCTTGATCATGTTCGCTGATTGGAGTCGAAGATCATGACGATTCAGGTCGCTTGTGATTAGCAAAGAAACATGTCGGATGCCAAATGGGCCGGCGGAAGGTACGGCCCAGAGGTTGCCTTGCGTGGGGTTGGGAACAAAAGCAAGTACGAAGATTCGTGGTGTTTCAGAAAAAAAAAATGTTGAGAACAGTGTGAAAGGCATAATCGAGAATGCCTCTGGATTCGATGAGTGGAAACAGGAATGTGGATGCATGCTATTACAATTGCCACATCCTTCAAGGACTGTGGTCTTGTACATTACGTGTAGCTACTAATGCCAATATGCCAAATATGCTCCCTCCACCCCATTACCGAATTTGAAAACTATGGATGATCATTAAAAGAATAAAACTCGTGACGCCGTGCGCGATGCTTTTCTATGATAACGAAAATGACGCTTCGTGTGTTGATTCCACTGATGGAACATGTGCTTAGTTGCCATTAGAGCTTCCGTACATGGAGTGTTGGCGAGGAGCTTGGTAGTACAGACTGCTGTCGTACTCGCTGTCCATGTACATGGTGGCTCTCTTCTCCTCCTCGTTGAGAAGTTGGGCCTTGAGGTCCCAGTTGTTGTTCTTCGCTCCAACAGAGAACTCAAGGTCTTCTTTGGTAATAGAGTCCCAGAACTATTCGAAAATTGTTAGTACATGATAAGCGAGAGAGGAATGAGAGAAGTGCTTACCTTGTAGATCATCATGACTGCAAGAAGGTTACAGACGGTAGCAAAGAGGAGGCCATCCAAGTAGTGAGAGACGCCTTCGCAAACAGATTTGCCGAATGCGTACATGAGCACCTGGCCCACGATGAAGAAGAAGACGCCAAAGGCAATGTGGCCCAGTGGCCATCTGTCTTGGAGCGTGCCAACTACAAGCAGGATCTGCATGACAATATAAACGACGAGGAAGATGGCGTTGAAAATGTATAGGACGACAAAAAGGCCAACAGTATTGTCGGGGCCCAGGCCAGCCCAGCCCTTGAAGGTCAAGATGCTGATGATGAAAGTGATGGCGAACATTGTGGCAGAGCAGATTCTGAGCAGCCAGACACTCAAGAATGTACCATCTTCATATAACTGGAATCCGACAAATCCGGCAATCATGAGGGAGACGCAAGTAGCGGAAGAAAGACCACATTGGACAGCGACGAACCAGGGATATGCGCCGGAGCCAGGAGGAACGACGCCGCAGTCGACGAGTAGCGAGACGATGGTGAGCAGGAAGTAGCTCCAGAAGAAACTGATGATCTCCTTACGACCTGGAATCGCTGTCAGCTGGGACGGAAGGGTTTGGCACAGAGTGGTGGCAGCGACATACCGACGGCGGTGAACTTGCTGCGAACGTGGACGATCATGATGACGGTCATGAGCAGGGCGCAGATGTGGGCGATGCCATCAGCGCCCTGAAAGATGACCGTGTTGGCGACCTCGATTGTTCGCGAGTAGCAGGCTGGTTGTATGCCCTTGGTTCCGTCGACGCTATTGCTGCCGACCATTGTGCAAAGCGGCAAGGCCACCTGCTTGCATAGCGAGTCAAAATCGCCGAAACCCATCCTCCTTTTGCTCTATTGTTTGGTGCGAGTTGAAGCGATCGGAGTGTCTGTGGTGTAGTGCGTGGTATTTGTGAATTTGGTAGTGAGCGACTGGCGGTATAGAGCGAGCGAAAGTTGGGCGAGATGGATGCCAGACGGCGCCTGTCTCGAGGGGTAACAAAAATGGGAAACGCTCCGAGGACTCGTCTTGGACAGGGTGACTCCTATTTTCAGGCACATGACGACGGCAAAGCCTCAAACTCAAGCAAAAGTCCCTGCAGTCCGCGGCCCGCTAAGCAACCAGCCTTGGCACCCTTCTCCGTCGCCAGAACCCAATCACTCCACTTCCCGCTCTCGAGTCTCTACTGCTGCAGCATCAATATCATATCACAACCTACGTCAATCTTTTGTTGATATCACGTTTGTTGAACAAGTGCAATATATCGCTGGACGCAAGAAGCTATCAATCAAAAGCCGGAACCAGGTTCATCTCATCAAACTCCGAAACCCGCTTTTGCTCATCGATTCCTCCCCCAGAAAAGCCACAAAATCCACCTGAAACATGGAGAGAAAGACAAGGTGGGCATGACCTCTATTTCGTGGGCTCGCTCACAGTGCGGGGCTCTCATATACTTTACAGCCCTGTTCAAGGCAGTTGCATCTCGAACACCAAGTGGTAGGTCACCATACTCCTCGGTCACGGCAACTATGCCTTCCGACGGCTCCACATACAAAGTGCCCACATGCCTTTCAACCATGCACAATAGGATATTGGGTCTGCATGCTATCCCTCTCAATCCTTGCACGCCTCTATAAAGACTGACTGCTTCGTCTCCCTCCTCGCCATGTCCTTGGTCAAGTTTAAAACTGTGTATTGTCGCTAACCATGGCACAATTCTCATACTCTAACATTGCGGCCATCTATCTCGCTGTCACGTTCATTTACATCTCGTACAAGGTTCGCCTACTCAATGCTCTCCGATGTACCTATCTGACACGCCTAGCTTGTGCATCGAGCTTTCTTCACTCCCCTTCGTGGTATACCAGGCCCATGGCATGCTGCCTTTGTCAATTGGCGTCTGAAGATAGCCGTCCTCAGTGGTACTCGAGCAGACTACATTCACGCACTCCACCAAAAGTACGGTCCAATTGTCCGCATCACACCCAATGAAGTCGCCGTCAACGACCCTGCTAGTTTCAAGGATATACACAAGATTGGCTCCGGATTCACAAAGACCCCTTGGTATGAGTATCTGAGCACCAGTGGACCTGGAAAGAGTCCTGGAGTCTTTCAAATGACTAATCCAAAGGATCATGCTGCTAGAAGAAAGTTATTGGCTAAAGGATTTAGTCAGAGACACCTTCGTGAGCAGTGGGAGAATGTTGTTCGTGAAAGGGTTAATATGGCTATTGCTCGTATTAAGGCTGATGCTACCTCTGGAACAGCTGATGTCCTCAAGTGGTGGACCTATCTCGCTACAGATGTCGCTGCCCACCTGATGTTTGGCGAATCCTTCCACATGCTTGAGAGCGGTGCGAGAGTACCGTACATTGTCGCTCTGGAGACAGCGTCGATCTGTTCTGCAATTAGCTGGGAGTTGCCTTTGGTATACTGGATTGGCCGTAGATTGCCCTTCGCTGCCATGAAAGACATCTTCTACGCCAACGAAGTTTTGCTCGACCAAGGCCGTCTAGCAGTTAAGAACAGCAAAGCCCAAGATTTCGGTACCTCGAATATTTTCGCTACTGCCATCAGCGAAGCCGAGAAGGGCGATGGAACTCTGACAGACGAAGACATTCAAGCAGAAGCCGGCAATCTGATTGTCGCCGGCTCGGATACCACAGGCATTACACTGACATATCTCACATGGTGTGTGCTGAAGCAACCCACACTACAAAAGGCTCTTGAGGAAGAAGTCAGCACAGTCGATGGTCCACTCACCGATACATCACTCGAGCGACTCCCGCTCCTCAACGCCGTAATCGAAGAAACCCTCCGTCTCTACGGCGCAGCACCAGCAACCCTTCCCCGCCTCACCCCCAAAGGAGGCATAACCCTATGCTCCCACTTCATCCCCGCCGGTACGATCGTCGGCACACAAGCCTACTCCCTCCACCGCTCCCCCCACCTCTTTCCAAACCCCGATACCTTCGACCACACACGTTGGCTACCTCCCAACGAGCTTTCTCCTCTAGCTAAAGCAGTATTTGCGCCTTTTGGTGCTGGAAGCAGGATTTGTATTGGCTTGCACCTTGCAAGGATGGAGTTGAGGTTGGCAGCTGCGACGTTTTTCCGTGAGTGTAAGGGGGCGAGGTTGGCGGCTAGCACGACGGATGAGAGTATGAGGCCTGTCAATCACTTTTTGATTGCGCCCAAGGCACATAAGTGTGAGATTGTGCTGTAAAGATTATTAGTTCTTGGGGTTTGTTGGTTTCTTTAGCTGAGTATCTTGTCGAGGTTGGATATATAGTAGAGGCACATTTTGAGTCAACGGCTTCTTAGATACAGGACCTAGCATGATGCCGTGGTTGTAGCTGGTGCGACATGGAGAGTAGTGTAGGACACAATCCCATACTCCCGACTCACGCATCACATACAAAGACAACAACATCTGAGGTTGATACAATTCATGTTGAGAGAGAATAATATCGATACGAAAGAAAAAAGAAGGAGAAAAAAAAAGGTATAAACAGCTTTAGGGTCCCCCAACAACGCCATGAATTTTATGTTCACTCCGCTCACTGCTTCAGTGACAATGCATTTCTACTCCTCCATCTCCTCATCCTCACCACTCTGCATCTTCTCGACGAAAGCCTTGGCTCTAGCCTTGACAGCTTCAACATGCTTAGCATCTCCCTGCTCCTCTTCAAACTCCAACCAGCGCTTGAACACAAATCTAGCACGACGCTTCTTCATCTTGCCGTTTGCCATGCGCTCAAACAAATCACGGACACGTTCCACGTCTTCAGACTTGCCAGTTTGCTTGGCGAGGCTGCGTTCAAGATCGCACCACATATCCCAGCCTTGAGTCCATTTCGTCCATTGCGTGAGCATAGACTCGAAGATTGTGCGTGCGCGCTCGGGCTCGCCGGTACTCGTGCGGAACTCGAGAGCTGCGAATTTGGCAGTGAGGTTGCGGTGCTCGTGGGAAGGCACAGACTGCAAAGCGCGAGGAAGAAGTGCGCGAGCTTGGGAAGCAGCATCGCGTTTTTCGAACAGGAAGGTTGCGTAGTTGAGCCAGAGGTTAGGGTTGGGACGGAAGGACTTTGTGGATGCCATGGCCTCGAAGATCTTTTCGGCGGCGCGGAAGTCGCCAGACGAGGTGTAGATGGCGGCGAGCTTTTCGTGCATGGTGAAGCTGTCTTGCACCTTGCAGGCTTCCTTGAAGGTGGCGTCTACGGAGTCGGCATCGCCGTAGGCGACTTCCAAGTTCAGCAGGGCAACCCAGACGTTTTGCTTCTCGTCTTGCTCGCGAAGGTGGATGGTACGGAGGGCGCGTTGACCGATGTCGCGGGCTTTTTGGACTTCGGACAGGCCGAGCTGGAAGGCCATATATTGGATCCAGAGCGACGAGTCGGAGGGAGATGTGAGCAACATACGTTCGAAGTCGGCAACGGACTGAGGGCCATTGGCGTCAAGGTCGCCAGTCTGGTCGACTTGAATAGCAGCCTTGCGCTTACGTTTCTTGAGCGGTGCGGAGGCTTCTTCGGCATCTGACATAGCGCCGTCGTTGTCAAGGGCAGAAGCACCACTCCAGTCAAAGCCGGAGGTAGTGAGACCACCAAGAATAGACTTGCGGTTGGTGGGTGCATCATCTTCGCTCATCTCTTCGTCGGATGCAGCTTCCTCGTCGCTTTCCATGTCTTGAACGTTAGACATGTCGATGTCAACACCATCGTCAGACTCGGAGGCATCATCGTCAAGAGCAACGCCCTCGCCGTCAGATTCGTCATCCTCATCCTCGTCTTCCATCTCTTCATCACCATCAAGGTCCTTGAAGTACGATGCCTTTAAACCGAAACTGATGCGGCGCTTTTCAGTGTCGATGTGCAAGACCTTAGCCTTGACAAGATCACCAGCATCATAGAGCTTCTTGACATCCTCAACGGCAGAGTCGGCGATCTGACTCTTGTGGCACAGACCACTGACACGAGGAATAGTGTTGTCAACATCAATGAAGACGCCAAAGTCCTCAACCTTTCTCACCTTACCAGTGACGAACTGACCAACCTTGAGATCAGCAAACGAGTTGGCAGGAACATAATCCTTGTCAACGTGAGACTGCTTCAAGCTCATCTGGACGTGGTTGAGGTTGGCATCGACCTGCAGAATCTTACCCTTGACGAGCTGGTCAATCTCGACTGCTGACTTCCAGTCCTTCACAAACTGGTCAGACAGATCAGAGATACGGACGAAAGCATCGACACGGGGGCCGAGGTTGACAATGACACCCTTCTCGGTGACAGCCTTGACGAAACCGCGAACGACATCATTGACAGCCAATTGAGGGATCGAGGTGATCTGACGATCCTCGACGAGCAGTGCGGAGCTGAGAACCTTAGAAGGACGCATGCTGAGGTAGACACGCTTGTTGGGAAGGTCGACGGCGGAAACGCAAACACGGACGATGTCGCCTCTGCTGTGTGTGGTAGGGTTGGCCTCGGTGAAGTCATCAGACAACTCGGTCAAGGTGACAATACCAGAAACAGAGTCGCTCAGCTGGACAATGACATTGCGCTCGCTGACCTTGGTGACCTTTCCAGCAAGGATTTGACCATCGGTGAGAGTCTTGAGAGTGACGGGAGCTGACGAAGCAGCAGAGGCGCCAACGAGATCCAGACGATTGGCAGCAGCGTCAACACTCTTGACCTTCACGCGGATGGCAGAACCGACAGGGAAGTTCTTGGGAATGTCTTGGAGGAGTGAGACGTCATCCGAGACATCGAGCAGATCAATGCGACCACGGACGTTGGGAGACAAGTTTGCCCACAAGCACTTGTCACCGATGTTGTTGACGTAGGCGATCCAGGTAGAGTCAACCTTGACCTGATCAAGAGTCAAAATGTCAGACTCGGACTTGAGAGTAGTGTTGGTCTTGGCAGTAAGCTCGAGAACGGGGACACGAGAATGGCGGTGAGTGATTGGCAGGAAGCGGTGGTTGCGGGCGTCGTGGATACCAAGAACCTTGACGGGGATAACCTGCTTGGCCTTGAACTTCTGCAGAGGCTTCTTTCTGTCCTTGATATCTTCCCAGCTGTTGAAAACCTCAGAGACATCAATACGACCTTGGATGTTGTCGGCAAGTAGAACGTTAAGCTGAGTGTCCTTGATGGAAACAATGCGAGCCTGTGTCTCCTTGCCAAGTGTGAAATCAGTGAGCGAAGTTGACACTCCGTCCACAGGGTTGGTAACGGTAGTAGGTGCAGCGGTTTGAGGCTTCTCCTCCTTCTTCTCCTCGGGGAGAATGGTGAGGACAAAGCGCTTAGAGTCATTGTTGACAGACAACACTCTGGCCGAGATTGACTGGTCTTTGCGCAGGCCAAATGCAGGCAATGCAAGCTTCTCTTGTGTTATCTGAGTCTTGGGCATGAAACCGACAAGACCAGCGGCGAACTCAACGAATACACCATCGGGTGTAATGTTGCGTACGAAACCACTGAGCTCCTTGCCTTGTGACAGGCTCTTGAAATCACTAACCAGAGTCTTGGCGTTAGCGGCCCTGACCAAGCTAGGCTTGTTACTCAGGATGACCAAGTGTCTTCTGTCAAGCTTCTCCAAGACAACGAGCTCGTTCAGCTTCTGACCAACTCTGATCTGCTTCAGAGTAGATTTGTTCTTTGCCTCGGATCCATCGGTAAGATGAGTCAGGCGGAGAGTACCCTTGAGATTTGAGCCTTTCAAGTCGAGCATGACGCTCTCACCAGTGACTTCGGTAACAGACGCATTGATCAATTGGCCCTCCTTCAGGTCATTCCAGGCGGATTCTTCATCTTTACCGAAAGCGGAAGCATCCTTGCAGGAAACCTTGAGCTCGTTGTTCTCAGCGTCAACAGAGATAGCGTGAACCATGACAGTTTGACCTTGTCTGAAGTGTTGTGAAGGGTCCGAGATGTATGCCTCGCTCATCTCAGCGACTGGGAGCCATGCTCTAACCTTGCCGTAGAACTGAACAACAGCACCGTTGGGCTTGATGTTAATGATAGTACCAGGTGCTTCATCCCCAACGTTGATGTCCTCGTATGACTTCCAGATCTTTGCCTCAGCGTTTACGAGAGTCTTCTTGAGTGTCAAGCGGATCTGGTTCTTCTCGGGGTCGACGGTAAGAACACGAGCAGTAACAGGGAAACCTTCTCTGAACTTCTTCTCAGAATGTTGCAATTTCACGTCGGCCATGTGCGACTCGGGGACCAAACCGTCGATGCCATCGGCAAGCTGGACCAGGACACCAGTAACACCCTTAGCTCCAAGAATGATCTTGTTGACAGTCGCCTTGACGACTTGGCCAACCTCGACATCTTCGATGCGCAAGAAAGGCTGATCCAGAATCTTCTGCTCAAGAGAAACATTGTAGACAGCATCGACAGGGTTGAAACCAAGGACTCTGGCGCGGTGAGTAGATTCGAGCTTGTATTGGCCGATGGTCTCGGAAAGTGTGTCGATCTTCTTTTCAGAGATTCTAGAAATGTGAGCAAAACCAGGGTTTGAAGAGCCAGTGAGCTTGAGGAAAAGACCCATTGCGGGCTCGACATGCACGACCTGGGCATCTTCGACTATTGATGAGGGACCAATCTTGTCGGCCTTCTTCTCACTACCAAGAACGAATGCCTTGAAGGTCTTGACGTGGTCGAGGAAAGAGATACCAATCTTCTTGGTCTCGCTTGTGTGGAAAGTGCAGATGACACGAGCCTTGACCTTGGAGCCGATCTTGTACTTCTTCGAGACGTCGTCTACGCGAGCACCAGCGCCTGAGTGAATGACATCTGCTGTTGCGTCGAGCATGCCCATGACCTTTGTTGCAATACCTCCACGGCTGGATTCGGTGATAAGGACCTCGACGGCGGTACCAGGTAGGAAAGCATCGATCGTGGGAGCATCTGATAGACAGTGCTTGTTGATGTCGCCCATCTTTGTGAAATCAGGAGCTAGCTTGATAACCTTGTTGTCCGAAGCCTTTCCAGTAACAACGCAAAGCATAACCTGGCCCTCGTGGACCTTCGAGATTTCGAAAACCTTTCCTAGCTCTTTCTTGGACACGAAACCTCTGACAGAGTCATCTTCCAGACCCAGATCCATGACCAGACCGTGATCTTCTACACTGCGGACCGAGGCTTGGAGAGTTCCGTGGACGGGGAGATTTGAGGTGTCAAGTCCGACGTTGACTTGTTTCGGGTCGACGGAGAGTTCAATTCTCTTCTTTGATTTGCGCAGGCCATTGACGGCGGTTTCGTCGGCGGTCGAGGTGACAATTGCTCTGAGCCATTGACCCACGTGGAATAGTGACTTGAGGTCGAGATCGTCGTCATCTTCGTCTTCGCTCTCGTCTTTGACATCCTCATCGGCCTGAGCCAGCAGAGCCTCAATCTTCTGGTTGACCTTTTCCGAGATTGCCGTCAATGGGATGAAACCTGTGAGGTTGTTGGGTAGGGCAAGAGCAACATCGCGCGATGTAATTTCAGTGATCTGACCGAGTACCAGAGTGCCAACAGCAATGTTCTTGTAGCTCAGGCCATGAATCTTGATGGTGGGCTTGTCGTCCTCAGCGGCCTTAGCAGCTCTCTTATCGGCCTTTGTCTTTCTCTTCTTCTTGGGAGCAGCACCGGTCTCGGCGCCAGCAGCAGCATCTTCATCGTCGTCGTCGTCAGAGAAGGCGTCTGATTTTTGCTTCTTTGCACCAGATTGCTCGAAAAGGACGTCGCGTTCGGCCTGAATCTTGATCTGCTTGTGTTCCAGAGGGGTCAAGACACTGGCACCACCACGGGGGAAAGCGCGCTCTTCTTGTGATAGAATCGAGGCCTTGACGGGGTTTCTGTCGCCTTGTTCCTTGGTCTCCGGAGGTTGTCTCTTCTTAGCCGGAGCGGAGCTGTCAGCCTTGGAGCGCTTCACATCGCGCTCCTCGGTCTGAGCCTTTCGTTTAATGGGAGCCATGGCTGATAACCACGGGAATATCTAGAAATGGAAATCTATATCGCCTGCAAGATAATTTTTGGTTCAAGACGCCGCACGGACTCAAAAATCTGGAGCTGCAGATGCGGCCAAGCCCCGAAACGCCGACAGCTCCGACGCCAGCACGTCTTCAGCTAAATTGATTTGCTGCACGCGTCGAGGTCGTGCATCGTCGCGTCTCTTCGTGGCGGAAGTTTGAAAGTACCAACTCGTTCGTGTTGTACCTTTTGGTATCGAGTATTGATATCACCGTGTTGCACCATGTCTGATATAGACATGCTGCCTTCATCTCAGAGCAGCAATGCTGCTTTGCCCAGCTCTCCCCTTCCTGCATCTTCGCCAGTCCGGGCGAGCAGCAGACCTAAGGGCCAGCCTTCCATCACACCTCGACGCTTCACGAGGTTCTTTACTCCCATCACATCCCGTTCATCGACCAACTCCAAATCAAACAAGAGACTCAAGGACATCACCAAGAACGCTGTCAATCAAGTCAAGTTCAATGGCTTCCACGACCTCCCTCAATTCGAGACGCCACGAAAGAAAAGAAAGATCTTACCCACTCCCGACAGCTCGCCTGTTCAGCCACTCGATTCTTCGCCATTAAGACCACTTGACTACCACCCTTCCAACCTTTCTCATCAGCAGCACTACGATCTCGACGCTTCAGATATCGACGAAGAGGACGAAGAGGAAGAGGAAGAAGAAAAGCATTACCCGACCCCCATCACACGCCTACACAACGCTGGATCAAGCAGCCGTATCTTGCAACGAAGCTTCGGTGGCTCAAGAAGTATCGGCCGCGGCAGAATTCAAGACCACTGTGTTCCAGACTGGCGTGCCCAAACCGCTGACTTTTACTCCCGCCCTGATGACTGCCACAGCTATCGTGGTGACGCTCTACCTTTCTGTGTCACTCGTTGCAATACCAATTCTCTCGTTGCTATCGGCGATGAGGAGGGTGGTGTGAGGCTGATCGACTCGTCCCATGCTGACAACTCCTTCTCCCAGCACCATGTTAGCTTCAAACCTCACCGCAACGCTATCATGGACATGGCTTTCTCCTCTGACGACTATCTGTTTGCTACTGGTTCTGGTGATCAGACATCCCGGATTGTTGATATGCACACTCAACAAACACGCTACATTATGCGCAGCCACACATCCTCCGTCAAGCAGGTTCGTTTTCAGCCTGGCAACGACAGCATTGTCGCAACCTCGAGTCGCGATGGCAGTGTCATGATTTGGGACTTGCGTTGTCGCGGTCAGGATGCTCCAGTCGCAGATTTTGCTGTCAGCTTCGAGTCCGGTAATGGCATGGAAAATGTTCCACGTCCTCACAATAACACCATCACGTATGCCTCGTCTGTCAACAGCATGCGTGACGCTCACGGTCTGCAGCACGAGCGTTCGGATGTTTCCATCACTGCTTTGTCCTTCCTATCTGACTCACGCTCCCACTTGCTGCTCACCGCGACTGAAGCAAACGCCAGCATCAAATTGTGGGATCTTCGTGGTAAATACACATCTCGTCGAGGTGGCCCTTCACGTTTCAGTTCAGTCCCCGTCTCGAGCACCCGTGAACCAGAGGCGCATATCAAGAACCGTCAATACGGCATTAGTAGTCTGTCATTGAGTGGTGATGGTAGCCGCTTCTACGCACTGTGTCGTGATAGCACTGTCTACGCCTACTCGACCAATCATCTCATCTTAGGCTCTGCTCCTGAGTATGAAGCCTCTAACAACACACAAGCTTCAAAGTGGTTCCGACCTCGACAAGGCCTTACTGGCATTGGACCATTGTACGGTTTCCGTCACCCTATGTTCAGGTCAACTTCCTTCTACGTCAAGTCTGCGCTGCGCCCTGCTACTATATCTCAGCCAGAGATGCTTGCTGTTGGCAGTCGCGAAGGCTGTGCTGTCCTGTTTCCCACAGACGAGTCTCTTCTGCAGAAGAAGCAAATTCAACTCCCTAGCTCAGGCACCTCTACTCCTGCTGGTGATCATGATGAGGGCTCAGGTTTCCGTTCACGAATCGGATCCATAGGGAAGTATCAGGACACTTCGCTGCCTATCTACACTCAGGGTACTGCATTGATCCGAGCTCATGGCACTTCTGAGGTCACAAGCTTGGCATGGAGTACTGAAGGTGAGCTCGTCACACTGGGCGACAACTTCACAGCAAGGTGCTGGCGAGAGAAGGACCGCAATGCTGCAAGAGAGATGAGAATCTGCGGCGAGGGTCAAGGTGCTCGTTGGGGTTGGGGATGGGCAGATGTCGAAGGATATGATGAGGAAGAGGGTTAACGAACGAACAACACAATGTTCGCATCAACACAATCAGGATTACTAGGGTGGTTGTTCGAGGATGGCATGTTACGATTTGTTTTTCTGTCTTGTTTGTTCCATTTTGGACAAGGATACCCAATGCCATGATGGCTCATAGCGTAGCGCTGAAGACTGCACTCTTCTCTTGCTTTTAGATAGAGTTGTTAGGTAGCTTAAAGAATAATATGTATTATGAACCAGACTATTGCTTCCTTGGACCATAATACCTCAGATGCAAGCTGATTTGCATAAAACTAATGCTCGATGCATGAGCGATGACCAGGGTGATACCTTCAACCAGCACTTCGAGCAGTATAACCACTGTTGTCGCTTTACTTCTGACTATATCTCAGTGAAACTCTGTCAGAGATCGCTCAGAGATATCGAGGTGGATGCTACAGCGTTTCATGCCCATAGGTCTTGTTTCTCGACGTCTAGAGACAAATGTTCGTTTCGATCATGTGTTCTATTGAACAACACTCCACAATACATGGGATAAATACCGTCGCTACTGTCAAGCTCGCGAAGAAACACGAATGCAGGCAGACAGGATCAGCTTCTGCAATCTCCAAGCTGTACCTTGTTGTCAAAGAAGTCTTGACCAGGAATCACTCGTGCTTGCATTCTTGCGATCGTGAAGGGAGTGCTCTCATGTTGACAGCAGTCTCTGTGTGTTGAGAACGAATGCTTAACGCCCCCTCACTAGCAGCCCTATCAACGTCCAGAAGGTTGCATCTTTCTTATCAGTCAATTTTCGCGACCTTGTCCTTCACACTTCCTTCCTCGAAGCTCGACTCTCGCCGCCTGTATTGTCTTTCACATCTGTGAAGTCGTCGTGGACTTTCTAAGCATCTCAACATGCCGACAGAGCAAGACGCTCCAAAGAGCGCAGAAGGCGTCGCGCGACCGTCGATCAGCTACATCGACATCGCGTAGTCAGGACTCACTGTGGCTAGCCATGATCGCGAAAGACCTCGCACAGGGCGACTATGACACCAGCCGAGCACCTATACCAGCTTGAAGGGCCATGATGTTCTCTCCTTCTGGCTAGCATTGACTCCATACCAAGATGTAACGGTCTTGGCTTTTACGTACTGGCATCCACGTTCTTTGACTGTCGATGACGACGTTGGAGCGAAACTTAGTATCATCTCGATGACCATGTAAGTCATAACAAGAACCCTGTGGCTCTTATACGATCTATAGAATTCCATGTCGTACTTTTTCGTGCATTGCGCGGTTCGTGCTCGCTCCCAAGTATTTTCATCGCTTCAACGTCAATTCTGTAACTACACTGCTCCTCTCCGCTCGCCTCAGACAGCGTACAATAATCGCATTGCCTCTCACCAGAATAGACGGTTCACGAACTCGGTCAGAAATATGCACGACAAGTTCTCAGGCTCCGAAGCCCCAAACAAGGTTCGGATGATGGTGTTCGAGACAGATGAGCCGCATCCTGAGGACCATAAAGACAAGGGAACATTTGGAGACGTGCTCGACAGATTATTCAAGGCTGCTGGCGACAACCACGACCCACAGCTTGGGATCGAGACAGCCATAAAGTTCGTTGTCGAGCCCAAGGGCGGAAGAGTGCCTACTGTGGATGAGATGAAAGACGTCCACGCTATTTTGATTACGGGAAGCATGTATGATGCTCATGGCAATGACGAATGGATCCTCAAACTTATGAAACTACTGCAAGGTATGAAGTGATGCTGGGTCTTATTTAGCAGACAATCGCTAACGGCAATAGATCTATGGCAACATCGTCCCGATATTCGCTTCTCAGGAGTCTGCTTCGGTCACCAAATCCTCTGCCGCATGCTTGGAGCAAAAGTTGATACCGTCCCGGGTGGCAAATGGGAGCTTTCACATACTCACATCTCTTTGACTGATGTCGGAAAACAACTCTTCAGGACAAAGGAAGAAAAACTAAGACTACACCAAATGCACCAGGACCATGTTGTGAAGCCGCCAAGTCCAGAGACTACGGATCTGCTTAAGGATGGCCAGAAGGTTCACATTTGGGGAAGCTCGGAACATACGGCTGTTCAAGGAATCTACATCAAAGACCGCCTTTTCACATCGCAAGGACATCTTGGCTTCGATGAGGATATGGTAAAACGACAAATCAATCTGCGCATTGAGAGTGGCAGTCTCAAGGATATGGAGCACGCTAGTGCAGCCAAGGAGACGGCTGATATGGAACACGATGGCGAGGTGGTCGCTGGCTCGATTCTACGTTTGTTCCATGGCGACGATAACGACATCCCTTGATGGGCTTTGTTGCAAATAGCAAACTAAGGCTATCCTTTAAGAGGGGCAAACAGTCTTTCAATTCGATAATATGAACAGACTTGCAAAACCGTGCAATTATATCGTTCTGCGCTTGAAGCCTACGCCCCGATGTTGAGGACTTCATATAAGTCACTGCATCTATCAGGCGATATGCTGCTTCGTTACAGTCAAATGCGACCGGTGAGACCATCTCGACCTCGGCGATTCTTCTCCCAACCACCAGTGTGGCGATGGGTTCCACGCAGCACAACCCACAACCCACTTGATCGCGACACCGAGTGCAATACTGTGTCCTATTCAACAGTGAGTGACTCATTCTCTTAAACAATTAATCAACTGTTTCCCCACAAATAATAGGCAGAAGTTGGAATCCTCCGTGAACAGACCAAGAAAGGTAGGCTGCATACAGCCAGCGCGCGACCAGGCAGCCGCGCCAATCGAGACACCGCAGCCAATGCGACTTTGCCAACAACTTCACAACTCAGCCTCACCAAGTTGTCCAACACTTATAAGTCACTTCTAAGTCGCTGTTTAATCCCTCAATCACTTTCTCTTTCATCATCACTTCTACTGTCGTCTGACCTTTTTAAACACCATCATCTCGTCTTCTCTGACTACTTCCCTTTTTTTCCTTTGCATCACAACCAATCTCATTATCTTACAACAACGAATCGCAGACCATGGCGCCTTCACGTATCCTTGAGGTGACTGAGCCCTCAGAAGAGCGCGATTCGGAAGTCAAGAGCCAGATCGACAGCAAGAACGAGACAAACACAACCAACGGCACCAACAACGACACAAAAGACGACACCAAAAGTGAATCAACCGAAAAGAAGACTGATAAGAATGGCGATGACAAGAGCGAAGCCTCAGAAGAAGAGATCGACCCAAAGAAAAAGGTCGATGCTGCAGAGCCTATGAAGGCAGAGCTGAAGCACCTCGATCGCAAGTACAGCGAGAAGCATCAGTGGTATTACGCCGAGACAGTCGAGGACAAAGCTGTTCCTGATCAGGTTGATTGGTAAGTTATTCGACTGGATAGGCTCGAGAACACGATTGATGAATGTTCTGAATAGGTGGACAAAATATGCCCTCTGTGTGACAAGATACATGTCACAAGATGGCAAAAATGTCAACAAAGTAGTCGTTCAGATAAACTCGCAACATCTCAAGGACCTGCTGAAGGAGGCAATCGGCTCTTACCCTGGCGTCAGTCTCGACACAAAGGACATTGCTCTGACACAGCCTTGCCGTCTCCTTTACCACTACCTCGACGAGATCAAGGCACTCGGCGAAAAGTTCGAAGCTGGCTCTGAAGCAGCAGCCCACTACCAAGTCCTTCTGAACCACATCCAAGAGGAGTTTGGCGAGACGATCCAGGAGGCAAACAATCTTCGTGAGCAAAACGTCATGAGCTACCAGCATTTGTGGACTGTCTTTAAGCCCAAGACTATTGCATTTGCGCGCGTGCTTGGTCAGGTTCAAGCTTTCCGTGTGCTGGACTCTCACTACCAGTGTGGTCAAAACCCTCGCTTGGTACTTCAATTGCAGCAAGTGGACTTTGATGGTAAACGCTTTGGTCATCGAAACGAACAGATGGGCATTCCTGCCTACCTGGGAGCCGTCGGGATTAGCAAGCTCAATGTCGTTCCTCGTCTCTTCTTCCCTCAAGTCGAGGAGGTAGAGCAAGCTCTCATTGCAAGAGGTCGCCGTTTCGAGCAGTATGCTGGTATCCACTTTGCCGAGCATGCAGCCATTGCTTTGGAGCACGTCTACAACAGCGCTCGTGGTGACTACGATATCAATCGCGTCCACATCAGCGAAAGGGTTGTTATTGACTGTTTGACACACCATCGTCTCAACCCTGACCTTGCTAAGAGCGTGTCTCCTTTCGAAGACGAGGCCATCATTCTCGCTAGAGATACTAGCTACGGCGACGACGACGACTCTGATGATGATAGCTACAACAGCTACGACTCAGACAACTACGACAGCGACGACGACGAGTCGCCAAAGCGCCTAGATGCTGAACTCATGCCCACTGCCCAAAAATCCTTCAAACCCTTGACTGACGAACAATGTCTTCTCGCGTCTGCTTTGGTGCACGGTTTCTCCTTCACCCACAAAAAGTGGATCGACATGTTCATCGACGAACTCTCCCCAGTACAATGGAACGAACAATGTTTCGACCAACTCGTGCTCGCACCTCGGCAGAAGAAACTCGTACAAGCCTTAGTCACCGAACACATCTGCCAAAAGTCAGACTTCGACGACATCATAAAGGGAAAAGGCAAAGGCCTTGTTCTGGTGCTGCACGGTCCTCCAGGTGTAGGAAAGACTCTAACTGCAGAATGTGTAGCTGAACGCTGCAAACGTCCTTTGTACGTGGTGTCCTCAGGAGACCTGGGAACAGACAGTTTCACGCTCGATCAGCGATTGACCCAGATCTTGGATATGGCGAGTACATGGCGCGCAGTCCTTCTCATCGACGAAGCAGATGTCTTCCTCGAACGCCGTTCTCTGCACGATATGGAGAGAAACGCCTTGGTCTCTATCTTCCTACGTGTGCTGGAATACTACCAAGGAATCTTGTTCCTCACTTCCAACCGTGTGGACACGTTTGACGATGCATTCAAATCGCGCATCCACGTCCCTCTCAAATATACTGGTCTGGACACTTCTTCGCGCAAGCAGATCTGGAAGAATTTCCTCGACAAGGCAGAGGGCGGTGAGGAAGGTTCGGTCGTTGACGAAGAGGGCCTTGATAAATTGGCCGTGCACGACTTGAACGGAAGACAAATCAAGGGCATCGTGAGAACGGCTACCAGTCTTGCTCGCTACGACAGCAAGAAGTTGGATCTGGAGACTTTGGAGCAGGTTGTCGAGATCCAGATGGACTTTGAGAGGGATCTCGTGGGAGACAAGCAGTGAGGTATGCAAAATGGGTGCTTGACGATGGGAACAAGGGGAAAAAACATAGCCTCTAGACATTCGGCATGGACAGATGCGTATGATAGCGTTTCATGGGAGTTAAGGACAATCAACAAGGAGAAAGCAATATCTGAAAGCAAAAATGAGCACATTAAAAAAACGATCAAACTGTATTGACATCGAGGCCATCTGCCGGCAAACCGAGAACGAAGAATAGAACAATAAAGTAGAAATAATGCACCTAATTCGCACCAACTCTATGATAACCCCCAGCCGTACTCCGGAAATCCTGCATCCATGCTTGTGGGTGACTTTCTACCTTTTGGTCAACAACCAAAAGGATAACAAGGGGGTATATTATGCGCCAGGAAAGTACGAGGTCCACTCCAACGCCGAATTGAGAGATAAGATGTTGTTTATGGTGAGCCGAAGAGGCTTCTAGACTCTGGTGAACAAGTCGGGAGTGTGGTTGTCCATGGCTTCTTCAGTCAAGGCGAAGCCTCCGGCGACAGCAACCTCTGAACCGACACTGGAGCTGCTCGACACGGAGGGGGCGAAGTCGAAGGAATGGCCAGAGTAGCATTCGGGATCTGTCATGGCTTTGAGTGAGTACTGGGCTCTCAGCTCTTCAACAGTCTCTTCACAGCCAGGCAGAATTGTGTATGATGTAGTCGTGGGGATGGTAGGGAGGCTGATCGACGAGGTCGTAGTATATGAGTGAGAAGGTGAATCGTCATAGTCGTCGTTGGTGGCGGTCGAGGTACGGCGCATGCGATGAGATGCAGAGTCGGAGACAAGTCTGATGGTGGAGCGGGGTGCGTGAGCGTGGCGAGGGTCTCTGAGAGTGACGAGAGGCATTTCGTATTCAGCGCGTGTCTCAAGGCCAGCTTCACCCTCATGAGAAACCGATGACAGAGCGTCTTCGCAGCTTTCGTCATCGAAATCATCATCAGTAGAGAAACCATCGCTTGTGTAGCCTGACGATGCAGAGTGGGCTGGTGAGCCAATAGGAGATTCGCCCCAAACGGGAGAGGGCACCATCTTGACGGGAGTACAAAGTCCAAGGGTCTTTGCAATGCGGGCATCCTTCACGGGGAGACCCTCTGTGAGTTCGAAGTTGTCGATGGGTCTGACTTCATCTTCGAAGACTGCCTCGAACGAGATCCAGCAACGCTCCTTGCGTACAGGACCGCAGCGCTGACAGACTTTGAAGTCGCAGCGGACGTCATCTGATATAGTGCTGGTATATTCGGGTGCCTTGTGGTTGATAGAGGGCAAGGGCTTGGTGGCCCTTTCCAAGACTTGTTGCAAGTGTTGCTTCTGGCGAATGAGTTTCTGAACCTGGTCGTCGGTGTAACCACCCTTCTCAAATTCCTTGATGACAGACTCGCTAAGACCCAGTTGACGAAGTTCTTCTCCAGCTGGGCTGACAGGGTGTGTCAAGGACTTGATAAAGGCATAGTCTCCCACCTCTGGGACATCAGAAGTGCAGTGGTAGAGCCAACCAAAGGGAGAAGGATTGCGACACGTATCACAGGACCAGTTTCCGTAGATGCGGTCCATTCTGATGTGTGTGCAGGCACTGACGCATTGCGGGAGAGCGCGTCTTTTTGAGCGACCAACAGGAGTCATGCCAGCCTACAATGTGTGGTCAACGATCTGTTGCTCGAGTGGCTTCTTGAATAATACCACGTAGAGATCGTGGAGGTGGAAATAAGAGTATGGTTGATACAAGAGGTAGAATATAAAGGAAATCATGTGCGGATAACTTACTTGCGTGATCACGCTCATGTTGAAGGAAGCGAGACGTTGTTGAAAATGGTTCGAGAGAAAGATCGTGAGAAAGGATGATTTCGTCTTGGACTTGAGAGAAATGGAGGGATTTTGCAGATGTGCGCGAGTTGATGGACGGAAAAGGAAGCGAGTGAGTGGAATGGATTGTTGTTGGTCTGGTTTACAACCGTGCTCATAAAAGTGAAGGAAAAGGCAGGTACAGTATCAAGGAAAGCCCGTCCCAGTCAAGTGCAACTGGCTTGTTGCTCTGATATGAGGCACAAAGGTGGAAGGCATATTTTCACGGAGCGAATCGAAGGCAGAGCAAATAGTGTCGAGGTCGGATCAGGATCGTAGACATGCTTTATGAAAATACACGGTATGGTACAAGCAGTGCGACCTGGGCGATGCATTTTGCCGGGCGACTACATCTAGTATGAGGCAAAAGCACCATGGTAGCTCAATCGTCAGCGACAGAGGAGAATTTAGAGAGAGTAGCACAGTTGAGATGTAGAAGCTTTTCCCCACCCTTGTGGCAGGGTTCTGACCAGGTACAGGTGGCCTTGTCGAGCGGCAGCTTGCAGTGCTCGAGCGCGGCTGCAGCTGAAACTCGTCTTGTTTAGAAATGGATTCGATCAAAGACGGTCTTCATATCTAGCCCATTCATGGCAGATGTCTTGGGATGTTGTTGTTAGTGGAGAAATGACAGGTCGAAGGGGTCGGCAATTGGTTCAGGCATCGGTACCCCGCGAATAAGTGGGACCTCGGCTCAGCATAACCCCGGAGGAGGCCGCCTATCGTCGCGAGTCTTTGTATCGCTGGTGTTTTGTTAGGCGCGGCCCAGCCATCTGGTTTGACGACGACTCTTTCTCTGTCGTACGCCGTGCACCATAAAACTTTAGCAACAACACACAACAATGTCGTCGGTCAAGTTCGACGTCAAGGAGACGGTCGCCAGCGTTTCTGGCTCGCAGGACCTTGCCAATGAGGCCAGCGTTGCCCTCGCCAAAGGTGCTGGTGCTGGTGGCTACCTGGCTGTGAGTCTTGTTAATGCGACTTCGATACGATTGTGACTGATGGAGAGCTCTAGGCATACTTGCGCCAACTGCAGAGCAACCCTCTTCGCACCAAGATGATCACCTCGGGCTCGCTTTCAGGTGCCCAAGAATTCCTCGCCTCATGGATCGCAAAGGACCGCAACAAGGATGGCCACTACTTCACCTCGCGCGTGCCTAAGATGGCCCTCTATGGTGCTTTCATTAGCGCTCCCCTCGGCCACGTCCTCATCAACATCCTGCAGAGAGCCTTTGCTGGCCGGACCAGTGTGAAGGCCAAGATCCTGCAGATCCTTGCTAGCAACTTGATTGTATGCATATCTTGGCTACTGTATACGCCAGAATCATTTGACTGACTCTTCTCACAGGTTTCTCCAATTCAAAACACCGTCTACCTGACCGCCATGGCTATCATCGCAGGCGCTCGCACTTTCCACCAAGTTCGCGCCACCGTTCGTGCTGGTCTGCTTCCCGTCATGAAAGTCAGCTGGTGCACTTCTCCCCTGTCTCTCGCCTTTGCTCAGAAGTTCCTGCCCCAAGAGACCTGGGTGCCCTTCTTCAACATCATTGCCTTTATTATTGGTACCTACATCAACGCACACACCAAGAAGAAGCGTCTGGCAGCTCTGAGAAAGAAGCACTACGGTGATTCTAGAGCTACCGGCCGTCCTGAAGACGACAGACGTCCCAACTTCTAGATCGAAAGTTGTGTTGTGTCTCGGCCATTCTTTGAGCCAACCCAATTTCTGGTTCTCAAACCAAAGGGGTTCAGCGTGGTACAAGATGAAGCTACGTACGCTTTGACCTGATGATGTTCTCTTCTCACACGATTTGTTATGCATATATCCACCTAGCAGCTTTCTCAAGTCAATTGTTCTTACGTCCAGTTTATACTGCAGTCTGTTCATCATTCGCAAGTCCGTCCATACTTCGTTCTCCTAGGCTTACTTGTCAGTTCATGACCTGTTGATTACAGCGATTTTTCTTACTGAGTCTGGCATGTCAAATATTTACGCGATGGGAAGGGATAGTCTGCTGAGAATTTGGCCGGCCCTAAGCAGCACGATCGAAGAGATATGACAGAACCATCAGCATCTTCTTCCATCAATTGGGGTTGTGGTCTAGTGGTATGACATCTTCTTAGCATTGCTCTCCGAGCGGTCCTGAGTTGGAGAAGGTTCTGGGTTCGATTCCCAGCTACTCCACATTGCTTTTGCCAGATGGATGGCTTCGAGTATCTTTTCGATCGCAATCCGTCTGTTGTCGAACTTTTGGTTGATCGCTTTTCGTAATCAGAAAGTGCGCATATAAGAGTCAAGAACGTGAGCTGCAAAAACGTGGCAGCAACATGATTTGCGATTATCTATTTCCATCCTCTTCTTTTCTGTGCTTGTTGTGATTTTACGTAGAAATGACATCGGAGAGGAGGGCTCAGTAATACCATTGGTAGATTGTTGAAGAGTATTCACTTTGCGCGGGTTTACACGCTTTCTACTCTCGAAGCTCTTCGCCATTCTTCAAGCTCGAGGCCTGCATTGAAGTGTTTGCACAACTTGTGCTTCCGTTCACAACCCCCACATTCGTCGATCACCCCGCCACGAGGGTTGTTCTCAGAGCGTCACCAAGCTTTCATCTGTTTCAACTTTCTACACATCCAAAGACGAGCAAAATGGCGACCGATCAAGGAGAAACAAACAAGTTCGCAATTCATGCAGCTTGTCGTGATGGACAGAGTGAGCGCCATTTGCCCAGGTCACAGAATACATTACTGACGTTCCATCAGTCAACCTCGCCGAATCATTACTAAACGTACGACCCTCAGCTGCGCTACAGATTGTTGACTATGGTTCTGACACTTCTACCCGTCTCAGGCGAATCCCAAGCTCGCCAAGTTACGCGACGATGACGATAGACTTCCCATTCACTGGGCTGCATCCTACAACCGCCTGCCCATTGTCGAAATCCTGTCTGATCGCAAAGACTTTGACCCAGACGTTCAAGTACGTGATGCCTCTGCAACCTCAACATCTTCACCCAAGCAACAGCACTAACAATCAAGAACAGGACGGTGCAGGCTGGACGCCCCTAATGATAGCCTCCTCCCTCAAAGACTCTTCCGCCTCCGAAACCCTCACCAACCTGCTTCTCGCCAAAAACGCCGACCCAACCCTAACAACCAACACCGGCGCCACAGCTCTCCACTTCGCAGCTTCAAAAACCAATCTCGACACAGCGAAAAAGCTGCTCGAGGCAAAGGCATCAGCAAGAGTCAAGGACAAAAGAGGACAATTGCCTTTGCATAGGGCAGCTGCGGTGGGCAATGTGCCGATGGTAAAACTGATGTTGGCGAGTAGGAGTCCGGTGAATGCGACGGATGCGGATGGGTGTACGGCGCTGCATCATGCTATTGCGGAGGGGCATGGGGATACGGCGGTGGTGTTGCTCAAGGCGGGGGCGGAGACGGATAAGAAGGATAGTACTGGTGCTTTGGCGCTGGATCTTGCGCCTGATGCTAAGGTATGTTCAAGTGCTCGTTGATTTCGAGAGTCGTGTTACTGATTTTTGGTTCCAGGTCAGGGATTACATCGTCCGTGCTGCGGAGGAGGAAGGCATTACCTTGTAGACCAGCACCCTTTTCGTCTTGATGACAGAACAGCGACCAGCATGAGAAATCATTAAAGAGACCTGGAGAGCAAGAAAGAGCACAGGCAGCAGAGAAATCATAACCACGACATAATGCATCTAGTATAGATTCATCTTCTATCAACTGATACCCCTTAACCATGACCGACATCACTTCATGTTCCTATCAACAAGCTCCCGATACATCTTCTTGACCTCCACAAGATCACTCTTCAACTCCTCCACTTCTTCTTCTTTCTCTCCCAACATTTCAAGACAAGCTTCGTATCTTTGCTTGACCTGTCCAAGCTCTTGCTCGAGTTTGTCAGTCTTGCCGTCTACACTGCGCTTAATTTCGACTTCGCGCATCATGGAGACGACTTCATCCCTGGCTTCGTCGCGTTGGGTAACTAAGCGTGCAAGTTCGTCTTTATGCGCTGACTTTTCGGCTTCGAGGCGTTGGATTTTGGATGACATGTGTTGGACCAGCTGTACACTGGGGCCTGTGTGTACAGTAGAGGCACTAATGACATCGTTGATGGTGCGTTGAGGACTGGACCTGTTGTCAAAGTTGTCATCGGCGTCGACATCATTGGTGTGGATGGAAGGGGTTTGAGGTGCTCCGTTGCCGCCGTTTAGGAGTTGAGCCAGAGAGAACATGGAGCCTTGTCTGCTTACGCTCGGTGAGGGGAAGTCTGGAGTCATCGGTGTTCGCGAGCTCATTAGGCCAGGTGCAAGAGTTGATGGCCGTCGTGACACGGAGCGGTCTATTGACAGGCTTGTCGTTTGTTCCTGCGAGGGGATACGTGATAGTCCGCGCCGTGACTGCACAGATCCGTAGGGATCTTGTGAGGGTTGCTTTCGGAAATAGCTGGTTGGTGATTCTGTTCTTGAAGCCATGGTTCCATTGTGAGGACTGGCAATGCCTAGCCCCTGCGCAAGTTGCCTTGTTCTCTCCTCTTCTAACTTCTGGCTCAGCTCTGATTCGAAAGTCTGCTTTTGGCGATCAAGATCTGCCTTTGCCTCGTTGAGAGATGTCTCTGCAGTCTCAAGACGTGTTTGTAGTTTCTTCATCTCCGTCTTGCTGGCTTGAAGTTGTGAAGTCAGGAGTTGAGATTCTTCGGTCATTTCTTCGAGTTGTTCCTCCAAGCGCTTAGCCTTACTGCTAATGTCGCGAGCTTTCTTGCGTACATCGGCTTCACGCTTTACAGCTTCGTCTCGTTCCTTTTCGATCGCAGCGATGCGACTGTTCAACGAAGTTTCAATGCTTCGCCAATTCTCTGCTGCTAGAGAATATTGGGTTTGCAGCGTTTCGATCTGACGGAGCAGTTTGGCTTGAGAATCACCTCCTACATCTGAAGAAGCTTCCTCAGCACGGACACGAAGTGCTTCGAGACGGCTCTCATAATTCTATAACGCACATAAGCACCACACACAAGAAGATCTTCATCACAGAATAAACTTACCGAGATCTCGTTAGTAAGCTCTGACTCACGAAAGCTGGCTTGCTGCCTTTGCTGACGAGCTTCCTCGGTGATTCGCTTAACTTCTGCGCTCCATTTATCATCTGCCAGCTTCTTTTCCAGCTTTGCATCCTCAAGCTGCTCCTGAACGGCAGACAACTTGTTGGCATCTGCATGAACCACGCTCTCTTTTGCTTTGTTTTCAGCCTCCTCAGTTTTCCTCTCGGCCTCAAGCAGCTGACTTCGCAAACTGGCAATGGTGGCATTACTACTCGCGAGCTCCGACTTGCGATTCTCGACATCTTTCTCAAGATTTGAGTATTGCTTTAGTCGTTCAGCGCTTTGTTTTTCAATCTGCTCTGACCGCTTCAGCCGTTGCTTCAGGTCTGACTCAGAATCTTCAAGTCTAGCAAGACGTTTGCGGAGATCAGCCATGGCCTTTTCGTCTTGTTGTGTCTTTAGGCGCATCTTCTTGATAGTAGCCCCTTGACGCATTTCAACCTTGCTCAGTTTTTCGCCTTCTTGCATCAAAAGAGCAATACGCTCATCTTTCTCTGCGAGTTTGCGTTCCTGAGGAGTAGCCTGAGAACTTGAGTTTGCCTCTTTCGCAGCAGCGACAGTCTCTTTTGCAAGATATTGAAGCTTTGCTTGCAAGGCGTCGATGCGTTCGAGGTTTGCAAGCATCTCTTCTTGTCTCTGCTTCTCAGCTTCGGCGTTCTCCTGGCGCAATTGTGCAAGCTCTGTGTTCAGTTCGGAAGCCTCTTTTGGCGCTACCACTTCTGGTTCCTCTTCTTGATCCTCGATCCTTTCTTCTTCGACCTTCTCCTCTTCTACTTTTTCCTCTGATTTGGGTTCATCATTGAGATCGATCGACGGTCTGGTTTGACTGTCGTTGGAGATGCGAGCGGGGTTTATTGGCAGACCAGAGGTCAAGAGAGTCGGAAGAGGTTCAGTGACTACAAGCTCAGGGGTGGGATCTGCGGCTGATGATTCAGGAACGGGTTCGTCGACGGCGTCAGGAGTTGAGACATCGAGGACTGGGACTTCTGCACTTGGCGTTGTAACAATTTCGTCTTTGGCTTCTGGCAAGGGTCGTGGTATGTCGGCCGACTGTCTTGAGCCAAGGCTAGACCTCGGACTTGCAGGTTGGTTCAAGGGAGTGGAAGAACGAGAAGGGTTCTGGCTGGCAACAGCCTTGGCCAGTCTTTCCTGCAGTCGATCGTTCAAGCGAGAGCGAGACGGGCTACGTGAGGTGTCTGCTGAAGCATTGGGGACCGCAAGAGCAGTGGGCTTCTCGGCCGAGGATTTCTCTTGTGCGGCAGCCTTGTCCTGAGCTCTGCTGCGCGCAGACGCTTCGTTGTCCTCAGCTAGGATGGTGTCCAGACGTGATTCCAGACCAGCGACGGCACCCGAGAGCAGCGAGCCCCATCGTGATGCTTTGGGTTTGTTCGGTGGCTGGGATGCCATTGCGGCGCACTATTGCTGAGCGCTGTCACGGAAACATTGATGGTTTGCATGCCTCTGAGCTACTCGGTCGGTAATGCCGTAACACGCGGCGGCTCGGAGGTGAGCCTTGGCAGAGGTGACGTAGACACATCGGCTTTCTTTCCTCTGTTTTAACCCACCGATTGCGCTTTCCTTATCGAGTAGCCGATGACTATTGCATCCCTATATCTCGAATAAATGCGTTCCTGGTGTCGATCGATCGGATCCCTGCAGGCCCTGCATATCTTTTCCACATTACCCTTCTTTCTTTCTCCTCCATAACTTTCTCCATCTTCGCTTCAGTATCCCTGTTCAAGCTCATTAAGATAGTCATCACACACAGCAAACAATACCGTCGACATGGTCAAAGCAGTTAGTCGTCTTGACTGGAACTAGCAGCCAGCATACTGATTTGACTCCTAGGCAATCGGTCAAATATGTTCCACAGCAGACTTGTCGCACAACCTCGAACAGTGCAAGATTCTTGTCAATAAAGCTGTTGCTGAAGGCGCAAAGGTCTGTCTCACTTCATACAAGTCCCACGTACTAGCAGCTGACCGAGCGTGTTCAGTAAAGGTCCTCTTCCTTCCCGAAGCCGCCGACTATATTGGAGGCTCACCAGACGAGTCCTACAACCTCTGCAAATCCGTCACTGAGTCGCCCTTTGTACTAGGTCTACAAGAGGAGGCGAAGAAGAACAACCTCTGCATCAATGTCGGCATTCATGAGCCCTCAGAAGCTCCAAAGAAGATCAAGAACACTCTTATCTGGATTGACGAGAATGGTAAAATCACCCAGCGCTACCAGAAGCTCCACATGTTCGACATGGAGTTGGACGATGGCCCTACCATGAAGGAGAGTGATACGGTTGAGCCCGGCAACAGCATTCTACCTCCTTTCGACTCGCCTGTTGGCAGAGTCGGCAGTGCAATCTGTTTCGATCTACGCTTCCCCGAACTTGCTCTCGCCCTCAAGCGCCAAAAAATCGACGTACTCTGCTATCCTTCAGCTTTCGCTCCAGATACTGGAAAGTACCACTGGCATGCACTACTAAAGGCTCGTGCCATTGAGACACAATCATATGTTCTCGCTCCTGCTCAAGTTGGTCCTCACAACAAGAAGAGATCAAGTTATGGTCATTCTTTGATCGTCGACCCATGGGGCAGAATCCTTGCAGAGTTGGGCAGCCAGGAAGACTTTAAGAACAAGGGTGACTCGTGGGAGCCCGAGCTCGCTACCGCCGATATTGACCATGATCTAATAGCAAAGATCAAGAAGGGTGTACCCCTTCACAGAAGAACGTGAGTCTGACATTCGCCACTATCTTTGCCATTCGTCTTGCTAACTGTTCCAGCGATGTGTACGCCGAAGTGTAGAAATTTACGTAGGCGGCAAAATAAACAAACCTCCCTCATGGTGTGCTATACCCGCTAATTGATATCTTATGATATTTTGTTCTCAAGATTGTTGGCTGCTTCCTGCCTGACTGTGCAATTGAGGCACAAATCGCCCATACTAAATTTGGCCGCCTGCATGAACAATGTGGCGAGCGGCCTCGCACTTTCCCGCGCCATTCTCCGAATGGATGCATGCGACTTCCTCCACGAGTTCGACGAGTTGTGCGACACACACCATGCTCACTTCCCTTCACAGTTCGGTAACGTAGACATGCCTACTTCTGGATTCTCTCCTCCGATAATCTATCACAACACCGTCCCATACTGACGCTCCACGTGACGGCAACGATCTGTTTGATGGTTTGCAGGGCAAATCGCAGTCGCTCACTAGTGGTGCTCAACCTGCATAGAAGAATAATTCAACCCTGGATGAGAGGGGCTTATCGTGCAAGATAGTTGCTTCTGGTTCTCCCACTGGTTGAGATTGCTTTCCATACGTGTTTCGGATCCACAACCACCGCCCTTTTATGGCCATCTCAGCAGTGCCGTCAAGACAGTCATGTCTGCGGGTCAGATCTCTATTTCTTCTACCCGTGAAGGGCATAGCAGCGAAGATTATACGATCGGCATCATATGCGCCCTACCAATAGATTTGGCAGCGGTTCTGGGAGTGTTGGATGAAGAGCACCCTCGTCCCCCACAAAACCCAAGAGACAGCAACTTGTACTATCTCGGTCAGATTGGAGATCACAACATTGTGATCACCTGTTTGCCAGCCGGGAGAATTGGCCTGGTTTTTGCTGCTCGCGTTGCTATGCAAATATAGATCAGCTTCGCCTGCATACAGAAAGGACTTATGGCCGGCATAGGCGGCGGTGTGCCAAGTGAGCAACACGATATTCGACTCGGGGACATCGTTGTAAGCCAATCGACTGGACAATATGGGGGCGTTGTTCAATATGACTTTGGAAAGAGTCATCCTGGAGGGGTCTTCGAGCGCACCGGATCTCTGTGCCCACCTCCGGATGTTCTTCTCGCTGCCCTGAATGGAGTCAAAGTCTCTCAACTGACTAACAGAGTTAGCATAGCTGCTCACCTCTCGTCTCTAGTCGAGTGTCTACCAGACTACAAATTTCTATCACAGCTTTCTGATCATTATATCATCCACATCATCTACACAAGGGTGGACCAAGCTGTTGTAATTGTGGCACAGAAAACAGAATACGACGTGAACCAAGATCTGATAGACTTCTTCCTGTGGTTCATTATGGCACAATTGCTTCTGGTGATCGGGTCATGAAAGACGCGATCGAAAGAGACAAGATAAGTCAGAGCTCAGGTGGTATTCTTTGCTTCGAGATGGAAGCCGCCGCTCTGATGAAACCTTCGATGCCTTGTCATTCGCAGGATCTAAGACGACTCCGACCCACACAGAACGATGGCTGGCAAAAGTATGCTGCAGCCACAGCTGCAGCATACGCCAATGAACTGCTCAATCACCTTCCTCCTGCGCAAACCGGCTCTGACACATGCTACCCCACGAGACGCAGATAAGTCGCATCAAAGATCGAACCGGACCATGGATCAAGAAACACTCAACTGGCTGTCACAATCATCTCATTTTTCTGAGATCCAGAACCAAGAACCGTGCTTGTCATAACAGGAGAATGGCTAGTACAAGATCCCAGATATCATGAGTTGAGCCATATTTCACGACAATTTGGTAGATGTCGTCTGAAACCTAACACACTGCCGACGTCTTGCAGACGGTTAGTGATTGCAAAGATGAGAATTGAGGGTATGCCAATTTGATTCTTCTTTTGTTAAGCTAAAATACATGGTTATTGTGTTCGTGATGGGGGCCGTGAAGCACGATACCGACGCAACTCCAAATCCCTCGATGAACGATGGACGGAAGTGTGAGCGTGGGGTAGAGAAAAGCCCGATCCGTTAGAAAACCCCAAAACGGCCGATCCGGGCCACTCCAAAATAATTTGTGGTAGAGAAGAAAAAGATCTCAGATGGTAAAGAAACTCGCTAATGACATGAAGACGAAAACATCAAGAATTGTGAAAGAGAGAGGCGTTTAAGCGGTGGCCGAGACGGTCTCAACCTCGACCTTGGGGAGAGGTGCGGAGGTGCCGCCGAGGTCGGTCTTTCTTGCCTTGGGGTTCTTGGTGTAGTAGTTTGAGATGGCGGACTTGATGGCGTCTTCAGCGAGCATAGAGCAGTGGACTATTGTGACAGAGTTAGTATTCGCGTTTTCTCTCTCGTATCTCCGCGGACGGGAGTCAACTTACGCTTGACAGGGGGCAGACAGAGCTCCTTTGCAATCTCGGTGTTCTTGATGCGGCCAGCCTGCTCAAGGGTCATGCCCTTAACGAGCTCGGTCAAGTAACTGCTGCTGGCGATGGCGGAACCACAGCCGAAAGTCTTGAACTTGACCTCGCTGATGGTGTTGTCGTTGGGGTCGACACGGATCTGGAGCTTCATGACATCGCCGCAAGCGGGAGCACCGACGAGACCGGTACCGACGTCGGTGTCGTTCTTCTGCATGCTGCCAACGTTTCTGGGCTTGTTGTAGTGGTCGAGCAGTGCTGCGCATGTTAGCTGAGCGTTCGTGAATGGCCAGATCCAGAGCTGCCGATGCGTCGATGGCCTCTTGTTCACCATCGACACATGGGCAGCGATGGAAGACGGGTAGACATATCTTTCTCGTGGTAGCTTCTTCTTGCGTTGTTGATGGCAGGAGCGGCGGCGCGGAATGAGGGAGCAATCGAAGGTCTGACGGCGGCAGCCATGGCTCTGCTAGCCTGAGCGGGGACGGTAGATGCGACTCTTCTGAACATTGTGACTGGTTTGATCGTTTGTAGATTTGTTGTGGTAGGTGACAAGTTCGTAGGTTCGAGGGACTGTTTCGTGGAGGGGAAAGACGATTTGAACAAAGCTGAGAGGCGACACACACTTTATGACGCTAATCTGATCCTCGGCGAACGGCGATCTCGGACCCGAGACTTTTTCGAGACAGCCACGAAAGCTCAACGTTCTCTAAGCTCAATCTCTACCCGCGTCTCTTCGCAGTTTCTGGTCAGATGTTCCTACAGACCGCAACGACACGGCAATCGCCGTCCATCTACAACCAATCATGCTTCTGCTGACTGATTCTTATCTTCTATCTCGGAAAGTCCGAGCTTCGGACTTTTGAACTACACTCCATGATTGCGACTCCTCTGCTAAGAGTCGAATCATCAAAACCGAGAAACATGTTCGATGCATTTAAGCGTTCATTGAAGATGATTTGTTTGGCAGAGAGAGAGAATGCTATAGTCCATTATAGGTCAATTATCATGCTGCTCTACTCGTGAAGACTCTCCAAGAACGCTACGCCTGCAAAAACAAGCTATAAAAAGGCATAGTACCTTCCAAAGTCTTCACCTTGTCCGCAGAAGTACCACAAAGGCAACTGCTTTCACTGGACATGTCTTAACTATCATATAACACTCTGCATTTTGATGGGTATCAAAGCATACTACCCTGAACAACGAGATGTACCTTTGCTACACTCAGAGGTCGACGCAATCACTAGGTGAAAGTAACCATTGTACCCGGTCACATTTCTCTAACATACGGACTCCTATTTGGATATAATACGGAATTACTTCACGACAGTTTCTACATCTATGAACCGTTGGGAGGCGATCAACACCATAAAGCATCGCGACATCGACCGGATAGACGATGCATACTGCTGTGGTTGGCCAGGAGAAAGAAACAACAACGGGTTGTAAGTCGAGTGGGAATGCTGGTCTTCGTAGAAGGAGGAGTTGGAGGAGACAGAGTTTGATGGTATTACTGTAACATTGACTCTGTCTGGGTTTAATAGTAGTGTTTACGGCGGATCGAGTGAAAGGCAGGGAAAAATTGCATGTGGAAACTCACGTAAGAAGTGAATGTAGGAGTATAGAAATAAATCATTAATGCGTGTGCGACTAAATCTTCTATGCCAAGCCCCCAGTTCTATACATTATAGCTTCGTCCCAATTTCCTCAGGGTTAGGTGAATTGGGTCTTTATCAATGAAAATGATATCTTCAGTCATCCCAAATCTTGACCTTCTCAGCATATTGTGTAATGTTGCTGTAGATGGTCTCGTTGATCTCATGACCCTTGCCACCTGCAATTCTCAAGATCAAGTCATTGAGAGATGCACGACCAAGAATATCAACATGGTCACCTAGAAACAACATCAGCTTGTGCACTTGCTTGTCTCATCAACTTAAGACTTACCAGTGTTAGGTCCACCACGAGGCGAGAATCGATCAGGCTCATGAGGCATCTCAAAGGTCGTAATCTTGATCCCTGAAGGGTTGTACCTCCTCATTCTCCAACCCTTGTTACACATATATCCTGTACTCAGCAGATTGACGGTACCATCGCCTTCTCCCATGACCACGCCTCTGTCGGCTACGTGATCCTCATCTGGGTTCAGGAATGTGGCTGCGGTATCGATCATGACATCGTTGTTGCTGCCGGGCTCGTTGTCTTCGCGGTAATAGTATGCGCGCTCAGTCTCCTTGCCAATACCATAGAAGCAGAAGATCTTCATATTTGGTGCTTTGGGGAGACGGGTTTCCAGTGGGTTAGACCATTTGCGAGGAATCTTCTGGTTCTCTTCTACTTCTTTTTTGGTGTGAGCAATGCCGAAGGAGTAGGAGTTGAGTACGGCCTCCGAGTACCAATCTTCCGTGGTGTTGAAGAGGTAAGCGCGAGACTGCTCAACGGTAAGGTTCTTTTTCGGTAACTGTGTAGAATTCAGATGGCGGAAGCTGAGGAATTTGCCATAGGTGACGTTTTGGTCGGGACGGTCGTCAGGAGCGCCATGTTCGTCTCCCCAGACTGCGTCACCGCCAATGGGCAGCATGCTAGAGATACCGGGCATGGCGCGGAACATTTCTGCTCTTTCGTTGCGGCTCAAAAACTTGTCCAGGCCATAGACTGCAAAGGCGTTGAGTTGTGCAGTATCCTTCATCTCGCCGGACAGCACTGCAGGCAGGCCCTTTGGTGTTCCGAGCATACATCCAGAGATGTTGATCCACGAGTCGATATGGTCGTCCACCCATGTTTCACCACCGTTGCCATAACCTTCGGTCTCGACCCAGTGGAAAAAGTAGTACAAGACTTGAGAGCCCATGCTGTGACTCAGGAGAACAACCTTTCTGTCAGATATATGCTTAGCCGTTTCGATGTGATTCTTCAGACGAGTAAAGTATTGGTCGCGGATCTCGTAGTTCATATAGCTCATTCTCCAGTCGTAGGCGGCGGTGAAAGCATTCGTGGGGTCGTATCCAATAGTAGCGAGGTTTTCCAAAATCTTGTTCCAGATCCAGTATCCAGTGATGAAGAAGTCGGTAGCATCAAAGCCTTGGGCAGCCCTCAGCTTGACTCCTGGCGGGTCCAGACCAGTCTTCTTGTCCAACATGATGTGTCTCTTCCAACCAGCCTTGTCCAGAACTAGAGCGCGCATCATACTCCAACTGCCCCATAGTCTCTTTCTGAAATATTGTCGCGAGTCCTCTTCCGTACTCCAACTCTCAAGACCGGTCGAGATGACACCGGGAATCATGATAACGGGGTGTTTGGCTGTTATACCTTGAGATTGAGCGTGTAGACCGACAGCAAAGGAATCATATGCAATGGCGTCTCGTTGATGTTTCTACACAAAGTACAGATAGTGTAAGCTACATGGTCTGAGGCAGCACGACAAGAAAGCACACAGCAAGCGACAACAACAAGAGAAGAGATGTGTAAGACAACAAGCACATTGGAGTGACCGACCTGAAGTTCATGGGCATCTTTGATCAAACCAGCAGGCAGCACATCAAGGATAGAATCGAGATTCATGTCTCTCAAGGCCTGCATATCGAAGACCTCATTGCTAGACGCGAAGAAGCCGGCAATGAGAATGCCAAACAGGCCTCCCAACCCAAAGACCCAGGCATTGCGTCTCTTTGTGCCCTTGGCCTTGTGTTGCGCCGTGAGTTTCTCGAGTTTCTTTGCCGACACGACGCGGACTTCTTCGGATGTCGGCGTGCCTGGTCGCGACTGTTCGGGTGTTAGGGAAGGAGTGTCTGCAGACGACGTGCCAAAGATGCGTCTCCGGAGTCCTGACATGACGGGCCAAGAGCGATCCAAGATATAAACGAGAAGAAGGCGCTTGCTGCAGGGATCAGCAAACAAATTGTTAAGGTGATGCGACTTCCTTCTTGTTCCTGTCCACACTCGTCATTGGTCCGAGCTTGTCTTTCATGTGCGCGGAGCGCTGCGACCCCCAGAAGAGCCTCAAGAAACATGTGCTTCGAATCTGGCTGGCCCCAAACCATTTCGTGAAACCATATCTTCCAAACAACTGCACAAAAAGTCTGGAATGACAACGCAACTGGATGCTTCGGCGAAGCCATCACTTCCGGAATTACAATACATCCAATATGATCCAGACAAGGAAGCACAATACCTCACCGCCATCCGCGAACTGATATCAAAAGACCTTTCCGAACCCTACAGTATTTATGTCTATCGATACTTTCTCTATCAATGGGCAGATCTCTGTTACATGGTGGGTGCATTATTATTCCATTCATCTGAAATTGTTCAAAGGGATCGATCGCCAAGCTGACTTTTTGCTCAAGACGGTTGATTCGACTGGGGAATTGATAGGCGTGGTCGTCTGCAAATTGGAACCTCATCGTGGTGGTCCAATGCGCGGATACATCGCCATGCTGGCAGTCAAGAAGGAGCACAGAGGAAAAGGCATTGCGTCAAGACTGGTACGAATGGCTATGGACGGCATGATAGCAAAAGATGCAGACGAGGTTGGTGCTTTTTGTCTACGACTTCATGTATCTGGAATTGACCCAAACAGATTGCTCTCGAAACTGAGATTGACAACATACCCTCTCTCAAACTTTACGAACGACTGGGCTTCCTAAGGACGAAACGCCTACATCGTTACTATCTGAACGGCAACAGCGCCTACAGGATGGTGCTCTACCTTAAAGATGGCGTCGCTCTGAAGCAGACGCAGATGCCTTACGACCCGCTGTACTAGACCTTAGACATTGGCGTTTGGACTTGAATTTGCATTTAGATACCCTTGCAGCGCATGAGAAAATAACAGCTTGTGATGGTGGCTAGTAGTTACATAGACTCCATCTCATGGAAACAAAAGCTCCTCGATGATTTCCTTTGCTTTTTCGGCTTCCACAGTGCCTTCTTCCGCTCTCCTAACCATCTGACCTACGAACCACATGGTCTTGCCTTTTTGTCCTTTGTCGCGGACCGCACTGACCATGTTCGGGTTCTCATCCATGATTGATTGAGCGAGCTCGATGTACTCCTCTCTGCTGATTGGGCGAAGGCGAAGGTTGCCTTCATCAATGCGAGCATCCACAGATATTCTGTCATCTGCATCTTCTTCGTATAGTTGCTGGAGGATCTGCTTGCCTACACGAGCAGTGATTTGCTTCGACAAAAGGTTTGCCAGCAGCGATGCAAGCTCTTCAGTTGTGATTGTGAGGTCTGACCACTCGCGACCATCCGAAGCGAGTAGACCACCGATCTCGTGCAAAACCCAGTTGGCAACCAGTTTGCCGACCTTGGCTTGGTTCTGACTGTCATCAGAGGCTTGAGCAGAGAGTTTCGTCTGAACCAGCTCGATTGTCTCAGCGCAATACTCGAGTCTCTCGCCATCGTCTAATGAGAAGAGTGTTTTTGCATCCTTCGTGGACAACCCGAAGTCATTAATTGCCCTCAAGACTGTGGAATCTGGCAACTCTGGCAAAGTCTTCCTGAGATGGTCAACCAGTTCATTCGAGATCAAGACAGGAGGCAAGTCAGGATCTGGCATGTATCGATAATCGACCTCTCCTTCCTTGCTCCTGAGGCGAGTTGTTTCTGTGCTGCCGATAGTCCAGCCTCTGGTCTCTCCCTCAATCACACCTCCAGCTTCGAGAACCTTGATTTGACGATCTCGTTCTGCGGTGACAGCATCTTCGACTGCTTTGAAGGAACTCAAGTTCTTGATTTCGGTCCTTGTGCCTAGACCAGTAACGCCAGAGTACTCGTTGTTGTCGCCTTTGGATCCTCGTTGTCTGACACTGACGTTTACGTCGGCCCTCAAACCACCCATCTCCATACCGGCGACACACGAGTCAACAGCCTTGAGTAGAGACTGTATCTTGCGAACAGTTGCAGCAGCAGTGGCAGGCGAATGTATTTGAGGCAGGGTGATGATTTCGATCAGAGGATGTGACACACGGTTGAAGTCAAGGAGGTATGTGGAAGGAGGTTGTAAAGCCGTCTTCGCTGTGTCTTGCTCCATCTGTATCTGCTTGATACCAATCGTGAGACCTGGGTTCTCTGCGCTTCCTTTGGGCTCAGGAATGTCGTTGGGGTCGATACCATCCTCCAAAGTCAGAATCAAGGAACCATTACGGGCAAAGGGTTCTATCGTGAGTCAGTAAAAGGTGACAGGCAGACGAATCGTCACAACGTACCATAATACTGAGTTATCTGATAGCCATTCGGCTGATCCTGGTAAAAATAGTGCTTGCGATCCCAGCTACTACGAGGTTGTATGTCACAATTCATAGCCAGAGCAGCACGAAGAGCTGGGATAAGAGTAGCCTTCTGGAAAGCCGGTTGGGCACCTGGAAGAGCAGCGTCGAAGCGAGCGACATGTTCGTTGGGTTCGGCATTGACAGAGGTTCGAGCAGTCGAAAAGAGCTTGTGGGCAGTGTTCAGCTCGGCGTGCACCTCGATACCGACCGTCAACTCCCACTTGTCCAGCAGTGTGTTGACTTCATTGCTTCCCTTGCCAGCAGCTTTGGCAGACTTCTTCCGCTGTTTCGCCTCCTCTTTCAGCTGTTTGCGAAGCGGTACGGTGGCCTCGGCGGGCTTTGCGCCTCGACGGTGGTATGCAGTTTGGGAGAACTGTTGGCGACAAGCGTATACGCCTGCCGGCAAATTCAGTCGTGGTCGGCAGACATGATATAGACAGGTCTGTCTGAGCGACAGGGTGATCGGGCGAGGTTGTAGCGGCATCAAGTCATGATGGGATAATTGAAGATTGAATGTTGCGGGCAGCTTTGCCCTCTACCATATCACCACCAAGCCGTTAAGTCCGTAGCAGCACCTTCTGCTCAGATTTTGACATGGTCACGCTTTGTCTGATCGGTCACATGTACGGAGACGAGTGGAAAGAAAACAGGTCACATTTAGTGGTCATAACAAAGTGGTCTTGCAGCATGTCTCATTGACGAATGGTATGGTAATTTTAGAAAGCCTCAACACGCCGTAATGCACCAAAGCCCATCAATCCTTCGCGTTCGACTTGAACTGGGTATCTACGCTTAAGCGGAGAAGGCGTCGGGGAAGCGGCGCATGTTGTACTCAAGGGGACCCTTGTTGCGGAGGAACTGGACGTAGGCACCGTCGACACGGACGCGGCCCTCCTGGCGCTTGGCGACGTACTCCTCACGGCGGAGGGGAGTGAAGCCCCAGTTCTTGGAGACGACGATCTTCTGACGACCAGGGAACTTGTACTGGGAGCGGCGGAGAGCCTCGATGGCGACAGCGCGCGCTGAACATAACTGTTAGTGTCTATTCAGGTTGAAAGCAATTCCAACAGGTCAACTTACAGGAGTCACGGCAGCGGACAGACAGGAGAATCTGGCCAATGTTGACACGGGCGACAGTGCCGTTGGGCTTACCCCAGGCACCACGCATACCGGTTTGCAGTCTATCGGCACCAGCGCAAGACAACATCTTGTTGATACGGACGACGTGGTAAGGGTGGGCACGGACACGCAAGTGGAAGGAGTCCTTGCCACCAGACTTGACGAGGTACTTGTTGGCGCAAATACGGGCGGCTTCAAGAGCCTCGGAACTCAACTGCTCGTACTCGTTGGAGACGAGGTGGATGCAGAGAGGGAACTCATCGACACCAGCACGCTTGCGGCCGAGATCGAAGATGCGAATCTTAGGGTCGGGGACACCGCGGTTGAAGCGCGACTTAGGGTAGGGCTTGTTCCTGTGGGAGTGTTGTTAGTTGTGTGTCGGAGGGGTGTAGTGGCCAGAAGGAGTCGCGCGGTGTGGGTTGAATTTGTGATGACGGAGTTGTGCGGATTTGACGATTTTGGATGTTCAAGATGGATATTTGTATGTGCATGTTTCTGGGCGCAAAAGGACTCGATCGAAGGGGAATCCTTACTTGCAGTAGCGGTAGCTGTGAAAAGGTCAGCAAAGAGTCTTTATAGATGTGTTTCGACCTGAGATGGCCTCTCCCGACGGTCGAAAAGCGCAATGTCGTTCCATATGTCCAATACACGCATTTCGAGCCCCGGGAAAGTCGATCCAACAGTCTGAGCAGTTCTGTACTCACCAACGAGCGGGACGACGAGCCATTTTGACGGTGTTGTGATGTCGCTGGGTGTTCGAGAGAGAGGAAGAGTTTGAGTGGCGCGCGCTGATGTGAATATCTCGGCTGCTTGTGTGCGTGGGTCCGTGCGTCAGCGATTGGAAATCCCGACTTGCCCTTCTCCTCACTGGGCACTCTCACTTCTACCCCAGCTTGACCAATGAATGACGTGCAATCATCAACTCGATTATCAATCCAACAACGCCCTTTGTTCCTTTTGTTAACCTGCTGATGCTGCTTTGAAATCAACTCGACTCTTGAGCTTGTCTCGATCAAGACACCGCCGCCTTCTGGTCGTATCTATTCAGATCTCGTCATCACCAGCCAGTCGCAGCACGTCTTCAACACTGACCTTGTGACTCACCGTCAGCCATGCTGGTCTTGTCTCGTCATGGCAGCTACAGCAGAAGCCATAGACTGTCCTCATGAGCTCTGTCCACTCTCCTGGACGCAAGCCTGCCAGACTAGTAACATTTTGAGGCCTCACCATGGTCATGATGACTGCATTGACTAAGGACCATGTAAAAGCTTCAGGTAGGGAGCCACGCTATACCACAGCTAAAGGCCAGTATGTTTCTAAGCGCTAGCACGTCTCTTCGCTGTTTGACTTGTTCCTCTTATGCCTCGGCGCGTATTTGTCTATAGTCAAGGCTACTTCTTCTACATAACAAGGCAGGATATAGGAAGTCTATACATGTCTGCACAAGGGGGCATTTTAGTCTACACACATACACTTGAGGACATTCACCGCCCTTTGCGACTGTCACTTTCATCCAATGTAGATGTTTGATAGCTGGATCAGCGCTCCCTGTATATGCCGTCTCCCAAGACACACCAGAGGTACGGATTCTATTCAATATCTTATCATGCCCACTCACACCGAGCACATATCTTATCACTTTTGTTCAATCATAGGTCACTGCGAGACTTTTGTGTCGAATCGGTGCATGTCTAGGATCACACAACCAGAAACAGTGTTCTGTGAGGGCGACCCTGTCTAGATAATTTTTCCTTTAGCAAGAATGACCACAAGTCATCGTGTCACCCATTTTATGTTCACTGGACTCATTTGGAAACTAAAAGCACATCATCCGCACATGGCTTTATGTTGTGTCTAGTGCTTGCGTCGCCGCCTGTGTCGAAAAGGCCATTGATGTCACAAAAGATGAAATTGGAGTATGACTTCTACGTTGTCTAGGGTCCATGTGAGTATACCATTTGATTTTTCTTACAGCTCTACCGATGCACTCAAGAAAGTCTCCTATCACCAGAACATTGGAGTTATATCAACTTTATCGACATCGTCGTCGGCCTAATCGTTCCGCTCAGCTCCATGTACCCAAAGGCGATTATGCCATTCGGCCTCAATGCATCAACACCATCTTCTCAAAACCTCTAGGCCCATGAAAACAGTCTTCAGCCTCTAATCTGCAGTTTCAAACACTCAACAAGGGAGGGGCTCTACAGAAAGACATCTGGGGGCGAGAATGTTCTGAAGGCAGTGCCCCCTGTCGCCACTAACTTTGCGATCGTTCATTTTGATTGTTCACAGTCTTCGTCGATGACTTCCGTTTCAACATCTAACGCGAGTGCCAGTCGCATTGCATAGAACACGACTCTGAGTACTGTATGGCCAGCCCTGAGGGTCTCGCGGATGCAGGCGATGAAACCAGGCAACCCACGAGGTGGAACCTGTTGCTCACGAGGCTTCAGACATCTGAACTTGACAACCAGCCCCTTGGTTTGTTGCTTTCGTTTAAACCTTGCAATTGTGTCCCAGTGTTGGTTTTCGTTCTCCGGTAGCCAAGGGGTTGATGCGGTGATGCTCATTGTCGTGACGGTTTTGCGGTACGAGTAGATTTCCTTGGTGATGTTTGGACACACCTTGAACAGTGCTGGTACGCCGTTGGTGAGATAGTCGTGTTCTTCATGGAGGGCATAGTCGTATATCATGCTTCTGAGCTCAAGCGGCAGAGAGCGAAAAGTCGTCATGGTTCTTGTTTTTTATGCCGTATACTGTTCGATGAACAGCTGCTGATGGAAGAACAAGACGAAGACGAGAAAGCGAGCTCAAGACGTGGGAGCGAGTTCTAGATGAGAGGGCGAGTTGTCGCTAGGATGGTGAGTCTTGCATATGGAAGCAAGCAGCTGATGAACTCGAAATGTAGGATGGTATTTAATTGGAAAGATGACCAATGTCAATGGAAGGCATTATATACACGATCTACTAGTTGCTCCTTCCACAATCATCACTCAGTCTCATGTATGGAGGCTGTGTTGTAAACTAGCTCATATATTCTCTCTAGGCTGCAGTCACAGGCTGTATGTAGAATTTCGCCCTTCCACCGCTTGCTCAAGAAAAATATCAATGAGCGGCATCGAACAAATGCGAGCGAAAGTCCACAAGAAGCAACAAATAGTGAAGAACCCACGAGATCACAAAATTTGGCAGCAAGAGTCTATTTTTGGTGCCTCAACTAAGCTACTCCTGCACCTGATACGTGCCTGAAAAGCAGCAACTCTTTTGCCCAGGCTATACCTCTTATCGTCCAGTATAATTGAATTATTCGCAAGACCACTGTCCTTATCGACTCCTTCTCTTCTGACAAATTCCGGATTGTTCCCAAATCAGAACTTTACTGTCCCCATGTTGACGGACCACAAAGCTGTTCCATTTGTCCCTTGGTGCACAAGATGGTATATGTCGTCTTTCCTAGCCACCAAGTCTCCGAACTACGATCTTCTGGGAGCTCCCAATGCGAAAGAGACTCTATGAATCATTGCGACGAAGGTAGTCCAAGAACGAAGGTACATCATGAGGGACATCAGCATGTCCAGAAGCATCACTAACATTGCCATTGTCATGCATATGTTGGAGAACACCTGCGATGAATGCATCAACGTTCTCTTCGAGAGATGCACCGTAGGTGACGAGATGAGGTGCCACGTTGGCCCTGTGACCGGAAGGGAGCGTGCCGGCGAGATACTCAGGGACAGATCCTACAGGCTCAGTGAGCTTGGAGAAGAAAGATTGGCGGCTCGAATGAACATGACTGTGATGCTTGGGCAATTGTGATTCTGTAGATACGAGAGACTGGGGGTCGTCAGGGGGTGGACCAGAATCAACGGTCTTGTTCGAATCAAGAGACCAGGACGTTTCTCCGTTCTCGTCGAAGTTGAGAGTCATTTCAGGAGGGACTGCAAGAGCCACAGGTGCAGCGAGATCCGCCGGCTCGAGCTCGGTGGCATGCTCGATCTGTTGCAATGAGGGCTCTGTAGTGGGAGGCAAGGCCGCGACTTTAGCAACCTTCTTCTTCTTCTGGGAAGAGCCGTAGCCACGATCGAACTCGTCAAGACGACTTTGTAGATTTTGGCGGGCTTGCCAGCATGGAACCTGTTCGAAGTGTTTTGTGTTGCATTTTCCGCAAGTGGGCCAGGTGCATGGTCTATTAAGGTAGCGACCACAGTCTCTACAGAATCTGGTACCCTTCTTGAGCTTCCTGGCAGCAGTTTCGGAGGTGAGAGTACGACCTGGGCTAAGAGCGGTAGCTTGAAGAGTCGTAGGTGGCATCTCGTTGTTGATGTCAATCACAGTTTTCTCTTGCTTCTCGATCTCGTCCATCGCTTGAACCTGCTTTGCGTCTTCTTCTAGACGTCTCTTCAGTCGAGCCTCAGCGACGGCACAGGGAGTCTCTGGGTGATGCTTTTTGTGGCATTGTCCACATTTGGGCCATTTGCAGGCTGATCTGTGGAAGCTGCCGCACTCTCGACAGACGAGACAAGTTCGCTTGCTGGGACTTTCTTTCTGTTGTCTGTTGATAGGAGATTGTGAAGCTGATTTGAGCAAGGACGTGGGAGCTTGCAGATCAGACAAGATTGATGATGCGTGGGTTTCGTCACGAAAGCGCAAGGGCAATGATGGTGATGCTGTCGAATTCTTCTTGTACTTCTGCTTCGGGGAGAGGACTGTCTCCGAGGGGGCATGCAACTCAAGGCGCTCCTTCAACTGCTCCATGGCGTCCAAACATGGGATGGCGGGGTAGTGATTCAAGTCACAGCCACTGCAATAGGGGACATAGCAAGGGGAACTGTGGTAGTTACCACATTGCAGGCAAAGACGGTCACTGCGATCTCTGATTTTACGGAGCTTTTTGAAAGACTGCAGGCGCTTTTGATCGAAATCGGCATTTCTCTTTCTTTTCGTGTTGTTACGAGGCGTGGCGAGGTCAGACTCAGTGTAGTCAGGAGGCCTGGGGCTGACAGGGACAAAGTCATAGTCTCTGTGATGGCGGCCTTTACCAGGTGGATTGGCGCGAAACGCGGCGGCAACATTACCACCGCCAGAAGGTATCGCCTGTGAGTGTGTTGGAACCATGCTGTGGTGGAAGAAAAAGAAAGCGTGCTGCGCTGAGAGTTGCTCAAGAAAAAGAGTCGCGACAAACGGCGGAACGATTCACAAAAAGTGACGAGACACAATCGTGATGTTCCGTCTGAGTAGGCCTGGCAACCACTATTGTTCTCCGGTGTTGAAATGGTTTTGAATTTCTGACGCAAATCAGAGTAGCAAGGTGCCATCAAAGGAAGTCGCGGAGAGCACCTTCCCCTGACAACTTGCCATCACCTAAGGCAGGCGTCCCATGTGTCAGAGTCCGTGATGGGTGTATTGTAAAAATGCACAGCATTAACCAGAGACAAATCGATGTCCACTGAGAGCCATCAACCTCAATGGCTTCCTCTGGACACAGCTCTGATATGAATTCGATTGTGCATTGTGGTAGCTTCGAAAAACAGAGTTGGCTGCAAGGAGAGACATGATTCTGGAAGTTCTTTTGTTCTCGTTGGACATAGCTCTTCTTGAGAAACAATTGTGCATTTCGATGGGTTGCCTTTGGGTGAACATTGCTGTAGGAGATGTCTTTAGCCATATCCATGGAGACAAAGACTTTTGAATCAAGGACTTACTAGACGAGATACAATACCCAGCTGAACATCGTCAACATGAAAGTTACAACACGCACAACACGACAAAGGCACATTGAGAGGAGCAGATAGGGTAGATAAGAAGAGAAACTTTTGGTGGGGTATCAAATTGACATTCCTCTAAGATATCTTTTTCATCAACACGAGCTCTGCGCTTAAGCGACGGAGGCAGTGAGGATGTCGGAGTCACCGGCATCAAGGATGGCCATGGTGGAGCAACGGAAGAGCTTACCGGCGGCGGTACCGAGCTCAATCTGCATGACAATAACACGTTAGCCAATGTTCTGCTCTCCAAAGCCTTGAGTGGGTAGTGTGTTTGATTGCTCTGCCTCGCCTTCATGACTGAAGACAAAATCGGTTCAACAGTTGGCGAGCCAGCTTGATGTTGAATCAACTTGCGAGAGCAACCAAACACACGCCCGGGCTTTTTCTCAGAGCTCGTGTGTCGACTTACGTTGTTGCCGTTGAAGTGGTGGACGGCGGTCTTGCCGAGCATGGAGTAGTACTCGAGCTCACTCTTGCGGAGAGGGGGAGTGTTGCCGGCAATGATGATGAGCTTGGCCTTGCCAGAGCGGATGGCCTTGATGGTGGACTTGTAGCCGAGGGTGACCTTTCTGCGCAGGTTGTCAGCACTTGCTGGCGACGGGGAATCAGCGACGACGAGACTTACCCGGACTTCATAACAAGCGCAAGGCGCGAGTTGATAGAGTCGGAGGTCTTGGTCTTCTTGGGGGCCATCTCTGCGTCGGTTTCTTGGGATTGTCTGGTTGTTGGAAAAGTACGGCGCTCCGGTCCTGACTGGCTTATAATCGCTTGCTGGAGAGAGAAAAGTCGGCGGCGGGTCGAAGTTCGAATTTTCGACGTGTGAGGAGTGCCAAGACACTAGGCTCAGTCAGGCGTAGCCGACGCCGATCAGTGTTCAGGGCCCCTCGACCGTTTGGATTGTTGTTGGAATGCGACAGCGACCATCACATGCATCAACCAACACGAGTCAATTGTTGGTCTATTGTTGCTGCGTCAGAGTCGGATACAGATTCACTCGATCAAGCGGTAGAACGTGTCTGACTGTGTGAGCATGTAATGTATCAAGAAGCGGTGGCGAGAGGCAAGGCGGTGTCAAATCGCTCATCAAATAAATATGGTACTTTAATCTCCTTCGCTCCAGCAGTTGCTGTTGGCCGAGGGGCCTTTTTGTTGTGTTTCTTGCCTGCGAACTTGTCCCCACGTCCTCGACTCTCTCGTCCATTCATCACACATCCTAGCCCTCAACAACTACTCTGACTCCTTGTACCTGTGACACGCTGGAATCTAGGCTCAAGTAAGCTCGGCGATCAGCTTACTTAGCTTTCACCATGTCGACGCCTTCCAAGCAGCCAGCATCTGCTGCTGCTGCTTCTACTTCTACCCAGCCTGGGGCTCCTCCCCGTCGTCCGTCTATGAATCCTCCAAAGACAACGCCCTCACGCAGTCCCTCTCGTCCAACCGTATCAACGACCCCTGGTTCAGCTGCAACCCCTTCTCGCGCTAAATCTGTCCGCACTCCGGTCGGTGGAGCCCCACCTTCTGCCCGCGCTGCAGTCAAGAAGCCTACAACAACAGCATCTACCGCAAACACTACCAAGTCAGCTATGGCCGACGCAAAGGCAGAAGCTGCTGCTGTCATTGACGACCTACGCGAGCGTCTGCAAAAAGCAGAATTGGCTGCCGAAGAGGCCCAGAAAGAGAAGGCTGTCGTCCAAGCCCGGTTCGACGAAATAAATAAAGAGCACAATAATCTTGAAGAGTCGGTGCATGAGCAAGAAGAGCGTTTGGAGCAGCTGGAAAATGAGAAGAAGGAGAGCATTCGCCAGCGTAGAGAGTTCGAGGCCATCTATGAAGCCGAGCGTGCTCAGTCTATGAAAGAGAAAGAGGAGTTGCAAGTCCGCGAAGAGGAGCTTCGTGACACTATTCAGAGGTTGAAGGAGACGATGGCTCAGAAAGAGATGCGCAACGAAGACGACAGGCGGCAGAGCATCTCCAGAGCATGTAGGTTGCCCTGTTCTCTGGTAGTAACCTAACACATAATTGACCCGACTCACAGCGAGCTTCCGAAGCAATGCATCTCCGAACCAAGAAGCCGGCCAATTCGCTCCTCCATCCTCTTTGCAGCGAAGCGATTCTTCCCGCAGCTCTTCCCGTCTGGTTCTGCAAAAAGATAAGATTATCGAATCGCTCCGTCTTGAGTTGGCCGAATCGCAAATTAAGCTGGTCGAGATGGAGAACATGGGCGGAGGCCGTATGCAAGAGTTGGAAAAGACACTCATGGAGACGAGAATGGCCAACGCTAGATTGATGGAGGATAACGAGAGCTTCCAACTGCTCCTGAGCGAGAAGACGCTGAACGGTGACTTTGCTCACAGTGGTTTGCTGCGTCCTCCTTCAATAATGAGCGCTGGCTCTCGTCCTTCTTCCCCGTCTGCCATGGCTGGAGCATCGACTCTCGCTGATGAGCTTGAGAATGCCAGTGACGACGGCATGGCAGATAACAGACGTCTGCAAGCCGAACTCTCATCTATGAGAGATCAGAACAAGGCGCTGACTTTGTATATCAACAACATCATCTCGCGCCTACTGCAACACAAGGAGTTTGAGAACATTCTCGACAAGACTCCCAACCTCATGTCCGGAGCAGACTCCAAAGACAAGGACCTGCCACCTCCACCACCAGAGAAAGACGAACAACCCTCTCTACTCAAACGAGCCACTTCAGTCGTGCGTGGTGGCCGTCCAAAGCCTATTGAAACACAGTCAGAACCCCAACCCAGTTTTGTCGAAGATCCCAATACAGCTCCTCGCATTCCTCTCGCCCGCGCACAATCCAACCGCATGTCAATCGGCGGTCCTCCTTCCTCCCATCGCCGCTCAGGCTCCGAGTTAGGCAACCCAGCTGCTCTGGTCAACAACATGTACCGTGGACCCTCCTCAGGCCCAACAAGCCCAAGTCTGGTACCTCCGCGCGGCAGCTCTCTCTTCAGCCCTGTGTTGCCCGTAGCACCCGCCGCAGCAGCCCGCGTGCCCTCCTCCGGCTCCGTTCCTCAAGTCCCAGATGACAGACGCCAAAGCATGCCTCCACCTTCTCTGCCCTCTGCAGCACCCAGAGACTCTGCCCGCAACAGCATATACAGCGAATCCGGGCTCGCGGACAACATGAGCACAGCCAGTCCCCCACGCAGCACAACCTCGAGCGGCGAAAAGCCCACCGGCGCTATCATGCGAGGAGGCGGTATGCGACCCCTACGACTCGTCCAAGAAGCCAAAGAAGAAGAAGAGGCAGCCAAAAAGGCCAAGCGATCGAGTTGGATGGGCTGGTTTGGCGCCAACAACCGCACTGTGAGCAGTGAGGCTGTTCCTAAGGAATGATATGTTTGATTGACATGTATGAAATGCCCCCTGACCCCTTATTTGGGTTATGTCTCTGTTGGATCATGGCGTTTCTTCTATCTTGTTCTGTTGTTTGAAGTCTTCGAGGGTTGGACGTTGGTTTTCGCGAGGAAGTATGGAAGGGGTTGCGTTCAGCCTTTCGTGCCATATCCTTGCTTCGAATCTGTTCCCTGTCACATATACCCCCATATAAATTGTTGGCGGACCAAGCCATTTCATGCTATTCTTGTCTTTCGTTAGGATCGTTTTGAGAAGTACTGGACTGCAGTCTGTCATATGGACAATATGTCGTGTCTATGTAACCTTCCTACTTTTTCCATGATGAATATTCATGATCATGTCAGTTCGTCAATTTCCCATTACTTCTTTTCCTCCAATGAAAACTCAGTGCATGCGCCAAAATGTCATATCAAACCCTGCAGTTCCCCACCATGATCCAGATAAAGTGTCTTTAGTCGTCAGCCGCAAGAAAATCCATTTTTCCAGCACTTGGTATATGGTTGTTGGCCTGAACGTTGAACAAGAAAGAAGAAAAGAGGCAGCCGTCTCAATCGTCCCAGTTGATCTTGCAATCGGCAAGGTCATCCCGCATTCCTTGAATCCGGTCGTGTAACCATCCACTAGACCACGTATTGCTGCTTCTTTCGTCCGTTTCTCCCAACCTGATATCTTTGCCCAACTTGCAGACTCCGTCTTCGTGCATCCACTGCAAGCAATTGTTCCAGGCGAGACAGGCTTCAGCACAGTTGTCGAAGCTCTTGATCGAGTTCTTTTCAACGTCCGACAATTTCTCCCACGCTTCCTTATCTTTGTCGCTCGAGTTCGGAGTCGGTGCGACAAACTCTTTGTCCTTGGAAAGGTTGTTCCAGCTGGTTCGGTTGACAGAAACATGCCTAGCAACAAACCCATCGTAGACGTCGCGGTAGAGGTATGGTGTAGACCAACCCTGTCTTCATGTCAGTGACTATGTCTGGGTCATTGCAAGCTGAATTCTCTTACATTCTCCTTAACCCATTTGTTCTGGAAGCGCCACATGCTGTCTACTTGCGCGGGATTGACGTGGTGCCAGGTTATGGCAGGGGTACACCAGTGTTTCTCGGTCCAGTCCAGTGTGTCAACCGTCTCGCCTTGGATACGGGGCCAGGAAGGTGTCAGATCAACGTCGACTTCGATCAATGCACGCGCAAGGACCTCGTCACCGCAGCAGGATTGGCTTGTCGACAGCTCCCACCGTTCGTCATATTTTTCCGGACCCTTCTTCTTTCTGAGATCCGCAATCCTCTTGGCCGCGGCGCGCGAAACGATGAATCCAGAACCTCCATGAGCGAAAGTGGTCGGACCGACGACATTCTGCGCACCAAGGTACAGCGGTTTCTTTGGATCCATTCGTCCGAGAAATTGTAGCAGGTTTGTCCAGCTCAGACTTGTATCGGCTTCAATGTAGACAAACCAGTCGACGTCCGAAGAAGCCAGTCGCCAGGATTCATGCATCATGGGAAGGAACTTCCACTTATCGAGGTTCCACCCCTTGTCGCCCTTCAACTTGGCCACATTCTGGTTTTCGCGGTGGTATTTCTGAAGCTTGCGGTAGACCTCAAAGTCTTCGTGTTCGTTCTTGTACTTGTCGTGGACAGTAGCCAGAGCATCGTGGATCTCATAATCGGCGTAAGTCTGCGGCATGTCGGAGAAGATGAGGTAGTGCCGAGTGCATCGGAACAGAGTGATCAGGTGGGTTGGCAGTTTCTCATAGATTTCTGATGCGCCAGTCTTGAGCACGACCATGACGCGATCAGCGCCCGGCGCATTGAGGCAGTCGGCGACATCTTGAATTGGTGTGGTGTGGTTGAGAGTCAAATCGTTCTCGACAGGATCTGGTAATTGAGGGGTAGAGGTGGGTTGCACCGGCGTGGTGGGCGTGGACGGTAGCCAGATGCCGCGAAAAAGATAGAGCGAACACAGCAGAGTAAAGATGATGGCGAGTTTGGAAGCATTGAAGACTCCGGCGGACGAAGTTGCCATATTGTCGGCTAGACCTGAGTCGTTGACAGGCTTGGTATCGCTTGGCCTGCAGGTTGCAGCGGGTCGAGCTCTGTCGCAATACTCGACAAGAACCTCAGAGGAATAATCGCGAACAAGCAACCCACATGGGAGAGGCAGTGCTCAGGCTTATGAGAAGAAAAGGAATAGGAGTACGGAGCTGACGAAGCTTGTATGAATACGAAAAGCAGCCACGACCCATCTTTCCACCCATGCAGTGACTTCTTGTTGGTCGCGCATCCCACTCTCTGCTTCCTCAACGGCGAGCCATGTCCAGCGTCTTACCGTTGACATCCTTTGGCTTACGAGAGGGGCTAACCCCATTTATGGAAGCGTTCAGCAGTTGACGCACCCACTTGTTTCAGGAGCGCCGGTTTTCGATTGGGCAAACGTCAGCCTCGAGCGGGAAACTGCTCTCAGCTCGGTGCAGTTGCCCAAACTTTGGAGCCCATGACAAGGGGTTCTTGAACTGTCGGTTTTATTCTGAGAACACGACGTCAAATTACACAACGCTCTCCAGCAGTTCAGCTGAGATGTTCGGCCGGTCGTTGTTGATTTGTCTCAGATCACGAAGCTGGTCTTGCTTGAATAGAGAAAAGGTCTCTTTGAAAGCTTGAAAGGGCAATTCCGAGCATGTGAAGCCTTGATCATCAGGTACAAAGGACATGGACATGAACATGGATCGAAGTCGATCCCAGAACAGTTCCCTGCGCCTTGCAAGTGACTATTGATCCACTTTGAGCGTTCCATCCTCCTACAAGATCGTCAAATGATATGCAGTACGAGAAGTAGGCGGACTCAAGGGTCATCGACTGCAGGACTTCTCAAAATATACCCAGCTAATCGATAGCAAACATGAAAGATGCTTTGACTGTGCGCATATTTCCTCATGAGTTATCTTCTCACGAAGACTTCTGTTGTTTCTGCTGACGATATTGAGCATGCTGTATCAATGAACTGAAGCGAAAAATAAGGCAGGATAGTCTAGATAAGAGGGTTGTTATGTTTTGTGATGAAGTCATGTTGGTTGGCCGGGCAGATCTCTGTTTGAGGACGATACGACCATGTTGAAGATAGACGATTTATGCCTGTCTGTCCATCCAAATTCTTCTCAGATAAGCAGAAGGCAGACTAATCTGCTGTACAAAAGTCAGGAGGTCGTCGACAAGCTCAGCGCGGACTGCCAAACCTTGAACCAGCCTCGCTTCTCGACTCCTGCCGCCTGTGTGGCACAGACTTCGTACACATAGGAGACCAACAATTCGTCTGGCTGCACACGCGATCTCCTTCTTTTTCATGCATACTGGAGATCAGATTATTTCGTTCAGTCTATCTTAGTCAAATTTCCATAGCGGAGCCCCTGCTTCGACGACGACATCCGCAATCGATTTTCCCTGAGTCGCGCACGACGAGAGACTCCCGGCCGCAACACCTCTCCCCACACTGTCAGCACACCATCTACAAAGAAAGTCTCCGACGATCACGCTTGCGACAAACACTCTGCAAATACTGCCCTCCTACAATTACCGCTTCTCTGGATATCGTTCTGGACAAGAGAAGGACTTGGACAAGAATTGCACAGGAATATACATCAAGCAACATAGCATACGAACCATCAGCGCTTAATGCTCCGTGAGCAGCGCCAAAGATAAGGCGTCCTACTGTCGCCATATCCCATATTCTGCTAGCTCCCTAAGGCTCCCAGCGCAGCATGAATTCAGCCAGCCATATCATTTATACAGCCAACAATCTGTATGCTCGTGCAAATACCACCAACGGAACTAGCACCGAAAACAGCCAGGACCATGCCTCACGGCCTCCGGTGTACAAAGCAATTGGTATTATTCTTGCCGTATGCTCTGGTCTCTTTATCGGAACATCGTTTGTCTTGAAGAAGCATGGATTGCTCAAGGCCAACGAGAAGTACAACGAGACTGCTGGCGAAGGCTACGGTTACCTCAAGAATGGATGGTGGTGGACTGGAATGATCTTGATGATCATAGGGTAAGATATGGTCATTTGCATTCTCTGGCATTCGAAGACTAATTCTCCATTCAGTGAAGTATGCAATTTTGTTGCGTATGGTTCGTTCAAACATCTTTCAGACAACGTTGGAACAACTTTTGGCTGACTCGTTCTCTTAGCTTTTGTCGATGCTATCCTTGTTACTCCCTTCGGAGCCCTCAGCGTTGTCATCACCACAATCTTGTCAGCAATCTTTCTCAAAGAGCGCCTCAGTTTTGTTGGCAAGGTTGGCTGTTTTCAATGTGTGATTGGCGCTGTCATTATTGCTCTTAATGCTCCTGAGCAATCTTCTGCTGCCAATATTCAGCAAATGCAGCATTTTGTCATCTCACCTGGTTTCTTGGCATACACTGGAGTCGTCATTGTTGGATGTATCTTCACTGCTCTCTGGGCTGGTCCCCGATACGGTAACAAGAGCATGTTCGTCTATCTCACTATTTGCAGTCTTATCGGTGGATTGAGTGTCGTTGCGACTCAAGGTCTTGGTGCCGCTATTGTTGCCGCTATTGGCAAGACTACTCCGGTCAACCAGTTCAAGCAATGGTTCTTATGGGTCTTGTTTGTTTTTGTCATTTGCACACTATTAACAGAGATCATCTATCTCAACGTGAGTGTCAGAACAAGCTTCTAGACGACCTCGGTGTACTGACTGTTCGCAGAAAGCACTCAACATCTACAATGCTGCTCTGGTCACGCCAACATACTACGTCTATTTTACTTCTGCAACCATCGTTACGTCAGCCATCTTGTTCAGAGGATTTGGCGGCAGTACGGTAGGTATAGTAAGTGTGATCATGGGCTTCTTGACAATTTGCTCTGGCGTCGTATTGCTTCAGCTCGCAAAATCGTCCAAGGATGTACCAGATACAGCAGTATTCAAGGGAGACTTGGATCAAGTCCGCACCATTGCCGAACAAGAAGAGCCAGAGAGCGAGCCACGTGCCGACACTATTCGTGGTGGTGCTGCAATCGTCAGGGCGCTCAGCAGGAAGCGTACCATGAAGCAGCTTGATGAAGCTCGCACTATCGCTAGCGAACACATGGAGCCGATTGGCGAGGACGATACGGTGTATTTCGACGGTCTACGACGCCGTAAGACTGTTGTTGCACCCAGTGGACACACGTCGCTGCAATCAGCAAAGACTGCTCACCCTCCATTGGGTCTGACACATTTCCCTGACGAGCATCACACTGATAGTGACAGCGACAATGATGTGCATCCTGGATTCTTGCCGCGTTTCCGCCGAAGTAAGAAGAAGTCACGACACCCGTCCGGAGAACATTCTTTGATGGAGATGAAACCACCACTTACCCTAAAGTCCCAATCAACCTTCTCGACAACAGCCGACGAGGAACCTGCGCGTGAGCACGTCTATGGACTACCATCAGGACTTCGCTCACCTAATCTTGACACCGACACTTCCTATAAAGGCGGAAGTGCGATCCATTGGACAACCAGCATCGACGAGCGAGAGAAGGAGCGCGCTATGAGCCAATCCAGCTCGCTCATGCCACCCAAACCTCCGCCACACTCATCAAGACCAGATTCGGCCGGCAAACGCACCTTCAGTTTCCAGAACGTTTTCCACCGTAAACACCACGACGAAGGGGCAGACGACGGCACCATCCGCCCAATCTCACGCGGCGCATTAAGTTTCGCCTCGCGTAAGAGCAGCTCTTCTCACCACCGCCCCAATAGCCGACACAACGCTAGCGAGGAAGAAAGACTAGGTCTTGTTACTGGCGACGCGGGAGGCAAGAACAAGCAATCCCATTACGAAGGCATCTCCAACTACGACGCTGAAGATGACGACTGGCTCGTCACTAGCGGTAGGAGCGAGAGTCCGGAAGATGTCATGGGAGATCTTGGCCGTGCCCGCATGGATAGAAGTCTCAGTCGCAGTGATGATAGCAACTACGAACGTTATGACGATGACGACTTGGGGTATTTGAAGCCAAAGAGGCCTAGTGGGTTTGATTGAGAAGCGAGATTTCGCTTGTGTTTGGCTGGCTTCTTTGCCATAGGAATTTGGTTCACCGGACACGGGCACTCTGGTCTCGTGGGGGCGATCCTGGACATATCATTTCTGGCTCTGCGCATGAGTTTTACTTGGATCATGCTAGATACCCTAGGTTGTGCTGGTGTATGCATCATCATTCTTCCACTGAAACGTTCATCTCTATGCCCGTGATAGTCTGACAGGTGTGATGGTACTCTGCTGCTGTTGTTTTGGCAAGCTACCGGCGATTGAGGCCTGGAAGGAAAGAGCGACTGGTCATATGCAACAACTTCTTATTGGGGTGTGCTTACGAAGCAATTGTTTTATGATGCCTGGAAAGATTCGTTGTCTATACTACTGATCTAAAATGTCCAAAAATTTCCCTTTCAGAGACATTATATGCCTTGTTCCCATACAATGAGTTTGGCTTTAGACCTTGCTCTAGTACATCCACCTTGGCATTCAAAATTCATGTCTCACAAGACTCTTGACGATATTGAACCCCTAACCTCTAAATCGACCACAACAACCATCCCCACATGAACACAGCCTCGACTACCACAACCAGAAGAAAGAACAGATGCCTGAACCTTATAAAGCTGAATACAGATCTTCGAAAGTAGCAGTGACTCTTGTTGCTCAAAACTTATCGATGACTTTGACTTTGTCGTTGGTTGCAGCCACGCTTGACTCACCTATACCACGAGTTTGAGGTAGTTACGGATAGGCATCGCGACAAACTCGTTGTGGTCGACAATGAAGGTAAAATCCTGATGAGGTGGAAAGTGTCCGTTCCAGACAGCCGGTACATTCGACCTCAGTGCAAAGAGCTGCAAATTTACTCCAGAGTGTCTTTTGATATCAGAATCTCAAATATCCAGAACATGGGCAGCAATAATGCCACGAGCCTTCGCACCATGTCTTGTTCTGGACTTGACCCGAGAAAGTTCGAAGATGACATTTGATACTTGGTAGTTCAGATGGAAGTGGCTGCTCAGAAAAATAAGATGTTGATTGACGTTGTTAATGGATCAAATCCCGTGCAGAGCGGAGGTTCAACAAATACTGTCCGCTCTGCAAGGCAAGAGCTTCGAAAGGAAGGGGCCACTTTCCAGCATCTTTGGACGAGATCTTGGCACAAAACGCGATATGGGCAAAAACGATGTCACAGCGCTCTCGCACCATGTCTTCTGTTGAACCTGACCCGATTTGAACGGATGACCTTGTGGATGTCCCGGATGACAGACTGGAATCACACGCGCTACCGCTGCGCCACAGGTCCAATATAAGAAGAGTTTTTGATGCTGTGCGTATATGAAACTGAGCTATGTGGATCGAGCGTTGAGAACTTGAAGAGTGGGGTTCTCGGCTTCTCAACCAGCCGAAGATCAAACCTTCCTCCAACGTAGATTCCACATCACTTTGTTCCTTCGGATGAAGTGTAATCATGGCGACGAGCGGGGTATACAGAATGGCCTCCGCCCCGGTTTGTGATTCGCTCTTCTGGCGAGCAATTGTCCCAAGCAACAAATTGCCCCGAGGACTTCTTACGTCCGGTGGGCTCCAGTAACTTCAAGACATCCGGGATAGGAATTGTTCCGCTTCGTATCCGGCTTACTTAACCCAACCTTTCTAATCGCTATCGTGCAACTTCGCTTTGTCTGTTTTCTGAAAAGCTCCCCTGATCGAGTGTGCAACAAGCAAAATCATCCAGAAAGAAAGCAGAACGATCGTCTACAAACATGTCAGCCCCAGTCCCCATAGAAGAAGTCATGGAAAACCTCAAAAGAATCCCAATGTCGCAAGAACGATTCAACAGTCTCAAAGAAAAGATCATCCAAAGCAGAGCGCTCACTGCATCAGATGAATCAGTCATCAATCTCCAAAACATGACTATGAAGTGTGTTCAAGATATCAAAGATCGTCTCGCATACATCACAGAGAGACGCAATCAAAGGATCAAAGAAGACAAGCAGAAGAGTCTGGACTTTGCAGCTGCATTGGCAGAAAGAGATGCAGTCAAGGAAAGCGAAAAATGGACCAAGAAGGGTCAAAAGGCCCATAGGACGAGGATTGAAGTATGGAGGGATGAGGTTAAGCAGCACTCTGCGCTCGAGAAGAAGACCGCATCTGGTACTGTACCGAAACAACAACCATTACGTCAACCTTCCGCAAAGAGACCTCATGACAATGCAAGCTTGAGCTTTGAGCCAATTACCGACGCATCAACACCAGCCAACAAACGTATCAAGACAGCTACCCCAAACGATTCTTCTTCTGCAGTCGCTCCACCCACCAGCAGCAGAAAGTCCATCCCCTGGCTCAGTACTCGTGCCTCCATGGCCGATGAGAACATCTTTGCAGATGACCATCGCCCTGTTTCGAATCAAGTGACTCGGTTCAACAACAAAGAAAGCGCCCGTGACGACCATGATGAATATGATCATTGCGACGACTACGAGGATGAAATTGCAGACGAAGAACTCGACGAAGCCGAAGACTCTGACTATTCTGACGACTCCTACCTGACAGATTTGGAGCAGATGTTGACCACAGAATTGGCAATGGTGACTGTATTGACGCTTGCGCTGCCTGGAATGATCGAACGATCTGATGCGTTCCGGCAAGGTCTTGAGGAGGGTGGATTTCTCTAATTCCTGAAACGACGTGGGAGATGAAACTACCCTGACCATAGCTAGGACTCACTTTCATGCAAGTAATTGGATGGATTGAAAAGAAAAAACAGAGTGGTATCATTCGTCAAGAGAAGAAGAAATTATAAAGACTAAAGTAGAGGTCATAACAAGAGAAAAGATCGAGACCATGAGCACCAGGATTTGTGTGACCCATCGAGCCTGTCATTGCCCGGGACCCGCTTTGCTCTTGCACATATGAGATGGTCGTTAGAAAGTGCATCCCAAACCAAGCTATGTCCAATTGCAATGCACTACAAAAACAGCATATGTCAGTTCATCGCAATCATTGCCAGATACTAGTAGCGAGGTCCTCCAGTATATTCAGGCTTGCGTGCGATGTTGACTATAGGTGGAGGCCCATCGGTATCTGGATACGGCGGAAGAGCTTGTCGTAATGGTGCGACATTGAATGAACCTCCACTATGTGAGGAGTGCCTCATTGGGTTTCCATAAGTGGGGCTCGAAACAGTCGGGCTCCCAACGCTGGGACTGAGGGGCGCGACATTATCGGGGTATGGCAGAGGTGTTTTAGGAGGCAAAGGAGGTGCATATGCAGCTGTCCCGCTGTCCTGAGATCCTGGCCGGTGTTGACTCAACGAACCGCTGGAACGGTGCATGGAGTCCATTGAAGGCCGATAGACTCCTGGTGGGGGCGAAGGACGTGTAGCACTAGTTGGCGTCCTTACAGTCTCAGATTGCGGCCATTGATCGTCAGGTACGACCGTATATTTCATGTCGGAAATGGATGACTGACGCATTGGCGGTTGTGATGTTGGCGGGCGTTGCTGGTATAATTGAGGTGGGAAAACATTGTCAGCTGGCAATTCAACAGCAAGAGGATTGCTAGGTGGAGGAATGTCAGGGAGAGGGGCGTTTTGCCGAGAAAATGAGGTGTTGATGATTTCCTGACCATCCCAGGATGGATGTCGATCATGACGGATCTTGCTGAAAAAGACTTTGGCGAGTTTTGCGGCAGCGTCGAAGTTTTGTGCTTGAACTTCAGGACGAGCAAGATACATACGGGTGCTTGTGCTGATGTCTCCGAGTCTGTTCCATTCATTCATGCCGTACTCTCCGACACCAACCTCGACATTGAGGCGATAGTAGTTCTGGCGGTTGACTTGGCGTTTTGACAAGTATTCATCGATCATATATTGATGCGTCTCTTCACAACCTTCAATTTTTGCTATCAGTTTGCGGCGGGCTTCGGCGAAGTCACCCATGCCTCCACCAATAAAGTCCTCCCACCACTCATGCTGGCGATTGTTTGTGCCAGGAGGACGTTTGCCTGTTCCAATGCTGAGGAAGACACCTACGTCTCTTCCCGGCCATTCGTTGCAAACGGCCTCGTCAAGGACCTGGGGACTCGGATTGTACTTTCCAGCACCTTCATCGAGGAAGGTACTCTGACCAATTTGGATAGGTTTGAAGGCAAGAGCGGTAGCCGAGGTGGCTCTGCCGGCTTGCCAGATATAGCAGTTGTATTCAGGCGAAGGCTCCTTACGCGAGTCGTACGAGCGCAACAGAGCGGGTTTTCCACCTTTGGGAGTGCCACGATAGACCGCAGTCACGGCAGTCTTGGTCCTGTTCTCCCGACTGTCGTAGAGTAGGGCGTTGGGGTCGCCCCATCTTGAGACACCGACAGAAGTGCGAGGGTCTACTGGGGTCATGCCGATGGTGCTGTGTCTGCTGGCAACGCTGACGGAACGAGCGGGACGGGCGACCTGTAGACTCTGACGGCCCGGCGAAGAGATGGCATCCTTGGAGTCGTTGCCTTCGTCGTCGTATATCGTGTGTTCTCTTACGCACTCCCTTATGGCTTCTTCGAGTTTGCTGGCTTTGAAGAGGGTGGATCGGTAAGGAATGCCGGCGATGGTCTTGTCCGTCTCGAAGACTCGTCGGGTCATGCGTACATAGACGTCTTTGCATGTCTCAATATCCAGTCGCAAGCGGCCCAGCATGATGGCAATCAGGCCGCCGGTACCCGTGCCGGCGATCAAGTCGAAGTGGTCGCATGGCTTTGGAATTTCATGTCGCTTTGGGGCGCGACCTTCAATCTCGACAAAAGTGCGGTGCATCAGCTCTTGCAGGATGATCAACATGCTGTAACCGCGCACACCTCCACCATCCAGACTGAGGATGCGCAGCGGTGGGCCCTTGGTCGTGTCTTTCCTCCGCACTCCGTTGACAGCGTCCATGCTGTGTGTCAGGTATTAATCGGCAGGGCCGGGAGCGTTTCGAGAGAGGTTTCAGGCGGTCCAGTCGGTCTTGTCAGAATGTAGGAGTCGTAGGGTTGCGCTTGGCGTGTTGGTGTAAGAAGGATGGATATGTTGCTTGGGCTGAGCTGGGCGGATGTCTTGTTGGACTCGTCCGCATATCTCACTCTGGGCAGGCTGACCAATGCGTCATCACTCTCGCGTTGGCATTTGGTTCGTGTGAACGGCAACGAGCAGTTGCAATAATTTCCCTAAACACAACCACAATGATATGCGAAACAACTGACATATGGTCACCAACCAACCGGTCAGGCACTTTCATTGGCGCATAGCGGGGTCGGTGACGTTCTCGCGTGGCTGTGTTTGCCATGTTTCCTGCCTCTTGTTCCTGTCGCTCTCAATTTAGTGACAAGCTTTAATCCATGCTTCTTCCTAGCCTTGCTCGCCAGTCGCCCGGCCGGAAACCATCATGACATCGATTATTTCCGTCAATGATTCTGCTGGGCAAGGAATGATCGCATTCGGGTCGTGAAGCCGGCACCAAAGATAGAACAGACTGAATGTACTTGGCATGTCAACCTGCCGACTTTCCGTCTTCTATCTTCTGCCAAACCTTGTGACTGGTGCTCTACATATGCTCTTCTGTATGTTGTGTTGAATCCCGCTTGAAATCTCAATACTATCAAGTCGACCTTCAAAGATGTAGGTAGAACTTGCCATGGCTTGTCCGTATGCCTAATGAGGCAAAGACTCCCAAGCTTGCATGTACCTCCCCCTCGGTATCGCTATCTGCGGGGGATGCCCTATCAACCTCACGCCTTGTACTTGACATCTTTTCTTCCCTACCGAATTACTCGACGAGATTTGTGGTTTCCGTGTTCTGGTTCTCTCAGAGAAGAAATCTTCCATTAATGTCCGCCATGCATATCAGCAGAGTCAGTACCGTTGGTCGGCGTCTTGCTGAACTGCCTCTTACAAAGTCAGATTTTCGTCTACCCCATCAAGTCTGCTCGACCTTATGAGCCTTCTTCGGCCGAAGTAACCAGACATGGTTTCACCTATGATCGCCGATTCATGATTCTTCAAGTCCAGCCAGATGGCTCACTCAAGAACATGCATATTGCAGAATATACCGAGCTGTCTCTCTTGTTCACCGAGATCAAGTTTCCTCAGGACCAAGACGCTGCCAATGCCTCCATTCATTTGACTTGGCGACCACCTCATGGCGACCCGAGAGACGTAGATGTTCCTCTGATTCCTGACATGACCTCTCTAGAGAAGATCCGCGTGACAATGCACTCCAGTCCTACAGATGCATACAAGATGGATGATCAGTACAACAAATGGCTGTCTGAATGTCTAGGTTACGACGTTGTGCTAGCGTATCTTGGTGAACATGAGCGTCCAGTACTCATGTCGACACACCAAAAGAAAAATCAACCTCAAGCCGGAGGCTGGCTATCATCCATTACCAGCAAATTACCGACTTCGCTCGGCGCGATCATCTCAGGCGAAGACCAAGTGGACGACAAAATCACCTTTGCAGACTGTGCTCCTTTCCTTGTTGTGAACGAAACCTCTCTTCGAGACGTCAGCAGGCGTCTCCCTGGTGGCGAAGAGATGGACATCTCGAAGTTCAGACCAAATATCATCGTCAGCGGAGCCGAATCCTCATGGGAAGAAGACTACTGGTCAGAATTGCAAACGTCCAGCAACGTAAAGTTGCATTTGGTGCAAAACTGTGTCAGATGCGTAAGTCTCAACATCGACTACGCCACTGGTAAGCCTGGCGAAGGCGAGGCTGGCAAGATTCTCAAGAAATTGCAAAGCGATCGACGGGTAGACAAGGGAGCCAAATACTCACCTGTCTTTGGTCGGTATGCATTTTTAGGCAAGGGTGATGAGGGCAAGTCGTTGTCCATTGGCGACAAAGTGACAATCACTCAGCTTAATGCCGAGAGGACAACTTTAGGTCAGTCTAACCATTATCAACATTCGTCAAACACCCAATGCTAACACTTCACAGATTGGCCAGGTATTGGTAGTACTCCAGCCCCAGCTTGAAACATCAGAACTTCATTACGCCACCCGAATTGATAAGCATTTGATGACCACAAGAATGTCTGACTGCGAAGATCATTAATTTACTTTACTTAGAGAATAAGTGTCTGAGACCATAGAGGTGGGAGCGATGTAAATCTCAAAGTGGCAAACAGGGTCCTTCCGTCTACATGGCTTGTGAGTCATTGAGCAGGTTTGTTCACCAACCAAGAAGGAGCGAACTTCTTTCTGTGCCTCCGCATTCCTCCATCAAATGATTTACAGCTTCTTATCATACGAACCTGGTCGACAACATCTCTCAGATATTCCTGTACTCGATTCCGCCCACAGAGCCAGACATCATGTCAGAACGAAAGGTCGTCTCAAAATATTACCCACCAGGCTTCGACCCAAGCAAACTCACCCGTCAGCGAAAGAACCCAAGCAGCGTGTCAAATCTCGAAAGTGTCCGTCTTTCGAGTCCCTTCTCTATGCGCTGCAATAGGTGTGGCGAGTTCATCTATAAAGGTCGCAAATTCAACGCATGCAAGCAGATGAGTGGCGAACACTACCTCAATATACCTATTGTTCGCTTGTTTATGCGGTGTACGGCTTGCTCATCTGAGATTGCATTCGACACGGATTTCAAGAATAAGGATTATAAAGATATCAAAGGCGCAAGACGTAACTTCGAGCCGTGGCGCAATGTCGAGCATACGCAAGAGACAGAGGACGAAGAGAAACAAGATGCTCTGAACAACATTGAAGTCAAGGCAACAAGCGCAAAGACAGAGATGGATATAGCCGATGCTCTAGACGAAATCATGGTACAGAACGCACGACGCGAGATCAGGGTACGAAATAATACAGCAAGAAACACTCAAGCGGCCCTCGACGACGAAATCCAAGATGAAGAAGCTACAAGGAAAGCTTTTGACAATGATGCCAGGGAAGTCGTGCGACGGATTCCTGGCGAGGTACTTGGCGCCGAAGAACATGGAAAAGGCTCAGCGGGTCCTAATCCGAGTTTTCAACGGGTCAAGGAAAGATAGAGGGATTATGATGCTGTACTGGGAATCAGACGCAACAATACCATTTGCTGAGTATTTGGTTCATGGAGATGATAAAACCTTTTGTTTTGAAGGTAAGAAAATCATGAACACAATCAATACACGACTATAAGAACATGGACTACAAGCCAAAACAAAAGCAAAGATTTAGACCTCGACCTCGAATGCGACCTGCGCCGAACTAAAGCAACAACCACACCTGATACCCATCGGGCCCAGCACCTGTCGTCTTGAGCCAACTCGATTCTTCCACGAGAAAGAGGGAGTCGGTGACACGAAGGCAACGAGTGTGTCGACAGCCAAGGCCATTGTCGGCCAAACTCGATGGACAGACGGACTTTCTTCTGTTCTCATTGGATCAAGATATGATTCGCTTAGAGCGAAGGGTGTCAATAGCATCTGCCGTCCAATCCTGGCAACGACGGAGAGGCTGTTGAGGATCCAACCTCTTGGCCCCCTGGAACTGCTTGGGCGGAGCCGGTAGGGTACGACAAACTGAGTCGATTTGCGGATAATCTGCAGCAGTCACGGAGCCAAGGAGAGTCTTTCCTTGGTAAGTCAGTGAGTCTTCAGGTCGTCCGGTGGATTTGGTTTCGTATGTCATCCCGTTTTGGATGTTGCCAGTGACTTGAAATATCTGGCCCGAAGAGTCGGGCTTCGTCTCGACAAATATAGCGTGATGATCACGAGGCGCGCCTGCAGAAATGACGAGATAGACATTGAAAGACATGAATTTTTGATGATGCTCTGGAGCCAGGAGATAGCGAGGTTATGAAATGATGCTTTTGTGGTGTTATCAACAGACCCCCTTTTATATTCAATTTTAGCTTGTCTGAGGACCTCGGAAACTTTGCTGCGAAGAGCGCCTATTGTCACAGCGATCAAATGCATGATCATGGGCGCTTACTCTGCAGCTCTGCACGGAAGCAGCCCTGCGCGATCAGTCTCCAGACGCATCACCTCTTTCTTCATCGCTGCACATGAAATCTTTCATCTCCATCAGTGCAACAAGAACGACTTGTAGAAAGTGTTCGGTTACGTCAACATTCTTTTTGAACTACTATCGACGCAGATGAATTCTCACCAAGTAATAATCTATGCGGCAGATCTGGACACAATACCCTCGCCTTTACCCACGCGTGCGGAGATAGCACTATCGTCAGAAATACTCAGCGATATAACGGGATGCAAAGTGGTTGTGGTGGGCCCATATGTCGTGAAATATGGACATCATGTAAGCTTGAGCGAAGGCGAAGTGATGCTGCATGTTGCAAAATCAACGCCAGTACGGGTACCGAAGATATATGCCCTGTATCGTGATTGCGACGAGCAGAAAAACTTCATCGTCATGGAAAAGATTCAGGGAAAGACGTTAAAAGAGGTTTGGCCTACCTCGGAGCCTTCCGCGAAAGAAGATGTTACATCCCAGCTCAGAACCATTTTCGATGAGCTTCGGCGTTTGTCCTCGCCAGTACGCTTTTGTGCTCTTCACGGAAGACCTCTTCCTGACGCGATATTCGAGACTGGCGAAGACTCCGACTGCAACAGGGGACCTTTCGAATCTGAGGATCAACTGAACCAAGCGCTTCTTAAAGCCTATGTCGCCTCAGAAGCGCGTATGACAGGAAAGGCCACATTTTACGAAAGAGCGTGGCCTTCAGTCTTCTCGGGTCACGAGCCTGTGTTCACTCATGGCGATCTTCAACAGAAGAACATCATGATATCAGAGGTGTCAGGTCGCCCATGCGTGGTCCTCATCGATTGGGAAACTGCAGGATGGTATCCTAGCTATTGGGAATACGCGCGTGCCATCTTTGCTTGTCATCGATTTGAGGATGACTGGAGCTTCTGGCTAGAGCAAGCGCTGGATCCTTACTTGAACGAATACGCTTGGATGTATATTCTGATGCTTGAGTTGTGGTCTTGATATGTGAACAGAATCGGATAGATAGAACGTCCTCGGGATGATTTCTCCAGCGGCTTCTGCCGCAGCTTCATCCGCAATCTTTCATCACGTCCGACAACAGTGCTCTGTCCACCATCACATTGATATTGATTGTGCCAAGTTGTACACAAGACCTAGTTTCGATGCTGCGCCTGTCAAATTCCGTGAGGTAGAATTGCCCCGTGGGGCACCAGGTATGTCAGTGCAGAAGGATCTGCTATACGGCAGTTCGCAGACGCCCGAGGTTTCAGGCTGAAAGGCGATCTCTTCGTATGTCGTGCACACTAGCTACTCACAACTCGATCTTGTCCCTCGAAAGACATATCATCGTCGCTGTTATTGACCGAATACCAAGACACGTATTCTTGGCTCGGGCTTGTCGAGATGCAGGGAGAACCGAATGTGCTTTACATACTGTCGTGAGAATCACTAACAGATGACGATGGAGGAATTACTGCGACTATCGGTTGAAATAAATACCATCAGCCTGTTCCACTGCTCAGTTCTTCAATATCTCCAAATATAACCCTAGGAAACTCGAAACGATGATCTTGACCAATATCTTCCATGCCCTTCTGGCTTTGACTGCCATCAGCTCGACTTCAGCAATGCCGACAAAACGAGATAACAAAGTCGGCTACCTCTTCACTTCTTTCCCTGTCGACGATGAAGCAATCTACATGCATCTGTCGAACGGCAATGACCCCCTGTCATACCAAGCTCTTTCCCTAGATGGCACTGCAGAGAGACAAGCCATTCTCCGCAGTGACGTGGGGACCAAAGGCGTTCGAGACTCCTTTATCGTGCCTTCTCAGGATGGCAGCAAGTTCTGGCTCATCGCAACAGACTTGCTTGCAAACAATTTTACCAACGACTTCAATGAAGCCACCAGATTCGGCTCAAGACAACTTGTGATTTGGGAGTCTGAAGACCTGGCTACTTGGGGCAAGGCTCGCCTCACACCAAATCTCGTCAATGCGACCGCTGGAAACGCTTGGGCGCCTGAAGCATACTGGGAGCCTTTGATCGATGCCTACATAGTCATCTTCGCCTCTCGCTTCTGGCCCGAAACCGACTCTGATCGTACTGGTCCTCAGCCGCCCAACAAACTCATGTATGTCACCACCAACGACTTTGTCAACTTCTCAGAAGCAAAGCTGTACTTCTATCCTGGTTATCCCGTTATCGATGCCACATTCATCGCGACTCCCGAACAAGGACCTAATGTCTGGTACCGCTGGATCAAGTCCGAAGTCGACTATACAATCTACCAACAGCGCTCTGAGAACGGCATCCTTGGCGACTGGGTCAATGTGGGTGGTGCTTCTGACGACGTTCGTGTCACCTTTGCTTCGCAGTATTCAAACAACGAGGGCCCCTTGATCTTCAGGGATAATCTCGATGCTGGAAAGTTTCATCTATGGATTGACGAAAACGATTTGCAGACATATATTCCAGCTACGGCGAATACATTAGATGATATGAGTGCTTGGGTGCCTGATGATATGAGTGGCTTCCCTAAGGATGTCAAGCATGGAAAGGTTTTAGCTGTCAACCAACAGCAGTATGATGGCATTCTCGCGAAGTACAAGGTTGTTCAATCATAGGTCTGGATGGTTTAATTCAGATGAAGCGAGCATCAGGTGTGGACTTAGCAGCCAATCAGGAGCTTCAAGCGTGAACAATATATAGTTATCGACTTTGAACAATGGAAGCCAAGTATGATAAGACGATGTATAGTCGAAGCTTCTACACTCTTACGTATCTGACTGCTACAATCAGGATAACATGTATCAAGATCTACCTCTCACACCAAATTTGCACTAGCGTTATAGTGCACTGGCACAGTGTACTCGTAGACTCCCTGTCTAGTCAATCGATCAACAATGACTGGTTCACCAACAAGCTCGAACTCCGCCGTCAAGAGCTCATCGTTGTCGACAGCCAACTTGTACCTGCCAGGATACACAGTCAAGTCTCCATTCACGTCAGCGCGAGCGAGTGAACCAATCGAGATGTTCAAGTCGACTGTTTGAGATTTTTCCGGGGCGACACTATGAGCGCGAGCATATGAGACAAGCCATTTGTTGGGGTATGGAGCAGGTCCTGCATTGGACGTGGAGAGGAAGAGAAGGGCAGAGAAGTCCGAAGTGTGATTGCCTGTGTTTGTGATAATTGTGGAAAGAGTGACGAAAGGCAAGGTATCGAGAGGCGTGGGCTTCGAACCATGATCATGACGCTTGTTGAAAAGATTCTTGATGTTGTAGGATTGCCTTAGAGGCTTAACGCACCAAGACAGCTTGAACGTTGTGTATGAGAGTCCGAAGCCAAAAGGCAAGATTGGCTTGCCAGTAAACCATTTGTATGTACGACCAGGGTAGCTGCCGTTGGGACGCAGATCTGGATTGAAGATGCTGACTTCGTTGATATAGTTGGCTGCATATTGAGTTGTAGTCAGGCGTCCGGCAGGTCCTTGTCGCCCGAGCAAGACGTCAACAACAGCATTACCACCTTCTTGACCAGGATAACCAGTCCAAAGAATGGCATTGACGTTGTCGTTGGCAAGCAGCGCAGTATCATCGACCTGGCCACCTCCGAACTGAACAACGGCTAGAGGTTTGCCAAGCTCACTCAACTGTTGCACGAGATCAAGTTGGTTGCCAGGCCATTCAAGAGACTTGCGATCCAATGTCTCTTGCTCGATAGTGCTGTCAATGCCACCCATATAGATGATGAGATCAGCAGATCTTGCGGCTTCCAGTGCTTGTGAGAAGAAAGTTGTGTTGCTACCATTGACACCAGTGCCAAAGGCATACTGCACGCTGTCCCAGTTGGCTTCTGCCGCTTGTAGAGGAGTGATGATGTATGGTGCCTGCCCAGCATAAATTCCCTGCATCTGGCTAGAGGCATTTGCATATGGTCCAATAAGTGCCACTTTCTGGTACTTGGCAGAAAGAGGCAAAAAGCCATCATTCTTTAGCAGGACCATACCTTCCCAAGCTGATCGGTAAGCGAGAGCGCGAGCATCTTCTGTGTCAACGTCTTCCCATGACAGAGACGCATAACGATTCTGACCATCAAAGTATCCGACAGTATGAAGTCCAGTGTAGAGACGAGACAACGCCTGGTTCAATCGTGCTTCTGTAGTGTAATTGTTGATTACTGACTCGTTCAAGTATGTTCCAAAGGTGAAACCACAATCTAGATCAGTGCCAGCATTGAGAGCCACAGCTGCAGCTTCAGCAGGTGTATCCGTGAAGTTGTGAACATCTTGGATATATTCAACCGCACCACAATCGGCGACGACATATCTGTAAGGCTCATCGAAGCCCCAGTCCTCACGCAAGGTGTCTTGCAAGAAGTATTCACTTGCACAATTAGGGACACCGTAAGTGGCAGTCTACGGCAACCATCAGTCTCGAACGAGGATCATTTGTGTTTATCTTCTTGACTCACGTATGCACACATGACTGATCCAACAGCAACGTCTCGAGCGCAAGACTTAAAAGGCGGGTTGAAGTATTCAGCCAAATCCTGAGCGGTAGCGTTGTAATTCTCACCGTATCTATACGAGAAAGTTAATGATGCCATGCTTGATACGACTAATAGACTCACCTGTTAGTTTCGGCGTAGTAGAGATTGAAATGCTTGCATGTAGCAATAATCTGTTTCTCTTCAGGATGATCTAGACCACCTTGAAGACCAGGGATCAGCTGCTTGGTGTACTGCTGAGTATGGAACGCATCTTCACTGGGGGTTTCTTGACCTCGGCCCCAGCGAGGATCGAGGAAAGTGTTGATGTTGGCTGTGTATGGTTAGCTGTCAGACAACCTTCATCTCTGATGGATGACTTACGTGTCCAAAAGTCGTACCCACACTGCTCAAAATTTGCAAAAGCTCGAGTTTCTCTTCCAATGACACCAGCAATCTGTCCGATGAGAGGGTCGTCGAAAGCAGAGCCAGTTGTGATAGCCATGGGAAAGGATGTGGCATAGCTGAAAGCTGAACCATTCGGACTGTTGAACACAACACCAGGAGCATTAGCAAGACCATGCAGAGCCTCATTCCACCAGTCGTAGCCTGGCAGGCCAAGGCGACCCACACCATCTGCAGCATTGACGACGTTGGCAATCTTCTCATCCAGTGTCATCTCTGACAAGAGCGATGCAATTCTGTCCGCGATGGGCAGCGATGTGTCACAGACTGTGTGTTCACACAAAGGGCTTGTGTGGCAGAGGGGTTGACGCTTGACATCACCATCGACCTTCTCGACAGGTAGTGGGTTCGTGACTTTATACAACTGCAAGAAGTACTGGCCACCACACTTTTGGGACTCATCGCCAGAGCAGGTATATGTTGAACAGTTGGCGTTGCCTGTCACTGCTCCACCATCAGGATACCCACCACAATAGCATTGACTAAGGATACGTCAGCACAGGAATAACCTTTCAAGCCTGGCGGTTTGACCTACGTTCCTGCCTCGACTCCAGCCCATGGATAGCCAGATCGACCGCAGTAGTCAGCACAGTACTGAGGAGTATTGGTATCACGGAAGACTGCTTTACGTTCTCTGCCAAGGATACGGCCGTAGTAGCTGTCTTGACGGCATCCAACGTATTCGAAATTGGCGGTGTAATCAATTGCGGGCGGACAAGTGGGATTTGAGGCCCCGAGAACTGGTGTGATCAATGAAAGCACTGCTAGGCCAATACCTGCACTCGTACTGCTGGTAAACCTCATAGTACTGAAAGTTCTCAAGCAGAAATGCTTAACGAAGAGAGAAGTGGCAATGGTCAACTACTATCCTCTCTAAATAGTCTTGGGACGTGAGGGAGCCGTACCAGGCAATACAACACTGAGGAGCCGGCTAAATTGTCTTACAGGTATACAATAAATCTTCGCATATGCTTGGCCACGACCTACCTTTCCTGAACATCAAGAAATCTGCTTCCTGGATTTTGCTGTCGGATCCGTTGTCGTATATGCAATCCCCGCAATCTGAGCACCGAGAAGGAGCCCAAGCCTGAATCCGAGAGTTGATGTCGAGCTTGAACATTCTGGCTGAATGTGTTTCCTGGTGAGATTTGGCCGATCATTGCGGGGCATTGGGATGAGTGAGGGGTGCAGCAGGTTATATCACGAAGATGCATTCGAAAGAGGTTCAGTTGGCGACGGACGCACGTTGATGTCCCAGCCGCCAAGCACTTGATAACGAATTCCATCCAATGAGCGCTTTTCCAAGCGGCTTCTCAACCGCACTCCGCCGGTGGAACATGCTACTGAACAATGGAAAGGCGCGAGGAAGGCAACGAAGCTGCGTTAAGAACGCGCAAGCAACTTCTGATCAATCACTTGTACCTACTTTCTCGCAGATACTAACTAAAAGTACGAGTCCAGTGTAAATGCTGTGTTGAGTCTCCTCCGCCCTTGAATACACCTAAGTTGACATCAAGAGAGCTAAGAGATGAAGAAAGTCTGTTTATGAAAAAAAAAAAATACTTGTATTGGTAAGAATACTATGTGAGAGAATACCAAGTGCTCCAAATCGCAACCCAGTCAAGCAAACCATCTAGTCTCCCTTGTCACAGACAAATGCAAAAAGGAAGACCAGTAAAAAAGCGAGGCTGGGGTAGACTGCGAGAGCTAGACGCAAGATTGAGTTGAAAATCTCAAAAAGAAAAATCAACCCAGAGAAACGCCCCAATGATATACCATGCTCCAAAAACCCTATCTTTTTTTCGTTTCCTAGTTTTTCAAGTGTTTTTTGTTTGAATTTTGAAGGAGATACGAAATGAGACGGGAAAAAGAGAGAGCGTGGCCAAGACTGAAAAACCTTACTCCTGGTGTAGTGCACTCAGCCCCAAACAACTGACCCTGAAAGGTTGTCTGAGGTGCTAAGCAAGGAGAAGGGGAAAAAGCCTTGGGAGGGTCCGATGACCTAGAGAAGTTAGCAGACAAGGATGTATGAATGACTTACCTCGAAATGAATCACGTTCAGCAATTTGAGCTGTGGGATCGTGACGGCGCACAATTAGCAAGGTGACCTAGAAAATTTCTAGTTGTGATTGCCTGGTGTGTTAGCAGTAGCAGCTTGACCAGCCAGACCTACAAGCCTGTCATTGTGGACGGTTTGTATGTGAATGACTTTCTTAGCCTCAGTGCTGAACGAGGAACGACAGAATTCGCACTTGTACGGACGAGTAGATTTGGTAATACCGCCATCGGTATGATGGCCTGGAGAAGCAGCAGGCGATCCTCGAGAAGGGGCAGGCGAGCCGCGAGAAGGAGCAGGCGAAACAGGAGGTGGCTGAGAAAGCTGCGCTTTTCTCCACATCCAATCAGGCAAGTCGTGGTTCCAAGCGGAGAGCATTTTGATAGAGATTTTGCCAAGCATGTCTATGCTTGTAATAGCAGGACCAAGCAAGTTTCTTCTCTCAAGACGAAGTGCGAGACGGCACTCATCTTCAGTCATGTCCTCGCGAATGTTCATGTGAGCCTCAGAGAGGAAGAACTCAGCACTGGTGTTGTCAGCTGCAATGTTAGGCTCGGTGGCAACGTTCGTCTCGAAGCGCTCGATGGCTAGATGATCGAAGGGACCATGATGCTCAATTGAGTAAGCTCTCCACAAATACCAATTTTCACGGACACGTCCATCGAGACGACCGGCTGCTTCCATGATGTTGTTTTCCAAGTGGATCAAGAAGATGGCAGGGTCGCCCGCTCCGTCGTAAAACCAGCGCCTGAGAGCTACCAGAGCTGCCTCGTAGTACGGGTGTGGGTTTGCTCTTGGATCCTGCTGCATGGTTCTGGACGCAGGGCCATCAACACTCAGCGCGAAGTGAAGGACTCTCGTGATAAGGGTCCAAGCATCTTCGTGTAGCGTGACCCAGACAGAACTCATGTTGTTGCGCGGACGCAAGATCAAGACCCACGGCTTTCCGTTGCGGTAGCGTTCGCCAGCCGAATGATCATGTGCAGACAGATCCGCTATCATGCCAGACATACTGGGCTTGTATGTACTTAAGCCTGTAGTTTTGTTAGCAAATTCTAGAGGGCTAATACTTACCTGTAAAGGTGTTCGGATTGTTGTGTGTGGAGGGTGAAGAAACGAAGAAATGGGGTTCAGGGATTTCAAGATGATTATGTATGATTTGACGAGCGTGTTGTCAGGCACATCACACTTCTCAACAGGCTACCAAGAACAAAGAAACTTGGGAGTGGAACAAAGGACAAAGGCTGAGATGCTCGAGAGGACAAAGAGAAGTAGCAAAAGCTCAAAGAGAGACAAGAACATTGTTGTTATATGACAAAGAACAGCAAACAACGATCAAAGGAAATGCAGCAAGTTGGATGCAGGATAGGAGTTGGAAGGATCAGTTGTGTTGTAACAATGTGACTTTCTCGCATTTGAGGCACGACCTGAACGACAAGTAAACGAGTACAAATGCATCAAAGTTTGGCTCGTATTGGTAATTGTAGTGTTTTCCTGTTTGTTCCATCTCGTGATGATGCTTTTGCTTTCGTTAAGCCTGTTGTACGAACAAAAAGTCTGAACCAGGAAGCCAGAACAACTGACATTCAGTTGTTCCTAGCTCGCCCACGCATGTATATCCTACATACGTACTCAAAGATTTATACTCTTTCAGATCTTTGGTTACTTTACTAGAGCATCTAATCGTAGAGCCGCCAGGTTGTCTGAAGCCATAGATTGATCGCGGTTTCGATCTCCAGTTATCTTTGACCTTCCAGCGACAGACGTCCATTGATACTCAGTGTCCAAAGAGAAGTGTCAGGCTCGAAACCTTGCAGTGATATACGATGCATCATGATCGAGATTCCCAGCGTCCAGACGCAACTTGCTGGAAACCAGTCTCTTGAAGACCAACGGGTGAAGCACAAGGTTCCGATTGTAGTCTGAATGTCTGAAGACCGTGTGGTATCCGTATGCCAAGGATGGAGTCGATTGGAAGCTGCTCATGTCATGACCTCTTGCGTTGACTTGAAGAGAAGGGCAGTACCAATCCAATCAGAGATATCAAGCCAGCTTTTACTCGGTGATCCTGGCATGGGTTGTAGAAATGAATTACGCATAGAGATGTAGACCTGAATCGCCATGGTACCAGTCGGAAATGATGTGCAGAGAGAGTCTAGACGTTACAGATATTGTGCTGTTTTTGCCATTCTGAAGTCGTCCACATACTCAGGGTAGCTTTGAGGGATCAATGCCATCGAGCTGTTGCTTCCTTGCAGCAACATCCCGCGCCGACCTACAGTCCTCGTAGCCTGTAGGCATGGCATCGGTCCAACCTCTCCTTGCATAACAACCATTGCAGAGATGGGGTTCATTGTCGTGAGCTGACCAGAGCAGCCGGCTCGCGCCCTTCCTTATAAGACCGCAGATAGCGCAATGAAACCTGACGCCTTGAGCATAAAAATTGGGAGCGTGAGTCTTCCATGGCAATTCGCGGAACCAAGCTTTCTTGGTACACGACCTGTACAAAAAATTCAACAGTCGCAAATGGGCCTTTACCTCTGCCTTGGCAGATCTCTCCCGTTGCCAACGCTTCTTGTATTCAATATATTCGGGATCTCCAGCTCTTCTATCCCTTAAATACTGGCAACGACTCGCGCGTCGACGTTCGTGCCATTCGGGATCTTCCTGTATCTTTCGTTGATGCCAGATCCGATATGCCTCTCGATCGAGACACACGACGTGGCTACTAGAGAACAGGCGCAGAGATCGCGATACGGACACCAACGGCCTGACGCATCCAAAGCGTTCACTGCAAAGAATGGAGAGTATTGAGTCGAAAATGATTGGATAAAAGGTTAGCGGAACTGTATATAAGAAAGAAGTCGTTCCGTGCTCTGCTTGTTCTTGCCGAAGTTTCGCCGGTGATAGACCCAACAGGTCTTCACGGCTTGCTCCATTGTTATAAGAGCACACGATATTGATCTTGAACGAGATTTATTATTCAGCTATCATGCTCTGCCGTAGGTTGAGCGATTGGAGTAGAGCCCCGCTATGAAGCACCCATCTTGCATGAACGAGGATCTGTTCAACGTTGGATTCCTGGTCATAATGTCGTGAGAGCCACCACCATGAGGGGAAACTTGCCAACTCGAATCATCCCACGATCTAGTCTTACCAGTACGTGTCGCTCTATTGGTCAGGCTCTGGAGCTCGTTCCTGTGCCTGAACACAATGCGTATGGGATGACCACGAATTATGGAAGAATGACCAATTGGCTTGCTGATCAGGCAGTTGCGTCGCATTGCTCTTGCTGTTATATAGGTAGCTTGCTTCTCACTGTCCCATCTCTCTGTTTTACTTCTGTCTCCGCCATCATTCGTATCCCTACATCGAACAATAACACAGCGATTCATCAACATCCAAACGTTATGCAGACTCCAAGACTTCTATTCCGTGCTTCGACACTGGTCACCAAGCCAGCTACCCTATCATTCTCCCGCACCTTCGCCTCTTCTTCTTCGCTCAAGGAGCGTGTTTCCGACCTCATCAAGCATGACCACAATGAACTGAGAACCTACAAGGACAACATTCTCAATGCCAAGGACGACGATGAGAGGGTTCGCTGGCAGAACCAATTCACTTGGGAGCTTGCTCGTCACAGTATTGCTGAAGAGCTAGTCGTCTATCCTGCTATGGAGAAGAACTGGTATGACCTTGCTCCGATCAATAGGTTCCAACAGCTTCTGACACATTTGACAGCCCTGGGGGAGAAAGTGTTGCCGACAAGGATCGTGCTGAACACCGAAAGGTAGAGACTTGACTTTCGTATCGATCAGGCATGCCGTCTCTAATCATGTAAAACAGGTCAAAGAACTCCTCAACGAATTCCAGAAACTGAAGCCCGATGTGGAAGACTTCGAGCCAACTCTTAGAGCTTTGTGGAAGGAGCTGGACAAGCACATCAAGGAAGAAGAGGCCCACGACTTGCCCTTGCTTGAGAAGCACACACCCGCAGACGAGTCTGCTGGACTGGCCAAATCGTTTGACAACACAAAGATGTTCACGCCTACCAGAAGCCACCCTGCTGCTCCTGATAATGGCGGCTTGTTCGAGACCGCTGCTGCACTGATGTCTGCTCCTCTGGACAGACTCGGTGATATGTTCCGCAAGTATCCCAGAGACCCTCTTGTTGGCGAAGGCCCCGCTGGCGATAGGGTGGACCCTCTCGACCCAAAGAATCCTCTTGACCCTGCAGCAGATCGTCCTGGACGTCTGGAGGGAGGAGCCACTCTTGATACAAGCGAGCGTCTCGGCAGAAAGGATCACCGGGTGTAGAGACAATGCTCCTGATTTCTAAATTCTGTACGAGAAGGCATGTGACAAGATGAACGCTACTTCTGCATGGTTCAGCATGACAACAAGCAGTACAATCAGAGGCTGGTATACAAAAAGCGAGTAGCAAAATTTGGCTCATCAATCATGAAATTGTGTTTTGTACCTAGGCTAGCTATTTGAGCGAACCTTCTTTCATGCTTTCCATCTGGTAGGACCTTAGCGTGACTAAGAAAGCAGACACATTAAGAAAGAACGGAGTGGTGGCGTTGTGTGATATGAGATGAGCTTGTTTGTCTTGCCTGCATGCCTTGCTTACTGAGACCCCTAGTAAAGCCAATGAAAAGATCGCTCTTGCTCCACATAGAATCACTGTTACTACAGAATGCTGAATGTACACACGATGTGTGTGCCTTGGAGACGACTCTAGCGAAAGCCCTCAGATATTCGTAACCGATGAGTCCAAGTGATCACTGGGATCCTCAGCCACAAGAGCAGCCAAAGCTTTCAACTGATCAGCCACATCCTCACCACTGATCTCGTGCTTCTCAGTGTTGTCAGGAAGGTGGAGGAGATGCCACCAAGCAGGAACGCAAAGGTCTTCAATCACAAAGTACTTCAGTCCACCAAGCTCAGAAAGTGATCTGATAACGTCAGACCAATGCCCTCTGGCAATGCGCAAGACAGAGCGACAAGGACGGAAATGCTGCATGCGAATGCTGGTCAAGTTTTCTTTCAGAGTCTCACTTAGAGCAAGAAATGTGCGGATCGAGCAGAGATGGCAGTTTTTGAAGACAAGCTCTGTGGTTTGAGAAAGTAGGAAGCTGAGGGTGAGCTTGATGGTCGATCCTTCTTTGGCCATGGACAATTCGTACGTGTCACAGCCAATAAGCTTCAGAGATTTGTCGGCTTGATCGTAGATGATTTTGTAAGGGTGGTGAAGTTCTCGGATGCGCTTACGGACGCAGCGGATGGTGAGTCTAAGAGGTGGTCGAGAGGAATCAAAAAGTTGTTCCAGTGCATCGTGAAGGACATCAAACTTGTAGTGATGCATGCTCAACTCAAGTGAGCGGACATGGCAGTTAGCTCGAACAGCGGCAACAAGTGTTCGGTCCAGTGCTTTGTTGTAGGAAGGTTTGAACAACGTTGGTCGGTCGTCGGTTACCTGTGACCAGCAGAAGAATGGGCGTTCGTGAGGATAGCCGATTCTGATGTGAACAGAGTTTTGATGCTTGCGGATGTTGTCAAACACACACTCCATCATTTGCACAAATTCGTGTGATCTGACGAATTCTTGTTTGAGATTGTTGGTGGCATAGTCGTGAGGCGTTTCATCGAGCAAGAGAGGGTAACACGCTCTCACGGTGATTGACTTTACGTACAAGCCAAAGCTGTGGTGAGTTACAATCTCGAGCAACGACTCAATACTCTTCCTAGTTAGGACGTGGTGACGATGACTCAGGTAAAAGATGCCGAAAGGTTTATTTGCAGCATGGTGGAGCGAGTTGCAGACGAGACGCATCGTGATGAGATCGTTACCGTCGACATGCTCAGAAATCTGACAGAGGATCTCGGTTGGAAGAGCCAATAAAGTAGGCATGGTGCCTTTCGCGGTAGTAATGGAAGGAGGTTAAAAGTGTGTTGCTCAGGTGTAATCAAGAGAGAAAGGGTGGAAGGTCGAATGCCAGGCCAGATCTAGAAGTATGTCTCGATCAAGACACGAATTATATTGCGTCTCAAGACGTCAACACGTTGGAGTGAAAGCAAACGGAGCTTTTGGAAACACAAAGCATCGTCCAAAGTCAGCCTCCTCGTAGTTCACCCAACGCCATAAAGCATGTACCCATGCTGTTCTACGTTGGTCCAGGGCAATGCTAGGCTCCACGTCAACATGTACTAGTATTGAGCCAGGCCGTATGGGGGATGACGATGGATGGTCACAATCCTGGTCAGGCCTTTCAACGGGACAACAGGAGGTCTAGCCACTTTTCTTACAGATTGTCGAATAAGCATTGCCAGTCTTTCGCTTCTTTGTTCTTGGTCCTTCCAGATCCTTCTCTTTCTGTCTCCATTCCCAACCAAGGAGCACGCCAATGGTCAGATCGCTCTCTGCCATGCTGGAAGCGTTACAATCCTTGTGGTAAGGGTCAGCTCCTCGCTCGAGCAGGATCTCAATGACTTTCCCGGCATCTCTGAATGGAGAGATTGTCGCAGAGCGAATCGGTGTCTGATTTCTCAGCATCGGCTCATGGCGTCCAGTGTATATCTTGTTAATATCCAGACCCATTTTATCTACAAGAAAGGTGACCATTTCAGGTCTGGCACGCCAGGCGGCGTTGTTCAGAGTCGACTCGCTGATTGGAGCACTATGCTCACGCAAGAGCTTGGAAGTGTCAGGACTACCAAAAGACGCAACATCTGCTAGCAATATCTCATCTGTTTCGTCAACAACGGCTCCATGACCAAGACACCATAGAACCATTGCAGCGAGGTCTTTAGGGGACGGTCCGAGGAAAGCTGAGGCAACTGATGCAGCACTTATCTTGTTTATGTCGATATGGCCTTCGCCAAGCAAGTATTGCATACGATCTGCCCTCTTCTTTACTGTCGCGTTTGCACGAGCAGACATGACACATATATCGTATGCTTCCTCAAAAGCAGCGAGTAGAGCGAGGTCCAGGTCTTCAATAGTACCTCAGTGGTTAGCTTCGACAACGAACTCACATGCGCAGGGCGTTCTTTTCTTCTTCGGAAGCATAACGTATACGCTAGCCTCAGACAGCAAGAAAATTCACCAACAGAACAACTGATGAGGAGTTATATTTGTGTCAGGAAGTCAAAGATGTGAAGACATAGATGCACCCGATGACGAAAGCGGGGCTTGGCAGCACCCTCTTTGCTTGTGTCAACAACGAAGATCTGAACGATCTTGTCATTGTATATTTCACCAGTCTTTTCAAAATGCATATCCTTGTATGTTGCTCACGCATGCCATGTCGAACTATCCTGACTGGGCGTAGGTAACCAATGATGACGGCCCGCCGTCGAACGAGTCGTCGCCTTATATCCTCGCATTCGTACGCGCTCTGGAAGAGGCTGGACATGAGGTTTCTGTAATCTTGCCCAGTGAACAACGCTCTTGGATTGGCAAGGCACATATTATTGGAAAAGACGTTCGTTAAAAAGAGTTGTGACTTCTGAGAATCATCGTACTTACATGATTGAAGGTCCAAGCAACATACTACTGGCCCGAAACTGAAGAGCATGGAACACCAAAGTCACAAGAGTCGAAGCAGGGAAAGCCCTGGGTTCTGGTCAACTCAACGCCGGCGACTTGCTCTCAGCTTGGATTGGCGCATTGCTTCAAGGACAGAAAGCCAATCGATCTTGTCGTGTCGGGACCCAACTACGGACGCAACACAACAGCCATCTTCGCTCTGTCATCAGGAACTCTTGGTGCTGCTCTTGAAGCAGCTGTCTGTGGGGCAAAGGCAATTGCCATCTCATTCGCCTTCTTCGACCGCTTGAATGATCCCAAGATCGTTGCACAGAGCTGCAGACAAGGTGTGCGAGTGATTGATTACCTGGCCAAGCACCAAGAATGGGACGCTGGACGTGTTTACACGATCAACGTTCCCGTCAAGGATGGCGTAGAGAAGCAACCCGTAGTGTGGACAGAGATGCTGCAGAACCAGTGGTCATCAAGCTCTTGCTTCGACGAGACGCCTGGTGCAGTCGAGGATGCAGACAGAGAAGAGACCAAGCTGAGGAAGCAAGAGAGCAAAGGTGGAGAGAACAATGGACAGGGACAAGCCGAGACAGAAGAGGACAGCAAATGGGCACCAAGACACTACAAGTGGGCACCCAAGTTCAAGGATGTTTATGATAGTGTCGAGAAAGCGGGACCTGGCAACGACGGCTGGGCAGTGAAGGAGGGACAGACGAGTGTGACAGCACTCAAGGCAAACTTTGCTCACGTCCCTGGATTCAAGGGTGAGATCAAGCTGTAGATGAAATGATTAGAATAGCATTGTGTCGCAAGACACTTCACTTCCACTTCGGGATGACGCGCAGGTGCAGACGCGCTAAAGCTTGCGATAAGCCGATAAGAAATCGAATGGCTCGCATCGAGGCCGTCTGGCGCATTGAAATTATTGCCCTGCGCATCATCGCATCAACATACGACATCATGGCCGACTTTATTGGTATGACCATTAGTGTCACTCTGCAGCAGCCTCCTGGTGCTGTCCTGATCGGCCGAGTCGCAAACGTTATTGCTGGTCAGACATTGGCTCTCGAACACGTCTTCTTCCCGCAGTCTGGCAACCATGTGCCTTCCTACAACGTACCTGCCAATTTGATCTCGGACCTGCATGTCGTCGAGACGAACTTCGAGGCCAGCGCGAAGCCTCCTGCTCCTGCTGCCAACATCTCAGCCTCTCGTGGTGCCGCCCAATTCCCTGCGCCTCTCCCTGTTCCTACCCCCGAGGCCCGCGTCGAGAGTCCTCTGGCCAAGAAGACTCCTTCCTTCGTCGACCCAGCTATTCTCAGCTTCTCAAAATCGCCTGCGCCTGCTGCACGTAGCCAGCCTCCACCACCACCTGCTCTACAGCAACCCTCGGCTCCTGTCACACCCAGCAAGAAAGCTCTGTCGGCTGCCGCAGCTGCTGTTCCTCCTACAAATACCTCTCCATTTGTCGCACATCCCACCGAGCCGCCCGCCACTCAAGAACAGGAGTATGCCGAAGACAACGCTAATCAGTCGAGCAAGAAGACCAGGCGCGGAAGACGGGGCCCAAGAATAACTCAAGTCCCTCTGGCTGCAGCCACCGAGGCACAGACGGTCAAAGAAACCCTGTCGCCCAACGTGTCGCGCAATGGAAATGATATGACCATCACACCCAGCACCAACAAGAAGGGATGGCGGTCTACTCCATTGCTCAAAGAACCTACACCAGCTGCATCTTCCAAGACCAAGAAAAAGGCGAAGCGCCCAATTAATGGCCTCAACGGAGATCAGAATGGCTGGGCTACCGAAGAAGCTACAGACATCCATGATATGGGTGACTTTGACTTTGAAGCCAATCTTTCCAAGTTCGACAAGAGAACCGTTTTCGATCAGATTCGTAACGAGGATACGACTGCAGACGAGGACAGACTGGTTTCGCACAACAGACTCGCACGCCCCGGCACATACGGAGGCAAGAACCTACATCCCACAGAGAACGTTCTCTCACCCACCCTGAAGCCCAAACATCACGGAAGCGAGCTCGAGTCCTCGTCAGATGCTGACACGGAGCTCAACTTTGGCAGTGGTCCAAACTCAAGACGTGCCCCATCCCGTACCTCAAACAAGCGCCCGTCGCGCATGAGCAACAGCGGGCTGCCAGAAGACATCCTTCATCCCTTAGCAGCCTCATTAGCTTCGACTGCCCTCAATCGCTCCATGAGTTCCTTGAGAGGCTCATCCGTCGTTGCTTCTTCCCCTAACCCCAACCGTGCTCGATCTCCTCCATCCATTCAATCTCCTATGAACTCTTTGGACCAACTCAGCCTCGCACAGCAAGCTGCAGCCTCTCCTCGACCTCACTTTAAAACGCCAAAGTCAAAATACCCCTGCTCACTCTACCACCCTGATCGTCTACGACAAGCCGAAGCTGACGCAATCTCAAACATCGGAATCAGCGCCGATGCCATCACCGAAAACGCTGCCCGTGGTATCGCAGAATGTGTCTTGACCAGCACCCTCAAGCCCGGCGCATCTCGTCGCAATTCAAAGATTGCCAACAGCCTACCTAATTCGAACTCGAAGCCCGTGGTAGTCATCCTTGCCGGTAATCATGTAACTGGTGCTCGTGCGATAGCCAGTGCACGCCATCTCTATAGCCGCGGCTTCAAGGTGCTCATCTCTGTGCTCGACTTCTCAAACCCCAGCGTCTGGCACCCACAACTCGCCAAGCATATTCACTCGCTCCAAGCACTAGGCCGCAAAGCAGCACGTATAGAAGGATGGCGCAGCACCTCTGGCCAGATCAAAAAACTCGAGGGACCCCCTGTCGTTATCGTCGACGCTCTACTAGATGGTCAACGCCACGCTGATATCCGCGATGAGGACTTGCGCGCTGAAGCACGTGAGATGATTGACTGGGCAAACCGCTCTCGTGCTGGTGTCGTCAGCATCAACATTCCTTCTGGCTTTGACAACGTAGATGGCAGCTCAAGTATCGTGGACGGCGAACCTCTTGCCATTCGCCCTGAAGCAGTACTCGCACTTGGTGTTCCAGTGTTGGGACTGATCGAGGCCATCAGAGAGGGCGAGGGCAGTGCCTGGGCCATCACAGCCGTAGACACTGGTGTCAACGTCGTCCTCAGCGATCGCGAAAAGGTGCAGTTCGGCGCAGACTGGACTGTGAACCTGAGATTTGTTTCTGGTGAAGCACAAACTTAGAGAAAAGTCTTCTTTCTACCTCAAAATGACATTGTTATCTGCATTTTTGCATATCTTGTACAAAAACGGGCGGTCAGGGTGGGTGGCGTTTGTGCTCTCTTCAGCATGTCAACAGGGAAAAGGAAAGATAGACCTGCAAATGGTCAGAAAAGAGGTGGCTATGAGTGTTTCTCTGCATGTCGGCTTTCTTCTAGTGCTCGACGATGGGATACGAAAGGGTCCCTTTTGCTGTCACATTTTCTCGTCTTCGAAGCACGATGTATTATATCCAAATTATCAAACACATTTCACAACACTGCTATCCAGGGTGTAAACAGTATGAGCAAAATAAGGATGCATATAGGTAAAGATTGTGTGTCTATGTCGTGGATTGAAACTTGCATTGCTACATCACCCTAGAGCGAACCCTGAGCAGAACACAACCCAATATAATACAATGTTTGAACCAAAACGCCTGCATCCAAGTCGTATACTATTGAGCATCTAGCTTCAAGCTCTTATACAGACATCTTCATGGCAATGCCCTTGTGAGGGTCGTATCCAAGGACCTTGAAATCCTCGACTTTCCAGCCGTCAATCGAGAGATCTTCGTCCGACTTTTCAATAACCAGCTCAGGGAAGTCTTTTGGTACACGCTCGATTTGGAGCTTGAGAGCATCAACATGATCGCAGTAGACGTGTGCATCGCCCATTGTATGTGTGAAAGTGCCAGGGATCAAGTTGCACACCTTTGCCAGCATGTGGGTCAGCAGAGCATAACTGGCGATGTTGAAAGGGACACCTAGACCCATGTCGCAAGACCTTTGGTACAAGATAGAGTGTAGAGTGCCCTGCTTTGAACCATCTGCCTTGGTAGGTGCATCCTTGGGGAACGAGACGTAGAACTGAGCGAACATGTGGCAAGGTGGCAGAGCCATCTTCTTGAGGTCTGCGGGGTTCCAAGCGGAGAGAATGATGCGGCGATCGTAGGGGTTGTTCTTCAACTTATGTACGACCTCTGCCAGTTGATCGACACCTTGGCCAGTGTAATCAGTCTTTGCGTCTTTGTATTCAGCACCAAAGTGGCGCCATTGGAAGCCGTAGACAGGGCCGAGATCGCCAACTTCACGATGCGAGAGACCGACTGAATCGAGGTATTCACGCGAGCCGTTGCCGTCCCAAATCTTGATGCCTTGTTCGGTGAGGGGAGTTGAGGATGTGCTTCCAGCAACGAACCATAGGAGTTCAGCAATGACGGCGCGGAGGAAGACACGTTTTGTGGTGAGAAGAGGTAGAATCAATTTTCCAGTGTCTTTGTCGGAAAGTCTGAAGCGAAGTTGGTTAGGGGCGAAGATGGAGTATGTACCAGTACCAGTTCTGTGAGAGGGTCAGATACGTGTCAATCATATTTCCAATGTATTGCGTACCTGTCTGGACGGTGCTCTCCTTCTTCGAGGATGTCACGAATCAAGTCGAGGTATTGGTATTCTTCGTGTGCGGCATGTTGGCGAGGAGCCTTGTGTTTAGGTGTCTCTTCAGGTTTGAGTTGGACATCGGGGCCACTGGCAGGGCCAAGCTCTGTTGTTGCTGCAGGAGACATTCTGTGTTTGTGATATTTTATGTGTGTATATCCCAAGGGAAGGTGCAAACAAAAGAGTACGAGAATTGGCAACCACGGAAGACGCGACACGCGTAAATGGCTTTCGGTCGAGGAAGGCACGACCCTCGACCGAACGTCCGTGCACAGATGATGGAACTGCGCATGTGAAAGTCGTTGCGACGCTGGACTTGACCGCATTCGATATTCATCGACATCTTGCAAAGTCACAGCAATCATGGCAGGAGACAGACGATGGGTCACCATCGTTCAGGAGATCGCCATAGCGGCAGCCGCTGTATGTCTAAACTCTACAAGTATTCTTCAGGCAGCCAGCACTGACAAGACGCATAGCCCATCATGGCCTTCTTCATCATGCGAAATCTACTGGCGCGAATGGATCCTGAAGCTGGCGCCAAATCCGAGGCTGAAAAGAAGGCTTCGGCGGCTGCCTCTCGTTTGTCATCCATCTTCGCCAGCTCTCCCGACGATGACTTCGACGACGAGGACTATGACCAAAAGTTGGAATGGGAGAAGCGCACAGCGAATTTGACCCTCACACCTTACGAACAGACCATCGCTATGGAAGTTGTGTCTCCCTGGGAGATTCCCGTCTCATTTAACGATATTGGTGGACTGGACGACATTATCGAGGAACTGCGCGAAGCCGTCATCTACCCTCTCACCATGCCTCACCTCTACTCTGCTACTAGCTCCCTTCTCTCTGCTCCTTCTGGTGTTCTACTCTACGGTCCTCCTGGTTGCGGAAAGACCATGCTCGCAAAGGCTCTGGCTCACGAGAGTGGTGCCTGCTTCATCAACTTACACATCTCTACTCTGACCGAGAAATGGTACGGCGACAGCAACAAGCTCGTTTCTGCTGTCTTCAGTCTTGCCAGAAAACTTCAACCTGCTATCGTCTTTATTGATGAGATTGATGCTGTTTTGGGTCAAAGACGTAGCGGCGAACACGAAGCCAGCGGTATGGTCAAAGCAGAGTATGTTGTCGTAACACTTTGATCTGCTGAGCGCCACTAACATTTCTGTACCAGATTTATGACACAATGGGACGGTCTTACATCCGCAAACTCTCTGGGCGAGGCTCAACGGATCTGTGTGCTAGGAGCAACCAACCGCATCCAGGACATCGATGAAGCTATTCTCCGCCGCCTGCCCAAGAAGTTCCCCGTCTCTCTTCCCTCGGCCTCTCAACGCCGTTCCATCTTCTCTCTCACTCTCAAAAATACTCGCCTCTCTCCTCAGTTCGACCTTGAAACTTTGGTCAAGGTTAGCGCAGGCATGTCTGGTAGCGACATCAAGGAAGCCTGCAGAGATGCTGCCATGGTGCCCGTCAGAGAATACATCCGCGAAGCCAAGTCTCGTGGTGCAAATATGAAAGGCGTCAAGGCTGAAGATGTCAGGGGCCTACACACCGATGACTTCTTCGGCAGGAAAGGTGGCGCATTACAAATGAGGCGGCAGCCCGAAGTCGACGAGTGGGAAGACTCCAGAGCCAGCCCAGAGACCATGTCGGAAACTGATGATGACCCGCAAACTTCGGTGCCGGCATGATGATGGTACTCAAAGATCTTACGACTTGTTTGCATTTTCTAGGGAGTTCTTTTGTGGTGCATGTCAATATCTTGACTCTCCTATTCTGCTTTTGTTCTTGATATACCCCAATCTAGAAGGCAATCTTTCTGCTCTGCAAAACTACCATCAGGGATCATCTATCCAAAATTTTCGCTTATCCTCAATGCTCAGGAGTATTAACTGACGAATCCGCATCCCTACTTGACAGTCTTCTTCTTCTTCTGAGGCTTGAACCTCTCTCATGCTCGTCACGGGGGAATTTGATACCGCTTGGCTAGCTTTTGTATACTTTCCGTCGCCCCCTGGGTCGCTTCCTTACATTCCCACTTTGGCATTCCTTTTTCAGCAATCTCTGCCTCCCATTCGATTTCAGTCCTTGTAGGAATTGTATTGTAGACCTGGACCATCAAATTGTCTAAGCCAAGATAATCAAAGCGGTCGACGGCATGTTTGATGGCATGAGCAGGTACACAGCAAACAAAATTGACCAAGACCACTTTAATGCAGAGGTAGTTTAGACTCTGCATTTTGGCAATGTGGGCGAGGCGGACGTAGGGGGTTATGTATCTGGCTGCTCTGTAACTGCTGACACTGGCTCTGTAGCTGTAGAGGCAGTCGATGTGGACTGCCAATTCTAGTCTTTGGATTTTGTCGACTGCAGAATTTGTCAGGTGTTGCAGGAACTTGCTGTCGTTGAGTGTGAGGTTGCGAGTGCATATCCCAGATGGGCATCTGTATTTGAAAAGGCGGTCTCCGTAAGCGTATTGAGAGGCTTCGAGATAGATTTGTCGACAGGTGTACAAGATGCTGGTGCCTAGATCTGCTTTCGGGGTGTGGGGATGTGAGCAGAGGGTTATATTGGCGGTTGCAGGTAGGTGAAGTTTGTAGATTATTATTCGGAGTTCGATGGGGAGGGACAGGAAGGTTGTTGGTGCTTTTTTGGTAACGACCCGCTCGCTTGTCGAGCTCGGTCGTGGCTTGTCCATAATTTCCTCCTCAACAGTGAAGATTGCAAGTTCATAGATTGCGATGTGTTTGCCTGAGATGGCAGCTTTATGGAAGATGTCGCGAGTGCGTGAACATGCTTGTCTAAACTCTTACCAGCGAAAGTAGTGCTGTATAGAAGTACAAAATCGGCGAGAATTGTGAACACCTGTTATACATCTGTGACACTTGTAGATGCGTTTAAAAGCGTACTTATGTAAGTGAGTCACGGGACCGGGTTTTAGAAAGTTGGGTTTCCACGCGAGAGTTCTTAGGTAAGTGCTCAGATCTGACCAATCAATAACCCATTAGTGATCGGTGTCAGGGGGATTACAGGTACACAGACTGCATTTAGGCGATGTATTACGGCAATAAAAGAGCAGTGGGTGAAACCGGGTCATTCGTGAAAATATCAGTCGTAATCATCAGTTTGAACAGCGTGTCCGCAAGAGCTCGACTTGATCCAGGCAAGGCGAGCCGTATCGAAGTCTCTAGCTTATGGTAGTAACAGGGTCCTTGGTCGACATGAAGATGTTATTCTTCGGGTAGTCTCGAGGGCGTTGTGAAGGCCGAACATAAGGAATGTACTCTTTCTATCATGTCTATATGCAGGTCGTTGCTGCGTGGGTATCGAAGGAGAAGAGATGGGAAAAAACCAAGACAAGGGAAGCTCCATCCTCTGATATCCTAGGTTTCTTTGAACCAATCTTCTAGTATGCTTTCTGGAGCATCGCGAACCAGAACATGGATATGATCAACACCGCGTACGCTCTGCAGTGCAACCCAGTTCTTGAACCAGAGAACGTGTTCCTTGCCTTTACCTGGACCAAAGACAGTATCCAATCTGGCTGCGAAAGTATTGTTGACAAAGTCTTCGATGAGCTTTCTGGAAAAGTCGGTGACATCACCAGTAGTAGGGTCAGTCTCGATGGGAGTCTTGACCCAGACGCAGATGTGAACGATGCCTTTGTCTAGTCCATACGGCCAGTCGTTTCTCAAGATTTTGAAGTCGCCCTGATCCTTGAAGGGTATGGGGTCACGGAACTCAAACTTGGGTGGTTCACCAGGAGTCGAAGAGGGCAAAGGAGTCCAGTGCAGACGCTTCTGAACGACGAAATTTGTAATGGTACCATACTCTGCCTTGGTCTCTGAAGACCATGCAATATAACGACGCAGGTCGGAAGGACGACGCTTCAATTGTTCAAGGCGATTGGCAGCTGATGTCCGTCAAAAGATGAAGCACAATATGGCTCAACATGATGAAATACCAATGATTTCTTTGAGTTCTTCCCATGTGACGAGAGAAAAGTCCTCGTCCTTCATGGCAAGAATCTCGCGGTCAATTGCCGTCAGCGGAAAAGCGTTATTGTTTATGGACATGATGCAGACTCGTCGCAACGGAATATGGCCGTTCAGGGCATGTGCAAGAGAGCAAGTAGCACAAGAAGTAGCCGACTCAACCGGACTGAATAGCCCGATCAGGCAGCGTGATGGACCGCTGAAGCAACCCCACCATCATCGGCCGCGACCCTGATCTGCCCCGGAAGGAAGCTCGCAAAGTCGCGTGTTCTTACATCTCGGCCTTGTGTCTCCTCGTTCAATTCGACTCCTTCAGCAACTCGTCATGTCATCGAAGCACACCTACAAGCCCACAGGGCCCTTCGCTCCTCAATACATCCAGGGCGTCTATGCTCCTTCGGCAATCTTGATCGTCGGAGCTGCCCTGGTCAACAAGAGCTTGGTGCCTGTTGCCATTGCCATTGCTGCTGCTTTGGCTGGCTACCAGTTCTTCAACAACCGTAAGTGCATTCTCCCGCTCTCTGATATTCCGACACATTGCTAACGAATCGGCACAGAGGTCAAGAAGGTCCTTGATCCCACCACTTTCCAGCAATTCCCCTTGACCGAAAAGATTGTCCTCTCGCACAACACTGCCATCTACCGCTTCGGTCTCCCGAGCCCCACCTCTATCCTCGGTCTGCCCATTGGCCAGCACATCTCCCTCGCTGCCACCCTGCCCGTCAAGGACCCCAAGACTGAGGTCGTCTCCAACAAGGAGATTCTGCGTTCCTACACTCCCATCACCGATGACACTACTTCCGGCCACTTCGATGTCCTCATCAAGGCCTACCCCACTGGCAACATCAGCAAACACGTCGCTGAGATGAAGATTGGTGACACCATCAAGGTCAAGGGTCCCAAGGGTGCCATGGCTTACCAGCCCAACATGGTCAGCCGCTTCGCTATGATCGCTGGTGGTACCGGTATCACTCCCATGTACCAGATTTCCAAGGCTATTCTCCGTGGTCGTGCCTCAGGCGACAAGACTCAGGTTGACCTCATCTTTGCCAACGTCAACCCTGAGGACATTCTCATGAAGGACGAACTCGACCGCATGGCCCGTGAGGACAGTGGCTTCAGAGTTCACTACGTCCTCAACAACCCCCCTGAGGGTTGGACTGGTGGTGTTGGCTTCGTGACTCCTGAAATGATCAAGGTACGAAATATGCGACTCACGCTACAGTGATTGTGAATCTTATAGACTAATACCTCATAGGCAAACTGCCCTGCCCCCGCACCTGACATGAAGATGCTCATCTGTGGACCTCCTCCTATGGTCGCTGCCATGAAGAAGGCTGCCGAAAGTCTTGGCTACCAGAAGGCCAGACCTGTCAGCAAGCTCGAAGACCAGGTCTTCTGCTTCTAAGCAATGCAATTGATTGCGAGCTGTGTCTACAAAATTAGCCCTCTCTGAAGAGATGGCAAAAAGTGTGTATAATTGTCACGATCTGAACGAGGTGCATCCATAGAGCCTTTTCTGAGACGATTTCATGTCCGTATATGTTTAGAGTGTATGCACTTTATCTGTATTGCATCTTCTGGCCGCCTCTCTTCTCCATCTTTTGTTGACGCTTGCTTTGCGCGCCGCTCGAAGCACCCTCGGCGGGCATGGCACCACCTCCCATCAGCCCCTGACGGGCACCGGTAAAGGTTGTGTATGCCAACCAAGCCGAGTACAGAGGGATAACAGTCTACAGTTCGAGTCAGCAAAGAATAAAGTCTCAAGAGTGGTGTAGGAGTGACTCACGAAGAACCACCAGGCCCAATCACCCAGCAAAGTGGTCAAGACAATGCAGCCCCACGACCAGTAGACAACATCCCACATCCATTCTGTCAGACCCTTGGCCTCGAGGTCCTCTCCTGCTCTTTTCAATTCCCTGCCATTGGGACCTTCGGCGTATGTAGGGCGACCGATGCGCTCAAACCAGAATTGGATGAGCAGAGAAGGGAGAGACAGGATCAGGTATGCCCAGAAAGAACGGCGCACAAGGACGAGGCGGAGGAGAAGGTGGAAGCCATGGACACCCAATGCGATCAGATGGGTGCGCTGGAGAATTGCGGCATTGCGGGCTGCCTGTGATTTGAGAGCTTGCTGTTGTGGTTGTTTAGAGAATTGAAGGCAGACAGAGTAGTGTTTGGATGCTGACCCTGGCCATTGAGACGGTGGTTTGCGATGATGGGTTTCCTGGTGTGTTGTTTGCTAAAAGAAAGCAGAGCAGGACAGAGACACGCGAGCTGGCCAGATGTAGCTTGGTGGGGAAGGAGCGTCCCTTGCCGGATGGTGGTGACGATGAAGACCGTGCGCAGCTGTTTCTCAGTCAGGTTGTATCAATAAACACAACTTGCCAACGCGCATAACACCCTACAACCACATCTTTGTCTGCGCTTCCATCGGTTCGTGAAGATTTTCACATTGCGAATAGCTGCATAATCGTCGAATACAGCGACATCTTCCTCTATCTCGCGATTCGACTCGACGCGCCTCGCTCCTGCCTTTGATACATTCGCATCCCGCATGGACAAGCTGCTCTGAGGAAGCCACACTGTGGACTCAACATCATCCTCGACATTCCCGTTTCCTTCGCCACGCTTACATCTTCCTCGTCGCCTCCATTCCGACATTGCCCATGTATCTTCACCAGACATTCATCTTTTCGATTCGTCCCTTCACCTGTGTCCTCGACGCCTCGACCTAATTGCTTGTTCTTTTGGCCTTGCGTATAAAAGCTCGCCATAACCATGTCACATAACTCGACGCTGGCTGTAACACAACTCAAACAGCTCATATACTACCACTTGGACAACGAGTCACCAGACAATGCAAACTTTCTCGCCGAACGATTAATTTCTATCGACCCTCGAAACCCGGACTCTTCACATCTTTTGGCCCTGACGAATTATCGTTTGCGACGGTTCAAGACTGCCTACGATTGCAGTCAGAAGAGCGGCGCAAACGGAAGACACCTAGGCTGTGCCTATGTATTGGCTTTAGCCTGTCAAGAGCTTGGAAAACACAATGAAGGCATTGCAGCTTTGGAGAAGGCTAGAAGTCTTTGGCAAGGCCGTAGCCATTGGGGTGCGTTAGTTGTTTCCCTTTGAAGCGCAATAGCCGTGCTGACTCGGACAACACAGGGAAACACACAGAGTTCTCAACTAGGCATACTCCAGACGCTGCAGCTGTGAATACTTTGCTTGGGAAGCTGTGGCGTGGCCATGGCGATTCCCGCAGGGCTGGCGACTGCTACATTGAAGCGCACAAGAGCAATCCATTCACGTGGGAAGTCTTTCAAGGACTTTGTGATATGGGTAAGGAATCGAAAATCCCAGGTCGCTTGTGGAAATGCTGACTTTTCAAGGCGCCGAGATTGATTTAGCAGGTTCTTTCAGGATGACTACCGAACTCGCTTCTTCCATCACAAGCGTTTCCGCATCAATATTGAACCAAGAAACCATCAAAGATGAGCCTCAACCCATCGTTCCAGTTTCGAGTACGAACAACATCAACAGCATTCATGCTCTCACACCGACAAATGACCCCTTCAACCCTGTGAAGAATGGTGGAGACCTCGTCGCACAAGGTCAGAGTAATTTTCTGCTGCCGAGGATCAAGTCGAAAGGCATCTTTGGCAATAACGGATCTAAGCCTACCGGTCAGCAGTCATGGGAGACTCCGACGGCAAATGGCATGTCTGGAGATGAGGATGTCGAGATGGGAGGCATACCACAAGAAGCGCTCAGCGCGGAGGAACCGCCAGCTGCTCCAACACGGAGGTCAAGGACTGCACTACAAAGACTAGGACTTGATGCCGGCAAAGACAGTCAGAAAGCCCGCACTGCAACAGTCAGAAACCAGGCGAAGCCTAGCTCAGAATCAGTGGATGCAGATGAAGCGACAAATGCCGCGCAGAGACGTTCGCAACATAAACGGACGATATCTGGACACAGCGCACAAATTCCAGATGCCGAGACAATAACATTTGCTCCAAGGAGGAGCAATCGTTTATTCAGTCAGATCACAGGGTCAAAAACAGCAAGTCGGGTACCCGCCGACAGCAATTCCTTGACAGCAGCTAAGCGCGATGAGGTCAAAAAGGCCAAGGCTACAGGGACAAAAGGTAGAGGACCTGCGCAAGTGGGCCGCGTTGTAAGTGGCAACCGGAAGATCATACCGCCAAATCCAACGGAAACCAAAGACACTCGCGCACCAAGTCGTAATTCTGCAGCTATGCCTGTGCCGTTGCAGAAGCAAGCTCTGGAATCTACTGTCGCTGTGGAAATGGCATCGACAGAGTCATTATTGTCCACTTTCAGGTCTTTAGGGGCAGCTTACTACCTTCTGAGTCGCTATCAGGTATCATCTGCAGTCGATGCTTTCAAGTCTCTTCCTTCAGCACATCGAGAATCACCATGGGTCCTCGCTCAGCTTGGCAAAGCGTATTACGAAGCATCAGAATACTCTTCGGCAGAAACTTGTTTTGCCAAGTTGTTAAAACTCCAGCCGACGCGGATCGAAGATATGGAGGTGTATTCGACAGTCTTGTGGCAATTGAAAAAGCCTGTGCAGTTGGCATTCCTGGCGCATAATTTGAGAGACCTGGCATTCAATTCTCCACAAACTTGGTGCGCGGTCGGGAACGCCTTTTCCTTGAGCAGAGAACATGAGCAAGCCATCGCATGCTTCAAGCGCGCGACACAAGTAGATCCAGAGTTCAGCTATGCTTGGACGCTCATGGGTCATGAGCTTTTGACTAACGAGGAGTTTGATGCTGCGCTTGCATCTTTCCGTAAAGGGGTTGGAAGCGAGAGACGCGGATTCGGGGCGTGGTATGGTTTGGGCAAGTGCTACGAAAGGATGGGCAAGTGGGATGAGGCACAACGACACTACCGCATCGCATTTGGCATCAATCCTAGTAATCCTGTACTGGCGGTCTGCATAGGAGTGGTGAGTTTGACTAGAATCCGACAAGAGGTATTCCAGCTGACCGATGGGCAACAGATCATGGAGAAGCTCCACCATCCCAAAGCAGCTTTGACACAATACTCGCACGCGTTGAATCTAGCACCGAACTCGGCACTCGCACGATTCAAGAAAGCCCGCGTGTTGATGGGTCTCAAGCTCTATGAGGATGCTCTCGTGGAGCTCGAAGTGCTAAAGAATTTGGCGCCAGAGGAGGCCAACGTATTCTTCTTGCTCGGAAAGTGTTTCAAGGGGCTTGGAAGACGAGCAGACAGTGTGCGCACCTTTACTACTGCGTTGAACCTTGATGCGAAGGTAAGACTCGAGGCTCGTTATGTTGTAGGCGTCAGCTAATGGAAGACAGGCGTCGCAATACATCAAAGAGGCCATGGAAGCTCTTGACGACTCTGACGAAGATGATATGGATGACGATTGAGCATGTTTGATTGCTCGACACGATGAGGTAGTATGAAGTAGCATATTCAGGGGCGTTTCTGGAGCAACTCAAGCTAGCATTTGCATGGGCGTTGGTTGATGGCTTCTCGAATTCAGCGAGTATCAAGGCTGTTTTGGCGACGGCGTTGATTTGGTCCGAAGCGAGCTCCAGACCAGCCAAGCAAATGAACATGGGACTACTCTACTGGCAACTGGCGCAAGGCAGAGCCAGCAGGACATGAGGCACGCAGACTCATCTTCTCGTGTATTCTGTATGAAGACCTAGTTTCAGTCGAGGCATTGGAGATGGAAAATGACATGGATGGGCAAAGCTCAGCCTTTGCGTCACGCCAAGCAAACAGTGCAAAGTCGAGCTCGATTTATCAGCACCAAAAAAACATTTCCACCCGCTGGCGCGTTGTCTTTTTAAACCATTTCACCTTGAACGAAATTTTACGAACTCATATACAACATGTCTGCTCACGAACCGCACGATGAGGACAACAATGTCCCCGAAGACGACGACGAGATGTTCAACCCTGACGACATGGAGGAGGAATTCGAGGGCGAGGGAGAGGACATGCCCATGTCCGATGATGAAGAAGGAGGAGCCATGGAGGAGATTATGCTGCAAAACGACAGCATTGCACACTTTGACGGGCACAAGGACAGCATTTTCTGCATCGCACAACACCCAACGCATCCACAACTTGTCGCAACCGGCGGCGGCGACGATGTAGCCTACCTCTGGGACTGCTCTCCACCGCAAGCCCCTGTCCTACCTGCCTCGTACGAGAGCAACCCTCAGCCCGTCGAACGCCACAGCCAGGAACCCTACGTCAAGCTCGAGGGCCACACTGACTCGGTCAACGCACTTGCTTTCTCACTGCCTGACGGCAAGTTTGTCGCTACTGCTGGTCTGGACGGCAGACTCAATGTCTACCGCACACCGCAACAACCACAAGCTGAGCCTGCAAAGGCTTTTGCCTCTGCCGCCGAGGTCGAGGAGATCAACTGGCTGTCGCCCTGCCCTAACCCTACATACCCCAACACCTTCGCTCTCGGCGCCAATGACGGCAGTGTCTGGGTCTACACTGTCAACGAGCAGGATGCCGCGTCGCCGCTCACAATCGTGCAAGCATTCTACCTTCACACTGCTTCGTGTACTGCTGGTGCATGGACGCCCGACGGCAAGCTTTTGTGCACTGTTTCTGAGGACTCGAGCTTGTACGTCTGGGACGTGTTTGGTGATGCCGCAGCCGCTGGTCTTGCAAACCCTTCTGGTCAGGCTGTTGTTGGTCTGACTGGAGATGACGAGCGTTTCCTTGTCGATGGTGGTCTGTACAGTGTGGCTGTCTCACCTGGCGGTGCTCTTGTCGCTGTAGGAGGTGCCGAGGGTCAGATCCGCGTGGTTGGTCTGCCTCGTCTCTCTATGCCTGCAGGCCAATCTGTCACTTCGGGAGCAAAGGGTGCTGGCGCTCGTGGCAAGGCTGGTGGTGGCAAGCAATCTGGCGGTCCTCGTGGCGGTCAATCAAGCGCTGCAGCTGGACAATCTGGTGTCATTCTCGCCTCGCTCGCTGCCCAATCTGATGGTATCGAGACTCTGTCATTCGCACAACCACCGTTGACTCTTCTGGCTGCCGGTAGTGTGGACGGCAGTATCGCCCTCTTCGACGTCGCACACAACTTTGCCATTCGCAGACACATCAAGGACGCACATGAGGAGGAGGCAGTCATCAAGGTCGAATTCGTCAATGCAGGACAAGGTGGAAACAACTGGATGCTCACATCTTGCGGCAACGATGGTGTTGTGAGGAGATGGGACGTCAGAGGTGGTACTGCCGCTGCTAACGGCGGTTTGAGTGGAGAGTGGAGAGGCCACAGAGGTGGCGGTGAGGGCGGTGGTGTTATGGGCTTTGTTCAGGGTGGCGGTGGTAGAGCTATTGTTACCGCTGGTGATGACAGCGTTTCGCTCGTCTTCAATGCACCTCCGCAATAAGATGACTGGCAAATGTAAAAGAAAAAGCAGATGTTGTAGATACCCTTTATGGATGCTCGGCGCTCCAAATGAATTCTCTCCAAACACTTCCCCTCGTGTTTCAAGGTCCGTAATTTCAATCGTGCACCGCCTTCAGCAACAAGGAAGATGTCACTGCACCAAAACACAGATGTTCTTGGAGAAGAGGCATGTCCATTGAGAGCGGATAGGTTATTGCTTCTCAGTAACATCATCCTGTTTCCTCATGCTATGTCTTCCTATAGTTACACGCGCTTTATATTCTAGTAGGCGGCGAGGCTCTTGATTATGCCTCAGCGACGACTTCCGCTTTAAACATGTGGTCTTCATCCTGCACCTCTACGGTATCCAGCTTCCTAGCCTTGTTGATCCTTTCCTCGTTCAAGAGGTATGCTCTGGGCAAGCCATCCTCCACGGCCTTCTCTACAGCCATATTCGTATCGTCCCCGAGCACCATAGTTGCCACACTCTTTCCACATAACCAAGCATTAGGCATACCATGTCCTGTATATCCAGCAGCGACAAAGACACCTTTGTGACCCGGCACCTCACCAACCCACGGCAAGTTGTCTCTCGAGAAACCCATGATACCAGTCCACTCATGTGTTGCCTTCAACTCCTCTTCCCCTCTCTTTCCATCACCAGGAAGAAGCAATCTCGGCAGCGCAGTACGCAAATACTTTGCCACCTTCTCATCCACGTCTCCATCATCGCTGATCCCCAGGCTTGGACCATAACTTCTTCCACCGCCAAACATGAGGTGAGCAGAGGATTCATCTGGTCTTTGGACAAGGTAGTCATCCATCTTTGGACCTATGAATGCAAAACTTGTTTTCGTCCTCGAAGGTCCTGAAAATGCTTTTCCGGGTACTAGAGCGGACATTTGGCCTCTGCAGGGGACGATCAAATCGGACATGGAGGGGATCAGGTGGGATGTGTATGCGTTAGTGGCCAAGACCACTTTCTTGGCTTCTACAATTCCTCTGTCTGTATTGAGGGTCCAGTTTCCAGTGCTAGAAGCAGAGATAGAGAGGACTGGTGTATGAGTCTGAAGGTTTAAACAGGGATTAGTGAGCAGAGATTCCCAGATGGCGGTTACGAGCTTGTAGGGCCAAAGTCTTGCTGCAACATCTGTCACTACAGCTCCCTTTGCTTCCGGCACCGCTAGACCCAGTTTCTGCAGATCGTCTGCTGTGTCGACCACTCTACACATCTTGCCTAGGGGAGGATTGGTTTCTTGAAGTGTGTTTACAGCATGCTGTGCTAGTTTTACTTCTTCGTCAGAGTAAAGGCCTCGGATTCCTGGTTGAGTATTCCATTCGCAGGCAATTTTGCGAGTTGAGATTAACTCGGACAAGGCGAGGAAATTTGCGTATTCGAAGTTGGAGATTGAAGGGTCGTGAGGGTGTTCGTAGAACATTGGGAGGCAGTGGCCGCCGTTCCTTCCAGTCGCTCCCCAGCACACTTCTCTGGCTTCTAACACAAGCACACTCTTTTTATTCGCTCCTTCGATGTTCGGGTCTTCAAGAAGATGATGCACTACACTGACTCCACTGATACCAGTTCCAATGACCACGATATCGGCTTGTTGGGGCAAGTCTTTGGTTGTTCGGTAGCCGAGCAATCTAGGCTCGGTGTGCCAGAATGAGGCGGAAGCATGCTGGGATGGTAGACTAGCTGCTCTTGACATGGTACTGAAAAAGTGTGACAAAGATCTGGTTGCGAAAGATGGAAAGGATGCATGCAAAGTCAATGTGTCAGAAGCTCGGGTGATAAGATAGCGAAGGTGGGTCGAACAGGGTGACCCACCAAACTTGGTTGTCTCGAAGATAGATTGATGATTTCTGATGTGAAAGATGATTAGAATGCATCTTCTGTTAAATTATTCATGATCACATGATTATTGTAGGGCACAGAGTTTCGAACCTTGCTGCAGTTGAGACTGGGGATCATAGTGGAGTAGTTGAAGGTGAAATTGATTGAGAAGGCAAGAACGAACTGGATACAGTAGTTTCTCGAAGTCCTGTGGTCACCATCTTGAATATTGCAAAGTTCTGATAGCCATGGTTTTTTGAAAAAGCAATGCCCTTATTTTGAAGCAAATGAAGACCTGCGGAGTGTATGTAATCTTACCGTTCGCCAGCTGCTACTCCTCCAGTGCAATGTCGATGATATCCTCACACCGCATAGGGTATGATAGGGCAATGAATGCAGTCGAGCGCATATATATACCCACTTGAGCCAAATGTTGATACTGCTTAAGGTTCAGGAACAAGTAACAGAAACAAACCGAGGCATCTTAAGGTCCGGCAAAAGGCGGTTAACCTCGAGGCTTCTCCGCATGCATTACCCCACAATTGTGGGGGTGACAGGTCCACCTAAACGGACAAAGATTGATTACGAAATTGAACACACCCATAGAGAGCGAGCCGCGGCAATTAGGGTTTCAAGAGTCTGTGTCTTGGAGGAAAAGGGCAAGGCATTAGAGCGGCACAGACGTGCCGGTAAGGATCACGGGAGACATATCAGCGGTCAGAGCGTGTCCATAACCCTTCCAATCCTCTCTCTGCAAATCTCTTGCCTTTCAACACAACATACCTCAAGACTCTGATTGAACTTCCAGCAAGTCGTGAAACTTCATAACCATGCCGTGGAAAAGTCGCTGGACTGTCGATATACCTCAGGTTGACTTGACAACTTATGTCTTTGGATCGCCTTCTGCTGCTTTACCGGAAACACCTCTATACCTCGATCCAGAAAACCCAGACAAGTATCATCTATCAACATCTGATTTGAGACAATGGTGCAAGCGATTCGCAGCTGGCCTCCAGAAGGCTGGTCTGAAGCCTGGTGATCGTGTGCTACTGTTCTCGGGGAACACACTTTTCTTCCCTGTGGTCTTCTTGGGTACAATCATGGCTGGAGGTGTGTTCACCGGCGCCAACCCTACTTATGTGCCCCGCGAGCTGGCATACCAACTTCAAGACTCTGGAGCCAAATTCTTGATCTGCAACGAGGCGAGTCTGGATACTGGTATTGAAGCAGCGGATGCTGCAGGTATGTCACACGACAAAGTCTTTGTGTTCGATAATGGCTACGCGACTCTCGACAACACTGGAAGAGGACGTGGGGATGTCAGACATTGGAGCAAATTGCTTGCCAGCACCGCTGAGAGCCGTAACTTTGCTTGGGAAGAGTTGAGTTCTGAAGAGGAGCTGAATCGCACCATCTGCCTCAACTATTCGTCAGGAACGACCGGTGTACCGAAGGGCGTTATGATCACCCACAAGAACTATGTCAGCAATAACCAAGGTGTGGTTCGTGCTGCGAAAACTATGCCAAACTACGAAGAGAACAAGAAGACCGCAAGGTGGCTCTGCATGCTTCCGATGGTATGTGCTTGTAGGTCGAGTCAATGAGCACAACGCTTACTGATACTTTGCAGTACCATGCCTATGGCCAAACATACTTCTGCGTAGGAACCGTCTCACGACAGATTCCAACATATGTCATGCAGAAATTCGACTTTCTCAAGATGCTGAGCTATATTGAGAAGTTCAAGATCACCGACTTGACAATGGTTCCGCCGATTGCAGTTGCAATGGCTAAGCATCCTGCTTCCAAAAAATGCGATCTAAGCTCAGTAAGATATATCGGAAGCGGTGCGGCACCGCTCGGAAGCGAGGTTTCAAAGGAAGTCGAGCAGTTGTGGCCAAAGGGTAAGATGAACATGAAGCAAGGATGGGGCATGACAGAGTGAGTACACCTATCATCGATGGATTTCCGCAAAGCTGACCATGAGCAGAGTCACTTGTTCCGCGTGCAGTTGGGATTTGACAAAGATCTCCAAGTCTAATGCAGTAGGCGAGCTCAACCCTAATATTGAGGCTATGATCGTAGACGTGGCATCAGGATCCGAAGTTCCAAGAGGGCAAAGAGGCGAATTCTGGGTTCGGGGGCCAACGGTGATGAAAGGCTACTGGAACAAGCCAGATGCTACAAAAGAGACTCTCACTGCAGATGGTTGGCTGAAGACTGGTGATGTTGCCTATCTCGACGACGAGGGTCACCTGTTCATTGTAGACCGCATCAAGGTGAGCAGGAAAGAAGAACAAGCAGCACAAAGCAAAGCTGACCAGACGATAGGAATTGATCAAGGTCAAAGGCAACCAGGTCGCACCTGCTGAGCTGGAGGCACTGCTTCTTGAACATCCAGCTGTTGCAGATGCCGGCGTAGTAGGCGTGACAATGTATGTGCCTGGAGGTCAAAAGCGAGCGAAGTCGAATGCTAACATTGAACAGAAAGGGTGAGGAGCTCCCAAGAGCATATCTTGTGAAACGTGCAGACCAGAAAGTCGAGGCCAAGGATATTCAACAATTCATGAACAGCAGAGTCGCGAGACACAAACGACTGGCTGGCGGTGTTGTGTTCTTAGACGCAATCCCGAAGAACCCTGTAAGTGCTTCGCAGCTCTGATGGACGTAAAGGACGTAAACTGATTTGAAGGCAGTCCGGCAAGATCTTGCGCAAGGTATTGCGCGATCAGGCGAAGGCAGAAGTGGGTGACTCTGAGGCCAAAGCATCGCGTCTGTAGATCTGGACAATTTTGTCTGAAGATAACCAGAATAAATACAATGCATTACCGTAGTGTTCATCGGAAGCAGTCAAGCACACCACGTGCCGTTATCTAAGCATTGTGATGATGGCAGAGAGACTGCGTGCGTACGTGATCTAGCGATGGGAGGAAGAATGCTAAATTTCAACTTCACTTTGGAAGAGACTGATGATTATTTGTTATTGACTAGCAAAAGTGATGGTCGAGTGAGGACGAAGCGTGGGTTGCTTGAAGTCCATTCAAAAGCGTCGCCAACTTTGGTTCCTAAAATCTTGGCATGCTTTTGTGCTCGCTTAAAATTCTGTGTGGATAACATCGAAGCCGCACGGATTTTCTTGCCTTTCCACGCCCAACGACCCCGTCAACCACCGACAAGATGCCTTTCGTAAGTAGCACCGCCTGCTCCTGGAGGGCCCTGTGGCCATCGCATTGATGGCAGAGAGTCCCTGCAAGATGCTTCGGAAGAGTTTCTGAAGCGCAAATTGCTGACTCGAGGATGTTTTTAGACCAAGCTGGTCAAGAACGACGCCTACTTCTCGTAAGTGCTCACCTACGAAACGACGAACGAATGCGACCCGAAATGCTAACAGTTTTTCAGGCGCTACCAGGTCAAGTACCGCCGTAGACGCTCGGGCAAGACCGACTACTACGCCCGCAAGCGCTTGATCACCCAGGCCAAGAACAAGTACAACGCCCCCAAGTACCGCCTGGTCGTCCGCTTCACCAACCGCGACATCATCTGCCAGATCGTCACCTCCGAGATCACTGGTGACAAGGTCTTCTGCGCCGCCTACGCCCACGAGCTCAAGGCCTACGGCATTGAGCACGGTCTTACCAACTGGGCTGCCGCCTACGCCACCGGTCTCCTGATCGCTCGCCGTGCTCTCCACAAGCTCGGCATCCAGGAGTCTTTCACTGGTGTTGAGGAGGCTGATGGCGAGTTCACCCTGACCGAGGCCGCTGAGGTCGACGGTGAGGAGCGCCGCCCCTTCAAGGTCTACCTCGATGTCGGTCTCACCCGCACCTCCACTGGTGCCCGTGTCTTCGCCGCCATGAAGGGTGCCTCCGACGGTGGTCTTTACGTCCCCCACTCCGAGAAGCGTTTCCCCGGTTTCGACATTGAGACCAAGGAGCTCGACTCCGAGACCCTCCGCAAGTACATCTTCGCCGGCCACGTCGCTGAGTACATGGAGACTCTTGCCGACGACGATGAGGAGCGTTACAAGTCCCAGTTCCAGGGCTACATTGACGACGACATCGAGGCCGACGGTCTTGAGGAGCTCTACCAGGACGCCCACAAGCAGATCCGCGAGGACCCCTTCAAGAAGGAGGAGGGTGCTGGCGAGAAGAAGTCCAAGGACTTCTGGAAGGAGGAGTCCAAGAAGTACCGCGACAACAAGCTTACCAAGGCTGAGCGTGAGGCCAAGGTCCAGGAGAAGATCAAGGCTCTCTCCGCTTAAATGCATTTTCAGCAGCATCAAAAGGGGTATGGGGTCGTGGAATACGGACGCAAACTCGTGACGTCTTGAGGGTTTCGTCCACGTTTATGACAGGAGCTTTCGGCGTCAATGGCCTTGCTTTAAGGATATCATGGGTGGGACAATGTGCTACGGCAATTGTGGTTGCTTTTATTTTGAATCAAAAAGTCTGCAAAGCAAGGTCATCAAACCTTTTCCGTTTCCTGGTGAATATAACGTGATGCGAAGTTGTGATGATCGATGTTGCCATGTTGGAGATTGTCTTCTTGCTCGATTTGCAGAGTACCGCTAGCCTAGGTAAATCGAGCACGCTCCTTTCGACTTGCTGCATCTTGTGGTCACTACCTCGTCAGCCACCCCAACCAGCGCGTGATATTTGTGCATGCATCGGAGGGAAGCTATCCGAGGGTAACATCACTCCACTCGGTCGTCAAAGCTCGTGTGCCTATAGCATCAGATATGTCTGATCAAAAGGAAAAAGTAATTTCGGAAAAGTGTATGTGACGGAATTAGCGTGGGCGCCGATGGCGGAACATAAATTTTCGGAGGTTGATCGCATCATGGCAATGAGGCACCTTGGCCATAAATGTCCGAAGCAAAGAGCGTGGAGCCGAAGCTCTGAAATAGAAAAGGCCGGCCTCACTCTCACGCTAATAGAAAAAGACTATACACTTGATACCAGAAGGTGAGACTTTGAGCCCAGCGCTGAGTTTCAAGCACACACGGCGAGCCAGTGTGCATTAGAATTGACTGGCGGTAAGAAAGCGCGGGAGGGGTCCATAGGTACGATCTTCTCCACCTGATCTGGACCACCGGCCGCTACACCAGTTTCAATTTCGATAAAGACCCCTCAATTCCGGGCCAAGTCCCTGTCGCATTTCGATCCATTGCTGCTCGTCATTGTCGCACCACTCGCGACAACCTCAGAAAAAGACGCGAATTGAGAAAGAGCATGGCTTAATACACACAATCCCATCATCCAAAGCGCCCGACAATGGAAACCGTCCACGGCGTTGACGTCAGTTGGCTCCATCAGCCAAACAGAGAAAGAGGTGCGCTCTCTACCAATTCTGTATCTTCCAACTCGCATACTCAAGCTGGACCAGAGCACCCCCAGCATGAACCACATGTCCACAGAGCTCCCGGAGTTGTCGACGACGCCCCTCCGCCTGTCTCGTCGCATACTCGCTCTCGCTCCGCTTCGCCTGTAGATACAAAAAAAGCGCCTCCGCAACCTTCAAAAGCACCCTCTCCACCACCTCGGGACGCTACGCCAACCCAGCCTCCGCCTTCAAATCCTGCCGATTCGTCCAATGCAGCATCGAAGACCCCGTCCAGACGACCAAGTATCCTGAGTCGCAAAGACAGCTCCGATGGTAACAAGTACTCACGCAGAAACTCGTGGATCTCAAACATCAGCTCCAAATTCTCCTCGCAAGCCCCTTCGTCGCCAAGTGTGCCTCAGACCACAAGGTCGCAAGCCAATGGCACTAACGCTGGTCCGTCAGCGCAATCTGCGAGAGACAACCTAGCTACAAGCCCAACGCAGTCAACAACAAACCGTGAGGCCGAAGAACTACAACCATACGTTCCTCAAAGGCCAAAAGATACCAACAGCTCCTTTTTTTCAAACCTTACTCGTCGCCTGTCTTCTGGCGCACAAAATCCCGGCACTGCTCGTCCAGCCGAGAATGGTGGCATGTGCCCACGTCGTGTCCTGAATGTCAACCAGAGTCGCGAACGTTGCCTTCTTCCCGAGCTGGACTCGGCCAAACTACGACGTGTCGCCTTCTCGGTTGATGTTGAAATCGCATCCGGCCCGCGTTACAAAGATGATGACGCTGTGGACGTCTCAAAACAGAAGAAGGCTAAAGACAAGAAAATGAAGGAACGCGGAGAGGGAGAGGCTCTCAAGAATCCACAAGCAGTTACCGAACGTAAAGAGCAATCCGATGCTGCTGCTACTTCTACCGACGATGCTATTACCGAGAGGGATGAAGCACCAGAGACAGATCTCGAGGGCAGCGACAAGACGACGGCCACTGGGGACAAATCAAACATATCACCTGAGGATGATGCAGCACGTAAAGAACGGACAGAAAAGAAGAGACAGAAAGCTGAGAATAGCGGCCATATTCCACGTGAACTAAATGGCGATCCTTCCCCGAAGGAAGACGCTCCAGCCAACCCAATTCCCCCCGTTTCGGGCGCAGCAACTCCTAAAGACCGCCCAACGACCGACCCCGTGAGAATATACCGAAGATGTTGTCAACTCAGGGAGTCGCCAATTCTCAAACGTATCACCGAACAGCTTATGGCAGAGGACTGTACCTCGCCCGACGATCCTGGAACCGTTACTCAACTCAATCTCACCGGATCTCGACTACAATTGGCCGATTTCGTGACACTGGGTGATTGGCTCGCGATCGTCCCTGTGAAGCGGCTATTGCTTGAGGATGCAGACATTGGCGATGAGGGTTTGCGCGTCGTTCTGTCTGGCCTGCTCGCTTCAAAGAAGCCTCAACCTACCAGGCGCCGAAACGGTACCCGCCAACCTCCTGCCAAACCTACGGGTGGGATCGTGGAGAAGCTTACCCTGAAAAACAACCCAAGAATCTCAAAGATCGGTTGGAAGCATATCTCAATCTTCTTATACATGTGTCGGTCGATCAAGGCTCTTGATGTTTCAATGCTAAGCCTCCCCCATGAACTACCGTCAAGCGAGCCTGATCCCAACATCAAGGCACCTAGTCAAATGCCCAAAACCACTGGCAAATCAGTCGATGCTGCAGAAACGTTGTGCAAAGCACTGTCTGGAAGGCTTGGCGGGTCTCGTTTGGAAGAACTCACTATGGCAGAATGCGGACTTGTCCCGGACCAGATTAAAAAGATTGTCGACGGAGCTACAATTTGCGGTATTGCCAGGCTCGGATTTGCTGGTAACAAGCTCGACGACGAAGGTTTCGAACACATACTGCATTATGTTCGATCAGGAGTTTGCCACGCTCTTGATGTAGGCAGTAATGACCTGAGAGGCAAGCTTGGCAAGCTCGCAGAAGCTCTATCACACAACCCTAACTGTCCAGTTTGGGGCCTGAGCCTTGCTGGTTGTAACCTGGATACAGATTCGCTCAAGGGGCTTCTGCCAACTCTAACGACCTTGCGAAACTTCCGCTTCATCGATATCAGCCACAACAGAAGTTTGTTCGTGGGCGATGCATGCGCGATCCAGCTACTTAGAAAGTACCTACCCAAGCTGGACAACCTGAAGAGATTGCATCTTATAGATGTTGGTCTTTCAGTAAAGCAGGCCATATCCTTGGCCGAGGTAAGACCATTCCTTACTGCCCTTTTCTCTGTGATCAATGCTGACCTGTTGTAGGTGTTACCGGAGGGTGTTTCGCTTGCTCATCTGACTATTCTTGAAAACCCTCAACTGACTGCATTGTCCCAAGCGACCGATGAAGACAGCCAGGAGGAGGCTTGCGCTTTGTATGCTTCACTTTGCGCTGCTGCACGAGTGTCGAAATCACTTGTCTGCATTGATGTCGATGTAAGTCACAGTATTGTCCTTGTGTCCTGCTTCAGCACTGACAAGTTCGATACAGGTTCCTGGCCCTGGCCAAAGCGAGGTGGTCAAGGCCTTGGCGAAGCAAATCGTTGCATACTGTCTGCGTAACATGGACAGAACTATGGCTCAATCGTCACTTCTGCCTGCAGCTACCATGCTGTCCAAGCAGCACGGTGTTGAGGATGCCAGACAAGTACCAGTGCCGGATGTGTTGGTCCATCTTGTTGGACATCTGGACGAGGATCAACTTTCAGACGCCAGCGACGACGAAACCGCACCGGACGACGACTACATTGTTGGTGGTAATGGCATCATCAAAGCACTCGAATACTTCCTTGGACAAGGCCGATCAGAGCAACGTAATGGCAGCGTATCGCTGTCGGGAACCACTACACCTCGAGACATTGGTAATTCAGCTCGGAGCGAGAGCAAAAGGAAAGGAAAAGCCAAGGAAGTCAGTAGGAATCTGCTTGAAAGCGCTCGTAAGCTTCGAAACCGTTTGAAGCCTGCTCTTGCTAAGGAGTTTGCGGCTGGTGACGAACTGAATTACCGTCGCCTGCTCTTCCTTGACGAGACTTTGAGTGGTATGATCGAGAGATTCGAGGACGAGTTCCCAGAGACTCGCCTCCACCTGGACATCCCGCCACACGAGCCCAACCTCTCTCTATCATCTTCACTGGAATCGACAGAATCTGGACCACTGTCAAATGACTTTATGAGCAGCTCCGCTACTACATTTAGGACTGGAACAACAGCTATCGAATCAGAGCAGGATGAAGAACCAGATCCTCGTGACTTCATGAGAAGGAAAGCAAGCGATGTCAGTCTCGCTGGAAGAGCTCTTGCGATTGAAGAAGGTCGTCTCCATCGCCTTGGACACAAAGTACGTCAAAACATGATCGATGTGCCAACAGTGGCTGCACCCACGTCAGAGTCAGATGCGCAAGGCGAATGGGCGCCAGGCTCCCATATGGCAGACATTGCTTCGAAGCTGGAAGAACTGTCTGGACCAGAGCTACGAGTTCTGGTGCATCAAGGAGGATGGGAAAGAGTGCTGGAGAAGTTCGGAGCCAACATGGAGGAGCTGCAGCAATTGCAGATGAAAGATCCGCAGGGTTGGGAACAGTTCAAGGAGAGTCAGCTCAAAGCGCGGGCCAACCGCGGCACTGCGATATTCCAGTGAGATGGGCGATGTATGTTGTACTTGATGTTTATGAATGGTGGGCAGAGGAGGGAACAACTCTGGTATCTGTGAGGTAGGCGTTTGGAAACTAGCTTTATGGCTCGGACGATAGTCATCATCAAATCTCAGCATTGCATCTCTGAAGACACAAACCAAGATGTTCTGCAAAAAGTATCTTTCTACATGTCAATGTCACGATTGTATATGTCACGCGAGAAGGTGCAACTCATTTGGAGGGGCGACTGCTCCAGGGGATGAATGTGTGGGGAAGGAAGGAGCATGTGAATGTGCCAGCTTGACACCTATTCAATAATTTGGGCACCTTGGCGACTCGCTCCTTCCATTCTTTCAATTCGTCCTTCGACTCAAGACATCCAGAGACTGATCAGGTCATCTCAGAGCCACTACTCTCGCCAGGAGCGACGTCATCTACCGGCCAACTTTCGCAAAGTCGTATCGCACCTTATGCAGCAGTCCGACCACTAAAACGCCCGCCTCTTGTTTCATACACATTGGCTCTCAAAGCCCAACAACATGTCGTACGCTCTTCCACGCACCGGTCCAGACTCTGGGCGGTCACGGTTCCAGTCCCAAGATGCCTCTACTGCCAGCGCAGGTGTCGCCGAGAAAATAGGAGGAATCTTTGGTGATAGGAGACCTTCATTGCCAATGTACAAAGACAAACCCTTCGCGAATTCCTCTCGAAGACTGCCTTGGTTCAAAAGGAAACGCGTTCTCGCTGCCCTGCTGGTCGCCTTTACCACTTTCTTCTACTGGATGGGCACGTTCGGTGGGTCAGCTCCCAAAGTTCTCAAGTCCAAGAAGCCTGCAAATTGGGAAGAACGAAGGGACCAAGTGAGAGATGCTTTCAAGCTGAGTTGGTCGGCATATGAACAACATGGCTGGGGCTATGACGAGTTCAAGCCCGTTTCACAGACAGGTCGTCACATGGTCAAGGGTGGTATGGGTTGGATCATAGTAGATGCTCTCGACACCCTCATGCTCATGAACCTCACCACCGAACTCTCGCACGCTAGAGATTGGGTTTCGACTGCTCTCAACTACGATATCGACCATGATGTAAACACCTTTGAGACAACCATTCGCATGCTCGGAGGTCTATTATCTGCTCATTATCTATCCACCACCTTTCCCGACTACGCTCCTTTGACAAGCCACTCCGCTACTGGTGCTTCCATTAGCGAAGACCTGTATTTGGAAAAGGCTGCTGATCTGGCCGATCGCCTACTTGGCGCATATGACTCGAACTCTGGTGTTCCTTACGCCAGCGTCAATCTTCACACTGCAAAGGGCATTCCTTCTCACGATGATGGAGGCGCTTCTTCAACTGCTGAAGCCACCAGTCTCCAACTCGAGATGAAGTACCTGGCCAAGCTAACTGGTGAGGTGCATTACTGGGAAAAGGCCGAGAAGGTCATGCAAGTCGTCGACGACAATGGCATGGAAGACGGTCTTCTGCCCATCTTCATCTACGCCCAAACCGGAAACTTCAGAGGCAACAACATCAGGCTGGGCAGTCGTGGTGACTCTTACTACGGTATGTTGAGCTCACAGCACTTCTAGACCTCACACTAACCTTTACAGAATACCTCATCAAGCAATATCTACAGACCTCAAAGCAAGAACCTATTTACCAGGAAATGTGGGACCAGTCTCTGGCTGGTATCCAAAAGCATCTTATAACCTACTCTCGAGAGGCTAACCTCACTATTCTTGGTGAACGACCCCAAGGCCTTGACCACCCGATATCGCCTAAGATGGATCACCTGGTATGTTTCATGCCAGGTACTATCGCTCTGGGAGCAACTCAAGGTCAGACTCTCGACGAGGCAAGAAAGTCTACAACATGGGGCAAAAAACAGGAGAGCGAGATCGAGCTAGCTAAACAGCTCATGAAGACTTGCTGGGCCACGTACAAGGTCACTGCCACTGGTCTTGCTCCAGAAATCACCCACTTCGAAATGCACGATCCTCCTGCCATGATGCCTGATGGCATCCTTCAATCACCAGACACGCTGTCTGACGACCATGAAGCCGAGTGGAAAAAAGACTTGATCATCAAAGGCGCCGACTCGCACAACTTGCAGCGTCCTGAGACGGTCGAGAGTCTGTTTTACATGTGGCGCATCACTGGGGACGACATCTACAGAGAATGGGGTTGGGAGATGTTTGAGTCGTTCGTCAAGCACACTGCCGTTGATCACAATGGCGGCTACACGAGTATTAACGATGTCACTTCTGTTCCTACCACTGCAAGAGACAACATGGAGAGTTTCTGGCTTGCAGAGACGTTGAAGTACTTCTATCTTCTGTTCGGACCCAACGATGTCTTGCCACTAGACAAAGTTGTCTTCAACACTGAAGCTCATGCTTTCCCTACCTTTGAACTGGGCAAACTTTTCAAGACTGGATGGAAGCGCAAGCCTAGAGATTCCAATGGACAGATCGTCGAAACAGCTGCTCCTCGCGATGCCATCACTGGTGATGTAAAGAAAGAAGCACCGGCTGCTGCTCCAGGTATCAAAACAGTGACAGTAGAGGGTGCTAAGACATTGGCAGTCGAACAGCCGGTCAAGGTAGAAGAAGCATAGTCTTGCAAAATGAATGAGCATATACTTTGAGATGATTGATGCACAGCATTCTGTGGACTAGTATCAAAAGCATAAAATCTTCATTCTTGGTTCGAAGTTATCCGATATGGCTGTTTTGGCGCTGCATATGTCTGCTTTTAGAGACATTAATGTGTCTATCGCTTAGGATGAGCAATCGCGTATCTCTCAAGGTCGTTCTTTCCCCTGTATCTTCTATGAATCCACACCATCCCGAACGTCAATGACCCTCTTCGCAACAACCAAGCCTTCACTACCCTCCCTCAACCTCTGCAACAACTCCTCACCAGCCTCTTCCAACTTCTCTCTAGTCACAGGCGCCAACGCATCCAAAATAAACAACGCACTCGTCGTCTCATCCCTCAACTGCGTCCTAACACACTGCCTCCAATTCCAATTCCTACACGTAACACCCCCATCATCACACCAAACCACTTCTCCCTTTTCCGGTCTCTCATCTCCATTTTTCGTTTCGAATCTTTCATCTCCTGTGGCGCGAACCAATCGAGGATATCCTATATACGCATCTAGATCCTCGCCTCCGAGACAAATGTTATAAGATACAGAGATGGCATTGTAGATATCTGTGAGTCTGTTGATGCGAGGGAGGCCTGTGCCAGTTATGGCTCTACGCGTCAAGGCTTCAATCGAGGATTGGTATTTCTTGGGTTTGGCGCCAAAGGATTTGTAAGTTTCTCGCCAGCCCTTGATTTCTGGGATTTCGGTCACGACAGTAGATGCAATGCGGGCTTTGGCAATGGTCTCGGCGGATTGGAGGAGTTGGTCTGAGGAAGAGTCGCTGGGCGAGGGGGTTATGTTGTCTACGGCTATCAAGAGAGCGAGATAGTCCGGCCGTAGTTCGAAGACGGTTTTGGCGACCGTTGCGCTGTCGACGATTTTTTGAAGTTCGGCTACGGAACGCATGGCTGGTTTTGATGGAGAGGTAGACCGAAGAAAGAAAACTTTAGAAAAAGAAAGAGGTATGCGTGCGTGTTCAGTGGTTGGATTGTATTACTTCAGAGCTCTAATTATATGGATGGAAGCTTGGACCAGTTTGTCAATTGTCAATCAAAGGGCGTGAGCGAGGTGACACTCCAACGCAGCAAAGAAGGTGCGAGTGGTCTCGGACCGTTCTTTGATCCACATACTTACCTTTTGACGATACAAGCGCGTTATATGTTCTGAGGCCGACAGAAATGGGTATTGCCTGCACGTGAGACGATACAAGATTGTAGGCTTCGAGAGTGAGAACAACATCTCCCTTTTGTTCATTCTTATAATATCAAATCGAATGAGTGGGCAAAGAAGAAGAAACAAGCTTTGAGAAAGGCGAAGAAGAAATGCAACGCTTGCTAGCTAGTTCGAGCAAATTGTGTCAAACCGCACAGCATGGTATAGAGAAGAAGTGGAAAATGGTAGTAGCATGGAAAAACACAGAAAATTGGGTAGTGGGAACAGGAAGAATCGAAGAAGAAAAGTAAAACAAGCAGAAAATAAGTCTTCATGTTCATCTCCCTTTTTCCCAAAAATTTGTAACGCCGTAAGAGTCGTCAAAAACAAAAGGTCAACTTTCCCTATCGCATCAGGAAAGTTTGTGTTGCAGTAAGGACGATTTTATACCATCTACTCTCGTGCAAGAGAAGTGTTAGGTCGTCGTTGAATATGTCTAATATTGTGCAGAAAAGAGAAGGGTGACAAATGAAGTGGGTCATTGCGGTGGTGTGGTCGAGACACCGTTCTACAGCACGTCAAAGATATTGCGCTGGATCGGGAAAGCTCCCTTTTGCGGCGGACTGCGCGGGTCTTCCATTCCGTTCACAGCAGCAGTAGTAGATCTCTCCACATCAGATTCGCCAGGAAGATTGGCGAAAGGGTTTTGCGTGAACTCAAACGCCCGCGGCGATGCCAAAGCGTCCATGAAATCGGGCTCGTCATGCGTCAGCTCGGCCTCAAGCTTTGATTGCATATCTTGCAATTCCTGTTGCTCGCTCAAGCTAGGCGCACTGATCTTGGGTCGAAGAGTGAGGCTCTTCGGTACCTTTTTCTGAGACTTTTGTGCGTTTGGCGCAAGACGCTGAGGTCTGGCTTGCGGAACGACTGCCGGACCCATGCCTAACGCGCCAAGCAAAGACTCACGATCAAAGGGAGACTGCGAGAACTCTGAAGCGCGCGGAGACATCAAGCCGAATTGATCAGCCGAGTCTGACTCTTTTGATGGTCTGAGCGGCGCCATCGCAAACTCGGTGGCTCTTGGAGATACCATGGGAGTAATGTGTCTTCCTGAATCCTGCCTTATGTGTGATTCGAGATTCAACGACTTCGGTCGGTCTTTCAACTCCTTTGTGACTTTAGGCTCGAGAATGGGGTGATCTTCTGTAACTTGTACGACAGGTACTGTGCGGCCGTTTGGATCCACGTACGCCGCTTCGTTTCGGGCAGATTCTTCCGACTTTTTGGGCACAGGCTCGTCATGATCCGAAGGCCAAGTGAGGCCTGAGGGCGCTGAAGAAGGACCTGGGCTTACAGCCAGAAGATCGGGGTTGCGCAGGAGTTTTGACTGGGCAGTATCCGGTGGCAGAGGAGCAGTCTGTGGCGATTTGATTCCAGGCAAACTGCTGCCATCGTAAGATGCCGGGCGTCCCATCTCGGTAAATCCAAATGGAGGCGAGTTAGGACTCAGCCCGCGAGTATTACCAAACCTGCTCTGAGGCCTTTGCAAAGTCGATCGGAACTCTTGCAGCTGCATGATCAAGTTCATGTTGGGACCGATCCATCTGCTTCGCTTCTTCACATCGTCATATGCTTCTTGTACGCTCATCGAGGGATTTTTGTAAAGAACATAGGCCACAACTAGGGTTGCTGATCTGCTCACACCGCATTGACAATGAATTAGAACACGTTTTCCAAGCTGGATGCGCTCATCGATAACCTTTACTAGGCGGATGAGGTCAGGAACAATGTCAGTATTGTGCTCCCACGGAATGTGAATGTACTCTGGCTCCGGTTTTGTAGACTCCTTTGGCTGAGGCGCAGAAGTGATGTCTTTCATGAACGGATTTGCCTTGGGGGTTGTTGGTGATGATTCGTATACTGGACTCAAGTTCTCTCGACCAACGCCATGCTGAGAGACCAAGTGATTACGCTTCGGAGCGTATTGAATGCCGCCGCCACCATCGAGACGTAACTCGGGTCCCGAAGGTTGAAATGTTGCGAAATCGAAAGGATTTTTTACTTCGCTAGCGACATTCAGGATGACATCGTAACGAGAAGCTTGCTCGGCTGTGGGCTCTAGATAGAGGTCGAGGTAACGACCGTAGACACATATAGGTCCATCGGGATAAGCTTCGGGCTTCTCTTCCTTCGATTGAGGTATGTCAAAGTTCTGATCCGAGTCGTTGGTCTTCAGAGGTCCTCGCATATGTATAGGCAATGCAAACTCTTTCTGTCCTTGTTGTGCTTCTAACGACGGCTCTTCGCGAATCTCCTCGGTGACGTGTAAGGGAAGAGAAGGTGATGACTGAAAGTGACGCAGTACGTTGGGTCGAGCAAATGATGGGGTTGGAGGTACAGCGACGCGTCCGTTTTGAGGCAATGCTTTGGTGTTCGCTGGTGTCAGGATCGTCAGACCGAGAGTTTTGCTAGAACGTCTCTTCGTGAGGCTTGGTGGCTTGGAGAAAGATTGACCAAGACTGTCCGGATTCGCAGTGCCCTGGAGTGATGATGACATGGGCAAAGACGTGGTGGAGGCGGCTCTAGACATAACAAAGGCACCGGATGTGTTGACGGCGAGATTCTTCAGATTTCTTCCTTTTCTGCCAGGTGTGGTAGATCGTTGCAATTCAAAGAAGGGTTGTGATGAATGCATCATGGCGTTGTCTGAAGTATGCGGTCTAGTCATGCCGAATGATGTGGGATAAGGTTTCCCTAACGGCGACTCTGGTGATGAGCCTGGGGACATTTCTGTGGCCGAAGAATCGTCGATTATGGATGCAGTTGTAGTAGGGGATGAATCCGCTGAGGTCGATGCAGATGCTGGTGCACTCTCTTTGTGCTGATGGTACGACTCAAATGGTTGTTGTAAGGTTGTGCCTGTTCGCGAGACATCGCCGCCTGGTAGCGGTTTACTCGTGCCCACAGCTCCGTGCAAGTCGCCAATCATTGCAGTGTCACACAGACTACTTGCTGGTTCGACTGGCAGGCTCGACAAAGATGTGTAATCAATTCTCAGAAGAGGTGGAATGAAAAAATGTTCTGGAAAGTTGTTAGATCGTGGCCTGTTTGTGTTGCGACTGAGATCGTCAGAATCTTGAACAAGCACAATCTTACGGGAACAAAAGTTGGGCCTTCGCCAGGAAGGAGCTCTGCAGATCAAACAGAGACTGGCAAGGGTCGATAAGCAGGTGTAAGATCGTAAAGGAAGGACGGTCGCCAGCAATGATTTAGCGGACAAATGAGAGCAAACTATTATGAGAGATTGGCACTATAAAGCCATGTCTCGAAGCAGAGATCGGCAAGTCCGAGCAGGCGGCGGAGTGATAGTATGGTAAACCGTGAAGCTGAACAGAAGCTTTGTCAAGATAGGATGGATGTGAACCTGGTTGGACGGACAAAACGTATTAGCAGGGCGCTTCACAGAATATACATGCGTTATTGACCAATCATAATAGGAAGCGGCCTGTAGCCGCGCTGGGGTCATGCAGCAGCCGCATTGAGTGCAGTAGCGCCCGAGACTCGGTATTGTGACGAAGAATAAAGTGCCTTCTATGAATTGAACGCATTGATGCCGGGTATACATACCAGGACTTGTGACAGACGAACCCAAACGACGTAGTAGTACGCGAAAGCTAATGTCTTGCAGGTTGTAGACTCGTTCTGGACAGAACCAGAATTTATTGTTCTTGTTGGACAAGGTGAAGTACGATATTAAGGACTGCCCAAGGAACAGGTTGGCGGCTGGGTGTAAGAGGGTTGGTTGCGGACAACGCGCTCGCAGTTGTTGTCTTTCAAGTTGAAGCCGCAATTTGATGCGAAACCGTACTGGCTAACGGCTGTCGCAAGGAGACAGGAAAGTCGAGGATCGAGGTATCCTGGGAAACGGTCGAGATAGAATGTCGAGAGGGTATGCTGAGGGTGGGCGCGGCCAAGGAACAAAGAAGAGGCTATGCCGGGCGCGGTTGTCGTCGGCCGATGTCTTGTCGAGACTTTGTGCGCGAGCAGCGTCAGGGTCGCTGTTTGTTATCGGGGACAAAGCAAAGCCCAAGTAGGCGATATTATGGTGCTTTTGGTCAAAGGAGAAGCAGAAAGACAACAGGCAAAGGGAATAGAAAGCGGCCAATAGCGACCTGGGCGCGTCTGAGAGAGGAGGAAGATGCTGGCAGAGCCACAGAAACGGTTGTGGAATCACTGGAATGGAGCGCCAAGGGTGCAATGCTATTTTTAGTGGCCAGCTGCTTGCTGTGGTGTTGTTCCCTGTGCCGCTAGGTTTCAGCATTCGACGACGAAACACGCCGACTGGGTTATTGCAATTTATGTCAATGACGACTGACCCGATTGCCGTCGTGAGCAATGTTTTTACACGTAGCCATGGATCATTGAGAGGATCGATATAATGAGGATGTACCCAAGGCCGTCTCTGTGTACCCACATATCCAACGGCACCGTCGACTTATTTCTAATTCAACACGAGGTCTGCGGGCAAGTCGCCGAGACGCTTCAAGCTTGTCATGGCCATCATGTGTATGGTGAGCCAACGGCACATAGACTGCTTACCTGGTGCAAACGGTCCGCAGATTGCTTTTCTTTGGCTATTTTAGCTCTTGGACAAGTAGTGGGAGCCGAGAGCGAGGGCAATCTTGCGACAGCAAACACATTTGACACTTCTCGGCGTGTCAGGCATTATAGGGCGGGCTAAGCGAGATACGCCTTCTGAATGTCGACAGATGGTGGTGATTCTCTGAACAATGATCGAGTTTCGCCATGGCAGCAATAGATGGAATCGAGATTGAGCACGGTTCTTTGAGCTTGTGGCAGGAACTCCTTTATTGATCGCTCCTTAGTGCTGGGGTGGCTAGTCATTGGTTTGGCAAAGAAGGGAGAGGCTGAACAGTGAAGCGGATGGCGGGTCCTCCGCCGCGTGCTCGAAGCCGTCGCGACGGGTCCTTTTACACAGGCCATCTCCCTGCTGCTGCTATTCACCAACGTCTCGACCAACTACTGCCCGGATTACGTCGTATTCAATTGCTGCCGCTTCTTCGAGCCCCTTCGTACCTGCCCTTTACCGGTTGCGCGCGTCAAGAGTTTGTCACTTCTGTTCAAAGAGCTTGCACGTAAAGAGAAGGGAAAACAGAAAGGAAAACAAACACGGCGCGACGACGCAAATCAGGCGGGCCACGACCACGTAAAAAAAGAAGACCGCGTAGAGAATGCTCTCATGATCACCTCGTCTGGAAATGTCGACAAGCGATCATGACAGTTCAAGCCAAAGTAGGAGGGTGAGCGTTTCCAGGATGCGCCAAACAGTCAATCCCACCGACGATCTGTTTTTGAGCCTCGCCATGGATGGGCCTGATGCACCACCGGGCAAAGGTATGCCAACCCTCGACTGCACTTCGCGACATCCACGCTTATGCAGTTTCAGTGCCCCTGCGCAAGCCCTTGAATGTACGAGAACGTGCTCCATCCAACGAGAGCCTCAATGCGACTAGGCTGGCAGAGTTGCGTGCTCAGCACTCCCCAAGCCCTTCACACACTGAACACAGCAACATTCGTACTCCCTCCCTGCGTGCCTCGATGCGTAAGCCTCGCTATGCTATCGGAACAACCTCATCTTCCTCCTTCGAGGCTGCTGCCCGCGAGTGGAATGCCTCTTCCGATGTCCTCAAGTTCCCCTCCAAGCGTCCTACTGGCCCTGCCATCTCTGAGGCTATACCAAGACAGCGTCGCATGTATCGTGTCGGAAAAGCATACGAGCCCTTGGCCAGCTCTCGAAATCTGTCCAATCTCTCTGACCGTCTTGCCCAAGGCCTCATCACACCGACCATGTCGCCGGCCCCTACTGCGCGAAAAGGTTCCAATGCCGAAAGTGAATCTGTAGATTCTGTTAATGCACCTTCCACCGTCTGGGACGAACTCGACGATCTCAAATCTCGTATTCGTAGTCTCGAGATTGGCGGCAAGCCTTCACCTTCCAGTGCAAATGCTACGAATCAGTCCTTCGAACGTCCTCGCACAGCAACCACCGCGCCGACTACCATCTCTTCCTCACCGAAGCATGCGCGAAAACAGAGCAGCGTGCCGGCTGATGTCAACACCTCTGGTCCATCTACAGCTAATCTGCATCCTCTGCTACACAGTGCTCTCGGAAAGGCCAAAAACGTGGTCAGCCCACAACTTTATCGTTCTCTCGAGGCAACCGCTTCTGACGCCTTGGCACTGGCTGCCATGACGGGTAGTGGCGGGCCTCAAGGCACTGCTTTTACGGCTGCATCCATGGTCAATGGAGCTGCCGTCTCCGATAGACACATAAGGAGAAAAGCCGACAGTATGTGCAGAAATCTCACTGATCTTTGTATTGCGCTCTGCGAGGGCAAATCAGATCTTGCAAGCCCTACTGTCAAGCCCTCCCCCTCTATCAAACCTCACACGCAAGCTGAAACGCCATCGTCGCGTTATGCTCGTAGATCGAGCCTCGGCCTGCAGGATCTTCAACTCAGAATTGAGCCGCCTAGATCTGTGAGCCGTCTCGATAGCCGGAGAAGTAGTTTACTGGGCTTGGGCTTGGGAAACAACATTACCAATAGTCCGCTTGAAGCAAACGACCAGTACCTCAGTCAGGAACTGTCACCTGGTCATGATCAGACTGATTATGCCGCCCGCTATAATCGTCCGGGAACCAGTATGCGAAGGTACTCTAAAGCCGAGGACGATGCTGCTCAAGAGCTGCCCTCGCGAGCTCCATCTCGTGCCATGACGGAAAGTGGTCACATGAGACAATCCTCGACACGCAGGACAGATTACGCTGGCGGTGTGCAGCACTCTCCCAGCTTGCGAGAGACTTTGGCAGCTCGACGCGCTAATGCAGTCGTACCGGGAGAAGGCAATCAGTATGCGACTTCTTCTCATTCAGAGGCAGCGCGACGTATTTTGGAGCGCCGTGCTGCCGTTCAACTTGAAGAGAGCCAGTATGTGCCTAAGAGGCGCCGCATCGCAAGTTTGACACAGTACTCACCATTGAGCCCCCGAATTGGAAGCGAGCCAGTCCGTACAAGCAGTCTCTCGAGGAGACGCAACCTGATCGTGGAATAACGAAATTAATGGTACCCTCTACGACTTTCCCACTTCTTGTTCTCTTCTAGATACATACATATACATAGGGCTTTGGACTGCTGCGCCAACGAGGCTGTATTTCTTGTAGAACTGGCTACGAATAGCAACTTTTTACCACACATTCTTGCATATTGAGAGCACGTCAAAAGTTGCCAATTCTTGATTTTCGAGAGTGTCACAGTGGATTTTGAAGATGATGAGCGACCAGCCCAGATTTCTGGGTGGCTGAGCGTGACGCACCACACGGGTACAACCAACGTCACAGTGCAGGGGTGCGGCAGAGCATGTGAAAGAGTTGATATCAGTCTGCTTGGAAATGTGACGAGTTTCGAGACTTGTGATACAAGAACAAAAAACATCTCGTCTCTCGCCTTTCTACATCGAATTTTCCCTACCACCAGAGCCATCAGCTTTTCAATCGCATTCACAACTACAACAACATGGAGTGGTCAAAGAAGCAATACAACCAGCAGTACGAGAACTGGATGCCATGGATCGAAGATGTGAGATGCTTCTCTCGCATTAACATCAACTTGCTAACCTATCATGTAGAACGTTCTCTACTACTTCACCAAGGACAACAAGGCTTCATACGCTACTAAAGGTATGATCTCCTTGCTCTGAATATACACTAGGGTATCGTGCTAATTCGTGCCCGACCAGACCAGCTCAGTAAGACCAAGATCACCGGCAACGAGCAAGTCGACAACCTTCAAGATGGTGTGAATAACCTCGCAGCCGGCCAGGTCGGCCAGGGTGGACTTCTTCAACCCGTCGGTGACCATGTCTCCAAAGAGGGCATCAACCGCGCCGAGAGAGGAGGCAAGGACGACAAGGGCACATATGCTGGTGCAATGGGCTCCAGTGCTCAGGCCGGCGCCAGCAAGATCAGCGAGGGCGCAAAGGGCGCAGGCAGCTACGTCGGAAGCTTCTTCGGCGGCAAGAAGGAGGAGAAGAAGTAATCAAAGATTGCTCTGCTCTTCCTGTTTCACGAGTAACATGATGGGATTTTGATGATTCTCTGTTTCGCTTTTTGGGTTTGGGTTTCGGGAGTGGTCAACGGTATACCATAATAGCTTTGCGGAACCTTGCTTTCTTCGACTTCAGACCTTGAGTATTCACACTATTTCAACTTCCGCACCTTGCCGCCCTTTAATATGTTCAGGCCTGACATACCCTGTACATGCACGACATTTTTCTATGGGTGACGACACCGGCTCTTCAACACGCCTTTGTGAAGAGCATCTCGAATCTTGAAGCTGATCTTGCATTCCATAGCGTGCTACAACACCGCGATGGAAGCATAGACAGGCATGACAGATCTCAGCATGCGAAACACATCATCGAGGGCCTTGTTTCTACCTTGCGTGTCTTCCTGTCTCGACTTCCCGTCTCTGCATCACTTCCAAGATTCCTGCTGGTATCAGCCACCTCAATTTTGACGTCAGATCGAGATCAAGCAAGTATTGCCGAGCAAGCAGATCATACTGAAGATCGCCCAATACAGCTCATCCACCATGCAAAACGACCTCATTGGAAGTTGAAATGGTAGCGGGTTTGGATTTAGTCACCAAAGTAAGTCGACGGGCCGTCAGCATGTCGTCGATGCGCCCGAGTTGGCAGACCTGAGATTCTCTTGTTTCTTTGCACCCTTTTGACTCTGTAAATCTGCCCATCCCCTTGCAACTCACGACCTCCGCTCTTCATCATGGTGCACCTTGACACTCCTGGCCCGGATACTGGCATCTTTACGACGGAAGAAGTGCGACCACGATCGAAGCCTTGCAAGTCGACATCACGGATTATCTCTCTACCACGCAACCATTACAAGGAGCCACCGAATCTGGCAGCAGGATTTCGATCTCTCGACTTGTCCTGTGAAGCACCAGTCAGAGCGAATCTGGTCGCCGACAAGATCACTACAGACTCGTTTCGTGTAACGCTGGAGACCTGGGGTGAGAAATCGCTGCTCTACTCAGCAAGCGCGACATGGATCGAGCACAAAGCCTACGCCAAAGACTGCTTGTTCGGCCAGTTCGACACACACGATTTACCAGAGAATCGCGGTGCAAGCAAGAGGGGGGCACAACAAGAGAACTCGCGGGAGTTCGTTTTCCCTCAACCCTTCAAAGACGATTGTGAGGTCATCTGTTGGTTAAATCGAATCGATATGGCATCTGGAGATAGAAATTACCGCATCAGGGCCTATGCGACCAACGTCAATCGCAAAGGCTTTACGGCACATATCGATACCTGGGGCGACAGTTTACTGTATGGAGGAGCCATGTGCTGGATCGCTTTTCCAAAACGCAAGCGCTATGTTCAAGCAGGTAGCTTCCAGACAGGAGACGTCAGAAGCTGGAGCAATCCAATACCCGAAACAAGTTCGCAGGTCAAGTTCGAGGAGGGCGTATTCAAAAATCACAGGCCTGCTCCTACAGTCTTGTGTGCCTTGAATTTCATTGACATGGCGGGCAACGCGGATCTACGAGTTTCTGTTGACGTCAACGATATTCACGCACAAGGCTTCCGTTGGTCGTTGAAGACGTTCGAAGACAGTACATTGTACGCTGCTGGTGCGAGCTGGATAGCTCTTGGTTTCGCATGAACAGACGGCAGGTGTTAGATGTCGAAACAGTCGAACGGGGAGACGGAGTTGAGGTCGTGGCAAGTTATGCCTGTGCTGGGTGGCATGGAAGTGAAGGTAATCAGTGAGATGTTCACACAAGTCGCTAATATTGTATGATATCTTGTAAGTATCTGCTACAGTAGAGCAGGACATAATTAATGAAAGCAGGTGATCTCAAGCGCAACACGACCTGGCTCAACGTGTGCTCTGTACAATTTCAAAGATATTCCCCTGTCATGCTTCCTTCAAGGTGCACGGCCTGTGTTTCTCGTGAGGTGACAGCCGTGGGGGGGGAGCCATGAGGTCGAATCAGGGGCAGTGTAACCAGAATGGCAAGGCAGAAGCACGCAAACGACCTGTGCAGCTTGTGATGTTTCTTGCTTCAGTCCTTTTTACGTCCGGATCACGGTCATGTTGAGCGAGCACAATTCTTGATTCGCTGAGGCTGTTCGGCTGACTGGTGTGCAGCCAATGACTGACTTAGACAGCCTTGGTGAACCTTCACTTTCAGTTACCTTTTTCCTGTCACACCCGAATAGCAGCATTTTGTTATTGTCCGTTTATTCACGCAAAAGAATATAATGCGCACAGCTGCTTCCTTCTTCCGAGCTTTCGCTTCATTCGTTGTTCAAGCTATCTGACCATTGATCCACCATTCACCACGTCACGCCAACGCTTGCTATCTATCACGCATCACATTCTGGAGTCACAAAGGAAATGGCACCCAACACTGCCCTTAAGCGTGCTCGTTCGCCAAGCGCTGGCCGCCGCAGACAACTTCTTCTTCCTGCAATTCTTCAACACATCCAAGGCGCTCGCAACGAATCAAACTCGGCCACCTTGAATTCCATCAACGACTCTGTCAGCATGTCATCATCCATCGACCTTTCTGATCTTTCGGACGCACTCGACTCTCCCATCTCATCAGATCAACGCAAGGAGCTGGCCAAGGCTAGAGGGGTTCGGTTCAACAAGAGAGTCAGCATTGTCGAAATTCCAGCACCTGAGCAGATCCAACCCCGTCGCGTCAGCTTCAGCGACGAGGTCATCGACATCGGTACGGCAGAACTCACACATTTTTCACCTTCGCCTAGCCCACCTAAGAAGCGCGTTCGCTTTGGCTGTCTCAAGACCAGTGTGCGCAAGCATCTCTCGCACACATCCATCTACAAGATGAAGAACTTTGAGACCATCAGCCCTCTTATGACACACAAGAAGAGAGTCCGCTTCAGCTGCATGAAATGCGAGGCTCCTGCTACCACTCAGACCAACAGCGAAGTGACTGAGCTGCTGGCTGAAGAGGGTGCGACTTTCAAGCGTGAGAAGAGAAGAGACTCCATTTGGGATGGCGACAGTGAGATGTCCGAACAGACTTCTTGCTCTGAAGATGTTGAGGAGGGTTGAACGAGTGTCTGAGGAATACGAAGTGACATCCAAGGGCGCTTGCCACAACATCATCACTACAAACATTACACCAGGACAAACAACGAGGCAAGGTGGCTAGGCTGTTGGTTTGCTGAGCGGCCGCCAGCTTTGCGCAGATGGAACAAACGGATCCTGAGAACTGCTTTGAAAAAAAGGAGGACCAAACAAACACAGATACAGGGACTGAGCTTGGGTTACAAGTAGACCTGAGCGCATGCATGTCGTCGGCAGGAAATCAAACGAGGCATGTCCTCTGTCCTTAGTGGACCTAGTCATTTACCACTAGTCGTCACTGGTTATTGAATCAAGAGAATCACCTTGAGGTGACGACCAAAAGATTGGCTCTTCGTGTCTGACCGTGGACTAACTTCTGTAACTTCAGAGAGTTTCGACAAATTGTTGCTTCTCAGAGTGTGAGTGACGATGGCTAAAAGTCTATCAGTGGTATAGACATTCCGTCCGTGTGTTGTCGCATGCCGCGGCTGTCGGAGTTAAGGTCGGATGACACATCTCACTGCCGCTTCCGGCCCTAATTAGAACTTTCCAGAGTGATGGATTACTAGATGCGACTAACCAAACAATCAAGACAATCGCCCTTCTGCAAGTAGTCGCGCATGCCCGGCGTGCCAGATCGGCCATAGTTCCTCTGAACCGCCAGCATGGCCCACCTCGCCGACAAGCTCAAACAACAAGGCAACGATCTATTCAAGGCAGGCGACTACGCTGCAGCAGAGGAACAATACACGGCCGCAATCACTAAATACTCACGCAATCCTCTTCTTTTCACCAACCGCGCTCTCGCTCGCATCCGGCTCCAACGATGGCAAGGTGTCATTGACGACTGCCTGCACAGCATCTCTCTCACACCCCACAATGGCTTCAACTTCAAGTCCTACTTCTACCTTGCCCAGGCCCAACTTGCTCTGCACCATCCCAATGAAGCCCTGTCTTCGGCTTTGACTGCCTACAACCAGGCTATGAACCCTCCTCCCGCCGAAGCAATCAAAGCCACTGCTGCTCTACCATCCCTCTCTGAGTTGGTCCTCAAATGCAAGAAAGAGAAGTTTGCAGCCAGGGAACGCGATCGCAGACGCAAAAGAGGCGATGTCCTTGCCGAGCTAGAAGAATCCCTCGAACTCAACAAGCGCAACGAACTCCAAGAAATCGAGAATGCACTGGCAAACTCCAGCATCGGCGTAGTCGAGGCTCAAGAACGCAGACAAGAGATCCTGGATACACACCAAAAGAAGGTCGACGAGTTGAAAACCGTGTTTGCGCTGGCAGACCCCGAGAATCACCAACCTAGGGAGGTTCCTGATTACTTGGTAGACACAATATCATTTGAGATCATGCATGGTGAGTAAGACCAGGGTACAAATAGCATGGGTCAACTGCCATCAGATGGTCCCAACAGCTATCAGGTGGCTTCCGGACTGCAAATGAGCCACTTTCACGCCAGAAACATGCTAATCGTACCTTTACCCTTAGATCCGGTAATCACTCGCACAGGACACAGTTATGAGAGATCGACGTTACTGGAGCACTTGAAAAACAATCCTACAGATCCGTTGACGAGAGAACCTCTGACGGCTAAGGAGTTGCGGCCTAATGTTGCCTTGAGACAGGTGCTCGAGGAGTTCTGGAAGACGGCGGGCACGTGGGCTATCGATTGGTAAGAAAGGCAGGCGAGCTGCTTTTCTGTTTTCTGATCTTCATCTTTCCTTCTACTTTTCCCTTTGCCGATGGGCTGCATTTCTGCCTCTTTCTGCTTTTATCTGTTGGGCATAGCGAAACGGCGTACACTATCCGCATGATACACCCATCTTTCAATGCGCATTTTTTTCTACTCCTGCTCTTTTCTATATCAGTCTAGCGTTACTGTAATGTTTTGTGTAATCAATACGATATAGGGTATCATGTCAGCGATGTCCCTGGACAGCACATTCAATAATTTACGTTGCATCGTTTCTGGCCACATCCGTATGCACTTACTCTCATGCGAGGGTCCTAATAGAGCCCACGAACATTAACTGATCAACACTATCTTGTAAAGGCCTAGCTCTTGTAAAGGCCTACCTAGCCCTGAGATGGCAATTTTAACAATACAGATTCAGTAACGAGAAGTTCGGAATTGCAAGCAGCAAGAAAGAGGCAGGAACGGACGACATCAATGGTAGTTGCCTGGCCTGTATAAGCAAGATATCACAGGAATCCCGAGTTTAAGAGGCATAGCAGATTCTTGATGGGTGGTTGTATGTCTGTGTCGTGAGTATATCTATGTCATGAGATTTGCTTGCTTGTATCTTCGATGACAACAAACAACATGATCAATTCGAAACGATTCATGTACAATCACAGAAGATATACTAGAGTGACAGCGTTCATCGTTGAGCTGTATTCTTGCCTAGAAATATAAACAAACCGGTCTTGTAACATAAGTTTTGTGTGTTGAGGGTGTCTAAGCGCAGCTGTGAGGAACACCCTGGCTTAAGAGCAAGAAGACAAAAGCACATTCTACGATCAAGACAAAGGCACAAAATATCTCTAGCTAGCCATGATCATACGTAGAAACCCAAAAAGAGCTCTAGAACAAACAAACAAAAGCTCAACAAAAAGATCAACACGGAAGGTACTTCTTCACTGTACTCCATCACGTGCGATAGTCCATCCGAAAAACATGGTCATCCTCCTCGATCTTCTTTATTACTTTGTCACCAAAACGATTATGCATATATCGAGATTCTATTCTCACGGTCTTGCCCATTGGCACGCTAGCACAAGCTCACGGTATGCCGGTAGACGTTTATACTTCCTCCCTAGGTTCTCTTCGCCTCCAGCCGTTATACCCCTGGAACTCCTCCCGTCTGTCTTGATAACCGCATAGAATCCACTTTACCCGCAAAACCCAGTTTGTCGAACATTGCCCCTATCCTGCAACCAGAATCCGAGTCTCGAGGAAAGCATGAGTGAGAATAGTGGAGAATACACACTTCGAGAAAGGTCTAGAAAGTTGATCGGATGGCACAAAGATAACAAACGATAATTTGAGATGTCTCCTAAGGATGAGAACCTTCCCTCCACTTGACGGAGGAACCCAGCCTTGCCGTCATGGTGGAGAAGGAGCTCAACCCTCTGAGTATGCTAGAACTACGAGTACAAAGAACGCCTGACCAACAGCACCGCCTCGGCTGAAACCACCTCTTCCCTTCCGGCCACACTCAAACAAAGGAAAAAGATAAACAAGGAAACAAAACAAAGAAACAAATAGAAACAAAAAGCGTCATCAGGATCTTCGGTCTCGAAAACCAAGGCCACCCGGGTGCCGTAACGGATATGCATAACGTCTTTCTTCCGCCCCCTTATCGCTTCTTTCAAAGGGGGCGCGAGCGTTTGTCTTTGTCCGTTCGAATCGAGCGGCCTAACAGCTGTCGAGATCGTGATCGATACGCTGATGTCCATGGTGTGTTTAAACACTAGAATGATAAGTGTGGTTGGAAGCGATTTGAATGTGATGCTTCAAACAGAAAGTAAAAAATCAGTGTCAGAGAAGCTGGGTTTGAACGAGCAACGCTTCAGAAGCAAACCATAAAATCGACAGAAAAAGGAAGAGAAGAAATATCGGGGTATACAAGAATCGAAGAAAAAGCGAAAGATGAAGGACAACTCCTAACCAGCCCAAAAACATTTCCACCTGGTCCAAATGGTCCGACTCAAAGAGATCGCAAAGGTAAGGAGATAATTGGAATCGAAGATTATCCGGCAAACAGATGAAGTGAGTACCTGCTGCCTCTCGCTCGTGCATGTTCGTAGCCAATCAGTGGCTGTTGCTAATTTTTGCTTTTCTCACCCCTCAGCGAGTGAGATGCCCAGTCCCGCCAGCAGGCTGTAGTATGGAAGACAGCTGCGATTTTTACAAGCTGGCGGGGTCGATGGTACCGTACTGCACGAAGCTCGACATGTCAATCTCCTCGCCGTGTTGGTTATGTTGGTCGTTGGCACCCAAGCTTGGGCTGTGGTACAGATCATGGTTCTGGAGATGCGAGGGGTGGTGAGCTGGCGTCGAGAAGTTCGAATCGTGCATCTGAGCAGGCGATTGGTACATCTTGCTGTCCTGGAACATGCCGGTGCCATTGACTTTTGGTGTCTGGTAAAGATTGTGGCCGGGGTCACCGTGGCCCATGTGAGTAGGCGACTGGAAAGCAATAGCAGAGTCTTGGTGCATGGCCAACTGTGCCGGGTTAGGCGACTGTTGATGCATAGGTGTTTCGGTGGGCATGCGGAAAGGCAAATTCATCTTGTTTGCAGGAATGGGCGAGTTGTAGTCGTAGTGGGCGTCTGAGAGGGAAGAGTCGAAACCCAAGTGCTCATCAGGAAGAGGGCTGTGGAAACCCATACCCATTGACTTGCTGTACACATCGGACGAAAGGCAAAGCGCATCGTCGCTCAGACCATTGTCACCTCCAGGCGTGTTGAAGATGTCATCTGACTGGCTGCGGCCAAGACCGGTAAGAGGTGGTGATTGGTCTGCGATAACAGGATCGCCTCCGCTGAGGCAAGAAACGGGTGTGTTGCTGGTACCAATCATAGCAGATGGGTCGACAGAGAGGAAAGAGCTCGAGTAAGGGGTGTTGAGGTTGGAGTGGGCCATCATGTCGCTGGTAGGACCAGGGTTGAAGAAGCCAGGAGTGCCGAAATCGCTAGGAGAGTTAAGAGTAGTGGCAGACATTGGCCCAGCGAACTGTCTGAAGTCCATACCGTAGCCAGCAGAAGTATCGATGCTGAGATTGTTGGGGCCCATGCCTGCCGAGAAGCCATGATGATGCTGAGGCTGAGGAGCGAAGATAGCGTTGTCTTGCAGAGGCTGAGCGGGAGTGTTGGGCTCATGTTGGATGAGGAATGAAGGCATAGGGTTGTTTCTGAGCATCGAGAGATCAATGGCAGCAGGCACGGAACGACTGCGCTGTCTCTTGTGACCACGAGGGGCAGGCGGGCCCATGAGACCAATGGCGGAGTCTTGGAAGACACCTGAGTGAGGGTGCACCAAGTGGTTAGGCTGACTTGCGGGTCTGAAGTTGACAGGCGAGACAGGAGCCGAAGCAGCAGCCATGGCAAAGTGAGTGGGATCAAGCAGTGCGTGGCGGTTCTGGAAAGAGTCGAGGGACACGAGCTTAGCCAATTGACCACTGAGAGCCTTGGAGGGGCCACCAAGCTGGTGAACCATAACCTTGCTAGCTTGCTGGTCCTCGGTGAAATCGCCGCACTCGTAGAAGCCGCCGCTACCTGAGCTGTCCATGTAGAACTTGGGAGGACGGACCAACTCGACGACCAGTGCGCCGAGTCTTTGTGAAGCGCCCTCTGCAGCGCTTGTGACCTCACCCTGAACAAGGTTGATGTTTTTAATCCAAGCGAAAGGGTACTCAATCTTGTAGCCAGCCGAATCGTTGTTAATGTAGTATGTGACACATGCCTTTTCCGGTGAGTAGAAGATGATCAGATCCATCTGACTCTGGCCGACTCTGCGCCAGGATCCAATCGAGAGCGAACGACATGCAAAGTGTTGGATGACTGCACAGGTGTTAGCCATAAATATAAATGTGGAGAGTTGAGGCTTCAAACATACCAACTTTGCCGGTGCCGGCATCGGAGTTGAGACTCATGGTGCCGGGAGTGTATGCATAGCCATTGCTGGTAGGGCCCATCAGGTTAGGGAAGAATCCCTTGCCGGACTCGAGGGCTTGCATGGCAAGATGGCGGCGCATTGACTCAGGGATGCTCTCGCAGTCCTCGCCATTTTCAATGCTCTTTCTCGCAATGTTCTTGATCTTGGCACGTCTATCATGTCGTTAGATGTGCGGATTGTATGGTTGTATAAACAAGAGGTTTACCTGTTCTGGAACCAAATCTGCACTGATCTCTCAGTCATGTTGATCTCGTCTGCAATTCTCTCACGGACAGCGGCGGTGGGGGTGGGGTTCTTGTTGAACTCCATCTCCAAGGTGATTAGCTGATCTTGGGTAGCGCGTTGTCTCTTCTGGTTCTTTTGTTGTTGGGTGAGAGTGCTCTTGCGTGGCGGCCTTCTTGAAGAAGATCCGTTTGCGGTGAGGGGAGTCGCGGGCGAGGGAGTGCCGGGCGACGTCGAGTCCATTGAACCCATATCCTTGGAATCCATGGCGTTTTGTGTTGATGATTATGGTTGGCCAAAGGCGAACTTGTGGAGGATAGTGATTATAGGCTGCCAATGGCAGATGCAGCTAGGCAATGTCAAAGAAGCAGGCAGTTCAGGCCTAGGCTGATTGTTGTTCTGGGAGTCTTTGTCTGCGTGTCAATCCGTGTGCTCAATCAAGACAATGCCGAGAGCAACAGCTGAAGTTCAAGCACGAGGGTCAAAGAGTCGGATTAGGAAAGATGCAAGGATGCAGTTGTTGGATAGAACAGGAAGGACTTGACAACCGGAAGGAGTGACGGTGTGTCGAAACTGGCCAAAGCAGCGGGTAACAGAGCTAAGAAGCAAAAAGAAGGATAGAGCGTGCGTAGAATTAGGCCCGCAGCGTAAGGGAGTGATGAAGCGGCGCACAGGAGCAATAGAAAGGGAAAAGAGAGATGTTGCAAAGGGAAAGGCAAGGATAAAGACGGAGAAGGTGCTTTGGGCAAGCGAAACACACACGAGGAAAGAGCGTGCCCTCCCTCCCCCCTTTGAGACTGACGGCTTCGTCGACGAGTCGGAGCAAAGTCAAGCACAAGCACAGGCGCCAAAACCGCGCGAATCACGTTTGAAACGCACGAGGCAGGCACGACCCACCTCGACCATGCCGCTTCGGGCTGCGACCTCCACGGCCGCTCGTCTGTTTTCTGACTTGTTCCAACCGCCCGACCGATGTGCAAGAGGTGATGTTCCCCTTGTGCCGTCATAGCGTTGAACATCTGTTGTCGTCGACCTCTCATATCTACGCGTCCAGCTGTTGCTATCGCACTTATCAAGGCTGTGCCTTACGAAAGCCAATGTGCATCGTCTGCAGACACACGAACTCGTCTTCCTCGGTTCACCGACTGTAAATAGCTGCTCTGTTGCCGCCGCCAGCCGTCATGCTCCTCCACCTTTTCTGCCAATGCCAGTCGCGCATGTCGCGAGACGACTGCTTACCCTGCATGCATACAATGCAGCGTGCCGTAGGTTAACTTGGCTCCTCCGCGACTCGGACAGCTTCTCGCTGCCTTGGCGACCAACTCGCGCGCCCCATCCCCGTGCCCTACTAGTCTGCGAAGAGCAGTCCACTGTCGTGTCTGTGTCCTCTACTTTGGCTGCTCTCGACCGCATATACGGCACAACTAGATCTATACCCTATAAAGACCACAATTAGAGTATCTCCTCACAAGTCGCAGAGAGGCGTGCTCTTTCCGCGAAGGTCGTCTAGACACAACGCCATACCAGTCTCCCGGACCAACTTTTTGTCACACAAGCTGCGACGACGTTCTGCTATTCTTCTACCGTGGTCGATGCCCCGATTGTTTATCGGCCGTATCCCCATTTTGGCCTTAGCTCTTTCTCGCTCCCCCTCTGCTGCACGCTGAACCGACGTCACGTCACAAAGCGCCGTGCTCGACCGGGTGTTGGTGCTTTCGGACTCTGGCTCGCTGACCTGATCGGCAAGTGTTGTGTCTTGGCCCCCTGACCCCTGTTCTCGTGGCTTGACGATCCTGAAGGAAAACGCAGGCACCGCTCAGGAACACCCGCCGCCAGCACGCACGAGCCTGCAACGTCGGACCCACACAGGAAGCTCGAGGATGCTAACGGTCGGGGCAAAACACTAGCGTAATGCGCCGCAGAGACATCGGAGTTTTACCGTCCGGGTCTCCCGCCGAGCCCTTCATGTCCCTGACCAACAGGGTCGCTGGATCTGCGTGCAACAACAATATATTAATTGAGCTGACTATTGTTATTTACTTCCCCAGGAAACCAAGCCGAAAGTCAGCTCAGTGGTACAAGTGCTTCGCATGCTTGACTGTATATCCACGTTGCTTTTCGGAAAAACTGTGTTTTTGCTGGTAGCGGGCTCGCCTGGACCGACTCGTGGATACGAGTGTTGGTAGACTTTCTATTTTTGCTTCATATATCTTTAGCGTCGCTTTTTGTACCTTCGAGGGTTCCTCCAGGCCTCGGAACATCATGATTCATAAAAGATTCCTTCGAGGTATACTTTTCCGATCTGATATGTCTACTGATTCAATCCTCGATCTGTACCGTAGATAAGTATTGCGCATTGCTGTGTTTCGACACAGATACGATGTCATCGCGGAGACAAGTCTGGTTTCGTATATTGGCAGGAGTGTTCGGCCGGGAAGATGAAACACCACGCTCCCGTGGAGCAGATGCATTGTACAAACCCGTTAGCCTTTTCTTATCTGACGTCCTTTCTAAGAGCCCTCGTTACTGAGTCCATCTTGCCAAGTCAGGAATGCGATGTACTACATATTTGGAAGACGCTCAAGATGTAACTAGTTGAGGTATCGCTCGAGTATGCACTCCATGAATCGCGTTCATCTTGGGGTTGCCTCTTGTAGACTCTCATTCAACATCCCGTTCTTGAGCCGATGCGATGAAGTCGGAATACACATGTGCCGAATAAGGCAGCGCACACGCTTGGTATCAAGTTCCACTCTGCTTCAAGGCCACGCTAGAACCTTCTCCCACCATTCTACTGCCAACATCTCAGCCTTGTCCAAAAGGCCACCATCGGTAGATTCTGTCACTCAAATCCAGCCCTCTTGTCGCACCATTTACCCATTACGCACGCTTCTATGACCAGCTTTGCCAAATTACGCCCAATGTGTATTCCAACCGAGCTCTTGCCGCATTCCAGAAGGAGAGCCTCTTGCCGATATGTTTGGCTGAGAACGGATAGGGCTGCCGATTTATCCAGATGCTTTGTGGGTCACTGCCACAAGTTCGTCAAGAAGGCCATTCTGAAATCATGGTGAAGCATGCGTGGAACTGCTTGCCCATATGTTTTGAGATCTAAGAAAGATCGTGAAGGACTTCAGATTTGTCTATATCAACGTCATGAGGTAAACACTCGAACTACGAGCGGCCCGCTTCAAGCGAGAGTGTTTGGGCCTGCCAGACGAATCGTGGACTTTGCGAGTAATGCCTGTTCACCGCCATCAGACACACGCAATCTTGTCGACTTCTTTAAATGTGAGTCGAGTTGTCGTCGTCTTCCATTGCATGACATGTGGACGGTGCGACTCTGATCATCCATGATTAATATGCTCCCTGAGTAGGACGGACTTGGAGAGCCGTCTCATCTTCCACCACACGACTTGTAGAATGCACGAGCCTCATGTCATAGTCATAATGCTCGTTCAGAAGGATCTCTCAGAGCGATCCAAACCCTTCCCCAGATCTACCATTTTGTGATATCGACATGTGCAAGGAGACATCCTTGTTGCCGAGTGATCTCAAAGGCTTCTTTTGGGAGGGATAACATTTTCATCGAGGGTGTGGTACAAAATACTCGGAACCACCAGAATGTCGGATGACTCACGCTGCGGTAGTCCATATGGCATGGGAATTAGAGCGTCCGCGGCCTTTATTGATCTCGAAGCGCATGCGTGTGGCCGACCGATAGCTCATACGCTTGTTGTGAGATTGGCATCACCTTTGGGCTGCGACCTCAGCTGGATATACAGTCATGGCTGTACATGTTGTCACAAGTAATACAATAAATTTCAGTAGTGTCATGGCACTAGGTTCTAACACCAGACAAGCCGTCGATCATTAGAGGAGACACGAAGTGCTCCACCATCATCTTGGTCAGGTGACATCCAGTTCCACAGGGAATGGGAATGCCTGGTCGAGCTGAAGAATCTTTTGCCTAGGCCAGTCAAGGTGGATGACTAGAGTTGGGTCCAAGGTTGAAGTAACGTGCTGGAGAATAGCTGAGGGCCATCGTTCTAGCCACCAAGTGTTCGATCTCAGCCTCATGAGCGCAGCATAATATGCCAACACAAGAAGAGCTATAGGATTTCGGTCCGCAAGCATACTGAGGAAGTGTGTGCTGACGTCTATAGGCCACATCTGGACATACATTGGGCCTGGAATATCCTGTTGATGCGTCTCATTGACGGCCATGTAGAAGAACACGAGTTCAAGAGCTTCCAGGCAAGAAACTGCTTCGTCATCCTGACAACTCTCTTTGATGACACTCCGCAAAGTCGGATACACAGGGTAAGTGTCGTCTAGCGTTGCTTTGAGTGCGGTGTAGTCTGGAAGCCCGATAACCTTCTTGATGTTTTCTTTGTGCTGTAGTAGGCTCCATGCTTGCGTGAGGATGGTTTTGATACCTCTACCAAGATGGAAGGAATTGAGCAGTTCATCGACCGGATCACGGGCAGATCCAAGACCTCTGGGGTCATACGCGGGTTCGGCAAGTGCAAATATAGAAGTGATGGCGGCAAAATTGAGTATTGCTTGACTGTGTTCAGCCGTAACGTCTATAATATGAGGCCGTACCTGAGAAAGCGCAGCGTGTTGGTGAGCCGCTGCCCTGGATAACAGTTCTGGTCGATGAGGCTGTTCAGAGTAGAGGTGCAGCGCAGCCAAAGCCAAGGTTGAATGCATCAAGTAAGGAAATCGGAAAGGCAATCCGCTCAGTTCCTTATCAGGTTTCGAGTCGGGCGTGATAGAATATTGAGTGCTTGTTATGGCCTGATTAAGTAGCTCAAGATCTGCCATGGGCAAGGGCGTCACCGTGTCGCCATTGTGGCTGGTGATATTGTGTGATATGGCATTGAAGACCCTGGTGTTGGCAGATACGTCCGAAGCAGGGCTCTGGGATGTAGTGAAGCTGCATTCGACCTTTCTTTTCGTACATCCACCACAGGAAGGTTTTCCTTCATCACACTATGTTCACATCAGTTATGCTTAGCCCAGTGATGAAGGCAATGATACCTTATAGTGTAACTTTTTGCAATTCTCGCATCCGTTGCGCGACTTTTTGTGATTCCTTCTCTGCCGCGGTCCAACAGGCCCGCCCCTCATTGTACAGTTCCAGAACGTCGATGCACAGCACCTGTCAAGGTCGAAGTTTTGGGAAGAAGAAATGTTCAAGCGAGAACCGAACGAGATAGTGAAGGCCTGGAGTAACAACGCCCATGGTTTGATGAACCCCACCGTCACAATGCAAAGGGAGTATGCCTCAAGTTACCGCTAATCTAGGCACGGAGGTGCTTGTTAGAACGCACAGTATCATTCAATGTATCTGAATTCAGCTTCAGAACACATTAGAATATGCCCAACAATTCCATCAAATCGTCTCACAGAGGAATAACAGGTGCGTGGATGGCGAAGCTGGGGGCGTCCTGATCTCGGCAACTTGTCAGCCCTTATTGTACCATACGGCCTGAATACGCTTTCGACGCTTTCCACAACACTCGGTGCTATTTTGAAAGCATTTACGCATACTGCAGGGTTGTGTGTCGGCGTTCATTGGTCACCTGTTTGATGATCATTGCACAGCCGCTGACATGCGTATGGACACGGAGAAGCGAAAGAAACATTTAAGAGGACGAATCTCTTCCTTTTTATGAACTTACACGACAAGCTCATTTGAGGATCATCGTCTTCTGCATTCACTTACGCTTTCTCTCCGCCGCTCTCAGACATCTGACACACGGAACTCTAGATTACTGGACAACATGGCTCTCGCCCCAACCAATATCGATCCCAATCATCTGGTTTTGTACGCATATACACCAAGTGCTGCAGCTGCTGGAGCGTTCATGGGGATCTTTGCGGTCGCGACTGTCGCTCACATCTTTTATCTTCCCAAGTTACGCCAGTGTTTCTTCATCCCGATGATCATTGGTGGTATCATGGAGGTTGGAGGCTTGTACGGTCGCTTCTGGGGACACAGCAGTAAGAACAACTTCAAAGCGTATGTCTTACAAGCGCTGCTTCTCACCCCTGCACCGATCTTTCTTGCGGCAACCATGTACATGACTCTCGGCAGAGTCATCATCGCTCTAGATGCCGACAAGGACCACACTCTCATCCGTCCGCGCTGGCTGTCGAAGATCTTCGTGCTATTTGACATAGTCTGCTTCATTGTTCAGATTGGCGGTATCGGCTTGCAATGCACTACTTCATCGTCAGTACAGAAGACTGGTCGCACGGTAACCATCATCGGCTTGGTCATCCAACTTGTCGTTTTCGCCTACTTCATCCTTGTGGCTGTTGTCTTTCATAGACGATTGAATGCCCGCCCTACCCCAGTCTCAGTTCACCACAGTATTTATTGGATCCGACATCTGCGTATCATGTACACAACAAGTGTTCTGGTACTCATCAGAAACATCTTCCGTGTCGCAGAGTACGTCGAAGGCTCAGATGGTCCTATTGGACACTCAGAGGTGTACCTCTACATCTTCGATTCGGCGTTGATGGCAGGCCTTATGTGGGCATTCGTCATTGTACATCCTGGCAGACTTCTCAGGGCCATCAAGAAGCTGAAGAATCGTTGTTCTCTCCTCCCCGTCTACGAAAAGATGTAACGCGTGTGGCTATGGAAATGCACAATAGTAACAGGAAACAAGATGGCATCTACTAGGAGGCAATAAGTTATCGACTCTCTATGGATATGCCTCTGCTTCCTAAAACAACTGTGCCTTTTTATAAGCTACATTCTGCTCTCATCTATATTCGGAGTACCGTTGAAGTTACAGACTTTAGTATACGGGGAGGCTAGAGAAGGCGGAGGAAGGGGGTTCGTTGCTTCAAACGCAGATCAGCAACTGAGTGCTTGAGACTAACAAGTGGGAAAATACTCTTTGGCTTCTTGATAGTTGTTTTCTGCAACATAGATCCCTTTTGTCTCGTTCTTTTCCTTCTGTTCTCCGTTAGGGATTAGTTTGTTGCTTCTTAGCATATATGCGCATAGACGATCCATAGTTTCTCTAAGCCTGTGACGTTTTGTTCCAATAAGGTTGTGCACGTCAACGTCTAGCACATATGAAGGAAGTCTTACGTCCCCGTGTACTAAAGTACATAACGCGTATAGGTATAGAAATGCATAATAGTGATAGAAAACAAGATGGTATCCACTAAGAGGCAGCAAGTTGTCGACTCTCCGTGGACATACCTCTGCTTCCTAAATTAATTATGCCGTTTTATAATCTAGGTCTTGACTGTCACAGCAGGCGGAGTATGATGGAGGTCATATCTTAGTACACGGGGAGGTGAGGTGCGATGTTCATGAGGGAGAAGCAGAGTGTGGTCGGTGCTTCGTCAGCATCCGTCAGCATCAACCGCATTGGGCGGAAATTGTCCGAGAGACGCGACTTCCTTCAGAAACGCGGGGACTTGCTCAACACGCGTCGCTGTGCCATCATTTGCCTGACCTCCATCATACCTAACGACAACTATCGCCAAAATGCCTGCCGCCAAGGTCAAGGACATCGAACCGAAGAAGCGTGTGCTTGTCGATGCACCATCATCTCGCCAGAACATCCAGAACGACAGCCCTTCGAAGCGCCGGAAGCTCAATGGCCAATCCAAAAACTTCAAGACACCAGGCGGTCCCGGCTCTAGTCAAGTCAAGAGCCAGTTTGAAGAGGAGGTTCTCGAGAAGTTGACCCAAGACATTGATGACCTCAAGCAGCACAATGCCGAGAAAGACCAACAATGGGCCCGACCGAGTCTAGACGACTTCGACGAGACAAGGGACAATTTGTGCTTCCAGCAGATCGAGGCCGAGGAAGGCACCCTCCATGGAGGAAAGACCTGCGTCAAGTTGTTTGGTGTCACTGAGGTATGTCCATTACTGTCTACGCTCGCTATTGGCAGAGGCTAATCACATCAACTCAGACTGGCCACTCAGTATTACTACACGTTACCGATTTCATGCACTATCTCTACGTAGCTGCGCCATCGTCATTCCAACAGAGTGATTGTGAGCCCTTCAAGGCCTACCTCGAAACCCATCTTGCCCAACATCAACCTGCCATCTACTCGGTACAGATGCTCCTTCGCGAGAACTTGTACGGTTTTCAAGGAAATGTGAAGAGCCCCTATCTCAAAATCACCGTCACCGACCCCAAGTACATCAACAAGCTGAGGACTTCGATCGAGAGTGGAAGTGCCAACTACAAAGGTCTCTGGAAAGGCGCCGATGGTGGCGTCCTGACCTTTGACAATATTCAATACGTGCTCCGCTTCATGATCGATACAAAGGTACGCTGGATTTGCATGACACCTAGCACAACATGTTCACTGACGAGTGCAGGTCTCGGGAATGTCCTGGGTTGAGACTCCCGCATCCAAGTACACCTTGGTCCCCGCTCGTGACAGACATTCTAACTGTCAAATTGAAGCCTTCTGTCACTACCGAGATCTCATTGCCCACCCTGCTGAAGGAGAATGGGCTAAGATGGCCCCTCTACGAACTCTCTCGTTTGATATCGAGTGCGCTGGCCGCAAAGGTATCTTCCCTGAGGCTAATGTGGATCCTGTCATCCAGATTGCGAACGTTGTCACGAGATACGGAGAGGACAAGCCATTCGTGCGTAATGTTTTCTGCTTGGACACATGCAGTCTGATTGTGAATACACAAATCTTCGAGTTCGCCGACGAGGACAAGATGTTGATGGCCTGGCGAGACTTCCTGGAAAAGGTAGATCCGGACGTCATCATTGGTTACAATATTGCAAACTTCGATTTTCCATATCTGCTGGACAGAGCAAAGCACCTGAAGGTTGGAAAGTTCCCCTTCTGGTCAAGACTACGAAATGTCCAGTCTGTCGCAAAAGACACCAACTTCTCCAGCAAGCAGATGGGCAATAGAGATACAAAGGCTACCAACACCAACGGACGTCTGCAGCTCGATCTTCTTCAACTTATCCAGAGAGACCATCAGCTCCGAAGTTACACGCTGAACTCTGTGTGTGCGCACTTCTTGAACGAGCAAAAGGAAGATGTGCATCACACAATGATTACCGAACTGTTCAACGGTACTCCTGAATCACGACGAAGACTGGCGGTCTATTGTTTGAAAGATGCTTACCTCCCTCAACGTCTCATGGACAAACTCATGTGTCTCGTCAATTACACAGAAATGGCCAGAGTTACGGGTGTGCCATTCAACTACCTTCTGTCTCGTGGTCAACAAGTCAAGTTCATCAGTCAACTTTTCCGAAAGGCACTGGAGCAGCAACTCGTCATTCCCAACCTTCGCAGCGAGGGAACGGAAGAACAGTACGAAGGTGCCACAGTTATCGAGCCCACTAGAGGCTATTACGACGTGCCCATCGCCACCCTCGATTTCGCATCACTATACCCGAGTATCATGCAGGCCCACAACCTGTGTTACACAACACTGCTCAACAAGAACGCCGTGGACAAGCTGAACTTCAAGAAAGATGAAGATTACATTGTGACACCAAACGGCGATCTCTTCTGCACGGCAAAGGTCCGTAAGGGTCTTCTCACACAAATTCTGGAAGAACTGCTGGGTGCCAGAAAGAGAGCCAGAAAGGAGCTGGCTGTTGAAAAGGACCCATTCAAGAAAGCTGTTCTGAACGGAAGACAGTTGGCTTTGAAGATCAGTGCAAACAGTGTTTATGGTATCACGGGTGCTACAGTTGGAAAACTGCCCTGTCTTGCAATTGCCTCGAGTACGACTTCGTATGGTCGTCAAATGATTGAGAAGACCAGAGACGAGGTTCAGAAGCGATACACTATCGCCAACGGCTACAGTCATGACGCTGAGGTCATCTATGGTGATACCGATTCAGTCATGGTCAAATTTGGACCCAATGACCTTGCAAAGGCCATGGAATTGGGTGAAGAAGCGGCTACTTATGTCTCGTCGAAATTCATCAAGCCTATTAAGCTGGAATTCGAGAAGGTCTACTTCCCTTACCTTCTTATCAACAAGAAGCGTTACGCCGGTCTCTTCTGGACGAACCCTAACAAATGGGACAAGATGGACAGCAAAGGTATTGAGACTGTTCGAAGAGACAATTGTCGTCTCGTGCAAACGGTTATCGAGACAAGTTTACGTATGCTGTTGATTGATCGCGATGTTCAGGGTGCCCAAGAGTAAGTAATGCTAAGCGTTTGCTGCAGTCCTTTACTAACAAGTCACAGCTTCGTCAAGGAGACCATCGCTGAGCTATTGCAAAACAAAGTGGATATGTCCAATCTGGTCATCACTAAAGCATTAACCAAAAACGATTATGCTGCTAAACAGGCTCACGTCGAGCTTGCTGAGCGCATGAAGAAGCGCGATGCAGGTTCTGCTCCTGCGCTTGGTGATCGTGTAGCGTATGTTATGGTCAAGGGTGCTGCTGGAGCAAAGAACTACGAGAAGTCTGAGGATCCCATTTTCGTCCTGGAAAACAACTTGCCCATCGACACTCGATACTACCTCGACAACCAGCTTGCCAAGCCTCTGGGTCGTATTTTCGAGCCTATCCTGGGTGAGAAGAAGGCAGGTCAGCTTCTGACTGGTGAGCACACACGTTCCATCAGTGTCGCTGCTCCAACCATGGGTGGCTTGATGAAGTTTGCCAAGAAGACCGAGACATGTATGGGCTGCAAGAAACCCCTGACTGGCAAAGATGAGAAGAACGGTGCTGTCTGCGAGAACGACCGTGACCGTCTCGGCGAGTTGTACCAGAAGACGTTGAGCAAGGTTGCCGAACTCGAAGTTCGTTTCGCTCGACTCTGGACGCAGTGCCAGAGATGCCAGGGCAGTATGCACAACGAAGTCATCTGTTCCAGCAGAGATTGTCCTATCTTCTACATGCGTATGAAGGCCAAGAAGGATGTCGAGGACTCTGGCAAGGAGCTTGTTCGCTTCGACAACGATGGTGCTTTGTGGTAAGCCGAGACAAGCTCTGTTCGAACAAGGCGTTTATGGCGATATAGGATACAGTGTATCAAGTTACTTTTTAGGGAAGAAGGGAATGGAAGCAGGCGCAAGTAGTATAATGAATCTTGGGGACGGAGCAGAAACAAGCATCCGCCCTGTAACGATGTATAGCTATCACGAGCTTTCAATAGCGAAAACATGTCAAGGTCAATAACTCTTCCTGTTCGTTCGTATGGCAACTCACTACATACATCTCTTCAAGAAGACTTGATGATTCTCCTTACTGGAGCTGCAGTAAGGCATGATGGGGTTTAACCATGATCAGAACGCAACGCGGTGGAGACATTTGAATTTCTACAGAGCATACCCAAGATGAAAACAAGAAAACGACTTCTTCGCTCGCAGCCAAAAGAAGATGAACTCGATACAGATGGGAGTAAGTAGTAACAAAAGGGATAAGGAAAAGAGATGCAAACAACACTGACAGACAGCAAAAACAACAACAACAACAAAAAAAAAGACCGCTTTCCCTTTCTTTACACCAACGCCTGCTTGCAAGATCCGGAAGAGCGAAACAACAAAAGAGAAAGAACAATCAAAAAAAAAACAATGCTTCCTGCCAGGACACCCTCCCAAACAAAGGGAAAACCAAAAAGAAAACTTCCTACAACATGTGCAAGTCCGTTCTTTCCATAGTTCTCCTCTTGTGTCTCTCCCTCCTTTGACACTTTTGAGCCCGGGTTGTTGAACTCCTGAGCCTTTGTTTTTCTCGCGTTTTCTTGTTTGGTCGCTCAAATGCCCACACCGGTTTCTTCCCAGCCTTGTATGTTGCTTCTTGCTTTGAGGATGGTGTGACTCCTTTCCGGATCCATCGTTCCTCGATGGCCGAGTATATCGAAAGCAATAGCAGACAGGGTCGAAAGGGCGGTGAGCAGTTAAGAATGCAAACAGAAAACGAAAAAGAATACGCAAGGGTGCAAGCTTTCCTTTTTGATGAAAACAGAGTATCGAAAACAAGAGCGACCGCGCCCGTCCGAAGACATTCCCAATTTTTTTGCTCAAAAAGGTCCACGGGTCCGTGTAAGTATTATGTATGGAATGTATAACAGTAATGAAAAGAGATACAAGGGATGTTGGTTTTGCGGCCTCGAAATCCGAACATAGCGATCGGACAGTGTAGTGCAGACGATCCATGTGGTATTCCCTTTCTTTTCTTTCGACTTCCCCGAAGCGCTGCGTAAGATTCGTAGAGGCGGTGGAGAGAGTAAGGAGGTGAAAGATACAGAAGAGAAGTTGGAGGGAGGAGAGGGATAGATGAAAAGGTGGGTGGTGGACGAGAAGGCATGACGCCTCATCGGAGGAAGCTGGGTGTCTAGCCGCAGCACAGTGCCTTGAAGAACTTTGACATTCCCGAAGGCTTCTGCTCAGGCTGCTGCTGTTGTTGTGGCTGTTGAACACGCTGTGCCTGAGCTGAAGGCTGAGTTGTGCTTTGCCTGCTAGGTTGGGTGTTTTGCAGACGCCCGGGGAGGTTACCAGAGCTGTTAGCGAATTGCGCAGCGGTAGATCCCTCTGGCGGAGCGAGGTCACCGCCTTGGCTAGTTCTCTTCTGAGCGTAGTCCTGACTGTAGTGGCGGTTGGTGCCCGACTGGCGCTGTGCTTGGGCAGAGGATCTGACGGCACCAGGCTTGGGGAGCTCCTGCTCGAGACGACCTGGGGGAATGGGTGTCTTGCTGGCACGGTTGGCGTGAACGTCACGAGCCGAGGTGTTGGCGACGTTGTTGTGGTGGGCGTGGAGGTGGGCCTGACTGGGGTGTTGCTTCATGGCTTCCCAGCCCTTGCCGTTGTTCAGCTTCATCCAGTCGTACTCTCCATCCTCAACCTCGCCACTATTCTTCAATGCCTGGGTGAAAAGATCGCGCAAGTAGTCGTAGTCGGGCGTGTCCTCGAAGCCAAGGTTGCGAACGTATGACAGGTACTTGTTGAACTCCTCTGCAGACATGTTAGCAACAGCATGTATTGATGGAATGTGCTGTTAGCTACTTACCAGGGAAGCCCTCACAGAGGTCCTTGATGGCGGTCGTCTGCTTCTTCTCGCCAATCTTCTCGTATTTTTGCTTGTTGGTAGCAGCCTTCAGGCCTTGCCAAGGCAGACCGCCGCGGAGGAAGTACATAAAGACGTGGCCCAGAGCCTCGAGGTCATCACGACGACTCTGCTCGCGACCCAGATGGGTGTTGATGGACATGTAACGAGCTGTTCCGCTAAGCGACTTGCGCTCACGGTATGGAATGTGTTGCTTCGTCTTTGGGTCACGGTACTGCTTGGCCATGCCGAAGTCGACGACGTGAATAACGTTGGCAGCCTTGGTTCCAGGACGACCGATGAGGAAGTTGTCGGGCTTGATGTCGCGGTAAATCAGGTTCTTCTCGTGAATGGTTTGCACGCGCGACAACATCTGCTTGGCGACCATGACGACGGTCTTGGTAGAGAAGCGACGATTGCAGTGGTCGAACAAGTCCTCGAGCGAGGGTCCTAGCAGATCGATAACGAGAATGTTATGCAGGCCTTCTTGGCCAAAGTAGTAAACATTGGGAATGCCGGCTGCATGCATTGTTAGAGTTGGTGGATACGGAGTGAAGGGCGGTGGGACTAGGACTCACGGCATCCTACGAGGATCTTGTAGGTACGGTACTCGTCGCGGAGCTGAGGAGCGTCGCTCTTACGCGGTTCCTGCTAGGGTTAGGACTGGATATCGAGGATGGGGAGATTGGTGTGAGGACGCACGAATTTAATGGCGACCTGGGTGTTGTTCAGCAGGTTGGTGCCCTCGAAGATGACACCAAAAGAACCCTCGCCGATCTTTTTGCCGACGCGGTAATGCACGCCGACGACGTTGGATGATGAAGACGACATGTTGTGGATGATGTCGTGGACGTGCCGGACGTGTCAAGTCGCAGATGTGGTCGTGGTGATGTTGGACCAAGACTAGACTTGTCGATTGAGGGGTGGAGGAATATTTGCACGAAGCGTCTGCAGGCGCAAGAGACGCCGGTGGAGATGTCGTCGATCTGAGAGTTTGCAGAGGGATTGGAAAAGAGGGAGGTTGGGTGTTACGGCGAGCACGGGGGGACAACAGCCTTCAACGACGGCGGAACGGGCAGGTAGGACTCGGCGGGCACAACAGAATGGCAGCGACAGTGACAACAGACGACAGGCGCACCGGACCGTGGGAGCGCTCGCGGACGGGCAGAGCAAGGGAATGCGGTGTGGATGGATAGTACAGTCAATAGGCCTCCAAGGTAGGTCAAGAGTGTTGTTGTCTGTCGGGCCTTGATCCCAGCGGTGCCAAGTTGATTCGGCTGAGTCGCCGCGCCCCTTAGACTTCGCAAGACCGCGCGCTAGCCACCACTCAAACATGGAAACACCAGAAGCCCAGACCCTCGACAGGGAAGAGCCCCCGACTATCCTTCACCACTGAACTCGTTGATCCCTTGCTTGACAGCTCAAACATCAGACAAGTCCAGATCATTTTGCCTGTCTTGCTGCTGCCGCTCAGCTTGCCCACGTCTTGTCACGTCTCGTCCATGTAGCACACGACGACGCTCGCAACGCGTCTAATCTATTTTCTTGCCGCACGATCCTCTAGACTAGAGTATCCGTCTCAAATTTCGCTTGTGCTCCAACCAACTCGACCGACCCTTCGAAATTCCCTTTTGCTGAGTGACCTTATGCTGGGCCATGCTCTATTATGTAGCTATGCTTCAACTACGCCATTTGTACATCGCCGTCATCTGCAGTCTGCTGCTCTCGCTCTGACTCGGTTCCCGCACTGTCATCCACCATCTGTGCGTCCAAGTTCGTCTCGGCATCGTTGTTTTCGGCTTCCGTCAACGTCTGTTTCAGCTGTTGCGCAGCTGCCTCCTCTTGTGCACTTGCTGCTGCCTCCTCTTCTAGCTTCTTTTTAGCTTCCTCGACACATACTGCATGCCAGCGATCCGCGTTGCACTTTTCAATCAGCTCTTGCAATTGCCCGTCTTGAATCAGATTGTCGTGCATGATCGGGTCACGGAGCTCTTCGCCCGGGAACCTGCTTTGCAGCTCTCCTGCTGTACATCCTGCTCCCAGCGTCTCGCTAGGTGTCATCATGCGGATGCCTGAACCTGGATGGAACAATGCTATTTAGAACGTCAGCCGCATCCTTGTCTTCCACGCGTTTTAGACTTACAAAGCTCTAGCCCACGCATCATTGTTTGGCATGCAAAGGTGTCTCTGATGTGCCTGGAAATAAGCTTGTCCGTTCGCTTTCTTGTGTTGTTGATGAACTCCCAGTCGTCTTGCAAGTAGCATCTCTTCCAAATCATGCGGAGGTTAGTCTCGAATCGAGCTTCCTCCATTCTCGATTTTCCAGCTTCCAGCACTTGCAACGCCATCAAGAACTGCTTGCCAATGATGTTGACCTCAGAATCTTCACTTTCCTTCGTGTCCATAAGGGTCAAGATGTCGATCATCTCCTCAACTGACAGAGCTTCGTTCCTGAGCATGTGCATGAGTGATGCTTCAAGCAGCCCATACAATGCTGGAGTCTTGAGCTGGAGGTATGCAGCATAGGTGTCACATGCTAACTGAACCTCCGCCTCGATATCGACTGCCGCATAGAGGATATATTGCAGGTGCTGCCTAATGGCTTCTTGTGTGTTGACCACAGTCAAGTCGTCATTGAGTCGTTCTTGATTTCCCTTGGCGCCCTTCTCCTCCATTGCGGCCAAAGATGTCAACTTTGCGAGTGAGAGCTCAACTTTCTTGTTCCAGAATTTGACCTCTTTCTCTTCGGCCAGAGTTGTCAATGTTGTCGAGGCTTCCTGGAAATCACCTTCACGGAGTACGTCGTTAATCCAGGACAGTCGACCACGAGCCTTCTCGGCTCTGAGGTAACGAGTAAGCGGTTCCCTGAAGTCTTCGGCTTCCTTCAGTAAACCATAGCTGCGGCGACTGGAAAGATGATTGTCGAAGAAGGCATTTGCCCACTCTTCACCAAACGTTCTGAAGTAACCTTCCACCTTGGCCTGCAGTTTGTTCATGTTAGCCTGGGTCTCCGTCCTATCGTGAGAGACAGTGCCAGGATCATTCAAGATGTTGGACATGAACTGAGATTCTTCAATGACCAGCTGCACAAGCGTTTGCATATCCCTGTACTTCTCAGCGATACTGATACCAGCAGCAGACTCGCCAATCCTATTGAGAGAGCGCAAGTGGTGTGCTCGGGCTTGTTCGAAGATCTTCCCGAGGCTGATGGCATAGCTGGGGCTGTTCTGCTCGTTGTGTACCTTGCTATAAGCGATGCGTTCTCTATAGCAAAGACAAAGAACATTGACCATGCGAACGTTTTCGCTGACAACTTTGTCGACAGTCGATACGTCCAAAGTCCTCGAGTCGTCGCCAAAGGAGTTGACTGCGCGTTCGCGCGAGATATCGATAAACCTGTTCAGCGACTTGAGAACTTCGTACTGTGAGGTCCAGGGCTCTATAAGCTCCTCGTAGCCTTCTTCCAGAACGCCGTCATCGAATAGAGTCAGATCCATGCCATAGACCTCAGCATTTTCGGTGCGGAACTTGAATACAGCATCGTAAAGGCTGAACAGGATATCGTCAGCTTCGCTGATCAGCTGCATTATGTTCTTAGACTTTCCATCCTCGTGAACGTTGTTGATCATCAGTAGCACAAGATTTCGCAACTTGTCAATGTTGGCAACCTCCTCGACGAACCAAGACCTCATAGAGTCAGCATTGACGTCGATAGGTTGTTGCTTAGACTGAGATCTGTAATATGCTTGAATGACAATAGGTAGCAGAGTAGACTTGGACGAACGTTCCTCGCATGCAATCCAGATGGCTTGTGCGGCGGCTAGCTTCTCTGCATCGAGCAGTAACCTCCACGATGTCGGTCTTGATACCGGAGGATAATCGCTGCGAAGGTGGAGAATCAGAGCACGAATGGCTTTGATGCGATTCTGAAGATGACCTTCCATGGACGAAGTGAGCGGGGGGATGAAGTGCGAAGTTGAGCGCAGAATCTCAGCACTAATGGATAATGCAGCTTCTTCGGTTTCTTCAATGTCGTAGCGATCGTATGGTCTGCGAGAGAAGTCGAGCACGTTGTCGGACATGGTTCCGTAGAATATTGCTTGTTCAATTTTGGTCTTTATCGATGAGTGGGTTGCATCCGTCTGGGTAGCGGAGATGCGAGCAAGACCATGGCCCTTGATAAAGAGAGCACATGAAGAGGTACCCTTCGTATCGATCAAGTCTTCTTCGCAAGCCCCTTCAATCGTGACATGTTTGTCTGATCTTAGACGTACGACATCTTGGAATGAAGATTTCGTGATAGAGGCGATTACGACTTCGTGTTCAAAAACGATAAAAGCAGTATGTCCCGGCTTGGGCAAAAGTAGTCGTGGACGAGATGTGGCGGGTGAGTCAGGTGATACAGTGTTGATTCGAATGATACCATCAAGGCGAGCGCCATCTTGCGTCTCCATAGTTACCTGAGCCATGGCGTACGAGGGAGACGAGGCAGGACCAGCCTGAACAAACAAAACCAATTGCAGCGGAGCGTCAGGAGCCGAAGAAGCAGGAGTGATGGCCATGTCGAGCAGACTGATAACGTTCTCGCCCAACGATGTGGCCAATTCGTTTTGCAGGAATTGACGAAAGTCAAAGGCGCCTCTGAATGTGGGCTGGCCGGACCAAGCCAGATGCCAGGTGTAGATTTGACCAGTCTCGGTGGCAGCCATCGCCTGTATCTCGCGTCTAGCAGGAAGCGGGCGAGTGCACACTGATACAATATCACGTTTCCAAGGACCGACTCCAAGAACGTTTTTCAGACTGCCAAACAGACCGCCACTACTAGCTGCCTCGGTCGAACGTAAGAAATGTGCTGAAATCTTTGGTCTGCCTTGATCATCGATCAGACTCATCTGAGCGATTCGGCCAGAGCTGAGGGTAACTATGAAGCCAGCATGGTCGGCCGAGTCCAGGCGAATGACAGTCTCTCCGCCAGATAGGGAGCCGATGTTTCCACTAACGGCTGTGTTTTGTTGGTTGAACAGAGTCAATGACTCTGCTGTGTCGATGTTTTGCCAGTATGTGACATTTCCGTTGACGGCAGAGATTACTACTAGACCAATGTCTCGTGTGGGTGATGTTACAAGGGCGGCGAGTGGGAGGGGATCTGCAGAGCGGGCTGGTCGAGGGACATCGAAAGTCTTGGGGTGTGCAACGGGAGATGGAGAGGTATAGTCCCAGATGTAGGCGCGTTCGCGGGTGACAGCTAGAGCTAGAGGAGGTGATGAAATGGTAGATGCACGGTAGTCTGGGCTGTGGTCAGACAAGATGAAGGAGAGGTCGTCGGACGAGGGGTTTGTACCGCTGGCGCTGTTGCGCAGGATGTCTGGTGTGCTCGGAAGATGGCGCACGCTGTACTGATCTGTTTGCGCCTATCGTCCGGTTAGCAATTGAAGCCAACAGGACATTTAATGAGAGGCAATACCAAGAGAGTGCTGTTGTCGCTCTTTAGCGTTCTCTTGTGACGCGTTCCGGCATCCCCATTACGCGAGAACGAGGCAGAAGACTGGACTGCGAGTGCGCTCAGACCGCTACGAAGAGACTCTGTCGTATCAAGCGGCAGCGGTGCTTCGACGGGTTTGTTGGTCAATTTGCGTATCTTGCGTTGAGGGCCGTTCGGGCTGTTTGAGCCTTCGGTGATTCGAGGTCGTCGCTTTGGATTGCGCACGGCGCTACGGCGCATGCTGTCGCCGCCATCTGTCGTCGTTGTCATAGACATGGCCAGGCGTTGTGAATGAGTGGAAGGTGGCTCGCGTGTGGAAAGAATAATTCTTGACTTGTTTTGATGATGATGGCGAGCTGAGAGCTTGGGGATAGCAACGCTCGGAGCGCGCCTTCGCTGCAAATTCGACTTTCACTCCTTAACTCCGCTGCTTTTATTCTGTTGTTCACTGTTTCACTTGAGCAACCACTTGATGTCGCCGCTACGATGTGAGAATCAGTCAAGAGTGGTGCATTCCACGATTAAGTGAGCGCTGCTCGGCGAAGAAGAGTCTGCACAACACAAGTCTGCACACTACGACATTTTTACAACATATGGCTTTCTTCCATCCTTTACCTCGCTCTCCTTCAAGCCTGGTTCTCTAATGTCCGTATCGGCTACGACAAATTTACGACGACCAGGAGCCCTCTTCTGGAGATTTCCTTGCCGGTGGCACCCAGCTGCCTAAATAGTCGAGTAACGCTCTATGCTGAGCAGTTATGATCTTCATAAAAAGCATAAGTCTCCGCTACCCCGCAAACCTGGGGAAAATATCAGCACGGGCCCGGCGCCGCCCAAGGTCATGGGTCTGGTGACGATGTGGGAAGACAGCACGAGACATGGACAAAAAGATGACAATCTCCATATATCCAGAGCCACAATCTGGTATGAGGTTCTAGCAGTATGGTGTGCATTGATACACAATCTCTAATCCTGCAACAACATGACTATCTTCTGTCTTGCAAGCTGAAGGAATGGATTTACAGACAGTCCCTGTGACATCCACAAGTATTCGGCCATAGCTCCCTTGACCCCCGCATCTGATCGATGGCGTGAGTACACGTCTTACCCCATTCTCTTCCAAGTAGAAAGCTCGAGAAGCACTCGGAGTGCAAGGGACAACGGACCCACAAGGTATGGGAATATCATTGGCCTTCAAGAGATCTTGATGGTCGTGTAACAACGGTGTGACTCAAAATATCGTCGGTCGGCAGTTATTGACACTTTGGACGAAGACAAGCTTCACGGCTCCGAGAGGAGCTGTCACGCGAGCAACGTAACTGTCGAGCTCTTGCAGTCCCCTATATTAAGCTTTGCTTGCATCCAACCTCAGCTCCTCTTCCTCTTCTTCAACCTGCCTGATTACAGGTAACACCCGTATCACCACAATCACCAACCAACTTCCTTGCAATCACACTCAGACTAGTTGATCCTCGCCGGCAGCCAGTAAGTTTCTCTGTCTGATGTCTTGTCCATTGGCCGTACCATGTTATCTGGCATTGCACGCGACCTCTTCCACATACTGATAGCCTCTGCTTGTAGTGACTCGTTCTCACAAACTCAACGACCGTGACCACGTTGGCCTTGCCAATGGCACGGCTCTGCCTGAAGAGCACCTTCCTCGCTACTTTGCCAAATCCGGCTTCAATGCCAACAATGATCCCAACAGGGTCAAGAAGTCCGGCAATGGCAAAGGCAACTGGTATGTAACCTGACTACACGTATGTGACAGTTCATACTCACGTCATGCAGGGGCCGTCATGGAGAAGAGCTCGAGGACATGGATGACTTCTACCGCCTTAGCAAGCCTCGTCGCCGCAGCAATGCTTCCGCCCAACTTCTTGATGCCATGACCTCCAAGTTCGAAGTCGTCGAGGCCGAGCCCATGTTCCGAGAAAGCATTCACGGTCCTTCAGCCAACGACTATGCCGCTCTGGAGAAGACCATGTCCATGGAGAGTGCTCCCAGTGAGGCAGACACCACCGCTTCTGAGGGTAGTGACGAAGGATTGACCAAGTAAAGGTGAGAGATGATAGATTGTATGAACTGGGCATGGGACATCGCTGGCGTCTGTCTTGTGGAATTACTCTTCGACTAGAAGTTGCCTTGACTTGGTAAATGGTAGGGCTTGATGCCTTGCAAACCAACCAGAGGTCTTCTGGTATGTATTACGAAACGAAATGAACTTATTTGAACAGCCATGTGTCATTTTATCCATCGTCTTCTCCAGTCATAGATTGTATCTGGTCTTCTGTGTACTAAAGTCTGTAACGTTCAGCGTACTCGTGCTTCGACTACTGCTCAGAGCCAAGAGTTGACTCTCAAAATGCACAATTGATCCACGAATCAGAGGCATGTCCTCTATGAACAAATAATAACACTTTACCTTTTGTGATATTATCTCGTATTTGCATCAAGTAGAAGCACAAATTCATCGTTTATACCAAATTGAAGGTGTTCGTGAACAACCAAGTCCAAAAAACCATGTTGGTAGGATGACCCTGTGCTTCTGTGGATACCGTGCAACGCTCCAAGCTTGTCGCGTCTTGAACACGACCAAAATCCTTCGAGGACTCACGATTCAGGCAGCATTCAAGATGACGTACCACATCAACAGTCTAGTTCAAAAGTTGAGGAGGACTATGGATACAAAGTCTTTGTCAACTCGTTGACCTTGCAAACCAGCTCATCAATCATGACTTCAGGCCCACCAGTTCAACTACCTCCAATCGCGATTGGCGTCCTTAACAACATACTCTGCCATGAATCGGCTCGAGTAGAAGTATACTTCCTCTCATCTTCGACTCTATCACCGGCGTCACTTAGTTCAACTTGTGCCTCTTTGACAGAGTCTTACGTACATGATCTACTAGGAGATGAACAGGTGGAAGACTATCACCAGTTCCTCACGCCTATCTTGACACCTTTCGCTTGTGTTCCAGACTGCATCGAACACCACTTTGATGGCCTAGATAAATGGCTCCTCGGACACCCGACGTCAGAAGAGGCATCAACCGTCTATCCTCATGGCATCCTTGTGTTTGACAAGGATGAGCAAGAAGCATTGCTTGTCCACGTCGACCAAATTAACAAGGGATGGCATGTAGGATCGATCTACCTGCCTATAGTCGATCTAGGAGCGGATATCACCAGCCTTTTGCTCGGGGATGAGTTCTTTGGAGACTTATGCAATAGGAATAACGTTCAGGTGCCTCAAAACAATCCTGATATCGACGAAAACTACAAGGAGCATCAGAAGGATGAGACCGGCGCATGGAAGAACAATCCGCCTCGTTTCGCTGTCTTCTCAACAGGATGGAGCCATGCGCTTCCTGTAGAAGGCATGCTAGACGATCAACACGCGGATGCATCCCTTGGTCATGGCGATGCCAATCTTTACTCTCTCTCTGGATCGCACTATCTTGGGGAAAAAGAACAACTCAGAGCACAATTCCCTGCGTATGTTGCTGCTGACCAGAGAGGCGAATGGAGGCATGAAGGCAAAGGACCGTGTGCTTCTTGCAGGCCTCTGCACAAAAATGTCTTCATCGAAGTCGACAATGCTGAACCACAGTCCAAAGGTGTCTTGGTCTGTACGATGAATTGGGATGGCAAAACAAATGACAAAGGTGACGAACAGCTAGCCGACGTAGGAAAGAATGCAAAGATTGAGACCAAGAGAGTAGGCGTCGCTTTTGCAGTGGCCACAGCGAAGGCCATATCCTCGAATCTGGCAGATCAGAAACCTCAAGACTGGCAGGAGAAGATCTAGGATAACCTCAGTTACATTGGTATTACATTTATGCCAAAATCGACTGCCCCTTTCGACAAGCGGCCGTACTGATGACCTGGAAGCATCTCCCTTGCCGCTCGGCGAGCGCGATGTAGCAGCACAGGCTTGCCAATGGTATACCTTATTGAAGTATGTTTTGTGACAATCTGCCGTAGCTCAAATGGAATGAGACAAGGGAGATTGAGCTGAGAAAACATTGTCCGCTTCCGGGCATGTAGCCAAGCTGTAGAATGACAAAACATCTTCAGCGTACGATAATAACGCCGGCGAAAAAGAACGATAGACTGCGCACGCCAAGGCAACGGAGTGCTGACAAGCCATGTTCAGGGACCATCATTCCCCCAAGGTGTGTCTTCAACGAGGTCCAGCTTGTAGATCTGACTAACGGTCTAGCAAGGGAGACAACTCCGAAATTGGAATTGGTTTTCGACACGACTCAAAGCACCCTGGAGAGCATTAACCCTTTCATGGAGGGTTTTCTTGATTGGTACGTTGACATTGGCATGATCAGAAAGATGCTGTCGATCAGAGTCGGTGAGTAGGCGGATCCAGATTGTCATAGCCTGCACTGTGGCTTGTGTACGTTTTGTTAAGGTCTCCCGGTCAAGTTCCGAAGGATACTGTGTGTCCGCTTCCGAGCCTGGGTCGAAATTCAACATGGTATGATCGAACTTTGTTTCTCAAACCAGGCACAGCAAGAAGTTTTTGTGTCCCCTGAGTGCTCATGCTCGTGTGACTCCATGCAAAGAATGTTCTCGTGCTCGAAGAAGCAATGTACTGTACCATCAATGATACGGGATGGCTGAAAGCTTAAGCTCATCTGGTCCCTGGTTTCAGATCTCGACCACCGTTTGTGACCTTGAATTGCCTGCAGACACCGATGTACGCACGTAGGCATTGAAATTGGAGGATAGAACTGCTATTCCCTGGAAGTCCGGCTTGCGCCATGACATCTTAATTGCATCGGTGGTATTTGCTAGTCTACCAAAAGACATTTAGTCGGCCCGAGCGGTGACGAAAACGTGGGGTATACCAAGGAAAGCGTAGGCGAAGGAAGGCTTTTGTGTATTCGGAGTACCTACAGTAGTGACATAGGTGCTATCTCAATCAAGAGCGTCCATTGTTTCGGATCTCAAAGTTCCGGTACTCAGAGATGTCCAATGCTCATATGTTCAGCATAGTCACTGACCTTGCTTGTGGTCAAGATCGTTCTATGCCTGCCAATTCAGGTAAACGCTCCAATTACCCTGCCGACTGTGGGGTGGACGTGTGCGAATCAATGCTAGGCGTACTAGAGTACAAACGGACGGTGATCTGTTCCCGGACCTACCTAATCTTACCCAGGTCCGCGGCGGTGGTGCTGGTCCTGACTCGGCGGGACTATGAAGGATTGTACTCGTTGAGAATCTAAACAGAAGGGTCCGAGTGATTTCTGGCTTCTTGAAGAGCCTGTAGCTCCGGAAGCTAACATGCTGTGATTGATGAACATCGAAGGGGCCTTTCAGGACAGAAAGAAGCAAAACGATGACTGAATTGTAGTCGTGAGTGGTGCTTGTTCGAGATCTGATCGGGGGCTCGAGCAAGGACTGAGGTTGCGAAAAAAAGCACAGACCCGCAGGATGCGCTTAGGGCTGGCTGATCGCTCTGGGGAAGGAAGATCTTCGTTGCTCTCGGAGGCTCGCCGCTCGGCATGCATCTCTCTTTCCACAGCCTCCAAATCTGCATCTTAACCGTTGAACCACCCGCACAGTGTTTCAAGAAGAGTCAAGAGTACACTGGGAAGTACCTTCGAGTCATCAAGATCTCAGTCAGAACCGAGCTTATACTAAAGCATAAATCAACTGTCCAAGTATCGCAGCACACAAATCGAAAATTGATAGCAACGACTCGAATGGTCATAAGATGCATTTGGAAACACGATATGAGACATTGTATGCTTGCAAAAGATCACCTTGAGCCATGTTCTAGGCTTCAATGTTGAGCCGTGGCGACGCGGTACAGTGCCAATGCAGCTCACTCTCCAGGACTTGCGATCCAAAGATAACGATTCGTATTGCAGGGTACACGAGTCAGTGCTTGAACTCTTCGAGCACGTCCTACACAATGATCATCTTCTTCTTCTGCATTAAGTTTTGCCTCAGAATCGTGTTAGGACTATTTCATAACCCTCGAATGGCCCTTCCACATGGTTCGTTCACACTATCATTGCCGGCTGATCATATACGCTCTCTCTTCGTCGCGCTTCAAGAGTTTGAATCTTGCCTTCCATGGCATCTTTCCTTGTTGTTAGAGATCTCCTTGAGAGGGGTAGCAAAGTCACTGATGAGACGGATCTGTCCATCATATCAATAACCTGGGGCTTTACACTTGGATTCGGTTTCTTGACAACATGGACTGCCATCAAGCAGACAAGACATATGTGGAAAAGACGAAATGGCCATCTTAACCATCCGTACATCTGGATGGTCTGGGCTGAGCTGGTGTCAAGTCTTGCTCTGAGCATTCTGTGTTGGCTTGTGTTGCAAGGGCCTCTGCCTCTCAAGTAAGCCATTAAATAGTCGCTCAATGATATCTCAAGACTGACCATCACAGTGTCTACACTTTGTTCGCGATTTTGAGCTGTTGGGTAGTCCAAGTCCATTGTCTTTTCCAGATCATCATCAACCGCGTTTCAATCTTGATGGTCAATCGGAGGCGAGCAAAGCAGCTCAAGATTGTTTGCGTCGTAGGCATCTTATGCCTGAACGCCACTGTCTTCTGCATCTGGATCCCTGCAAAGCTGGGGGTCAACAAGACGTACGAGAGAATCAATGTCGTCTGGGACCGTATCGAAAAGGTCATCATTCTCATTGTCGATGCTGGGCTCAACTACTTCTTCATCATCGTGGTCCAAAAGCAACTCGTCAAGCCGGGTCTCACCAAGTACAAGCCGCTAGTCAAGTTCAATCTTTACATGATTCTCATCTCGCTAGCGATGGATTGCTTAATCATTGGCATGTTGTCATTGAAGAACCCTTTGGTATATTTGATGGTCAGTCGCTTTCTTGGATCACATTCTCCACAATATCTAGCTAACACAAGATCAGTTCCATCCTCTGGCATACATAGTCAAGCTCAAGATTGAGCTTTCAATGGCCGAGCTCATCGCCGTCGTGGCTCGAAACCCGGAGAACGGTCCCGTTCGTTTCAACAACCCTTCGAGCTCGAATGGCACAATGAGCGGCAAGGGCTACACCTTCAATACCCAGACCACTCAGAAACGGGCTTCTGTACAGAAAGCTCCCGGAGCTCCAGAAGATGTCGAGCTCGGCAATGTCAGACCAGAGACGAGAGACATGGGTCACTTCGGCATCGTCGAAGAGGAAGAGGACAGGCGAGACCATGACTCCGATGATATTGCGAATGGCTTTGTGGTACACAGGCACAACGAGATCACAGTCGAAGTCGAGAGCGCCTCTTCAGAGCGATCTGAAAAGACCGATGCTCATGGGGAGAACTTTGACTCGAGGAGACATACCTCGGACAGTGATGAAGCCCCCTTGCGCAAACCGACAAACGTTATGGGCCTCAACACAAAGGTTTGGGGTCGCTACTAGACATGAGATTGGGTTGTATAAATTAATTTCTTTTGTTGCTGCAGGCAGACAGAACTGCTGTAAATTTCTCGACGACGACAGGTGTGTCGTCACTCTGATACCCAACTACATTATATAGTATTCTATTGAGGACCAGGTCCATATCATTGCCAGTCATAGACAAGATTGTCTTAAAGTTCCGCCCTCGTCCATACAGAACTTGGCCTCAGCGAGTGATACCATCTTTTCGCGGGTCACGCGAGTCTTGACTTGCAGCAATCGACTTCCAGATGACCAGCCAAGCCACAATAAAGCTGGCCTGAAGACGCGACCCATAATGGGGCACTCAGTCGAAGGATCGCACTGTCGTGTGCTATTAAGTCTGCATATTTTTTGCTCCCTGAGGCAGCATTCGTCTACTAGCGACTGAGCACGCAGCCTGCACTCCGATGTTGCTATAGAAACATGTTCAGTTACCCAAACTTTTGACAACAGCAACACCCAGCGTCACGAAAGCAGCCAGATCAACAGTCATGCCTCTCAGTCTGTTGAACCATAGCCACTCGTCCAGTGCGATATTTGCGTCTCTTGCAGGGTGGTTTGTACGAATGGCTTCCTTGGATGCGACCATGAAAGGCATGAAGATGAAGTGTGTGACTGCGAGAATCGCTCCAGCACGGTACCATGTTCGTGCTGGGCTTCCACGGGAGTAAAGGTTGGCGACAGAGGCAATAACAGTCAACGAGACAGAAGTCAGACGGCGGTAGAAGCCAGCGTGAGAGACGACGGGGAAATATGTGGAGAGAGCGGCGTTGCTTTTCGAGCGTGTTTCGGGCTGGTTGAGGGCCGACAAGAAGAGGTTGCTGTCAAAGGCATGGTCGAGAGTCAAAGTCGCTGCAATCAGAGGTGTGATTCTGAGAAGTTGAATCGGGTCGACGAATTGACGGCTGGCCATGCTTGCGACAATGAGGATTTGGATGTGCTACGTTGGAAAGAAAGACTGGAACAGCAGTAGAAAAGGGTGACAGGGCTACGAAACAGCCTACCTGATCGATTCTTATTTATTCGGCTTGGTAGGACCCACGGCGAAACAAGGATTGGCACTGTGACGATGATGTCCGCGAGGTCGGACGCAACGAAGCCGAGTCACGCTGCCGGGCCTTGGTACTGCTATCGACTTTCTCCTGAATGACAGGTGATCGTCGCTTTCTCAACATGCTGAGGGCCTGAGGCTCAACATGCGCGGCGGTCCTGATGTGTCGACTGTTTGATGCTCGGTAGCCAGGAGATGTCCAAGCAGTGGATCTCTTCTCAAGCGAAGGGCCCATGCAACATGATCGTGCATCCCTTCTGCCTTCGATACGCCCATTGCACCGACAAAAAATTTCAAAGCAAGAGTGCTCTCTCAGCAGAGATGTATAAAGAAGAAAGACAACTTGTATAAACACGAGAAAGGTGAAGTGGAGGTTCAAGGTCGAACACGAGGCTCTAGACTTTTTGCCCTCATTCATTCTTCCGAATCGTCGACCTGTTCTTTTTTTCTAGGGCACGACCAACATGTGGAGTATACGCGATCTAAAATTTGCCCTTACCAGATACGTCGTACCTAAAAGGTATCACAGTGTTGTTCGAAACAGTAGAGATGAAATCTTCCTTTGGTGCTCAGCCGTGTCTTTCTTGACTCTAGAGCGTATTCATGGTATACGCTATCGAGTCCAACGCCCAGGATACGCATCTCCCACACGCTCGACCAATGGAAGCAGAGGCACTTACAAGTAGCGACCGACAGCGCCGAGCACACAAAAAGTCTCGAAACGGCTGTCTGCAATGCAAAGCTAGACATGTCAAGGTAAAGCCGATCAACATCGGGAACAAGTCGTCTTTCTTAACACTCTTGTACAGTGCGACGAGCAGCAGCCGATATGTGGTCTCTGTAAGAGGGTCAAGAAGAAGTGTAGTCTTGCAAGTCTGGAATACGGAGAGCTTGCTACAACCTTCAGAAACAACAACGTCGTGCCCAGCAATGCGTCTCCTACCGTTTTTCAGACGAATCTCAGCTTTCAGTCCAGAAATGGTTGGAGAAGTCCACGTCCGATCAACTGCATGCCTCGATCGGACACAAGTCTCCCGCCATCCTTAAGCGCTCCCCATCTTCAACCATTGCCCCTTGCCGACCTGGAGCTGCTCTACCATCAGATGCGATGCTACGAGGCCACTGGACAAGATAGTGACGACATTCAACTCGGATTTACCTTTCCATACGTGCTGCACAGTATTTTAAGCTTGTCAGCACTTCTCCTCTTCTCCCAACAGCCCTCAAGGATAGAGCTGTTAGATCGAGCCTGTGCACACCAGAACTCTGCGCTGGCCCTGGTACGACCTCATCTGGTAGACCTGACTAAGCAGAATGTCAATGCTGTAGTCAAGTTTTCTGCCATTACATCTGTTATCGCTCTGGCACAGCCACTATACCAACATCCTTGCCGTATTGGCCAGACGTCCGATTCTATCAGCGACATGCTCAATTCTTTTCACATGGCGAGGGGCATTAGGTCGGTTCTGGAGCGTCAATGGCAGATGGAGGGCATTCACCATGATCCAGACGCAGGCCCTGATCTCGACAATGAAGATCCCTGGCAGCAGGATCTGATGATCAAGTGGCCACCATACCCTGTTCTTCGCGACCTAATCACGTCGCTTTGCACCTCTGAAGCGGACAGGTCAGTCTGCCTCGATGCGACAAGGAAGATATTCTCCTTTATCACTCTCTTGGAGGACCAGCCAAATTTACATCCTGATGCGCGACTGATACAAATCTGGCCTATTGAGATCAAGAAGCGCTTTCTCAATATGTTGATTGCACGGAGGCCTATTGCTCTACTAATTCTTGGCTACTACTCTGTCCTTATGAAATTGAGATCAGATACCATGTGGCCGTTCGATTCTTGGCCTGCAAAGCTTTTACAAAAAATCGTAGAGGTACTGGGAGATGATTTGGGCGAGTATCTAGAGTGGCCTAGGACTAGGGTGCTATCGTAGGGAGAAGGTGTGAGGAATTCTGAATGTCAGATACCAAGTTGGTCGGACTTCGATGGACAACAATTCATTTAATGATACAGGCTTGGAACGAGAATGGTTGTGAGCAGAAAACAAAGTAATGAATAAGCATTTCTACATGATTGAGAGACTTGAGAGTTTCGCGCTGTCTCTAGACGCGTCTGCGATCGGAACGGGTGTCATTCTGACTCCAAAGTCTGTCCGAGTGAGGGCTGTGGGTATTGTAGCAGACTCTGCAGATTAGACCGCGGCAGAGGCCACACTCGATCTTTCCAACACTTCATTAGGGCATCAGTATGGATCAAATGGTCATCAAGATTGGCCACATACCCTTTGCACGGCTTGTTGAGGTTGGTCGGGTGACCGCGTCCGTCTTCACATCTGTACTTTTCGTAGTCTTCTTCGCGTGGCGAGATGTAGTGACTGCACTTGCATAGACCGTGTTCGCAGTAGCCTGCAACTGCGCGTCTGTGGTCATGGCGGAGTGGTTTGACCGCAGTGTGTGGGTCATGTCCTTCCTGGCGCTTGATATCGATCAGTCAGGTATCCAGTGAACACCAAGGAATGAACGCAAGACTTACCTTTGAGACATCGTTTGGTGAGGACTCGGAGTGAGAAGTCAAAGATGAAGCGGAGGCAGCCATGGCTGTTGCTGGATACGAAGATGGGGCAGTTGCTGTCGAAGATGATAGTAGGCAGTGAAAGTGCGTTGACGCAGATGTATTAATCAGCTATGCTGTATAAAGCAGGGAGTTGGCGTGATGCAGTGGTGAAATGCAATGTGTAAAGAGAAGACTCGATGCAATTATAGAGGTGATGCAGTGATGGGCCTGAGTTCAGAGGTGATGGACTAGTGATGAAGCAACGAGCCGAAGTGAGGCAGAGAGACGCGTCGAAGTAATGCTTTGAACCAGGCAAGAGCAAGCTGCGGTGCTTGCTCAAATTAAGTATGTGATGTAGAATCTAGGGAGATCCGAACGCCTTCTAAAAAGTTTATATCTAAGCACTACCGTGCCCATTAACGCCGTTGGTCTCTCCTGCAACCTTCTCCAGAGCTGCCATGACATCCTTGACCAGATCCTCACCCTCCTCAACACCACAGCTGATTCTGACCAAATCATCAAACACACCAGCAGCTTCTCTTTGTTCTTTGGGAATACCCATATGTGTCATACTAGCAGGGAGCTCGACCAAACTCTCAACACCACCAAGACTCTCAGCCAGAGTGAAGATCTTGGTTGCTGCGCAGAAACGCTCAGCAGCAGACTTGCCGCCTTGAATACGGAAAGAAAGCATGCCACCACCAAGACCGTCTCTGTGTTGCTTGAGAGCAATCTTACGCTGAGGGTGAGAGTCCAAACCAGGGTAGTTGACAGCACGCACGTAAGGAGATGCAGCCAGAGCTTCGGCGACCATCTTGCCGTTGCGGCTGGCCTCGCGGGCACGGAGGTGCAGAGTCTTGACACCACGGTGTGCAAGCCAGCAGTCGAATGCTCCGGGAACGGCACCGATGGCGTTTTGAAGGAAACCGAGGCGCTCCTTGAGGTCGTCGCTGTTGAAGGCTGCAACACCCATGAGGACATCGCTGTGGCCGTTGATGTACTTGGTAACACTGTGCACCACGATGTCTGCGCCGTGCTCGAGAGGGTTCTGAATGTAAGGACTCATGAATGTGTTGTCAACAACGACGAGAATACCGTGCTTGTGGGCAACAGCAGCAACAGCAGAAATGTCAACCAGAGAAAGAGTAGGGTTTGATGGTGTCTCGATCCAAACGAGCTTGGTCTCGGGCTTTATCAAAGCCTCAACATCCAACTCGATGCTAGGGGTGAATGTGACATGGACACCGTGGGCCTTAGCGACCTTGGTGAAGTAACGGTGGGTGCCACCGTAAACATCAGAAACACTGACAACGTGAGAGCCAGTAGCAAGAGACTGGAGGATGACGGCTGTGGTTGCAGATCCAGAGCTGAAAGCCAGAGCGTACTTGGCCTTCTCGAGAGCTGCAATGCAGTTCTCGAAGTTGTCACGGTTGGGGTTTGAGCTGCGAGTGTATTCGTATGCGCCAACAGGGTGACCGACGGCAGTCTGAGCATATGTCGTTGAAAGAGAGATCTGATGATTAAGTCAATAAAATATACCTTGATGGTTTTCACATGCACAAAGATCGCCAATTATAACCAGAAGATGACATGCAGGGCATGAAACATTGGTTGGACTCTAGAGATCGAACACCGAAAGGAGATGTTGACTTTGGGCAGAGTTGTATCATGGGAGATATGACTTACAGGCTCGATCACAGCACCAGTAGTAGGGTCATGGGGAGACCCAGCGTGTACAGCGAGCGTGCCGAAGCCGTGTTGTCCATGTTCCGAAGGCTGCATATTTACTTGAAAGAAGATAGAAGTCGTCGAGGGTGTCGAAGTATGAGGAAGAGATGACGAGAAAGATATCAAAAGACTCTCAATCCTTCTTATTCAGAGGCGTTGTTATGTTGTCGAATCACGCAATCTTTCGCCTGCGTAAGAATAGATAGTTCGCTTGCTTTGTCCGAGAGAAGGGGCTTCTCGAAGATGGATTTGTAACAAAAGAGTGCAGCACGATGTTCTCTGGGGAGGTACCAAGGATGGCGAAACTGTTCCTGCAGCTATAATAAACTTTTCGACTTCAAGAAAAAAAATTAGGATTGGTTTGATGAGCAATAGACATAGGGCGCATCCAAGCCAACTAACGCCCTGTCTTTCTCGGCGTGTTCGGAGTCAACTTCGGCGTTCTGACAGCTCAGGACCAAAACTTGACTACAAGAAATCAAACTTTTTTCTATACGGCCCTTTCAAAGGGTCGTGGGGGAGGAGGATGCTATCAGTAAAGGAAACAGGTAGCGAGTTATGCAAGTCAGATCTGGTTGGCACGACTGTAGCTTGTTGTCTTTATGAATCTGTATGTGATTTATGATAAAGCTTCGATTACAGGGCGCCACAGCAAGTACCTAAGTTAGACAGCATATAATAGAACTTCGGTTGTGATTACATCTATACAATTGTTATTAAGTTCAAGACTATATTGTGTGTGTATGAATGACCGTATCGCAGGCCGTGGCGAAGACAGTGCCGATCTAACTTCCATGATGAACACGACAATCACTAGAAATTGTAGTAAACATGATTGGGCTTGTGTCGAGGAGACGAAGCAAGGCTAAGTACCTACTTCAAACCAACATAGTTACCATCTTGAAGCTACTGGTTGTGTCGGGGACTCATGAAGGCCCAGAAGACTTAAAAGTCAGGAACAGCAGAAGAGAATGGTGGTCGGTAAGGGATGATTAGAGTAGGTGCCCACAAGCACCTTTGAGAAATGATATCATGCAATTCGTAGCAATAATGCTAAGAGTCCGGCCCAATGCATATCCCTTCGCTCCCAGAACCTCAAAAAAGCAAGATTAATGATAGAACGCCTCCAATGAGAACAGTATACTCCAAAACAGCTTGTAAGAGGGACGAATATCGGGCAAGATATGTATAAGTCGAGGGTGTGTCGGTGTTTTAAAAGCGCTTCTTTTGCTTTGAAGCGAGTTCTTCCAACTTGCGTTTGCGTTCGAGTTTCTGGCGCTTGTGTTCGTTCTCCTCAGCCAAAGCTATTGCATCTTCGCGCCTTGCGATGCGTGCGGATGCTTCTTCTTCTTCGTACATCTCGTCCACGCCAGCTTCCATGTCAGATCCAGATTCGTAGTCGTCTTCTGACTCATCGTCTTCCTCCTCCTCTTCCTCATCAGAGTATGAAGCGTAGCGACGACCAGCGCCATAGCCAGACCTGCTGGATGCTGATGCCTTGGGTAGCGGCTTACGAGCAGCAGCGCCTCCAGGGCCTCCCATGGTACCACGATAGGCAGGAGCAGCAGGAGCATTTGAACGCATGGTACCTTTGTATGCGACCTCAACAGGCTTTCTCTTATCCTTGGCTGGCACACCGGTCTTCGCATCAACCAGAGGCTCGGCACTCTTGCCTCTAGATTTTAGACCGGCCTTTGCATCCTTCGCCAGTGGTTTGCCCTTCTGTGCGGCACGAGCTTCCTCGACTAGACGTTGACGATCCTTCTTCGTGAGCTTTTCGACCGGTTTATGCTTGATTTGTCCAGCTAGTTTAGCGGCTTCGGCATTCTGCTTCGCCGCTTCCAGAACGGCCAGATAACCTCCTTTAGCAGGTGCAGGCGTCGTTGAAGATGTGGTGGGAACCGCAGACGGTCTCACTGGCGCAGACTGAGTAGTGGCAGGTTTCGATGTTGATTGTACTTTTGCTGAAGGGCCACTACCTCGGTATGGAATCGCAGGCTTGGGTGGCGGGACTGCGGCTCTTTGGGCTGGGGACGAAGTAGTGCTGCGTGACGGAGGTGGAGCGAGAGAAGCATTTTGATCAAATCGTGAGGTGTTGGTATCGGTTCTTGCGACCTTTGGCTTGAAGTCGCTAGCAGCGTCGTCGGCTTTCCGTTTGGGTGGCACTTGCTGAGGGGTGGGATTTCGCGACGGGGGATTTGATCTTGCGGTAGAGGAGAGTGTTTGTGAACGAGGAGGAGCGGGTTGTTCGCCGTTGATAGACGACAAGATGGAGTTGAGAAGCTGCAAGATGGCGTCAGCCTGGTCGAGCAGAGCGACGAGCAACGAGCGGTCAGGCCTGAGACAGAAGACTCACACTCATGGCTACGGAGATATTCAGAGATAGCGGATTGTCGACGAGCCAGAACCAGACATGCTGTGATAGTCGCGGCCGGCGCTGAAGAGTCGCACAGTGACGGAGATGCGACCAGCGGGAGGCGACAGAGAGATGAGGCAGATGAATGAGAAGTGAAAGGCCACCGTCGATTTAAGTACCTCTCACTCGCTCTCGAGCCAGTGACTTCCGCAAGCAGCGAGCAGCGGGCACGGACCAGCTTGCGCCAAGGCGGCTTGGCGTTCCCACACAACAATCGCAGCTACCTTTTTCGCTCGCGAACTTCTTCGACCATCCACGACTCTCACGAACAGGAAGTCTCAGTCTCCGCTCAAGACCCGCGGTTAAATCGATTGATTCTCGCTGTTTTATCAACTCCCACCGTGAGTCTTCTCCTGGCACAATCTCGACTACCAAATCGCAACAACCGCCATTCGCATCGACCGACCAGCCGCTGACTGACGTTTTTTTGCGCGCATCCAGAAATTCAAAATGAAGTACCTCGCCGCTTACCTCCTTCTTAACCTCGCTGGCAACGAGTCTCCTTCTGCCGAGGACATCAAGTCCGTCCTCTCCTCCGTCGGTGTTGACGCTGAGGGTGAGCGCCTTGACAAGCTCATCTCTGAGCTTTCCGGCAAGAACATCCAGGAGGTACGCATACACCCGACAAACGCAAAATTCTTCTTCGCATGCGCAATACTAACACTACGCACAGCTGATCTCCGAGGGTTCCGCCAAGCTCGCCTCCGTTCCCTCCGGTGGTGCCGCCGCTGGTGGTGCTGCTGCCCCCGCCGCTGGTGCCGCTGCTGAGGCCGCCCCCGCCGAGGAGAAGGCTGAGGAGAAGGAGGAGTCCGACGACGACATGGGCTTCGGTCTCTTCGACTAAGCGTCTCGCAACCTCTGTTGAAAAAAACTGGTGCGGAAGGGTGGATCTGTTTGTGGGAGCAGTCGGGCGCAAGGGAAAAGGACTCTTCGCTACAGCCGCAAAAGGCTCGGCCATCATACTCTGAATGCTTGATCTATAGCCAGGGCCACGAATGGAGAAATACATTCCTCCATGATCATTCTGTTCTGTTCTTGTTCACATGTGAAATTTGAGCTCGTGACTTGTGACTTGACTCGATACTGCATAGACAAGTGTCTACCAACCACCCTTAAGGACTCACAACCTAATCGATGGCCGACAATCTTACCACAATGCTCATGATAAGTTCAGCGGCGCAGAGTAAACACTAGATACATTATTTTATCAAGGTGCTCGTAGATTGACCATCACTTTGGCCAGGTCACGTGAACGAGACGCACGGACGCGCGAAGCGAGAGGCACTCGATTTTGTTCGAATTTGCCCACAGCCCTTTTCGAAACCAGCTTGCGTCCGACAACTTCGACCACCGACACATCGACACAATGGCCGACTCTGAATACGTACGTCTGCTCCTGCGCCTCTCTCTGCGCATATCTCTCTGTCTCGCTCGAACATTCGCTGACTTGCTTTTTCACAGAACGCCGAGGAGGCTGCCGGTATGAGATGACTCTTTACGCACCGCACCCCTTCGCGACACCGCGCAATGGAATAAAACCCTGTGGACAGGCCACCAAAGGGGTGCAGGAAGATGGAAACATGGACTGACTGAGCCGTCACTACAGCCCTCAAGGCCAAGAGATCCTTCAAGAAGTTCACCTACCGTGGTATCGACCTTGACCAGCTCCTCGACCTTTCTTCCGAGCAGCTCCGCGATGTCGTCCACGCCCGTGCCCGCAGACGCTTCAACCGTGGTCTCAAGCGCAAGCCCATGGGTCTGATCAAGAAGCTCCGCAAGGCCAAGCAGGAGGCCAAGCCCAACGAGAAGCCCGACCTTGTCAAGACTCACCTCCGTGACATGATCGTTGTCCCCGAGATGATCGGCTCCGTCGTCGGTGTCTACTCCGGTAAGGAGTTCAACCAGGTCGAGATCAAGGCCGAGATGGTCGGTCACTACCTTGGTGAATTCTCCATCTCATAGTAAGTTGCTCTACTGCTTCAGTCAGCCTCGACCAGCTCTCTAACGACCTCTCAGCAAGCCCGTCAAGCACGGTCGCCCCGGTATTGGTGCCACCCACTCTTCCCGTTTCATTCCCCTCAAGTAAGCGGGACATGTACTCGAAGATGCTACGGTCAACAAAAGTTTGGGAATGGGTTCATTGTTGTCTGGCGCTGGTATACAGTGCTTCAAGATATCCATAGGCTGCAATGAATCGCCTTACGAAACTCACGTCTTTTTTTTTTCTTTCCAACCTTGGTTGTGTGTACCCTTGTGATCATTGTCTCTCGAGTACGACTTTAGCCGCCATGAACAGACAGAATGCCAAAGCCACATCTGTCTTGCCGGCGGAGATGTAACCTCGTCAAACACAATGCATTGAATTCCCATCCTTATCGCACCTTATCATCGGTCGATATCGTGCCTCTTCTTCACCCGCCCCGCGACATGCCTACGCCTATCTCGGCCGAGCGAACTTTCAGCCATGCGAGTCAGTCTGAACCTCTACTTCTCACCACGGCACGCCTTGACCTTCCCTCTTCTCCCACCTTCCTATAACCATGGTCTTATCTACACTTTTCCCACAGCATATCATCGGCAGCTATCGGAAGCGACATCGCTGCACTGTCCATGTTTGTACAGCTTCTGCGACCCGAGCATGGGGTGCCGAGTCCACTCCAAGGCCACTGGGGTCAAAAGCCAAGATCCCAACTTCATCGGTGTCGTGATAGGCGTACGTTCATTCCGCTTTGGTATTCTGGAAGGGTAACAGAATCTCTTGAGCAAATCTTGCCGAGTTACCATTACCCCTTCGATTCTCAGCCTGCTCAAAATCACTCACCAAAACCACCTGCTCATCGGGGTCTGAGCCACAGTAAAAGTATGATAGTGTGAAATAGTGCATCAACCTCGCCGATAGTGGACTGTCTGTGTGCTTCGAGCAGGCTTTCTGGTAGGTAGCATTGGGATGTGAGGTCTCAGACCTGAAAGCTATATAAGCCCATGGATTCCTCGTAAGTCTGCTTGATCAAGAACCAGTTCCTCTCTTCTATCATACTCTCGTTTCTCTATCCTTCGCTTGACAGCGTTCCTTCGTTGCAATCACAAGAAGAACATTCTGCTGTTCGACAACATGTACACACCCTTGGCCCTCCTTGCTGCACTCGGCTCTCTTAGCCATGCTGCTGCCGTACCTACCTTCCCTCAGCTCGAAGTCCGTCAATCGGCAGCGAGTGTGAACGCCAGCTTAGGCAATGTCACAATCTTCGCCACTGGTATGTTTATGTCCACTGAGAGTGCTACTCCATTCATCTAACAGTTCATAGGCGGCACTATTGCTGGTTCTGCTGGCTCTGGAGTTCAGACCACAGGCTACACTGCAGGAGCTGTTGCCATCCAAACGTTGATCGATGCCGTACCTGAGCTGCTCAACATCTCAAATATCAATGGCGTACAGGTCTCGAACGTCGACTCAGGAAATGTTAACGCGACTATTCTCCTGGAGTTGAACCGTCAGATCACAGCTGAGCTTGCAAAGAACACCTCGACTGGTGCTGTGGTGACCCACGGTACCGACACTCTTGAGGAGACCGCTTTCTTCTTGGATCTCACTATTGCATCCAAGAAGCCTGTCGTAGTCGTTGGCGCCATGCGTCCTTCCACTGCTACTTCCGCAGACGGTCCTCTGAACCTGTACCAGGCTGTCACTCTTGCTGTCACTCCCGAGGCTAAGGGCCGTGGCACCATGGTTACACTCAACGACCGTATCGACAGCGCGTTCTACGTGGTCAAGAACAACGCAAACTCGCTCGACACTTTCAAGGCCATCGAAGAAGGTCACCTTGGTTTCTTCTTGGACTCTGTCCCTCAATTCTACTACTCGCCCGCAACCCCTCACGGCAAGCCATTCTTTGATATCGCATCTCTGAACTTGACCACTTTGCCTCACGTCGACATCCTCTACGGTCACCAAGACAGCAACCCCGAGCTCATTCGTGCCTCTGCTGAATCTGGTGCTGAAGCCATTGTCTTTGCTGGTACTGGTGCTGGTGGTTGGACCACAAAGGGAAGACAAGTTGCCCAAGCTGTCTACAACGAGACTGGAATTCCCATGGTCTTTTCCACTCGCACAATGAACGGCTTCGTCTCTCCCGAAGACGATGGCTGGTCCATCTCCAGCGGTGATCTTGACCCCCAGAAGGCTAGAATCTTGCTTCAGTGTGCTCTTGCCGTTGGCTACAACACTACCCAGATTGCCGATATCTTTGGTGCTCTGCAGGTCTCATAGAGACTGGTAGAATGCTCCTGGTGGCGAGCTCTGCTTTTTTGAGTCGACAGAAGAGACGATGTGCATTAAAAATTTATGACCTACTGTAATGATATGCCTGCTTCTGCAGCAACAAAAAATTCTCACATGAACCAATCAAAGTTTTCCGCAAGATTATCGATGTGACACTCGTTGCTCTGTCCTTGTACACATATCCATTTCGCAACAAGTTTTTTGCATTCTAAGACGTTTTCGCTTGTCTGGTGACACTATGCATTGTGTTGATCACTCTTTAGTGGAGCAACGCTGTCAGAGCAAACGGAATTCACTATTTGATTTCAAAACGAGCGATGACTAAAGATCTCCTGCTAATATGGATAAAAACAGCACCAATGATCCCACACCCACATCCAGTCAGATGTCAGAGAAATGAGCTCTGCTTGCACCTATCGCGCAGCATGATAGAAGAGAAGCCAACGCTGTCCCTTCTCATCGAACCCTCTGAACTAGTTCAAAGGATTATTCCCATTATTGAGAGAAGTACAATTAGCAGCCGTAGCCACGGTACCACAATCAATATTAGCACAAGCATCCTCACGTCCCGGCGTAACATTGACCTGATCCGCAATCCCATTATCAGTAGCAGCATCCAACCAAAGAATATTAGCATCAGGCAAAACATTGCAACACCTAAAAGTATTGATATCGCTGATGGCATGAGTAATCACATCGCTGTCACTAGGCGACATAATAATAGTCCTGAGGTTTTGAAGGACGTGGGTGTCAAAGACCGTCATGAGGTCCATGGCTGCACAATTGAAGGCATCAGTGCCGCCACCGATAAAGTCGCTGATGCTGATCAGAGTCTTGAGTTGGCAGGGTTCGTCTTGGGCGAAGAGCAGGGTTTGCATGGTGGCGTTTTGGATCTCCATGCCGTGAGCGAAGCCACTGGCTTGGTTGAGAAAAGCGTTTACGGTATTGACGTCGGTGTTCCATTGGTTGATGGATGCTTGGACATCGTCTTGAGAAGGATTATCGGTGACAGAGTCGAGCATGCAGACATCGGCTGCCTGGCGGCGAGATTTGGTTGCTATGGCAGTGGCGGTGATGGCAAAGAAGGCCAGGATCTTGGTTGCGGTCGAGAAATGCATCTTGTATGTAGATTGTTTCTGATTTTTTTTTTTTTGTTTCAAGACAATGATGGGCGTCGAGTTGTGTGGCTGAGAATATGAGTTTCAGATGCTCTAGATCGAAGTTGTGACTTGATGCTTGCGAAGAACAAGGTCATCACTTGAGCATTTATACCATGACCTACAAAGATGTTGAGCCCCTCTCTGCATGGAAGCCCGCGTCGTCGCAATCTTCTTGCGTATGTCAGTGCTTGTTGGTCATGAGCAAATCGTAACTCTTGAGTACAGAGTTGGTTGTTCGTTTTCATATTTAGCAGCAAGAAGACGTGGCCTGGTCAGAGAATAAACTGCCAAGTGAACACATCTTATGTAGTTTCTCAAAGATGTTGGAAAACGGCGATGAGAACCCACTTTATTGGACTTTGAAAGATCATGTGCAACGTAGGGTTCTGTGTGTGTGCGTTTCTGCTGTTAGGTCTGACAATCTTACAGCCAAGAATAGCGATGGAGTTCAAGTATCATGCCTGTTCATACTGTGGTATTGATAACGAATACTTGCCTGACACATAAGGACATATCGATACAAGATGAATTCCTGGCAGCTAGCGTGTCGCTCTGTTGGTATGATATTCTTGGTGGACAGTGTGGAATAATCGTCCTTGAGCCTTCTTGTTTTGTGGTGTGCCTTCTGAGTAAAGCCACCTGCTTGCGATATCTGACAGACCAACGGCGATAGCAGTCTATTTCTGAATCGTCGCAGCTTCCCTTGGAACAATACCGGTGTACAGCTCACAATCAGCAGATTCGTGTCGTGGTGAGGTCAGTAAGGAAGCCGCGATGCCTTCAGGTTAACAAAACTCAGCTCTTGTTGACAACAAGATGCCTTCCCTGTTGGCATAGATTTATGCTTGTGCCTTTGTGCCTCTGTACACTTGTGCATACAAATCACTGTGCTTCCACAAACTCACAACGACGATGCAACTTCACAAAGCACACGAGCAACAAAAACATGGATGATAAAAGTTTCTGAATTTTCTGTTCGTAAAGAACTTTTTCCTGTTTTTCTCTTTTCGAGTTCAAAAAGTCATAAAAGCATCTCAAAATCGTGTCTAAATTCGGCCTGTCAAACCGCAAGTGAAAGAGCCCCCAAAATCGTGTCCAAGTTGGTGCAGCCTGCAAGCAGGCGTGGAGCACAACTGGAGAATGAAAAGAAAAGAAAAATTGCTGCTGTCTTCAAGACAGGAGAATGGTAAGAAGTGTTGGTAAAGGAGTGACAAGAAGTGAATGAGTGTTTGTTGACTGGCTCCCGAAGTCAAGAAACCCTTGACACATCAAACGACTATGCGTGACTTAGGCAGCAGCAACACGAGCTCCAGTACCGTAAGCGATGTTTGTGACGTTCTGGCCGGTGAGAGGAGTGTTGATGCCGAGGGTGCTGTTTCCGCATGAAGGCTGGTTGCTGACGGCCAGGTCCAAAGTGCACTGCACATCAACACCGTTGGTGCAGATAGGGTTGTAGATGTTCCAAAGACCGTAGTTCTTGGCAACCCAGCTCTCGGGCTCACTGAGGCAGGAAGCAATGAAGTTCATGCTGTTGGCAGCGGAGAAACCAAGCTTGCCGTCGGAGTTCTGAAGAAGGTGAGAGCACTCATCCATGTCAACGCTCTCGTACTCCATGTCGACACCACCACCCATGGTAGGGTCGATAGTAGCGTTCTTGCCGGTGACGAGAGTGTTCCATGCATCGTAGCTCATGTCGTAGGCACCTCCAGATTGGTCGACGCGGAGGAGATGGAGAGAACGGTCTTGGTAGCTGACCTTAACACACATGTTGTCACAGCCGACGCTCATGGGCCAGTAGGCAACTCTGTTGGTGTCGATCTTACATCCGAGGACGCCGACGCTGGAGCTGTACTCAACATGAGGAGTTGCAGAGATAGTGCCTCTTTTTTGGAGAACCTTCTCGGTAGGCAGAGCAACTGCAGTGGCAGCAAGAACGCTCAAGATAGTGGAGATGGAGAACTGCATTTTGTCTGATGTTTTCTTCGTGGTAAAAGATGTAGACAAAGGGAGTGGAAGCCGAGATCAACTGGCTGAACGAGTATACAACGATGTCGGGGTGATGGTATAGAAACCTTTAAGGAGTGTCTGCCGATTCCACAGGAACCTGGCGCAAAGGGAGTGATTGAGAGAGAGGAAAGTAAAGACTGTTGGATGGAAAGGAAAAGCACAATTGGGAGAGAGACCTACAATAGTATATATACGCGCGCATGATGGACGTGCTGTCCACGCTGAAGTCTTTTACCCAAAGTTTTTCAGAACCTCGTTCTCTCGTCGAATCGGCGTACAAGCCCACCATCCACCGCGTGTCAACGACGGGGCGAGCAGCAACGAATGAGAATGTGCAGAAGTGCAAAATGAAGAGGATTTACCTTCTGGCAGCTGCAGGCGCGGTGCGCTGTGCACGATGCGGTTGACTTGGACTTCTCTCGGCGGCAATCCCGCGCGTGTTGGTTGATTGTGGGTCACCGGCCGGTCCGGTGCGCAGGGATGGACCATGATGGGTTGATGGTCGGATGTGGAGACAAGGTTGAAAAGTTGGTTGAAGACGTGCGGCTAAGGGCCACCAAAATCTTGAAGAACGTGAAAAAGGTTGGAGCCACGGCGCGCATTCCCAAGAACCTGTCTCTAGATTCAGGTACCCGTCGACTTTCGACCTGGCCAGAAGGGTTGTTGTGCATGTTGGCTTTGCTCTGCCTCACGCAAGCGCCAGGAACAGCCGCGCGAACAGAAACACTTTGGCCTGCTTGTCATGAGCTTCGTTGAGCCAATCATCACATGCAATGTCGTCGCTCATCATTTGGTGCGCAGTTGGACCGGGTGTCCCGTTGGTGGACTTCTCCGTAGCCCCAAACCATGGCCATCGAGGTCACTGTGCGCAAGTGGTCAAAGGTAACCCTGAAAAATCTGTGGAAGCGGAGTCGGAGTGATCGCCTCTCATTCAGGAAACCGTGCAAAGACGACCCCACTGTTGGTGCGTATGCACAAGTCACCTCAACACTGTGACAAAGAACAATCATTCATCCATCGGACGTACAAGCAGTGCAGACAGAGATGGCTGGGAAAATACACCTCGTCCTAACTTTTTGACCTTGCTGCATGCGGCTTTGGTCATGCGCCTGCCTTGCAAGGAAAGACTTGTTGTCGTCATGATCGTGGGAAGCTTGGGGCTTTCCGATTTCTAACACGAGCAAGGTCGTACTCCACCAAAGACCGAGGTGGATAGTGCCCAATGTGTTTTGACAGCAGATCCTCCTTTCGAGGGGAGAAAATCGTCTCGCATTGATGACCATCCTTATGAAAACACGTCTTTCCGTACCTCCAGAGTGACATACTCACTAGACGATTTTGCGAAACGCGACATGTCTCTTGTAGCTTCTATGTGCCGTCCAGCCAGTGACTTGCATACAAGAGCTCGTGTATTCCTTGTCCTTGCATCGGTCCCTGAGTTCCGATCCACGATCAACAGGATCGACAGAATCTTGACTCGTTTCCCACTTTTGCACCACATGGCGTTTGGATGGGAATGGTGCACAATGCTTGTGTCCTTGCTTCATGAAAGAGTGGACATGTTGGCGCTTTACAGAAGACACGGATTGCAGCACATCATTGACTGCTGTTGTGCCCTCAACAGACTCGAGAACTCGACGACGAGTAATGTAAACTCTTTGTTTGATGTAAGTTTCCTGTAGCTGTTCGAGTCCGTCGTGTCAATGAGGATCATAAGATCAATCAGTGTCCAGAACAGAATGCACATGCAAATGGAATCAGTTTGAAGAGACATGTCACATTGGAGGAAAAGGCGATTGAGTGGAATAAGCTTTCTTTTCTTGCTGAGTACCAATACTCTGAATATCGTGGCATCCAGACAAGTACTTGTAAAACCAACAACAACGAAACAAAACTCGCAAGTTACAATGTAATGCTCAACAAGTCCCCAGCACGGCATTCTTGCCTCGTTAAAAAACCACTGACGAAAGCCAATTGCTCAGTGGGAAAAGAGATACAAGAAAAAATTGCACATGCCCACAAACACCGCCACCATAATATGCCGTTACAAATTGACAATCCTCAATGTCAAAGCAGGAACCCTCGTAAGGGTGTACACTCTTCAACACTTCTCCTGTTCATCGGCTTCTTCTTCTGTCATACTTGGTTAAGAGTTCTCAGACTCTTCGTCGGAAAAGCAAAAATCATCGTCGAACACCATGTCGGGTTCGCAAAGAGGGGTTTGGTGCACGTCGGGCCAACGCTCATCATACTCTTCAATGCGGTTACGATAGAAGTGCTTGGTTGCTTCGGGAAGCTTCATCTCCCTCCACAGTTGTTCGATATCGATGGTGTCATTCCAGCTGGTGATGGGGTATTGTGTGTTGTTGTCGGTATATTTTTGGGCCAGAGCGACGAGGGCTGTACAATGACGAGCCCAATGAAGAACGTCGCGGCCATTAAGAGTGCCTTGATGTTGTCTGAATTCAACAGTGGCCGCTGGCTCGGACTTGGTAATGTCGCGATCGCAGTAAGAGAAGTTGACGATGTGACCCTTGTCGCCCATGAGGTTGACAAATGCTTTGTAGGGGTCTTCAGCTGAGTCTACATCGTCAAACAGGGCTTTGCGGATTTCTGAGAGTGACTGGTAGTTCCAGACGACTTCTACAGATCCGTCAGTGTTGATGCCCTGCTGGTCGCATAGGTATGCGTGTTGTGGTTCTGGTGACGGGCACTCGGTAGCGAAATCGAGGCGGTTTGATCTGGTCTCGAAATCACTTCCACGCTTACGAGGCACTGTCATACGAGCAAATTCATGCTCGTAGATCAGAACAAGGTAAGCGAGGTGTTGTAGAGTTTTGATGTTGAAGCGAGTGCCGTCCTGGTTGCCGACGTGAATATGCATGGCACATTCATCGTCGATGATATAGTCAAGTCCATCACTACGAAGGGCTGTTGAGACCTTGTTGGCTTCGTCACAAGCTTCTTGGGGTGAGTTGCGAGGGGCAGTCACAATCTCTGTTCCAATAAAGTCGGTGAAATCGGCCTGGTCTGCAGTACATAGACCTGTGGCGATCTTGGCAGCTCTGTTGAGGCCATTGAGACTGGCATCATGGGTCAGATAAAGAGGGGCAGATGAAAAGTCTGCTTGCTTACCTTGACCCTGGTAGATAGCTGTTGCTTCGTAGCCAGAAACGGCTTGGAGGCGTTTTTGCACGATTTTCAGGGCCTCCGTGGAGTAACCTCTGAATTCGCATTGCTCTCCAGTAACCTTACTGACCAAAGTTGTTCTCTGTGGATGGTCGACGTTGTCGCGGAAAGCGAAGTTGAGGTAATCGTTCTGAAGATACTGGGATCCAACCTTTGAGAGGCGAACTTGACCAGCATCGGTAACGACCTCAATGTTCTTGGTAGTAGGATCACTTTGGAGCTCCTGTCGGAGTTGACTTGCCGTGACACGGAGCTTCAGTTCATACTCGAGTCCAAAAGAAAGGTTGTAGTTGGAGGAAGCCATTATGAGGTTTGGCGAGATAAGGTAAGAGAATCTGGTTCTGATACGATATGGAGATGGATGTTCTTGAGTACTTAGCTGTAAGGCGATAATGATAACGGCACTTTCTGCTGGAACTACAAGAGACGAAAGGAAAAAGAAAGGGCCGGGAAACGAGGGCGATTTTATACCACAAAGTCCCAGCACTTGCTGACTTAGCAAAAAGCATGTGTTTCCTAGGCATCGACAGTTGCGTTAATAAATGCTCGAAACTGGAGTAAGATAGAGTTCTCATAAGGAGAAAATAGGCATGGAGCAGGATAGCGTGTGCAAGAGCCGCAACGCACGTGGCAATTAACCGGTGATCAGGTCCTGATTATCGCAGGGAGCAGTAAGAAACGCGCTCTCAGCATGATCATAGGCTGCATGAAACTCCTATGATCCGTATGCGCTGCAATAGATCCTTCCCAGGCTGAATAGGGAAGCCCGGAGTCATGTTCCAGTATGCTCTATGAGGCTTCGGAACGCGATGTCCCACACCAAAGGAAACACCAAGTAGATTGTCAAATTGAACGCAGCAGCCTCAAAGGTGAGTTGTTTTATGTGAAACAAAGTCGGATCATCTGCTGTTTCCTGAGTCCGCTGCAGCGCCCGAAATTTTGTCGGATACCGTATCGTATAACCCGGTCGCCCAATCTTTGGCACCGTCGAGTTTCCCTTTGACCCAGTCCCACCATAAGTTCGTGTCTTTGCCATTTTGATCTTCGTCTTCCTGGCTTACGTCGTCATGGATGACCGGTCGTGTTGGAGTAGCCGCATCTGTGGTGGCGATTGTTGGTCGTGAAGCTTGCGTCGGAGTTGAGGTTGTTTTCGCTATTTCGGGCGACGCTGCAATCGATGCTGTGGACGCTTGAGACGCCGAATTCAACTCGTCACTTCCTCCACTCGAAACGACGTCTTCTGGCAAATCCTCTGGAATCTCTTGAGGTGGCATAGAATCATGCAATCCAACCGGATTAAGCGGTAAACGGAGGGTACCATTGTTTGGCTTGGGCGAAATCCCAACAGAGTCACAGACAAGGTTGTAGACCTCAATATTTTGGAAGACGTCCACTTTGCTGCCGGGCGTGTGAGGGAACGCAGGACCTCTGGCCACGAAGATTGCGCGCATCAGTGGGTGCTCATGATCGTATCCGTGCACACCTCGAGGATGATACACTTGGCCGGTCTTCTTCGCCTCGGCGACGTCAAATTCTTCTCTGACCACGATTGCCCACCCAGTCCAAGGTATTACCCAAAGCGGTGCGATACGGTCGTTTTGTGAGAAATGATAGCGTTCAGGCATGTCGCGATCTTTCAGATAGACATCGAAACCATCCATGTTCGCCGCTTCTTGCTTCAATTGGCTGTAAAGGGGCTCGATATCTGAATCATTCTTCGGGCGAAGTCCATAGAGTGGCCATCCGTCAGTACGTTCGATAACAGACATATCGATAATGTCATCAAGCTGGATCAAGCGAGAAGTCGATGTAGTGGCCATACCATGGTCAGAGACAATGATGATGTTCACGATGTCTGTCAGATTTCGCTGCTCGAGTCCAGAGAACAGGTGGCCCAACATGCTATCGACACTAGAAATAGTGGATCTGATTTCGGTACTGTTTGGACCATACAAATGACCATCGCGATCAACGTCCGGCACATAGGCGGCAATTAACTGTGGTCTTGGATTTTCAGGCTTTGCGCCTTTGTCATGTGGCCCAGGAAGGTCAAGCAGACCAAGGATGCGGTCGACCTTGTTCGTGAGTGCCTCATGACCTTGATATTTGTCGACAAATGTAGGTTCGATGCCGATATGGGCTTCAGATCCAGGCCACATGTGAATTGCAGCGCGAACGTCTTGCTCTTCGGCGGTTACCCAGATAGGCTCACCATTCCACCACTTGGGCTGCATGCTCCTGGTAGGATCTGTGTAGTAGAAGTCTTCTTTCAACTCGGGGTCCCAGAAGCTGTTTCCGACGACCCCATGGGCTTCAGGATATAGGCCAGTTACAAGGGTGAAATGGTTGGGAAAGGTGACAGAAGGAAAACTTGGTGACATGTACTCAGGCGATACACCGGCTCGAACAAATGAGTTCAAGGATGGTGTGATGTTACGATGGAGGAAGTCAGCGCGGAATCCATCGAGCGAGATAAGAATAGTGGTTGGAGCAAAGATAGAGCTGCCGTTAGTGAGAGTGTTCAGTTGAGGGCGAGCTAGAGTTTTACGGTTGCGAGATGCCATATAAGCACCAAGTAGAAGGCCAACGAAGGCGATGATGATCACGATGTGGATGGCGGTAAGCTTCCAGAGTCGTGAGCTGCGGCGTTCAATGGTTTGTGGCAGCTCTTTCAATCTCAACCTGTCGACGTCTGATGAAGTGGCCGAGTCGGAGCTGTCTTTATGGCCTTCCTCCATGTCATACATGAGTTCACTTTCTTCCTCCTCTTTGTGCTGTTTCCTTCCCGTGCGTTGTGCCTCACGCTGGTACTTCCTGCGTTCCCTCTTGCTAAGCTTCACCCTGCTCGATGGTCCATCCTTGCGCCCGAAAAGACCTGGTACTCTTCGGTCTTTTTGTTCACCAGCCAACAGTTTTTCCGCCTCTTCCTCTCGTTCCAATATCTTCAGATCCAGCTGTCTAATATCGGTCGATGTGCGTGTTCCGCGCGCGAGGCCCTCGTGGTCCGAGTCACTTGCCGAGTCATCGCTGTTGTCAGCTGAAGGCGGGCGATGGAACCCTGCTCTACCGTAGCCGGACATGATTGTGGTTGTGTGCTAGGGTCGTGCTGTAGGGGATGTTGTCGCTCCAAAGCGTGTTGTGACGCTCAGAAGGCAGCCATAGATGTTCAGGCAAGATTGAAATTGTTTGATGGTGACTGCTCCCAGAACGCGTCGAATCAGGATATTAACGAGCGTTGTCAATGTTGAAGTTCGTGGCCATTGGGAAGAGGAATGTGTTGGGTCACATCAAGGTCGTCGCAGCCAAGACAGGGTTGCCCGTGCCTCCAGTCACCCTGTCATACTTTCTTAGACTCACCTTGACACAATGCTCTAAGTCGAACTATCAAAACACAGGTTGACAAATTAGCATTGCCTATGGAGCGCCGAGATTCGATGCAAAGAAAGATCAAAAGCTCAGAATCTTCAAAGTCGTGACGATACAATCTGATTATGAACGCCATTGCAGCTGCCCATATGTTCTCCGACAAACTGATATCTTCAACCATGATGTCTTGCAGCAAAGCCAATATTTGATGCCGTGGCTTCTGCCTCATCTTCTGACGAGGCACTGAATCCGCCCCAACCACTGAACTCCTCAGACAACTTGACAGCAGCCTTCAAGAAATATTGATCTTCGTCGCCCCAAGTTTTGGCGGCTTCTTGCATTGAGCGACAGGCTATGGAAAGAAAGCGTTAGCATCAGATGTGAACTGGTGATTTGTGGCTAGCATACCTTTCACAAAGTGAGCGTCTTGTGCCCACTTACCGTTGACAGCTCGGTCGGCTACCCATTTCCAGTCTCTCCCTACGAGATCAACATTTGTGATTCTGCTCTTGTCAATGGCTGGACGAAGTTGACCAATGTAAGCAGTCAGCAAGAACAGCCACCATTGTCTTAACAGAGGAAGGTGATATGTGGCACGAATCAAGGGAGCGATAACGCGGACAGCGTGTGAGCTGGTAAGGATGTGAACGAGGAAGAAGTCAAACTTCTGGCCCTTCTCGTGTGTACCGACTACCAAAGCGACAGCGGCACGTTGAGCAGCTTCGAATTGAGACTTAGGGTTCTTGATGGTCCAGCTATTCCAGTGCTCGAGCAGAATAGCCTCCTTCTCTTTGTCCTCGGTCAGAGGGCTATAGTTGTCTTCTCCAGGCTTTTCGAAGAAGGAATCGAGCCGAGAATCTTGATGCACTTTTTGAATGACTTCAAAAGGATCTTGTGAGGACCAGGGCGAAGGCTTGGTGTACGACGGATCATCGAGGTAGACATGCTGGTGATTGTAGAATGAGGCAACTAGAGCCAGCGATTCGATGGCGACGGTTGGAGAGGCGAGTTCAAGGGCGAAACCGAGGTGAATGAGAGGGTGTGCGACTGGAAGCAAGTTAGAGAGGCACTTGTTCAGGCTAGGATGATTACTCACGGCCAGCAATCAGATTGTTGATTAGAGGCTGCTTGCCAGAGTACAGGAAGTCGTCGAGAAGCTCTCGCCAATCATAGCCAAATTGGACAAGCTGGTCCTCGAGAAAGTCTACCCATGCACGCTGGTACCTGAAGTCTCGCATCAGCCGCCATGTTTGTGTATGTCGCTGGAGCTTCCGTACTCTCTCTTTCCCAGGTAGTCACGCCAGTCATGTCTTGAAATTTCCGAGGGTGAATCTTGCCATGGTTCGAGATCTTTGGACTCTTTCTCATAAATGTCCATTAATTGGTCGACATTGGCACCGAGGAAGTAGGCGGAACCCAGAATCTAGAGGGTATCACCTCAGCACGGTGTGGAATGGCAAAAGAGCAAGAAAGAGAGTTATACGTGGGGTGCGTGGTTGTGGAACTCGAGGTGGTGGTAGATGATGGAGTGGTTGATGTGATTGGCCTTGATCAGGTGCTTGAGTGTTCGAGCTCGTTTCTCGGGGGTTTCTTCAATGTCGATCGACTCGACAGGGGGCAAGTCGAGTTTGAGAGCGGATCCATAGCCACCAGATAGGAGGTTTGAGAAGAAGTTGGAGCGAAAGGAAAACATGGTTGCTGCGACAGGAAGAGAGGGTCGAGCAAGTCTGGGAAGTCGAAACCATCAAGGCAGTCGCGTCATGTCATTTTGTCTGGACCCTGCCCCGCACTCCCAGTCTCACACCATCCCGTCATCTCTGATCTTTTGGCGCTTTGCATCAATTAGTATCTCACCATCTGGTACAGTAGGAAAGAAGTCAGACCACTTCTTAGTCTTTCATGTGTTCCGTCTGTGATACCGTTGCGAACGTGTGGTGAGAAAGTTGGCAAGGAATTTGTTATCTTGTATGCTATGTACGAATCTATGCTACACTGGACAGCAATCTGTCCTCGACACCATCGAGAAGGCAATGATGTTCGAGAACCTCGAGGTTCTCTGCTTCGTTCAAAAAATCCTTGTCGGGATCTTGACCACCCATGGGGTTGGCGCCCATCTGAGCCTGGGCCATCTGCTGCGTGACCTGGCTGGCAGCTGTGTATCTTGTCAGTTATTTGATAGGTCAAGAGCGCAGAGGAAAGCGTACCGTTGTTACTGCCGAGGATGAAGTTGTACACGGGTTGCAGACCGAAAAGGGTCAAGAAGTACCAAGACAAACTCGAAACCCATCGGACGTCAAGGTCTCTGGTACCAACACCTGACTGCAGCATAGACTTGAACTGAGGAGTCAGAGGGAACGGAAGCTTCATGATGACATATCCAGAGAAGAAGGCATTGATCCAGCCCATGATCAGACTCTGAGGGACCATCATGGCGACCTGACCCTTCATCATGCCCATCATACCCTCCATAGCAGCAGGGTCGGCCATTGGGTTACCCTTGGGCTGGCCGCGCATCTCAGGCTCGGCGAGGAAGGAGCCGTCCTTGTAGGCTTGGATCATATATGCCTTGCGAGCAGCGAAAGAGGACGGAGAGAGCTGCTGGTAGTTGTTGCGAAGATTGACACCGCGCATAAGCGAACGCTGTTGGCGCACATGGTTGATGGCTTGCTGCTTAGGGGCGGACTGCAGGAGAGTCGAGAGGTAGTGTCGCAAGATACCAGTGAGGATCTGAGGGAGCTGTTAGCTGCGTGTTGGTGGTGCAAGCTGGAGAGGGAGACTTGCCATGACGACGGTGATGGGCAGCAGGATCCAGTAGAACAGAGCAGGATCCCTGTAGATGGTCTGCACCACAGGCTCAGCCATGACGGGCGACATGTCGGCGAGAACAAAGACGCGGTGATGGTGTCGTCGGATGCTTGAATGTGAGATTCGCGGTCGTTGATGTCGCAGCCTCTCCGCAAGTTCGTGTGGAGCTCCGGCCACGCTTCATCTTGAACTCTGTCACCATCGCCGACCAAACACTTTCTCGATCCACTCTACACCCTCGCAAGCATGGCTGACGAAACCAGAATATCGCCGTATAACGTCTCTGGTACTTCATTCCTACAACTCTTCTACTTGAGCCAAAGCTGACCATCTTGACAGACTGCAAGAACACAACCGACGATGCCCTGCAAAACTACCTGAACGGCCTCAAGTTCCGCCAGTCCCACTGGTACACCGACGTAAAGCTCGCTCTTGGATACACCGCTGTCATCATTGCTGCCATCACCTTCGCTTTGGACTACAAATATGGCTTCGAAGCTACAAAACAATTCACCACTTGGGCCGTCGTCGTCTACTTTCTCCTGAACGGTGCCTTTACCTACTGGATCTGGCAGGTCGAGAACGGTCTCATCTACGTCGGTGCTTGGAAAGGTCGCAAGGTGAGTTGCTGTTATCCTGCTCTATGTGTCGTTCCACCAGCTAACTCGCTCCAACAGATTACCATCTCCACCCGCACAGACAAGTTCGATCCTACCTACAAACTTAGCGTCACATACCACCCTTCGTCACTCAATACTATTCCTCCCGTCAGCAAGGAAATTTCGGCTCCTTTCATGCAGTGGTTCACCGCCGATGGCTTCTTCGTTGCTGCTCCTTTCCAACAATGGCTTGCCACAAACATCGATATGGTTGGCGACGCAGATCCCAAGAATGTCATCGACAAAGCTGCCGGCGTAGTGACTGCTCAGTCGGTTCAACCTGATGGCCTCAAGGATCTTGTGAACGTCATCAAGACCGGTCCTCCTCCTGCTGCCGCTCCTAGGAAGAGGGGTTAGTCTGCTTATCTTAAGCTAGATATGCTAGTCAACATTTACGTTGCAAAAGCGCTTTCTTTTCTGATCATTTATACCTTCGCTACACTTTCACTCTTTACTTGACCGAACTCTTGCAGCTCCGAGAAGCTGAATAGTGTCCACTGACATGGATGGAGTGGTATCATTTTCCAGTGACTCTGTGATAGTAATGCACATGGCGTCAGACCTCTACGGTCATTTGAGGCAAATGATCACCAACATGACTCTTCAGCCGAGGAACAGTTATATAACATACCACACCAACTCTCAATATCTTCCTGATACCAAAACTTGCTCAGATCGAAACCATCATGTCGCCAAAGACCGAAAACCCATGGGACCTCGGCGCTCCTCCACGATACAACAAAACAATCTCGAACAATGACATGGCTCTATCCGCCAACAGAAGACATAGCCACCCAAGCCCAGTCGGCTGGAAGCACTTCGAACATCCTAGCCCCACTGGCCACTTCTGGTCCAAATCAGTCAGAGATGCCAATTCGTCCTCTCCCTTACAGATACATTACGGCATAAGTAAACGCCAAAGAGACCCCAACGGACCAAATTGCTTCTTCAACTGCAACCTGTTGCCACGCACGTCCGACATCTCAAAAGAAGACATCGCAATCTTGTGCTGTAGCGTCGCAAGTTTTGCAAGAGGGCATCGTGGCTCCTCTCAGGGCTACTGCAACTGTACTTTTCTAGATTTGAAACAAGGAAACAAGTGTGTTAAAAGTGGCAGATGGGCTTTTAGGCTTCTTTGTTGGGTGGATGCGATGTTGGTGAGGCGGTATGTGCGGCAGCACGATAGCCTTTGTTCTTGCCGATGTTTCGATGTGAGGGTTTTGGGTTCTGATCTCCCGCCGTATTCGAGAGTGTAAAAAGACGATTGTAGAAATGCACAATTATTTGACGAAACCTCCCTTCGTAAGCCACTGAGAGCTTGCCATGGATTGTTCACTTTCAATGGACAACAACAATTCTCAGGCAATCATATCTTGCATTTTTGCAGCCTCATGTTGGATTGGGCAGGCAATTGGGGATAGCTTGATAGCCTCGATTTCCAGGGGACCCAGGGTTGTTAACGTGTCATCTTCTCCGAGCACTCCTGCATGACACTATCTAGAGCTATGAAAATGCACGATGGTTTTTGATCCCTGACACATGCCCAGAGAGAGCCCATCAGTCTCACTGAAAAGGCAGTCCAAAATCAGGCAAATTCATGTTCAAGAAGTCGCCAAACACAGCATCCATGTCCATCAACTCGTCATACGCAATGTCAAAGCCGCTTAACCCACCATCAGGATGTGGCTGCTGTCCTGCGAGCGAGGCAGAAGCGTTGTGCTGTTGCAATCCAGCTTGATCGATTTGATGATGGGGTGGTCCTGCAGGCCGCCACTCAGCGGGTCCAGCGTGAAGTCGTGATGTGCGACGAAGCTCTGGCGATATCGTCACAGCAGCCACTTGATCCAGTGCTTTGCGCCCCAATAAAGCCATATTCTTTGCTGGTTGTGACCACTCGCTCAACTGTTCCAGAGCTTGTACGCAGCTGTCTATGTGTTCCCGAGCTGCTATGCGTTTAATATGGCTGCGAGCACTACGAAGCTGGTTGTAAAACGTGGAAACGGCGAGTGAGATGCCATAAGGTATGAGAGGTAGCGGCACCAGATTCTTGGGCGAGATGTGGCGGAGAATCGTGACTATCTGTAACGCCGAAAGCTCCTGCCGTAAGCTTGAAGGTGTCGGAAGTAATGGTCGAGAAGTCGCACGAGCGCGGTGAGATATGATCGCCACACCATGATAGTAAATCTCCAAAGACGCTACACAAACGAAGTCGTCAGATTTGATAGCCTCGTTATAGGTATCGTAGGACTTACTTATGACATTCGATTCAAGATCCCAAGCACCACACCGATCCAGGATGTTTTCAAAGCTTTCGTAGTCTTCCTCAATACCCGTGATGTCCAGAGCGGCTGTGGGTTGGTATAACCCAATGATTCTAGTAAGCAATTGTGAGATGGCGAGCAATATCCGTGTTCCTGGAGCGGAGATCTCGTATGCTTCGTCTAGCTTCAGACCAATGTCCAAATCCAAGATTTGACGTGGCCGTCCGTTCAAACTAGCATTGAAATTTGACAAAACCCACAAGGCCCAGAACAGTCGCGTCTGACTACCTCCATGTCCACTGGAACGACCAAGATGTAGTCCAATGGTCTGACCGTGGTGAATCGCTTGTGACAAATGCATGGACGAGTCCACTGTTCCCTCTGGGCCTTCAGAGTACAATGACATCAGAGCTAAGATCTGTATCAGGTTGATTTTGTCACGCTCACGGCCCATCTGAACTCCCCAGCGTAAAGAGGCATATACTCTCGATGCAAATGCTCTTTGCGTAAGTGGTTCAGGGCTCTCCAAGAAGCGTAGATAGCGTCTCGCTTTCTGATCTCGCGAGGCGACCAGACACATGGCGAATACGAGGAGCTGAGGTTTCCTCTCTGTATTTCGAAAAGTGGCTTCATCCACTATCGGCAGTAATGGATTCAGTCTCTCAAAGTATATGTCGATGAGTGAGTCTCGGTCTTGGGTGTTCATTATCGCAGATGGCGGGTTCTGCTCCTCGCCGCCAATCATGTTTTCCCTTTCTGGCGAGTTGGCACCCACAGACTCCCTTTTGCGCTGGTCATGGTCGTGTCGCGCATCATAGGTATGGCGTCCAACCCATATACCAACATCATGTCTGTCACGGTTTCCACTGCCAGGATCGTGTTCAGCTACCAGACTGGCCTCAGGATTCAGATCGCCGATAAATCTTGAATTGGATGGGTGGTCATAAGGTCGCGCGTGATGCTGTCGCTGCTCATCACTGGAGACTGTTGACTTGTCCATTCCAGATGAGGGCGGATCCAGATTTTGTATTCGCCCTGGAGTCGAAGAGGTAGGCCGCGCATCAGTCTGATGATTTTCTGTCTCTAGGCCATGTGTGCATCGTTTCTATTATTGCTCGACTATCTTAATCACTGTTTGCGTGGATCTCGAAAGGCTAGATGTATACCTTTCGCTTCTTGCAAGTTTCGCATGCACCTTGGGGAGCTTTCCTCTTGCGGCTGTTTGGGTCGCCATTGATAACAAATGTATAATCCATGGTGGGTTGGTCGTCTGTCATGAATGGTCGCAAGCTGGAGGCGTATATACTCGTATGAGGTCCGAGCTTCGAGCCGTTGCAAAGTGTATTCAGACCCTGACCCTGACCTTCACTATCAGTTTCTCTTCGCCCTCCTCAAGTTCATCACGAATGGATACAACGGAAGCTACTCAGAAGTACAACCAAGTAAAAACTCTGCGCACGAAAAGCTCGCATTGATCAAGAGTGATTGCTTCTATACGAATGAATTGTCAAGAATAACGCATCATCATCCGAAATGTAGAATCATTATCATTTTGTGTAACATCGTCTACAGACTATGGTATCTGTTTTTTTTGCCAGGTGCACATGAGTTACCTCAAGCTCATCAGACACGTCCAAGGTAGTAAGCTTTTCCTCCGTCTTCTGAGTCTGCCACAGAGCTGACTGCGTATGCAAAGAAAAAGGCCAGGATAGCAGCCACCCATTGCAGCCCGTAGAGCAGCGTGCCGCCCTCCAACGTACCACTGGAGACCACTTCCAATGCCTTGACTGCTGAGTTTGTTGCCCATGCGCTAGCGATCATCAAGGTAGCACCTGCGAGACTGGTAGCCTTTGCTGCACTGCGAATGAGACGTCCGGCAGATGAGCCCCTGAGAATGACGAGAGAAATGAGTATGAGCGAGATCAACCAGACGACACCGCCAGCGGTGAGGAAAGCGACGAAGACATCGTGCTGCAACTTGAGCGGATAGTTGAATTGATCGTTGCGATCGGTATCGATGTGGAAGGCCTTGACAAGATCCTTGCTCGAGCGTCCAGTAGTGGTCAGACAGCGGTCGCCGCCGTGCTTGTTGTGGACAATGCACAAGCCCTAAAAGTGACTGTTAGCTAAAACATAGAAAATGTACCTAGCTGAGAAGACTCACATAGTAGCCAAGTCTCAACCAGCTGTGGTCATCATCGTTCCACTTGTAAGTAAGCAGATAGATTCCGCTGGTGCCAGTCGAAGTCGAAGAGACGAGTGGGAAGACTTTTCGAGTGTTAGAGCTTGCCAGTATTGATCATTAGGCGCACATTACGTACTTGTGAAGAGGAAGATGGGTACTGCCAAAGCCCAGATCATGACTCCCAGGCCCAGACCGCGTGCTTTGGACATGAGACCCATGATTGCGAGAGAAGTCTTGAATGTGTGTGATGCTGAGGAAGAAGTGCGATGAGGAAGGAAGGAGCGCTGTTGACTCTAGATGACTTGCAGTGAAGCAGTAGAAGAAAGTGAGAGTGAAGACGACTTGATGGAGTTGCAACCACAGAAGGAGTCACTTATTTATTATCAATCACTCGACAAGAGCCGCCGCTGCCTGAAGGCAGAAATTGTTCCAGGTCCGGAAAGTCGCAGGCGCCAACACCTGATTTCGAGTGGTGAAGTTGAAGATTGTTTCGCATCGCGCCATCCTTCGACTGCAGCCTATCCATGGAGCCATACAGCTTGGTGGTGTTTGCAGGCCTGAAAATAGACTAACAACCAACACAGCCTACCTTCCAAACATACATGGCGCACATGTACGACTCTAATAGCCTCTATCAGCATGCGACATGCCAGAAGATCATTGTGAAGATGGTTGATACCAGTAAAGTTGTAAGCGCCAGGTCTTTACCAGCTCGAGATGAAGCAGTCCTGTATGACTCGCAAGGATGCGAAGGATTCAACCACGTCTCGGCCAGTCACCGCCAACCATGGATTTAGATGAATTGTAACCAAGTATCCATGGGACGCCAGCACTTAGTATGCATGTCCTGCGAAGAGATGTCGAGAATGGATATTGCAGGGCCTCCTCCCCATGTGCTAAACATCGTCAATGTAGCTGTGAAATAAAAGCGCAATACTTTCGTCAAGGAAGCGGACTCTACAGAGATCCTTATTGAGGGCCGTCTCTATGGCCAAACTTGTATTCAGAACACAGTGATGCACCACGTTAGACTGTATACCTCTATGCTTCGGGATCGGTAAGGAGTCAATCATGTAGATTGTGGCAGTGTTGAAGGTGAAGAGCAAAAGCAGCAGATCGTGGCGCCAGATCAAGCTCGCGGGAACGTTGCAGGAATGCAACGCTCTCAGCCTCTTCATACAACCTCTGACATACACCGACGAAGTCACAAATTTATAAGGCCTCAGACTCGACATCTGCACACTGATTTTGCTCCTGCCGTCATGAGCGGCTCAGGGCAAGGAGGACCCTTGCGTGTCACACCTGAACGCGGCACCTGGTCTCCCGGTTGGCCCGTCCACCGGGGCAGATACACAACAACAAATGACAGCTCTAGTCGCTCCCTCAAACGTGGGCTGGGCGAATAAATTGAATATGACGTGAAAAGATAGAAAATCCAGGAAAGTAGGCATTTGTTGTCAAGTACATGGCTACTTATGTCACAACCATAATGGCCCAATGTATTGTTCGCAGTCTATCGTGGCTAGCTCCTTGTAAGCATCATCCAAACTCCTTCCCCTGCAGCACTTGCATGCAGATCGCTCTAGCAAGAAAAAACGAAGAACGTCCCCGTTGAAACCATTCCCTTTTGTTGCCTTTAGCATTTTACTGTAGCCACTGGACATTGCTACATCACACCTTCATGGAATCGGGGTCGCCCAACCTCGACAAGGCCGTACCCGAAACCCCAAAGACGCCAGAGATGCGCAACGACAGCTTCGATGCCAACATGCCATCAGGCGATGTGGACTTGACGGGCAGGAAGACACGAGGCAGTATCGCCAGTGACAGCTCAGAAGAACCCTTGGACTCTCTTGTTGGCAGTCCAACTTTGCCCTACCTCTGTTACGGTCGCAGGCGGAGCTCATTTATCAGCCCCTTCCAAATAAACAAAGCTCGCTACCTCTTGAGCTTCGCCGATGCCGAAACTGCACAGGAATGGTGGACATTGATGCAATCTGAGTATCCCGATACCTTGCGCGAAAGTCCCAACCTCTTCTCGTTCAAGAACGACCGTACGCCCATCAAAGCATGGGAGAACCCTAGGTTTGCGCATTTGAGAGACAGGTGGTCATATCGCCAGACCGACGGAAAGGACGACAAAACTTCGCATCAGCAATTGGTATCATCGCATAGACGTGTTCCATCTGCCCGTACACCTCTGATGCCAACATTGAGCGAGGGTCATGTTTTTGGAGGATTTGAGAGACTCGAAGATCCCTTTACCCCAGCAGGCGCAAGCAACATGGAGTTTGCCCAGCTGAATCTGGCCTCGGATCACATTCAGAAGTCTGTCAGCCAGTCGACCTTACAGCTAGATGCGCTGCTCGAAGGTCAACAAGCCAGTGCCAGAGGCTTTCAGAAGTTGTCTGCAACGATAGAGCGCATGACACAGCAAATGGAAGCGCTAGCTCGCAGACAGCAAGACCACGAGATAGTACTGCGCGAGCTGACGGCAGCTGCCACGGCGAACAATGCCGCCAGCGATGTCCAGTACCGACACCAGCAAGCAGCCGCCCTACAGTCTCTCCAGTCCGTCATTGAGGAAACCTGTTCGCGTGTACAAGAGCTCTATCTCAAACCTCCTCCCACCCCAGGTCCCAATCACGAAATCTTGCATGAATTGCAGGAAGAGGTATCGCAAACTTCAACACTGCTGAGAGATCTCTACAATCGCCCGCTACCAGATAACGACCCTTTTCAACCAGAAGTTTTGCAAACCATACAGAAACAGCTCTTGCAAAACACAAAGGCCATTCGCGCATTGACAGATCGTCCAGAACCTGCTTCCAACACAGAAACACTTCAGAAGTTGCACAAGGAAGCATCACAGACCACGGCTATATTGCGCGGAATCACAGACCGACTAGCCGCAACAGAGGCACCAGCACCAATAGCACCAAACACAGATCTGCTCCAGAAGCTCCAAAAGGACATGACTAAGAACACGACACTCCTCCAGACAATTGCGAGCAATCAGGAAACTTCGAGCAAACAACTCTCGACCCTCAAATCCACTCTCGACACCACCCTCTCAAATCAGAAACTACTCACCACGCAACTGAAGCAAACCCACGCGCTAGCAGAGACAACCCAAGCCTCGATATCTCATCTTGCCTCTGCTCAAGACACCAGGTTCTCTGCCTTGGAAGTCAAAATCGACAAGCAAATGCAGCAAATGAAGAAGAACTTTTCAGTGCAGCTCGATAAACAGCAAGAAATCTTCAAAGGCCAGCTTGACGAGATTCTCGGAGCGGTGAAGGGGAGAAATGTGGTTAGAAGTGCTGAGTGCGGGCATGGAGAGGTTCTACCACCGCCAAAGAAGCTCGATAGGAGAATTGTTGGTTATGTTTACGCGAAAGAGTGATTTGTGCTTGGTGATAGATGGCTTACAATACTAATATAATATACCTTCCCTCTATGCTTCTCTTGCACTTTCTCGTCAGTCTTGCTGCAGGGGTCAAGTGGTGATATGGTCTCTTCATTCGTGTTTATGAGTCGACTCCCAGTATGCTGTGATACAAAACAGACTTGAGCGATATCTGCCCAGTGGTCGTGTGACGTTAGAACTCCATAATCTCCATGCGCTTATAACTCCGATGCTCATGCAGTGTCCATCTTGTCATCATCGCCATCCTTCTTCTTGTCGTCTTTTGAGTCTCCGCTACCGCTAGGCTGACCACTCTGATCGAGCAGGGGCTGACTTTCAGAAGTCTCTGGTACACTCTCCAGCTGTGTCTTTCCCTCTGCGTTTTCTGCAGCCTTGCTCTCGCGTGCCTGACGAGCAGTTTCCTCCTCCATACTCATACGCAAAGCCAGAGCCAGTTCCGGGTCCATGGAAGGGTCGACACCAAATTCAAAGTCGTTGCCACCAGATGTCGGTGCACCACCTTCACCACCAGCCGAACCGCCGCCCATACCGCCAGTCTCGCCAGCCAAGATTGGTGATGCAACAATAGAGTCGGAGAGAAGGTTGGGGCCGGGTTGGACGATTTCGAGGTATGAACCGTCACCACCCTTGACGGCTTCATTGAATGCTTGAAGCTTTGAGGTGACATCGTCGCTAAGATCACCAAAGGCAACAATATCGATGCTGACGTTGTTCTTCTTCATGCGCTTTGCGAGCTTGACCAGAGATGATTGAGATTCTTGGGCGGAGTTTAGCGGCGAGCAGGTAAGGACGATGATGCGTTGGCGTTGACTCTTGTTTTGGCGGTGCTTGAGGGCGAGCTGGAAATGATTAGTAGAATGGTCTCAGTAGCGATTCGGGGCTGCGACGTACAGAGGCGATCATGATGGCGGTGTGCAGGTGGCTTTCACCACGAATCTTTGTGCGATGCAGACCATCAAGGATCTTGCCGGGGTTTGTGGTGAGGGTGGTGAGGACTTCGGGACCGCTGCCACCCATGGTCATGAGGCCGACTGATGATTCGGGGTTGGCTTGTGTCTTGTATTGGAAGATCAAGTTGGCGGCGTCTGCTTGGGCGTCCCATCTCGAAGGTACGTAGTCGCCGTTTCTGCTGCTCTCACTGTTGTCGACACTGCGAAGAAGATCAGTACAAGATAGAGAGTGAGCTCACAAGCTGGACATACACAATCATAGTTGCCTCCAAACCCATGTTGGCGGTTGTGAAGATGAACGATCTGGAGAGAAGAGAGGTGCTTCGCGGCGAGACAGTCTAGATGTGTCGGAAAAGATGGTTGGATCGAGATGGCGTTGGTGTGTAGTGGGTAGTGAGAGATGCGGTGCTGGACTGCTTGATGGTCTCGAAGCTGTTGCTGCTCTCTCAATGAATGACGCCGCCGTGCCAAGAAGCCCGTCCAATCCCCGACTTTGGTGTTTGTTGATGCACGAGTTCCTTTCTTTACCACCGCCATTTCTCGCCCAGCACAACCCACCGTCGCATCCAATATCAGACGCTCATCTACCTATACGCGCATATCTATACAGAAGGTCCACAGTTGCTGCCAATCGCCAATATGACGAGTCTCGTCGCGACCCCCGACGCGACGATGGCCTCAGATCGAGTAGCCCACATCACCGAAGCCCAGAAACAAGCTCTCATGGACAATCTACAGCTTGAGAGTGAGTCGCCTATATCAAATTTACCGTAAGCATTGTTCTGACACGTCTCTAGTCGCCGATCGGGCTCGCAAACTACGCGCCCAGTACGCTCTCCAAGCCCAAGGCCTTCGCACTCGTCTCGAAATGCGCATCAACCGTATTCCTCGCAATCTCCGCAAAGCAAACATGGGAGATTTATTAGAGAAACACCTCGAAGCCCAGAAGAAGACGCAGCAACGTCTGCCTAGCCCGAACAAAAGAAAAAGCTTGAAGCGCAAAAGGTTTGACCACCTAATTTTATTGCGACCTCTTCAATATACTGATTAGTGTATAGCGAGGAAGCAGCTATCGCTGACAAGGAAAACACTCAACCCGCCTCCGCAGCTCTCGCCAACCCAAAGAAGCGCACTAAGCCTAGTCCTGGCCCTACTGGCATTCCTACCTCTCCCAACCTGGCCCGTTCGACGAGACCCCAAGCCCTCAACACTACCGTTCTATCTCCTAAATCCCCCAACTCGCGCACACTGCCACGATCTCCCTTGAAGTCTCCCTCGGCAAAGTCTCCACCAACGCTTCCCAGGCCTCGCGGCGCAGCTCTTCAAGCAGCTCGACCCACTACGAAAGGCACGCTAAAGAGACCTGCCACCGCACCCACGGCCACTGCTCTAGAGGCAGTAGTATCTGCTGCACAACCGAACACTTCTACGCGTCGTGCTCTTCGCGCCAGCAATGCCTCAGCAGAAAGCACTAGCAGTGAAAAGACCACAATCATCAACAAGTCACCCGCCAAACCCAATCCTCCGAGTCGCCCACACACTGCTATGGCTCTGGCATCGCCTAAGAAGTTGCCCGTGCCCACTTCACCCGCCAAATACAACTCAATCAGAGAAAAACCATTGCCAGCACCCGCTGCAGCACCAACTCCTGTCGCGGGCACTATTAAGAAGGGTACCTTTAAGAGCGCAATGGCCTCACTCACAGGCAGCAAGAAAGGGAAGAAGACAACCGCTGCTGCTGCGTTTGGCTCCAATGGTACGCCTCCGCCTGCTGGTAGAGTGCTGAGAAAGCGCGCACCCTAAGCAGGGTGCTTGTATTGCTTTGTTTCCTTATGAATAATGACCTTTCTCATCTTTTTGTTTTCTCGTCCCTGTCCGAAACCAGACGAGTAGGGCCTTTTGGATTGTGTAGTGGGCTTTTTATAGTAATGAAGGATACAAATGCTCGCCAGTATCGGCGTGTTTTGCATAGCAACAAAAAGTTCACGATTGACCATATGTGATCACCTGTACAGTAACATTGAGGTAAACAGAGCATCTTGTATGAACAGAGGCGACGCCCAGACATGTTCGATCAACCTTGCACACAAGCACATACTTGACAAATACACGTGCAAAACCATGAAGTGGTGGGTAGGGTAATCTTGAATTCTTCACACTACATACCCGCCCACTCGACACAGAAAGTCCTCACTCCATCTTCACCTTCTGCTTGCTCTTTATCCTCGGTGCCGCCGATGAGAAACCCTTTCTTGACACCAGTGCCCAAACGACCACCTCCAACCAATGTCAACAGATCAAACTCTTGATCCCAATCCATGCCATCGCACAGGAAGTGACTATGGAAGCGCAGTGGATCGCCAGGGTAGGCTGTGTACCTACAGCCGAACCTGATACCAGGGGCCATAAAGTAGCCTTTGGAGTGGAGGTGCTTGAACAGAGGATAAGAGGCAGGAACCTCGGGCAGAGGTAAGGGTGAAGAGGGCGTTGATGTTGTGAGAGGAGGATGTGAGGTTGTAGGTGTGATCTTCATGGTTGAAGCAGAAGACGGCGCGACGGATGCTTCAGAAGGAGCAATGGAAGGTGCACTAGGTGCAGGGCTAGAGAAGAGCGATTCTTCATCGTCTCCAGCAACACTCTCGCCAGCAGCAGCAGCCCCCGAACGCTCTTTTTCAAGCTTCGCAGCGAGGGCGGCGTTCTTAGCGGCGACCTTCTTTAACGCTGCAATCTTTCTGTCGTCGGCACTCTTGGTTTGCATCCTTGTTGCATCGCTGCCTTGCTTTTTCAAGCTGCGCAGGAACTTTTCCTTTTCCTCTTTACTTAGGTTGCCTTGAACGAATGCTTGCTTGTGAGCAGCGGCATCGTCGACAATGTATGCGACACCCTTCTCTACCAACAGGCGTGCTTCTTCGGGCATGAGCTCCAGAGGGATGCCTAAGAAGACGTTCTGTTGCGGTGCTTGAGGCAAGCCACCAATCAAGACACCAGTGATGTTGTGAACACGGCGCGCATGACTGACGGTGTTAACGTCGTAGAGCGTGTAGCGGCCAGCAACCAAAAAGATTGGAAAGGGCTCGGCTACGGATGGACTGGCCATGGTGGTACTAGAGTACACCAAGACTTTCGTCAAGGCTTTGCAACATGGTCAGCATGTGTCGTGGACGAGTGAGTATGTGCATGAAGAGGAGGGGTTGAGGAAGCATGTTCATAAAGAGCATAGCATTTTTCTGTCGTCAATGACCGTAGTCTCAGGGGATTGACAGATTGATTGAAAAGATGTTGTTTAATCATTGCAGTGGGCATGGATAAGAAGCAGCGACAGACAAGACATACCTTATGGGTGTGTAGAGACAAAAAAGAGTCTCGTGATTTCTTCAACCCATCATGCGTGGATTTGCAGAAGCTGCAGGAGGAAAGAGCTTTCGGCAAGATATAGCCCAGGGCGCTCGGACCGCCTCGGCGGCAGGGCATCGGCAGAAATCATCTCCAAATTCTCCAAACTCTCGTCCAGACTTTTTTGTTTGGTAGAGAAATTTATTGTCCAGACAATACCACACATATTCAACATGGCAGCAGACAGCAAATCTCTGACGACAAAGGTCGCCTCCGGCTCGCCCTACCAATTGGACCCTTCTCAAACTCTCCGTGCTGCTACTGCTCTGCTTAAGAAGATCGCCAGCGACTCTGTTGCGCGCAAGGACAATGGCGGCAAGGCCAACCTGCTCGAGGACGCCGACGAAGACGAGGACAGCGACGAGACCTCGACCACCGTCTGGCTCAACGTCACCACCAAGAAGCATATTGCCGATCAACGCAAGATGAAGCCCGGCAAGATCATCGTTCCCTTCCCTCTGCAGTCCGCCGCCTCGCCCTCTCTGCGCATCTGCTTGATCACCGCCGACCCCCAGCGCAAGTACAAGGACATCATAGCCAGCGAACGCTTCCCCGCCCAGCTCTCCTCCCGCATCAACCGTGTCCTCGGCACCGAGAAGCTCAAGGCAAAGTACAAGACCTACGAGTCGCGCCGCCAGCTCTTCGCCGAGTACGACATCTTCCTCGCCGATGACCGCATCATCACCCGCCTGCCTGCTCTCCTCGGAAAGGTCTTCTACGGCACCGGAGCCAAGCGCCCCATCCCCGTCGCCATGCAAGGCAAGCCCGAGAACGCTCGCGATGAGGCTGGCAACAAGCGTGTCAAGCTGTCCGAAGGCGGCGAGAAGCTCAAGCGCTCAGACATCACCCCCGAGGCTCTGGCCCACGAGATCGAGCGCGCCGTCGGTGCCGCTCTCGTCCACCTCGCACCCAGCACAAACGTCAGCATCAGAGTCGGCAAGAGCAGCATGACCGCTGAACAGGTTGCCGCAAACGTCGACACCATCGTGAACGTCCTGACCGAGAAGTACATCCCCAAGGGCTGGAGAAACATCCGCTCCCTGCACGTAAAGGGCCCCAACACCGCCGCCCTGCCCATCTGGCTCGCCGACGAGCTCTGGACAGACGAAGCCGATGTGCTCGAAAGCCTGCCCGCCCCTGTCGTCAAGGACAAGAAGAAGAGAAAGCGTGCTCTTCTCGAGACTGGCGCTGTCGATACCGCAGAAACCGACGACTCAAAATCCGCAAAGAAGAGCAAGAGCGAGGGTGCCAGCGACGAGACCAAGGCCAAGAAATCAAAGAGCGACAATGCTGAAAAGGCAGCCAGAAAAGCTGCTCTCAAGAAGCAAAAGGAGGAGTCCAAGACTGCAATTGCAGCATAAGAAACATGACCTTCCAACAGAAAAAAGTTGTCAGTGTGATTTGAAAGGGGAACTTCTTTATATCCTGGTTGTTGTTTGCATTGCATGGCGCTTTGGGGCGGTGTTTTCTTTTCTACTGGGGTTTACAGATCTACATGAATTTTGGTTGACAGGGGTGATTAGCCCACCAAGAGGTCAAACGTACATGTCCCATTTTCCTTCCTCCTTTGTTTCGTAAAATGAAGGGTCTCTTCGTGGTGACCACGTTCTTCACCAAAGCGTTGTGCATCTCTATAGCGTCAAGGTGACAATCGTTAGCGTGAGGGGAGCTCGTTAGGCAGAGAAAGAATGTTATGTGCGCATAGCAAAGCTTCGAGGCAAGAACGCAGTAAACTACGACTTTCTGAATCATGTTTCTCCTCGACTGAGTACGAATGAATTTATGCTGCACCCTCCAGCTAGTCACCTGCGCTACCTCAGATTACCTTTTCGTGCCGTGCTTCATTCGTCGGAGATTGTTCACGGCTCCCTCGTGTCCATTATAGAGCACCGAAGGATGATGTTTCGCCGCCTGGTCCTGCGCCAGCAGCCCCCGGGCCCGGTCCGCCGCCAAAGCCTGTCACGGCCATGTCTTCCTGCTTCATCGTACCGTTGAGCATCGGGCAAAGCCTTTAGTGTTGATTGTCAGCCATTCTGTCTTCGTCAAGTTGGATGTCCTCATCTTGTGAGGCGAAAGGATGGGAGAAAAACACAAAACAAAAGGATCATAAAGCAGATGCTGAGTGAAAAATTGGTGGCTTTGAATCTCTCGTGTTGAAGTCGAGATTCGTATGGCTCAAAATTGGGCCGAGTCGACAAAGAGCCAGTCGTTCGCCTTGGGAGCGGAAGTAGAATCATTGCTTATTTGCTTTCTCTTCCTGCCCCTCTGACTGTTTACCTGGCCAGTCGTGGCAGACGAGGACTTTTTCTTTGCCGCTTCTTTCTTGCAGGATTCAGAGCAAAAGAGATCACTTGCTGACTTTTTGTTGGTCTTGATGTGGCCCACTTGACCACAATTGGCACACTTGCGGGCTGTGCCTTCGGTGTTCTTCTTCGATCGGCCCTTGCCTTTACCGGTTGGCGCGGGAGTTGCAGCGTCGGCACCATCAGCACCTTCGCCTCCTGGGGATGCTGCTGCAGAAGGCGAGGCGGCACTGCCAATACCCTTTGCACGTTCGCGAGCCTGTCTGCGGCCCATGTTGCGTTCGAGACGCTCGATCTCTGCTTGCATACTGTGTCTTTTTGTTAGCAATTTTTGCGAAAAGATAAAAGGGGACACGATACAGTTGTTTTTGAAGCGCGTCAAAGTCTTCGTCTCCGGTCGCTTTGGTATTCATGATGCTGTGAATTCGCGTCAGCATATGTGCGGATCATAACAAATAAGTACCCTATAGGTTTTCTGCAAGGGGTGGTCAAGGGATTTAGGCAAACCTGAATCCCTGACGCCACTTGCAAGCTTGATAAAACGTACTCGATCGCTTGGCTTCGTGCCAGCAGTTTGCGCTTCTTGTAGGCTGCAATCACCCTTGGATTGGTGATAGTCTCTGTCTGCTCTTCCACATTGCCATACTTGTCCCGCACGCTTCTCTTGATCGTCATGAACTTGTTGTTCTGACTCATACTATTGCGACTGAACTGACTTGCAGACTCGTCGTCACGTCTGTTGTTGCCATAGACAGATGTTCCCATGGAGGATCGGGGTGTACCAGCTCTAAAGCTTTGGGCCGGTTCGGGCTCATCGTCAACGTCAGCTTCACCCTCGGAGTTCTCCATGTGTGAAGAAAGACTCTCATGCTGAGATCTCCATATGCGACGAATGGATTCATCGTAAGCTCTTTGCTGCTTGGCAACATTGTAGCTGTGGCCTCCATTCTCTTTGAGTCGTTTGGCATCAAGTCGTTCTTCGATACTCTCGCCTTGTGCTCTGAATCCACCCTTCATGGAAGTCTTAATGAAACTGAATGCTTCACCTCTGCCAGATGGGTCGCCTTCGCCATGCAGTTGGAGCATTGCTTTACCTTGACAAGCATTGAGGAAGTTCTTGGTTGTGTTCCAGGGTGCAAGCTTGAGCTCAACGTTTGTGCCTTCTTTGGCATCGTCTTCCTCGTTCTCGTCATCCTCTTTCTTGAGACCAAGATCCTTGAGATATTGTACGCCGACTTGCATCGAGTCGAGCACACAGATGTCTTCTGGCTTGATCCAACCACGAAGAGTCTCGGAGTCAGGAACAGAGTCGCCTGCCTTGAGGTGCCATAGCTGATTGTTCTTGTCGTATTGCATGAACTCACGCATCTTGCCACGGTTCTGGGCAACATCACTACCAGGTAGATGAGCTTTGACAACTTCGTTGGTTAGAGGTTGGCCTCGAATAGCCGGATCGATGCTCTTCTTGAACACACGATAGGATATGGCTCGTAGACGACGTTTTGCAGCATCTGTAACCTTTCTGGAGTGCTCACCGGGGACCTCCACTGACGGGAACTGTTGGCCAACAGCATACAGATTTTCTATATTACGCATGTAGTACTTCTTGCCATTCTTGTGTGTTTCATTGCAGATGACCAGGAAGTCGGTCGATTTGCCTTCATGACGAAAGACGGGCGCCCTGTAAAGACCGTTGTGTATGGTAGGCACCATTTCTCCGGGGTCGACTTGGCCGAAGTTTGCGAATGGACTACGATCCTGAGGTAAGAGAACTTGGGTTTCACCAATCTCTTCCTTGGGTCTAGAGGAGTCTTCGGCGTCTTTTCTTCTGTAATAATTGATGAGACGATTGCCCATACCAAAATTGGAGAGCATGACTGGATGCTCTTCGGAGTATTCAAGGAGCAATGCACTCGAATTGTCTGCCATAGACAAGTCTTCGGACTTTGCAAAGAGAGTTGCGACATCCTTGCCGCGCATCTCTTTCCTCTTGAACTTCTTGGGCTTGCTGAACGTGATGGTTCTGTTGGGCCTTTCGCTGGAGAATACGGGACGGTGGAACGCGCGTTTCTGTTTATCATCCAGACTGACTCTGTAGAAGGGGAACTGAAGCTTAGTCGCAGGCAGACTGTGCTCGACAGCCATACTACCGAGTGTGCTGCGGACTTTGTGCTGGTGATTCTCTTTGAGGAGTTCGTAAGCTTCGTCATTGGATATGTTGTACCTCTTGGTCATGTCACGAGCCATGGCAGTCCTGGTTTCCCGACGCATGTCGCCAGGAATATGGCGCAACCTCTTAGGCTGAGTCGCAGGAGCATTTTCGTCTAACAAAAGACCGGGATCGTTCATGTCGAGAGTGACCCGTTTGGCGATGTATGCAGTTGCACGTTCTGGTTCATCGAGAGAGGGGTATGTGTGCGATATGGCGACTGCAGCCTTGAGGTCAAACCCAACGATCTTGAGCTTTTTCGCAGTCGGCTCTTCCAGGTCGAATCCAGGAATCTTGCGCTTGGCTGCTGGTGGTGAGCGCGAGTCTCTTCCCATGTCGACACCGCTGTCTACAAGCGAGTAGTGGCCGGGTGAGGATGCAGCACTTGCCATGTCCCAGTCCTCACAGAGTACGGTCAGATCTTGCCACGAAACACCACCAATCTGCTCGTTCGGATCAATCTCGTCTAGGTCGATGACATCTTCGGTGTCTTCTTGTTTGGCTGAAGTATCCTCAACGCGAACGACGCCCGATTGTTCGCCGCCTCCTTCCCTCGCGTGTTTGCCCATGGTAGCAGTACCCAAGAGCCTGAAACTCTTCTCTTGGTCGTGTTGAAGATCAAGACTGAGCTTGGTTGGCTGTACAGGCTTAGGAGGCTTGATGGGAGTCTTCCAGCCATAGATACCTCGTCTAGGAGGAAACAGCTCGGTGAATCGCGGGCGCTCCTCTGGGTCATACGATGGCCAGATAGAATAGAAGACCTCCATTTCTGTCTCTGGAGCAGTTGGCGGTTCGTAAGATCCTCCTCTCCTGCTTCGCTCAACTCTCTCTTGCTCCATAGCAGCAAAAAGTGCTTTCTGCCGTAACCAGTCCTCGTCTTCTTCGTCATCCTGCTCCTCCTCGATAACTTCTGCATCGGCCATTTGCTCGTCTTCGATGAGATCGTCAGACATCTGAGGCAGAGCGAGGGACGTGTAAGCCCCTGGCAGGGCAACGGCCGATTTGGAGGGGAGGGCCAGACCGCTGTGACTGATAGACGGAGGCGGGTTGGCGAAGTCATTTTTGTGTGTCTGATCGGATGGTTGTGAGACATCGGGTTTCGCATCCTGATCGCCATCGTTGTCGTCTCCAAACAAGTCGTCTTCGAATCCAAAAAGGTCGTCATGGTTCTCGTCTTGCTCGGTCGCGGCGTCAAGCTGTGTCACAAGACCATCGGCGGGCGAGCTCTCGATCTTTGGTTTGACATCCGTCTCGTCTTCGGGCAGGTCATCATCACTGATGTCTTCAAAATCAATGGCATCGTCGGCCTTCTCGCCTACTTCCAGATCCCGGTCGAAGTTCAAGTTGTTGTTACTCGGATTCTCATCGTTCAGAAGGCGGGCAATTTCGGCGTCATCGGCCTGTTCCTGAAGCTCGAACTCATCGATGGCATGCGGCATGGTGGGCACGTTGACGTGGATTGCAAGTGGTCGGGTGGATCACCGAGCACTGTTCTAGAGAGCAGAGCGATGCGCCATGGATATCGCGCGTCTGAGAGGCGAGTGATGCCGAGTGCTGTGAAATGCAGTTGGGGAAGGTGTCGCAAATGTGCAGTGGCGGCGGCGAGACGGAATACGCAGTGAACAGATGGTCGCGAGATGCGTGAGAGCCGGACAGTGCCTTCCCTGCCTGTCGTTGGACGATGTGGCACCTCAAGTGCTTCTTGTCGTTGTGACGAGTTGGTTGCTTGCCTGCACCTGCCTTCGCGCATCGGAACGCCAAGATTGCCCGCTCGACACTCCCGAACCCGAACTGAACCTGACACTCACACGCACCCTTCTGTGCTAAAGGTTACAGTGCAGCTGAAGACACGCACAATTCTGTCGCAAATATTGTAGTGCTCACACAGGAAGCCCTATCAGAGACTATGCTCATAGCTATGCTGACATTTGAATCGCGAAATTGCGTTTCAATACCCTATGATCCCACTATAGCTATTAATCGCGATATCGTGATAGTCTTGAGCATACTGGGAGGACAAGCAATAATGCCCTCATTCGCTGGTTGACTGTCATTCTCTGCTGATCCGATCGCGCGTTAGAGCCTTCAGCTCGAGTCACCATACATGGTCGAATCTCCACACGACTACCTACTGGACGCCTGACTATGCAGGGCAATATCAATATGGTTCTCTGTCCTGAACCGTGCTACCATCTCACTGCTGATGCAGGTGCACGCTCGGTCGATGTTTTGCATTCACGACAGTATAGAAGTTTCCTAGGATCGAGTCGAATACTTTTGTGTATCACATAGCATTTCAGTCAAGATGCTCACACAGCCAGACAAACTCCACACAGTCGCTCTCACGCCTCCTCATGACTCTATGTACACGGCACACCGCCTCTTGGAAAGGTACGGGATCTCGTGAGCTACCGGAAAGTATAGGTAACATAGTTGCTGTTCAATGAGAGGTGTGTCTGTACTGCAGCCGTCTTTGGCACATAAGGAAAAATCATAGGGCTTCCAATTAGTATGCCTACGTGAACGTGCACGCGTATCTCGGTTGCACTCCTGCACATTCCACATGATGTAAACAGGTGCTAGATGAACGGAATACAGCGGACTTGGACGGGTCAATTCTCATACCTCGTGATGACTCTCGAGTTGGCCTGACTTTAAACGCTGAAGGAGTACGGGCCACACCAACCGCTATTCTCATGCGCATAGGCTTCTAATAGAGGAAACAAGAAGGGCGAGGCCGTTCCATGGACTTTGCCGCGGTCGTGCATGCTTGACGCATGTGTCGACAGTAGTGTACTCCTGTACTATGGGTGTACCCTCAATACACGCGAAAGTAGGGCAAGCGAGGGTATGTAATTTGATGACCACGAAAAAGTGCTTACATCTATCCTGTGCGAAGCTGAGACGTGGATCGCCATACAACTTGAGACATACAGGGATTCCCGCCGCCAGGTTTTACCCTCTCCGTCAGTACCGCTTCCTGGACCTAAAGTTGTGCATCCTTCACTAATAGCTAGCGACTCGTTACTCGTATCATCCAACCCAAGTCATTTGCCGTTGAAGAAGCATTGATACCTTGCCAGTCTGCATAAGCATCTGCCAACTGGCAAACTCACGGAATGCTGGCTAACTTTTGTCGAGTCATCTTGTTCCCAGGCTTGATTAGTGAACAATTTTCCACCAGGTTAACGTCAAGAAAGTCAAACTCCTATCCTTTGTTCGACCTTCCGAACCACGGAGACACGTCCACCTTACGTCGTGTCAAGTGATGACTACGGTATTGCCGGCCTTGGACCGTATTTCCTATTCGCTATTGGTTGATGACATACCATCCATACGTTGCCCCTTGGATAGGGTTTGGCTCTGTGTGTGTACGCGCGCGACTTGGCGACGCATAATAAGCATGGTACTTGAGCGTAATGCATGTGCACAACGCGACGTAGCACAGTCGTCCCTCTTGTTCACAGGTAAATTGCTGACCGCGCCGCAACGGCTCTACTGCCTGTTGCAAGTGCATAACAAGAGAATCAGGACTCGATGGATCCGCATAGTTCTTGTTCTTGTGAACGAACCGAACTCCTGGGCATAAGCGCCCTATTATTGCCCGTCGGACCCCGATGTTACCCGCTCGTCTAAAGCTATCCTGACCGGCGTTGTCGGCGGCCAGGCCTAGACCCGCTGTACCGACCAAAGGATCTATATGGAAAGTCTCAAGTTTTGATTACACGCTTCGGCAGTTTCCACCTATCGACTTGAATCTTCATTTCTTTCCTTGATCGTCTAGCGTATCTATTTGGGAATTTGGAATTCGCCGGACGCGAAGCCAAAAAATACTTGCATAATATTAATCAACTAAAACAATAATGAGCCCTACTGGCGCATCTGCTAATTAACGTATCAACTCCCCCATATAGTCGATCCAGCCACTCTTCGCGCTTTCTTCACTTGGCGTCCAAACTCCATACTCGGGTCAAGTAAGTGTTCTTTCCTTCTGTACCACTTTCGCTTCTTTGTTCATCTGTTTCCCTTTCTGTACCTCTTCGTATCCTTACATATCGATGCCTATAGATACGCGAACCCCTCGAGCTTTCCAGATTTCCATCCATAACCTGTACTATTTTGGAGGTGGGACCACACGAGGCCATGCTAGAAGAGCATCGGCCTGATGCATCGCACGCCGGCAACCATGTCGACAGTGAGCCAAGGCAAGTAGCACCGCCTACTATGCTTCCAGGCTCGCGCGATTCTCTTTTACTTCCTCCGGAACCAGCGCAGCCGCGAACCGCAACTTCGTTGCAGCTTCCTTCATTATCTCAACAACACCCCGTAGCACAAGATGGGGCCATCTCCCAACTTCAGTCTTCCTTACAATCTCAGCTTCATGTCCACAGCCAGATACTCGAGGAACAGAGACAAGAGATCGAGAACCAGAGACACCAGATTGCTCGTATGGACAACACGATAGAAGCTCTGCGACACGAACAAAGGAACATGTATGCCGTGGTGGATGAAGTCAGACATGAATTGCGAGCACGTAGCTCTGCGCCGGAACATCAGCATCCCGACACCAGTGAGGTTGACATCCTCACTCGTGAACTACAGACCGTCTCGGCCAAGACGAATGAGATTCATGGACTCAAGATGCAGCTGGATATCCTTCGGAGTCAAGTAAGACGTCTGGAACAAGTGAGACATGGATCACCTGGAGCAAATGGCGCGCCTCCTTCGGAACCTCTGAACCATGAACAGGCGAGTCATGCGCCATCTTCGATAGCTGGATTTGCAACAAACACGCCGTCTGCACCAGAACAAAGGCCGCTCCTCTACCAAACACCTATTGAGAATCGACTTCCTGCCCCGATCGCCGCCAATCCCGAGCTGCCAGACCCTCGTGTTCAATCAGAGTCGCGGACACTTCCTAGCATTCGTTCCATTGATCCGAACACACCACTTTCTTCATGGCGTCCTGCCGGTGCAATCGCTCCGCCACCACCGATGCCCATGGTTGGATCCTCACCACAGATCGAGGCACCAGCACCTGGCAGTGGATGGGCCGCCGTCAACACAAACACTGCGCCCAAACGTTTGATCTCAGAGCCATCATTCGAGTCTACAACACCTGGATCGCCCAAGAGACAGCGCTTAGCTCCTCTTATGCCTCGGACTTACGATCAGCAGAGTCCTGCACAAGGCTCTTCGCCTTACCATTCGGTTTCTGGTGATTCTTTGCCGACAGTTCCTACCTTACAATCGACACAGAATCCATCTAACGAATCTACTGGAAGTGTGCCTCCACAGCCTAACCCTCTGCGTTTTGTACAATTTGCATCAGGACTGGAATCTGCACCAGAAGAATCATGGCGCCAAGGAGCGGGATCAGCTATAGACAGGACCAGAGGTAGCCCAAGAAGAGGAAGAGGAGGCAGAAGTCGGGGTGGACGCAAGAGTGGAGGTGGAGAGGGAGATCGCGCCACACCGGAATGGGAGGCACGTCCTGACAATGTTCAAATTCTCAACCCGCCCGAAGGACACGGAGGACCAGTTCAAGCTCCAGAACAATCTGGCGAGGCAACAGCTGGCATGTACCCCGACCCGCACTTCATGCCTATCACCACGACCGCTGATGTGGCCTCATCGAACCATCCAACCAAGAAGACCCGTACCAAGCCTGTACGCAATGCAGACGGTGTTCTTATTCGCAAGGACGGAAGACCGGACATGCGCAGTGTAAGCAGCGCTATGAACCTTAAGAAGGTGCATGCGAAGAAGGAGGCCGAACGGGCCAACAACAAGGAGAACTCTGCCGCATCTGAAGACACCAAGGATAAGACTACGCCCTACTCGGCATCAGAGCATGACGCAGGAGAAACAAGCGCCGCCAGTCCCAGTGTCGATGGGCATGCTACAGATGGTGAGACCAGCATTCTGGACCGTCACCAAGAAACCATGCGTAAGGTTTTTCCCCATGGCATCGACAACCCCAGCGTGCAGAGCATGGCACAACAATTCTTCCCTAAACCAGACGATACCCGTGCTGCGCCTCAGGTCAAGATTGAAGCTATGGTCGAAAGCGACACTACCACAAAAGAAGCACCTCGAGGACATGAAGGGCCCAAACCTCTGATCGATGGGGAAAGGAGCATGGTCCACCACACCGCAGGACGTGTGGATGTTGAGATGAACGACGCTAAATAGACACGCATGCATCGCTGTTGAGCATCACGCACGCCGTTACGCATCACGATCTGCTTGGGCAGAAATTGACACGAATAACAAAGCTGGTTTCTTGCGAGCAGGGGTCTCTCAAACAGGAGGAAAGTATGCACACAGGACGGAGCAAGGAACATCCGCTCTGCTACATTTTCTTGGAACAACGCTACCACTTGGGCAGCAATGGCAATTGGGAGACGGTGTTCTTTGGCTGGATATGACTCCAGCTGCTCTGATTCATTTCGTTTCGCTTTACATCATTTCAAGCTATTTAACCGTACACATATACCCAAGGCGCGCTGGGATTCATTTCGACAATGCAAAACAACATACGAAAACGCTATACATACACTTTTGCCTACTCTTGCATTACCATCCTGCTTCCAAAGGTAGACGCCACACTCGTATTGGGAATGTTAGACTTATCGATCTACTTTCCATCATTTACCATATTCCCGGACCGAAAACTGAGCGGCGCACGATCCTAAAGCAGAGTGAACCGCCAGAACATCGCTTCGTTTGATCTTTGAAACCCAGTCAGCAACCTTGTGACCTTTGCTCCTTCATTGGTTCCTGCATGTTGACCTCAATGGTCCATTCCGGCACTTTTAACCGTCCATCAAAGTTCTCATCTGCGTATTACGAGCATCTTCGCCATTTTTGCTTTTACGAGATATCAAGTTTTTGGTTTTGGCTTCTCGTTTTCTTCTCCACGATCCATCTCGTCTACTTTTACTCATTGCGTTGAACAAGTTGCTAGCGCAAAACATGTACAAGCCGCGTATCATATCATCTATCTCGTAAGTGTGCAACGCCTTCTTGTTTGCTCGCCTGAGCCAAATCTCTCTTTCTCCATCGAGTAATGCGACCAAAGCCCAGTCCCGCCATTCCGATCACTCGGAAACCCTAACTCGGACTTTGTCGATGTCTGGACAGAAGCAGCCGTTGCGTTTTCGGCTCTTCTTCTTGGTCGTCGGTTAGAAAGCACGGGGCTGCTTCCGAGTCTATCGCCAGAAATAGCAGGTACTTTATGGCTTGGCATGATCTGGCTCGCGACTCTTTGGGATTCGGTGCCTGCTGTTGAAGTCCACGTAGCCGATGCGCCGCCGACGGCGACGGCGACGTCGGCGGCAACGATGGCGAGGATGTGAGAAGGTATCGAGTACCGGTAGGACTATTGACGTGAGATTCACTGCGCTCTTCCATGTCGCAACTTGCAAGTCTTGTGGGATTGCGATCTACGATGGAAGAAAGAGACGTCTGTCAGCGCGCTTACTTTGCCGTGTTTTGATATCGATCGTCTTAAGGCTGTGCAATTTCTACGTGTCATCATAAGACCAGCAACTATTACATGTATAGCAATCCTTGTATTGTCGTCGTGTCGGAGCTCAAAGTACCGAAAGACGATCGTGCTTATAGCAATGTTGATCTGCCCTATCCTTACGCGACTAACAGTGTTGCACTTGCCCTGTGAGAGGTTTGACATTTCGCTTTCGCTCAGTGAAACATGGAGACTGAGACAGAAACACGACTTCGTTGCTGTCAAATCGATTCCAATGTGATGTTCTTTCCCTCGGCTTATCTACTTCCGAAACAGCTTCGACATAAAAAGTTATGCATCCTCCCCCTCCAAGCCACCACAACTCCACCAGAACTTTACCAATCTTTCCCGTTTTATTTCCTACGCATGTGGAAAACAAAAGTTGGTGGTCGAATGAGCTCAAAATGCAAAAAGAAACGACGCCTGCAGGACTCGAACCTGCGCTCCCGAAGGAAATAGATTTCTAGTCTATCGCTATAACCACTCAGCCAAAGCGCCTGCGAAATTACCGAGTTCGGAAGAATCGAGGTTCGGGTTCGATGGTAGGACGCGCAAATGGCCTTAATATAACCATCGTGAGCAAGAAAGGAGTCAAGTTGAAGAAGAAAAGTGCGATCAACCTGCTCGCACCTGCTTCTTTCGTGAACATCTAGCATGACCCCGAGAAGCGACAAGAAGATCAGAGAGCGTCTGGTTATGTCGGCAAGAAAACAACCAGAAAGGAAGCTGCGTCGAGGTTTGTTGTCGATCGTCATGGTCTGCGCTTCTGAGATGCTGAACGTATGACCCTATTATGCATCTTCGACGGCGAGTATGTGCCTCCCATAGAATCGAGATACATTCCAGGCGGTGTGATCTGACAGTATAGCATCGGCTCTCGAGACTGTAAGTACTCTCGAACTCTTTACCATGCAATTGGGTAAGATCGCTGTTGAATGATGGCTAGCCATGAAACTGGTCTGCTTCCAGTACGATCTACCTAGATATATTAGAATCTCACGTTGATCGTTGACCGTACGAAAGCTCATGAATTCAGAGCGCAGTCGGCGACGACAAAGATCAACTCGACCGCGGGCAAGGATAGCACAAAGGAAGGGTGAGGTCGCAAAGACAGTCGACAATGTGATGCCTGATCAGCTTGGAGGTGACCCTGTCCAGAGAAAGTGGGAACGGAGGAAGGAACAAGCTCGCAGAAGAAAGAGGACCGGAGTAGAGTGGGAACGTAACAAACGTAATGGAGAAACCGGACCTCGATTGATTGGTAGTGAATGTGGTGTTATTGCGAAGAATATACTTGTGAGACAGATCACGTCCCCTGGAAGCCCTCCAATATACACAGAACCTAACACCGTCGCTAAAAGATTGCAGAGAAAAGAATGAGAAAAAAGTCATCGTGTTGATACTGAGAAGATATCACTCCTCGTTGTCTTCGTCGTCAACCTCCATGCCAAAGTTCCTGCGCTTCATGGCGAGTTCACTCTCCAAACTTTGCAGTTTGTTGATATTGCGCTGCCTGAGCATGGGGTTCATGGAGCGCTCGACATTAACGCGCGCATTTGCAACCTCCTTCTCCAGGTCCTCAATCTCCTCACGTACTTGAGCTTGCACCGCTTGTTCTGCCACCATCTCCTCGTCGATAGTGTCTGGGCCTTCGTCGTCATCCTCATCGGACTCATCGTCATCATCATCTTCATCGCTTGATGCCTCTTGAGCGGCTGCAGGAGTCTCGGCTGATGCTGCTGGCGTAGGTGCTTCTGTTTCTGGTTCTGCTTCAGCCATGGCGGTCTGTACAGCGCTCATTTCAGCTGCTGCATCGGCGGGTGGTAGTGGCGGTGCATCTGCCATATCTTCATCGAACAGAGCAGCACCCAGCATGCCTTCCAGATCTTCGTCGTCTTCTTCCTCTTGCATGGGCTCCGTAGTGTATGCTTGACCAAAGGCGTCCTCGGTCGTTGTTCTATAATCAGCTGGTTCTTCTTCGTCGTAGTAGTCCATGTCTTGATCTCCTTGGGCTTGTTGATCCATCGCATCGGTATCAACGATGTCGTACTTGACGGTACCTCCTGATTTCTCAACCAGTTCATCGGCTTTGATCAGACGCTCCACTTCGTCATCCACATGCTCGACAGACTTGTAGCTAGCTCTTTGCCTGAATCGCCTCTTACGCACCCAGTGCATTGGCGGTGTCAAGCCGTGTGCATATTGGAATGTGTTCTTGTCTACTTCGCGCGGCAGAGGAGCGTACTTCGCTGTTGTCTCACCCTCTGTCGGACCCAAGACAAGGAGCATCTGGCAAATATCGGCAACCTTCCACCATCCACGTTTGTCCCAACTCTTCATTCCCTCGATAATACACGGTAAATCGACCATGACGGCAGCATAGTTAGTCTTGTTCACAGTGACGATGGCGCGGCGCAGATCCTTGTCCAGAAACTTGATATTAACATAAGCTCCTCCGCTTTCTGGCTTCTCGCCCAGCGTCTTGTTGGTGATGGCTTCACGCAAGTAATCGCAGTCAGGTCCTGGCTCCATGCGCAAAACCCATTGCGACTCAATAGCTGGATCATCTTCTGCATCACTAGCTTCTGAATCGTAGCCGACACCAACAGGTCGCTTAGGTACATATTTTCGAGAAACGATCGAGATTGATTTTGGACCAGCACTTTGTTTCCTCGCGTTTAACTTGAGGCGAGTAGGAGTTGAAGTAGCCGATTCTTGTTGTCCGCCAGCACTATTGCTAAGCTTCAAGGAGAAGCGTTTCTTCGGGACCTGAGTATTGATAGTGGGACGTTTGGGAGCAGGAGAAATGTCGTCTTGAGCTGGGCGCTTCTTGTTGGCATCATCGGTGGGTCCTTTGGGTTTCTTAATCTTCTTAGGAACGGCCGAGAGTGCTGGTTGAGGCGGACGCGGCGGCTGAGAGGGTGTGGACTCATTCTGAGGAGTTGGCGGTTGCGAGTTCTTGATCTTGAATTTGAAACCGCCGCCAGTGCTGGGAGTGGCAGCGGCAGGTGTTGGCGGTACTGATGGCGGCGCGTTAGGGTCGGCCGGTTTCGCCGAGAGCTTTAGTTTCATCGCCAGGCAGCTCGCGCCTTTAGCGAGTCGCAACGCTGTCGAAGGATGTGAAAGGGCGAGGAGGGCCTGTAGAAATGTTGCGACAATGAGGAAGGAATGGCAGCAGCAGTCGGGGGAAAGAGCAAGCGCCAAGCCAAGTGAAGTCAGGCAGTTGCGGTTGCATGTGAAAGAAGGAAGCAGCAACCACCACTAAAACATCTCTTTCCTGTTTTCTCTACCACATACACCGACATCATGTCGGCAACACAACAACTACATACATCGCTACTGCGCGCACCTATCCTACACATACTCCGCGCCCAAGGCTTCCACTCGACGCGACCATCAGTTCTAGACACTCTAGTCAACATCACCGAGCGCTACCTGATGCTACTTGCCGAAACAACCAGAGATCATGCTCTACTCAACCACAACGACCCCATTCCAACCATCACTGATGTCCGCATGGCATTGACCGACTGCGGCACTCTCACTCCCGTCCTCACAGCTGCCGAACAAGACTGGCTAGAAAAGTTCAGACGACCTCTAGAAGACTTCGACGATCTAAAACACGGCGATATCAGAAGAGAAGGAGAGCTACGGCGACGCGATGAACAAGATACCCAAGATGTTCGCGACTTCATCAAATGGGTCGTTGGCGACCAGAATCGTGAGATTCGTCGCATCGCTGGTGTCTTGCCCGAACCTGGTCCTGGAGGCACTGTCAATGGCGAGGACTACTTGACAGTTCTTAAGAAGAAGCACAGCAAGACAGGAGAAGAGTCACGATTCCAGGGTACTGTACTCGGAAAGCCAGCTGAGGACAGACCTCTAAAGATCGAAGGCGGCCCAGTCGAGAGTTTGACCGAGTGGAACAACCTCATGCACGATCATTCTGAGCACCAACTACCGACTACGAAAGATGCTGCTGAAAGCCCACACGAAGCCGAGATAGACGAACAGCAACTGTTGATGGATGTGTCTTGAGCCGTGGCGCCTTTTGCTGTTACAACATCTAACAACCATGCCACCGTCGCCCTTCATTGCTATCACAACGATCTCAATATGTTCTGAGGAGCTGAAATATTGGAGGGACCTTGCTTCCAGAAGAACCATATCGCGCCCCGCGCAAGATCTGTACTATATTCATACAGTGCGGGTGAGAAAAGAGTGAACTTCGAGGAAGGGCGCGAATGAACAGGACGGAAATGAGAGAGAAAGAGACAGCCATGTGTCGCTAGTATGGCCAGGATTCAGCGCCATCGTCACATACTATGTCCAGTCACGCATGCTGGACAAGGTGCTAGACAAACGGCAGGAGCAAGGAGTGAAAATGCAGCTCTTCCAACACCATGAGTATCGTGCTCAGACAGCCGCGTGCATCAATCAGATCTCAAGTAGAAGCCGCATGCATAGAGAAGAACCCAACACCACCAAGATATTTGATAGCCTGCAATGCAAGCTTATTCTCCTCGTCCATCTCTTGCTCAACAAGCTGATTCACATTAGCATAATTTCCCACTCGTAGGCACCTGGACACAACTTACTCTCTGGTACAACGTCTTCCTTTTTCCCTTGTCCTGCCCAGAAGACGCATCGTGCTTGTATCTACACTTGTTTCCAAATTTGCATCGTCCTTGGTTTAGAAAGCTGATGCATTGCTTGGCATCAGGTTGTTGCTGTTTTGGCTGACCCTTGGAGCTGGCGGTAGGTGGTGGAACACGGATTGGTTGTGATAGTTTCGAGGATGTTTCTTCTGGTGGTGCGTCGCTGTCCGAATCTGAGAGGTGTCGGTCGTCCGCAGGGGCATCTTGGTTTGAACCCTGGAGAGATTGATCAATTTCCATGTTGTCCGTCGGTGCTGCTTGCTCGTGTTGTTCTCTCGCGTCAACATCTTCTCCAGCTGTTTCAGCGGGTTCTTGCCCCTTCTCAGCCAACAATTTCTGTAGCTCTTCCACTTTCTGCATCTGAAGTGCGAGCTCTTTCTGCGTATCTTCGAGTGTAGACTCTTCGTTGTGTCTTGCTTGTCTGTCGGTAGCAGGCTTTCTCATCTGTCTCTGCGTACGATCGTCCCTTCTCTCCACAGGCTGATACTCGCCTCCCGAAGCACTAGCAATAGCCGCTCGAGTTTCTTGCTCAATACGTCTGCGCTCTTCCATACGTGATTGGATCTCTAACTCTTTCTCCTCCACTCTGCGTTTGCTTGGCCAGCGTTTCTTGCGCTCTTCGATCCATTCAGCAATATCTGCTGCAGAACTCAGTGTTGACAGTTCTCCATTGAATTCGAAGCTCAAAGGTCCGTTCTGCAAAGCACTTAAAGCGGCTTCTTCGTCGACTTCTTCTTCATCTTCGTCCTCATCTTGTTCTGAGTTCTCTGGTGATCCGTAGTCCTGTGGAATAAGACCAAGTCCGGTTGGAGGCCGTTGTTTTATACCGCCTCCTGATGAGATCGGTGCTGGAGGTTTCTGCGGAAGGATTGGAGCACCGAAGCTAGGGACTGCAGGTGCAACCTGAGCTTTCGGTGCGCTTGATGGTTTCTTCATGGGATGTCCTCTGTTTGAGTTGCCGAAAGCCTGCTCTCGTGTACGTTTTCCTCCAGGCGGTGAGCTTAAGTTTCCATAAGATGGTTGATGATTCTGTCCAGCGGCATGTACACCTGACTGCCCATATTGAGGCATTTGAGGTTGTGCGTAGGTCTGAGCCTGCATGCCACCAAATGCAGGATTGACGTAGGATCCAGGTGGAGCTTGATAGTGCTGCGGCGCTTGATAATGTTGCTGTTGATTGCCATAACTCGGTTGATAGTTGCCAGTATTTTGTCCATATCCATTAGAATTGGTATTTTGATGTTGGAAATTTCCTCCACCTCGCTGGGGCGCCCCTCCTCGACCTCTGAATGAGCCACGATTTCCTCGTCCTCCCCGACCACCTCTACCTCCTCGATCGTTGAATTGGTTAGGATTTTCTGATTGTGATGATGATGCTGCTTTTGGTGGAGGTGGAGGAGGCGGTGGGAAAGAGAATCCGTCCATGTTTTACTTCTTTCCCAATATACTCCTGAAGTCCCAAGAAGCTCTGTAATCAATGCCGTATGTATATATTTTGAGACTATCAAGATGATGTTTGTGCAAAAAGATAAAAAGAAGCATTTAAATTCTCAAAAAGCTTTGGAGAGCGAGAGAGAGCAAGAAGACGCGTGCCAAGACTCGACTCAAAAGCGCCATCATCGCATCCATAGGGCTGAAGAATGCCCTGACCCTCGAGCGAACCAAAACTCGGTCTGGTCACTCACACTTTTCGAACACACACATCACTGAGAGAGAAATGTTGTTATAGCGACGTCGAACCAATTCTGGGAATTATTATGCCTTCTGTGTTGGACCAATTTTTGACCATAACGCTGCCTGAATACTTGACCTGAAGAAAAATCTGCCAGGGAGCAGTCCATCACACATCGAAAAGATGTATATCATTGTAAGTTCGCAATTTTCTGTTACGAGTTCGTGGAAAAGAAAGAGTAGATCAGAAGTCACTGGGCCAAAAAGTCAAAACATTGGTTTCGATCAATAACTGATGAGAACCATCCAAAAAGGTCACAATCGCGGACTTGATCCAAATCTCACCACAAGACTTTGAAAAGCGCAGCGCGCAAGCAATCGAAGACAACATAAACGCCAAATATGCAGACAAAGTAATCCACCGCGTCGGCCTCTGCGTAGCCCTCTACGACATCCTTCAAACCAGCGAAGGTCTCATCGGCCACGGCACCGGCATCGTAAACGTCAATGTCGACTTTCGCATGATTGTCTTCCGTCCCTTCAAGGGTGAAATCCTGATGGGCAAAATCCTCAGTGCCTCTGATATGGGTATTAGAATCTCCATGGGCTTTTTTGATGATATCTTTGTGCCGGCGCCAGCAATGCTGTTTGATCCTGCAAAGTATATCATGACTGAGGATGGAGAGTGGGTATGGGTTTGGGAATCTGCGCCGGAAAACTTGCTTTACTTTGATGTCAACGAGATGGTTCGCTTCCGCGTCGAGGCCGAGACGTGGACAGATCTGTCTCCCGAGAAGCAACCTGCACCGGGCGAGGAGGTCGAAACTTACAGACGCTCACCATACGAGATTACTGTAAGCAGCAACAGAGCGTTTGAGTTATATCAAACGGTATGCTGACCCAGAATTAGGCATCTATGCAACTTAGTGGTCTCGGTCCAGCTCTCTGGTGGAAAGAGCCAGATGAAGAAGAAGTGGCCGAAGACGAGGAGGAAATGGATGGCGGCGCAGAAGACATGAATGGCGATGTTGTCGACGAGATGGATGAGGGAGCTTAGTACGACCCCTCCATGCCAACTCGTCCGCTCGCCAACAAGAAGACAGAGCCAGAAGTTGAGGCGGCTCCAGTCAACCCCAACCCTAAGAGACTACCTCGCAGAAGTGCCAGAAGGAAAGGCTAGATGACCTTCTCTGCCGAAGATTTTGAAGATAGCGGATGATTACAAGCTAGGGAAGAGCGGGTGTTTCGGCGTTGAAAACAGAGTTCGTAGGGGCTGTTCTTCACTTCCATGGGACAATGAGAACAAGGGCAAAAACCTGAAGCAGGACATGTTCGTCCTCATCGCACTCTGTCAGAACCGCAGAGAAAGATGTAGAAAAGCAACATATCAATCAAACGCTCATCAACTGTACATGAAACTTTTCGGCGCCTACGGCGCGGTGCAAGATATCTAGATAGAGTGGATGTCCGTGTTTTCCTCATTTAAGCCCCAGTCTGACCTTCAACACTCCTTCCCAAGCATCCAAAGCACTTGCCTCAGCCTTGGTAGCAAACGCTCTAATTCCCTGGCTCAAGAACTGAGCATCAGCCATAGCATCGCCAGTTGCTCCCTCGCGCAATGCTTGTACCATATCCCTGCCGTCAATCTTCGATTTCTGTTCACGCGCAAGTGTCTGCAGAGCTGCAAAGTGCTTGGCCACAGCGTCGCGAATGCGCTGGATGGGTTGTGGTGGCAGGCGGTTGCCTTGACGCTTCTTCTTCTCTACCTCAATTGCGACATTGCAAAAGAACGCGGCACTGCGAATGAGGTCAAGCAGCAGGAAGTAGGACTGCAGTGTGAAGCTTGATGGAGGCAAGCCAGATGACTTTTGGACGCCGAGAATGTCTGAGGTAGATAGCTGCTGAATGGATGTGGCCAAACGGTCGAGCAGACCAGCATCGGGCTTGGTCTCGTTAGTGCCCAGAAGCGATTTCGTGGCTTGAAGCAGTTGTGCCCATGGCTTTGCAAGAGACTCCTCTGTTGAAGTAAGCTCGCTGCTGCTTGCCTTTGCGAATGCAGCAGCTTCCTCTTCCGTGACATTGCTTGGCTTGGAGCAAACTGTAGGTCTGCTAGAAAGTAACGCCCAGACATCCTCACTAACGATAGCCAGCGAAATCCAGTTGGTGTTGGGGATCTTGCCTCCACTAGTTAATCTGCGTTCAGGCGTGCTTTCAGTTCCAAAACCATCGAGGTTGAACGTCTCCGCATAGTCTCTGCTGTCCTTGAGGTTCTGAGTCCAGTACTCTAGAACACTCGGGCGGATGTCAGGAGTGCGAGGATGGAAAGGATTGTCTGTCAAACGAGCCATTCTGCATTGCTCAAGAATCAGCATGCGCCTGGTGAAACTGTGCTCGAGAGTATCACGCAGCTCTTGCAGTTCAAAGACCAGATCACATTGTCCATTCTTCATGAGTGACGACTGAGAGTGCGCGAGTTTCTTGTCAGTAGCGAAAAACATGTCCAAGGCGTTGTCGATGATCTCGTAGGGATCGATTGAAGCTTCGCCTCTCTGATCAAGTGCGAAAGGATGATTGAGAGATACTCTGGTCAAGAGAGAGTGGGCCATGGTCTCTTGCTGAATCTCTCTGACACGCAAGCTAGCATACTGTTTCATGGCTAGAGAGTGAAGTCCGAGTTCTGTTTCGAGGTATACGAGCAAAACTTTACCAGGGTGTGCATCTTCCGTGACAGGACCAGTCTCAAGGAGATATGCCGCTTGGAAGAGGTACGTAATGTCCTGCTCGAGTTCATAAAGTCGGATAAGTGCTGCAACGGCCAGATAGCAAGCATCTGACAGGCGCAACTTGTTCTGCGAGCTGGTTTCCATGAGTCGGATGCACTCGCAAGCAAAGTTCTTGATGACTTCTGCCTCTGGTTTAGTGACTCCAATGTTGATGCGGTACTGGAACTTCAACGAGTTGATCTCGGAAGTAAGGAGATCAGAAACCTGGTTGTCTCCTGTCAATAGATTGCTAGATCAGTGGAACGATGTCTTCTTACCTTCGCTGATTTCCCAGATTCGGGACTTGTCAGCTTGAACGACGATTCAGCGACATGTTTCAGGAAATCTTGCTGAGCCTCATTTGACAGGCCATCAACGAACTCCCTGATATCGCCATAGCAGAAGGGATACGACTGCCACTCGGTGAAAAACTCCTTGGCAGACTGCAAAGTCTTCTGTGACTTTGCGCTTGCATCTGTCTCTGCCTCGGAGAGAACGGTAGCCTGTACCTTGGCCATCATCTGTAGTCGCTTGATTCTCCAGTCATCTTTCTCGTTAATGGCAGGTATAGCATCTTCCTTTCCGAGTTTGGAAGCAGCCTTCACCAGACCATCCCAAACGACCCAATCATCTCTGACTCTGCTATTCGTCAGCTATTAATCTCTCCGTTCAACCATCTTGGCGTACCTCAGTGCACCATCCCCAGAGCTTTCCTCAAGTAAAGAAGAACATAAATCAAATAGCTCCTGCCAACGAGACTCTGCGATATACAGTTGAATCTTCTCTCTGGTGAAAGGCCAGTCGGTCATGATCTGCTTGGCCAACTTGTCGTCCGTCTTGTCCTTGAACGAGTCCAATGCTTCAATCATGTCTTTCCACTGGCCCTGTCTTCGATTAAGGTTCATCATAAGTCTCAATTGTGCGGAGTCCTCAATTGGTAGCTGCTTCAGACTTCGGAAAGCAAGAATGCGGTTCATGCCAGCCATTTTTTCATCCTTGTCTGCTTCACTGAGCAGTTGTTGAATGGCAATATGAGCGAGTTTGTACTTTTTGTTAGCAGGGTCGGCTTTCTTCATGGCGATCAACGCCTGTGTGATGGTTAGCATACAGTGACAAGACAGGAGCAATCGACTTACTGTAGCGGCATCCTGCCATCTTTGCTCGCTTACTGCGATCGTAAATCTCTTCTGGTTGATGGCAATCACACCATTCTTGCCTGCCGCGTTTGTCGCATTCGTCCATAACTTGCCAGCGCGCGGACCATTACTCAGCGGACGTGGGTAATCATCCATCACAGCCATTGTAGCCAGCTCATCCACATCTGAAATCAGATTAAGATCCACGATAGGAGGGTTCCTATTACAAAGCTGATCCAGGATCTGATTGCCCTCATCAAGTTGCATCATGCTGAAGAGAAAGTTTGCCTTGAAGTAGAGAAGCTGATTGTTTGCAGGTGACTTCTTCAAAAGCTTGTTGCACTTGCTCAATCCATCTTTGTACCTTCCAGATTGGAGGTAGTCTTCCAATTCTCTTGCGACAGCAGCCATGGCGTTTGTTTGAGGTCCGGCCAAAATTCTGTAGATGTGTGTAAATGCGTGTCTAGAAACGATAACAACAAATGTCGAAAGAAGAATCAGAAGCCAAGACATACATGTCAGATTTGTCTAGACGATAAGTGACGGACCAAATATGTATATGGTCAAGACTTCACGGAGGAGAAGCGATGAACTGCAGAAAGTTGGTCATCGAACTTGCCGAGTGGCATCCGAAGGTCTGTGCACATATTTAGAGAGAGCAGGGTCGCCTTGATTTGACTTGGTGAATTGGTTACACCAAGATTGGAAATCTGACGGAATGTAGCATCTAAATGTTCGAGACCAAGGAAATACTTTATGCCATCCTACATGCTCAACCAGACTTGCCCCAACCTTCTGTTGCCACCGTGTCATAAACTTCGTTGATGAGTTCGGCACTTCCAGAGATCGAGGTGGCAGCACCCTTCGGCCCTGGGTTATTGAATATAGGGACTACGCGCTTTACATCATGCCCGATCTCCAAAATGGTTCCTCCCACCATCTCCTCATCTTCAACAAGAGTCAGCATTGCCTCCGCAACCTCCTCTGGCGTAGCCCAAAGATCCTTCTCCTCATCAAAGTACCTCATCTTGTCCGGGTTGTCGGTCCAAAGAGGTGTTTTGATGATCCCTGGACAACATGCATTGACACGAATGCCGAATTTGTCATCCAAGCCGGCCAAAGAGCGCGTGAAAGCGACGACACCGTGTTTGGCTGCGTGATAGAGAGGGACTAACAATGAAGCACCTTGACCAGCAACACTACTAATCATGACAATGCGCTTAGGATTCTGAGGAGTTGCCTTGGATTGCTGTGACAGAAATGCTGAGATGGCCAGCTGGGAAGTTCTGATAGGATGAGTGAGATTAATGTCGAGGGATGCATAGCGATCTCCCTCAACACTATCCTTGGATCCCGAAGAGCCAGGAGGATGCCAGAAGTTTGACCAGCCGGGCTCGAAAACGCCTGCACCTGGGCATACAAGATCAGTGCCGCCAAACTCTTCTTGAGCCACCTTGAACATTTTTGAGAGCTGATTCCAGTTTGTGACATCTGTCTTTTGGAAGAAGGCTCGAGGTTGACCTGAAGATTTCTGTGAATACTTGTCGGTTATGGCTTTGGCCTCCGGACGCAAGCCAAGGTCGGCAAAGACGACATTGCAGCCTCTTGAGAGTAAAAGAGAAGCAAAACAAAGATTGATGCCTACTTGAGTGTAAGAACAAGGTATATACTGGAAAGAGATAGATTGCATACCAGACCCCGCTCCAGTGACAATCGCAGTCTTGCCTTTTACAAGGAAGGGTGCAAGACTTGAGGCCATGTTGAGAAACACTGTGTGAAGTACTGGATCGAATGTTGTATAGATTGTTTCAACGTGTGATGCGAGGGTCTTCTCGAGAGGGTCGTTGATTGTTATACACTACGGCAAGCCATGGCGAGGGGTAGTACGAGATGGCGGGGTCATGCTGCAGGAGCGACGATCTTCTGTTCGGAAGCACCTTTTTGAGTAGTCGACCGAGTCTTACCAAGTCCTACCAAATCCGGCTCACCCGAGGCCACATTTGATGTTGATAGAACATATGTTAATGCGAATCATATTTTGTGGCATGCTGGCCACAGTTGCAGGAGGATGACAATGCGAACCAACTTGTCTCGGAACAGTCCCATGAACAACATCCCTTGGAAGAGTCCAGGTTTTGCGATAAACATGATTTCAGAGGAGGAGTAGCGATTTTTGATAATGAGGTGAGTGGGTATCTTGAGTTGCGGTGGTCTTCTTCACCACCATCTGCCTTGTTTTCTCTTTTCCTCCTTCATTTCTGCCATCTGCAACAGGTTAGAATATGTAAGAATGCAGATCTTGACACTTAATATCTTACCCATTGCTTCTTGCACTCGCGGTACGCTCTGTTTGGTTGTTAGTCCAGGCATCAAAAGACAAATTTGAATGCAGACGAGCATACTCAAAGTAGTCTTGACAAAGTGCCTTGTCACCACCATTCCTTCGTAAACATCTCAAACTTCTGTCGGCAGCTTCTTGACAAGGATCAAAGTATTCGCTGTATGCTTTGCTGTAAAACGAATGCTCAATCAGCTCTCGTGCCGATGGTTGCGATGAAGGAAGGCATTGGCCACATACCTGCTGTACTTTGCACCACCCTTCTCCCAGGCCTTCTTATTCTCTTCTTCGTGACCCATTATGATTTGCTTTTACAGAATATGTTCAGGACGATCAAGTTGGTGGTGTGTTGCCACGAGGGTAGAGGCCCGAAGATGGCAGAGGTCTGTGCTTTTCGGCAGATCTTGCCGTTCCTACGACTGGATTATTCTGACGGACATTAAGCAACAAAGTCATTGTGCGCAAGGCATTATGTTAGAGTAGACAGAGAACAGAGTATTTCGGTCTGTAGATATAGTGTAATGAGTCTCTTACTTCACGTCCGTGATACTGCAAATTATGTTCTTATGCGGTCAAAGCTTGACTCGTTCACCATGAGGATTCATTTCTGATGCTTTTACTTCTTTTTAGGAGCGGCACTACTTCTTCTCCTTTCCCAAACCATTACGTACGCTTCCTTTGTACTCAGCAACTCAGCTTCCACTCTGCCAACCCATAGGTCCTGCATCTCGACCCAGCGATCGGTATCAGCATTGCTGCCTTCTTCCTTGCCTCTGTCCAACAGCTGAACGCGCCAGACCTTCTTCTCGGCTTCTCCCTCAACACTATCATCGCGCACACGAACACCTTCGTGGGTGATGTTGGCTACCAGGTCGTATATGATGGGCTCCGAGGGCGAGTGGAGTGATGGATTAGGTTCAACATAGGGTGACATGTCGAGTGATCGAGGCGAGAACGTGACAATCGTTGGATTGCGCTGGGTTTGGAGGAATTTGTTTGGTGCGAAGCGCTTGACATGCATGAGAAGGTATGGTGGTAGGGGATGCAGGAGACGGTAACGGAGACGTGTGTTGAGGCGTTCTTGTGCGCGAATGCCATCGTATTTACCCAGAATATTTGTCAGACTGACTTGAGGGATGATGTTCTCGTTTCTATCGTCTTGGAATAGTGGTGCAGCCGGGAGATCCAGGGTAAGCATCATGAAAGGGGTGACGGTGCTCTGAATGGCGGCATCTTCGAAGCGCAAACGATCCTGTGCGTCGGCGCGGGCAGTGATGGATTGAGACTCTACGCGCAATTGGCCTTGGAAGATCTTTTGTACAATACTGCTTCGTGGTTTCGTGCGGCTTCCACCTAGGCCTGTGTGTAGGTTATTTAGGAACCAGGAAAGAAAGTCGGCAGGATCGGCCTGTTCTGTCAGGGAAAACTTCTTGTTGGAGCGCTGGGAAATTTCTTGCAACAGTTCATGAGGAGAGACATGTGCTTTGAATGAGCGCGGATTCCAGATCTTGCGCAATAGAGTGCCGAAGCGCTGGACAAGTTGCGGCCGATCGTGCAGGTCTTCGAGCATGAAGAAGTTACGGAGCGGAGGAACGTGAGCCAGAGCATGGCAAACAACGTTGAAGTAGTCGTTGGCCTTGATGTTGTTCATACCGACGTAACCTGGTGTATATTTCTTCCCTTGGAGGTCCCAGGCGTGTAGTCGCACCTTGTCTAGCTTGGCGACATCTTGTTTTGAGTATTTTGGATCGACGACAAACTTGATATCTTCCAAACTCTTGTGCTTGACCTCATATCCATCTGGCAAAACATAGACTTGCTTTGTGTGCATGTTGATAAAGACATGGTGACCAATATCGAGGGCATGGAAATAGGCTTGTGATTTGGGGCCTCGACCTTGGAAATATGTGCCGCAGACCAGACAGGCGTAGACGTTGATATTCGATAACGTGACACTGCACAATTTCTCAAAGTCAAAGTCCAGCACGCCGCGGTTGATGGTGTCGAGGTATAAGTCCGAGTAGCCCTCTGCCGGCGCTTTTTGTCGCGTGGGACCAGAGACAGCAGGTTGATCGTCTTCGTCGTCTCCGTCCAGCTCGGCCTCTTCTAGCGCTTCATTCTCTTGCACGGCAGCTTCAGCTATGCCGTCGGTATGTCCATTGGTGGGCTTTGTGGTGGCAGTGGCAGTGGCAGGCGCATCCTCGTCGACGACATCTTCGACCCTGGCGCGTTTGGAAAAAGGCGAGGCGGTAGATTGTTCGAGTGGCTCGTCTGCCGGTCGCTTGCTCATTTTGGATATAAAGCGTGACAATAATCAGGTTCGGAGGTTCTGGATGGTCGCCGCAAGCTCTCTATTAGCAGATGCCAAGGCTGGAGCATGACAGCGGAGTGGGATTTTGTGAGAGCAGCAACAACCAAGTCCAACAATTTGTCCCTCCCTCATCCACACATTCCACGCACATCGCAACGATGGTCTGTACCTTCTCCAACTTGTCAATCTCTGTCTAGTCTGCTGACACCCCTCAGTCGTACAACAACCCCACGCAAATCTTCGCCGACGATGTCACAGAGGAAAAGGGCGAGAATGCCCGTCTGTCAGCCTTTGTTGGCGCTATCGCTGTAGGAGACCTCGTCAAGACCACTCTGGGTCCCAAGGGAATGGACAAGATTCTGCAATCAGGCTCCACTGGTCAGATCATGGTCACCAACGACGGTGCCACCATCCTCAAGTCAATAGCCCTCGACAATGCCGCCGCAAAGGTCCTTGTCAACATCTCGAAGGTCCAGGACGACGAGATTGGTGATGGTACCACCTCCGTCACTGTTCTCGCTGCTGAGCTGCTGCGTGAGGCCGAGAAGCTCGTCGACCAGAAGATTCACCCCCAGACCATCATTGAAGGATACCGCATTGCTTCCCAGGCCGCCCTGGCCGCCCTCTCAAAGACCGCCGTCGACAACAGCTCAAACCCCGAAGCTTTCCGCAAAGACCTCGTCGCTATTGCCAGCACCACCCTCAGCTCAAAGGTTCTCTCACAAGATCGCGAGTACTTTGCCAACTTGGCCGTAGATGCCGTCCTGCGCATGAAGGGTTCAACCGACCTCTCCCACATTCAGATTATCAAGAAGGCTGGCGGCAAGCTGTCCGACTCATACCTCGACTCAGGTTTCATTCTCGACAAGAAGTTCGGTGTCAACCAGCCCAAGCGTCTCGAAAATGCAAACATTCTGGTCGCAAACACTGCCATGGACACAGACAAGGTCAAGATTTTCGGTGCTCGCGTCAAGGTCGATTCAACCGGCAAGTTGGCAGAATTGGAAAAGGCAGAGCGCGAAAAGATGAAGCAAAAGGTCGACCGCATCAAGGCACACGGTATCAACTGCTTCGTCAACCGCCAACTCATCTACAACTGGCCCGAGCAGCTGTTCAGCGATGCCGGCATTTGCAGCATTGAGCACGCCGACTTTGATGGTGTCGAGCGTCTTGCTCTTGTTACTGGTGCCGAAATTACCTCAACTTTCGACCACCCCGAGCTTGTCAAGTTGGGTCACTGCGATTTGATCGAAGAGGTTATCATTGGTGAGGACACTCTCATCCGCTTCTCAGGCGTCGCTGCAGGTAAGGCTTGCACAGTCGTCCTGCGTGGTGCTACTGAGCAACTGCTCGACGAGGCAGAGCGCTCCCTTCACGATGCCCTTGCCGTCCTCTCCCAGACTGTCAAATTCCCCAAGACCACTCTTGGTGGTGGTTGTGCCGAGATGGTCATGGCCAAGGCCGTTGACCAGGCCGCTCAGAACGTCGCTGGCAAGAAGGCCATCGCTGTCGACAGCTTTGCCAAGGCTCTGCGACAATTGCCCACCATCCTTGCCGACAACGCGGGTCTCGACTCTGCTGAGTTGGTCAGCCGTCTTAAGAACGCAGTGTACAGCGGCATGACCAACTCAGGTCTTGATTTGTTGAAGCCCGGCGGTGGTATCACAGACATGCGCGAGTTGGGTGTTGTTGAGGCCTACAAGCTCAAGCACGCTGTTGTGAGCAGTGCTAGCGAGGCTGCCGAGCTCTTGCTACGTGTAGACAACATCATTCGCGCTGCCCCGAGGAGGAGAGAGCGTATGTAAAGTATTCAAAAGTTCAGATACCCGACGAGTAAAAGAAAGTCTTTCGGAAACCCTTTAAACATGCCGTTCCTGTTCTCTCTTAAAGACTTTATTTTCATCTTTTACGTATGTTCAATTTGATGAATCATGACACCGGCCTCTAATATATCCTCTTCTACAACATCGCCCTCAACTCCTTAGCCTCACTCCTGTCCAATCCTAGATGCTCCACCACCATACCCAAATGATCAAAGCCCCAGTACTTTTCCGTCACACCCTCTTTGTTGGTGGCCACAAACCACGGTAAGCCGAATGCGCCCTCCTTGAAAGCCAAGTCGGTGTTAGCTGTCAACTTTGCCTTTGCCTCTGGCTTTGTGCTCTATCCATTCTGTCAGCAAAACTCCCACTCCTCACAACAAAATCAAGACCAATAAACGAAGACTCAAATCATACCTGTTCAACAACATTTTTAGCACCCTCTTTACTCAAAACCTCTGCAAGTACAGCCTCAAAGACTTCAGGCTTATGGACTGTCTTTCCGTCCACCCACATGCCTTTATACAGTGCTGCAATACAATCGGCAAGTTTGTCTGGTTGGTGTTGCTCTACCACTGCCAGAGTTCTCATTACGTGTAGAGTCATGGGTGGAAAGTCCTTGGGCATGTTCTTGCCCATGGGGATATTCGCGTATTTGGACCAGCGCTTGCGGTCGGATTCGATGTAGGCTGCTTTGTCTGTTTTTGTGCATATTAATGAAAAAGGAAAGGGAGATGAGTAGGGAAATTTGTTTGCTTACTTGTAATGGTGATGGGAGGGCGATTGTCACAGGCTTTCATCACACCACCTAGGAAAATAGGGATGTAGGTAATTTCTACTTGCTTGAAAGCCTGAGAGCGCTGGAGGACGTAGAAGGCCATGTAGGCGAATGGACTGACTATGTCCACGAACAGGGTGAGTTTAGGTTTCTGAGCCATGGTGTCTTTCGCGATTGATATCTGTGACGAGATGGATATGGTTTGGTCTAGAGGAGAAGAGAAGAAGATAGACGGTCTTGAGCTTAGGAGATTAGAATGTTGACTCAACTGTTATGTGAATAGTCGTCGTCCTCGGATGAATGTTGCTTTTACCTCTGTCCACAAGCCGAGGTGCGGGGCTGAGTGGACGTTCAAGGTTTCAATTCAAATGGAGATGGGAATAACACGGCAATAATATGGTCCAACATCAACTCGTAACCCCAAGGACGCATATATATGAAGATACATCAAACACTGTTATTTGAATGTCTACAATCTATGAGCACTATCTTCACCTGTGTTGGAAATGCTAGCTGAACTGCAAGACAATCGCTCATGCACTAGGAGACTTGTAGATGTTGAGAGTGGCAGATCCACCGCACATTATGGACGAGTTTCCTGTACAAGCCATGTTACATCTAGAGTCATCGGCCAATTTTTGGGCTCCATTGACGACTTGAATAGCATTGCCGCACCTGTGAGGTCGTTCTGTCAGTGGAATTGGTCCTAAAGGAACTCAAAGCGAGATCGAATACTTACCAACACTCCCTGGCATACTCGACACCAGCATACTTCAAACCACGGCCCTTGCAGAAAGTCTGACATGCCGAAGGAGTCATGTTGTTAGGGTCAGTGTAGTATGTTGAGTTCAAGGCACGGTTGTAGTTGGTGGCTTCGGTGTAGCAACCGACATATGCCCAGTTGGGGTTGGGAACAGGCTTGACAATACTGGTGCAGTTGGGTTGAGTTGGCAAAGACTCGCCGACTATTCCACAAAGCTGTCCTGAGAACTGTTGAGTGAGGAGCAGATCTGCAGAAGAACACGACGAAGCGACACAGCAGGCAATGTCGTTCATGAACTCGGGGTGGCTGCAGATGCACTGAGGATTGCCATTGCACTCGGCAGGAAGGCTCTGGGCGCATTTTTGCTACATACGTGTAAGACCATGGGCACATCGCTATGAAGAGACGAGGAACAACTACTTACTGCACAGGCAGGGACCTGGGCGACATTGATGCTAAGAGCCTGACTCAGACTGACAGGAACAGTAGCCGTGCTCACTGGAGTCGAGGCAGCAGAGGCACCAAGACAGGAGATGAGAGCTGCAAAGCCAAAGAAGAGAGTAGGAGCTTGCTTCATGTTGACTCGATTGATGGGTTGTTACAATCAAGATGAACAGACTTGCAGGGAGGAAGGCAAGGCAGACGCTTCAATTATAAGATGCGGCTCACTTTGAGAATACATGACGAAAGTGGTTTTGTTCTCGATGAAAGAAACGACGCTCGATCAAGGCTCAATAGGTTTTCCGCTCGCGGCTCGGCGATGAATAGGAGGTGGTTCATTGTTCGAAGCCGCCGGATGCAGAAGTTGAGCTCGGCAGACATTTCCGCGAGTAGGCCCCTAAGCCTAGGGCCTCATATACATTACTTGAAACTCATGACCTAAGTTGTATGCCACATTACAGCTCTATTGAGTCATGCATAATGTATTTACTTGCAGGAAATGAGGCACATACTGGCACATCTGCCGATTGATGATCTCGGTGTGGAGATGAACAAAGGACCGGTTCTAATCTTGCCGGACGTCCGGGTCAGAATGTAGATGTGGAATGTAGCTGCTGTCCGTCACAATATGATCCGACTCTTGGCTGTTTGTATTTGAGACGTCTGGGATATCCTGTTGGCGGTGATGGCTCAGTTGGAGCTTCATTTGACGTTGTGTCTCGAGAGTGACCCAGGGGCTTTGTTGTTCTGAACATTCGTCAAAGGAAGGAACCCAAGGACATGCGAATGGGTGGGTGGGTACTGCCTACACGCTCTTGTGTCCGAGGTGATGCCGCAAGAGTTGCCAATGTTTGTCGTCTGCTTTGGCACTATACTTTCTTGTAACACTGCCGTCCTTTGCTGCGATGACTATCAAAATGGAGCGGATCGTTGCTCTGTAACCAGCACTTCGTGCCCAAGGCTGTGATGTCAAGCCGTGAGGAGGAGTTGTGTCTTGTGGAAAGTCAAGCTACGCTCGGGCTCGGTCCTCTTTCAGCTTGATTCTGTCTCAAAAGATCATGCCCCATCAAAATGATATACCAGCTTCCGGCAAGAAACCATTTTTTCCACTCCTTTTCTTCGCAGGTACATCGCTCTCGCCGTAGTTACGATACCAGCGGTGTCTGCTGGTTTCCATGAAGTTCTGCTGTGGTCACAGTCAGGAGCTTGTCGGAAGCTAATGTGTGTGAAAGCTTGGTATGAGTTAGTTTCGACGAATGAGTGAAAGCTACCACAACAACAGCCTCCCGACATCTCCCATAACTCACTCACACACTTGCCAGGTGGTTACTAAGCAGTTTACTAAGCAGCGAGTGCGCCAGATCGATATAAAAGAAGGTCTCCTCTCCGTTGAATCTCTTCTTCTTTTCTTCATATTCCTCATACGGCACACACCACTGCCCCTGCCATCTACTCTGCCTGGCTCTTGGGTACCACAGGTTGCAGACTCTGACGCGGTGGCTGGCCACTCTCAGTGCATCGAGCTTCAGTAGCTTCGGGTGTCAACCACTCGACTACTGAGGTGTCCATGCTCTGACCAGTGGCAGCCACAAGCTCAGATGATCTCCCTCTGGTTACTCAAGCCCCATGTTGCAGTAGAAAGGCAGTCGCTGGGCCTTGCTTGTCATCCATGCTCTCCTACCTCTTGCGGCTCCGGCCTCTCGAGGTAGAGCGCTGGGTGAGAAGCTTGAGTGTGTGTCCTCTGTGGGGGCGTCGACGATACCCTGGCTGCGAAGCATGCCCACTGTGCTTTCAGATGCCGCGGCGACACTCGGGTTCAACTCCTTGGTTGTCGTCCCTTCCTGGGTAGTGGTGGGTGCCACAGCAAAAGGCTATCGTCGACGTCCGGCACAAGCTCTCACCTCACCGTGGTGTGTCGGTCTAGTAACCTCTTTCAGGGGTGAAGCCAACGAGAGCACAATTTTCTTTTTCATCAGTTCTGACTCTGGTTTCTCAACTGGAGGCTGAAGAAGAAGACATCGGTATACAGCCTGTGGTGTGTACTGCAGTCCGTGTCCTTGTCTCTATTGTCGCCACGGTCGTCGCTGGTGCCTCGACGAGCGTGTAGCCATGTTGCTGCCTTCGCGAAGGTCAGCGCCACTTTCTCGCCGAGATGTGCTTGCTGTGCCTGGATCCTCGTCGCCTTGTCACAGTATACAGCCTGGCAGCTCCGCTCCTCGACAGTTAGATAGAACCAGAATCATCCAACAAGCATGTGTTCTTCGTGATAGTCGTACCGATCGCCGTAGCTACTTTCGCATGAATGGACACCTCTTCGACGGACTTCTTTTTTGTGGATGGTGTAGATGCCGCGGCGTTCTATCGACTTGAGATAGGTATGATTTTACAGAAACACAGTCAGGGGCACAGAGCTCTTTGCTCGTACCAAAGTTGGCCTTGTGAAGTGCTTGGTATACAGCTATCAAGATACAAAATGCTTCCTGCGCTCAGGCCCGTGTTCGTTGAGAGTAAGCATTTTCCAAACCCTCGACACAAGGTTGGCTGATCGCGAAATCATTTCGTCTTCCGACAGCTACATAGCGACACTTGATCCGGAAAAACACAGTCGTCACAGCAAGAAAAAAGGCCCTGCAGCCGCGCTGATGTTATGGTACCACAAATTTGTGTTGATTAATGCTTTTTGTTATTGAAATATATATACATACCACGAGTCATAGTGGGCGTGAAGTAGCGAGACATCAGTGATAGCGCTGGGCTTAGAAGTTTGATCTGTTGTATGCCAGCCATGTTTTCCATGGCTGTCGCCAGTCGGTCACTCTGAGCTTTGGAGCAAAGACATCGAAGTCGTGCTTTTGCAGTCTCTCAAGCCATAGACTTGTAGGCACAGCAGAGAGATAGACTGGGAAAGCCTGCTGGATCTCTTGTGCAGGTGTGGATGATTGTGATGGAGCGTAGTTTATGTGTTCCTCCTCGTGGCCATGTTCAAAGTCGTGACCGGCATCCTGACCAGCTCGGATGTTCTTGACCATCTCCCGCGCAGTAATGAGATGGTCGCTGGCTCTTGTTGCAACCTCGAAGACAGCATCACGAAGGCCGGGAGCCTCGGCACCTTGACGGAGTACTTGTTCCTCCCGTACACCATGTCTTGCCATGACATCCAGAGGCAACATAACAGAGCCCTGTCTAGTAGCGCCAACGTCGCCAGCCATGCCTCCTTGGTTCGAGTGGTGGTTTGCCGGACCAGGGAAAGCAAGCAACGGCAGACCTCTCAGAACAGTGGCGATTCCGGTAGCTTTTCCAATATGCGAAGCGACATGGTCGGCAGTAAGAGAGGCCATAGGCATGGCCTGAAGGGTCAGGTACATCAAGGTTGAATATGTGTTCTCAGCGTATGACTCGACGGCGGCCAGGTCAGGATACGGTGGGTTTGTCAAGTATTGCTCTCTCGTGGAGATGATCCTGTGGAACCAGCTCTTGCTAAACTTTGATTTGCCATTGGTCCTTCGCTGCAAGTCTTCGGCGGCATGAGCAAGCAGGACGGCGATGGGCTGTTTTGGAGGAGTTCCAGCCAATGCTTTTGTTATGGCATCTCGTTGGAATTGCAGGCGCATTGAGCCAATAGTTGGAGTACTCGTGGTATCGGCAGTCCTGGCGACCTCTATGTTGAAGGCACGGATGGCGAGGTAGGCATCGCGCGTCTTTGGTGGCATATATGATTGTAATAGGAAGGAGGGAGTGTCATACTTTCTGTAACACAGTTAGACAAGGCATGCGACAATGGACATGGGTATTTCTTGCCTCAAGAGATCCAGACAGTAGGCTCTCGCTGAGCCTACCTCTGCCTCGGACGACACTGTCGCAGCAGGTTGCTGCACTTCAGTAGCATATGTCCTTCGGAATTGGCATTGCTGTCTACCTAGCGCACCTCTAAGAGTGCGGCAAGCTGTTTGTCCTCTCATTGTCAATGGCTCAAAACGACGAGAAGGCAAGATGCTATGGGATCAATTTATCGCAGCCACCCGAAATCATGACCGCAAACATGACGATGCTGTACCAGATGAAGCCTAGTCTTTCATAAATTGCATAAGATCAGGTCTAAAGTTTGACCGGATTTCACAAAATAAAGTAGGAACGCGCATCAACGCGTCTTCCAGAGTTTCGTCCATCATAGAGGCGACACAGAGCACTTGACGACAGTGCGGAATGAGCATATCACACATGGACGAGCGACCAAACAAGAAGAGACGCTTCTTCGCCGACAAAGACTCTACCCAGGATGCTTCTTTCGCCTCTGATCCCTCTGGTCCAGACGAAGTCAATGCACTAAATGAGGTCGACCGAAACGCCACCACCACTACACAGCGCGAGCAAGAGTCAACAACAAGTGTGAATCGCTTCGATGCGTCTCTTTTCCAAGCCTTCGTTGGTAATGACGCTCCTCAAGCTACCATCAACGCCCTACAGCGAATATGTGGCAACGATGTCGAGCGAGCCGTCAACATGTACCTGGACGGCTCATGGCAGAATCATCCTTTGATCTCCAATGCTTCTTCGCCCGCTCCGCGTCCCAGCCGTCCAAAGGTCAAGGACACTCCATCCACACCTGCACAGAACATCGACCCACCCAAGGTCAACCTGGCCGCCATGCCGAGCAAGAGATATATCGGTGCCATGGGAGTCATCGGTTGGACTACACGTAGTGGTACTGGCATTATCACCTCAGGGGAAAAGATCAAGATTGAAAGAGCTAGGCCGTCACAGCAAAAGGTTGGCAAGGGAGGCAAGTCACGAGCCTCAACACGTCAGGATGTTATTGTGCGCTTCACCAATGCCAAAGGGGAAGAGGTTGGTCGCTTAGAGCAGGACTCGGCCGCCTGGATCTCCACGCTGATGGACCAGAACATATGTCACTTCGAGGGCCACTGTGTCTTTGCGCCTGATCGTGTACGTACCAACGACACCGTCTACCTCCAACTGCGATGTTTCTTCCTCAAGTCATGCTTCAGCGCTGGCAGCCTCATCAAACCATTGGACAATAACAGAGAAACTGGTCTGTATGAAGCAAAGGAAACTCGGGATGAGAAAGACCTCCGCTTGCGTCAAGTCGGCCTTGTGAAGCTGTTCTCGGAGATTAATCTTCATCCATCACGCGCCAACTCTGCTACCGAAAAGCACAAGAGAGAGGGCATTCTACGCGCTGCTGAGATGCCCGACCAAGCTGAACAGACCACTGCCAGTACTGCCAAACCAGCCAAATCATCCGATCAAGCGGCTTCGTCTCCTCCTTCCGACGATGCTGAAGATGGCCAAGAGCTGGAGCAAGATCAGCTGGACAGCCTATACAGGAAAGCACAATCTTTTGATTTCAACACGCCTGTCATGCAACCTGCCGAGACGTTTGTCCTGGATCTCCGAAAATACCAGAAACAAGCTCTGCACTGGATGGTAGGTAAAGAGAGAGACCAAAAATCTGACCACAAGGAGGTGTCGATGCACCCACTCTGGGAAGAATACATGTGGCCTACAAAAGATGCAGATGATGCACCGGTGCCTCAGGTTGAGGACCAGTTAAACTTCTACGTCAATCCTTACTCTGGTGAATTGTCATTAGATTTTCCTGTCCAGGAGCAGAATTGCCTTGGTGGTATCCTGGCGGATGAAATGGGTCTTGGCAAGACCATCGAGATGCTCAGTCTCATACACACGCATACTTCAGAATTCGGTTCACAAGGCGCTAAGATGTCAACGGTTATGGACCTGCCACGTTCGCCCAAAAGCTCTTCTGGTGTTGCTCGGGCACCGTGTACTACCCTGGTCGTTGCTCCCATGTCCTTACTAGCACAATGGCAGAGTGAAGCAGAAAAGGCTTCGAAGCCCGGCACCCTCAAGACCCTGGTGTACTATGGCTCAGACAAGAACGTAAATCTGAAGACCTTGTGTTGCGAGGCCAATGCAGCATCGGCACCTCATGTCATCATTACTAGTTATGGTACCGTGCTGTCGGAGTACAACCAAGTCGTTGCTGCTGGTGGTGACAAAGGATCAAGCGGCGGCTTGTTTTCTCTTGACTACTTCCGTGTGATCCTTGACGAAGCCCACATGATCAAAAACCGGCAATCAAAAACTGCTCGTGCTTGCTATGAGATTGCTGCAGAGCATCGCTGGACTCTGACAGGTACGCCTATCGTCAATCGCCTTGAAGACTTGTTCAGTCTGGTACGCTTCCTCCGCGTTGAACCCTGGAGCAACTTCTCTTTCTGGAAAACGTTCATTACCGTGCCGTTCGAGTCGAAGGATTATGTTCGAGCACTTGATGTGGTCCAAACCGTACTTGAGCCTCTTGTGTTGCGTCGCACAAAGGACATGAAGACTCCAGATGGCGAGGCGCTGGTCCCATTACCGCCGAGAACGATCGACATTCAGAAGATTGAGCTCTCGAAGGTTGAGCGAGATCTGTATGACCACATCTTTGCTCGAGCCAAGAGGACATTTGCTGCGAACGTCGAAGCTGGAACTCTGATGAAGTCTTACACGACAATTTTTGCACAAATTCTGCGACTTCGACAATCATGCTGTCACCCGACGTTGGTGCGTAGCAAAGGCGTTGGTGCAGATGAGGAGGACGCTGAGGCTGCGGCAGACATTGCCAATGGTCTGGCTGATGACATGGACTTACAGTCTCTGATTCAACGCTTCGAGTCCGAGGCCGAAGAAGAAGATGCAAGCCGCTTTGGTGCCAATGTGCTCAAGCAAATCCAAGCAGAGTCAAATCACGAGTGTCCGATCTGTTTCGAGGAGCCTATGGAAGAGCAATCTGTCACAGGCTGTTGGCACAGCGCTTGCAAGAAGTGTCTTCTCGACCTGATTGAGAACGCAACCAGCAAGAACGAACTGCCGCTGTGCTTCAACTGCCGTGAACCCATCAACGCTCGCGACATCTTTGAGGTCATCAGACATGATGACGAAGATGACGAAGAAGCTGGTGTGGCCAAAGACAAGTCACAGAACAGTTTCGAAGACATCTACACAGCAACACAACCTAGTGACTCGACTGACTCGCAACAACGTCTCCCTCGCGTGTCTCTCCGCCGTGTTAACACTCTATCCTCAGCCAAGATCGGCGCTCTCTTGACTCACCTCAAACGTATCAAGAAAGCCTCGCCAACCACCAAATCAGTCATCTTCTCACAGTTTACCTCTTTCCTCGATATCCTTGAGCCCGCTCTCGATGGGGCCTCAATCCCCTACTTCCGCTTCGATGGCAGCATGGCACAGAAAGCCCGTGCCGCAGTCCTCTCCGACTTTGCCAATCGCACAAAAGGCTGCGTGCTGTTACTCTCCCTCAAAGCAGGCGGTGTGGGCTTGAACCTGACGTGCGCAAGCAACGTCTTCATGATGGATCCCTGGTGGAGTTGGGCTGTCGAGTCACAGGCTATTGACCGCGTGCACCGCATGGGCCAAACTCAAGAAGTCAAGATTGTGAGATTTGTGGTTGATCAGAGTATTGAAGAGAAGATGCTTAGGGTGCAGGACCGTAAAAAGTTTATTGCTAGTTCGTTGGGGATGATGAATGAGGATCAGAAGAAGTTGCAGAGGATTGAGGATATCAAGGAGTTGTTGAGTTAAGACCACTATGGATGATACGGGTTATCGATCATTATGTTCAAAAGGAGGGATCGAGTGCTCCTACTTCTGGCCTGGCTGGGCATGATATGGATCATAAGCGTTGACAGCATTCTGTAGATATGCATTCATCAACTGTGTAAATACTAGACTTTGTTTGCTATTCTTTGCTTGAGATGCTTGCCATCTATCGCACCCTGGCTGTGACCACTGTCTGTCTACAAGCGCCAGATTCTCTCCTGTTCAACCAGAAAAGCACACATTCTCGAAGAGAGAACTCTGGAAGAGAGCCATTCGAGATCTCTAGATACGAATATATTCTCAAGTAGGTCTCTCCCAGAATTTTCTGTTCGAGCATATGTGCTCGGCAGTCGTATAAGTGAGATATATTGGACGCCAGTGCTGCTCAAAAGTTCAAAAGCCAGTCGAGTCGCAGATGAACAGGCTCCAGATCGAGATCCTGACTCTGAAGTCGTTCTGCATCTGTAGCGAATTCGTCAACTGCCTATGACTGATAGACAGCCAGAGCAGAATCAGGTAACGCGCAATCGCTAATACGATGTTACAGATCAGATATCGAAGAACGACGCATCAAATTTGCTTTCACTACCATCGCCTGTGGCACTTCCAGAGAAGTCACCAAGATCAAACTCTGTAAAGTTCATAATGTCGTCGAAAGTATCGTCTCTATTGCCCATCTCAGGTTGCCCTTGAGCATCTTGCTTGGCATCACCTTTCTGGTCTTGCTGCTGTGGAGCACTGCCAAAGTCACCAACACCTGCTGCGTCGAAGATGTCAAAGTCTGCAGGAGCCGATTGAGAATTCGAGTCCGTGCCTCCGTTACCGCCACCAGAGTTTGCATAGCTCTCGAGACCAGGGAGGAGAGAGGATATGCCATCCGTATCTTGCATGACTGTATCAGGCGGACCAAAGTTCGTCAGATCGGCAAAGTCGAAGTCATCATTGTCATTGAAGGATGCTGGCTTGATGGGTTCCTCATCGGGAATGGTCATTGTTCTGACTGGAGGCGGCTTTGTGTCCTGGACAGTGGGGTTGGTTGTTGTTGCTGCTTCTGCTTGGGGCCGGGGTGGTGATGGAGCAGGTATATCTTTAGGACTCGCTCGCGATGCAGCGCCTGCGCTGCTTGGGTCGTTGAAGAGAGACTCGAAATCGAAATTGCTGTAAGTACCGGTATTCTCATCGCCTGCGTGGCCTGCAGCTTGGTGATCCTGTCCAGGGATATCAAGGTGAAGGGATGAATTTGATTCGGTTGCTTGCTCTCCTTCCGGTAGTGAGACTGCGTCTTTGGGCGGTGATGGCTTAGCATTTTCTAGTGGAGACTCGCCCATGACAATGTCATCGTCCAGACTAATTGCCGCTGTGTTGTTTGTGCCATGCTCAGGCTTCACTGTACTGGCAGCTTTAGGATCTGTTCGAGCTGCTCGCTGAGAGCGGTATACAGCAAGATCACGGCGCATGACGGCGCGTGCCAGAGTCTGATCACATAGTCAATGTCTGTTGTCGATTGCAGTGATAAGATAGAGCAAAAACGGTGTAACGGAAATTTTTGAACGGGTAAGACGAAGTGAATCGAAAGCCAAAAATTCATGTGAACTTACCAATTCACCTTCTAACTGATCAAGCGCATCATGGAAGTTGTTGTTTGCCCCAGCGATGACCTGTTTTAGTCTCAAGGGGTTGTTGATCTGGCCATGATTCCTCGCATTGTTTGCAAAGAGACGACCTGTGTGTTCCAACTGTTCATGGCATGATAGGTTAGTACGACTTGCGATGGTATTCAGAGCAGCAATGCCTGTAATACGCACGACGAGATTGACCTGTGCCTCAAGCTGATCCAGCGGCGATCTGACGGCTTGGGCACGATCCATGTCGAGATTATGGCGTGACACGTGCCGGATTGGCAAGGCGGCGATTCTTGGGATTGCAAAAAGAGGGGTTTGGGCGATGGCAATGTCAAGTAAGAAGCAGCTGCAGCGGCTCTCGGACAGCGAGAGCAGACAGAAGGAAGCAGCGAACGACGTTCACGGCAGGCGCAGCGGCAGTCTCGGGCAGTAACGTTAACCTTGTTCGCACAAGTGAGCAAGCGCTCAAACTGCAACAAAGATGAAGCCGGCGCGCAACAAGACCCTTGGGGCCGGGCGCGCTAACTAGGATTAGATTAATGAGAGTCTCGTGTGGACCCAGCGCCAATCTGTCACCTTTCGCTGTTACGAGCTGCCTCCCCAAGCTGTTTCCGCTCTCCTTCTTTCTATCTCTTTCCTGGCTACTGTTACGTCGCTTGTCCTTTTTCTCTACATCTCTTCCTTTGCGTTGACTCGACATTTCTGTGTTTTGTTCAGCGTTCTGAAAAGTTGCTTCTCTTTTGGCCAAGTCTCTGGCTTTTTTCCTTCCTGAGTCCGCCATCTCCTCTTGCCAGGCCGCCCGCCCATCTCGACTTCAACTGTACCTCTACAGCTCGAGTCCCTTCGACCAAGTCTTCCCACCTCGTGCTTGTTGATCTTCACGATAAAGCATCCTCGTCAACCTCGTTGAGCAGCGTACCAACCCCGCCAACGTCCAGCTTCTGCAGCAGCCAAACACTCCCGCTTGTCGAAGCTTCAACCCCAGCCTTTGTTCGATTAATTGTCTCGGCCTGTTTCACCGCTACTCACTCCGACTCAATTTCTTTCTCTCGTCAGATCAAGTCTAAGAAAAATGTCCGACAACCAGAACCAGATGCAGATGCCCGCTGCCTCCTCGGCTGGCGGTGCTCCTGGCCAGTACCCCCCGCTCAACATCCCCCAGAGCACCATCGAGGCCAACGCCATGACCGATGCCATGAACAACAACGGCAATGGCCTCAACTCGCCTGGTAGCGCCGGTGGTCCTCGCCGTGCCGCCCCCGAACCAAACAAGAGAGCTCTCTACGTCGGTGGTCTGGACCCCAGGGTCACAGAGGAAGTGCTCAAGCAAATCTTCGAGACCACCGGACACGTTCAGAGTGTTAAGATCATCCCTGATAAGAACGTAAGTTCTAATTATACTGCCGCCTTTCTTTCTAGTTCTGTGTGCGGTCGTAGCAGTGACTACTGTCTCTGCCGTCACTTTCAGCAATCATGGTTGCCTGGACTGCATGCGCATGCATGTGCATGCATCATGCGGTTTCACGTGTTGTTTGTTCCGTCTGCGTTTTCTGCGCTCGTTACGCTGCCTGTTTCCACCTTTGCCAACACGCTCTGTTGTACCGAATCACCATCCACTGACAACACCTTCTTCTAGTTCCAGTCAAAAGGATTCAACTACGGCTTCGTTGAGTACGACGATCCTCTTGCGGCAGAACGAGCAATGCAGACTCTTAACGGAAGACGTGTCCACCAATCGGTAAGCACATTGTCACTTCCCACGCGATAGATGTGACAATAATTGCTGACACGTGATGGCAGGAAATCCGCGTGAACTGGGCCTATCAGTCCAACACCACCAGCAAGGAAGATACTTCTGGCCACTTCCACATCTTTGTCGGCGATCTTTCCAATGAAGTGAACGACGAGGTTCTCCTCCAGGCTTTCTCCGCCTTTGGTAGCGTGTCTGAGGCTCGCGTCATGTGGGACATGAAGACTGGCCGCTCTCGTGGCTATGGCTTCGTTGCTTTCCGTGACCGCGCTGAAGCCGAGAAGGCTCTCAGCTCCATGGACGGCGAGTGGCTGGGTTCTCGTGCTATTCGTTGCAACTGGGCAAACCAGAAGGGTCAGCCCTCGTTCGCTCAGCAGCAGGCCATGGCCCAGATGGGTATTACCCCTCCCGGTCCCTTCGGTCAGCACCACCAGTTCCCCACTCAGGGCGTCCAGTCCTACGACACCATCCTTGCCCAGACTCCTCAATGGCAGACAACTTGCTACGTCGGCAACCTCACTCCCTACACCACCCAGAACGACCTTGTTCCTCTGTTCCAGAACTTCGGCTATGTTACAGAGACTCGCTTCCAGTCTGACCGTGGATTCGCTTTCGTTAAGATGGACTCTCACGAGAATGCTGCCATGGCCATCTGCCAGCTGAACGGCTACAACGTCAACGGCCGTCCTCTGAAGTGCAGCGTAAGTTTGCTTTTCCTCGCGCCGCAAGAACTATTGCTAACATTCAGTGCAGTGGGGTAAGGACCGTCCTCCTACCACCAACTTCGAAGGATTCTCTCCTGCTGCCGCTGCCGCTGCTGCTGTTGGCGGTGGTGCTGGTTACCCACCCACACCTCAGGGCTTTGGTTTCCCTCAGTACGGTGCAGCTGCTCCTATGTCTCCTCAAGGTACAATCGTCTCAAGAAATGATACTGCCAGCTCTTCTGACATTCTTGTAGGTCCTAGTCCTGGTGGCTTCCAGCAGCCTGCTGCTCAGTTCGCCGGCGCTAACATGGCCGCTTACGGTCAAATGCCCCAGAACGGCGGTGGCTTCGGCCGCGGCAACTACATGGGTGGCCCTCAGGGTGGTGCCTTCAACAACTACGGTGGTTACCAGGCTTAGAAGGCTTCTGCCCCTAGTGCGTCGACCAAGGCTCAGCAACTGGCTCCAGCGCTGCGTAGCGGAGATGGCAAATACGACCAGAAACCGAGATATGCCGACGATTAAAACATCGACGACTTTGGCTCAAGCGAGTAGCCGTTGACACGAACATTTCCTTGCCGGTCCTGTCGTTGGATAGGAAGTACTTTTTTCAATTCTGGCATTCGTCACTCGATGTTTCCAGCTCTTTATACCCTCGCAACTTCTTGCACACAGCATGGGGTTCGTCAAAGTTGTGCTTTTACTTTGCATGTGGGAAGCGGTTTTGTTTTTTGCTTTCAAGAAAAATCAAGCATCTCCTTTCGATTTCATGGATGCAGACAATGTGCAGAACAAGGCACAAGGAAAGATGGACGGATGGACACATTTGGAGGATTCGAACAAAGGAAGCGTCTTTATGTAGCTCTCTGCCCTTTTCTCATTCTCCCTTCTTCATCTTTTTCTCTTCGAATTTTCCTTGGTAAAAGTCTCCATGAACATGTCTTTTCCTATGTTGCTTTCTGTTGAAACTGATGAGAAGCACGTCTCATTCCTGAAGCTCTATACCCATTTCTTAAATCTGTTTTTCGTCTGCCATTTACTTTGGGAGTTCAAATCGGTACATAGTTGGCAAGTCGCACAAATTGCAAATATCAACGCCGCTCGATTGTTCTGTCCGCTCTGTATACTTCGGTCTGTAATTCCCATCGTAATTGAACTGTAGCTAAGAGCACCATATAGACTATAAAAAGGCATAGTCGTTATGGAAAGCAGAGGCATGTCCACGGAGAGTCGACAACTTGTTGCTTCCTAGCGGATATCATCGTTTCCTACTACTAGCATGCAACTCCATAGTTATACGCTTGGACTACTTCTGCACAGGGAGAATCAGTCAAGCTACGACAGAGATGTGACCAAATTTACAGTGTTAATGGAAGGAAGGGGCAGACACGTGTATTGGCAGCCTAGAGCCAAAAACGGAAACAACCGGCGCGTCGAGACAAAGTTTACGCGTACCCCTCGGCGACAAAAGTGGTTTACACTCGAGAAGACGTGGGAGTGGTTGAAATCGTCGCCTTGATCTTATTAGCGCTGGTCGTGGTGTACTGCATGCTGGGAGGAGGTTACAGCGCTACGGGATTGCTGCGCGGGTGGATTGGAAGAAGGACAATCGCCAGAGCTGCTGCTGCCGCCCATCGTCGACAACAACTCGAAGCACAAGTGCAAGCACAAGCACAAGCACATTCCGCCGCTGTCGCCAGGTCGCACCTGAACCCACGCTCCTTTTCCTCGCACGACGACCGTCTGCGCTCTCGCACCATGCTCAGTGCTGCAGTCAACAGGCACAACGCCTCGACTGCTGCCTCCAACTCCAAGCCCCTCGATCAGCTTTTCTCCTCTAGCCCTCCAGCGCAGCAGCAATCCCAAAAGTCTTCCGTCTTGTCTACAGCCTCCAAGAATTCAAAGTCCATTAACGGTATCAAGCGTACACACAGCGGTCTTGCAAAAACTTTTGGCAATACTGCCTCCTTTGACGACGAACAGAACCAACCCGTCGTATGCGCCGTCCCTGAAGTCACCAACAGCGAATACTTTGATGCCGACGATTTTGACGATGACTTTGACATCGATGATTTGATTGTCGAAGAGCCCAAGGCCAAGAAGCCTACCCCGAGAACCTCCAAGAACACCATCTCGTATCCTACTCTTCCCAAAATCACTGCTCCGCAACACTCTGCCTTTCGTCCCACCCTGCCGAAACGCCAGGTCCGCGATTCCGTTGTCACCGATGATTCCGGCTACGTCTCTACCGAGCATACTCAAGAGCAGCCGGTAAAGCTTGAAAGTAGCGCCCCTTTGCCCTGGTCCTCATCGCCAACCGAACATTTGAATCCCTCGCATAATGCTTCCTCACTCAGCCGCTTTGCATACAATACAAGTAATGGACCTTCCGCTCCCCGAATGCAGCCACCACCTGCTGCGGTGAAGACCGAGCCCCCAGCTGCTTCCAAGCGAAGAACATTACCATGGCTCAAGCAAGAGACGTCAGAACCAGAACAAGGTTTACACTCTATTCCACCCTCGAAGAAACGCGTCGTCGATTCGACGCCTGTCCAGACATCAAAGAAGAGCGCTCTCCCCTGGAACACGACCGCAAGTGCCATCAAGGAACAAAAGACCAGTCTGCGCGAGATCAACAAGAAGAAGTCCAAGTTCAACGAGCCCTCCGACGAAGTCATCCAAAAAGCAAAGGTCAAGAGTCGCAAGAACATGGTCGCTCGTGTCTTTCTCAGTGACGAACAACAACACGTTCTTGATTTGATTGCTGAGAAAAAGAAGGCTGTTTTCTTTACTGGTGCTGCTGGTACTGGTAAATCCGTCCTTCTACGTGAGATCATCGCAACCCTGCGCAAGAAGTACCTGCGCGAGCCCGATCGTGTCGCTGTCACGGCTTCCACTGGTCTTGCTGCATGTAACATTGGTGGTGTTACATTACACAGCTTTGCTGGTATCGGTCTAGGTAAAGAAGATGTACCAGAGTTGGTCAAGAAAATCAAACGCAACCAGAAGGCAAAGCACAGGTGGATGCGCACAAAAGTCTTGATCGTTGATGAAATCTCGATGGTTGATGGTGATTTGTTCGACAAGCTAGAAGCTATCGCCCGGCAGATCAGAAACAACGGTCGACCCTTCGGTGGTATTCAGCTCGTCATCACTGGCGACTTCTTCCAACTACCTCCAGTACCAGACAGCGGCAAGGTTGCCAAATTCGCATTCGATGCAGCCACATGGTCAACCAGCATCGAGTACACAATTGGACTGCATCACGTCTTTCGTCAGAAAGATCCTGTGTTTGCAAACATGCTCAACGAGATGAGAGAGGGACGCATGAGCGCCGACAGTATCAAAACATTCCACACACTTAGCAGGCCTTTGGAATCTGAGAGTTCTATCGACGCCACCGAGCTCTTCCCAACCAGAAATGAGGTCGAGAATGCCAACCAGAGCAAAATGAGCCAGCTCGTTGGCGAGATCAGGACATTCGAGGCACGAGATGGAGGCAGTATTACTGACAAGACATTCCGTGACAAGTTGCTCGCCAATTGCATGGCTCCTGAACTCATCACACTCAAAAAGGGCGCTCAGGTCATGCTTATCAAAAATATCGATGAGAGCCTGGTCAACGGTTCCTTAGGAAAGATCATTGGTTTCATGAACGAGACTCAATTTGACTCTTACAATAACAACGAAGAGGCATTCATGGCTACTCAAGGTGGAACTCTCAAAGACGAAGACGCCATAGGTGGCCGTGACAAGAAGAAGACTGCCCGTGAACGCCTTATGGACAACCTGCTTGGTAGTACCACACAGATCTGGCCCGTGGTTCGCTTTACTCTTGCGGACGGCACAACTCGAGACCTTCTATGTCAGCGCGAAACCTGGAAGATCGAGCTTCCGGATGGTGAGGTACAAGCCTCACGCGCGCAGATTCCTCTTATTCTCGCTTGGGCATTGAGTATTCACAAAGCTCAAGGTCAGACGCTGGACAGAGTCAAGGTAGATCTCGGCAAAGTCTTCGAGAAGGGACAGGCATATGTCGCACTCTCTCGTGCGACTAGTATGCAAGGTCTTCAGGTGCTGCGCTTCGATCCACGCAAGGTCGTTGCTCACGAGAAGGTTCGCACATTCTACCAAAACCTTTCCCGGGTGGAAGGTTTAGATCAGAGCAAGCCCAAGGTCGAAAGAGGCAAGACCACCAGCCGTAGCAACGGTGTCACTGCTAACGAGTATGAGCGCGGCTTTGCTGAGGGAAAGATGTAGAATAGATGTTCATGGCTGCTTTCATTTTTTTTTTTTTCATTTGTTTCGGATGCCTGGGTCAGGCTGGTCGGCAGGCGCTTTTGGGGCCCATGAGTGGCATCACCGATACCCCTATTCTCATGCTATGTGTATCTTAAATCGAACATTTTACTTTTTGATGCTTCACTCTCCTCTTGGCATGCATGGCTTGCAGATGCAATCAGAACCCGAGTAGTCACGCATCCGACTTATTGGGTACCATAATTCTAGGTTCAGTATTTTGCAAGGTTTGGTCCATTTGTCGTTGTCGATGGCAAAGATCCTTGTTGATAGTGTCGCGTCGGCGACGTTCCAAAACATCACCGGCTACGTCACCTTCGGCTCCCGTATCTTGCTGCTGTTCAAAAGACAGCATCCTTACATCTGACATCTCAAAAGTATACCTACTGCTCAACTTTCACGATGCATCACCTCAAAGATGCTTTTGATCACCTGAAGAACAGACACGATCCTGGTCAACAGCCTCTCCACGCCAATCATCAAGGTGGAGGGTTTCCAGGCAGCCAGGTTCAACAACCAACTCAACCTCAGCATCCGCTGCATCCACAGCCTCCTACAGGCTCTCATGAACAAAGTCCGCTGTCTGGAACGACTCAAGGTGCTATCGATGTTTTCATGGCTTCCAAGCAGCCTAATGGCGAGATCGGTGGTATCGGTTACTGGCAGACAGCCAACGGGTACACATGCATAGCTCTTAGAGACGCATGGTCTGGAAGCAACCGCAATGCTACACTCCTCCGAGAACGCCTTCACACTGTAGAAAGCCATCACCGGCATTTCATCAACGAGTTCAACGACGATACCTTGTGGTGGGGCAATTGTCTGCTCGATGCTTACCTGACTAACCCTGATCCTTACTATGTCGACAATGCTCGCAAGATCTGGCAGCATGTCCAGCGTAGTATGCTATCGCCGGGTCAGGCTAAGGTGAGAGATATGGACATGGCGGGTGCGGTTATGTGGACTACCAGACCGAACGAAGAACAAGTCAATGCTATTACGACTGGCCTTTTTTCCGAGCTTTCTGCTCGCCTTGCTTTGCTTGTGAAGCCAGGTCGCGAGACTGACGAAATGCTCGAGGCGGCTGAGAAGAGTTTTGCTTGGATTGAGCGCTGCCGTTACCGTGCGAATGAATGTATCGTGCTTGACACTATCAAGCTCCGGTCTCAGGAGTGCGTCGACTGGACTTTCACTTATTGCACTGGACAGGCTATAGCTGCCGCCACTGCTATCTTCGCGGCGTTCAGCTTTGGTCATCAAGGCTCGCGAAGCCACAAGTCGCCACACGAGTACCTCGCGCTGGCTTGCAATATGGCACGTAAAGCCATCTCCCGAGATGGTTGGGTCGAACAAGATGGTACTTTGACAGAACACGGTGCTTATGGCAAAGGCAACCACGAGCCCTGGAAGAACGATGATGCTGTCGGCTTCAAGTCTGTGCTGCTGCGCAGTCTGGCCAAATTGCTCAAGGTCCTACGCGACACCAACCAAGAACCCGATCTGCAGCGTCGATTGACCGAGTTTGTCAAGAAACAATTTGATAGTCTACAGCAACGAAACACGAACGGCAACAATCAGTATGGACCATGGTGGAACGGGCCTATGGAGATTCCAACAAGCCATAGTCAGATGGCTGCACTTGATGTTATGGCGGCAATTCATCTTGTTCAGCAGTAGTTGAACGGCTTGTATATATTATGCAAATAATGCAAAACAGCACAGCTTGAAACCATACTACTGGATGCCGCAAAAGATAGAGACCGCGAAAGGCCAAAAAGAAATCTCCTCTCTCTGAGTCGAACAAAGGACCTTCTGATGACAATCGAACAATTACAGTCAGACGCTCTAAACCAACTGAGCTAAGAAGAGATTGATGGATGATGGTCGAGATCCGCCGTGTATGATGTCCAAACTACAGTGGCGACTTCCGACCTCGGCAAAACGCTCAACCATCGCTTGACTTTCTTCTGTCTGAACATGTTGAGCCATGAAAGCGGACCATTGGTGCCCCTGTTCTCAATTCGTAAACACATTTGCTCTTGTTACGTTGTCTTGTCTTGTCTTGTCTTGTTTTGTTCTTGCTGGGTGCGAGGAGAACGTGCCGAGCATCAACACTCAAAGCTGCTTGTCTTCAATCAACTCATGATCAAAGCGAGAGAATTGCTACAACATGATCATTGTAACATAGTTGCTGAGAATATACTTTCAATTCATAAGAGTCTCTAAGATGTTATAGTTCAAGCCGTTCTCCTCACTAAAGAAAATAGATTGTGTGTTTCTTGGGAGATTGACCAGAAAACAAGGCCGAATGTGCCACCCTGGCCCACAAGGTGCACCACAATTTCTTCTTTGTATCGAGCTATCACTGAGTATAGTTCCAAGATAATAATGTCAATTGACCATCGAGCACAACAATCCGATCTCGAGGATGCAACAAGAACGATGGTTGTCCTGACACGAACAAGCCTAACTCTTTGCAGAATATCTCAAAAACAAGACTCTATAAAGGGTACAAACCGTCCAAGCAGCCATCAATTGGGGTTGTGGTCTAGTGGTATGACATCTTCTTAGCATTGCTCTTCGAGCAGTCCTGAGTTGGAGAAGGTTCTGGGTTCGATTCCCAGCTACTCCACTTTTTGCTTCTGGTGCGGCATCAGATGCTCAGTTCCTTTGCTTCTGCAAGTCTATGAACTGTGTCAAATCATTTTGCAAGGACGTGGTTGCCAGAAGTCCAAGCCGAATCTGCTTGCCGGTGTCTTGAGCAACCGTGGAAGTGCCGGATGTCTCTGAAGTCGCCCGTCTAATCCAATGTTATGCCCTTCCAATGCTCTATATCAGGCTATAATTGGTGAAGACTAGCAATGAAGCGTGGCTTCTCAAGCGAAATCGTGCTCATATACCTTCCGCTGCCACAATCAACCATGGTTCTCGTGACATTGTTTCCAGAGCATCGTGTTTTTGGACGGAGGCGCGCCTGCCCAAGGTTGAGTCTGTCGGCCCTCGTGGCGAGGCAAGGTCCAGGACGAGTCGGTCTGCTCGCTCTTTTCTCGCGGAACAATTGATAAATCGCTCGCCTGCCTGCACTCGGACGTCTCTTTCATACTGGCTAGACACTGCTGCACGGGCCGTAGCCCTAGGCACTCCATTGGCACTCCACGTGTGAGCTTGGGCCCTGCTTGTAGAGAGCTTGTTCTGCAAGTCTTTGGTCGTCTACTCCGATGAAGAATAGTAACCGTCAGCAAAAGCAGTCCGTGAAAGAATTGCAGCACCTCAAGTCGTTGACCATAGAACATACATGTTTCTCCAGCCGAGACAGCCTTCAATCGTAGAAGGCCTGCCGGATTTAAGGCTCCCGAGCTCATGAGATCGCCAGGGCCCACACGTCAGATTAGCGGATAGCGACACACCCGAGTCATCCAAAAGCTTCCAGCCTGACTCGAATTTTATTTCCAACTTGCCATCCGCAAATCGGAAGAGTCTTTGAGCCATTCATGAAGTGGGCAGGAGATTCTATTTCGAAGAATACAGAAGCTCGAGCCGTCTCCACGTCTGGTTGAGTGGCCTACCTTCCATAAGCGTCGCAATCCATGCAAATATCTGGAGATGTCTTACCAAAACAGCTTCAAGACTCTTGCGTTTCATGATGAGATGGAGCCGTGCAGACGTTCGTGGTCGAGCTTAGTCCCACTGGCCTAACGTTCGTATGCCGCATTACAAACCATCATGGTACCCTGGAGATCTTATATAATCACCCATGCCCCACAACCACCACCTTGAGTTTGAGCACCCATCTTTCATTCTCTTCCTCAATTGACATTTCTCCGATACTCACAATCACAATGTCTGCCCCCAAGTCTAGCCGCGCATGGATCCTGTCCAACCCTCCCACCGACATGCCTGATGACAGCACCTTCAAGCTTGTCGAGCAGGACCTGAACGAGCTCAAGGATGGTGAGGTTTTGGTCAAGACCACTTACCTCTCCAACGACCCAGCTCAGCGTGGTTGGATCCAGAAGGGTGTCATTGCGTGAGTACAAGCAATAGAAAGGACAACCAAGAGCCTTAACTAATGGGAATAGTGAGCGCATGTACTTCCCTCCCGTCGAGCTCAATGCACCCATGTCCTCCTTCGGTATCGCCACAGTCATCGAGTCCAAGGCCGCCGACTTCCCCAAGGGCTCGCTCGTCAACTGCCTGACCAACTGGCGCGAATACGCTGTCATTGACACCACCCTCGGTGCTCCCTACGTCAGCAAGGTCGAGGCCATCCCTGGTATCAAGGAGACCCACTTCCTCGGCGCCCTCGGTCTGACCGGTGTCACTGCCTACCACGGTCTCGAGAACGTCAACACCACCAAGGACGACGTTGTCGTTGTCTCTGGTGCTGCCGGTGCCACTGGCAGCATGGTCGTCCAGATCGCCAAGAAGATTATTGGCTGCAAGCGCGTCATTGGTATCGCCGGCACTGCAGACAAGTGCAAGTGGGTTGAGAGCCTGGGCGCCGATGTCTGCATCAACTACAAGGATGCCGACTTCAAGGAGCAACTGATCAAGCACACCGAAGGCTACGTTGATGTCTACTTCGATAACGTTGGTGGTGAGATCCTCGATTTGATGTTCACCCGCGTCAAGCGATTCGGTCGCATTTCCGTCTGTGGTTCGATCTCAGAGTACAACGACAGCAACCCCCGTGGCTTCAAAAACTGGTTCGAGGTCATTGCCAACCGTCTCACCATCAAGGGCTTGATCGTCCTTGACGCCGGTGCTCGTTGGCCTGAGATGATCAAGGAGCTCTGTGATGCTGCTGTCTCCGGCAAGATCCAAGTCGGCGATGCCAACGAGACCATCGTTCCCACTGCCTTTGAAGATATCCCCAAGACTTGGCTCAGACTGTTCTCTGGTGCCAACACTGGCAAGCTTGTCACCCACATCGTCTAAGCGTGTACACTCGTTATGAAACGAACAAAAGCATTTGCAGGAGTTGGATCATTCTTTCCTTTATCTCATCATGACTTTTACCAAGATACCACAAAATCTATATCACAATAATCACAAACATATTTCACAACTCACTTCTAATGTTACTCTATACTTTCAGCGCACATACAACGAGAGAGTCAAGGTTGCTGTTCGTGTACCTTTCCTGACCAGCAAGAGCACGAAATCACGAAGACACAGTCGATGATGCACCGAGATCAAATGCTGACGACAACATATACACACATCTCACATTCACGTACATCAAAAGTCGAAACATTGTGAAAGCAGCAATTTTTCTTTGTTTTGTTTTGTGAGTTTCTGAGAATCAGAAACAAAAAGACCTTCTGACCTTCCTCTCTTCACAAGTCACATCAGTAAAACAAACACTGGTAGCTAATCAGCGCCCATCTACTCTGGTAACCAAAAAGATCCTCAAGTCATAGCTACAAAGGTCTTGACTATCTACCAAGCAACAGCAAATCGATGATCATAAAAAGTCCATCACCTGATCCTGTGAACCTTCCTCTGAGACATACCAAATAAGAATCACGAAAGATGGGAGTAACGAAAGAACAGACGAGCTTGCCCAAGGTCACGTCTGATTCCTCACACTCCATGTCTTTCTCATATAGTAAGGTTGGGAAACCGTTGATGACAACGGAGAAAACCCATCAAACTATTGTCAAGCCCTGAATTTGTCAGTGTCGTCTGCTGCGTTGACGCACTACCCTGGTCATTTGCCAAATGTTGCTACTGATAGTCGGATGATGCCAACACCAAGACTGGTTGTCAACTCTTGCCCTTTGAGAGATGGGAAGCGACGAGTGTTGGTTGGTGTTCATACTTTTGGTGGTTCTTGTTCATGTCGTTCTGGTTGAGTGGTTTGGTCTTCGCCTTCTGCTGATTTGGCGGTCAAAGGTGGTTCGAAGCCACCTTTGCTGGTGGGCGCGACTCTGTGTTGTTCGTCTTTCAACATGGTGCAGCCCATCAGACGCACATACACTGCAGACTGTGCAACCTCTTCGGTCCTGTCCGTCAAAACAGTTGATTGACCAGGTGCAGCGAGTTCTGTCAGTGATGGCGTTAGTCACCGGTAAACCGGTGTGTGCACGTCGCATATGTGGCATCAACTGTTAGGGTGGAAAGGTCCCATTGACAGGCGCTTCACATATGGCGTTTCTTGCGGTACGAGGTGCTGCAAACTGAATGACTCTGTGTTATGGCTCGTCAAGTCCAAGACATGGTTCAACAGTGTGTCGGTCACTCTCGCGGTCTGGTTCTGGTGTTACGCTGAAACGTAACTCATCGACACTGCTGGAGCGACTCTATGTCATGGGTGATCAGGCCATGACATTGGTGCAGCAGACTGACAATGTCGATGGTGCTTCCGCAGAAGCTGGGTGGTTGATGATATGGTTTGGTTGGGTTGGCCGACTTGTCGTTTCGGTGATAAGGTTGAGTTGGTTGGCTAGTCATGCTTGAAAGTCTGGTCTTGATGATTGACTGAAGTGTGACGAGGCTTGGTGTGCCGAGGCTTTGACGCTGTGGCGGGATTTGGAGTCTATGGAATGGGAGGGCTTTGGTGAAAAAGAGCTGCGATGGTGAAGTCTGTACAACACAAAGGCTGTCGCGTTAAGGCGGATTGATATGGCCCACGCTGGTTTCGGCTTCTCTTCAAAGTTCTCATGGCGAAATCGGGACAGCATGAAGACTGTCGCGTTAAGGCATTCGATGGTACCCACGCTGGTGTCTGTTTCTCTTCATGAGTGTTAGGCTCGTGATTCGTGGAAGAAGTGGTTGCTCCAGATTGTGTTTTGGTTGCTCGATCTTGTAGTCTGAGTGACGGTGACTTGTGGGTGTGGTGATGAGGTCGCCTTGGTAGTGATGACGAAAGAGATCAGAGATTGAGAGAGAGGTAAAAGATGGGAGACGACAAGGTGCCTTTTTTCTTTTTTTTTCTTTTTTTGGCCGATTCTTTTTTCGGTTGGTAATCGATTTTGTTTTCGATTTTGTTTTGGTTGCGATTCTTCTTTCGCTCGAGTGGATGAATGACGAGTGAATGACTTGGAAAGCCATTTGGGTTGACGTGGTAACGCGGATGCTTGTGATGGCTGTTGACGTCTGGCAGCAAAGAGCTGGCTTGTGTTCTGGACGAATGGCTGCAGTGGCAGCGATGTTCCTGTTCCGATGGAAGAAGAACGAGAAGATGAAGAAGCAGAAGCGAAGACCTGTAGCTTGGTAGCTAAAAGACTTCAATCATGGTCGTGGTACCTGAAGCGTATGATGTGTTGTAGACAACAGCATGATAGGCGAAGTAGGTTGTTGATGACAGATGATGAAGTTGATGTGGCTCCATGAAGGAGGCTTGGTGTTGTGGCTCTATAGAAGAGGCTTGGTGTTCATGATGGTCATGAATGTTGGGTACTGATAGACAGTACTGATGAAGAAGACATGTGAAGGGAGGAAGTATGAACACCAAAGTCTTGGTGGGAGTTGGATGAAAAAGAAATGGTTCAGGAGGATGGAGAGGTCTTTTTTATATCGACTCGAGGGCCATCATCCTTACTAATTCTTACTAATCGGCTGCCTAGAGGCAAATTCCACCTCCTTCTGCTGGTGAGCAAGTATTCGTGTGTTCGTAGGCAGCAGTCGCAGCACTGTATGTGTTTCGCTAGCTTTCCACGTAAACTAACTCATCGGGAGAAACAAATCTGCGGCGGGTTCGCTATTCTGCAGCGAGTATTGGACGAAAAGAGTCTGCACACTAGGCAGCAGCGAGTCTGCCTTGATGGTTGTCATAGTGTGCCTCGAATGAGTTCATATGATGGTTTCGATGGAACGCTGGAGAATGCCCGACAGGAATCGTTTGCGGATGGCTACTGAGCTGCAACAGGTCAACACATGGGTCCCGGCAGGACACCATAGTCAGTCAAGAAGATAACGTATTGTAGTATTATCGGTTGGCTTTTTGATATTTGTATCTTGCTGTAGCTCTTTGGGAGCTATGCTTGTCGAGAAGTCCTCGAGGCTATATTGTCATTTAAATGTAGCTGTTACTGCATCTTCACCTGCTCCTTACTGATGATTGATCAGGTCAAAGTATTTGAAAACATTCATGAGTCCATGTCGCGGTGGATGAGAAGTCTGTTCTTGGTTTGCATCACGAGGTTTTCCGGAAGTGGATGGTGTCCATTGTTGCGCTCACCGGCTTGCGCACCTTACGAAAGATGTCGATGGCTGCGGAATGATCTTGCCTTTTTGTGGGAACTGCATAATAATGCGGTCGTTGGAGATTCGGGGGCAAAATAGAGGCTGTCCTGTATTAAAATATGCCACAGTCCAGTGCCCAGGAAGTTTGTGATCCAAATCTGCAGTAGAAGTATGTCTATGATGTGGGTGGTCGATTCTTGGCTAGCATCACTTGAATGGCCGTCAATCCTGGTAGATTTTCTCGAGTAGTATTTTCTAATGGATACATATGGCAATGGCGAGGGTCGTTGGATGTTCGGTCGATCCTCTCTCTTCTGGAAACATGCAAAGGAGCAGATGGAGAAGGTGCAGCCGAGGCATGATTAACCTCGGTATGTACGAGCAGGCCGCGTCCTCTCGGCCAGCAGTTTTGTATAACGATGCGAGCTACTTCCGTACCGAGGAGAATAAAAAACAACAGTGTAGGTCGACTGTTATTGTATCCTTGACCTCCCCACACCTCGACCCTTGAAATCGATTTGCGCCGCGTTCCAGTAGCACCAGCTATCGCAAGATAGCAATATCTCGATACCCCCCGAAACGCAAGAGCTCTCTCTGCAGCAAAACAGACCCACAACATGACTTCCGACGTATCCAAGACGAATCTCAACAACCTTGCGCGTTTGATTGCAAGCAGAACCGACTCCCTCCTCAGCCGCCTCATCCGTGTCCTGTCGACACCAGCAGGAAGAGACAAGACACTCTGCACCTTCCAATACCTCCTCATCGTCGTCTATACCCAACTCTCACGTCTTCAAGGCCTGAGATACCGTCGCTTCCTCCTCTCCATCAGCCAAAAGCTCGGTGCCGTCCTACTGCCTGGAGAAACAGTCGTTGCGACATTGTCACCACCCGAGGACAAGCTCACCCATGTCATCCAAGGCAGCAAGGCTCTCTCAGAGTTGATCAGCGACTTCAGATGCTTCGCCCGTGTCGTCGAGTCGCTGGATCTGTATACCTGGGCCAAGGGCACGTGGAACAGCCCTCCTGAGGACAGTGTTGTCAAGGCTGCTGTTTGGGGTCAGATCTGGACAATCACCGCATACCAGTGGTACGAGAATGTGGCTTATCTGGCCTCAAAGGGTGTACTGCGCGGTGAGAGGTTCAACACACAGCAGCAGAACAAGTGGTGGGTGTGGAGTTCGCGTTACTGGATGGCCTACATTGCACTAGAAGCTGTGCGACTCGCTCGTGTCTGGCAGCTCAAGCCAGCAGTTGCATCCTCTGCTGCCGAAAAAGACGCGCAAACCCTGGAAGCTGAAGCTTTGTGGAAGAGACAGATGACTGTCAACATGGCATGGGCACCCGTTTCCTACCACTACAGCTTGGAGTCTGGTGCTTTGAGCAAAGACTGGCTGGGTGTCCTCGGCCTGATTGCTGGTGGCACTGGTTTCCGCAACTTGTGGCGCCAGGCTGGTGCAGCATAGATATGTTGATGAACGATATGACGGCCCAAGAATAGATTATGGTGTTAACACTTGATATATCGCGTTGCGTAGGAATCCAAAATGTTGTTATTTGAAGATCTGCTCATGATCATTACCCGATTGATCCGTATGAAGACGCGTGTGGTCTGTTAAACATCCTCTTTCTCCAATAGAGGCCTCTTCTCATCAACCCTCGAGACTTCCTCACTCTGGCAGCCTCGATATAAGCTGTCCCAGCAGAATCCGACCAACGCCACAAGTCCAGCTCCAGGTGTAACTCCCGCCATAGCCCAGAAAACTAGTTGCTCTGGAGCACTCAGGTCGAAGACACCCGCCTCAAGTCCATACTTGACAACCACTGAAGCACCGAGCATACCTCCCAACGCCACTCTTGCAATGCACAGCGCGCGATCATCTCGCCTCAAGCACAACAGAGTGCCATAGCAGTGCAAGCATCCAACAAGCGAAAAGAAGCCCATAGGGAAGAGAACGATACCATCGTACAGGTAGCGACACAGCATGGCCGGCGTCACTCTGTCAGAGACGGGGATGTCGATGTTGAGATAGTACCAAGATATCGTAACCAGCATGTTGAGGACGAGACAGAAGAGAAGAGTTACAGGCCCAGGCTTCTCGAAGTTGAGGAATGATTGTGTCTTGGTGTCTTCATCTTGTTCTTCAGACTCATGCCGTGAGATTGGTGAAGTGGAGGTGTTGATGATACCCATAGCAGCTGTGTATCCCTCTCCAACCGTTGGTGTCTTCAACGGTTCTTCACCGTTAGGTAGAGTGATAGTCTTTTCAACGTCCATCTGTTCAGTGGATAACGAGGTTGGGGGACCGTTGTAAAGAGAATCCGGAGAGAAGAAAAGAAAGAGCCCCAGCTACTTAGATATGCCAGCAGCTTCTCGGGGGTATGTTATCTGAGTTTCTTCGTGAAATGCTATCGTGGATGCAGAATGAGGATAGCTTGGCCGGAATTGCGTGATGAGCAAGCGTGGATTGCGTGCTGTGTTGAATTTGAAGACGCGGATTGGTCGCGAGGAGAAGGTCACCGTGGAAGGGCGGATCGAACAAAGATCAGAGAAAAAGGTTCACGGTGAGCACAAACCTAATATGTATACCTACAGGAAGACAGAAGGATCCTACCTATTTCTTGTGCCCGGACTAGCCGGAGTCAATAGTCTTGCGGGAGGAGCAAAGTCACAGCTGACTTAGCTGAGAAGGTCCGGCTGCGACGGTCCTTCGGTCGGTGCGTGATTCAATTCCAAGCCACCAGAGGACTAATTATTGGATTAAGCTCAATCGAGGCATCGTTCTTCCTTCGAAATGGTATGCGATCATTTCCAAGTGGATTCAAGAGCCTCAGATACGAGAGGCAGCCAAGAGGTGAAAGCTCGTCAAGCGAAAGTCGTCGGGTGCAGGGAAAGGTTTGTCGTGTGCTTTGACGATTCTGTGGAGGATCGAGGCCCTCACTCATCACCGAAGCGAGGCACGGTGCGCGTTCTACATCTAGAGCTGATAGATGGGTTTACTAACAACGAGGCTTGCTATTTGACCGCCAGTACGTATACTATAACAATTACTCGGGACCCGACTCTCGATCCCTTGGCCTTCGGTCCTTCAAGTTTGGTATATATCGGCTGCCAAAGCGCGCCTGAAGAAGCAGGTCGCTAAGAAACAAGTATATGAACATGAAACAAACACTCAACAATGCCACTGAACGATTCGGTCGTTCTGCATTCATTTGCTGGGATGAATGTTTACCGTAGGTAGCGGCTTTGCTCCATCCTCTTCCTCCCTCGTCTCAGGTGTGCCTGTGCCTCGAGGTGTGCCAATGCCAGAGAAGGGAGTGATCGCACCTGATGGGGGCACAGGAAGCTTCAAGTCTTCTGGGCTGTCAGGTACAATCTGAGCTGGTACACCAGAGACATGAATACGCCTAGCCTCATTGTTGTAGGATGCGGGAACGATCTAGTGTAAAGAATGTCAGCAAGCCTAAATCAAATGACATCGGGTGAAAACATACCTCGATAATCTCATCGCGAGGGAATTGCAGCTTCGGGATGTCGCGTGCACCACAAGCCATCAGGTAGCCGTAAAGCACTCTCAACACACTTTCATGGGCGACAATCAAAAGATCGTTTTGCTCGCGCTCCAACTCCAGGATGATGGGTTCCAAACGAACGGCCAGATCGTGGTAAGACTACGACTTGTCAGTTTGTGTTTACAGCCCTCATGGGTTCATTTTGTGCTTACCTCAGCACGAGGGTAGCGATGGTGGTACGGGTCAAGCTCATGCTTGCGCACTTCCTCAGGGTATTGTTCTCGGATCTTGTCTTCGGACATTTTCTCGCACACGCCAGGGTTCAGCTGACTCATCTGAGAGCGTTGCTTTACACAGTATCCCAGGCTCTCAAGATAGTGAGAAGTCTCGACTGTGCGTCGTCTGGTGGATGTCCAGATGGTCAAGGATTTTAAAGGAGCATCAGGACCACCTCTTTCGATAAGTTGCCTGCGCTCTTCCTCTCGGTGTTTGATGAGAGCGTCGCTCATCTTCTGGGAGTATGTAACACCATCCTCAGAGAGTGAAGCGTCAGCTTTGTAAGAGTCCTCGTCTCTTGTCGTTCCCGCTCTGGCAAAGTAAACAGATCGGTGCTTGGTGTGGAGATTGAGAAGATAGAAGACGATGCGCTGAGAGAGGTAGTTGAAGGCACAGTTATTCACAATCACACGTTCTCCAGCGTTGATCATTTTCACGTAATGTAGCTCGGCCTCTTCCATGGACTCAAAATGAGGAATGCGGGCGTTGATTCTGGCCAGGTAGTCTTTGACGGCATCCTTGTCGGACCAACCTTGGTAGTCGGGAGATGAGATCTTGACGCTGCGGACGTTCTCTTCGATAATCTTCTCGTCTGTGCAATGTGACTCGATGAAGAGGGTCTGCACGTTATGCTTAGAGAACTCTTTGGCAAGAGAAATGCGACCAGCAGCAGAAGGATTTACTGCGTCATAGATGGCAATCTGACCATTCTCGTGCTCAAGGAAGTTGTAAATGTCCTCTCTACATTTTCGGAGGATCTTTTGGCGAAGCAGCACGGATGAAGGAGAAGCGTTGATGAAGAAGTAGTCATCAGGAACTTCTTTACCCGGACCCATTGTCGCTCTTCTGTAGTCACCAAGATGAAAAATACGAGTCTTTACACCAAGCCATCGTAGATATCTGGCCAGAGCAACCGAGGTATGGGTCTTGCCACGAGCGGGCAGTCCAACTGTAGCAATGACTATCCTACCGGAATGGAAAAGACGGCCAGACTCGGTGCTGTAAAGTTGAGCAGGAGCCATGCTCTCCTTCTCAGGCAAGTCATGGATAGCATCAACGAAAGTGCTTGACCTGCGTTTCCAATTCGGCGAACTAGCCATGACATCGGCAGTGCTAACCCGAAGTCTTGCCTTAGTAAATGTACAATTTGAAGCATGATTGTGAGATACTACGAAAGGGTGTACTACAGCCATATCTGCAATCGACCAAGGGGGAAATGGAACGAGAAAGAAACAAAAGAGACGTACAGAAGAGTATCCATGGCTAAAAAGAAGGGCAACTAATTGCCGGCAAAATTGAAAACGCGGTGTATGGTTAATTCGGCAATCGTTTCTACCAAAGTAATGGGCGAGAACAGGTGAGCGATGAGACAAGCAGCTGATCTTGGCAGTATGCGAGGAGTGGTGATCCGCACAATCGGAAAAGGCGATGTTTAGAGCAGAGCAAGCAGAGCAGAAAGCGGACGGCCGCAGCTGAAGCCGAACAGAGAAGAGGCTGCCGAGTGTCAAGAAAGATATCGAGCTATTTGGTGGTGTAGATAACAGCGAGAGGCTGAAGTGGTTGAGACTCGGAGGTCATCGGTCCAATCACGCCGCTCGGCCTACATTTTTGGCATCGACGTCGGTCGCGCAGAAGCAGACACAGACACGAGCAGCGTCAACCAGGCCATCATCACGCACCATTCTTTGAAAGAATTGTCGCGCCGCTATCCACATCTAAGCCGTGTCAGAGTCGACTCGTTGCTTAGGACCTCACCACAGACCCGTCTGCACCGCCGTACCTCGCCGGTGCCCCAAGACTCGCCCACTCGCCCTCAGCAGCAAAAGTCTACATCATGACGTCGCTCCCCATCACTACCACTCCCTACCCTCCCGTGGCTCCTGCTGCTCCTGTCGCCGAGAAGCAGTCTGGCGCTCTGGCTGCCGTCTCCAACAATGCTCTGGTTTCGGCGCTGAAGGACACATACTCGGCTTTCCAGGCACGAAGAGAGGCTCTGGGCCTTACCAACCCAGGCACTGTCGAGAACGTTGCAAAGGAGGTTCAGCGCGATGTCTTCCTCAACAACCTGTCCTTCTCTGGTCTGCGCGCCGACCTCACAAAGGCTTTCAGCGTTTCGCCGCTGTTCCAGGTCTCGCACGCTTTCTCCCAGGGCTCTCAGCAAATACCTCCTTACGCTTTCCTTGCCCTCTACGGCACCAACAAGGTACATACGTCTTCTGCCAACCCTTAGAACCTCCAGATGCTAACACGCCCAGGTTTTCTGCCAAGGTAACCTTGACAGCGACCTTTCCCTCTCCGCTCGCTTCAACTACCGATGGACTCCTCGTTGGGTCACAAAGACCACTACTCAGATCCAGGCTGCCTCCATGGCCGGTCCTGGAGGTGCCCAGTTCTCCCTCGAGAACGACTACGTTGGCGACGACTTTACTGCTCAGATCAAGGCTATGAACCCTTCTGTCCTCGATGGTCCCCTTACTGGTATCTTCATTGGTAGCTACCTTCAGAGCATCACTCCTAGACTTGCCCTCGGTCTCGAGGCTGTCTACCAGAGACCTGCTGCCCAGATGGGTCCCGAGGCCATGATCAGCTATGCTGCTAAGTACAAGGGCGAGGACTGGATCGCCAGCGCTCAGCTCATGCCTTCCGGTGGTGTTCAGGGTTCTTACTGGAGAAGACTCTCTGCTCAGCTCGAGACTGGTGTCGACCTCAACTTGCAATTTGCTGGCAACCCCATGATGGGCGGTATGAGAAAGGAGGGTGTCGCCACTCTTGGTGCCAAGTACGACTTCAGAGCCAGCAGTTTCAGAGCCCAGGTCGACACTGCTGGTAAGCTCGGTGTCTTGCTCGAGAAGAGAATCGTTCCCATGGTCCAGATTACCTTTGCTGGTGAGCTCGACCACGTCAAGGTAAGCATCACCCTCTCACCTCCAGACTCTACAGAACACTGACATTCCCCATAGAACGCCGCCAAGGTCGGTCTTGCCGTCTCCATCGAGGCTGCCGAGGAGGAGGTCATGGCCCAACAAGAGAGCGCCATGGCTGCCGGCCCCGTCACCCCTCCCTTCTAGACATCTCGCAGTGTAACCTCCCCTACTCTGCCGTGTACATTATAAAATTTGATCGTTTCTCCTCATATTGTTGTTGATAGCTGGCCTTTATTTCCTGGGTTGTATGGGAAAGCAGATGATGTTTGTCTGTTCTGGCATGGAGATGCCGCTCAATCTTGCATGGTTGTGGTCTACGAAGAAAAGAGGAAAAGAAAGGCTCTTGGACCGGACATGAAAAAGGAGGAGTCATGATCAAATATACACTCCCTGTATTCTATGCTCATTTGCAATTGGCATCTTTGTGCAACCTCTGTGTTGACAACGTTTCCTCTATCATGCTTCCACTCGTGTTCCGAAATTGCGTCTCGGTTTACAGCGGCATAGAGGCGATTGAATGCTCTTTCACATATGGCGGCACGGTAACATAACTTTTGCATGGCAAAGTATCAAGAGTGACATTCCCCTATGACCTGTCATCTCGATCCCGTCTGCAAGCCCAGGCAACTGTTCACTGGTCAAACGCCTTCGCAAAGCCGCTGCTTCAGCCAAATACGGTGAAGACAACTCAGACCCCACTACTTCCATCACTGTGATGAAAAGCTCCACCTACCCATGAGGTCCAGCCTCTTCACATGCGCGATAAACAAGAAGCTCAGACGTCTGTGTCTTGTTACAGAGCTTTGCGAGGCTGAGAGCCTCACAAATCTGACGTCACTTTGACGTTCACCCCGCTTGAGCACCAAAGGGCAAGGCAGCAGCCACCAAGCGGCCAGCTCGACTAACTGCAAACCCCTCACCTCGGCTTGAAGCCCCACGTCGATTCACTGATCGGAGATCCAGGTGAAAGGAGGCGTACGCAAGTAGTGTCAGGTGGCTCCTACCAAGTGAGGTAACAAGGAAGTAGCGTAGTGTGGCTGAAGGAAACACAACGTAAATCGTCACCCGTAGAAGTGCTTGGATACGATTGGACCAAGGTGGATAGGGAAAGAGCCTTCGCAGCGTGCGAGTGAGAGCTGTCCTCACTGAGAAGGCGCGTACGTCATGGCAAACAGAGCTCATCTCACCACTACTTAAGAAGCTCCCATTACACTCTTACTCCAACCTTTCTTCTTCCATCAACAACTCATCAAACAAACACATCTTCTCTTCCAAACCAAACCACAAACCACCAACCACATTCAAAATGTCTGCTCCCAACGCCAACAAGCCTAACGAGGGTATCGTCGGTCAGATCGGCAACTCTCTCAACAACGCCGCCCAGTACGTCTCCGAGACTGTCCAGGGTACCTCCGCCACTGCCTCCAAGGAGGCCAACAAGGAGCAAGCCAAGGGCAACACCGCCGACGACTCCATCTCCGGCCGTGTCTCTGGTGCCATGGGCGCCGCTTCTGACAAGATGGACGAGAAGAAGCACGAGACCTCTGCTGAGGCCAACAAGCGCTCCATCTAAGCGTCTTCAACCTCACCAACCTTCACATCGATCAAGTCAATTGATGACTTTCGACACGACGGCATGACACGACAATATCTCTAGCTCCCCTTTCTCGGGGTTGAGCTCAAGTTCTTTGCACGAGGGTTTCACTTCACACCTGCGATGGAAAGCAATCAAAGCTTTGATTCAATGGTTTTTCTGATGTATCAATTATACCCCGAATGATAATATCCCTCAAACATCACTTCTTTTCCGCTCTGTTGTAACTGTGACTGTGACTGTTGTTTCCTGTTTGATTAACTGTTCATTGTTTTGACCGTGACTTCTTTGCTCTCCAATATTGTTCATCTCACTTCTGTCAAGCTTGCTCAAGCTTGATGTTGTTGCCCCACTCTGCCCCTCCGTCAGATTGTTGCGGCTGACAGCCAACCGCACGGATCGGATCCTCGATATCTAGCTCAACGTCCAACAGAGCCGCAGAAATCAATTGTCCAACTTGCGCGATATCAGTAAAATTCATGCCACGGGAATATCACCCATCAGACTTTCATACAAATGCCATCGTAGGCACAGATTCGCAGATCAACCCCAGCCGTGCCGTACACAACATGAGCGACATGCTCAAAAAGATTGATCGACGGAAGATCAACAACCCAATTGCGGCAAACGCACAAGAAGAAGGTCGACCTCACCTCCCGGATCGTCCATGACGAAGACAGTACCATGAATTCAAATTGTCCGTATAACAAAAGAGGGTTGAAGCCCCTTCTATATTTCTCAACTCACATATTGTCTCTCTCCGAAACATATTAATCTGTGCTTCTACGTGCTAAGAACGACCTTTTTCCTGACGAATACTGATTGAAGACGACAAATACCATGCACTTCATCAAGACTATTGCTGCAGCTTTTGCTCTGGCAGTGACTGTATCAGCAGTGCCGCTACAGAAGAAAGACGGTGCAGCAGTCGGCGACCCAAACAGTGTGTTTTCTCCTTTCCCTGACTCTGTACATCTCTAGCCTACTCGCCACGTTACCCATTCCACACTCGATCTTCTTTCAAGCCAAGAAAATGCAAACTAACAAGTCTTTAAAAAAGACATAGTAGACGACCTCCTCACAAACGTCAAAGGAGGAATCCAAGGCTTCGAAGACTTCCTAGACATCCCTAGCGGCGACGGTGCCAGTGCAAAAGCCAAGCGTGCTGAAGATATCCCAGATGCTGCCAGTGAGTTTCTCATCCAAAACAAACCGTTCTATGAAAGGACGCTGCTCATACAAAGACCAGACCCAGTAGTTGATTTGGCAACAAATGTTGAAGGTGGCATCGAGGGATTCGCTGATTTCCTTGGTGCTGGAAGCGATGAATGAGTAGAGTCACAAAACAGTCTTGCTTTTGATGGTCGCAGTGGTGTAGATGTGTAATGACTATTTCATGTATATACTTGGGGTCAGGAATTTGACATTTGATAAACAAATCGCTTGTTGGACACAAGAAGATGATGAGATCTGATATATCTTATGGCCAAGAAAAGCTGATATGGGTGCCACCCTGGCTCACAATAATTGTACTTTCGAGCCACACAGTGTCGCAGACACAATGTCGTCTCCAGACTGGCAAACGTATATGGAACGAAAGTGTACAAATGATATAGGTCGAGTGTCTTGCCATGGATGTACATGTCACTTAGCACAGCACACTCTGAGAGTTGTTGACACGAGGTCTCCTTTGGATTTATTCCAACGTGGATGGTGTTTCACAATACGCCCCAAATCAAAGCGTGATATACACGTCCGAGAAGCACTCTTCCGAGCATGTAAAAAAACACGAAGCACAGAAAGGTTGTTATGTTGAAAAATTGTCATAAGAAACAAATATGTATAAACCCCCATTATAAAATGAACCAAACCAAATGAACAAGCACACCAAGAAGACAGGAGTCTAGAATGTCTTCCAGTGGCCTCACCCCAATCCAAACAAATCTAGATTAGGTACAGAAGTAGAAAATGATGTCCTTTTAACTTGAAAAAGATACGAAAATGTCCTGGGGCGTAAAAGAGTGTTGTGGTGTGTCGTGTCGTGTATCATGTTTTTGTGAAATGTTGCTTGATTGTTCAAGAACATTCTTACAGGAGAACGACGGCGGCACCGAGGGCAGCAAGACCGTAGCCAGCGGCAACGTGGTTGGCAGCACCAGTGTACACAGCGGGCTTGGTGGCGCTGGCAGTTCCGTTCTTGGCAGCGCTGGAGGCCATGGAAGTAGCCATGGGCTTGACCAATGTGCAGGGGCAATCGGTAACAGTGATGGTGGTGGCCGAGGAGATGGTGTAGGCCTTGCTGTTGATGGTGGTCACGTATGCTCCAGAGGTGGCAGCAGGGCAAACGGTGGTGTATCTGTAGAGAAAGAGGTCAGATACAAGTCTTCTGTCGCTTTTCAAGGATGTACATACGCAGTGACAACCTCAGTGGTGTACACAGTTCCGTTTGCGGGAGCAGTGCCGTTGATGTAGGCAGCAGAGGCCGAGGCGGCAAGGGCGAGGACACCGAAGGACTTCATTTTGAAAGATTTTGGTTTGGTTGGTTGGTTAAAGAGAGAGAAGCGAGTGTAGAAGAGTTGGAAACGACTGTGGTTGTTGGATGATAGAGAAGTGAGACAATGGTACAAAGGAAGGCTGTTTATATATCCAGATGTCTTGCACTTGGGCAATACAGGATTTGGGTCATCGGCAAGGAATGCTGCCCGGAATAGCAGTGCGTGGACGAGGAAATGAGATGGCTTCCGTTTGTGATAATAACAAACGATCGTTCAGCCGGTGGTTCCTTCAACGGTCACTCGTTTCCATGCTGAGTATGGAAAAGCTTTACTGAGTCGTTGAACTTTTGGAAATTGTGAGGCTGGGTGTAGGTTCTCTTCCAAAGGACCTGATGTCAACTCACGCTGATGCTGGTGGCATTTTGATCGCAGCTCTTGTCGCAAGACATGAGGGTTTGCTTGCATTTGCGAGGAGTTGCAGTACCGAGTAGTGTGATAGACGATAGATAACCAGTCATTCTCGTTCACTCACCTTGAGATAGCCACGCAAAGCGATTGCAGAGTCTCAACGGCCGAAGTAGAGAGATTGCCCGACACCGGCAAGCAGTCTGGCATCACGAGCAACCGCTGCAGGGCCATATTTGTTAGGGCCTACACTGTGCTTCTCCTGGAAGTCCGAGACGCAAGGAGTCGGTCAGAGTGTTCGAGAAGGCGTCGAACGTTCCTCGGAAGAACCCCTTGGGGATTGGGGGACGTTGAGGGTTGAAGTTCGGGTATTGTCTTCCTACCCGATTAGGCCTCAAAACAAACAAAACCGGTCAGGGTAGTCGCAATTCATGGCATGTGAAGCCGCACGACTGACTTTGACTGCTGTTGGCAATTTGAGCATACGGAGTAAAGGTTTGATTGAATATTGAACGCATGAGTCTCCTGTGATTTAGGTTGGCTTACATGGAAATTCAGGAGTACTCTGCCCTATGCTATTCTACACGAACACTTGTATAAGAGGTCGTCCTATCCTCTAGAATCTGTTTCCTTGCTCGAATCATGTTCTTGTCGATACTGTCACGTTACGCTAGTGTTTTGTCTATGTGACAATGTTGATCCCATCGTCACTTCCAGGATACCTCCAATACTCCCAGCCTCCCAATTATTTCCACGTTTGAAGTTTACTTGTCGTACTCGTATGTCGTCACCCCAGGGACCCATGAATAGGACATCAACACCTTCAACCTCGACGAATGGATCTCTCCACAACGGGTCCAGAAACCCTCCGACGAATTGACGAAGAAGCTCTGAATTCATGTTCATCAACTCGACAAGAACAATATCAATTGTGGAATGAGCTGAGCGAGACATGTGGTGGGTATCCAGTCTAAGCTGCGTAACAAACATATGTACAGTCCTTGAACTCAAGGCGCATAACGAGAACAAGGGGCGGTTATTTACAGAAATGCCCACAAAGCGCCAGAATCCATGCGAAAGAAAAGTGATATCTATCTTGATCGTACTCCGTGACAAGCCCTGTGGCTATAAACTGTAGTGTATTCTGTGGTTGACTATTCGTCGTTTATCGAGCTCAGTGCTTTGTGATATTAGAGGATTTGGTGTCTGTTAGAAAGAGATGTCAGTCTGGATTGGAACGACGAAAATGGAAGGGAACAAAACATACTTTTGGAACAGGTTCTCGAGAGTGATGGCACTAAGATCGGCATCATCAGGAATCTCATCGACAACAGGAACAAGGCCTGCAAATTTGTCGCCTCCGCGATATGCCAAAACAGCAGGCACACCGGCAGGCTCCATCTCAGCATCGAGATAGTGCATCTTGACGAAGCGCGTTGTCTTGTGCTTGCGTGCCAGTTGGCGCATGCAATCCTCGACCATGTAGCTGACTTCTGATGAATCGTCGTAGATGAAGACGACCACGACAGTATTTGAAGGGCTGCGGTCCACGGCATCCAGGTAGCCCTCACCATCAACCGACACAAGACCGCCGTAGGTCGCACGACTGCGAGGCTGGCCAATACTGTTGCTTGCCTGGCGTCCGTTCGCAGACAGCTGATTCAATCTCTTCTGCCTCCATTCGGCCATGAACTCGTCTTCGCTCTCAATATCACTTCCACTCTGACTGCCCTTGCTTCTGGCGTCCAGACTCAACTGTGCGACATTCGGTGTGTATGCGTAGTTTTGTGTGCTTGCTTTTGGCGATGAATTGCGTTCCCTTCGTGCGGCTTCGAAGGCTTGCGCATCGGCGATGACACCCTTGGGTCCAGTGTTTGAATATGATTTGTTTCGTGGAACATGGTCTCGTGAGGGCAGGTTGGGTAGAGCTGAAGGTTGATCGTCGAAATCAGACAAGAGGTCGTCATTTTCTGAAGGGATGGATTCGTTGTCGTCCTCTGGGTGGTGGGTTCTGCGTGACTTATCGCGGAAAAGCTCGTTGTATTCGTCTTGTGCTGTAGTCATGATTGCGTGTGTGTGGGTGGACTTGTCTGTTGTATCTGTTGCGAAAGCGACTGCTCAAGTGTTTGTCGTGTTGCTCGTGATGATTGATGGTGGACCGTGCTGGACAAGGGTCTATCAAGGGTCTTTCGTAGATTGAGGCTTGTGATTATGAGTGTATGTGTTCAACAAGCAGATGAACAGAGTTTAGTTCAGAGGAACAAGAGTTTGGCAGGATGGTTTGGTCAGGAAAAGCATCCATCGAGCAGAAGATATACTCCTGATGATGCAAAGGCGTTTGGAATTTCAGGGGCAGCTGCTGCATACACAGAACATGTCAAAGACTCAGGATCTTCTCGAATCACGCTCAGACAAGGCCTTCTGAGCACACTTTTTGTGATCACAAAGCCACTGTTCTGTCAAGACCACTGGCCCGATTCCTCCAATTAGCACTTCTTTGCTGGCCTATGACGGATAAGAGCGGACCGAGCACCTCGACTTCAAACCAGCACGGTCCCACATCTGAGCTAGAAGCATGTGAAACAGCCACTTTTGGCCGCTTCTAACCCAAAGTCCTTGCTAATTTGTGGCATGTGCCCTTCCACAGGCTAGCACATCGTTCTCCTCAAACATGGTCTCGAAAGTTTCGCATCATTCGAGTTTCAACCTGCCCAAGTTTCACGCCTTGAAGACCGTCTCGGTCCAGCTATGAAAATGCACAAGACCTTAAGAAAGTGCTATTCAGAGAGACACCATTTGATCATAAGATGTCTTGGTCATAGCCTTCCTGCGATTCTCACAACATGCTGTATTGACTCAAAGACAGGTGAAGAGGAAAATTATTCTTTGGTATCTGCTCGGAGAAAAAGGAAAGAAGTACACTGCAAAGAATGCATGAGTAGATAAACCTCACGCCGTGCATGCCTCGCAAACGTCGAAATAACCGCTATAGAACAACAAAAGAGAATAGACAATGAGGAACGTGGGGAGATGTGCTTGATTGAAAGGAAAACGATGAAGGGGCAGAGAATCCATTACAGCACTTTTTCTCCTTTGTAGCTCCATGCGCAGCAGCTCTCTGCCTCTAACCCAAAGCCCGACATGAAAGAGAAATTGACGACCAGGGGGATCTGCTATGGGTAAGACGCCAGAAAAAGACAGAGTACTGCGAGATGAAAGGAATTAAACATCAGATAACCATTCCGACCCAGGCAAAGGCTTGCTGCCGCGCTCATTTGAGTACACAAGGCCTCCATTATGAAAACTTGTACGATCCAGGAAGAAGGAAAGAAGAAGGGAATGAAGGTTGTCCCCTTCGATCCCATAATTCTCGGAAAAAAGGGCTCTGCTCCTGCAGAGTACGAAGTGAAAATAGGCCACTGTGTTGCGGTCAAGGCGTGGTCTGCATGGCGCATGCCTTTCGGTGGTATCATTTGCCCGTTCTTCTGGTGTTGATTGTATGTTCCATTGTCTGGACAGAAACACATGGTGGCGACGTGGATAGAAAATTACGAAGTTGACAAGACTTGGTTGGAAGTAAGGTCATTATGCCCAAATGCGGAGCTGCACGAAAATGTTAGCGCAACATAATTAAGCTCTGCAGTCGGATCGCTCACCATCGAGTCCCAAGAACCTGTGCAGAGCGAAAGAGCATCGTTGCTGACGCCCAAGCAGCTGACACGGTTGTCGTGACCTTGCAATGTACCGACTCTCTCACCACGAAGAGTGTCCCAGACCTAGCGAAAGTCAGTATATTACGACAACATTTCAGATTTCAGAACAATGAGCACATACCTTGCATTCAAAGTCATCGTAACCAGCGAACAAAAGTCTACCAGAGACAGAGAATGCCACGGATGTGATTCCGCAGACAGGCTCGCCAATCTAAAGCGGAAGGTCAGTTTTGTCAAACTTTTCATACGTATTCGTGGGAACATACGGTGTAGCTCTGCAATTCTCTGTCGGCGCGGATATCGAAAAGACGGCATGAAGCATCGTCAGAACCAGTACCAAAGGCATTTCCATTGGGGAAGAACTGAATGGCGTTGATGTCCGAGTCGTGTGCGGCGAAAGTCTGGACACACTTCTGTTGTCTAATGTCCCAAAGCTTTGCGAAGGCGTCGCAAGCACCAGAGACGAATTGGTTGTTGTCGAGAGGGTTGACACTCAAGCTCATGACATCGCCGAGATGGTCGGCAAATTCCTGGAGCTTCTGACCAGTCTCGATATCCCAGAGCACACAGGTCATGTCACCGGAAGACGTCAGGATGCGGCGGTCGTTGATGAAGCGACAGCATGAGAGGTAGCCGGAGTGACCGGAAAGTTCTCTGGCGACGCGAGTGGGGCCGTCGCGAGCAGAAAGGTTGTAAATAGAACAGATGTTGTCAAGACCACCACAAGCGACATAGTTGCCGCTAGGAGCGTAGGCACAAGTCATGACCCACGAGGATCTGAGAGGGATGGCGTGGACCTTGTTTGTGCTGTAGGCGTCCCAGATAATGAGCTTGCCATCTTGTGAAGCTGAGACGAGATGCCTTCGGTCAGTGGACCAGTGCATGGCGTAGATTTTTGCGAGATGGCCCTTGAGAGTACGCTTGGTCTTCATCTGTAGGCGAGGAAGGGCTTCTGTGCGTTGGCGAGCGACATCGCGAACTGTGGTGGATGATTAGGGTAGTTGTGAGTGTAAGGTTCAAGTAAACTTACGCGTTGTGTCGGCGAGCTCATCCTTCTTCTTCTTAATGCGGTCCTTGAGGGCCTCAGCATCTCTGCGAGCAATTGAGATCTTCTGCTGAATGGATTCTGCGCTTCCGTCGGCCATGGCTGTAGATTTATTTATGCGAATGAGACGGTGTGGTCGTAAGATTGGCTAATGAGCGACGCGGTCGTGTCGAGGATCACAGGCGAAGCTAGGATGATCCGGCGGCGATGTGGGCTTGAACGGCAGCGACAGGAGGTTGGTGACGAGTTTAGCAAAAAGCGCGGAGCTCACGAGAAAGGAGGGTGAGCAGCAGCGATAGGGTCGGCGGTGCGAGGTGCAGGTCAGCAATCAGGCGTTGGCTTTAGAAGCGTGTTTGGTTGGTCGGGCAGGTTCAGATCGGCACGAGTGGAAACACGTCGGACGGGTGCTCTCGACCACAAGACAGAAGGCGTGAGGGATGCGGCCGACGGTCGACAGATGGCAGAGGTGGACGGCGAGGAATTGATCGATGATGTCTGTCCGAGGACGTGGGATTGAGCTGAGAGAGCCTGCACGATGCACGATAATGGGGGGACATGGATTTGGAGAGGTGTCGGCCATCGGTACGAGTCGAGCACAAAAGGTCCGAGCGCTGCGACTAGCGACCTGACTGGCTCGGCAAACGGCCAAGGGTGCGGCTTGGGCCATTCAAACGGAAAGCAGGCTGGTGGAGCCAGCAATCTGAGCAGCCAACTCTAATCACCAAATGTTGCTCTTCATCAAACTGCGCAGGAGAACTTTGCGCTGCTCCGTCTGTGCCGGCTTGTGTACAAGTTGTTCCTCTTCGTGAGCTACTCCCTGCTTTCTTGTCTTCCATAGCCTGTTGACCCTGCTCGATCGTGTGTTTCTAGCCCGATGTCCAGACTCGACTCAAGAAACAACCGTTTCCTTTTCTCTAGATCTTCACCTCTCTCTGCCTTTTTTGCTCCATTCCCGGTGCTGCCCGTTGGCTTCATTTTGCAACGGCCGGCTTGTCGCTCCTAGCCATGAGCATTATTGGCCTAGCTCCCGAGTCTCGCCCACACCCACTGTCCATCTAACTCTTCGATATCTTCTTCTTCGGTCTAGTTGAGCCTCGACATGGCTAATTCACCGTTGCCACTTGCCCGCAGCCAGCACCGTCCTCAATTCATCTAGAAATGGAGATGCATCAAGTGCTTCTATTGCATTGACCAGCAAGGGCAATAGTGCATCTGCTTCGTTGAACGTTGTGACCTCTAAGCCAATATAATGCTCATATTGTCCAAATCTTCGCCTGTTATTCTACCCTTCCCCATGATTGGATTCTGCCTCTCCTCTCTTGCTCCCTGACTCGCAAACCTTGATACTATGCCTATCCTCGCGAAGCGTCAATCTTCTTGTACAGGCTAATTCACAGCCTTTTTCAACGCAGATACACGACTCAGGCTGTGCCCCCCGTGGCGGGCTGAAAGCATTGCACAAGTGCCACAAGCAAGAAATGTGCATGCAATCTCCTTTTGTCGCTTCCTCGGCTGTCAATTGTGGGCTGTCTCCAGCCCTTGACTCAGGTTCATTGCGTGTTCCGAGTTGAGAGCATTGAGCGATAAACAGTTAGACGAAATGTCAACACTCGATCTGACCGACCACGTCATTGATCATTAGAAGAGAAAGGGGAACCGCGTTCGAAAAGTCGCACATAGCCAATATAGTTGCTATATTCGTCCCTTTCCTGTATGCTGCCGGGCGTAGGCAAGGAAACATGGGGAACTTGGCATGACCTTGCAGCTCTGCCACATCACTTGACTAGGAACTTTCATGCAGTCCGAACAAGGGAGTTTACATGCAAGGAACAGACGATAATGGTCATTCAATATACTGCAAAGAAAAAGTGGCACCAAGGTTCATCAACATCAACACAATGATTTCGTTAGGGCGACAAGAAACAGCTTTTGACTTTTTTCGTTGATCTGCGAACAGAGGACGAGCTTCATACCATGTCCGATAGTAAGAGCCATTGAACCCATGTAAAATTGCGTTGCAAGCACCACCCAAGACTCCTGCCATGATCAACTCATCCTCCTTCGCTTGACGTGCGACGACGACAGACCCAACAATTGGGGCATTGCATTTAGCGGTGCTGTGGCAAAGTGTTAGCCTCCGACAGGTGATGACTCCAGAGCGCATGTCGGTTGCGGGTCTGGCACGGAAATGCGTGGGTTTGTGATTGCGTACCTTGACGAAGCCAATGTCGGTGGACTTCTCACGGAAGCACTGACGGCAGATGTTCAGGCCGTACTTGCGGATGAGACCAGCCTTGTGGGTGCAGACGCGGCTGTACAAAAATGAATCGTCAGCCAGATGTTCTCTCCTTCGGTTGTGATCCCCTCGCTCGAGTGCGCGCGCGACACCGGTGTAGTCCTTCTCTTTTTTCTCGACTCTTTCTCAAGCGAGCGACGAGGATTGTAGGGTGTAGACGCACCATTCTCTGCTGCCCTTGCCGTAGGTGCGAGGACGCGAGTACCAGACAGATTCGTGAGACATGGTTGCGGTGGATGGGTTGCCGTAAAGGTCCTGATGACAAGAAAAAGCGCGTGTTAGAAAGAGTCCCTGTGCGATTCCGATGCGAGTGAAGAGAGATACACACTTGAAGTCGAACGGTTTGCTGGTTTGTCGTCGCTGGTGGGAAGGAATTTCGTCTGCTGAGATCAAAGTGCGAATCTTCGCTTCCGCCAAGCCGCTAGTCGCTTCGGGCACGCAATCCGGGGTCAAGTTGTTTACTGACCATCACTCCAGCCTCCCATTCGACAACCTCTGAAGATAAAATAATATTTCACGTCGAAGAGACGCATCATCATGGTAAGCCGTTTTGTGACATCCAAGCAGCATTGCAGTCTCTCATGCGTTATTGGTAGACCAAAGACTCATCACACACCTACATCCATCTGCATCGCAGCCACCATGCCGATCTTCTGGAGGACTTCAATCGCACCCATCTACCTCATGAAGAGATCTATGTGCCACCTCAACACCAGCCTCTGAACCCAGATGACGAAGACGATGTTGTTCCAGAGCAGCACGCCGCTTTCGGCATCCAAAGAGCCACTCAACGTCAGCAAGAACCTGCTTGGCGTGATCTTGGTCTAGACAGGATTTTGAATGAAGGCCCACCGAAGAGTCAAAGACAAAACGAGCAACTATCAAAAGTTCGTCTCTTACGATGAGAGTTCTCTATGTCTTGTATGGGCTGGACCGCTGTCCACGCTACAAGTCATCGATAGACAGCATCTGATAACGAATTACGACTTTCTAAACAGTCTCACCGGGCACAAACTTCCCTCTCAACCGACAATTACCTCGAGATATTCGATCTTGCCTCACGACAGAGTTATGAGACACCTGACACAATCTGTGTTCTTGACGATCCCGATCACAACTAAACTGGACTCTCCAATACAGAGGTAGAGCGGGAGAACAAAATCTACATTGTTTCAGCTCTGCTGATCTGCTCCAAGAAGGTCAAGAACCTGAAGCTCTGCTTTGATATTCTTCCAGCAGTTGTGGTCAGGAATACAATTTAATCCTTGTTTCTTGTGTCATTACATTACTTTTCTTCGTGCAACTGATGCAGCTCCAACATTGACATCCACGGTTTCCGACCGATAGCGCACAGCTTTCAACAAGATCTGCGTTCAAGCCTGTCTGCTCCTCATGGAGTATTTGCCAATTTTTCTTCGTGATGACCATCGGATCCTCTCTAACCAGCTCAATCAGTCTTGCTAGGATGGAAGGTGAACGAGATTATCGCGACCAGCAGCTTGATTCCAGCAGCAAGCCACAGCACACTCTGCAAACCACCTCGACTGCGCATAAGCCACCCACTGATAACAGCACCCGCAAACAACAATACCACAGCTGCAGCTCTTCTATTCCTTTTGACATTATGCAGAGCAAACAACTTAGCATCACCCATCAAGTCGCAGTAGGTACTGGTCAAGACATTGACCGGCAACTCGTTGTAGCCCAACAAGCGACTAGTGGCAATCTGCATGCCAGATTGAAAGCCTAGAGGTGGGAATAAACTGACAATAAGAATATTGGTGATGACGCCTCTTTTGTGCTCGTCATCAGGGTAGCCAGGGCGGTTGTGAGGGACGAGATTTGCGCTGACGATGGCTGCAGAGATAATGATGAGAAGGGCTTGGATGAGGAGGATTGTGCTGAGCCAGAGACGGTTGCCAGTGATGCCTTTGGGACAAATGAGATTTGTGCTGCGGAATGTGAGGAAGGCGCCGAGGAGGAAAGAAGCCAGAGAGACCAGGGTGGTTGTCCAGGCGTGAGGATTATCCGGCAGACCAGCAGTTGAGAGGCCTAGAATCACAGTGTTGCCTATCGTTGTGTTAGAGACAATTGATGCAGGAAATTGTGCACAAGATGGAAAAGGCGGGACAGCATCGATATCCAAAATGATAGTAAACATGGGGTTGACCTGTTCAGAGTCACGCGTCCCTGCTCAAAATTGACAGAATACGTCTTGCCTGAAGTCTTCTGGATTATTCAGAAGGCCAATCCGACATGATGCTATTTTCATGTTGCGATGAGCGAAAGAAATGAGAACCTACCAGTCTGCATTCCCACAAAAACACCCCAATTGGCGAACGACGCCGCATCAACCAGCCCAGTCACAAATGAATGCACCAACAACGCATAATCTCCATATTCCTTGTCAACAGGTCCCAAAATCCGTCGTCGCGAAAAGAAACCAGGCTTCTTGACTTCCAAAGGCTCAGGTTCAATTTTGGGCGGCGGCGAAGTGTCGTCCGCTGTTGCTTTTGCTGTTTGTGGCATTGTCGCAAGATTTTAGGGACGCGATGAGAGGGATTGGAGGGAAGGTGGAATAGCCCTGTCTTGTAATAACGACTCTTTTTCGGGGCAAAGTGCGGCAGCTGTATGTATACCGGGAGCACGCGATAGGCGATAGGTTGGCGATAGGTATGTCTATTATTTTTCTTTTCTCTCTGCAGACGCTGGTTTTACCGTCGGAGGTGCTTCGTTGGTGCCTTATCTACTGCTTGCTCCCCTTATGACTGTACACGTACACGCAAGCTTGCCTAGATTTTTCTTCTAGTTCTCTTCACGACTTGTTGGCCGCGCCGGCTACTGGCAAATTTGATGGTGGCAGCGAGGGCTTTCTTGTTTTGGTCCCGTCGGTCATCAAGGTGTGGACCCGCTTTCTGCCGAATTCGGATTGGTTTTGGGGACCATGGCTTGGAAAGAGACCGTGTTTCTAGGAACGGTTCTCGTCACGCAATACTAATGGTCTATGGCGAGGGCACATAAGGCTTGCCCTTTGACATGAAAGCGTCGCAATGTGATGCTGGGTATTTGGTAAGAGCTAGCAAAATATTCTGATTGCTGAATCTTTCTTTGCTTGATCCTCGAAACCTTATCTCGCATTTCCCGGTAGCGGGATCTGCGTCTCCAACTGACCCCGACTTCGCATTTGGGGTCGATCTCACATACCTACTTCGTGTTGGGGTCAAAGAAGATAGGCGGAAAGATCAGCATGTAGACCAACTGGCATCTCACACCCCTGTCTAGATCCCTATCTGCTATGCAATGGGCATTCTTCAAGTACACCTAACTCCTTGTTGATCTTGGTCATATCCCATGCCCACAGATTCGTCTTTCCTCGCCATTTGTCAAGCTTGCCAGGGTGGTCTTCAGAATGTGTATGTCCTTCACCAGCAATGATCCAGTATCTGCGATCTGCTTTCAGGCACCATTTGGCCCTCGCAATACAACCTTGGCCTGATTGAAGAACCACGTTGTCACCTTTGCTGGGTCCATCCTCTTGGTCGACCGTATGATAGCACGATGGATCTCATGTTCGTCACACGATGAAGCATAAGCATCTGATGCAAGTTCATCATCTTGTTGTTGCTGACACCATCTCCTAGCGCAGCGTGTGTCGTGAACTTATCAGGAATAAGACTGACGTATCCACCACACTGTTCAACCAGTTGTTTAGCTCTAGATCTGATGGGGAGCTCCCCAGTGAATATGAGGTTGCAGCCAGCAAGGCAGTTTTCGCAACCTTGAGGGGATGAATAGGTCCGTGTTCAGGGATGGAAGAGAGGGTGTTTGGTTGGAGAATACTTCCGGACCGCCAGTGCGCCTTCTCTTCGAGAGAAGGCCTTGTCCAGCATTATCGGAGACTACCGTAGGCTCAGTCAGCTGGTTCTCAGTGTGTACAACCCCTGTAGACAACTGTGCTGTCGAAGTAGACACCAGTGGATCAGATGAAATAGTCTGTGGCTCTCAATCCTGGGCAATCGAAGCAACAACCTGGCTCAGAGGAGGAAGTTCTTGACGAGCAGCACCAATCACATTTGACGAGCTCTATGGATTGGTGGCGGGTGTTGCCACTGTTCGGCTTTGCTGAGGTGTCACCGGCTGACTCTGATTTACTGGCGCCGCCGGATGATGAATCTTTGTTGCGGGCACGGGATTGCCGTCCATATATGTCTTGGTTGGATCGCCGAAGGCATTTACTGCATTCCTGAGAGCCGGTGCTGGTGTGCTTGGCCTTTGAGCCCTCAAAGTTGGACATGGTATATTCCGTTCCTCTAGAATCGATGTCGCAAGCCTCGCGAAAAGTTACTCAAGACATTTACGAGTACGCATACGAGACAGGTGGTATGCGATGAAAGGACAACGCGTGATGCGTGCCGGCAGCCGGAAGGTGCTCCTCCAGCTTTGACGTCGTTACTCTTCTATGAAACAACCACAACTTTGTTGCGATCTCAGATTTGACATCGTACAACATCGTATCTCACGCGACTGCAAACTGAAAATGAGCCGCATTCAGATAGATTATGACCATGAGGCTCAACAAAGTATGCATATCTGCGGTTCCTGCCGAAGAACTCGTGGATACCCTGCCCTAATCGTCATCTTGACTTCATCACCATGATGGACAGAGGTGATGGTACCCTGCAAGAATTGCCCGTCAGCACCCCATTGGCGCATCTAACACACCTGCTCTCGGTTCCCTTGCGATCCGTACAGTATGTAGATTGGAAATGATTTCATGACGATTGTTCTCGTTCGCCGCATGGAACGCAGCTACGTATGTAGCCCAGGAAACGCAAGATATATATACACATGGTAGGTCGTTGTATCTCAAGTCCAACTTCATACATTTCAAACCGCACATTCCGAAGATACAAATCATGCAGCACGTTCTCCAGACCGCATTGAGCTCCGGTCTTTCGGCCACCGAAGGCTACCACTCAGACAAGCCTAACAAGGTCGATCCCTCATTCAATGGCATGCAAGCAGTTCTGCCTCAGTCCTTTGTTCCTCAGACGTCAACGCGCATCACGTTGAAAGGCAAGAAGGCAGATGTACAAATTCCCTGGATGTCCATCGGCGCATGGTCTTGGGGAGACAAGGCGACATGGCACTGGGATCCAAAGGAACTCGACGGCGTAAAAGAGGCTTGGAAGTTCATGGTCGACAACGATCTCACCTGTGAGTCGCATTCAGTCTGAATCGGTACTTCCCAATGCTGATACCTCCTAGATATTGATACTGCTCAGGCCTACGGTTCAGGCGAGAGCGAGAGGATCTGTGGTGAGCTTGTCAAAGGCATGCCCCGCGATAGCTTCGTCATGCAGACCAAGTACTACGTTGTGCCCGACAACTTCAAGAACCTCGTCACACCGGGCTCTGCACCGTACAAGATGCTCAAGGAGTCTCTGGAGCGCATGAAGCTAGACTTTGTTGACGTTTACATGGTCCATGGACACATCCACGCTGGAAGCATCAAGCAAGTCGCCAAGTCAATGGCGCAGTGCGTGGATGAGGGCCTCTGCAAGGTGGTGGCTGTCGCCAACTACAGCAAAGAAGACATGTTGGAGATGAAGCAAGCGCTTGCCGAATACGACGTCCCTCTCGAGTTGAACCAATGCGAGTTCCACGTCATGCGTCGACTGCCCGAGACAGAAGGTATGCTGAAGGCGTGCCGTGAGAACGGTATTCAGTTCCAGTCATACTCGTCACTAGCACAAGGCCGCTTGACTGGAAAGTGGACGCCCGAGAGAGAGCCACCAAAGTCATACCGCTTCAGCTCGTACCCCATCAAGGAGATCCAGCATACACTCGACGTGGTGAAGAAGATTGCAGAGAAGCGTGGTGTCAGCATGTCTGCCGTAGCGCTTAACTACAACATCAGCAAGGGCGTCAACCCTGTTGTTGGCATCAGAAATCTCGAGCAGGCCAAGAGTAACATCCAGGCATTTGGATGGAGGTTGACAGACGAGGAGATCCAAGAGATGGACAGCGTCAGTATCGAGGGCAAGCACAGCGCTCTCTGGCAGCAGGGATAAACAAAGGTCATGTATCACGAGCCAAATACGTAGTGTAGCCTGGAATGCATGGTCATTCAATTATCGATGTTCGTTTTCACATGCAATGATGAGATGGTCGCTAGAAGGTTTGAAGATGAAACAGCAGGCCGTGGAGAGGTGGAGTCGATCGGAGCGGACCCCTTCGCGTGCCGGGCACCGCCACATACGCCACGGGTCAACCAACGACGACGACGACGACAGGACGGGGATATTTTTCGCATTGTGAAGACGACGGGAGCTGCAGTAGAAGACATGCGCTGAGTAGTCATCGACCATGTCACCGTCGCGAGACTTCCATCGCAAGCGTAAGAGCTGGGCCCGGCGGGTCGAACGCTGCTGCTGTGGAGCGCTGGGCTACTTCCCTCTGGCCTTTGTCTATGGCCTGCTGTCATGGGCTGCTTGGGTCCAGATAAGCATCGGCTTCTGGCCCAACCAGGGAAAATGGACTGGTATACCGAAGCCTTCTTGCCCTCTGCTCTGGACTCTGTCTCTAATGCTCACGTCTAGGCAAGACATCATCCTTGGTCGGAGTCGTACTCTACTCGCTCGCCGTCTCGTGCTATACCATCGCTGTCTTCAAAGACCCTGGATCTCCTACCAACTCGCTAGCCACCGGTGGCTACGCATCACTCCCTACCCATGAAGCCCTCGCACCTACACCCCTCACAGCCAAGTCGTCGGGCAAACCACGATACTGTAAAAAGTGCAACTCGGTCAAGCCTGACCGTGCCCACCACTGCAGCTCCTGCAACCGCTGCGTTCTAAAGATGGACCACCATTGTCCCTGGCTAGCCACCTGTGTTGGCATGTACAACTACAAAGCCTTCCTGCTGTTTCTGTCCTACACATCCCTCTTTTGCTGGCTCTGTTTTGCAACCGCATTCGAGTTCGTCTGGCGTGACATCTTTGACGAGACCAAGATCGAAGAAGGACTACGAATTGTTAACGTCATCCTGCTCGCTGTTTTAGGTGGCATCATTGGCCTCGTCCTGACTGGTTTCACTTCCTGGCACATTTACCTGGCCACAACCGGCAAGACGACCATTGAGAGTTTGGAAAAGACTCGTTACTTTAGTCCCTTGAAAAAGAGCATGGAACGTCAGATACACAATCACGAAAGACACTACATGCACGACGATCCCTCCGATGAGCCCACGCTGGGCGAACAGCTCAAGGAGATTCACGCAAATGCTGTTCCTGGCGTCACCAGACCCGAAGAAGGCGACGAATCGAGACTCCCAACCCCTCTGCCAATTCAAACCTCTGCGTTTGAGTCTCCTGCTTCGGAAAGTCTACGTCGTAGTTACGCAAGTCTCGAAGCAGACCGTGAGCGGGAACGCTATGCCGAATATCTAGACGAGCAAGACAGCGACAAACTACCCCATGCCTTCGATCTAGGTTGGCGACGGAACTTACTTGATCTCTTTGGCCACAATCCATACTTGTGGTTCTTGCCCGTCTGTAATACCGAAGGAGACGGTTGGAGGTGGGAAGTCAGCGCACACTGGATAGCCCGTCGTGATGAAGTAGCACACGACCGCCAATTACGAGAAGAATCAGAACGTCGCTCATGGCGTGACTACCAAGCTGAACGCTCACACTGGGGTGCCGGTGCATATGGAGCAGGAAGATACTTCGCTGGTCCTGCTGCTATGCAACAAAATCAACAGCACCAACAGCCGCAACAGCCACACCTTCAACCTACATGGGCAGGGGAGCAGGAAGACGACGATGAAGGCAGATATTTGACTACCACTAACGGTGTTACTCGCGTACCTCTTGCCGGTCGTCGCTCTCCATCAAAAGCAGCACAGATTCTGGGTCAATATCAAACAGGGAACGGTCCACCTGCAGCACAACGTCGCAAAGTAGATCCTGACGATATTGATGACTATGACACCAGCAGCGACGAGGAAACTTCACGACCGCCGAGCCGACCCCTTCCGCAAACCCGTGATTGGAACGATATCCCAGATGACTTTTTGACGTCTGCTACTGCGAAGCCCAAAAGAGACAGGAGCAGAAACAGAACCAAAGGAGATTGATCATAGCGTCTTGTGCTTCTTATACTACTCCGTCGTTTGCATAGTTATATACGGTGTCGGGTTACTCTTCTTGTGATATCGCGTCTTTGACGTTCATTAAGGCTGCATTGGAGCGGGTCGTTGTATACTAGTCTTCAAACGAAAGGTATTCTTGTTGCTTGCTTTTCTGAACTTCTGATATGCCAAAGTCTGTAACTCCCACATGAAATCATCGTACTCCGACAACGCAGAGAGCAGTGTACGCCATGAAAAGGCACGATCTTTCCAGAAGACATAGGCGTGTCAATAGAGGTTCTATGATTTGTCGCTTCTTAGTACACACTATTCGGTTTCTTTTGTTAGTATTCTGCATTTTTTACAGCCATATGTGGTACATACTTAGCACACGAGGAGTGAGCATAAGCCCATATGTCCGTCACTTCCTCTTAATGAGCGTTCCGAGCGAGTGTGGAATCGTGTCGTATGGGCCCTCGCCTTCACCTGCCCTCAACGAGACTTCCTCCCAGTCACCAACTTCGCGAAGCCATTCATCAGTAGGTCTTGCAATGTCACAACCACCAAAGAATGTCGGCCAGATCAGATTGACAAAGGCTAAGACGAAGAAAGTCAGCAAACACAGATATCACAACCTGTTTCTGCACTTACGTTGCCAATATCCAACAAAATCATTATGATATTTCGTCTTGACATGTTCATATACCACCCAAGTACCTCCCTTCTTCAGATAAGGATACAAACTCTTGATAATATCTTGCGGACCAGGACAACTGCAAAGTGTCTGCAACGTCACAATCGTATCCACAGACTCGATCTCCAATCCCACAGATCCCAAATCCTGAGCTCCTACAGGCAAAATCTCGTAAATGCCTTTGAGTCCAGCGGCTTCTACTCGTCTGCGTAATGCAGCATGGTGTTCCGGATTCGGCTCCACACCATATACTTTTGTGACTTTGTTTGCGGTTGCTGCGTACAGATTTACCCACTCTCCGCTGCCGGGGCCGATGTCTAGGACTACACCGTATACGTTTGAGCGGACTAGAGGAGATACAGTAGCGTTGGCGTTTTGACGCGATACGCCGCCGAACCAAGACCAGAAGGTTCCGAACCACGCGTGTTGGAAGGAAGACCAAGAGAAGAGTTTTGAGGGCGAAGACAACAGGAGTCGGAAGATTGTTATGGGGATGTAATAGGCTGAGTAAGAGAGAAGAAGAAGTGGCCGTAGGAGGTTTAGTTGAGGTGGTAGACCCATTTTTGTCTTTGATGTCTCAATTGAACCCACTTGAATTAGTATACCGAAGCAAAAGATCAGAAAAGAAAGAAGAACAGATTTCGACAGAAGTTTATATACTACAAGCATCCTCTTAGGGCAGGGCAAAGGAAGGTGGGGCTCTCATGGCGGGGACTTGTTCAAGAAACCGAACCCATTCAACTTCGGCGACTTTATCTATATCGGACAACTTGATATGGTTGGAGAGACTTTGATATCTGTCCACCTAATCCCCAATCTGCGTATTCCTGACTATGATGTGTGAAGGCATATAACCCCGATCATGAAACCTGAAACACACAAGGCTGAGAGCTGGACCCCGGCCTTTCCCCAAACAAAACCGCAATCACACTTGACCTCACATGACAGCTCGACAGTTGCACGGGCGCTTAGCAAAACCTGTGAAAACAATAAAAGAGGGGAGAGTGAGCAAGAAAGCAAGCTGTCAAACACAATGAACATCAGGTTGTGATCGGAAGGAACAAACCAGCCGCGCCCACTTTCTTTGTCACACCTTTCTTTCCGGAAGCGAACCAGGGGCCGTCGCCCAGCCCTGTCATTATTGAAGACGGCCTTACATGCGAAGACAGACTCATCGATTTCCGTACTTATACATACAAAGCTGGCTCTGTTAATCTTAGAATCTTACTGCCAAATCTCAACGTCTGCAGACCTCACTATCGGTAAGTTGATATGCGTACACGCCAGACTTTACCCCTTTCCGGGAGCTGGAGAAACGCAGCGAGCAGATGATACAAGCAATTGTTCATGCTTTCACGAAACTATTCTATCACAAATTATACCAAGCATGTTCAAAACTGCAGACAAGAATGAAACTGACTTGCAGCATAGAAAAGTCACAACAAACCATACCAGGTATTCGAGAAACCATGTCCGGATTCCAGAGCCTTGGTGCAATAGCAGACGATACAGCGACAGCAACTCCCACTCCAGCCCGTGGCAAAGAAATGCGCGCAAACCTCTTGAACAAACTACGCGCACCACCCCTAGTCCACGCCTGGGATTTCTGGCACGATCGTCAAGACCGCACCACATCTACAACCACTTCACCATCAGCTCCTGCCACCACTTCTCCTACAGACAAACCAACAACCAACTACGAAGACAGATTGGTACATCTAGCTTCCATCGCCGACGTCCGCACCTTCTGGAACGTCTTCAACAACTTCGACGTCTCGAGCTTGCCTCTCCGCGATTCCGTCCACCTCTTCCACAGAAACGTGAAGCCTTTGTGGGAAGACCCTCGCAATGCCCACGGTGGCTGCTGGACCTTCCGCGTACCAAAAGAACGCGCACCAGCATTCTGGGAACGCATCTGTTTGCTTGCTGTGGGTGAGAAACTGCAAGCTGCGGTGGAGAGTGAGAGACAGCATTTCAGAGATGACATCTGTGGTGTTAGTTTGAGTGTTAGGTTTACGAGCGTCTTGGTGCAGGTGTGGAATAGGGATGCTGGTCATCAGGAGGGTATTCAGAGGTTGCTGGAGACGGTTTTTGCTAATTTGGAGCCGGAGCTGATGCCTAGAGAGAATGGCTTTTATTACAAGCCGCATCACGAACATGCAGCTTTCGCGGGCGGCAAGGCTGGTACACCATCAGCGACGTTCAAGTGAACATAAGTCCACAGTAGCATGGTTGTTGTCACAATTTTGATAGCATTGAAGGAGGGACTAGACAGGATGGTATTGAAATTCCTCAAACACGATCACTTAGACGATCACAAGAAAACAAGATACAGATCAAGAAGTGGAGGTGAGAAATGACATGTATGCTCTACAAAAGCGAGGAAGAAAGATATAAGCTAGCAGAAACCACGCTATGCGCACTGCAACATCTCTCCGAGAAAATCAAAAAGCAGAAACCCAGATGAAAAAAATACTTCCCAAAACACAAAAGTATAAAAAGAAACCTTGGTATTCTGGGTCCGAAGCAGCAAGAAAAAGAAAAGCAAGAAACCGCAAGAGAAAAAAAACAACAGATTAGACAAGGCGGGCCAGCCGACACTAGGAGGCGTAGATGGGGTATTAAGGAAGAGAGGTTATTACCAAACCCAGACCCGCCACCAAAACCGTTGCCGGCAAACCCAATGGAAAGATCAGAATACCATGACTACCGCACGCTTTTGAAGCATCTCATTACGAGAGTCGTAACGCGCTAAAAGGAAATGAAGAAATTGTAAGAAACGCAAAGAGTTGAGAGGAGATTATCCGTCTCGGACATGAGACAGATCGGGAATAGAGACATGAGATTTGGTCGGAGGAGGGGTCGTGAAATGTGGTTTGCAGTGTCAGTAGGCGGCGACTGCGAGATTGTGGGATGTCATGGTGGGAGCGGAGTGAGCCTGCTCTTGGGCAAGCATGGCCTCCTCATAACCAGAGAGTGCCTGAGCGTGGAGCTTGAAGGATTCACCCATGAGCTTGGTGATGCCCCAAACGACCACTTCATCGATCATGCTGCCCCAGACGCGGGCGACCATTGAGCTGAGCTTGCCGTACATCTCGACCGAGTCATCATCGAAAAGACTACGAAGCTTTTCGTACATGGCGATCTCCTCAGCGTTGGGAGCCTCGTCATCGTGCTCAACGCGCCAGAGCCAGAGTGTGAGAATGACCATCAGGTCGAGCCCACAAAGCGGGTGTTCAATACTCCAATTGGTAGCAGAAGTGCGAGCAACCCAACGAATGCCATGTACTGCAGCAACCTCGACACAATCGAAGCAGGCTTGAATGACCTTGAGCATCTCGGGAGAGCGCTTAACCTTGTCCCTTGCATTGGTCATGGCGGCAGCGACCTCATAGGGATCGTGGTAGCGAAGGGCTTCCTGGACCGACTTGAGATCAACCATGAGTCTAGCAGTAGTGTTGCGGTATACAGCCATGGCGTTGAAGATGAGAGGATGGCCACGGTGAGGTGCACTGAGTTGAACAACGACAGTCTCGGGTTCGCAAATCTCAAGGGACTTCTCCCAAGATTCCAAGGCCAGACGAAGCTTGTACTCGGTCACGACGTCCTGCAGAGCCTCGGGGCATCTCTTATGATACCAGACTTCGAGGAAGAGGGCGTTGATCATAACGCGAGTCGCAAAGGCGCTGTAACGAGCAGGCTCACCCTGGAAGAGATTACAGTGAGATTCCTGGAATGTGATGATGTTCGTGGTCTTCATGCTCTCGTGCCAGATAGCACTCTGGTTGACATCGAGCGCCCAGAGAGTTTCCGATGACGGCAGCTCCAGCGTATCAAATTCGTTGAAACTAATGGCAGGGGTGTGATTGTAGGTCATGGTCAAGAGGCCAAAGAAGATGTAGACAGCGTAGTATGTGCGACGGCAGCTCTCATCCTCAATCCATTCTTGGTGACTGGGCTGTGCGCCCTGGCGGGCCTCGGAACGCAACTTGAGCTCGTATCTGTTACCAGCGACCATGTTGGCGACAAGACTCTTGACTGAGCAAGCCCATTCGAGGCCCTTCGGGTCACCACTCCAGCTGGCAAAAATCATGTTGAGCAGAGTTGCTTGCATAGCCCAGATAGGACATTTGCGAGAACTGAAGTTCTCCTTGTTGACCAGGAATTGGTTGATCAAGAGCTTAGAGCCAATATGGAGCATGTATGCAGAATCTTGTTCAAAGGCGTACAGTGCACCGACTGACAGGACTGACAGAAGCAGGGGTGCCGAAACATGAGCCGGGTTGAACGACGAGGGATGCAAGAATGGCAAGTGGTGGTGGAAGAGGGTGAAATACGTCGACAGATAACGGTTGAGGTCGTCGCCGTGGGGGAGGCGGAATGTGTCGAGCAAAGCACCCTCGCTGTCGCAGTGCTTGATGTTTTGGAGGATACTGGCAATCTGATCCTCAGATTCAACCTGGGGAGGCTTCGGCATTGTGCAGACTTGAGGAGGTCCAGGCGAACGACGATAGTCTACCGGCGACACGGGTCCCATCATCGAAGTGAAGGGAGACAGGGCACCAGGCGTTCCAAGTGCGGACAGCGACGGGTTGGCGAATTGCTGTTCCATGAGTGGGGGCAAATGACTGTGGATGCTGGCGGAGGAATGGGGCAAGCGGGTGTCATGACCTGTGGCGGTGCTTTGAGACGACATTGACTGCGATTTGGCCATGGGGTGAGGCATCATGGATTCCATGGTATCCCAGTGGGTCTGAGATTGCATCTGAGGAAGAGTCATGGAGCCGGCTTGAGCGTACGAGGGCTCGGCTAGGATGGGCTCGGGTATAGATCCTTGTGTGGACATGGCGGCCTTCTGTTGGAAGTTGGTCATCAGCATGGCGGCTTCCTCGACACCGAAAAGACCATCATCAGCACTCATCTGCTCGATGGTTGCTTGGTCCATGCCCATGGGGAGCTTGGGTGGAAGGGCTTCCGGCGACTGTTTGGACGCGTTACTCCTTCGCTTCGTGTCGCTCTGCAACGGCACACCTCCGTCCTTTGCGTGTACAGTACGGTCGTGGCGTAGGAGAAGATCGCGACGCACAAAAGTGCTGCGGCACTTGAGGCATTTGAAGGGGCGTTCTTTGGTGTCTGGATGAGGGTGGTCAGTGTCGGAGCAAGGTCGAGGGCGCGGAGTGCGGGGGGCGAGCCAACTTACGCGATCTTTCGTGTCTGCTGCGATGCTCACTTCTGCTGAAAGCGCGATTGCAAAACTGGCACTTGTATTTCTTTTCGGGAGCAGAGGCTGAAGACTTGCGGCTAATGGTGGGCGAGGCCGAGCCGGCGGCGGGCAGAAGAGTGGTAGACGATGAGGACGAGGCAGCAGGCATGGTTAACGGAGGGGCGGATGGTCGGAAATCAAGAGAAGAAGTGGTGGCGGGCGAGGTGAAGATGTTGAATGCTTCGGGCTATGTCCAGACAACAGAGGCCGACCAGCGCGTAGGGATTAAGTCTTGATAAACTGGGACTGATGGGAATGATTATGTTGCATGGGCGATATTATGCTGCTCATTGAACGTGGGATTGCGACGATGCCCTTTCAGACGCCTCGACGCAGGATACAAGACAGTGAGGCCAGGCAAAAGGTGGCAGGTGGGGGAGATGGAGGAGGGGAAGAGAGGGGCACGAGGCAAGAGCGAAGAGATCAGTATGATGTGAGAAGGAAGGAACGAGGGGAAAGAACTCAAAAATGGAAAGAGACAGCCAGCAGCAAAAAGAGAGGGCTCGACTGCAGTTCACGTCTGCGGGGCAGCCACCTCACATTCACAACCCTGGCTCTGGATCCGAGTCCGAGCGCTGTCATAAACTAGCAACACCGACTAATCATGACCACGCCTGTGGCTGGTTTCCTGTTTGGACTCTTGCAAGTCGTAACCTGCTTGACGCCTGTCGCCTGTCATCCCTTTGGCGGCGCATTCTTGCCATTTGTCCAAAATCAATCTATCCGACCATTTCAGCCCAGTCGCCAGCACGTTGACAGCGAAACGAAACGTTGTTCAGCGCCTTCTCGTCATGACTGCCTTTGTACGCACGCGACGTCCGTCAAACCACCACCTTTCGTTTGCCAGAGCGCACAAGAATCCCTCCCGTCTCCGTCTGATGTCTCGACTAATTAGCGATGCCTCGATATTAACTGAACTTCTACCCTCCATATCGCTGCCAGACCGTCAGACTTGCCACTTTGCCATCAAATGCAGCTGCCTCCAACTACAGTCTCAAGACAACTCATCATGCGCTCTCAAAATTCATGCACCCTTGAGCCACTGCAAGTCTGTGCAAGGCGCCACGTTATGCATGTAGCCGGACGCCGATGTATCTTCTATTCCTAACCCAGCCCCCTTATCATCTCATCACCGCGATTGACCAACAGAGAGACTGATCCCTTTGTCAACTCGGGAACAGAGCTTCAAGCTCCGTCATGATCTATGCATCGCTTCATGTGTCGTGTTTGGACGATCTTCAAGCTGCATGACCATCTCCGTATTTGGTCACGATCAAATTACTTGTTCCTGGCATCGCGCATCTCGCAGAATTATCGATAGCCTAACCCGGGCTAAGGCATAGGAACTTCGATCCGACAGCTATCTTGGTGCCAACGAACTTTCCGAGTCCCAACTTTTTGGGACGAATCTGATCATCATCTTTTGCTTTTTCTGATCATTTCACGTCAACAATCCCATCGAAGCTCGATTTTCATTCTCGAAACTTTCGCTTCATAGACCAGCTGCTTGTTTGATATACTCTGCATGATATTACAGCTTCAAAATGTTCCTCAAGCACGTGGTTCTAAACACCCGGCTTGAGCATGTGCTCAATCACTATCCTGGAGGAAATCGGAGGGAATGAAAAGGTGCGCGGGTCGGGCCACCTGAATGCCCCACATCGCTCCCAGCGGATGCTAACATCCGTGTGCACACCGGTGCTCACCCCTCGTCGCCGCAAACCGGATGCAATTCTTGAATTTTATAAACTCTCGAAAGCGATTTTTGATCAGAAATTTCAGTTGCAAAAGATTCCTCCGAGTCAGACGATCAAGTGAACGGACAGCTCAAGTGACCGTCCGTCCTCGGAATGAGCCTGGGTGACAATCTTCGTCCTGTAGTCAAAAGGGGCTGACCTACATCATTGATAAGTATACCACTGCTGTTTCATTTTAAGTCCTAGGCGGAGCCAGCCTCTAAGCCTGTGGCAGTCCCCCAGTATCGGGAGCTGGGACATTATCCAATTTCGACAGGACCTTGCCACCCATCTTGACCGGGGTACTGGTCCAGAGACGGGTCTAGGGGAAGCGTAGGCTCATGGAGTAGTCTCCCCCAGCTCGAATATAGCTCGGCATTGACGAAGCTTGTTCGACACGAGACGCGTATCCAGTTAATGATTTGCCAATTCTCAGCTACTCTTTGACCTCGCGACGGGTCATTAATTGAGACTGGCATGAACACGGGTTGTTGGGGTCGCCGCATCAATGTTCGTAATCTGGATGTCAACTTTTGATCACTTGCTCCCGAGAGTGATCGATAGGTCCAGCAGGTTTTGATCATTTTGCAACGTATCGAAATGCTTTGGCTAAGGGATGGACGTTGAACCGACGCGACTGCAGGGTCGTTCTTCAGCTTCTAGAACCTGCCCTGAACAAGAACGCGGTACGAGTACGAGTACTGTCGCGTTAACATTGTACCTCGTGCGTCGCCGTAGCGTGTCGAGCTCATGTCAGTATTCATCGCGAGGACAATGCGTGATGTCTTTGGCGTCGTCTTCTCGATGAACATGCATCTTTATCAACCTGGATCATTACACGACCTAAAGTACAAACAATATGACAATGGGTCTGTATGACCAGTTCTCAGATCATTTGTTGGTCGACATGATCGCACAAGGCTTTGCATATTGCGATACATCTTACGGGATGCATGTATCCCTCGACCGATTGCACACAGCTCTAGCTGCTTATCCTTGTACGACACACAAACGGCGAAATGGTGTCAGCAAGTAAAAAGTCCGATATGCACTGCGGTCCGAAGCGCCTAAGCGCGCGATTACAAGTACATCTGGTATTCAAAGTAATGTGTTATCTTCAGAATGCACTCTTGTCTGCCATGATGCACTTGATGGTAAGGATTGTATTGCTTGAACGCACTTACCAGAGACCACTGCATTGTTGACAGAACAGTCGGAGCATTAGCTGCAGCGGAGGGCGAATGATACGTCAAGCAAGGGGCAGTATCGCTACTGACAGAACGTGACAGAGGCCAACAACAATCTGGACAGCCATCACAAATGAAAAACATGCGGTTCTCATTGCAGAGAGAGCAAGCATGTTGTTATCCGGTTTCTCCTCGAGGTAATCTCACTGACAAGACCTAAACACTTTCCTGACCGCCACTCTACCTCGCGGCGGAAACCTGCAAATTATGTGTGTCGGCTATGTCTGTGCGATCGAATCCAGCCAAGGTGCATGAAAGCGTCCAGTGATTGGACCTGGCGGCGAGGAGGTGCAGCAGACTTAGTGGACTGATTACATGAGGCGCGTGCAGGGCCACGTGAGAATTGCTATCACAAGATCAGACGCGTAGAGATAATGGGATGTAACGGTATCGGACAGCGATCATACAAATGCTGGAAGCAGACTGACCATAAGACAACTACTAGAAAGTCGAAGCTCTCTGCCTCTGAGTTCTCGCAGAGAATGAGTGAGTACGTACCAACTTTGGGATATAGCTTCAAGTATAGTCACTATCTCCAGGACATGGTAGCTCTGTGTAATGGGATAGTGAAAAAGCGAGTAAACAACACAAACACGGCTATGACAGGAATATCAACAGAAAGTAGCATTGAAAGTAGCAAATCCATGATCAGAGTACTACCTCCCCGTACGCAAAAGATTGTAACGCACGTAGCTATACAAATGCATAACACTATTAGATAAGAGGATGGGTGTCCACTGAGAATCGACGTTTCAGCTCTCTTTGGCCAGGCCCCTGCTTCTAGTAACAACTATGCCTTTGTGTAATATAGAGATGCTCTTTATTATACAGATCTTAGCACACGGGCAGGTATGCTTGTGTATGGACAACTAGAACAGCTGCATCTTTATTGTGATTGCAGACTCTTTGATATAGCTTCGAGAATTGTGACTGTTTCGTGAACATGCCAAAGTCACGAATACAGATATAGCAGAGTCAAGTCGAGAGCTACGAGCGATTGCAAGTCAGGCACTCATGCTTTGCAATGGCTTGGGGAAGAATAGAGTGGACGACATAGGCGACCACTATAGAACGTTAGGAAGAAAAGCATTGAAGGCAGCGGATCTGGGACATAAGTAGAATGTCTGTGGAGAGATGAAAAGAAGAGACAGGTTGTAGTTTTAAACATTGTTTTGATTCTTGTAATTTCATGTTTTATTCCTGGCAGCTGCCTATAGTACCTCCCAATGAATCATTACCCTCGGTCGTTAAATCCTAGAACCATCATCATGGCTCTCAGGCTTCTCGTACATGTACATTCCCCCTTCTAGTCCCGCTGAATGCATAGCCGTGAAATTGATGAATGAAGAAATAAAGACACAGGTCGAAGCGAATGACGAAGGGTATCGAAACTCCCAGTAGACTCCTAGTAGAATGTGTCCGTGGGAAAAAATGTACAGAAAATGCCGGTAGCTGAGATTGGAGTACAAATTATCCGTTTCTCAATTTTTGCTCGGCCAGATCGAAGTGAAAGCACTGCATGCGCCATATAGTGCTGTAGATGTTGTCGTAATACAAAAGGCTGAGGCCAAGCTTTCATGTAAGAATTGCTAGTCGAACAGACATAACAAAGTTGCTGGCTAAACGACTCATGACTTTTCTTGCGGCTTTTGTTGGTAGTACTCGTTGTCTGATGTTGAGGCCAGGGTGTCGCCCTCCCAAGACTCGTCGACTGGGCTTCTTGCACCAACTGATGGGCTTCTGCTGGATGATGCTACCGAGGACGAAGAGCCAATGGTCCACTCATCACCACTATCCATGCCGAAGTTGGCTGGGTGGAAGTCATCATCAGCCAGATCGGTCAGACCGTAAGCATAACCCTCTCTAGCCTCTCCGACTTCGACGTAGTCGTAATCCCAGCGGAACATCTTGCCAGGCTGCAATCTCGGCAGGAACTTGCCCTTGGCAATGTAGTAGGCACCAGCAGAAAGCAAGCTGCCACCAACAAGATCAACAGCGTAGTGGTGAGAAAGGTACATGGTAGACCACCAAAGCCAGCCGGTGTAGATGATGAACAAGGGACGAAGCTTGGGGAAGGTGTGGCTCATGAACAAGGCTTCAATTGTGGCACATCCAGAATGTAGCGAGGGGAAAGCACCAAAGACCATGGGCGAGGCAGTGAAAGTGGAAGTGTACAGATCGATGCCAAAAAGCTTGTCGATTGCGGCAAGACCGGCGGGAGATCCTTGCATGGAGTAGTTGGCGGGGGCAAGACCGTACATGTTCTCGTACCATGGAGGTGAGCAGGGGAAAATCAGCTGGATCATGACACCAGTCAAGTTCATGTAGCCAAATGCTCTTGCAAAAGTGGGAGTAGTTCCAGGGGGACCGAAGAGGAACATGAGACCAGAGCAGACGAAGGGAGCACCGAAATGGGTGATGCCGTAAGGCAACCAGGCGAGGACATCGAGAACGACGGCCTTGTGGGCGGACAGAATGTTGCTCAAGTTTGCACCATAGAGGATGTTTTCAAGGGCAGGCAGCACGCGAACCCAGATCGGAGGTCTGTATTTGCCGTCGATGAATCTGGCGAGATAGCGTTAGCATGGGCTGAGGCGAAAGGGGAAACAATGGAGTCTAGGAAAAGATGGCACATACTGGCAGGAGAAGAAGAAGACGAGCCATGCGGCAATTGGCAAGAATGGCAGGAAGAATTGGCGAGTGATGGGCAACAGCAGCGACAGCATCAACAGCGTGGCCACGGCAGTCTTGACCATGGGACCGGGCGATTGGATGACGCAGAGGGCGAAGATGCCGACAATGGCAAGGAAGATATATTGGGCATCGTAGACGGACCATTGGTGGTGGCGGAGAGACCGTAATGTGTCCTTGGGGTTGAAGCTGGTCTGCAGGGCCGAGATGGACGACGAAGGCGTTTGTCTACTTCGAATCTTTGAGCGTGTGCTGCGGAACTTGCGACGCAGGCGGTGTGGGAGGATGGTGGGTAGAGATGGAAGGAACTTGTTGCGCGTGAAGAAGCGCTGTGTCGACTCGCTATCGTCGGCGCCCCCCAGGGCAAAGTATTTGCTGCTGCTCATGTCTGCAAAGTCCTGGGAAAGTACGGAGGCGGAGACGGAGACAGATGAGGAATGCGCGACTGGATGTAAATACAGTAGAAAGCAGAACAGAACGGAAGCCGGGCACCAGTCGAGTCGAGTCGAGTCGCGAAACAATGCGAATGTCGAGACGGAGAGAGAAAAGTCACAGGCTCACGACCCAGGTGTGCTTAGGCCTACTACACTAGGATGCTCGGCCAGTTATGAAGTAACCATCGACTTTGGCTTCTGGCGCTCGACTCTCTCGGCAAGCGGCGCAACCGCTGCGCGACCGAATCCCGTCTCCGTCCTAATTTCCAATTCCCACCCTGTCATTCCACCGCAAACATCAATGCTCGCGTGCACCCTTCCGCCCCAACATTTGCAACAGACACTTCTCTGTTCCATTTCACTCTGTCCATATCTATAGAACAATCTGTATATATCCCATAGTAGACTCAGGATAGACAGGTACCTACCCTGACCGGCTGCTCTCGGATGCTGGCCTACCCGTCATCAGAACTTTGCCCAAGCCCTGCTACCAAGCCTCGCTCGTCATGCCAATACATGCATCAACCAACATCATGTGCAGACGCTCTCACCAAGGCTCAGCAAGCATCCTTTGCTCCTCCAATCCTACCGCATTCCATCCGTATAATCCTGCTCTCATTAAGCTGATGCCTGAAATCCAAAGATCGCCAGTAATCATCTCACAAGCGTCGTTGATCGCAAACAGATAGCATTGGCGGTTAGACACAACGACCCTCGACTTGTGAAATAGGTAGTCCCTCCACTCAAATAATGCTCCGAGTAGCTATCTCTATTCACAGCCACCGTTTCTCTACGAAACCATAGCGACAAGAGGGAAGTTTTAGACGCATCCGTTTCTTATCGCAGGTGTCCCTTGGCCACCATGTTCGTTTCACAATCAAGGCTGCATCCTGCAACCAGAGTCACAATCGATAAACAGCTCCCATTGCTGGGGTGCTTGATGTTTTGCATCCATTTGGTTCATGCACTGCACTGCACACTCACGCGACAACCCGTTGTGTTGTTTATGCTCCCTATTCCATCTCTCCTTTACGCACAAACCAACTTTCCATAACCGGTCTTTCTGCTCACCGTCTAGGCTTCGGCAAAGAAAATTCTCTGTTTTCCTAATCGCCGTTTAGAAAAGCCATTTGCGGTGAAGAGAGCAAGAACAGACCCTCGATGGGGCGGGCAGGCTCGTCGCGCCGGCCGAGTTCGAGGTCCCCCGGGTACGATGCGATGCGAGGGTTTTTTTTGTTGGTTCGGAGTTTCGGAAGCAATTTTGCAAAGCAACTCTGATCCCCTCTTGCCGAGATTAATTATGCAAAACTTCTTTGTGCAACCAACAAAAACCATCATCTTCTTTTGTTGAGAGCTCAAAAGACTCACAAGATGGAAGAGGGATGGAAACATGCAGGTACAGATGCTTCTATGCAGATCAAACACTGGTTCTTCGCGTGACACTGCATTTCCAACCACCTTGCATTCCTGTCCTGTCTTTTACCCCAGCTCAGTGCTGCAAACATACCACCCGTGTGGAGGTTGAGCACGGAGAACCATGTCCCGTGTTGTTTTGATCCCTTTGAGGGATTCTTGTTGACTTGGTGACCACTGACCACTTCGTTGACCACGGGTGATCTTCTCGCCATGACAGGTCCAGAGCACAGATCAGGATTACTTGATTTGTGATTCTGCAATTGACAAACCGGTGACCAGTCGAGATTATGTAGACTGTTGCAGCAATATAGAACAACGGCCTTTGCAACATCACGAGTGAAAAGGTGAGTGAGGTCTGTGTGGACAAGAGTATATGGCAGGTAAAGTGTAAAATTCATGGGTGTTGAAAAACACCAGATGATTGTCTGTAAAAGAAGAGAAACGAAAAAAGTCCACCGCTGCTGTTGGAGGCATTGAAATCCTGCTCTGTTGCTCGCTTGTGCCATAATCATGAAAACATCCGAAAACTCCATCTAAAAAGATACATGTGAACCTCTGTTCTCAATCGCTCTTCAAAGTCATACTCCATCGCTTTTCCTTCAATCCCCATGCCTGTGATTTGCACATGATATCCTTGGTGTCATGTCCATCCGAATGCTATAGTCGTTAAAAGTCATGTATGTGTGTTGTCTCGCGTCATTGACAAGTTGCGTGTCCGTCATCATGGATCTCATATCCTCAATGGCTTTCGAGCCATGCATCGAGGCTAGCATTGAACAGCGAGTCACCAGGACCGCCGTACATGCTAGGGTTGAACTCGAGCATGTCTTCTGAGCCCATGAATGCGCTCTCGGCAGCATGAGTCGCGTTCGGTGAGAAGTTGTCCTGCTCATCGACGGTGTGGCTTGGAGATGTTGCTGCGGGCGATAAGCATTCGTTCTCTTCGACGATGATGGGCTTGCAGTCGACAGAGGAGAAGCTGAAAGTGTTTTCGCTTGAGCCAAAAGGTTGACTCGGGCATTGAGAGCTTGGTGGAGGACTGTGAGGGAGCTGAGGAGGAGATGAAGCTGCCACCTTTATTTCTACTTGGGGTAGAGAGCTGAGGTCGGCGGCGGTGTATATGAACTCCTTCTTCGGCGATGTGTTGCCAGTTGAGAAAGGTGATGTAGGAGGTGTGTAGTGGGACAACTCTGCAACGGGATATTTGCTTTCTTGTTGTTGGTAACCGGCAAAGTCTTCGGCATCGAATTCGTCGTTGACATTGGCTGCAGGTGTGCTGGGATAGCTGGCTTCGCTGGCTGACGAGCTTGCGTAGGCAGTGAACTCGGAGTTTCTGCGTGCGTTGATCTCCCTCTGATGGGCTGCTCTCTCGAGACGCTCAGACATATCGTAGGTGTTCTTGCGAGGACGACCACGTCTGACCTGAGAACGTTCAAAGCCTGGAAGGGCACCGTCACAGACACCACGCTGACGGTGGCGCGTGAGAGCGTCTTGTCTGGCAAAGCCGTTGCCGCAAGGGCACTTGTGAGGCTTGTCACCACTGTGAATCTTCGCGTGACGCTTCAGATCGTGTTGTCTAACGAAGCACTTGCCGCAGTGGTTGCACTTGAATTGGCGATCGCCAAGATGGGTCTGGACGTGGGCGCGGATGTTCTCCTTGCGGCCGAACTTCTTGTTGCAGCCATCGAAGAGACAAGTCCACTTGCCATCGCAGTGATCTTGGGGGCTAATGTAGCGCTGGACTTCCTGAGGTGAGATGCCAGTGTCCTCGATGCTAGCGTCAATGTCGAGAGTTTGCAGCATAGCCTCACGAGGAGAGACTGCGGAACGCTGAGGGGAATCTGTGTAGTAGCTCATGTTGGAAGCAGCTTCACTCGGAAGCATCATTGAGTCGTGAGCGTAAGTTGCATGGCTGGGAGCAGGCGAGAGATCTTCGTAAACAGTAGGCATGGGGTTGAACTTGCCGTCCATAGGAGAGCGCATGGGCGAGCTGGGATCGACCATGGATGATGTGTACGAGGGTGTACATGAGTAGTCACCAGCAAAAGACTCTGCGTACACGGAGCTGTTGTCTTGGTAGGGCTCCTGAACCTGGACAACAGGAACATTGGCGTATTGAACTGGCATTGGCGAGACTCCGGGGTGCATGGGAGAGACTGCAACCGAGTTTGGCATAGGCGAGACGTCTAGAAGAGGTCCTTCAGGATGGCCAGACATGGGCTGCTGGTAGTTGGAGCAAGGGGTTGTTGGCCGTGTGGCAACAATGAGGGGAGTGTTGGGCATTTGAGGTTGCGATTGAGAAAGTGGTGTCTGAGGAACATACCCGTATGTGCGGTAGACAGTCTGGATATGTTGTTCAAGGTTCAGGATGGCTTGCTTTGCTTGCTCGGCAGAAGCAATGTCCTGTTCCATGAAGGCTGGTCTGAAAAAGTGCTGCTGGTTAGGGTCCATGTGATATAGTCCCGGCTGGTATGGTCTGTGCTGCTGCGTTTCTTGCACGGAATGCTGTGATGATGGTCGTTGTTGGTTAGTTGGCATACTTACCTCCTGTCGTGAAAGGAGAGTCATGCCCTGGTCGATACTCATGCCGCGGCGGTGGCCAGCGGGACGTTGTCTTGACGAGGCAGACATGTGTGTGTTGATCATCGGGACCTCGAGCGAGTTTTGTCTTCTGTGTAGTTGACGTCGTCGTTGGATGCTCGAGGTCTGGTTGTGAGTTGACAGCATTTTGGTGGTGAAAGATTGAGTCCGGATGGGGTTAGTTGTCGAAGTGGTCGAGGATAAGTTAATATCTCGGTAGTCCGGATCTGTGAAGGCATTGTGTTGGTACATGTCCATGTTATACTGGTCGCAAGAAGCAAGTAATGCATACCTCACGCAGTGCAAGCCGCGTCCGCCGGGCGGAAGAGTGTCTTAGAGTCTGATCAGGCGCGTCGCACTAGAGCGAAGCTTGGTGGAGTGGTATATGGGGCCTAACGGCCTTGTGGATGGATGGTTTGGAGGTGTTTATTTGGCGAACGAGATTGAGATTTGTTCTTGCAGGTAGATGATATCTACAGATTTGGAAGAGGAGGAGTATACAGGAATGAAATGCAGACGGGACTGAGGCCTTCTAATGAGGTCTTTGCTTACATGGGGAGCGTCTTTGGCGCTGGTTGCTAGGTGAAGCAGGACCATCTGTTGACGTTGCTGCGCAACGTGCAACGCCATGCACCATGACGAGCCGAAATCTTGGTTTCGTCCCGCTCCTTTTGGGGCCGCTGTCGTTCTCTCCACTCGGACCCGAAGGCGGTGAACTGAATCGAGATTGCTGATGATCAGATAAGATGGTGAGAGCTCCTTCCCATCTAGCATGTGAAAGCGGTTCCAGAATTTGTCGCCGGCCAGTCGACCCTTCCCAAACTTGACATCGCATCGGATCTCTTGCAACCAGCCAACATGAAGGTGCGCTTTTCAGTTTCCGTGAATAAAACTAAGCTGACTCTTCAAGATCCTGGACGCCGGCACCGAAGTCCTCGACGACTACGATGTCCTCAAGTTTATTCGCGACAAGCGCGCTCAAATCAAAGCCGACAAGGACCAAGCAAAAGAAGAAGGTCGTCCAAACACACACCGGCCCGCCAACTTCATGAAGTCATTGCAGAAGGTATTGCATGTTCGAGTCTCAACTTTCGACACCTCGGGCTCACACATGGTCAGCACGAAGAACATCTCAGCGACAAGGACCGTCCTTTCTTGAACAATCCCAGATACGACAACGACTCGCAATACCTGAACAAGTTGATGCAAACCCTGGGTCCGAGAGTGCATCTGACAAAGTCCGAGTACTTGATCCTCGCCAATCAACGCCCCTACAGACGCGCCCACCTTGCTGCCATGATCGAAGACGCCGATACCCGCTTCACTCCAGAAGAGCAAAACTTCATTAGAGATACCGTGGCCGAGATCTTGGGCTTCCCCGAAGAAGAGGGCGCAAACTTGGACGCCAAACCTGTTGAAATCAAAGGATGAAGAGACATGCATGCCTCATCAACACAAGAGAAGATCAGACCGAGAGACCCAGTGACATTCTGAGACAGCCCAATTCTACGGCTGCTTCGTTGCTCGTCAGAGATCAGCGCGGCACGCTACATTATGCACAAAGGAGTGTGCGCGACTGGAATCGGTCGAAGATGCGCGATCTTAAGCTCGACGAGAACATGTGGCAGAAGACACCGCGGAACACACGGAGCAAGACATTGCATTGGTCAGGTCAACAGGAATCCAGAAGCTCGACCTGATGCGGCAGTCGGCCACAGACCACGACTAAGTCTTGTTCATGAGTCGTCAATCTATGTAGATCTATGTAGATACGTGCCGACCATCACTTAAGTCCGCACGTCGCAGTCCTCAACAACAAAAGCTATTGGTCTGTCTTTTAGCAACTCTCTAGCCCCGAACAAATCGTTCAGCTCTTGTTTGTTCCCAGATTTTTCTGCCGAGGCTTGACCAAAGCCGACAGCTATGGAGCTCGTCAGCCGTTCAGCTCACTTTTTCGACGCCATGTCAACAGCCAACGCCATTTGTACGCTCTATCACCGTTGTGATAAGCAACCACCTAACCTTCTTTTACAACCAACGGAGCTTCCACAAGCAGGTAAGAAATATGACATAGCAGTGTGAGGAAGACATCTAACTTTACACGATGCAGCTCTCAATCTGCTAACACTCAACTCCCCACCCGCCGAGCGGATCAGGTTTTGTTGTGTTCATCCCTCTAACCTTTTGAAGTCTCCTGACTCTGTTTGTCATTGCGCCGATACTAACAGGCCCAATGATTGTGCAGAGCAGAATTGCCCAGGTAGCTACAAGGTAAATATCTGAATTGCCACCTCCTTCTGCACTACCAAACACGCCATTACTTTCTGCCAATGAAGAGGTCAGGAACCCGATTTCGCCTCGTGCTACCATGGCACTTCCTAGCATTAGAGATGGGTATAGTGATTGTGGTTTAGGCAGCTTGCGGGGTGCTTGTCTCTTCCGTTTGGAATTGGCTGAATGCATCTGCTGCTGTTCGCTTCTGGATCCAATTGGTGCTTCAGTGGATGCACTCGTCTCGGTGGCTCGCCGACCTTCGGGCAATTGGACTTTGTCTGGCGTGCCTGTGGAACGAACGAGCACAAGACCGCAAGCTAACTTTCCCAGCATCATGAGGATGGTATAGACGATACCTCGCCACACTATAGCGCCCCGGAACATTTGAGTGATGGGAATGGAGAAGCCAATTGACGCCTGACAGCTCGTCAGTATGCAGAATAATGGTTGAAAATGATACATACGAAGAAGAACGGCTTGAGTATAGAGTTTACAGCTGGTGCGTAGATGTGTTCATATATCGCTGAGCCTTTCAGTTTTTCATGCGTCTGTGAGATTGGTCGTCCGGTGACCGTCTCCCTATTCGTAGGAGTCGAAAAACCAGAGGATGAAAGTCCCGAGGATATGACTTGACTTTCGGTCGAAGGAGAAAGCATCTTCTCTTTGCGCCCCTTCTTTGCTGTCGTAGAACTTGAGTGTTGTTCTTGTAGTGTCGTGCTGACAAGAGCATCCCACCAGTTGATGACGGCTCCAGCGATGTAAGCTGCCAACAGGTTTGATGTGCCAGCATAGCTCGATCCAGTGATAAGACCCAACAGAACCAAGGTGTGACCTGCAAAAGCTGCGACTGGAGTACAAGCCCACTTAGAAAGTCTTGAGTGCTCCTTGTCCTTGGACTCATTGCTTTCGGTTCTTGAGAACAGATGCTGTGTGATCGGTTTCACAATCGCCCAGCAAATAGCAGGCACAACAACTGCAAATGCGATGGACACAAATACAGGCCTAATCACTGTCACAGCCGAAAAAGAGTCGGAAGATCGTCCAAGGTTCGATATGACTTGGACCATGACAAGTCCCGCCACATCATCCAGCATTGCAGCACTAGACAGAATAACACCCAGTCTGCTCTTATCCAGACCGCTAGTGCTAAGAATGGTAAATGTCGTTCCCAGTGAAGTGGAACACAGTGCAGCTCCAGCAGCGAAAGCCTGGACGGTTGTAGCTCCCAGCAGTCCCATCAGGACAAATGACATACCAATAGGCAACGTGATACCTATAAGAGCCACTAGTCCGGAGAGATGGATATTAGACCGCAAAGATGCGAAAGATGTCGACAAGCCACCTTCAGGAAGTGTCAGTGACCTCACGCAGATCCTCCAGATATCAAACCTTCCCACCTTCATAGACTATAAGTATCAACCCAAGATACCCTAGTTGCATCACTGTATCTTGTACCTCCTGGGACAACCAGTCCGCACCTGGTGTGCCCCATGCCACTCCAATCAGGATCTGACCCACAAGGCCACAATAGATGGCATTATCGAGAACCCAGTTGATGCCATTGAGGGTGAGCAGAAATGATGCCTGGATCAGTATGGTAACAGTTCCAGGTTCGTGGTAGGGAAGCGCGGCCAACGGCATGACTGCCGCGACAGGAATCGGAGCAAGCGCGGCGATAGATTCGGGCGCCTCTTACATAGAAAGCCACACAGTTATACGATGGTGGTCATTAGAAAACATGAGTAACGAGACATTGTGCGGAAGGAATAGTCAGCATCTTTGTGGATCATGCTCTGGCCACGCCAACGCTCTCACTTGGCGCGAAGACGACTGCTTTCTGGTCAACGCGAAAAGGCTTCTTCCTTTGGATTTTTCCAGACAAAAAGACGAGTCGAGTATACGCGAGACGCTTATGAGCACAATAATTCCCACTTTCACTTTAAGCTCACAATAGATGGTTCAGTAAGTCAAGAAGGTAGGAAAAACAGCAGTTTTCGCATCATGCTTAAAAGGAACACGTCAAATCCAATTGCTCCATTGATACAATTTCTGCATCACTCTCTTCATCCTTTAACCGCTCCCTTATCTTCTATTTCCCTTCTTTCCTCAATCTCATCTTGATTCAGACTCTTCCGCTTGCTCCGACTTCCTCTTCTAAAGAAGTCTTTGATGGCATCTGTCTTTGACGTCTCGCCATTATTGCTTGAATGCAGTGACCAATTACTGCTTGATCTGCGGCGATTGTGTTCTGCCAGAGCTAGAAAATTGTCTGTTAGACGAATGTCCCTACCACTGCGGAAGAGATATGCTTCAAGCAAGCCTTGCAAAAGAGTATGGTTGTATGAAGTCAAAGGAGGAAATGAGGACATACCGTCATACTCTTCATTGCTCGAAGCCTTCTCCAACTCTTCTTTGATCTCTTCTGGCGCGACTGTTGATCCACAACTTCGATTAGTCTATATTCCAACCAGATCATGGCATTCAGGAAGTCGACTGCGAACGATCAAAATGCAAGACACATACTCATATTTCCCGCGCCTCCGCGACCTATCGGAATCTTATGTGTTGGGGACACAATCGGTTGCTCCCCACTACTTCTCCTGGCGGATGTCATGGCTTGCTGTCGTCGATGTCGTTGTCTTTCCGAAAGAGTGTCCGTAGAGTCTGTTTTTTCAATGCCACCTTTGCGAGCGCGTAATTCACCAATAATCTTCGACCGGCGATCGGTGTAGCTTCATGCAAGTCTTTGCTTGCATATCATCCAACCAGATGCGTTTTCTGGTCGCGAAGAAGAAAATTGAAAGGGAAAGAAACCATGCGACTCCTTGCTTCTTGGCTCAGTTCTTACAATTTCTGCATGATGCTCTTCCGCAAATACCGAGGCATGGTGTTGATCACAACCCAAAGCAAAAAGTGCTGGATGACCAAAAAGTATATTTTCTATTTTGACGGATACGTCATTGCACTGAACCTCACCACCATTGATTGGTGAATTCGCCTCTACTTTGTACAACCATGCAAGAGGGATAGAAGAGTGGATAGAAGACGATCATGTGTCTACTTAGTGGTTGGCAAAGCGATATTCTCTCCATGTCTTTTGTAGACTCAGTTCTGGCTTACTAGAGGAGGACGTCAACTTGCAAGCCAAGCATGAAGACAGCAGTATCGATGTCCTACAACTTCACATCAAAGGATAATACGTGGCATCGAGATAAATAATGATAAACAATCTATTAAAGTCCATTAAAGCAAGATTATCTGTTGCTTGTTAGTGCGCAATCGTCAACGTCGTCATTCCCCTCCTGTTACCTCCCAATATGCATCCTTGCTCTGCTCTTCCTGTTTCTGGGGGCAGTAGTATTCTTGTGGTCCGTCGAAACATGCTCGCGTTGGTAGTAAGCTCGCATTAGATAACCCTCCCATTTAGGCGACACCATCAACGGCATTATCAGTGCGACCGCGTTCCTTAGCAGCCTCAGCTCCGTTCTTAGGTCCAAAGTAGGCCGGCTCTTCGTCGTAGTCTCTCAGCTTCAGGCCCATACGACCAGGGTTGATGTTCCAATGGCCAGCAATCAGTGCAATGGAAAAGCAAGGCTTGGCCAAGAAATCCAAAACTCCGTAGAAGACAGCCTCTGAATCAGGAGGAATAACATTGCCGCCCTCGGACACGCCCCAACAGATGGGGTAGCAGAGCCAGACGAAGAGAGTAAGGACTCCGCACATGAGGTAGCAACGGTAAACGTCTGAGCCGAGGTGTTTGGCATGCTTGCGACCTTCGACTGCAAGGTTCCAGAAGATGGCGAACATGGCGACGGTACCGAAGGTCCAGAAGCCTGCACCCGAAGTCAGTATGTGAATGGCAAATAAAGTTCTGAGCAACAACTTACCCCACTTGTAACGACTCTTGACAAGAGCGCCAATGAGACCAGTGACGATCATGACCTCGTCAAGGAAGATTGTGTAGAGGATGGTAGGCCAAGGCAGACCAGCAGTAAGGAGAAGGTCCATCAGAAGCAGCGGTGTGGTGACGAACCTAAGTTTATGTCAGTTCGCTATGCTCCGTATGTATGAGTATGAAGAGCTTACCAGTCAACATAGCGAGCGTAGAAGATCTCACGGTTGACACCAGCAACCTTGGACCAGGTTCTCGGGAACTCGACATCAATGGGTGTCCAGCCAAGGTTAGAGCCCATAGTGAAGTAGGCGATACAGGCAGTCAGGTTGATGGCAGCGGTGATGTAGAAGAAGATACGGTCTGTGCGAGGTTTCATGGCAGAAGCAGCGATCGTGCCCAAAGCGACAAAGCCCATGACGGCGCAGATGGCAAAGTAGAAGTCAGAGCCGCGTACGGTGATGGCAATGTCGACATGCTTGTTGTTCTGGGTGTTTGGGTTCACCTGAATGGCGTCGTTGCGTTTCTCTAGCCAGCTCATGTTTGCAGGAGTGTGTGTGTTCAGGTGTGTTGTAGGAATGATGATAGCAGATGAAGGACCCGCAGGCAATGAGCTTAGTATTATAGTCGAGTACAGGACGGGTTCAGGTCTGATGGAAATAGATCGTCAGTGGCTCATGCTTCTCTGTCGAGGAGCTGGAGTGTTTCTCCGAACAGCAGGCAGGTGGCAGATGGCAGGTGCGTCCAGCGAGTCACAGTCACGTCAGAGCTTCTGTAATCAACGACACAACGGATTGCATCCTCGACTCTTTGCTCCTTCCATGTGGGATATGCCCTAAGATACCGCTCCGTGTAACAGTTGTCTCACCGTTGATTTGTTGGCCGCTAGCAGGGTCTCAGGTTGCATTGATAACGTACACAAGGCACGCAATTCGTTCTTCTGAAGTTCAATTCATTCACACATGCAACAACTTCAGTCCGAGACCCATAGATTGGGTGAGCCTTCCTCCAGCTTAGGAATATAGCGATTTCAATGTTTGCAATGCCGTGCTGGTGATATAGTATTTGGAATAGCATTGAAGAAATTCCATAGCGTCAATGACTACGATATCTCTAGCAAGATAGAATGGCGGAGATGATTCCGCTGAATCGTGCTACGGGAGCTGCATTATCAGATGGACGTTGGAAGATGCCGTGTTTCAAGGCGTAAGAATCGGTCAGATGAAGAAAGAATGACGAAGATATGAAGCATGTGGTTGCGATTTCCCCAGACCCACACTCCCAGATTGCGGTTCGGCCTGGAGCTTATTTTGTGCTTCAAAGTCTTAACCTTTTAGCATCTCTTTGCTGGTTAAAGGGAGACAGCAGCAGAGCTCTCTTTCATTGGCATACTCCGTGAGATCCATATATTCACGCAAGTGTTGTGTGTTGTGAAGATTTGGCATTGTGTACTTCCACCATTATAATATCATTTCTGCACATTATGCCGACTACCACAAAACAATAGCAAGCATACAGATCACTAGAGCCATTGTAGCAGGCTTTATGCTTGATGCAGATTGCTGACCGCTTGCATCAGAAGTACTAGTGTGGGCTGACGACGTGCTCCCACTCTCGGTCGGAACTGCCGCCTGCGAAGACTCGACAACAGCACGAGTCGAAGACCCCGTTGACATTGCTGTAGTCGAACTGGCATCAACACTAGACGTTGAAATGGAAGCCGAGCTCGAGGTCGTAGATGCAATACCCTGCCAAACATACCCGCCAAGCCCTTTCGTTGTCGCGGTCGTTCTCGACTGAATTACTACTGCGGTTCCATCTGCAGGGATACTCAGAGTCTCGCCTTGAACAACGATGGCCGATCCGCCTGGGTACAATGTCTGCGACGCAATTATGCTGCCAGAACTGAGTGGTGTGAATGACAATTCCATGAAGTCGGAGGAAAGTCCGAGGCCACCAGAAGCTCCCGTGGCCAAGGAAGTCGTTTGGCCATTAACGACAATGCTGCCTGTGGCATCTGGAGGCAGGCTAAGAGTTGTACCCCCTACTGTGATATCACTGCTGCCTGGTATCAATGTTTGCGAAGCGACAACTAACGGCGTCGCAGTTGCAGCGAATGCAGTGTAGGCCTGCGATCCAAGTGTGAGCACTGCGTTGTCAGAAGTGATCACTTGTATCGCAGTTGTTTTCCCGTCCACGATCACCGAGCTTCCAGAAGTTGGCAGGGAATACACGGTCCCTGAGATGTCCACTGCCGAACCACCAGGACTGATGACTTGACTTCCCACGACATATCCACCAGCAAGCAGCGGTACCGCTGTTGCACTACCAAACACCACAGCAGAAACTGTTGTGATGTCTGACTGTCCCATGATGGAAGTAGCTCCATTGATCATGATGTTGGCTCCAGATGTTGGTAAGGAATAAGTTACACCGGAGACTTCGATTGCCGGACCTCCTGGACTGATGGTCTGGTCTGCAACTAGGTAGTATGCGCCCGAGGACTCTGGCTTTGCTGTGACACCGCCAATGACTACAGTTTCTGGTGGCTCCGGCGAGGCTTGTATGGTAGAGATGGGGGCTGCTTGTCCATTGATGACAGCATTGCTTGCAGATGGGGGCAGAGAGTATGTAGTCCCCGATATCTCAACGGCAGATCCTCCACGATTGAGAGTCTGACCTGCTATAACGTATGTGTCGGATGCTACAGGTGTGGCCGTGAGGTCACCAATCACGACAGGCGCAGGCGGTAGCGATGTCTGAGGCACCACTGTTGAGATGGGTATTGTGTTGCCGTTGACAACAACACCACCCGACTCTTGTATAGAGTATGTTGTTCCAGAGACTTCGACAGCCGGGCCTCCAGGCTGAAGTGTTTGACCCCCTATGGCATATGCGCTGGTGCCCGAAGTTGGCTGTGAGGAGTCTCCCACTACAGCACCAGGTGTCTGTGCTGATTGAGTATTTGTAGGAATGTCGACGATATGCCCTCCTGTGCTTGGTGTCGTGATCTCAGCAGGAAGACCGGGTGACGAAAGCACCGTTGCGGTAACATCACCAATGATGACTACAGCCTGTTGGCTTGACTGGACGAGTCTGGTATTCGAGTTCGCTATAGGAGAACCCACTTGACCGCCCACCTGAACGGCAGTGGTCTGGTCAGGTTGAATACTCGGCTCAGGAGAAACCGCCACAAAAGGTGCTCCTTGACTAGTAACAGGCCGGGTAGGATTGTTGGAAGGTTCTTCTGCAGAAGCCGTCGAGGGCGTAACTGCGTCTTGGGTGACGGCCGGATGAGCGGGTTGTTGAGAAGGTTCATCGGACGGCGCTCCTTCTGTGTTGGAAGGTGCTAGCTGGTCAGACCGTCCTTCTCCTAGTCCCGTGGTAGATTGAGTAGTAGGTTGATTTTCTGAACCAGCCGAGGATACCGCCGAAGACGCACCTGCCTTTTGACTCTCAGCCGGCTGTGCAGGCACGCCCGAAGCCGTCTCAGCAGACACTTCTCCTGTGGTAGGAGATGGCACGTCGGAAGTTGGCGCCTTTGTGCTGATTACAATCTGAGCTGTCTTGCTGGCAGGTATAGCCGATGTAGTAGCTGCTGCGTTGAAGTAAATCGCATTTGTCGTTCTGGTGACCGCAGACGAAACCGTCAAGTATGAGACAGGAATATGAACCTCGGGAGCACCAGCAGCAGATATCGGTGAGCAACTTTTGATGTATGGGACCCAGGATAGGATATGGGGGTCTCTCGTCATCCACACCCACATCGAGTCACCTATATCCGTCAAAATGACCCTTTGGTTCCATGTGCTCGTCTGAGTCGACACAGTACTGACGTAACCGACACCTACTTGGTCATAATCGACGCCTTTTGATAAGTATAGGCTTACTGGTTCAAATGGTATTGAGGCAGCAATTGAGAACCAGGACTGGGCTAACGAGGAGACGACGTATGTTTGACGCTTGTCAAGTGTGTTAGTACCCATACAGATTCCGGCACTGTTGATATGACCAGGAAACACGAAAGCGTCTCTGAAGTATATCGCTGGAGGCGCTCTGATGGAATTGTTATTGAAATATTCATTCGGTATGAGACCTGTGTAGCACTCACGACGTGGTAGAGTTCGGCCCTATTGACTCTACGTAAGTTATATCATATGCATTGCCATAGGGTGGACCATTGAGGTCTGTTGGGACACCCGGGATTATGGGGGTATTGTCTATACCAGCCTGGTACATTGCGGCATACAACGTTGAAGTGGGAGGTGCGGTAATCGTGGCGGTTGGCATAATGGTGTCTGATGTAGAAGAATAATCAGCATAATCACAAACTTGGAGGCAACTCGGAACCGTCGAGGAGGCATGACGATTTTCTGGCTATATGATACAATGCGTGTCTCTGCACTAGACATGGCTCGACTGTTTACTTCTTCTGTGGTTGTATGCTGTGGACACTCACTGTTGTACTGCAAGTATTCGGTGATCAAGTATCCATCGACAACCGAAAGATTGTGCCCAGCATAATAATAGCTCAATCCAACTCCTGGGGCGTAGACTTCACAGCAGACTGGACCAAGGGCTGCAGAAGTCGTTGCATTTTCAGATGTCGAAGAGTTTGTGTATGAGGTATTCTCTTGTCTAGGAACTTGCAGCGCGAAAGCCGCTCTCATGACAAAGGCAAACAACAAAATGTGAGAAAGCATGATTGTGTTGCTAAGTCGTGTTTTACATCTAACGACAGGATCTGACTACTTATGTGAGTCTAAAGTCTCTTGGATTCTGATCTGCGGTGGTCCTCAGCATCCTTCAGCCGTATGCTTGGGTACAACAAGGCGCGCATGAGAGTAAGCATGCACGCCTACAAGCACTGCATCACAGGGTGTGTCTACGTCCGGTGGATATCGCGAGGCTTGCGGACTGCTTGTTTCAAGCTTGGCAACACCTGCGATCTGCTGCAATCCTTTGTATATACAGACGCATGGATGTGCGCGCTATCCAACATTCCCTGTATATATGTTACGATCGGAGATTGATATTGGGGTGTGCTGCTGTCTCGAACCAATCCTTGCGAAATCCTCAAGTCGACTTTTTGAGGGGCGTTGGCGTGCATGCATGAACCCGGCTGGTCAGCCTTGCACCTAATATTGCCAAAGCTGAACGCCGGCCGCCTCATTGACCTCTCGATGAGTCGAAATACATCGAGAAGGCTGGCTGAACTCGAAGCGAAGCCTATTAATGGCTGTAGTCCTAGTGACGAATTGGCTATGTCAACCGCAAAGGCCTTCATCCGTATCCCGACCACAAGTCGACCAAAGCCTCCATCTGCGGCACAAGATCCTTTATGGTAAACGGTTTCGTGACCACCGAATCCATTCCAGCCTCGATCGCAGCAGCAATCTGCTCATTGCGAGCATTTGCGGTGATTGCAATGACCGGAACATGGCGAGATATCTCTCCAGACTGTTCGAGGGCGCGGATGCGGCGTATACAGGTCAGACCGTCCATGATAGGCATTTCGACGTCAAGCAAGATCAAACTCAGCGGTGTAGCTTCCTTTGTGCTCGACAGGTATGTGGTCTTGGCTAGATGATTGAGAGCTTCGAGGCCGTTTTCGGCTACGTCGACTTCGCAGCCTAGTTTGCGCAGCTGCTTTGCCATGACTTTTGAGTTTATCAAGTTGTCTTCGACGACTGGAATCTGTTAGATATTGCTCCCAACGAAACAGGCCTGGACAAACTTACGCAGAACATGCATGTCCTTCACCAGTGTTTTTGCTGGTGGTACCATATCGATCTTCTCGAGGACCTTGACCACATCGAAAGATCCACCCACAGAATGTGGCAAATTCTTAACGCTGATTGTAGACTCGACAGAAGCCACGGATCCCGCACGACTCATCCGAGCGGCGTGCTTGGCCTGAATATAGAAGGCGAATCGGCTGCCGACTGAAGGTTCACTGTGCAAGCCAATCTGACCCTTTTGAAGTTCTACGAGCTCGCGACTTATGAACAGGCCCAAACCAGAGCCACCGTACTGTTTATATGTTTTCGGGGCTTTGGAAGCCGTTAGACTTGTGTCTACATTATGCCAAATTCAATGGACTTACCTTGAGCAAAGCGTTGGAACAGGAGTTGCGACTCTTCTGAAGTAAGACCACAGCCAGTGTCCGTTACACTGAACATCAAGTAGACGTTATCGGCATCATCATCCAGATCATGAGCAGAAAGCATCGCTGAGACGGTTTCGGTTTCATCAAAATCCTTCTTGCGTGGTTTGATGAACTCGACTCCGCAGTCTTGAGCTGAGGGTGGCGCTGAGAACATTCCATAGGCCAAAGTGATACGACGAACATCCGAGTCTCTCGTGAACTTTAAGGCATTCGTGATCAGGTTGATTATGATCTGTAACAACCTGCTAGGGTCACAGAGCACATCATCCACAGAGAAATCACTTGGCAATTCGTCGACCTCGGTCGTGATATCGGAGTTTTTCAGCTCAGCTTCAAACATCTTCAGTGCTTTGTCGATGATATCTCGAGGTCTTGTCCTCTCCGGAGCCAGCACTAAAAGATTAGAGTCCAATTTGGAAAAGTCGAGTACCTCGTCGATTATGACCTGAAAGCTGCGTGAGCCATGATTACATATAATTCAGTCTTGAGGGCAATACCTTCATATGTAGAGCGCAAATACTAATCGTGTGGGCTGCATCGGTCACCGTATCAAACACCTCTGGAGGCAAAGTTTCCGCTGGTATGGAAGTGACAGACTCTGTCAGTTGTATGATGCTGCTTAATGGATTTCGCATCTCGTGCTTCGATTGTCAGTCTCAGGGAGAACATGGTTTGACCAATCTTGAACGACTCACCGAAATCATGTCTATGAAATTTTGTGCCTTTCTTTTGGTGTCAATGGCTGCATTCATCCTCTCAGTTGTGAGAGCTTCTGTCAGCTTTTTGTTCGTGATATCTGTCAAATAGCCTTGGAGCGTCACAAGGACACCATTCTCATCACGTTGCGGAAAGCAAACGACTTCAAGCCAACGTGCACGAGTTGGCGAAGACTCAGTGCCTGCTTTGACACGAAACTGGAAAACCTGAACTTCGTATGACTCTGCAGCCGCTTTCCAGCATTCGCTGCTGAATGCTTCGTCATCAGGATGGATACAGTCGCGCCAAGCATATCCAGACTTGGACTTTTCTATAAAGTCCTCTCTCGTTTCACCTAGCAGTTTGAGGAAAGTATCGTTCATGTATATCGGGTCGCCATTGCCTCGATAGATGAACATGCCGATCGGTGCGTTTTCTGCCATGCGACTGAATGTCTCCTGATTCTTCTCGTTCTTCAGAGTCGCAAGACTCAGCTCCCTGGCAAGTTTTTCTAATTGGAGACGATGACCGAGACCGCCGTCCGCCTGCAGCAATGTGCGTTGATCGGCAGGAGATTGCAGTATGATTACTGCTTTAGAAAGCATCTCGCTCAGCGAGTATATAAAGCTCTTCAGGTTGTCATCTACAGGTCTCCGAGGATTTATACCCACGACTACCGAGCCTTGAGCCGAGCCTTTCACGTCGACCACAGTAAAGACGAACGCTGAGGTGACTGGGCCGTAGCCAGGTATGTCGACACCAAGCTCTGGCAGGAAGTCGTTGTTCGTCAAGGCGATGACATTCTCGCCAACTTCTGTTTGGCTCAGCACCTCGATCAGTTTGTGAGATGGGTCTTCGAAGGCCTTTTGTGAGGTCAAGCCAGATGAGCCAAAGAGACTGTACTGCTTTTGTTCATCGGACCCAGCAGCTTCTTCCCTCGCTGTGTACAGAAGCGTATAGGCTATGTCGTCAGCAATCTCGTCCATAATTCCCAAGAATTCGAGCCAGAGGCTAGAGAGGTCGGTAGCGTGGGTGTTCTCCTGAAGAAACTTGAAGGTAACATCTTCTCTGTTTCTTCGAAGGACCGCAGATGTTACTTCGTTGAAGCAATTCACCGAGGCAATCCAGCGGCCGTCTGAACCAGCGAAGGGAAGTAAGAACCAATCAAAATATGACTCTTCGGGTACACCATCGCGCTCATGTGGAATCATTATTTCCTTGTTGTAAACAGATTGGCCTTCTTCCCAGCTCCTTCGAATCAGCTCTGTGGTGTTGTCGTAAAGTTCCTGGCCCCAAATATCGGCTTGCTTGTTGCCTAGCGTGGCAGGATGTCCAGTACCAAATAGCTTCGAGGCGGATTCATTGTAGAACTGTATCAGATCTGGTCCCCAATATATGATCCTTGGTCGCGGACAATGCATGAAACTGATTAGTAGCTCGCGTAGCTGTATCGGCCATTGATCGAGACGTGGACCATGGATAGCAGCTATGGCGGTTTTGCTCCAATCGTAGTCTAGTAAGTAGCGTATCCAAGGGTTGAGAGGGACTTGGTCCGGGAATCTTATCCAATCATGGAGCATACTGTCCAGAGAGCCATTATCCTCGGGTTCAGCAGGAGGGGACACGAAGACGTGCTTGCAGTATATGATCATGTATGATTCTCCAAGCTTTTTCTTCATCCACTCCCTTTGTGCAAAGTTCGTGGCCGGAGTAGCCTTTGCTTCGCAGGTGGTACTCGATTCAGCAAAGATCCAGTCTTCCAACACATCCGAAGAAACATGCTCGAGCGCATGCTGGAAAGCGAGATTCTTGAAGACACAAGTTGCATGCGATCCTGACGAGTTCAAGATGATGGTCGGGCGGTTGTCGTCGACGGCGAGTTGGATAAGAAGGTCGAGCTCAGGTGGCAGCTCACCGAGCGATGGCTCGGATGACATAATGCGCGCTGCTTGTGTTGGCTGTAACTTCTCTGCTCAGTGCATTGTAGTCTTTCTGTTGCTCGGTCAAGCGACAGTATCTTGGTGAATTGCGTGCAGGTCCACCTCTTGCTCACGAGTGAGATCGGATCTAGAAATGCATCCGCGCGACACAAGAGAGGGAAACAGCCTTTTGTTAAATCGGCAACGGCGATTCCGAGATCTCGAACGTTGTAGGAAGGCTAGACTCTTACTAGTTAGTCGTGGCAACTGCCCGAACCACCTACTGTCATGATTGTTTCGTCACCCGGCTTTGATCCTACAGGGACTTTCATTCACATCTCATGGCGGTTTACAGGAGCGCATCTCGCTCAATGAGTGACCACATACAAGATCTGCTCAAGACACCACCATGACTGAACCAAGATCTTGACCCTGGACGAACAATACGAATGAGTTGCGGCTACCGTCAGCACAAAGAGAACCTTATCTTGCTAAAAGTATGACCCTGTCCCCGACTATCTACCTATTCTTGCACAAGCACAATAGCGAAGGTTCTTGATTACTCTGTCTAACATCCATTGAACGTGATATGCGACGAGGCTGACAATCAGTAAGTACCATTGTAGCACTGGAGAGGTCTATATTCAGAATCGCTTTTTCTTTGCGGATATTGGACATAAATCCAAGAGATGAGATCGTTTGTAATCATTTGCAGACCGTTAATTGCCTGTTTGCCATCTATCAACACCACACACATGTCCAAATGCATCCTTTGTCATGGATATCATCGCTTCTATGTACTAATACGCAATGCATAAGTTCGTGAAAAAATAGGAGCATTTTCTCATTGGCTGTCCTGCACCAGAGTCCAACGTCTCTTCGGAGTTCCTGCTTCGCGAGGGAAAGCGCCCTTTGGAGCACTACCCCAGAGACCTTTCTGGCTGAGAGATCTAGCCAGCTTTGGCGGTGGAGTGTCGTCAACCGTGGGTAGTGCAGAAACGCTTGACTTTGCCTCTTCCTTGATAGCAATCTCTTCGTCTTCGGTTCTTTCGGCCCTTGGTGAGACTGAACGTTCTCGAGTCGGCGCCTTGGGAGTTGACAAACGTGCTGCCAATGAGTTTGAACGGGCCAGGGTGTTGAGGAACTTGGGCGAATCGCTGTCTTGGGCACTGGTGGGATTCCAGAGACCGGTTGGCGAGTCATTCCTCACCGCTGATGGAACAGCAGGACTGGTCACTACAGGAGTAATGACTGGGCGTGATGGACGGCGCATGCTGCCAAGCGAACTGTTGATTCTTGCTCGTGGCTCGGGCAGATTCCAATTGGAATCCACAGGAGCGCCTGCTGAAGCATGTGAACTTGCAGAACCAAAACGGCGGCTCCGTGATTGAGGCACGGTCTGCGAAGCAGACAAATTGGGAGAAGCCGTCGCAGGTGCAGGCGCTTTGGTAGGATCAACGCCAGGACGCAGATGCTCAGAAGATGCAACAATCTTCATGTCATAATGAGATGATAGACCGGAATCCATAGAGCTCTGCCGACGCGGTAGAGGACGGGGAGCAGCATCAGCAGGGCTAAGAGCTGGCGAATTGCCATAAGCTGGTGAAACAACGGGTGAAATATGCTCGCTAGTAGACGACGAGGCAGATGCGTCATCCTTGCGTATGGCCATGGTGAGCGAGGCCATGCCGACATCGAGTAACACAGGCTGGTTGGTGAGGGCGCCGATCAAAGCATTGCAACCGGCTCCATGGGTGACTAAAACCACAACAAGATCTTCATCATCGTCGTCAATCGCTGCGGGTGCAGCTTCATGGCTGTCGTGGGCGGGCTGTTTTGACTCTGACTGGGTTGTATCATACCAGTCAATCATACTTGACAAGCCATGACGGAACCGCTTGTGCATTTGGCTACATTCTTCCCCGAAACGACCACCGTCACCCCAACGTTGTGGCTCGCGCATGCTGTCCCACTTGTAATCGACCTTGACACATTGGTCACGAGCATGGGCAACATAGCCGCGAGGAATAGGATCGCCAGGAGAAATAGCATAGGTTGGGGTAGGTGGTGTGTAACCAGGCGAGTTGTCGTGCTTGTGAGACACGAGAGAGGAGTCGGTAGGTCTGAAGTTTTCAGGAGCCTTGCTGGCACCGAGGCTGTTTCCGCGGTCTCTTGTAGGGACGTCGCGCGAGAAGACGCGCCAGTTTTCCAGTGGACCGTTGGTTTCTTGTGATGGAGGGGACGGGACGTTGCTGATTGAGTGTGAATGCTGACGGGCAGGTGGAGGCGTCCCCCAGAGGTTGCCCCCTGACATGACTGGGGAGGATGGTGTGTAGGTCTCAATCTTGTCTGCTGGGCGAAGGAGCTCGGCCTTTGCACCTGTGACCATCAAGGTGCTCTCGGGAGGCGGCGTAATCATTTCGAAATAGTCTGGGGATAGCCACTCGCCCAGGAATGCATCCACTCTGAGAGTGGTGCGACTCTGTGGTATGGGGTCCTTCTGCTCCCTCGGCGTGCTGCGTGGATATTCGCGCGACTCTTCATGATGCTCGGGTACAGGCTGTAATTGGGGAGAAGCAGAGGCATCCCTGGGTCTCAGACTGGGAGAGCCACGAAGCTGGCTAAGTGTTTTGATGCGCGCATCGCTGCTCTTTCGCGCGGCGGCCGGCAAGCCTTGGAACTGTGACAAGCCAGCGCTGATGCCGATGCCCGTCTGGACGCAACGCTGGAATGGCGAGGAATGAATGACGACCTTATGTTTTCTGCGTTGGGCTCGCGGTGTGGACGTCGATCTTGTTTTTGCGTTGTTTGCTTCTAAGAGAGGAGAGTCGTTGATGCCCAGGCCGGCATCTGTGGGTGGTCCAGCAGGTGATGAGGTGCCTGACGACGGCTTGCTCTTTTCGCGTTCGTGTAAGAGACTGGCAATGCGCAGGCCGAGTGCTCTTGATTGAATCCAACCACCGTAGGTGAGTGGAGGATCATAAGGTGTGGGCGATGTTAGATGCCATGATTTGTCGGCGGCGTCGAGTCGAGCACCATGTCTGTTTGACAGCAGTCAGCCATCCGCCACGGCTTAGGCACAGGCCTGAAACATGTGGGAAGATGTCGAGGATATCGGGCCTACCTGACCACTATCACGACTGCGGGAGCCTTGGTCATTGCGAAGTAGGAGCAGTCGGGTGATGTCTAAAAGTTATAGCTTCCAAGGTTAAGTTGCTCTCCACTACGACCGAGGGACGAGGGTCTGGCAAGCGCCTCGCAGCTACAATGCTGCCACTGCTTTTTATCCAAGCTGGCACGATGATGTCGTCGAGTCCGTCGACTCTACTCTGCACAACGTCGAACAACAAAGACTGAATCAAACAATCGAATGGGTATGTACAGGTCCAGCAAGACACGAAACACAAAATATCCCCCAAGGCAAAAGACTTTCCCTTCTTGACAATCAATCGGCAGCTGGCACAACCGAATCATCTCCCATCGGACCCATCCCGACGGCTGCCCACCACCTGGCGCCAGCCCACACAGCCCGCCGCCGCAAGCCAAGCAAATCTACTGGATGCTTCCTCGACCCCACCTTTAGCCCAAACGTCAATCGCGTGCTTTGCAGGTGCTTAGCTCCGAATCTCCGTTGTCGACAATTTCCGCCTGCAACCTGCTGAGCAACCAGCCACCAACAATTGACAAACCATTGAGCAATAGCCACTGCCTGCCGCAACGGACTGTACAAGTTCGTGCTTGCGAGCCGCGACATCTGACAGCCAATACAAAGCTAGCCTCGCCATGCTGTCAGCTCTCCTTGAGGCTATGGATCTGCGTTTATTGACCGCTCCGCCCTCCTTTTTCCTGCTTCTGTCTCTTAAATGCCTCTCAACGAAGCACCAATCATTGGAGAAGCATCGCTAACATTGAAACGACGCCCTAGTACACGCTGAACTGCTCTACCTTGTCTCACCACTACAAACTTCGTTGATTAGTTTCAGCATTCCTCCGGGCTACAAATGTTCCGGCAACAGCTTCGGCTGATACCAAAAGTCGCCCGACTATTCATGTGCATGCCGGCTGATTTCGAGCATCCGAAATTTGACACTTTGAATTATTCTTAACTGCCTGATGCGTACATGAACATCATCCTCTGCCCCATCACTGGAGGTAGTCACCTCCTGTCTCCTTGTGAATCACATCAAACAATGGCTTGGCGCTGAAATATCCTGCCACTGGCGACCCAATCGCCTTGTACGTGTACACTGCATCCTCTTCGTCAATTTTCTTGGTCTCGCTTCCACGACCTCCTGCTGCTGCGTCTGCTAGCAGTTGCGTCTGACAGCACTTGTCAAGAGATACAAACCAGAAGACAGTCTCTTCCACTGTCTTGCCAACAGTCAAGAGACCATGGTTTTGGAGCAATGCAGCCTTCTTGTTGCCAAGGGCTTTGGCGATGTTCTGTCCTTCTTCGGCGGCAAGAACAATACCGTTGAAGGATTCATAGAGGACATGGTCGTTGTGGAATGAGCAGGAGTCTTGTGTGATGGTGTCCAGCTTTCTGCCTAGTGTACAGAATGCTCTGCCATAGATACTGTGGCTGTGTGCTGCAGCCATAACATCAGGTCTCGCTTTGTGGATGGCGCTGTGGATCATGAATGCTGCCGTGTTGAGCAATCTGGTCTCGCCACCGCCAATGATCTCGCCCTCCTCATTGACATGGATAAGGTCAGACTTGTTGATCAGCGAGAATGCAACACTATGGACCTCAAACATCAGCAAGATATCGATATAAGATTCATTCAATCCTCACTTACCCAAAAGGATTGACCCAAAAAGTCTCCGGGTCTACAGGATCACGAAGAGTGATATGACCAGCAACTCCCTCATCGTAACCATACTTTCCAAAGATGCGGAATGCGGCGGCAAGACGACCCTTGAGGTATTCACGCTCTTCGTACTTGTCGGTAAACTTCGGTGGCCTGTTTCGTTGTCAGAAATTACAATCCATCGAACATGTGGATGAGGCTCTTACTTGGGGAACTTCCCCGCCTGGTTTGCTGCAGAGGGTTCATCGAGTCCAGGCTCATTAGGAGCCAGTCCAGCCTTGTCTGAATCTGCGTGTGGTGCCATTTTGTTCTGATGTCTGTAGGTATCGAGGCGTGAGGCGAGAAGGAAAGTAAGCAAACCTCTGGTGCTCTTATGTATCCCCTGCCGACACAAGCTGAGTTCTGAGGTAGGTTGGTTTTCGGCTGTCGGCTTTGTCGGTCTCGCATTGCTTGCCTCATTCGCTCATAGGGCAAGGCGGGGTAAGCTCCTATGCTTAGATACGTCTTGCAGATCACCAACACCACCGCAGTCCGTATTCAACGGCAGTAGTGTTTTTGTTGACTGGCCACAAGAGAATTGGGTTCCTGGGGTCATTCGTCTGCAACTACCATTTACTCTTACCATCTAGACGATGCAGTCATCTCATCTAAATTCGGGTGCTGAGGCATCTATCTACGAATGAATCAATATGTCAACATCCAAGCATAAAGAACCACATGTGTTGCCCATGTATCTTCAAAGAGACTATGAGAGAACAAGATCGTAGAGACATCGATCGGAGGCATTGTTCCCTCGACACAAATCCAGGGAATTGCATAACAAGTGACAAAGACAAAGCATATCACGACGAAGATTCAAAGATACCTAGGGTTTTACACAGCAAACAGACAAGGAGGAGAAAAGAAAAGACCTATTAATACAGGTACACAAGACGGAAAGATAAAAGAAATACGCCCGCTACGCTATGCAAAAGCCCACCTCTAGCTAGAAATCAAGAACCCCGAGGACGCCATTCCTCTATCCTGACAATGGAAGTATGATTACAAGGGCAAGATGATGTGGGTGACTCTTGCGTAAACACTTTCGAATGAATTGATCTCAGGCATCAGATCATTTCTTCTTGCCATCGCTCTTTCCCTTCTTGTCGTTGTTCTGGCCCGTCTTCTCATCGCTCTTGTCCTTTTTGTCATCGCTCTTTCCCTTTTGCTCATTGCTGATTCCCTTCCTATCATCGCTCTTCTCCAACTCACTGGTGGCCTTCTGGTTCTTTTGCTCATTCTTCTCTATCCCCATGTTACTCAGCGTACCTGCATCCAGCATCTTGCCCAACTCCTTGAGCTTTACAGGCTTGGTCATGAAAGTATCGATGCCACTGCTATAGGCTTCTTGCTGCGCTTGTGCACTTGCCAATCCGGTAAGCGCAATGACTGTAGTAGGTTTGATGTTATTCGCTCTTTCATGAGCACGGATCTTGCGAGTCGAGGTCAAGCCATCCATGATGGGCATCGATAGATCCATGAGAACATAATCGAATGGCGAATCTATTGCCGCATCGCCGTCCTTTGCTTTCCCGCATTGTGATTGGTAGGCTTCCAGGGCTTCGAGACCGTTGCTTGCTGTCATGAATGCGTGGCCGCTTTTCTTAATGTACGTGACAAGCAGCTGCAGGTTTACTCTGTTGTCGTCCACTAAAAGCACTTTGCGGACAGGCTTATCTGAATCCGAATTTGTTCTAGAGTAAGGACTCATGGATCCAGTGGTGGGTGCTGGTGAAGAGGGGGTCTCAGTATTATCCAGCGGTGTCGTGTCCAGTTTGGGTATCCTTGATCTGCCTTGTACAATCTCCAAAGTGTCCTTTTTAGGATGTTTTAGCGGCGCATCTCCAAAGTGACCCTTTTCCCTCGCTTCCTCGGCTGCGGCGTGGTTCTCTGAGTCCAGGACCTTCTGGAATGAGCTATCTCGCAAATGTTGACCATCTCCCAAGCTGTCGTCCAACACCTTACGGACAGAGAGCATAGGTTTATGTGTCTTGGCAATCTTGTTGGCCTCCAGGCAAAGCGTGAGTGATTTTGCTAGCTTCCGTGGTCCGCATGGCTGAGACAAAACTCCAGTGACATGTGGCTTGGGGTTGTGCATCATGGCGTTGGCGGCAGAGACGCTGTTACAAATGACCAGCAGTGGAATATCGGCCACTTGGTTTTGAGCTTCTTGGTCAGAATTGTTCTCCATCCGTTTATCCAGCTGGTCTTGGACTTGCTCAAGCCCCTTTTCAGTGGTAAGGAATACGTCGACACCGGACTGATCCAGCCCTTGGGTGATCTGCATATCCATTCCGAACCAGTTCTGACACATCCTGTGGAAAGAGGCCATGAACCTATGCTCTGCATTCTGTGGCGATCGAATCTCGGGCTGCGGCTCCTTCTCATAGGAGTCTGCATCAAATCCAATGAAGCCGATCCTCAATCCTTGGGTCTTCTTAGCAGCGCTTGTGATTACACTTCGATCCACTTCCTCCTCTTTTACTGGGGTGTGCATCATCGTCAAAGTAACAGTGGTCTTGGTTCCTTTGCCTTGTTCACTTTCAACTTCGATCTCGCCCCCCATGGATTTGATGATGGCGGAGATGATTGCCAAGCCCAATCCTGTGCCTGGTTGCATTGGGTCTTCCTGTGCAAATGGAGTAAACAGACTCTTCTCGAGATACTCTTTCGACATGCCTTTGCCGGAATCTGTAACGGTGAGCGTGACCTTAGACGACCCTCCATGTTCCTTCGAAGGCAATGGCTCGCTGTCGAGCTTGACTTGGATAAATCCGCTACTCGTGTATTTCAGACTGTTGTTGAAGAGATTGCTCAGAATGCGGCGCCAGGCTCCGGCCTGGGTTCTGAAAATCCAATGTGAGTCTTGAGCCTTTGAGATGTCGACAACGATTGAGACATTTCGATCACCATCCTGGCTTTTCGCACCTGCCTCGACTTGTTTGTTTGCTATAGGCATCTGCTCAGTCTCACGACCAGCTCTGATAAAGTCGTGGCCAGCAAAGACAGTCTCTAGCACCTCTTCGGTCACCACACTCAAGTCGACATCGATATCCAGCGCAAAGTTCTGCTTCTGTTCGCTTGGATTCGAAGTGCTTACACGTGTTTGTGTGCTCTTCCTGGTAAAGTTGTTTATCTTGGCAAAGTCGAGCAAATGATCGATTGTGTCCAGCAAAGTGTGGCCGCAGGTGGCCAGAGTATGCACGAGGTTCTCTTGGAATGGATCAAGAGTCGAGTCTTCGAGACACTCGACACTACCGAGTATACCTGGGTGAGTTTGAATTAGCACATGACTAGAAGATCTTGATACGTATGTTCGACCTACCATGGAGTGGACTGCGCAATTCATGCGAGATAGACGAGATGAAGTCTGATTTCGCTTTATCAGCAATTTTGGCATTGATTCTTGCCACTTCGCTCATAGTACAATCGCTGAACGCTGCGAGATAACTGAGTTCGGAATGTGTGGTAAGAATCCTGTGAGGGTCCAAAGTCCAGGCTATACAAGCGCTGAAGAATCTCTGATCAGAATCGAACATGGGAACAACAGCAAAACTGCGGACTCCAGGGAACAGCTGTCTTATGACTCTGGCCTCGTTTGATCTCAGACGCTTGCGTTTCTTGACTGGGCGTTTCTTTGAGGATGTACCACCCTTAACCCCTAGGTGTGATGCATCCTCCTCGGATGACGAGTCTTCATCCTGATCAAAGTTGAGAACTTTACCATGGGGATAACGGCGCAAAAGCGTTCGTACAAACTCTTCGGTCATGCCATCAGTGAGTTTTGTTGACTGGTCGACGCGCGCACTATTGATATCGAGAGTAGATATGCCGAGAATCTCAGAGGGCTTCCCGCTGTCTCCCTTTTCCAGATTCTCACCAGTATCAGAGTTAGATTTTTCTGTACCAGATTCAGTGTACAAGTCACTCTCCGAAGCGGAGGAGACTTTTCGTCGCTTTGGTCGCTCATGAGCGTTGCTATCGACGAGACCACCAAAAGTGGTTTTTGCGGTAGCATCGAAGATGGCAACGGCGTCGATTTGCAGGGATTCTCGGATGATGTTTGCAGCCCGACCAAATGTCTCTTTGACCGCGGGAGCGAGATGGTCGGTAGGAGACGTCTTCTTCGCCTTGGGGTCTTCCATTATTTGAGCTGATGTATTTGAAGAAGCATGAGAGCCTCGCCGTGAGGGTGACCTATCCATATCCAGGGAGACGCCAACATCGTGAAGCGAGGGAAAATCTTTTCCACCGTTCAGCACAATATCAGGGGGCTTGTCGTGATGTCTCGAATATTGACGCTGGGCCCAACGAAATAATGTGTCTTGTTGGAGGTCAGGAGCCTCTATGTCAGCACCCAGGGCTTTCCAGTCACCCAAAGTGTCTTTACCTTCAACAAAGCATCCCAGACCATGGACCATCCTCTCACCCTTGATGCTCTCTGACTGCGAACGGAGCATATCAAGGTGTATCATTGTTGTTGTCGCCATGTCCTTCAAGAAGGCTACTTCGTCGGGAGAGAGGCCATCTCGAGGCCGCTCGTCTATTACGCAGAAGGCGCCTATCTTATAGCCATTGGGAGAGACAATGGGAACTCCAGCATAAAACCTCCATCCGTGATCTGCCGTGTATGGTTTGGTGTTAAACCTCTCGTCTTTGGACAAGTCGGATACTACAAAGACTGACTCATCCTTGGCTTCCTGGTGGTCACCAAAGGGGACATTGATTGTGTGTTCGCAGATGCTCCCTTTCTTTGGGACGATGGAAACGCCATAGTCTATGTTGTCGCCAGGGGCAGCGACGGGTTCGGTCTGCAAGCTAAGGGATTTTGTGGCTTCGGCGAGAATATACTGGTTGTTCCTGTCGAAGAAGGAGATGACGGCGCGTCTACAATCGAGTCGGAGAGTCGCGAGTTGAGCGAATGCCGTCAGTGCTCTATCGGGCGATGTGCGAACCCGGTCTGGGCTTGATTTCTGGGCGACCACGCCGACTAGCCCGAGTCTGACGGGTTGGAAGTATCTGCGTCCAAAAGGTCAGCTTTCTGGTCGGACTCGATGTCGAGGCCGCGCTGGGAGGTGTGTACTTGTAAAACTCGCGCTCGTGTTCGACATCGTAAGGCAATTCCGATTCCAGCGCCGGGCCTATCGGGCAGGATGGACCTATCGGGCAGGATGCCATGGTTGTATCGGCGCGCAAAGGGATCTAGCCAGCATCAAAGGCACACGAAGCCAAAGTCCTTCTGAGTCGGTACGGATGGGAATAATTGATGACAGAGCAATGAATGCCGACGGGAAACTGATCATGGCAGCGAAAAGCAAACCGTCTGCCGTCCCAATGATGTCAGAAGAGCCGAGTGCCGCTGGACCCTGAATCCGAATACGAAGCGCGAGGGAAGCCCGAAGCCTTATTTTAAATGAGGAGATAGCTCCGCTGCGACACAACCATCTGCCACCCCCTTAGACTTTGATTAAACTCTAACTGCTACCATAACCATAGTGTTCAGAGCAAGTAACACTGGAGAAAAGCACATAATTGTCGTAACTAAAATTAGGACGATTGAAACTCGATATTGGGTATCTAAAAACAAAATGGCCAAAAATCAAAAACAAGACAAAGAGAGCTCTGCAGCTCTATACACCGCCATCTAGTTCATGCATTCGTGTGTATTCATCTTTCCAGCCCTCTACTGAGCTCGGCGATCTCATGGTCGGCAAGCGCTGCTAGCCATAAGCACTTGGCCAGAATCTCACCATCTGCTTTGATGGCATATCTGGAGCTGGCATCCAACAGCCGCAACACTCCTTTAACAATCGAAGCACTAGTGCGGTGACGCTCGAAGTTGACGAGTTTCTCGTGAGATCCGTCAGAAGATGCTCTGCCAGCAGGTGTGATGAATGCTGGCTTCTGAGCATTGAGGGCAAGGTCGCGAGTGTAAACGCCGAGGAAAGGAATGACTCCTTTGCCGGCTGAGATATCGTCGTCCGTCAGCTCGGCTGCTGCGCTTTCCATCTCGGCACGTAGCACAGCAAAATTACGCATCGGGCTGACCAACTTTTCAAGATCTCGAAGTGCATCTTTTTCGGCTTGTGCTACTTTTGACCATGTCGTGGTGAGGCGTGAGAGATCTGACGAAAGCAGGGCGATCGTGATTTGTGCTGTTGTTGCAAAATTGCGTAGGCTGCGATGCGAATGCGTTGCAATGTGCACGAACTTTGTAATGCACTGAGCACGCTCCTCCGATGTTCCACAGAGCAAAACCGAAGAGATGCACCATTTGATGACAAGATTGAATCGTGTGATGATCAAGTCAATACTGCTGACATCCGTAACGTTTGTGGGAAATGCGTGAATATAGCGCGCCCAATCTCGTACAGACGGAACCTCTTGCGACCAACTGAGGTTAACTAGATCCTTCCAGTCGACAGAGTCCAATGCGTCCTTTTCGATGATGGTAAACTGCATAGCAAGAGCTTCAGAAGTATGCGCCAAGATGAAGGGCGTGTGTTGCGTCGGAAGATTGCGCGTCCGTGGGAGTGCAGAATGTTCTGCCTTTTTCGCAAACTGATCCGACAGTAACAGTTCTGACAAGCGGAACGACTTCTTCGAACCTGCGACTGGCGGACCAGGAAGGAGTAGTTGTGTGTTGAACTGGTCGAAACCGTGATCTGAGGCGTTGTCTGCTGTCGTAGGCGGAGTGAGAGGCTGATTTCCTGGAGGAGGTCGGAAATGGTCTTTTGAACCTGCGACTGCATCCTCTTCTTCTGCATCAAACAAGAAGCTTTTTGCAGCGTCAGCCGACGGTTTAGGCTCATGTTGTCTCGCAAGCATCGAGGTGCGGTCGATAAGCGACTCTCCATCATCAAGCAGGAAAGTGGAGGCAGGCGTGTTTGGAGAGTCTGCACGTTCCAAATGGACTTTGACAGGAGTGACAGGTCGCTCGATTCCTTGGGCCAAATTCAGATTGGCGAAGTCTTTTGTTGCGATCGATGATTCGTTGGCCTCATTTCCTGTCAACGTGGTCGACTCGCTCGGCTGACCGGCCACTGCAGCATCGACCGCCCCATGTCTTCTATGCACAGCTCTAGAAGTTTCAGCTCCGGCTCTTATCGCTAGCTGTGGCCAAGCAAACGTGCTTTTCTCTTCTGGATTCACGCCACCTTGACAACTGCCTGGCTGTCGCGTAAGACTCGGGAAGTCGCTGCCATCATCTCCCAAATCGAAAGACTTTGCTGCTTCAGTAGACAAGCGACTTGGGACATACCTGCCCTCAAGCTTCAGTAGTGCAGATTCGACACCGCCATCATCCTCAACCAATGGCATCTCTCGGAGCCTGGCTACTTCTGCTTCCATTGATGGACGCATTTGACGTAAAGATGAATGAGTAGACAGCAGTCGCAATGAGCTTCTTCTCGCGGCGTCAAAGATATCACCATCGCTTGCCTGAGGTCTGAGAGGAAGTCTCGTAAGTCGTGATTCAATTTGAGCATCATCACTGTCTCCAGATGTGATTGTCAAGACTGGCGACCCGTATATGGAGATTGGTGATGTAACAGAACCTGTTGATTGGCGTCTACAAGAGATCCCAAGGTCATGCACCGTATCAACGCCACGAAGGTTGCCTCCCGGCTTGCGACGAAGCTGCCTAGCAGGCCCGGGCAGATCTTGAGGGTCTACTAGCGACGACTTGCGGAAGCTTAAAGCTGGGCTATCTCGAGCGGAGACACATGGTGAGTACAAATGACCGGTACCAAAAGATGTGGAAATTTCCGTATCGGGGCTGGGCTCGTTGTCTGCCACTACAGCCACGGGCTTTGTAGGGGAGGTTGATGCAACCGGGAGTGGAGGAAGCGGTACCGTCGGTGGAGGCGAATAAGGTGATGACATGATAGACAATGTCGTAGGGGCGGTGGACAAAGTAGCAGACTTGACCGGACTTGTCCAAGATGGTTGGTCAAAATTTACCATGTCATATGGGAGTAAGAAGGCAGTGTTGTTCATAGCCACATCCTGAATCGCAGCTTGATTGTGTTCCTGCGTCGTCTGTCTTGACAAATTGGCATCTGTCGCTGGATGTTTGAAACCAGCAGCAAGATCTGGGGTCCGCTCAGATTCATCAATTCCTGTGTCGTCGATGATCATGATTGATCGACTACTGGTGGTCACATTGCTGAGAAGACGAGACGCCTCAGGACGCACCGGAAGGTTTGTCTCGATTGTCCTTGACCTGTTCCGGGTGATTGGTACAGCGCTGGGCTGAAATTCAGTCAACTCGTGCATCATGTCGTTATCCTGCTGTTTCCAAGAGCGCATGACCATTGCAGCCAAAGCATCCGTATGAACAATCTGTGCCTTCCTGGCTTGCATTTGTCTAATCATGTCTCTCGGCTGAGGCTCTATGCTGTCCATCTTGCGCAAATCACCAGAACTAGCAGTCTTGGGCCGATGGTTGAAGGTAGGTTTGCCACCATTGCGCGTGCTCAATGCCCGCCGTACGCTGCCAAAGATGTTCAGTCGAGGTTGCTGAGATGGAGTTTCGGACGCTCGCGAAAGTGTTTCAGACAGACTAGGTCTGTTATCCTCGGGTCTTGCTACGAAAGTAGGACTTGGCGGACCAGGGCCAACAACATTTGCCGAACTCGGATGGATAAGGAGACCCCTGATGATCCTGCCAGGTCGGATGTCAATCTCTGTGCTTGGCTGCAGAGAAACAGGACGGTCGACACGAGAATCACGTAGTGCGTCAGAGAAACTGTCACTTCGCTTATGACGATGAAATCCTTTCGGCCTTAGAGGTGAGTGAGGGGCTGGTTTGCCAGACTGGTTCTTCAAGTCATGCTTGGAACGCTTCAGCCTAGGAAACGAACAAGATGTGACCTGGATACTGGCCTCACTAAGGCGTGATCCTGTGTGTGGTCGCCTCAAGGCCACTGTGGAGATGTTGTTACCCATGTAGGACGAATTCCGCATGTGCGATTCATTGGTCAATGTGTGCACGCCAGTCGTCCCAGGAATCTGAGAATCACGGTCGCCATCAATTCCGAGTGGCATGTACGAGTGGGGCGCAAGGACCGACCCCCAAACGAGTGCACACGTTCGATTCCAACATTTTTGTAGCTCATTGAGTACTTGAAGATCACCCCCAGCACCGCCTTGAGGCCTTTGCGTCACATGCAAAGCAAGTTTGTTGACAAGGTTGCAAAACAAGTTCCGAAGCTCGTGGTCCGGTTCAAAGTCTTGAGTGAAATAGTTCAGTATCCAGTGGCGCAAGGCAACAAAAGTTCTGACCCGTACGACTCGTCCACATTCATCAGTTTGCGATACAGCCCACCGTAGCCTTGCTACCAGATACTTGGCTAAGTCAGATGGCGATAAGAATGCTCTGTACGTCAGAAAGAAATCGGATAAGAGATCGTAGTCCAAGAATTTGACGGAGGTGATTTCGATGATCAGCCGAGTGGGTATGGCAGCAACGATCTCGCTAGTGCCGTCCGCATACTTGACATATTGGTTGTTGTCAGGATCTGCAGCCACCTTGTCGTAGATAGTGTAAGGAATCTCGTCCCGATCTAGTTCCATAGGCGGGGTAGCAAGTGGTGAAGGAAGCAGCTGACCACGGCGAGTATCTACAGCAGGCGACACTGAAGGGGAAAACCAGGAGACGCTTGGGGATCTTCGCAGATCAATTGAGTTCTGGTGACCCTGGGAAGTAGGTGGCATTAAGCGATCCAAGCGGTCAGTCGAGATTTGCCGCAAGTCCGTCGTACTAGAAAAGGCAGTATGATACGAGTTGTGGAGGAAGGCAGTCCCACGATCACTAAATCTGGGCGAACCAAGACGGAAGTTAGGAATTGGCACCTCAAGCAGAGGCGCAAAAAGAGAATCGGCGGCATCTGAAGGTGAAGGTTTTGATGGCTGATCTTGTTGTGGAGGTAGTTGAGCGTGTTTAGGAATCGAGTCGAGACTCGGTGAGCGGAGACGGGGGGCCCTATCTGTTTCATGTCTACTCTTTCGACTGTAGCCGCTGTCAAATGACGATCTTCGGCGGGGTGCAATGAAGTCATGGTCTGAATGGTTTACGGACAGTTGAGCGGCGCTTTGATGTAGTCCGTCGTGCCAGTAGAGACCCGAAGGAGTATGCTCATGGGTATCCGAGGTATCAGGAGGAGTTGGAGGAGGACGAAAAGCTTTAGAGTAAGGACGGGCAACCGGTCTAGGCAGCATAAGTTTGTGATCCTGGGCTGTGTCCAGGGGTGCTTGTTCGAACCTTAGGTACATGGTGCCATTCTGGCCGACATTTGCGACGCTAAAATGGCGGTCTATCGCCTTGGACGGTTGATGTAGCTGGGGTAATGATTGTGACTGTTGGTGTTCATTCTTCTCGCGATGATACTTGAGACGGGCCATCTCGGCACTGTCTTTGGTATTGCGAATCGACTTCTTGCGGACTTTGCGACGGAGGATAGACGGTGGCTCGCGCGGCGGAGATAGTGGAAGAGGAGGGACCGCCGAGTCGTTGTCGTTGTCGTTGTTGTTATCATTCGGTGCATTCGAAGAGTCGGCATTACACACGGGCTCTACTTGCAGAGAGGGCCCTGTGTCCATGACAGCTCATGGTCGCTGTCTCGCAAGACGGTGGCAGGATCTCGACGGGCACAGGATCTGTCCAAGCAATACAGGAGATTCAATCCGAAGGAGACGCGACGAGGCAGGAAACGTTAGAAATGCGCACAACGGCCTTTCGCAAGTGCGCAACGTGACACACGCGTGGAACTGCGGACTGAACTGATGTTTTCGGGTGTATGGCAAGTGATCCAGGTTATCCGGTCTTGTTGCCGACAAGTTCCAACTTCCAAGCGAGGGTTGTGAGATACAAGGGAGGCCTGACGCCGACGTGTCTATGCTGGCTGCACGCCTAGGAAGCAGGAGGGGAACAAGGAACAAGACTGTCCGGATGCGAAAGCGATGCGAGACAGCAAAGACATGGTGCTAGATTATGACCTTGCCAGGTCTCGCCGACCGCCTGCCTCTTTACCATGACATCGTCCATCTTGTCCGTGTGCCTCAGTGCCTGTGCTTGCCTTGGGGCCTGCTCGGGGCTGAATGGATATGATATTAACCCAAACGCTAACCGTTCCCGCAAACTGTATTTGAATCACGACCAATCATCGTTGCCACGTCGTTGGGAAACCACGTTTTGATCTGGCTCACGATGTGCAAACCATCAGATCAAGTCTAGCAAGTCTAGGCTTCGCTCCACCTTTTCTGGCAGCGAGAACGACGGCTTTTTTCTTCGTTGCTGCATTTGTTCACTCCTGCATCTGTAGAACATACTCGAGTACATGGCGTGAGACGTTGCTTCTTTTTGAATCTGCTTCGCATATAAAGCGCTCCTTTTATTATCAAATCTCCCAGAGTCCCGGTCGTCCGTCGACGTAACCGCATCGTCAGCGAGGAAAGCGAGCGGCCCTGACCAAATAATCAAACACAAAAGCCAAGCCATGCCTTTTTTAGCACCACTTTGAAACACCTACTCGGCCCCTCGGCAGCACCGTACATTTGGGTTCTGTCGTCTCTTCCATCATTTCGCTTCTCATGTCCACCTTTTTTCTAGAAGGACCGGCCTGAGATGATCGATCCCAGTTGTCGTCACTTGTAGTAAGCCACGCCTTCTTCTTGTTGCATGGAGTGGCCCAAACTGCCTATTATCTCTACCGAGACCTGTTTATAAGCTTCTGCTCATATCGCCTACTTAATTGCTCGTCCCAAGGAACACCGAGCGGAGCATGTCATGGCTTGTCCACTCTGGTCATGAAGTCAGGGCTACAGAGCATATCACAAGGCCGCCAACAGCCACCAAATGGACAATCCGCCCCATCACAACCAGTTTTGAGGAACACATGCCTATAGTCGGTGAGGAATAGTTGCACACGTTGTTTGTCATGCCCATGGAAAGTCTTTTCTTTGCCGACGTTGGTCCACCGTCCACCAAGTCCGGCCCTTTTCGCTACCAATATCTTCTGCTGTGGGTAAAATTTTATCCACAATAGAAAAAGAGGGCGAGATCGGTTTTGAACACACACTCAACTGGACATGAGTAATACTGTAGTCAAAGCTCAACATTCTAGTAAGACTTCAACACGGTTAACGCAATGGTGTATGGACAATTCTGCTCAGTCTCCTGTCGACAAATTTACTACCAGAAATTCGAGCAGCCAAACATTTGAGCGCGCTCAGACCAATTCTCCTTAACTTCACCGGCGCAGTTCCTAACCTAACCTGAACGACCTCGCATGAATTACTACAATTGTTTGTCGCGCATTCTTGCATCTGGCTCATCGTCTCCATCATCTCTGGTACCTGATGCGTCGATGACTTTACGGAGACCGCGCAGAATATTAGCTGCCTCCACCTGAGCCAGGATCTGAGAGCCTAGGTAGATCTGGAGTTATTCGACGTGCCTTGCCTTATCACTACAAACAAGATTTTTGCACTCTAGCCAATGCTCAACATCTGTGGCCATACTGCCTTCGAGGAATGGTTGGAAAAGGCTGCTGGCAGGGGGACTTTGAACCTGCTGCTAATTTGCTGAAGATTGGCGTGTAAGGTCCCAACCTCTGTATGCGAATCTGATAGAGGATCAGTGTCCGATGTGCTGCGTTATTATTGTCGTTGCTGAAGAGTCAATTGTGGACATCCCAGTTTTTTGAAGTGTCTGTTCATGACTTCATGGCCTTGTGGAATCTATACAAGTTAGCAGTGATCGACTCTTGTCCTTCTTCTGCTCACATACCATTGCTCCATTGATGTATCAATAATGTCGTATGGTATTTGAGGCATCTTCATTTCATGTGTCTCTTTCATCCCTTCTTTGCAGCCTTTGCGAACATCTCTTGTACTCTTCCCGTACCCTTCAGAGCTAGCCTTACAGCCTCAAACCTCTGTTCGGGCGCCCTCTTGCCATTGGCCACACTCTCCATAACCCACTCAGCAGTGACAAACTTGACGTTCTTGCCTCCGATCTTGGCTATCTCTTTCTGCATCTTTGAAGCTGACAGACCACCTCCAGCCCCAGGAATAGTAGAGGCATTGGGACGACCGAGGATTACGTGAGTGACTGAACGACGGCCGAGATGGATGCTGAGGCGTGCACCGTGGGTTACGAGAAGGTGTTTTAATCTGTGGTCGGAGATGGTTGGGAAGGTGCTGCCGTTGATGTAAATGCAAGTACCGGCGAAGACTTGAGGAACCTTTGGTGTTTTTATATCTCCAGTCTCTTGATCGTGCTTCTTTTCTTGATCCTGTTCATTTGGGCTGGACTCCTCACGCAAGAGCTTATCTTCATAGCTTGACGGCTGCTCTTGGGACGAATCTTCTCGTACGGGTTGTGCACTTGGTATATCCAGGAGATCCAACTCTTGCTCATGCTCTTGCTTTCGCACCTCATCGACCACCAACTTTGCCTTCTCTTTCTCGACCACAGTGTCCTTGACACCAGTCTTCTTGATCCTGAAAGCTTCCACCACACTAATTTGGCCCTTTTCCCTCAGACCAGATGCACCCCTGGCCCAATCTCCATTCTCCAATCTGCCATCTTTACCAAAGTTCTCACTACCGGCACCAACAGTATCTGCAAGCCGAGCGCCACCGGAAGCACCTCCTGCAAACTGATTACTGAGTTTCAAACTGCGCGATTCGCGCCAACTCGTGCTTCCCGCAAGGTTGTTGTCTGCTCTTTGATGTCCGGTCGATGAAGAATTCCAAGGATCAAAGAAGCGGCGTTTTGGCTTTGCGCTCGTGGGAGGTGGAAGTTGGTGAGGGTTCGACATGTTTAGTGTCTGTTTGTGCTGTAATCCAGGATTGCTGTCGCGTGACGATACAGCAGATCAGTCGTTTGGCAGCATTTGAGGGACGTGCCGGCTTGTTATGGACGAAGAATGAAATGTTTTGGTTGTCGACATTGTTCATTCAGGTGGATGACGCGACGAAAGCAACCGCCAAGTCACGTTTCTCATTTCGCTTGAACTTTCCAGATTTTTGGTTCGGCTTCACCTGCATTGTTTGACAAATGGTTGTCTACCATGAGTGAATGCTATCCAAACAATATACATCGTAGAATCTAATTCTACATATTTACAGATGTTGGCTTTAAGCCTTAGCCTGTGATGCTACTTCCTGATCTAGCTGCTCCAGGCGTGCTACAACTCTTTTCAAGGGCAGAGCTGCTCCTCTGCTGACCACATTAAGTCCATCGCGAGCGTCTACACTCGCACCCTCCTCGCTGTTTCTCAGTATCGTATGTGCTGCGCTGATAGCTTTTGGCAACAACTTCGCACCATCAGCATCGGTATACAGCCATCGTAATACACTCTCGAACCCTTCCAAGCCTGCTACTTCGCCACGTCCCAATCGACTGACTGGTGAGATCAGGAAAGCCCTTGCACGGAGGTAAGTGCGTTCGGTGTAAGCCACGCTGTTTTGGTTGATAGATGAAAGTCCTTGAAGTGGCTCGAATCCTGCTTCGTTGTAGTAGGGCTCTCTGACAAGGACCAGTCCAAGAATGCTGACCAGCACTTGCAGCACAGTACTTTGATGTGGTGTCCATGCTTCATTTCGTGCTTCATCGCCTTGCCATGTTCCTAGTAGCGAGAGACAAATCTTTCCTTCTTCATACAGATTCGGGTTGACTCGTCCACTCATGCCAGCGCCTTCCGCCGTCCAGCTGTGGAAGAAGGCCTTTGGAGGCTCGTATGGGTACTGGGATGGTAGATGCAGATCAATCATGAATGGCGCGTACTCGTAGGGTGTGCCAAGAGGACCAACGAACAAAACTCTGATAAGATCCATTCTGGACTCCCATGTTCGCACATAGACACCTTCTGGAAGTGCGCCAGGTGCGCTGAGAATTTTGTGCTCTTTTGACACGCTCTTCATGTGGTTTGCCGATGTTGGACCCCTTTGCAGTAGATAGTGGTGGCCCGAAGGCACCTCAGATTCGAGGATCTCGTAAGCTGCAGGCGCATTCGGCAGCGATGATAGGTGCAGCTCTTCCACAGCCGCGTTAGCCATCGGTTGATCTACGCCATCAACACTGTCATTTTGAGTTGGCTGTTGTGTATGGATAGTGGGCGCTTCTGGGGGTGCGGGATTTGTTACTGGCGTATCGTCTTGTGTTTCCATTGCGTCTGACATATCGTTATCTTCATCTTCTGTGCTCCAAGAGTCATCGGCGTCGTCAATCGGAACATCTTGGCCATCTTCGAACCAGACATCCTCTTCTGATTCCGAAGATCCCGAGAACTCTTCCATGTCAAAGTCGACGTCTTCACTTGCATCGCTGAGAAAGTCGCCGTCTTCGTGGATATGTTCTGTGAAAGGATTATCGTCTACATCCAGGTTCATAGCAGGCGCTGTGTCTGTGATATCACACTCAACTTCCTGCGCTGGCTCAGCTGCTCCTAGTCTGACCGTGCACTTTCCATTCCTACCCAAATCCACAACCTCACCAAACCAGTTGATGCTGCCGGGCTCAGTGTGTGGCAGGTTCGGCGTATGTAGCAGCAGAACGTAGTCTCCTCTGTTGCGGTTGACGCTTTTTGGTGCCCGAATGTCATAAAAGCTCATTTCCTCTTGTTCCTTTCCGAGAGTACCAAGTTTTGTGTTTGGAACGAGCAAATCCAAACTCTTATCACAGAATGAAAGTGTAGAGTCCTTGAACCATGTGACATGAGCCACTCGATCCTTGATGTTAACCCGATCAGCAACTCCAACACGTTGCGGCGTCGTAGCCCAAGAGGTCAATGCCTCTGGAGGAGGGTCTCTCGTCTCATTCGTACACACGATCTCGCCAGGGAACACTGCATCTTCGTCATCGATCGAGGGATCTGGGATGATTGAAGTTGTGCGAACTGTCTCTACAGTCAAGTGGTCGCTCCAGAGAACATCGGCTTCTGTAGTGGTACTGGTGATAGTGAAAACGTTCAGGTCGTATCCAAGACTTTGTTGTCTGTCCAGCTTCTCGAGCTTTCCATGAGAACTTGATCCATCGTATTTAGCACAGGCTGCAGGGAGATCTTTGAATCTTACGCGAAGTCCACCCTGCAGCTCAGGATCCGAACGCGATCTAGTTGAGCTCTGTTCCTTGGGCATGTTTGAGATGTCGTACAGGCGAACGTCGTTGCTCTCTAGTTCGTCGGGTCCAAGAATACCTTCAGGAGCACTACTCCAGATCGGAAATTCACTGGCCCTCTCCATTCGAGGATGTAACCAGTCAACTTGGCACTCCTTGGTGCGAACATCAACCACAACACCGATGGGTGGTGTGTTTGGCGAATACTCTCCGAAAATCCATCTGCCCGTCCTGAGCACGCCTTTCTTCGTCCGGATCAGTGATCCAACAGCGAATCTCTCCTCAGGATCACCACTCATAGGTTCGAGCTTGCCCTCATCTGCAATACTCACAACGCCATTGTCGGTCAATCGAACAGTGACTTCGTCAAAACATTCCTTTATGCGGCCGATCCAGTTCTTGTAGATGATGATGTCGCCTTCATTGAAAGTCTGCACTAGCTTCAGTTCGGAAGCAGGTATGTCATAGAGCAGTTTGCCATCGTTGACCAATTCAAGAGCGGGTTCTTCTTCCATAGGCAACGGTATCCAAGCACATTTCATCGTCTTGCGACTCTTGGTCTCCCTGACGTCGCACATGGAGAGAAGCGTACACTGCGTTCTTGTGCTGACAACAGTGCCTGATCGATTGCCCTTGCGCACAAGGTCTCCAGACATGAACGAACGATCTAACAGAACAAGATCAATGCATGGCACGAGTTCAGCCTTATTCTCAGTCTGCCACTGTACCAATACAAAGCCTTGCGGAGGAACGCCATCCCGCAAAAATTCTTTATACAGTTGACGTGGGACAGCTTCGTGGCGATGAACCTTGCCGTAGGTGTTCAGCGGATATGGCGTATGACTCTCCACTTCGGCGTGCGTTCTGTCAACATAGCCCACGGCTAATTGGTTGCTGCTGTTTGACGTGCACACATCATCCACGTGAAGTTGGGGCACTGGTTCTGTGGTCGTCATACTGCCTTTCAGCGGGTCATGAGTGGACTACTGCCCTGTCTGATGGATAAGTCCGCTGCCCTTGCTGACAGTCGCAGAAGTTTACTTCGAGCGATGATCTTGTTGTTCTGTTTGTTTGACACAGATGCTGCACTTTCTCACTTCCAAGATTCAAGACGAGTGACGCAAAGCTTTGACCAAGTACACTGAGGAGGGTGTGACCCTGTCTGCCGATTTACACCTGCCTTGCTGCCATGGTCTTGACAAAGTCGACTTGGTAGTCTACAGAAACCATATGTCTAGTAAGTTTGAAGCTAACTGATTCCGATTCTATGAACATTGTCATTGGTGCGAATGGCTGGTGACTCCAGGACCGAAAGTTGTTGAAATTCTTAATTCTAAGCCCGGAACATCTCCTGGCACTAAATCACCACATCACAAGCGGATGGCGAATCACGCTGAACAAGCTTGCATGAATTCATGTCCAGGATGGCTGTACATGAGACAGAGTACGAGCACGAGAACAGCTGAAGTGGACCTCTATCAAAATTGAATTGATTTGATCACATCTTTGCGAAAGTGAAAGTGTGATATGATCAACATGGCCATAACTGTAGTCAACGAGACGTGTCGATCTAGCTCTCATCACATCTTTGTCATCCGTTCGCGCAACAATCCCCAGGCATCCTCCCAGGCTTTGTTAGATTGAACGGATGGACCATTGTCGCACTTGGCTCGCTCAAGTTCCGCGGCTGCATTGTCAAAGACCAATTCACGCTCATGTCTCATCTTCTTCAGAGTGTTTTCGTTATCAGGAAGGCTTTGAACAGTTTGCTCTGGCTGTGAGGTTGACGCAGGTGGAATAGGCTGTGTTGCATAGGTCACGGCGGAAGCAGGCTCGAAATATGGAGGTGGAGCGACTGAGTAGTGTATGTGCGATCTATCATGTGGATGATGCATGTGACCGTAGTCAACATATTGGAAGTGAGTTTGTGGTGCAGCAGAGGTGGATGTTGAGCCTGTGGGCACAGTCATATCATCAAAGATGAGGTCGTTTAGTGGCCAATAATTCGCAAACATCGGCACTCTTGAAGAAACGCCTTGAGTAATTGACGACAAATGGTTGTAATCTGTAGGCCTGGTATTGCTGTACGATTGAGGATGTTGTGGTTGATGTCTTTCGTTGACATGCTTCGGGGGTTTGTAGATGCTCTCATCCGCAGATGACCAGAAGCCAGACTGAGGAGGTGGTCCACGCATTGCGAATTGATGGTAGGTCATGTTGGGTTCAACCTGCAGTTATATACCTGTGAAATGGCTACGAGTGTGCATGACTGCATCTGTCAAAAAGCTACAAGTTGTAAGACCATTGCTGAATGAAAGTACCTACAAAGATGGACAGTCTCAGATGTTTCAGAGGGACTCTAGAAACGAAGTGAATAACACTGACAAGAATATTCCACAGGAACACTCCCAGTCATGTATGATGTAGCTTGAACCAGAGATAGGGCATGGTCGACAAATCCATTATCCAGAATGAGTAGTTTTCATTGTCGATCTGCTCGACGCTGTACAAGAAGATGCCGCTTGATACCCATTGGCTCTCCCGGGTTCGATTTCCGTGCTCAAAGTGGAGTATCGCACTGTTTTTCGAGATCGCGAGTCGTAAAGACGAAAATTGACCTCCTTTGCAATGTCAATTTCTTTCATGCGAGCACTTTGTACAGTATCGCAGCCTTTGCTAGGAGACTGGCGAAGTACTGCGCCGCGTCATAGATGCAGAGACAACCCTGGGCCCTCGGAAACGAGGAGTTTGCGGTGGGTGGATGAGTGTTCCTTGTGCCGAGGACGTCAAAAACAGACGACAGCGTAGAGCCAAGCTCAATGAAGAAGAACAGCGGCAGCAAGGTGCGTTATACGAGACTAATCAACGCATAGGAAATCAAGATGCGCATTCTGGGATCAAAAATCCGAGTTGCCGAGCCTTCAACAATCGGTCGATTGCACGCAACAGGATATCGGCCGGTGCTCCGGGACTTTCGAGGGAGCAGAATACGGCCGACAGCTCATCAATAATTAAACGGGATCCTACAGATGCTACAGTTGCAGGCAGGACAAGAATCAGTGGCCATTTTTGAAAGTGGCTCGAGCAGAAGCGCCAGCAACGATGAAAGTCCTCACTTGAACCGACCCAAAGCGAAAAGGCACACGATGCGATTCGTGGACAACCCTCCGCCCATGGCGACAATCCGGAGAAACACAGGCTTGGGTGTGCTGGAATATATTTTACCCCAGATGGCAGAAGTGTCACAGAAGCAAAGGCCTGCTCAACAACGACAAGGGCTGAAGACAAGGAGCCCTGGTGTTCCTGCAGCAGGAACATCGAAGCGAGCGGCGTGTTTCAACTTGTCCGATCGCGTCTCGTACAACACCGTTCAGTCAGCTGTTGCGGCACGTGAAAGACGCATGCCTGCAAAGTGGTGTTGAAATATTTTAACACAAAACGGTCCCGCACTCCGATTTTGAATTGTATGGGACGCCTCAGGACGCCACAAGGTGGTGTTGACAGAAGCCCTACATCGGTCAAAGTCTTGAGAGAAACGCTGTTGCCCAGCAAAAGCTGCAAGACCTTCTCAGCGACCGGAATTGAATTTTTTCTCTCGCCGAGTCGGAGCACCAGTATTCCCTTGAGTTGTCAGATGAACACGGGGCCGGCTTTCTGCTACCGTGCCATTCCCAACACAGAGCGGTCTATCAAGGTCTAGAACGACGCATGCTCCTGTGTGCACGCTAGGCGGCAGACTATTCTTGCCTTTGCTAAGCAAACTCCTGTTCTTTCTCACATGCTCATCTTCGCCGACGATCGTTGAGTCTTTCCATTGTTCGCAGCTCCTTCCACTTGTCTCTTCTTTGATCGCAGCAGCCACACTTTGTGTCTTCTCCACGCAGCGGTTGCTTCCTCTCTTCAGCCACAATCTCTTGCGACGTCCCTTGAGTAATCGATCAAGGTGTCAGAGCTCGGGTTTCAATTTCATGGACACCGCAGCGCGAAATTTGCGCGGCATCGTTGAGGATGTTCAGTCACCAAGTGCCGGCTTGCTGGATTTCCCCTCACCTGCAAGCGACCTAGACGTCTACACTCCCGATGTTGGCTCGTTATCTTTGGCAGCAAACGTGACCTCTAACCCATGGCCGGGTGCCGATGCGTGCTTGTCTTCTGCAACATCTGCAATCCCTGATACAGCAAAGCTGCCTTCAGTCTCTTCGCCAGCTCACGAGTTTGAACAGCCTGGTCTTGGCTTCGACACTCTTGTCGGCGCTCGAGTAGCACCTGCCCCTACTAGTCCTCCGCCAGTTACTTCTTTCAAGGACAGTAGAGACCTTCGTTTACCATCATTCTCGCAGCTTGGAATAGCTGCCCCGCACTCCGAACCAGTTCGTCCATTACTCGTCCGTAATCCTCATCCTTGTCTTGGCGGCGACGACTCATCAGCTCTACCCCGAGTTGGATCAGTCGGCCTTGGGGGAAACACCAAACTACCTGCCGATCCTTGCATCGACGATGATTTGCTCGGACACGTAGACGCGTCTCACTCCAACATTTCACCTACGATTCGACCTAGAGCACCTCTTCACAGCCCGATGCATCACTATGTAACGACGCTCACACCACCTGACGACTCTGGCAGAATAACGTGGGAAGCAATTACGCAGTTCGCAACAGGACCCATGAATTCTCCAATGGCTGCAAGCGGTGGTCTAGCTTCTGATGCTCAGGCTTCTGCAGCCGCATCGGACCCGGATGGATCAGCAATCCCGAGCATTAACGTGCAAGTTTCTACTCCTATGGAGGAACAATCGCGTCCATGGTTGAAGGACGCCATAACAATCATGCGTGAGTGCTGTCCGGTCGTGCTCCTGCGCGGTGCGTAATCGAGCTAACTTCAATCTGCGCAGTCGAGAATATTCGCTCAGCGTCCAACGCCTATCAAGACCCAATCAAGGTCCTTTCGCACGCACTGCCATGCCCATCAACCGAGGGCCACGCCTTTCCTACCATCATCAGTTCTCTACACGACGAGACTCCTACATCACCTACCTGCTGGATCAATGTGTTCCACGCGCTTCCCGTAAGTACCGCAGAAGCGGCTCTGTTGCGCGCGCACGCTGGACTTTTGGTGCATGCAACACCGGGCGAGTAGACTTTAGGTTGCTCAGCGGTGGTTGCAGAGATGCGTCAAGGTCTGGTCTCGATCGATTGCGTGCTAACAAGTACTACAGGGCAGATTCAACCTGGCAGATCTTCCCACATCACCTCCTAGCACTCCAGGACCTCCTATTGGTGGAGATGACTACTTTACCAGCAAGGTCTTCGATTCAGCCGTACACATACTTGATTATGCCGACAACCTGAAATCGCTCCCACAATCTCCTCGACCTGTAGTGCCGCCTTCTTCGGTAGACGTCTCCATAGTTGAACGCTACATCCCGCCTACCAACAAGAACGAATTTTCCGACATGTTCACCACCAAAGGCCCTTCGTTATTGGTCGACAGACTGGTCGAGCTATCCCCAGATAATGGCACGCTCATCTTCATATACCCTACCAAGCGCGGAGCGCAGACATTTGTCAACGAATACCTTGCTCCCATTCTCGACCCGATACTCCGATCAATGGTCGTCGTCAACGGGTTCTCGTCAGACATGGGCCAACAACTGGGCAAAATGGTTGCTGTGGACGAATTGCCTGACCATGATATGATGAAGAGGAAGATTATGTCACTCTGCTCTTCACTGAGCCAGTCAAGTCCTGGAATGGAACGCTTCCAGAGATTACCCACGAATTTCGAGCTACTGCACTCGACCACGGAGGAGGTCACACTGGACCGCAAAGTTTGGTCGCAGGATTGGTGGGCCAAGCAGGAGAAGCCACGCATCAGAGAAACCATTTCGCGATTCTTCCGCAAAGCCAACAGAGCACAGGAAGACCAGACACCTGTCAGTCTAGTGCATGAAGTCTTGGACGGCGTCGCCCAGAAGGCATACCCAGAAGGAAGGGAAGATCAATCTGGCATTGAAGTTAGTGTGTTTGTCATTTCGAGATCGAGGTGCGCAAAGAAGTGATTGGTGGTATGGATGATGAGGGACAGATGTTCACGTTTTTCTACATTCTCACGCGACGATATCCCTGGAGCATTGCGGGCGAACAACAAGCAAAAGGAGGATGAATTCATTGCATTTATTTGGCGCATTGGGTCGAGATGAGTGGTAATTCTTGAGCTTCTTGGCTGATGAGCGAAGAAGACTAGATGGTGGTTGTTCAAAATATACACATGACACGCGAGATTCAATTTTTCTACCTTCTCTCAAACACCGTCAGTCTGACTGACAAGAAGATGATCGCGTGCGACAGTACAAGATACCAACAAGTTCGTGAGGCTCTGTGATGTGTTGATTAGCAAGCACGCAATTGCTCATGTTTATGTAAGCATTCTCGGAGTGATTTTCCGATTGGATGCTGCACCTTCTTTTTGCCTTCGACATCTCGAAGCGCATCGTCCCCGCATGAGGAAACAACCGAGGAAATACATGTTTACATTTCCAAGCAGACTCACAAATGACGTGATGAGTCGTGATGCACAATGTTTAGAAATCAATGAAAGAGCATTTGCCGCTCATCCGCTGTCTTGATATAAGAGGTCTGGCAGACCAGAAGGTGGATTTGTACATATAACACCCAATACCTATCAATCAATCACTACACACCTTACACCAAAAAAAATGTCTACCACAACCACGACAACAACGACCACAACTTCCAAATCTCAAAACATAGAAATACCAAGGGGTCCTGTTTCTTCGACATTAATCTTCTACGCCCCACCACCAGACAACTCTTCACCATGGAACTACGTCGAAGAACCTCCTGAAGGCTTCCCCCAGCGAAACTACACCGAACATCCCTCAGAAGTACACCTCAACGATATCCGCGGCCAAGAATCTAGCTTTCAACTCGATACTCAAGGCTTCACTACCGCCAGCAACGTTTCCTCTTCATGCAAAGACTTTACCTCCGACGACAACATCAAAAACGTTTATTATCCAGAAGTCGAGGAGTTGATTTTAAAGCATGTACCTGGTGCTAAGAGGGTATTCTTGTTCGATCATACGATAAGAAGGGCAGATGTCAATTCAAGACGGCAACCAGTGCACCGCGCCCATGTCGACCAGACCGAAAAATCAGCAATCCAACGGGTACACCACCACCTGCCTGACGAAGCCTCGACTCTTCTCAAAGACAGAGTCCGCATCATAAACATCTGGCGGCCCCTTAATGGCCCCGTCGTATCCTTTCCCCTCGCAGTCGCAGACAGCAGAAGTGTTTCCGATCAAGCTGTAGTAGGCATCGAACATCGATATCCCGATCGAGTAGGCGAAACGGCAGGCATTCTGGCCCAAGAAAACCAGAAATGGTGGTATTGGAGTGGGATGATGAATGATGAGAGGTTGTTCTTGCAGTGTTTTGATAGTCAAGGCACAAAGGCCAGGACGCCGCATACTGCTTTTAGTGATCCGAGGACTAAGGAAGGCTGGCCGGCGAGGGAGAGTATTGAGGTTAGGGCTTTGGTGTTTGGCTGATGGTGATGATGTTGATTGGGAGGAATGGTTCAGATACGAGAAACGATATAACGGAAATGAATCGAGCTTGCTTTTTGTTTACATTATCTACTTGACATTATCTACTACACATCGTCTCATCTTCATCAGCACGTCGTTACTCATCTCTATCTCCTACACCTTTTTAATTTAATCGCTGCTAAAAGGCTGAGTGTTCTCCAATATACCAGGCTGACCCAGGTACACAGTACCGTCGTAATCGTTTCCATTGGTGGTATTGGCGACGGTCCAGTTGCCGAAGCAAGCATAGTCGTAGTTGCTCAATGCATACGAGTTGTTTTGGCTGGCAACGAACTTGTCCAGAGCACACATACCATCGATGCGTCCCTTGCAAGCACCTCCTCTCAAAGTGTCCAGGGGCAAGATACCATTATTCAGACGCATGCGGACAAACTTGTGAGTAGCATTGGAAGGGTTGTAGCCGTATTGGGTGGGGTAGTACTGGACACGTTCTTGTTGAACTGCAGTGGGGTTGGCAGAGGAGCAACCGATCACTTCAGTGATAAGGTGACCACCGAAAGGCGTCATCTTGGACAGATAGAAGTGGCGATCAGGGTTAGGAGGGTACTGAGTCAGACTGGGAGCTTCGCGGAAATAGTCCAAAGACATTGCTGTCATGACACTGACGATGATGTCGTCGTGGGTGAAGTCGGCATAGAAGGGGCGGTCAAGAGGGAAGTCCTGGGGGTTGTTGGTGATGGTGCTGTTCACAGAGCTGTTGGAGACGGTGATGTATTGGTGTGTAAGACGGGCAAGGAGCTCCTGCAAGTAGCCAATACCTTGGGCTCTACCAGTGGGGTTGCCGAAGCTGTAATCATAGTAGTAGGCGATGTCGAGGGTCTGCTCGAAACCATCCCACTCGTCTGCGGTAAAGAAGTCACAGAAGTCGGACATTCCGAGGAAACCAGTCTCTATGTCGGACATTAGAAAATGGTGATCATAACGCACGAACCGATGTACATACCGTAAGCGCAGAGCAGTTGCACGGCATATGTGTTGTTGTAAGTAAACTTGAAGTCTGCAGGAGCGTACTGCTGGAGACGAGCGGTTGCTTTCTTGAGATATCTTGGGATATAGGTGAAGACATCTTGATCACCAAGGTCGCCAATTCCAGTGAGATCGTCGTTGAAACACGAGTCGTAGGACGCAAGAGTGTTGTTCTCAGTACCACCTTCAGGAATGACCACAAGGTCGAAGAAGTCACCATCAGTGTAGTTGGTCAGCTTGGGAACAGGAACTGTCTCATATGTGGGACCGAAGAATCCCAAGGCCCAGTTGATCTGACTTTCGCGAATACGAGACTGACTTGTAGTACGAAGGACTGGCTTAGGTCTGGCTGTACCATTGGCATAATCAGGGTTGTAGCTGACCTGACCAGCAGTGGCATTGTACAAAATGCGACCATATCTGTTCCAGAAGTCGACACCCAAGGAGAATTCAGTACGAGCGCCGATACCAGTGAGATAGCTTTCATTCATCTGATACTTGTAGGAGTTCAAGAAAGACAAGGGGCCAGTGAATGAAGAGCTGTGGTTGGCCCTGAAGTCAACGACCTTCTGGGCAAAATCCTCGGTCAAGATTCCATCATCGATATAGCTGGTAGGGAAACGCTGTGCATGGCGCTGAAGAGTATGGGTTTGCTCGACCTGGCAACCAGCAGGCAGACCAACCCATTGAACACCAAAAGCGTCAGCAGGGTTGTTCATGTAAGTACTAATCTGACCCCAATGCTGAGAGATGAAATTCATATCAGTGACAAGAGTGTCATTTGCAGCACTGACAAGTGCAGGAGCAACTGCACTTGCCAGTACAATGAACGAAGAAAGAGGAGTGGAATGCATGCTGATTGGGAGACGAAGAAGGCAGCTTGGTGAAAGCTGGTCAAGACCAGCAGGGCATATTATATAGCATGCCCTAGCACATATACTTTGTTATCATGGAAAGAAGCCGAGCGAGTCATGTTGTGCATACCGGCCACGCTTTTGCAAAGTGTGCGCGGCTTGCGGAATCGGAGGTTAAGCTCAGTCTGGCTCTCGTATGGCGTTCACCTTGTGGAAAGGCGGGACGAGCTATGTGAAACCCGGAAAATCTAGATATACTTCAAAGGTATTCAAAGCTGATATATAAGCCCTGATGAGACCGAGTCTTGGAGACGATATGAAGCAACATGATGAGGGGATAATGGTGAGAGAAGTGGAGGAAGAGGAAGGGCACAGACGAGGGTCAATGACGTGTGGCTGAAGTTTGTTGCAACTTGTTCGCGCGCATCATCGTGGTCATCAATGCGACAAAGCTGCATGTTTTTAGCTTTCTTGCTTCAATTCGTTTCAACAGCATTCACACCGGCAGGGAAAAGGTAGCCAAGCTTCGCAGTCACCACGAGTCTCAGTTCCAAATACCATTAATCGAGAACGTGCTTCACGAAAGAGACATTCCCGAACGACCAATCACCGCTCGCGCATTCTCGGCTTCCACGACTTTGCTATTAGCACACATCCACCATGGCGCACCGCAGAGTAAAAGAGATTGACTACGATGAGGATGAATACGATGATTACTACTCGGGCGAAGAAGAGTACGGCTACGAGGGCGCCGACAACGAAGCAGCAGCAGATACTCACGAGGACGAGTTAAGCGCCGAGGACAAAGAGCAGATGCGCATCGGTACCCAAAAAGTGAGAGCTGCTCTAGGAGACGTCTCCGAATTTATAACGGATGAGGCCATACAAGAAGCCTTGTGGCACTACTACTACGACGTCGCCAAGTCCGTCACCTACTTGAAGAGTATGTCATACTCTCAACCTTGCACGACTCCAAGCTCATGTCCTCTAGACCAGAATGCTCCCCAGCAAGCACAGCCTAAAGAGAAGAAGCAGAAGCCCGTGTCCAAGTTTGACCAAGCTGCTACATCAGCTGCTCAGAAGCCAGTAGAAATCAAGGGTACGTCCATCTTTTCTCACCTTTCCCTTTCCTTTCCTTCGTCATAGAGCGCCACCACACATACACCCGAGTCGGACTACCTTGCCAGACACGGGACTCGGACGGCGCCATTGCTGCATTCTCTCCCGGTACACAAGCGAGCACGCTCTGACTGGGCTTGGAACAGTGCCGACCAGCCCACTGCCCCGACCGCATACGAATCCCGCCGACCTCTTCAATGGCATACCCTGGTTCAACGTCCCGGAAGAAAGAGTTGGATGTATAGTGTCTGAACAAGTTCGCCCACCACTTCGTTTATTAGGCGGCACTGGCAAGCCGTCCAAGCTGGCTGCTCTGGCAGCTGCAAGGAAAAAGAAGGAAGCCGAACAGAAGGCTGCACAAGAGGGCGGCCAATTTGACAAGCCTGCTGGTGTAGCATCACTCATGGACCGTCTTGGTACAAGGTCCGCTCAACCTGCAAGCCAGGAGAACATCAAGCCTGGAGACGTTCCTCAGCAACCCGAGACTCGCACCTTCCCAATTCGCAAGCGGAAAAGTCCCTCTCCGCCACCACCAGTCGAGGATCGCAGACCTGCTGCCCCAGAGCCTACTCCAACCGAGGTAGCCGAGCCAGCTCCTAAGCCCGTCGAACATGTGCGCGCAGGTCCATCTATTTTCGCCAGCACAATGTGTGGTGGCAGCTCTAAAAGGCGTCCTTCACACCAAGACTCAGCTTTCGTCTCTCAAAACATTCTGCCAGCCATCTATGGCCACGACGCGAACCTTGCTAATACCAATGCCTTCTCAGGTCCGAGCCCAGATGACATAGTCATGCAAGCACAGGCAAAAGGTTCGACGCGGTCGTGAAAAGGTAGAAGAATATAACCGTACTAACTAGTTTGTCAGCCTCGGGCGCAAAGAAGCAGGCATCTCAACAAAAGGACTCTAAATTTGTCACCAATGGCGTCTCCTCTCTTAGTCTGGAGGAGCCACAACAGACAAGTCAGAAGTAAGTCCAAGCTGTGTGTTTCCTCGGTACTACAGCTCACAACATAATAGGGTCAAGAGCAAGAACTTGGATGTTCTGGCAGAACATGCAAAGGCTGGACGCAAGAATGCTGCCAGCTTTGTCGTTATCGGACATGTCGATCATGGAAAGAGTACACTCATGGGTCGCTTATTGTATGACCTTAAGGTTGTAGACCAACGCTCGCTCGACAAATATCGTAAAGAAGCAACGAGTATTGGCAAATTGTCCTTTGCATTGGCATGGGTCATGGACTCGACCTCTGAAGAGAGAGAACGAGGTGTCACCGTCGACATTGCCACCAACAACTTCGAAACGGAAAAGACAAAGTTCACCATCCTGGATGCTCCTGGACACAGAGACTTTATCCCCAACATGATTGCCGGAGCAAGTCAGGCAGACTTTGCTGTTCTCGTCATCGACGCTGGCACCAACAGTTTCGAAGCTGGTCTCAAGGGTCAGACACGAGAGCACGCCCAGCTTGTCCGCAGTATGGGCGTACAGCGCATCATCGTAGCCATCAACAAGATGGACAGCATAAACTGGGCCCAAGAGCGCTTCGAAGAGATTCAACAACAAATCTCAGCCTTCCTAACCACTACAGGCTTCCAACAAAAGAACATTGCTTTCATCCCTTGCTCCGGTCTCACTGGCGAAAACGTCGTTACCCCAGCACCCGAAGCAGCAGCTTGGTACACAAAGACTCCTTCCCACCAAACCCTCATCCAAGCGCTCGAAGCCCACGAACCCACAAAAGCAGCCTTGTCCTCACCCTTCCGTCTACCCATCTCAGACATCTTCCGCGGCGGTGTTCAAAATCCTCTATCCATCTCCGGCCGCATCGAAGCCGGCACCTGTCAAGTAGGCGACTCTCTCATCGCCATGCCCGCCAATGAAACCTGCAGCATCAAAGGCATCGAAGTCGACAATGCAGCCGCAGACTGGGCAGTCGCAGGCCAAATCGTAACGCTTCACTTGACAGAGATCGATCCAGTGCACTTGCGCATCGCAGACTTGCTCTGCGATGCCAGAAAACCCGTTGCTAATGTCAAGAGCTTCACGACCAAGATCTTGGCGTTTGAACACGTATTGCCTATGACTGTGGATGTGCATCGAGGACGTATGCATGTTCCTGGTCGCATTAGCAGTATGGTTTGCGTGTTGGATAAGAGTAGTGGCAACATTACCAAGAAGAAACCGAGGGTTGTGCAGCCGGGGAGTGTGGCTAGGGTTAAAGTGGAACTTGACACTGCTGTGCCGCTGGAGGTGCCTGGTAGGATTGTGTTGAGATCGGGAGGTAATACTGTTGCTGCTGGGTTGTTGGAGGAAGTGCATGCATAGATGGGAGGTCGAAGAGTGCTGTGCTCACATACATTGAGATGATAGAAGAATCTATACCAAAATTTCATCCAAGCAGATATTTCTTAGTCAATGGCCAACTCATTCAGCGCCTTGTGCGTAGGTAGTCGCTTTCTCTTCCACCCCTTCTCTCCACCAAACATGCGAACTATGTACTCGTTTGCTTTGCCAATGGTATCTGACGCCTTTTGCCATATCTTGACACTAATCTCCACCCCAACTGCCATCTGTCCTGAAGTTGTAGGAGCCATATGAAAACCTCGCTTTTCATATCTGCCACTGGACATATCTTGTTTTTTCTCTACTCTTGGTGCCACATCAGGTTGACGAGTAACAAGTCTTTTGTTTTTATGACGGAACTTGGTGTTGGTGGACTTCGTCCTCGAAACTTGCCACAAGTGTAGCTGGAGAAATGCAAGAATCTTTTGGAAGGAATGCGAAAATCTACAGAGAGAACCTCATTGAACGCTATCTCAATGGCCAGATTCATCCCCAGAACACAGCTGTGCATTTAGATAGTTTAAAACTTGATGTCCTTGTGCCTCGAGATGAGGGAAACGTTGGCAGTCTTGAGCATGCGGTGAGCTCCTTGCAAGACCTTAATTCACATTCTTTCACGTACACAGAGACTACTCATTGGGAAATCATGCTATCATTTCAAGTCGTTTCAAGCAGTCTAGCTTAACCATCTATGCCCCAACCAGGGCACTTCGAACTTTCCATTCCACTTTTGAAACGCCTATTTATGCTTCTGCCGAATAAGAATGCCATCTAAAAGAAATACGAGAAGCGAAAAAAAAAAAAAAAAACAACTCCACTGATGTCTCCCTCCCCATGCGTGTACGCCAGTGTCACTTAAGGCTGTTAAGGCTGTTCAGCGACAGTCTGGTCGAAATCAGCAGGAATAGTCCAGCCATGAGCCATGCAAGCGCGCTTGTAAGCCTCAACGGCCTCTCCAGTGCCATACGAGTTGTGGTTGCCGTCAGCAGAGGTGCCCCTGATCTGCAAGCGTGCAGGCTTTGGATCAATTGAGGCCATGGCCATACGAAGCTGAAGCAGGATAGACTCGATGGTGGTGGTGCATAGCCAGCCGTCTGTGGTGAGGACGGCGTGGCATATAGCGCCTCCCGCAGTGACATGACCGCCGCCACCATTCGCGAAAGGAAGAAAGCGAGGACGAACGACTCTGACAAATGGCGGGTTGTCAGGATAAGAGCCAGGGAAGCGAAGCTCGAGGACGATGCTCTTGACGTTATACTTTTTCATGTCGGTGACAAGAGGCAGCACCTTGTTCTCCTCGTTGAACATATGAAAGCTATGTAATTCAATGTACCAAAGATAGATGTTTTCAACTTTGCTGGGGTCGATGTACCAGCCGAGCTCATGAAGTGGTGTCTTTTCCTGGATCTCGAGCAGGGCCTTCAAGTCTTGTGCCAGTCTCTTGCTTGCCTTGGGGTTGGCATACAAAGGCTCGGGTAGTTTGGGAAGCTGGTCATGGTCCAGTGAACCTGGAATAAAATCGGTCTGCGGCGGGCCTGTTCTAACAGCCAGCTGCTGTTGAGGCTGTGGATCTTTGAAGATCTCAAGGTCTTCATCATCAGTAGCCACACTTAAGCTATCGCTTAGCTCACCATCGTCATAGACGGGCTGGATTCCATCATCGGTATCGCCAGTCAAGTCAATAACTTGTGACGGGTTGGTGATCTTATTCAGCAAGCCCTTCACCTTCTTCGTCTTCTTCGGACCAGGTGACTTGGTGTTGGCAAGCTTGCGCTTTGGAGTCTTGATACGCAGTGCTGGAATGACGATCTGAGATAGCTCACCAGTAGGAATGCGGGCGGGATCCTGTTCTAGCCTGTGCTCTGGCAGCTGGTCGAACTTGGACATCTCGTCATTAGCGCTGGCACCACACTTCACAAACAGGTAGCGAGTTTGAATCCAATCCAGCTGACTGATTACGTAGTGAGGTGTCTTGGAAACAAATTCTTCAGGCGCGTTGACGATTTCATTGAGAGCAATCGCGCCTGAAATCTGCAAGTCCGAGTTTGGCCACATGTATGGTCCTGGGACGCTTCCTTGATATGTCGGATGCATGCCGGAATAGCCAAGCGAGGTGTTGTAGTGCGGAGAGTGATAAACACCATTTCCATAGGCACGGCCATTGAGCGTCTCATTGAAGTGTAGGCCCTCACGAATAATACTGTGCCAGTTTTGGAGCATGCTTCCGTGCCAGGCATAGAAGGTCGGGTACTTGGACTTCAGTCGATCTGCAGTCTCTTTGACGGCCTTCGTGAAACGAGCTTCTTTGTCGGGTGCTCCCATAGCGAAGCGGAACTGTACGTAACTTGACATACCATGTACCGCCTGGTGGTGGTCGACCTCGACAATGCAGGAGCGGTTCGAGGCCAAGGTCCAACGCAGAATGGCTAGCGCGGCGGGTGAGATAGTATCAACCCATCGAGACAGGTCTGGAGTACTCTGTCCCAGGAGATAAGTCTTCATCTTCCGGACTGATGGAAGCAAAGCCAGTAGATTCTGTACAGCACCGCGCTTCTCGCTGTCTTGCAAGTCATCAAAATTGGTGTCGTACTTGTCGATGAAGGCCGTGCACCATTTAGCAGTCTTGGAATCTAGAGTGACCTGTCCTACCAGGGGACCAGTCGTGGCGGAAGGCCCAAGTGTGTCCTGAATCCTGCAGTGAAACGAAGGACTTCCAGGTTCGTCTGGCAGCTCGATAGCGATCCAGTCACCCTTCCTGAGAGGGCAATTTGAGTTAGCGTCGTCGAACAATATCTCTGATTTGGTAATGTCAAAGCGAGCTTGGAGTCGACCTTCGAGTCTCGAAGGAGAGGCTGCTGGAGGCTGCGCGACTGTGCCATACAGGTGGCGAATCTGTTCCTGAATTGGCAAGGTGATTGAACGAGGCAAGCTCAAAGAAAGACCTGTAGGGAAGGTCTTGAGTCTTCCCAGAGAGGCACTGCTGTAGCAAAAGCTAAGGAGTAAGTCAACGACCTTGTCTTGGTGCATGATCTCATGCTCGATCGAAGGACCGAAGCCCAGAGTCATGTATTGGTAAAGACATAGAGGTTCATCGCAGACATAAGGTTTGAGTGCTTCGACTGTGGTAGAAAGCTTTTTGTGGCAAACCAGACAGAATTCTGTGCAACGGACGAAGTGGCGCAGCGTAAACTGCATAGCGGCGAGAGGGAAAGAGTGTGTCTCGCAGGTAGGATCATCCAGGTGGTCTGCAGTGACCACAGAGGGGTAGCTCGGGGTTGCCTCTCTCTGGAAGTGTTGAGCAATAGTGTTCACTTCAGTATCGGGGTTGTTCTGTCTCATTCTGTACGAGTCCTCGGCGCCCTGCCACGACATGCCGCCATCTCTGTAACGTACGAGAAAGACAAGACGTTCGCACAAGAGGTCCTTTAAAGGTTTGGAAATGAAAGTATCGCGGAATTGCGCTGAACCTGAATCTTGGGTCGCTGATGTGCCGATGACGGTAAAAGCGTTGATGACTTGGTCTTGTGTTGGCTTGTAGTTCTTGGAGGCACCGACACGCATCTCTAAATGTGCAGAGACAGAAGACGGGCTGAGAGCGAGGAGTTCTTCTTTAGTTTTGTAGCCTTCCTTATACTGAAGAAGTAAGATGATGTAGTCGGAAGACTCGATGCGCCAAGCTTGCATGGCCTCTTGCGAGATGCCGAGCTTGCGAGCAGAGATAGACACGGAAATCACACAGCTGTAGTTGTCGAGAAGACCGCCAAAGTAAGCGACCTTGAAGCCAGCATCCTTTGCCATTCTGAGATCGCTGCGAACGCGAGATTGGAACTGGCTGGACGGGTTCGCGTGCGTCGTCTTGGTAGGTATGACAAAGGCGGGCCTTGAAGAGACGTCAAAATGTTCGCTATAGATGTAATCATCATCCGACTCATCGTCCGAGTCGTGATCTTGCAATGGCTCAGTATAAGATTCAGCATCGGGCTCAGCATCAGATGAACCAGAGAGAGCACCAGAGACGTGTGAGAGGAACTGGTTGATGGTCATGCTCGTCGGCTGGCCAAGCTTGTCTACGATCTCGGCGATATCCTTTGGTGCATCGTCGTCGCAGAAGAGTGTGTAGTAGTGGGCGGTGGGATAGTCAGATTGCTCTGGAACGCTAACGGTGATGGTGACAGGCGATTCGAGTGTTGGATGAGCAAATGTAAATGTGAAACCGTCTTCATGAACGCAGCAATTGTCGATGTGCTCGAGACTGTGCTTGCCATTGATGGCCTCGTCCAGATCGGCCTTGAACTGCTTACGAGGCATGGTTAGAGTGGGTGAAGGTCGACAGCATGTGTTGCTGCAAATGTATGCGGAGTGGAAGTGGGAGATGATCAAGAAGGTTGACGTCTTGAAGATGGGATGTAAGAGGTTGAAAGTTTCTTGATGGTAGGATCAAGAACGAGCACGATTTAATATGGATCACGGGCGGCGGTGACAAGACAGTGTGAGGTGCGGAGTGACAGGCAAGGGAGCGAATGGTAGAGAGTGAAAGATGGGAGTCAAATCGAGTTGGTTTCAAGCGCATGTGGGCAGCTTGTCTCAAAGTCTTAGTCACAGTGAAAGACTTTAGTTGGACTACTTGTTCTGTGAAAGAAATGGAATGCCTTTCGTCAGGCAGCGTTTGCTTGGATGGCTGCCTGGTGCAAAGAGGCACAGACAAGAGTCACGAAGGTAGGCAGGCACGCGTCTCAATCTAGCTAGCCCCTTGTCTTTTGTCCACTCGGGTCAACTGAAATGCCGTCCATTGTGCTCTTTCGATAGACATTCTTTCTGTACCTATACACATCATATAGTGCTTGATGAGAAACTCATGTTGTCTGGCAAGTTCACAGTAGGCGAGAGTCCTTGAGTAATCTGATCGTTTTTCACTCATCTAGCAACCCTCATGGTGTGCAGTGTGCACTTCGAAAGCCGCATGAATGCAAGTGCTTGGCACGAGACGGCCTACGTTCGATAGCAACTTGTCTGGTCCATGCTTTACATGGATGGTAGAGCTACCATCTTCGCAATAAACAAACCTCATCAAGAAGATACATACAATGGCAGTACAGTCCGAGGTTGCTGCACAGAGCGCGCCCAAGTCGACACACGTCCAGGATGAAGCTCTCCAGCCGTTTCTTCAACCTCAATTCGATCCGGCCGATTACCTCAATGCCACCCTGCCTTCGTTAACCTTCTCGAACCCTACTAAAGATCGCGTTTCCCTCGCCGATCTGTCCACGCAAACCCAGACTTTGATCTCGCAACTCAATGTGCAAACGTCGCGTCTCACCAACACTCTCAATCAGCTCACCGATGACATCCTACGAAGCGGCAGCAGGCTTGCCTACCAAGTTGAGATGCTCCGCGGTGAGACTGCCGGTCTTACAGACGCCTTGAACACCTCGCTTCGACCTGAAATCGCCCTATTCGCTCCCTCAATCCTAGAAGAGTCCACACAACCCGAGGCAGACGACGTTTCTCCCGACCAACCTGTCGTATCAACTTCAACTCAGCCCATCGAACCAGACTATATCTCGAAGCTTCGTACGCTCGTCATGGTGCGGCAGCGCCTCGATTCCGTTATCAAAGTCTTTGGCGAGGCCATGGCCTGGCCTATCGCCCCCTCCGAGCTTGTTTCGTCCTCGTTCATTTCGGTATCAGCTCCCTCGGCTGGAGGTCCTGAAGAGACGCGCAATCGTGAAGAGAAGGCAAAGGAACATGCACAAAAGCTGCGCGATGAGATCACTCAATTACTACAGAGTGCTGTCTCGGCAGAAGAAGGCATCAACGCTGCAATCAAAAGACTCGACGAGTTGAGAGACCTCGCTTCCATCTGGAAAGGCACTGCTGAGGAAAAAGCTCGAGCACGCCAGATCGACACTCTAGAAAAGATCATCGAGGATGAGCAGAAGGCTCTCGCTCGCAAGGCAGATGCGAAAAAGCGCACAGCATCTCCTGCGGCAGTCGACTACAAGTATAACAACAGCAGTGAGCCAAAGGGTGCTAGCAACCAGGGCAGCGGCTACGGATTCATGAACAACTTGCGTCGTATCAAAGACGACATTTACCTCGATTGAGAGTCTAGCCGAGGCTTCTGACACACTCGCAGAGTTTGCTCGTGAATGAGATACGGATGTCTAGTCAGTGCTCGCGACTACTGCTAGATGCTTCGAGGGACAGAACGTGATTTTGAATCCCTCTGACTCGGGTTCTTTAACCGTCTTTTCGGATGCTTGGAACAAACATCGGTGATTCCGAGCCAGTGGTGTGATAACTCGGATAATAAGACGCTCTGCTATCACCAAGGAAACACCAGATAGGGTCCTTCGCCCTGGACCCTCCTCGTATTCGTTCAGCACTGAAGCGCACGAGATGAACCCTTGTCGTCAATCAATCCTTATAGGTGAAAGTCCAGGGGTCTATGATCAGCAGCCGGCTGCCGGGGAAGTCAGGGACAGCTCTGCAGAGTGGACCTGCGACGTGGATCCTCTTGATTGAGAGCAGCATTTTGGGTATGCGACTCGGCTTCTACTACCGTTTCGAAGCATGCCAGAGTTGAGCAGGATTTTGCAGGAGACAAGCATTCCAGGAAGTCTTTCGGCCGAATGTTATATCTCACCTGCGCTACCAACAAGCAAGTGCTCGCGAACGTGATACTTATTCCCTGTTCTTTGCCCAGGTACAGATCATGCCACTGGGAAACGGGCGAATCCTTCGATATCAGATGTCGCATTCGGGATATGGCATGCGATAGCAAATGACCTGACAGAACCATGACAAGAGTGATGTTCTTACACAGTAGACAAACCGAACCAAATGTAACCAATCCGGGCAGCTTCAATCATAATATAAAGCAGGTTGTGTTGTAGAGCATTTTCATAGATGCATAGTTCGGAGGGTTCGGCAGCACAAAGCACGGACTTGATGGAAGCTTCAGATCAATCAGGCTAGCTTGATTGGGCTAACTCATGAGCTGGTGGACCGTAATGGCCGGTGACGTAGCGCCATGATGCCAAATGTGAGGAGTTCGAGGTGCCAAATCGTGTTGGATCGAGCTGTTGTCAAACGTGTAGAGCAGTCATTCCGCTGCATCCGTGAACCTTGGAGGCATGTGGAGCTGAAGTTGTTGGGAGCTTCAAAACTCAAGAAGCTAGCTGTCTCTTTTCTATTCCTCTTCTCAATACTCAATTCTCTCTTCACCACACACAAACTTTCACAATGGCTGAGACAGAGAGCCTTTCACCCTTTGGCAAGGCCAGAGCTACTGTGACCGACCAGCCTCTCAGCAAGGATGAGGTCGACAAGATCAATCGCTACTTCCATGCCAGCATGTACTTGTGCTTGGGTATGCTCTACCTCAGAGAGAACCCTCTTCTCCAGGAACCTCTCAAGGTTGAGCACATCAAGCCTCGTCTTCTCGGACATTGGGGCTCTGATGCTGGTCAATCTTTCACATACATTCACATGAACCGCTTGATCAAGAAGTACGACCTTGATGCCTTCTTTGTTTCTGGTCCTGGTCATGGTGCTCCTGCTGTCATTTCCAACTCCTACCTCGAAGGAGTTTACTCCGAAGTCTACCCAGCCAAGTCTCAGGACGCCGAGGGCATGCAGCGCTTCTTCAAGCAGTTCTCCTTCCCAGGAGGAATTGGCAGTCACGCAACTCCAGAGACTCCTGGCAGTATCCACGAGGGTGGAGAGCTTGGATATAGCATCTCGCACGCCTTTGGTGCTGTGTTTGATAATCCCGACTTGATCGCTTTGGTAGGTATCGTACCTTGCATTACAAGTATCCTCAACTAACAAAGCTTCTCAGACCATGGTTGGAGATGGTGAAGCCGAGACTGGTCCTTTGGCAACCAGCTGGCACAGCACTAAATTCCTGAACCCCATCTGCGATGGTGCAGTCTTGCCCGTCCTTCACCTGAACGGATACAAGATCAACAACCCCACCGTCCTCTCAAGAATCAGCCACGATGAGCTAAAGGCTTTGTTTGTCGGTTATGGTTGGGAGCCTTACTTTGTCGAAGGCTCTGACCTCGACTCTATGCACCAAGCAATGGCTGCCACTCTGGAAAGAGCTGTCACCGAGATCAAGGCCATCCAGAAGAAGGCTAGAGAGTCTGGCAAGGCTGAGCGTCCCAGATGGCCAATGATTGTCCTCAGAACACCCAAGGGCTGGACTGGTCCTCGTACCGTTGATGGTCACTTCCTCGAAGGTTACTGGAGAGCTCATCAGATCCCCCTTACCAACGTTCTCAAAGACAACGACCAGCTCGCTCTGCTCGAGAAGTGGATGCGCAGCTATGAGCCTGAGAAGCTGTTCAAGGACGGCAAATTCATCGACGAGCTTCGTGAGCTCGCCCCTAAGGGTAACCGCCGTATGAGTGCCAACCCCGTCACCAACGGTGGTCTCCTGCGTGCCAACCTCAAGGTTCCCGATTTCAAGAAATTCGCACACAAGGTGAACAAGCCAGCCGCTGAACAAGCGCCTAGTATGAACCTGTTCGCAGAATTCTTGACCCAGGTCGTCAAGGCCAACCCCACCAACTTCCGTCTGTTCGGCCCCGACGAGACACAGTCCAACAAGCTTGGCGCTGTTTACGATGTTACCAAGAAGGTCTGGATGGCCGACTACTTCGAAGAAGACAAGGATGACGGCAACCTTGCACCTTCTGGCAGAGTCATGGAGATTCTCAGTGAGCACACCGTTGAGGGTTGGCTGGAAGGTTACCTGTTGACTGGTCGCCACGGTCTGCTCAACAGCTACGAACCTTTCATTCACATCATCGACTCCATGGTCAACCAGCACGCAAAGTGGCTCGAGAAGTGTCACGAGGTTTCTTGGAGACAGGAAGTTGCTTCGCTCAACATCCTGCTTACCTCCACCGTTTGGCGCCAGGACCACAATGGCTTCACTCACCAGGACCCTGGTTTCCTCGATGTTGTTGCCAACAAGTCGCCTGAGGTTGTTCGCATCTACCTTCCTCCCGATGCCAACTGCCTGCTCAGCACCATGAACCACTGTCTCAAGTCATCCAACTATGTCAACGTTATTGTTGCCGACAAGCAGAACCACCTTCAGTATTTGAACATGGAGGACGCTGTCAACCACTGTTCCAAGGGTCTTGGCATTTGGCAGTGGGCTTCAAACAGCGAGCACCAAGAACCTGACATGGTCATGGCCAGTTGTGGTGATGTCAGCACACAAGAGGCTCTTGCTGCCACGGCTTTACTTCGGGAGTACCTTCCGGAAATTAAGGTTCGCTTCGTGAACGTCGTCGACCTTTTCAAGCTTCAACCTCACGGCTACCACCCCCACGGCCTCAAAGACGATGAATACGAAGCCATCTTCACTTCCGACAAGCCTATAATCTTCAATTTCCACAGTTATCCTTGGTTAGTCCATAGAATGACGTACAAAAGAAAGGGTCAGCACTTGCTACGCGTGCGCGGGTACAAGGAGAAGGGTAACATTGACACCCCCCTCGAGCTGGCCATCAGAAACGAGACCGATCGCTACAGTTTGGCCATTCTTGCCATCGACAGTCTCAAGTCTGTTCTAGGTAACAAGGGCTCGTCGACTCGTGAGTACCTGCTCAACAAGCGTACTACCGCTATGAACTACGCCTACGAGACCGGTCAGGACCCTGATGACTTTGTCAACTGGACCTGGAACTACTAGATCCTTGGCCACAGCTTGACGAAGATCTGCTAAAGACGGCGTTTGTGATGATATGGTTATGAGGCGTTCTCTTTTTCTTCGCTGTAGCTAGCTAAGTGGCTTTCCAATGATGAGTACTTAATATCCTTTTACTTGGTGTCCCTCCGTATGTCTTACTTGCTGTCTTCACTTACCTGTGTTCACTTGCTGTCCTCACTTGCTGTCCCCCCCATGATCCAACTAACTCCTTCTCCGTTCCGAGCCACAAAAATCACCATAGGCTGTCGAAATGCATAGTCACGATGCAAATATGAGTCTAGCCATTGAGGTAGCTTCCATTGGAGGTTCCCCGTCGAGATCATGTTCCCCCCAAAACTATTGTGCAATTCTATAGCTGTATTATAGTTGTCGTTGTCACGTAGGAAGGCTCGACGATTGTTTTGTGTTTCTGCTGTTCGTGACTCTGTCTGATATCAATGCCATCTGGTCATTACTTGGACCTCAAAACAGCCCATATACCTTCGACGATTCAACGAGTACTTGGAGTTATTAATGCCATGGTGTAAGTGGATTTGCGCATGGATGAGACTCTGGAATCATCCTTGAGACACATGCTAAACTCCATATTCTACCTTTGCTTTTCTATTATCTGACCAAAAACGACACCCACTCGGACTCCACAACAGTATGCATATATGCAAAACGCACAATCACAAAACAAAAGCAATGTGAAACAAAGAAACAACCTGTTACCACCCTCTCCTCTTACCCCTAGCCTCAGCACTCTTCTCCTTCCTCTTGGCCTTGGTGATATCATGTTTCCTCCTCTTATCAGCCGCATACTTGGCGGGCTGACTCACAGCTTCAATCCTTCTCTTTCTTCTCCTCTCTTCTCTTCTACCTCTAACCTGTTCTTGCACTCCCCTCATAGCAACCACGTAATCGGTACTGCCGAGTTTCTTCTGGAGCAAGGAAGCGACTTCAGTAGCTAGGGCTTTGAGGTCTTGGTAGGCTTTTTGGAGGGGTTCGGTTGCGAGGCGGGGCGCGGCAATGGAGGCGTCGGTGAGGAGGTAGATGGGGGTTAGGATTGAGGGGAGAGAGGGGGTTATGTGGGCAGAAGGCAGGATATTGCATAGAGAGGCGATGGCTTGAAGGGAGCCGGTCTTTGCAGATAGGACTGATGCAGTGGGTGCGCCGTCGTCGCGGCGGATGAGTGCTGAAAGGCGGGACAGCAAATGGTGGAGTGCAGTGGATGGTGTGGAAGAAGTGGTTGTTTCTCCATCTTCATCTTCTGCATCTGCAGTCTCGTCCTCTTCGTCCTCTTGCTCATCTTCCTCTTGAGCAACTGCAATGTCATTTCTGGTGTATGGCGTGGGATGCTCCCAGTCCGCATTATCGGCACTGTAGCAACGACCCAAGAAGATCAAATTGCGCACCGTCTGACCAACCAACTGCTCACTAACATTGCTGAAACGAAGAGTTCTCAAACCAGCAGCACACAACTCATGGAGCTCCTTTGCAGTGACCTCCATCTTACTGTTTGTGTACAAAGGCAAAGCAGCAAGACCTTGCTCAGTCTTCGAGGCGCAATTACCTAGATCCGCAAATAGCAAACCTACAAGACGAGCAGAAGAAAGCTTAACCCATGCGTGCGGAAAAACAAGACATTTGAAGATGTTTGTCCAGGACAGCTTGGCGGCAGGAGCCAGAGAAGTGGAAGGTGCCATCTCTGCCATCTTTGCAAATGCTTGCAGGGCATAGTAGAGCAACTCCCAGTCTTCAGTCTCGACATCTTCAGGGTTCAAAAGCTTGGATACTTGCTTGAACAGGAAGGAAGTTTCCTTGGCACTTGCCTTACCGTGCCCAATATAAATAGTCCAACACTGCAAAGCAATACGACGAAGCAGTAGCTGCTCGTCCTGCTCCAACCATGTACGCAGCAGAGTGACAAAGTTACTTGTGCGTTCTTCGTCAGCACGCTCGAGAATCTTGCTGATCAATGCACCAGCCATCTCACGACATTCTGGTGAGTCATCGTTGACCATCATCATGACCAATGGCACAAACAACATGCTCGACAACTCTTGGACGAGATCTCCTTGAGTTTTGGCCAGCAATAAGTGCAACAATTCAAGCACAGACTGTCTTCCCTCGACGTACTTGTACTCGAGGTTCTGGACCAAGAATGCAATCTGCTTGTTCAAGCGAGTGCCTGCTTGAGGATACTCCATCATGAAAGCAAAGTAGACGCCACGAGCCAGATCTCTAGCACTGCGTGTCTGGTTTGTCACCATAATGGCGGCAACAGAATCCATCACTTCGTAGACTTCAGTGATGATAATCTTGCGCGCTACAACAGCTTTCAAGAAGTTGAAGATGACACCTTGACGATCGGGTTCTTCTAGGTCGGGCTTGATTCTCTTGAGCACATAGGCCATATCGTTTTCCTTGATCTTGATGTCTGGTCTGTCGCGGAGGATGGCTGAAATAAGCTTCAGCGAAGATTGAGCCAACTCGGTGATGGTCGAGGGAGCAGCTCTGAGGATCTTGACTGCTTCTGCTGCGTAGACTGGACCATTTGACACGATCTGTGGCGATGGAACTCTGATGATAGAAGTGAGCAGACGAACCGATGCCATCTGTACCTCCTCTTGACCGCCAATAAGCGCATCACCTAAGATTGGCAAGAAGCCAGCAAGGTTTGCAGGAGTCTTGAGTTCATCATGTTTTTGCAAGACAGCGCGAACAAGGTCCAGAGCGAATCTGGTGAGCTTGAAGATATACGAGCTAGTTGCTCCCTTCTTGCCGGACTTGTTGGCACTCTGCATCTGGATGAGATACTTTCTAATCTTGTAATCTTCCATGACAGGGCGAGTCTTGGCTTCGGCAGTGGCAGCATAGACCTTCTGGATGATCTCATAACCAAAGATAAGGATGTCTCTGTCCTTGACTGACGGGTTCTGACTTGCGCCTAGGCCAATACGACGAAGAAGTTCATCAATCTTCTTGACAGTCTTGAGATCCAGCTTCTCAAGCAGGAGAGATTGGATGGGTCTGATCAAATCGCCAAGATGAGAAGTAGTGGTGATCTTTGCCATGAGTTCAGCAGAGTCGTAACTTTTGCTGCTCTTAACTTCCTTCATCTTGCTGATGTACTCTTCAGCATCCTTCTCCTGACCAGCAACACCAAAGATGTCGTCCATAACAATAGCAATGATATCGTTGATGCAGTGGTCGAGATCACCAGCCTCCAAAGAATCAATGTTGTCGACCAGAATTGAGTGCATGGTGAAGGACATGACGTGAAGCTGGTAACCACGCTGCAAAGCACTGCGCAACTCCTTGATGACAAATTGGAAGTAAGATGGCCCAAGAATACCAGCGATTTCTGACAAAGTCTTTCTTGTCATGTCTCTGGCCTCGGTTGCTTTACTACGAAGAACATGGCAAAGATCCATAAGCACAGTAGGAAGTCTCAAGGCGTGCTCGGCGACAGGAAGCACACGGATGAGCTTGACCACAGCGACACCAACAGGAACACGTAGACTGACGGTTGACTCATCCTTAAGGTGGAGGAATTGAGTCAAAGGAGGCAAGAGCTGCTTGTTGATCTCATTGGACAACTTTTCCTCCGAAGGCAGGGTTGCAGCAAGTGGGCTGAGAGCTGAAGCGCCGTTAGTGACTGGTTCGACCTCGCCATCCACATCCATTCTGGTGTTCTTGTTGCGGACAGACTCAGAAGCACGGTCGAGAGCATCAATGACACGACTGACGATTCTGAGTACGATCTTCTGTAGCTCTTGCTTGCTTTGAATGTAGCTGACAAATCTTCTCAGTGTTGATCTGTACAATTGCCAGTCCAGACAGCCAGAAAGAGCGCCAACTGTGTTGATGGTCTCAGCAGACAAATTGTGAGCACCATCGTCACCGGCAGGATCAAAGATGAAGTGCTCCAGAAGGGGAATGAAGAATAGGCTGACGTTGTTGCTCGAGATGACACCAGCATGAGCCTCCTCAGACAATCTCCTCAATGCACGAAGTCTCCGGTGTTGCTGAATGTGGAGAATGTTGTTGAAGAACGAGGCTTCCTCGTCACCTTCGACAAGCAGACTAGTCATGTCGTTGACTGCATCCCAAGACGAGAAGTGCTTGATCAAGTGAGCCAGGACTTGGAGATACTCGGATCTGACCAGTTCTGAAGGGTCACGCATACCACCCTGCAAACCATTGTAAAGGCCCGAGATGGTCAAAGACTTAAACTCCTCGTCCTTAAAATCCCCATCCAAGCTTGCTACCTCAATAAATCTTCTCAAACTGTACGAGGCGCTAGTTCTGATAGCGAGCTCATCATTGTCTCTGATGAAGTACAGCATGCTGTAGACCAGAGGCTGCCACTGCATAGTAGTGAAAGTAGTGTACTTCTCTTCATTGATAGTGCTGAAGGCAATGGCACGACGCTCGAAATCAGGTTCATCGAGCCTCGATGCCGAGAAAGAGTTCAGGTCTTCGCACAAAGAAGCAACGTAAGATAGTTCTTTCCTTTCGTCAGCCAACTGCTTGACAACAGCAGCAAGAAGCTCTCTGCTTTCACGATCCTTGAAGTAACCAAACAGTGGACAGAGGGTCGAGTAGACTTGGTTGAAACGAATCTCATCTTTGTTGAGCTCAGCACCAGGAATAAGATGGAACAATGTTTGCAGCAAATCACGCTTGGTCGTGAAGTGAACGGTCTTTGAGGGCTGGCCAAGCAAGAAGATTGAGACATCGACAACATCACGAATGTTCTCAACCCCAGTGACCAGTGGTGCGAGACGTGAAACACACAAGACGCTTGAATCGAGGATGTCTTTGGGAGGGCTTTGTCTCAAAACAGCACCGAGTCTAACGACAAATAGACTTGCGCGTGGTCCTAGTATAGATGCACGTGCTTGGTCCTGCTCCTCGGTTGTGTCGATGTTCATCTCAGCATCCTTCGATTGGCGTGGCTGGATGGTGTCCAACAAACGCCCAATGATGTTCTCGATGATGAATGACTTGACTTCATTCTTTGTGCTAGGGACCACAAGACAGTCCGCCACAGCATTGAGAGTTTGTGGGAAGAACTCAGTCAGGTAGTGGCAGGTGGCCAAGGAGCTAGCCCAGGTTGAGAAGAGACGCAGGAAGGCGGATACAGACTGCGCGGTCTCAATGGGTAGCTTCTCCAGTCGAGGGCCCACCAACTCGCTCATAACGACCTTGGCGTAGTTGTACCAAGAGACTTCGGTGCAAGATGAGAAGACCTGGATCAAACAGTGGAAGCCAGCTTGACGAATTGCACGATCGAGGGAAGTCTGAGATTCCTCCTCGACCGGAGCCTCCTCATCGGTGTCGATAAAACCAGTATGCGACTTGGAAGCTTTGAGCAGACAGAGAAGAACAGCATCGGCAATCTTTGTTGCATAGCGGTCCAATCTGTTGCCAAGAGTGTGTACCATATCGTCCAACATGTTCAGCAAACCCACCTGCTTTCTGGGGGCAACAGCGAACTTGTCCAAAGCTGACTGATTCAGCTCGCCATCCTGGATAGGTTCCATAGTGGCTAATGAGCCGAGAGAGATACCCAGGAATTGTCCAACAATATCTGCAGGGAAGCGAGCGAGAGCAACGAAGATAGCTTTGCGACGGGTTTGTTGTCCGCGTTTACCACTTGCTGACCCGGCTCTGGTCACTGCTTTACCGTACAGAATACGCAACAAGACCGGCATAAGCTCTGGACAATCAGCACTTCGAATGGCATCACCCTCTTCTTCGAGACGAAGGAATACAGAAACCTCTTCTCTGAATCTCGCATCATCAAGGAAGTTCAGCAGGTGTTCTTGGTACTTGATAACACTAGGGGTCTTCCAGGCCAGGATGGCTTTGAGTGTCGACTTTTGAATCTCGTTGTCACCGTTCGTAAGAAGGTTTAGCAGAGCTTGGTAGACTTCGGTTGCCTTGTACAGCACTCTAGGGTTCTGGAACTGCGCGAAGACACCGAGCATGGCTTTCTGGTCCTTGCGGCCCCAATGGCGGGTACTTCCAGTCTCTTCTTGCTCTTGTTCCTCGGTTTCATCACCAGCCCACTCCAGTAACACGGGAACCAAGAGTCGCGATCGCTTTTCTGCCAATTGTGGCATGGAATTTAAGGCACGGAGAGCCTGTGATCGTTCAGAGAGGGAAGCTGCAAATGTTTGGACATGATCTCTCTTGAATTGGTTCTCAATGCCTTGATTGAGATCCGCAAAGAGTGACTCCGAGATCTCGATATCCTTCTCGATCTGATTCATATTGGAACATTCGAAGTCAGAGCTGACATGGCCGATACTCCTATCCTGCGTTGTTTCCGCTTGTACCGTCTCTTCGTCTGCGTCAGCATTGCCCTGGAGCCACTGTGTGATGGTGCTTGTGATAATCTCCTCCGCGTTTCCGTGTTCGCTGATTTCCTTGAGTGCCGCAATTGAGTCTTCCCAGGCTTGTGCGAGATGTATGTGCAGGAGACCGAAACAGTAGGTAGGAATAACTTTCGCTAAAATAGGATCAGAGAGAATGTCAGGATATCCGAGAGCCAGTCTGCGAATTTGGGACGAGATGAAACGAGCATTGGGTACACTTGGAGGTGTGTCTTCGATCGAGATGGCATGAGTCAATAATTCAGGAACATCTTGTTGTCTCTTCTCATAGATTGTTTGCAATATCCGTAGACCAGAAAGCCTAAGATCATGACTGGGCGTTTTCAAACAATCAATGAGATTAGTGATTAGTGAATCCATTTGGTCTCCGGTGAACGCGATGTCAGCCTTCTTGAGGACAGAGTTGAGGGCAGTCCAGTAAGGTACGAGCTTTTTGCATCTAGTAGAGGCAGAGCACAGAGCTTCTGCCAGTTCCTTATCTTGCAGACTTTCGCTGAATTCATCTGAAATGTATTGGAAACCTTGACCTAGTGCAAAAAGATCCCAGCCTCCAATAGCTGTAGAGGCTGATTGTGCTGCAGACTTAAGCAACTGAAGTATACTTGCTGCGATCTGTTTGCGTATCTCTGAATCTCCCTGAGAGATTCGTAACACTGCTAGGTTACCGTTGCTCATGTGTATTGTCTCAGCATCTTTCGACGGCGATTTTCCTTGGGTTTTCTTCAGACGTTGAAGCATGACCTTTTGCCACTCTAAAGGACATTGCAAAGGCGTTTTCGCAAATGTGTTCTGACGAGACAAAGATGGAAGCATTGCGCAAAGCGCCATCTCGTTCTCCCTCCAGTGGTTAACGATGAATTTCTGGAAGATAGGCAGAACGAAGCTTTGGAAGCGTTCCTGATTGAGTTCTGCAAATATGTTGCAGAAAGGCAGGAAGTGGGCAACCCACTTGCCTCGGCTTATGGTGTCGAGAACGGCAAGTTCTGGAAGGACTGCATCAAAAGGTGCATAATTAAGTACCACGGCCAGCGTGTTGAGAAGTGCAGTCAATGTATCCGAGTCAATATCCTTGGTTGCTTTGTCGGCTGTGTGAATCATGGTCGTTACACGCTTAGCATACGTTTGCCAATCCGAGATTCTGCTTCCTTTGCGAACAGATGCAGCAGTGAACAGAAGAGTGTTCGCTGCGTCCAAGTTTTTCACTGCATCTTCGCCCTCCGTATCGGTAAACTCGAAAATCGCCTCCTGAACGGATTCAAAGGTTTCTGGAGTGGTATGATGTACGACACTAATCAGCGAACCTCTCAAGATTTGAAGGGACCTGCCCTTGAGGAATTCTGAGTGGTCAGCATTGAAGCAGAACCGGGTCAAGCACTGCAGAACAGTGTTTCCTCCTGAGTGGAGAGTTCCTTGAACACCCTTGATAGACTCTGTGAACAGTGTCATCAGACCTTGTGAATATAGATCGTCCGAAGCAGTCTTGTTCTCGGCAAAGTCGTTGAGCATGTGCTCGACGATTGTATCCAACGGCTCCCTGCTCTTGTGATATGTGGTTCCCGCCTTCCTGACCAAGAAACTCATTGCCTCTGCAGCGAATCGAATGACATAAGGCTTCTGCTTCTGCTTTCCCAAATACGGCGATAGAAGATCGTATAGCGGTCTGAGATCGGGGACTAATAGACGAGAAAGGTACTTGAAGAGCCAGGCTAGGCAAGTAAACGACCACTCGACGACCTCGGGCTCTGCATTGGTGGCTGCGACATGTGCGACGGTTGCGACGGCTCTTTGGAAGTGCTTTTCGAATCGGACGTCGAGGTCGTGTGCGAAGTGCGACAAGAGGGCTAGCAGAGGCTCGAGCGACATTACATCTCCCTTCGTAATGTATGTGATCAAGTTGTCCATGATAGTCTCCTCGTGGAAGATGACCATGGGCAGGCTGTCGGAAATGTTGTAGACATTTTTGGCAAAGTTCGTGAAATTCTCGGAGAGGTTGAGGTCCTTCCATTCGTCCAGGGCAGTACGGAAGTATGAGGCCTCTCCTTCCAGTTCGTGAGCACCTTCTGCTCCTACTCCGCGACGAGTGCGACGAAGGGGATCGATCTTCAGCTTGGAGATTCTCTGGGCGAAACCTTCGAAGTGGTGTCGTCGACTTGAGGGTGTGGATTTTGTCTTTTTTTGTGTCTTGACGACCTTTGTGGCCGCCTTGGCCGACTTGGGCCCATTTGAGGCGGTATTTCTTGACATTCCCGCCATGTCGTGATGGTAAAATAGTATGGCAACTTTTTTGCAGCGACTTCGAACTTTCTTCAAACGAGGCGGAAGATGCGATCAGTACGCGCCAAGACTGTGGGGAAAGTGGGTCTCGACCCTAGGGTGCTTCGACTTTATCAGATCGCACTTTTGCGTTCTCTCCATAACTTCAGATATCCAGCCAAACTCTGAGAGCATGGTATCCAAGATGTGAGCGTCAATGTACCCTGAATCTACGGACAGTAACTAACGAGGTATCAGTGCAGTTATCGGCGCAGTCAATGGCCAATTATCTGCTGTCTTTGGCAAATTATCAGCATTACACGCTAAAAATGCCTTTGCATTTGCTATTATTACTGGAGACCTGTTTGCAGATCCAGTAAATCCTACCGCAGAGGAAGCTACTCAGCTCAAGGATCTTCTCGAAGGCAGAATTGAAATAGCTCTTCCAGTTTACTTTGCTCTCGGCAAACGTGAGCTGCCTCGTGAGGTTCAAGAAAAACTAAGCGCTAATGCTGGCGAGTTGTGCTCCAATCTTTACTTCCTTGGCCGCAGAACTACTGTCAAGACATCTGAAGGTGTCAAGATTGTCGCCCTGGGCGGTGCTCACATGGACGCCGCTTCAGATAAATCCTTGATCACCGAATTCAGCCCCAGTCACACATCAGAGGATGTGAAGGTACTGAGGGGCGCTAACACTGCCGACATCTTGGTGACAAGTGAGTGGCCTGCGGAGATTCGTACTGGCTCTAATGCACCTTACACTGGCGAAGAAGCTATCTCGCAACAGGGCGTCGCAGACCTCTGTACCGTGCTGAAACCTCGTTACCATTTCTCCTCCTCGGAAGGCTTCCTCGAACGCGAGCCTTTCTTCCATGCTCAAGGCGAAGATGACAGCGGCTATCAAACTACTCGATTCATCAGTCTGGCACCTTATGGAAATGCGGCTAAACAAAAGTGGATCTACGCATTCACCCTGGATACCTCAGTAGCACCTACTGCGACAGTGCCGTCAGGAGTTACAGCGTCTCCGTTGTCATTTACGAAGAAGCGTAAGGCTGTTGAATCTCAAGCGCAGTCATTCTCGCGCTTCTCTGGTGGCAGCGGCGATGGTGGCGGTCGACAGAGAGGTCGTAACAAGCGCGCTCGACCAAACCCGAACCCATCAGAATGTTTCTTCTGTTTATCAAACCCCAACATTGCAACACATCTAATCTCCTCGATCGGCGACAGCGCGTATTTGACAACAGCGAAGGGACCACTTCCGACTCCCAAGACTTTCCCTGCGCTCGGCTTCCCAGGCCACATGCTAATTATTCCGCTCGAACATTCGCCCACTCTTGCGTCGATACAAGATCAAGATTCTAAGAAGGCCACTATCGCTGAGATGCATCGCTATCGACTTGCCTTGCAAAGCATGCTCACGAAGAGGTCCGAAGATGCTGCTGAAGCAGACAAGCTGGGCGCGGTCACCTGGGAGATCAGCCGTCTGGGAGGTATTCACATTCACTGGCAATTCATGCCGGTGCCACAGGATATCATCAAGAAGGGATTGGTAGAGGCAGGATTCAAGGTCGAAGCGGAAAATCAGAGCTATCCAGCTTTCGAGTCATCGAGTGTTTCCACCGATGTAGCAGCCGAGGGCGATTGTTTCAAGGCTACTATATGGGATGGAGCAGAGGAGAAAACTATGGTTCTTCCTCTGGATTCATCGTTCAGGTTCGATCTACAGTTCGGACGAAGAGTCCTCGCTAAGTTGCTCGGTCTAGAGAGCCGGTCGCATTGGCAAGACTGTGACCAGAGCGAGGTAGAGGAGAACACAGATGTTGAGGCTTTCAAAGCTGCATTCGCTCCATTCGACTTCTCGCTCGAAGCGTAACAAGAAGTACGCTGGAACAAGGAACTATCACCTAGTATTGAGATGGATGCTCTCCAGGAGCATGATGATAATTGAAAATAAAACATTGACATTCTTATGCATTGATGCATGCGTTCACAACTTGCAAGTAGAAGCATCGCTTATTCTGTGTGCCTGAATGACTAGTGTAAATGAACCATCAGGTCGCCCAAGTTGGGCCGCCAATGCAGTCAGGTCAGTGATGTGCTCAACAAGCGCGATTGACCAATCAAGGAACAAAGTGGCTCAGTCCTTGGACAGATTAAAAATATGCAGGGCCTAATCGATAGATACACAATGACTCTGATGATCCAAGTATAGAGATAACGGTGAGAAAAAGGTTGTCGTCAATAGGGCACACGCAACAGGAGATAACAGATAGACGTTTTGCAGCTTCGTGGTAAGGTTCCGATGACAGGTTCAGCACGCGCACCGAGGAGCAATGTAGGCGGGACGATCGCCAACTGCGAACAAGGTGCACCAGCACGTGTGGAGCCGGGAAGCCACAAGCAGGCGGCAGCACTTTGCGCAAGGGCGGTGTGATGGTGGATTGCTAGAGGTCGACCTGCCGCATGATCCAGCGCGCATAGCTCCAGGCGACGTTTGCATGTCACACCGCATTGATGGCGGCTGCTGTGGCCATGATGGCCATATGGGTCTGATGTTGTTGTCAGTGACGGGTGTGTTGAGAGGAGAGCCGGCGCAAACATAACAATCAACTCGACAAAGCTCTGTAAGCTACGGTCGATTGAGGCTGCGGTAGGTAGACTACGAGTCAAAGTCTGCGGAGAGATCGATGTGCAAAAAGCAAAAGCGCACGGGCCGCACAGCAGTTGAATTGAATCAAGGTCTGGCGCACAGATCCGTGGGCGGAGGCAGTTGCAGTCGCAGGGTGGGCGTTCGCGCCTTCCGCTTCTTGCTCACCTTCACTTTCGCTCCTTCACTCTCTCATCACTCGCTCAAAATCGACTCGCCCTTCGCCTACCACTTCACTTCTCGCCAGTGACACTCCTGTTTGCGCCCTGCTTGACATTCTCCACTCCGACGCTAGATGGCCGATTGATCCGACACGCCTATCGCGTCCTCCCGCTTTGTTGTTGTTTCCGCACGCGCATCCGGCCCACATTCGCGACCGTAGCCGCAACTATCCTGCATCTCGGACGTTACCAGCCTTAGACGTCAATCAATCACAACACCTACTTCCCCTGACGCTCGCTCCGACCCCTCACTGCTATCGCGCATCAATTCCGACTGTTTCGTTTGTTGTTTAGCTGCGCGCAAACAGACGCCCGCCATGGCTTCGCACAAGCCGAGCGTCTCCACGCTTCCACGCGACTTCAAGTTCTCTCACACCGACATCGAAATACCACAAACACCAGCTAGACCTTCTACTGCCGTCGACTCTTTCGATCTCGAGGCGCCTGCGCTGCCAAAGCAGACGTTCAAGCTGCGCCGTCGCCCACGCGATCAGCAGACTGGAGCAATGGACGAAGCTCCCATTGTGCCCAGCATCGAGATGAGTGAAGTAAACGAGCCGGCTCACCACACTTCCACCTACTCCATGACGACTCCGGGATACCTCGCGCCACGTGCTGGACACCTCCGCCTCTCATCACCACCTAAGACACCTGCATCGCAAGTCACATCCTACAACATTGACTCGACGGATGCCACCGAATGGTCCATGTTCCACCCAGTCCACATTCACGACATCATCCAACGACCATCTTCAGCTCTCTCGACCTTCTCCGACTCTTCCGCGACATCTCAAGGAAGCAGCTTTGACTCAAAATCATCATTCGATGCAGGCAGCTGCACAAGTCCAGAGAGCGACATTGGCGATCCATTTGCTTTCTTCGAACGCAAGTCGGGAGCACCAGGATCAACTACTCCGTCCAGTGGATTCCCTAATGCCAAGCGTATCAAGACAATGCGCCATCCTCACTTCACTCCCGAGATGGACAATCATCTCTGGTTCACGTACATGACCTACGTCCAGGATCCGAGGGTCACTCCGTTTAAGATGCTGCCTGGCACCTCACCACCTCTGGGCGTCTGTCATCGTGTCGCGCGAGAAGCCAAGGCAACCTGGAGACCAAACCGCGTTTCATGTGCTCCTAATGGCATCCCACGCATCTCCATTCAGTGTCCGGACTCGTCCGATCCTGTCAGCCCGTCCGATGCTATGGACCAGTCAACGCCGACTGCAGCCTACTCGCACAACCCCGTCGCACTTAAGTGGCCGCGCTCGGAGGGTGCCACGCGTCGTCGTCTGCGTGAGTTGTGTAAGCGCAAGCCTTCTCTCTCTGCTCATTACATGAGACTTTTGCGCACTCGCAGCCCCTCTCCCTTTGAGTCTTCGAGCAGTGTTAGTGCTAGTAGTAGCCCTGCTCAGCAGCCTGCCCCTGTTGCTCAGCCCCCTACTCCTCAACCTTCCTCATTCTCCAGTCGCAGTATGAATGTTTCGCTGGCTGAAGCCACAGCACCTTCGATGCAGCCAGATGGTCCGCTTGCACAGCTTCACAAGCGTACCCCTCAGCCTCCAATGGCCCCTCAGCAGCGTCGCGGATCCGATTGGTACGCGCGCATCGGCCGTTCAGGAGCACGTGCTGCTCATCAGAAGAGCCAGTCTCTACAGCTCGGTCTAGGCTTGGGCTCCTCGTCTGGCATGCAGTCGAATTCTTTCGAGCGTGGCAGCATTCTGGCCTCGCCCTTCGATGACAGCGAACCGTCGCGCCAAAACTTCTTGGAGAACATGAACAAGACACAATCTCTTGGACGTGCCTTTTTGAACAACAACGCCAACCGCCTGACAGATGCCGGTCCTTCATTGCGTTCTCCCTTCCCACTTGATGGTCCTATGCCGAGCGTCAAATCCCTGAAGCGCAGATTTGGTGTCGATGATCAATCTGGATCCCAACAACCATCACTCGAGGATGTCTTTACCGCTCCTCCTGCATCTTCCAATCACCCTATGCGCAACCGTGGCTTCAGTTTGAGTGCTGTCAACGGCATGGGTCAGAACGCTAACAACAGCTTCCCCCAGCTGTTTACGCCTGCATCTTCAACTGCCGATCACAGGATGGGCGAAGCTTCGGACAATCTCAATCTGCCTAAGCTCGCACAGCCTCCCAGACTTGGCTCTCCATTCTCTGGCGGCGTTTCGAACAATCGCTTCAACACTTTCCCACGTCGTTTTACGCCACGCGAAGCTGGACTGGCTGAACAACCCTTTGAGGAGCGCAAAATGTCCACAGAATCCCAGACCGACTCATGACACGATTTCACTTCTTATGTTTCGGGAAAGGCTGTCTCAATATTTCATGCAGGCACGTTAGACGAGACTTGCCCACGGATCAGCGACTAAACGCTCTATCATGACTACAACGAACGAATCTGATGGAGATCATTGAACTTTCCTCTATACGATTTCTTCTAATCTGTTTTTTCTCTTCCTTCTTATGGCAGGCCAAATCATAGTGTACTCAACTCTCTTATCCTGGCCTGCTTCTTTCCTCTTCTTCTGGAGCGCTGCTTCCGTACTGTCGTCATTTTGTTTCTTCCTTTTCTTTCGGTACTGTTTTCCTTTCCTTATATTGTCCCTCTGACGAAGCAACGAGACCAGAGACCTGAGCAACGCAACAACTATACAAATGCATAGGACCGGTGGTGCACGGAAGGGGTGTGTTGGCAAAAATCTGCTTTACAGGGTTGTTCTGTTCTTTTTCTTTTCCTCTTTTCCTTACGCCTTTGAATCTTGTCAGTGGAAAACGACTTTGATGTTTTTGCACATTGGAGGTCACTTTCTTCTGACTTGGCACACAAACAACACTACAAAAAAAAAATATCTAGGAGGCGCAGTTCAGGGGTTATACGGATGCATTGGGGGGTGTGAGTGGATGCATAGGACTGGTTTCCAGGAGTTTTCCTTGTTTCTTTCTTGCATGGTCTCATTTTTCTATCTCTGGGGAGTTCTGGGTTTTCTTTATACAGGTCAAGGGGGGTTTGAAGCCGACGCTGTTGATGAAATGAATCATAACCTATTTTCTCTTTCTACATTTCTCTTCTGCATAACTGCTCCATGGGTGCTTCTCCTTGCTTCAATGTAACAGCCAAAATATGAAGGACCAAACTGTAGCGATCGGTCTCGTTTCTGATAGCCAGCTCGAGGGGCGTGTCAATGTTACCCTTCTCCTTATACCCGCGCACGCGTAGCGAGTGCTGGCCCTCTCGCTTGTAGGTCGTTATACAGACTAACTAGGGTAACTCTAGAAATTGAAGATTATAGGCTTGTCGGAAGTGAAGATGGCTTCGTATTCATCGTCCTTGAGGCCGTGGGAGGAAGTGCTAGGAACATCTTTTTTTTTTACTCCATGAAATGTTCAGGGCTGGTTCGTTTCGTTCTTCGATCCTTGGAAAAAATCACGAAGGATGGTAGCTGTAAAGTTTCTGTTGCCCAGACTGGCTGGTTCATCATCATGCATGTTCTTACACATAGCTATATACAGAGTTCCTTCCTCCCATCTTCTACCACGCCACAACGTTTCCCCAAAAGCCTCCTCGCTAACCATCTACCCATAGTTGAACGGGTTTCTACACAGCGGACAAGTACTAGCATTACTCGTCTTGAACCACTTGAACAAACAAGAACTATGGAACAAGTTCTTACACGTGCTGCACCTCTTACTCGGCAACTGTTTATCTCCAGAGATGATACTGTAGCAAATGGCACATTCGGATTGGCCTTTCAGTGCGCCAGTTACATTGCGTTTCCAAGTTGTAAGGCCATCGATGAGGTTGCCGTTGCTGAATTGGATCACGCCTTGTGCGTTACGTAGCCAGGATTGCCATTTGCGCTCGTCGGCGGCCACGCGGTTGAGGCCTTCGATGCGTGCGGAGGCCAAGGGATAGGTTTCGGGCAAGCGCAAAACGATGGCCATGGTTTGTTCGTCGACGAGATAGGAGAAGTGGACTTCGCGGCTGCGAGGCGAGACTTTGACGGTCCAGCCTTCGTAGTCGGGGTCATTCTTCACGCTATCAGCCCATTGGGCTACAGAATCTAGAGATGCAGACACCAAAAGAGGGGCTATGTATTTGGCAGTCCAGCTCTCAACGGCCAAACCCGTCTGTCGCGATTTGATGGCTAGGAATTGGGATTTTGTGAGTGAGGGGACGTGCATGAGGGATTGGTAGTATAGGTGGGCTAGGAGCCAGTGCATGCGCTTGTCTGCACTCAAGCCTTCGAGATCACCTGTTTGGTCGAGGTAGTCGAATTTGCGAATGTCGTATTTCGATACGTCGACAGGACGGCCACGGACATGACCCAAGAGTTCCCAGGTAAGCTCCAGCAAGTGAGCGAGATATTCGCCGTCGCGGAGGGCCTCGACGTAGTCAGATTTGACCTGATAGCTGGCGTTGGCGAAGTGATCGAAGACTAGTTGCCAGCTATAGAGGTACGCCTGCAACTCGTGAGGAATACCTGTGCGGAAAGAGGCATCTGCCAGGCTGTCCAATGTGGGTGGTGCAAGCAGCAAAGACAACAGCTCTTCGGGCAGTTTAGCTGTCTTCTTCTCCAAGGCTGCGTCAAAGGAGACTTGCTCCTGTGCAGCTGGAATGACGCGATGCAGAATATCGAAGGCTGTCTTTTGCAGAGCCTTTGATGGTGTGTAGAGGAGAGGGTATAGCTCGGCCTCGTCTTCGACCTCGCCAGTAGACCACTTTGCGACTTCACTGCCCAGGAGCTGGAATAGAGCTTTCAGAGGTTCGTGGTGTTCGTCGGACTGACCTTGACCTTGTCTCACAAGGTTCATCAGGCCCATGTAGAGTATCTCAGAACTCTCCTTCCAAGCATCAACAAGATCATCGTTAGGCTCTTCGCCTGATTTGAGGCTACGGAGGATTGAGCAAAGTTGGAGAGTGGTGTAGATCAAGGCCATGCGGCTCTCGTCAGCGACTTCGTCACGAACGAAACCCAATTCCCACGAATGCGCCAAAAATGCCAGAATCTGTGACCAATGTTCACCGTAGATATCGCTCACGCCAGGAAGGACGAAGAGCAGAGTCTTGCAAGTCTCAGCTTTGATAGGAGTAACAATATCGTCATTGTCAAGCCAGGGAAGGACGTGCTTCATCAAGAAGATAAGACGCTGCTTGGCAACAATGCTGTCGGCCTGCTTGCTCTCAGGGAACAAAGCATTGAGCATGACGAGTTTTGTAATGGCCTTTTCAGGAGACTGTGCGGCGTCCAAGCCAGTGAGATCAGCTACCAGCTCGTTGGTCTGTCTGTCGAGCTTCTTGCTATCGGATAGGGCTTCCTTGAGACCACTGGCGCAAGCAGTGAAAGGTACAACATCTTTGGCCTTGTAGAGCTGCAATGTCTTGTCTTCGTACTCCTGAACCTTAGCATGACCACCGCCATGGATGGACTCAAGGTCACCAAGTGCGTGGCTTAGCGCTTGGGCATGGTAGAATGCAGATGTACTGGTACCCTTTGACTGCTCGAAAAAGTTGTCGAGGATTGTGCCAACGAATGCATAAGACGATGATGCATCCTCGTATTGCTGGAAGCAATCTCCAATGAATTTGTTGGCCTCATTGACAAACTCGACAACCTCAGCCTCGGTCTCTGGGTTGGGTGAAGCAAGACCTCCTTCTGCCGTTAGAGAGATGCTTTCGGTCAGAAGAATATGCGTGATATAAAAGAGCCGGAATAGCTCTTGTTGAGCCTCAGACTCAAGTGCTTGAAGAAGAACACTGTTGGAGAAGACCCTTGAGGTGTACATTGCATATCTCAGAGCCTGTGACAAGCCATCCGCATCCCTCAAGATCTTGGAAGGGTCGGACTTGGTCTCAGGATCCACCAAATAAGTGGCCCCTCCCAAGACACTGGTAATGGCAAGCGCGATTGAAGGTGCAGTAGCAATGAATGGCGTGACTGCGGACTTCCAAGAGTCCAGATCAGGCAGAGCTTGCTTGGCAACTTCCTGCTTCTTCTGATCAAGGTCGCTATCCTTGATGAGATTGGCAGCCATGTCAAGAACTTGAGGCATTGGCAGCGAGCTTGATGACACATCTCGCAAGCTCTGATGTACGACATCGAAGAGAATAGTTTGAGAACCAGCCTTGTCTGCCTCGGTCACGATACTCTTGCTGATGCTAGAGGCTTTGGCAGCTAGTGATTCATTGGCAGATTCTTCCAATAGTAGAAGATTAGGCAGAAGCTGAGATCCATTAGGCTTCTTGATATGCTCCTTGACAAGAGCCTTGTTGCTTCGCGAGATCTCTTGCAGACCGTCCAGAGCAGAGTCGGCCTTCGCCGATATTGAGAGCGAAGCAGTGAGGTCTGCTAGCATACTATCAACAGTCTCTGCAGAAGCCACGCTTGGTGTACCCTTGAGGATGCCTGATACAAAGCTCCATTGTTCTCCTGTTTCTAAGCTAGACTTGAATTGGCGCTGAAGGAATGCTTGAATATCGCCATTCTGAGCGGCAATCTCTGCAGCAGGTTTGACCCTGGGTGAAGCCAAAAGATTACGGAAAGCGTTCAACTTCTCCTCCGAGTCTGGGGTATTACCAAGAGCGGTCGCGGTCTGATTCCATGCGTCGCTGAAACGAGAGTTGGTCTGGAAGTGATATAGGAGTGAGACGAGCTGTCTTTGCGAAGGTGAAGACAACAATTCTGGCAAATCTTCAACGACAAAAGTTGCAATAATGTTTTGAGTCTCCTGGTCGTTGGCGAGTAAAGCTTTACAGTGGTTTTGCAATTCATCCACCGCGGCAGCAGCGCCATATGGCTTGCCATTCCTCGATCTGAGTAATTCGAGGGACGCTTTGACGATGTCCTTAGCTGTCTGGGAGAAGACGGCCTGCAGAGATTCTGGAAGTTGATATTCCTCCCGTAGAAGCTCTGACTGAAGCAAAGCCCATCTCTCAGCAGCAGAGGCGACGTGCGCTTGTGACTTTTCGAAATCTTTAGACTGCTCAGGAAGTGATGTCCGAATGTCCTCAATCAGTAGTGTGGCATATTCAGGCCACTTCTTCTCCAGAACAGTTGGTAGACGCTTGCAGAATGCAGCTTTCGAAACATTCCAAGCAGGCTTGGCTCCAGAGATGAGCCAATCTGAGGTACTGGGAGATGGTCGCAGGTACTGCTCAATTGCTGGAATAGCCATCTTGTTTAGCAGAGTCTCATGCTCCTCATCAGATAGAGACGCAGTGCTTTGGATCAGGTCGAGGATCTTAAAGTAGGTGAACCATGCTGCAGATGCGTTGAAGCGATCGTCCTTCTGGCTGACACCATCGTGCACTGCATTTAGCAATTCTTCAGCTTCAGAGTATTTTTGAGGCAAGATCTCCGCAGGCAGCTTGCTAAACAATAGCCAAGCGTTGGTCCAAAACTCAGCAGGTCCAGCCTGAGAGCCGCGCTTGATACAGCCTCGTAATCTTGTGCTGGCTGGCTTCTTTGATGTATAGCTTGTAGTCCAGGCATGAGGGAAAGCATCTGTAAGCTCCACAAGAGCCAACATGAAATCATAAGATGAGCCAGTCTGGTCGTGAGGGAGGGCCTTTGAGATGTAAGCTTCGCTGATGGTGGACAGGTTAGCCTCGACAGCAGTCTTTTGCTTAGACAAGCATGTACGCAAGAATCGATGAATAGATCTCCTGACGACAACGTCTTCTTTGTAGGACGCCAACTCCCATATCTTGCTCTGACCAACAATGCCTTCGTATGGCTCCTGCTGTTTGGCCACTTCTTCTGTCGCAAGGTCATTGAGAAGGTTTGAGATAACGGCAATACTCGTGGCAACAACGCGTGAGTAGGTAGCCTGAGCATCAGCGGGACTAACACTTCGCTCGTCGCTTAATGTCTGAACCGTCTCATTCAAAAGAGCGTCTCTGCAGTGTTCAAGAATTGGTTGTTGGAAAGCCTTTCCAAGGTTCTGCAACTTCTCGGGAGTGTTGAAGACGTGCTTGAGAGCATCTTGAGCAGCTTTGGCAGCGGCACGATCACTATCTTGAGCGCCTGCAAGCCAAGGTCCAGCGATTCTGGACATGTGTTTCACCATTCTCTTTCCGCTTTTGACGGCGATGTGACCAAGAACATTGTGTGCCAATTGACGCACGCGGCGAGCGCTGTCTATTGAGAGACGGGGATATAGTTTGACCTGGCCGCATATTAGTAAGGATATTGATTCGAAGAAGGCGATGTACAAGAACGAACCCATGCTTCCAAGACTGCCTCCTCGATCTGCTGGTCGGGAGCAGAGACGTATTGCTGGAGTTCCTCGAGAGCCTTGGCCTTGGTTGTGCTGTCCTTTTTGGTCAAGTTCTTGAATGCTACTCCCACATTGGGGTCCGAGATGTTTGAGAGATCCGGCGGTTCACCGATCCATGACAGCGGCGACGAGGATACACCAAAACCAGTGGAACCAAAACCCCCACCAAAGCCGGTACCTCCAAAAGAGCGTGCACTGCTTGCTTGAGGCTTGAATGCCTTCTTCATATCGTGTTGCGAGCAAGATCCAGATCAGTGCGAGTGTCCGAGGAAAGACGGAAAGAACAATTAGTGAATGTGTGGAGCAACAATTCGAGTTACTGGTTGCTTCTCGTTCAAAAGTTCGTGTCGCAGTGCGCCGAAGCAATCACTGATGTCACTCGAAGAATAGGCTACAACCGTCCGTGCGCACCATCGACACTAGCTACTTCCAGACGGCCCTTGGTTCATCTGTTTGGTGCGCCGGCTGCCATACAACTGCAGCCTTGATCTTCAACTCCTACCTCAACCTCTGAGGAAGAGGTACGGTCCGCCAAGATGAAGTTCATGATTGAGTGAGTGATACGCCGCCGCACGACAAGGCCTTACTGATCCGCCTAGTGACCTGCCAATTCTCTTTCCATACCCCAGAATCTATCCAGGTGAGTTACTCGGCGGCAAAACAATCATTAGATTATATACTGACCGTCTCTACAGAACAATATGCGTAAGTTATGGTTATCTGAAAAATCTTGTACAAATGACTGACAGGTTTGAAAAGATACATGTGCGATCTCAAACGTAAGTAGTAGAGGACCAACATGCAGATCAACCACACTCATGCCATGACTAGGCACTCTGGATGCGGGAGGTCACTGTGTCTTGGAGATGCCTTCAGGAACTGGAAAAACAGTGACTCTGTTATCTCTGATCGTGGCATATCAACAGCACTACCCGGAACACCGCAAACTCATTTACTGCTCGCGTGCGTTATTGCCCTTAGACACTCACACTGAATCTTCTGACGTGACCAGGTACAATGTCTGAGATCGAAAAAGCACTTGCCGAATTAAAAGCTTTGATGAAATATCGAGCGGAACAACTTGGCTATGTTGAAGACTTTAGAGGACTGGGTCTTACTTCACGTAAAAATCTGTGTCTGCATCCTTCGGTCAAGCGAGAAAAGAGTGGCACCATCGTCGATGCCAGATGTCGTTCCCTCACAGCAGGTTTCGTCAAGGAGAAAAAGGAGAGGGGCGAGGATGTAGAACTTTGCGTCTACCATGAGGTAAGACACATGATTTGCTAGACTCTGCGCAGAGGCTACTTGCTAATTCTATCAGAACCTCGATCTTCTGGAGCCACACAATCTGATCCCGCCAGGTGTCTTCACGTTTGACGATGTGCTCAAATATGGCGAGGAGCAGAAGCAATGTCCATACTTTACAGTTCGACGAATGGTATGTTTGATAATGCATTTCGGCATGCACTTTCTGACAAGTCTACCAGATGCCCTTCTGCAACGTTGTCATCTACTCATACCACTATCTACTAGATCCCAAGATCGCCGAGCGAGTATCCAAGGAACTCTCCAAAGACTGCATTGTCGTTTTCGACGAAGCTCACAACATCGACAACGTTTGTATCGAGTCATTAAGTATCGACATTACCGAAGACTCGTTACGGAAGGCTGGAAGAGGTGCAGCAAATCTGGAGAAGAAAATCAGCGAGATGAAGACCACAGATGCAGCAAAATTGCAAAACGAATATGCAAAGCTTGTGCAAGGTCTTCGAGATGCGGATGAAGCAAACGATGAAGGAGCTTTCATGAGGAACCCAGCACTGCCGGACGACCTACTCAAAGAAGCCGTGCCAGGAAACATCCGAAGAGCAGAACACTTTGTTGCTTTTCTCAAACGTTTCGTCGAGTACCTCAAGACTCGCATGAAAGTACTGCACGTCATTTCAGAGACACCGCCATCTTTCCTCCAACACCTTAAAGAGCTCACCTTTATCGAGAGAAAGCCTTTGCGCTTCTGCGCAGAACGTCTAACATCTTTGGTAAGGACTCTGGAGCTGCAAAACATTGAGGACTACCAACCGCTACAAGAAGTCGCCAGTTTCGCTACCTTGGTCGCAACATACGAAACAGGCTTCCTTCTAATTCTCGAACCTTATGAATCAGAAACCGCCACTGTACCCAATCCCATTCTACACTTTACCTGCCTTGATGCTGCAATCGCCATCAAGCCAGTCTTCGACCGCTTCAGCTCGGTGGTCATTACCTCCGGAACAATCTCTCCTCTGGAAATCTACCCAAAGATGCTCGGCTTCAACACAGTGGTTCAAGAATCTTACAGTATGACACTGGCTCGTCGTTCTTTCTTGCCAATGATCGTAACCAGGGGAAGCGACCAAGGCGCCATCTCCTCCTCGTTCACCATTAGAAACGATCCAGGTGTCGTCCGCAACTACGGCAACCTCCTCATCGAATTCTCAAAAATCACTCCTGATGGTATCGTGGTCTTCTTCCCTTCGTATCTATACATGGAAAGCATCATCTCCATGTGGCAAGGCATGGGCATCCTCGACCAAGTCTGGAAACACAAACTCATCCTCGTCGAAACACCCGACTCGCAAGAGACCTCGCTCGCACTGGAGACCTACCGAACAGCCTGCAGCAACGGCCGCGGCGCAGTCTTGCTATGTGTCGCCCGCGGCAAAGTCTCCGAAGGCATAGATTTCGACCACCACTACGGACGCACTGTGCTTTGCATCGGCGTCCCCTTCCAATACACCGAATCCCGTATCCTCAAAGCTCGTCTCGAATTCCTCCGCGAAACGTATCGGATTCGCGAAAATGACTTTTTGAGTTTTGATGCTATGAGGCATGCTGCTCAGTGTTTAGGTCGTGTCTTGAGAGGAAAAGACGATTATGGAATCATGGTGCTTGCAGATCGCAGGTTTGGCAAGAAGCGCACCCAGCTTCCGAAGTGGATTAATGCTGCTTTACTGGAAGGCGACTCGAATCTCTCTGTTGATCAGGCTGTAGCCACAGCAAAACGGTTCCTCAAAATGATGAGTAAACCCTTCCCGGCAAAAATGCAGGAAGGAGTTTCCACATGGAGTATTGAGGATCTGAACCGCCATAAGGAAAAAGTGGACAAGGAGAGGGCAAGGGATGAGAGGAATGCAGGGATCAGTGGTGATGCTGTTATGAGGGAGGCTCACCAGACCGCTGAAGATGAATATGGAGATTTGGATGATGAGGATATTATGCAGGTTGATGCTTGAGAGGCATGTAATCATTAGAAGAAAAGCACATGGCAGTCAAGACACATTGTATCCAAAGCAGATGATCTGAGCATGTCCCTTTTCAAGAAGGCGTCTGGCACTTGAGATACTGACTGCATCCAAGGCAGAACTTATTCGACTCGTTCTCACATCAATTATCAGCCGCATCTCTCTCCAGCAAAGCTATACACTATGGAAGAGGTCACAGTGGAGCGGTGCAAAAAGACATGTCTTGTAGGAGTTTGGGTATTTGTAGTTTTGATAAATTTGGTTCATGGTCCAGAGAACCAATGTAGTAAAGTGTAACAGAGCAGGCCAGTTATAAGACATTCGAAACGCCAGTAGAACGCCCAATGCAGAAAAAAAAAACACTCAGGCAGTCCCTCCTATGCTCTGAGCTCTCATTTTTTGTTCGCTTTCCCCCTTTGTAGCGCCATAAAACAACAAGACTTGAAAATGCAGGCAGATTGGAAAGTTGTTCAACCCGCTCATATACACCAGCGGTAACTGGCATAACGACCAGCAGTCTCGGACTTTCTGATAATCTTGACGACCTGACCTCTACGCAGACCCAGATACTTGGCGACAGGATCCTCAACACGGATACGAGGCAACTGCGTCTCCTTCAAACGATAACGATCAAGCAGTGCCTTCTTCTCCTCGGGACTCAGCAAGATATGCTTAGGCACTAACTCGTGCTTGGTAATATTAACCAGCAAATCCGTCTCTTGGAAAACTTCAATCCCAATAGGTAGATTTGCAGCTTGTTTAAGTGCAGAGGTAGTCACAGAAGCACTGGTGATGTAGATTCCAGAGTAAAAGTTGCGGTCGTTGAGGAATTGGGCAAAGTTGCGCAGGTGCTTGATGCCGATTGCGGTTTCTGTGCTGAATTCGACGTAGATGGTGCCGATTTGGGGTTCGGGGTTGGGGTTGGATTTGGTGGGCAGGGCGGTGTATTTTGTGAGCATGGCTTCTGAGGGGCGGGCTTGGAAGTTCATTTTTGATTTGCTGGAAGCGCAAAGAGTGTTAGAAGGGTATGTCGTGTGAGAAGAGTTGGCGCAGAGAGACGTACTTGACTGCGCCGCTGCCGTCGCCGCATTGATCGCGGAACTGGTCGAGAGAGACATCGAGTTCGTCTTCGGCGAGTTCGTAGCCCTGCGATATATGCGTCAGTCTTGATGATGAAGCAGTAGCAGGTTGGTTGTGGGAAGTCTGACTCTGTCGTAGCACAGCTGCTTGGTGGTCTTCCAGACGCGCCAGAGTCTGGAGGTTTCGCGTCTAGTCTCGTCGTCGGCCATGGTCGCGGTAACGGCGAATGTGAAGTTGGAGAGGGAGAGTGAGTCGTGATGCGATGAATCGTCGACCTTTGGCGCGCCAAAGATTGGATGCTTCGTCTTCGCAGTGAACAATTCTGCCGTTGGTCTTGGCGGACTCTCGCTTTACCGCCTTCGGTGCATCTCGAGGGGCAGGCGCAGCTCTGGAACGTCGTCATCTGGAGAAAGTACCCAAATGGCCGCTCCTTCCATTCCCAATCTCAACAGCCTGCGTGGTCGAACGGGTCTACGACGAGGTCGAGGTCGCGGACGCCCTACAGATCCAGATGCTCCCACTGAAGAAGATGCTCAAGATGCTCGCGACAAAATCATTCGCCAGACCGACGGCGACGCTTCCAATTCCCGCTTGAGTGCTGTACAGCTTGGTTATTTGAACGACGAATTCGCAACTTGTTTTCTGCAAGGCCAGATACCTAGACGCTACCCTCTTATCAATCGCGGCACTTATGTCCGTACCTCTGCCATTGATCGTCTGGTCGACAATTTTCTTGCTACTGCTATTGATGCACAAACCTCGAATGAATCTGCTGCTCCTCTAGCTCAGATCATTTCACTGGGTGCTGGCTCCGACACACGCTTCTTCCGCTTACCATCCTCTCGAAGACGATCGATCCTCTACCACGAACTCGACTTCCTTGACAATGTCCGCGCAAAGCTATCCGCCATAACCTCAACCCCAAAACTCTCCACCCTCCTTCCAACCCCCCACATCTCTGCCGATAACTCCTCGCTCTTATCTCCAAACTACAACCTCCACACTCTCGACCTACGCGACCTCGCCTCTACAACCCCACCTCACATACCAAATCTATCAACAGATCTACCAACCTTACTCCTCAGCGAATGCTGCCTCTGCTACCTTCCACCCCAAACAACCTCCTCAATCCTCTCCTACTTTGCTTCCACAATCCCTACCTCCCCTCTCGCAATAGTCCTCTACGAACCCATCCGCCCCTACGATTCCTTTGGCAAAACAATGCTCTCAAACCTCGCTTCCAGAGGCATAGCCCTGCAGACCGTAAAAAAGTACTACTCCCCAGCCTCCCAACGCCTCCGTCTCAAAAATTCTGGATTTGTAGATGGACAAGGTGCAGCAGATGTCGAGCAGATCTATTACGGTGATGAGTGGGTGAGTGAGACAGAAAGAGATAGAGTCGAGAGATTGGAATGGTTGGATGAGGTTGAAGAGTGGAAATTGTTGGCATCACATTACTGTGTTGCTTGGGGTTGGAGAGATGGTGAGGATCAAAAGGTGTTTGGGGAGGCTTGGAAGCATGTCAGTGGGCAGAGGACGGATAAAGAGGTTGTTGATGATGAGATCATGTAAGAAACGAATGTTATATACCCTCCCTCTTTTTCTAATGACAAGAATGAACCACATTTTATATACACATCAAACGTGCTTTATATGTCACGAGATACGCAAGATATGAAGAAGCAGATTGAACAAGTAAAACAAAATGTATACGATATGCAAAGAAAGAAAAGAAATCGGGTTATCTACAAAGACGACTTCTGGCTTTTATGCTTTTTAATGCACTGAGATCAACTATCACCTTTACTCATCCTTGAAGGCACCGCTTTCCACATCAACCTTACCAACACTCCACACCTCCTTCATGTCCTCCTGCTCATCACTCGACAAGCCCAATCCACCTTGACCACCCTCAGCCTCCCTGCGCTCTCTAGCCTGCGCACCCAATCTAGTAGCAATACGCTTGAAGTAATCCTGAATACTTCTCTTGGGGCCAGGAGCAAGCTCGGCACCAGGTCCAGCCATGTACTTGGTAAACACGGCATCTTCTTCTTCGACGACGCTGAACATGGCCAAGAAGGCGGCTTCGGCGGCAAGTTTGACGGGAATGACCATATCGCGGACGCTGCCAAAGACGGCAGGGGTGAGGAGAGCAAGGTGTGGGCGGACGAGGTCGTTCTGCTCGCGGGAGACGGTGCGCAGGACGACTAGTGCCAGGCGGCGTGTGTCGACTGGTTTGCCGGGAGCGATTGCTGCAGCAAGAGCCTCCATGATCTGTTTGACGACCTCGAATGACTTGTCAGATGTAGGTGTGAGCAAGTACTTGCCAGCTGCAAGGACGCAGTTGTCTGCGATTGCCGGCTGGCTGCTGCCAATGCCTGAGCATATGGTAGAGGGCAAAGCATCAGCGAAGGGTCCAGTCAGAGACTCGGGAGCCTCAGCCAAGATGGAGTTGAGGGCAAGAACAGAGGGATAGGTGAGATCAGGGGTAAGGACACGAGCCTTGACAAGCCCACCAGCAACATCCTCGGGAAGAACCTTGATCAAAGCACCCAACAAACGTGCGTTAGTAATGGCAGATGCTTCGTCAGAATCACCAGCATCAGCGTCAATCAGGCCCAAAATACCGGTTCTTGAAGCCTCGTTCATGCTAGATCCGCACTTGACAACCACATCATACAATGCCTTCAACATGGCATTTCTGACACCAATGTCTGCAGTCTTCGAGCCAGTGATCAACTCAGCAATGAGAGGATCGATACGTGGAGTGAGGGTAATCAACGTACCAAGGGCCTTGGCGGCTCTGATACGAAGAATCTCACTTGACGTATCGGCAAGCGACTTGGCGAAAGTGCGTTGCAGCTGGGGCAAGAAGGGCTTGAGGAAAGCGGGAATCTTCTCAAGAAGGTTGTTGAGTGTGAACAAGATGGCAGCCTTGACTTCAACCGAACGTTCAGACACAACACGAATCAGAGGACCGGTGATCTGAGTGACGAAAGGTTTGAGAGCATCGGCACTGGTACGGTCGATGATGTCCGAGATTGCCAACGCAGATGCTGTACGCTGTTCGGCAGAGCCGTTCATCAAGCCCTGCAGGAAGATAGGCAGGATAGCATTGATACCCTTTGGCAGCGAGAAACCAGGCAGATTGTGGCCTGCAACGCCGACTTGGTTAAGAGTCTGTCTGGTGGAGAAGACCAAAGACTCCATCTCCTCCTTGCGCAGACGTCCAGTGAGAGCGGACAGGGCGGTCCATGCTGCCTTGACAACCTCGGTATCACTGTCGTCGAAGCTGATGAGCAACGTACGGATGAGGTCGGGGTAGTAGCGGGAGATATCGAGGTCACTTGTCTTGAAGAATGTGGCGAGATGCAAGTCCGCACGGGCTCTTCTGTGGTGATCTTCATGCTTGGTCAGAGCAAGCATGGCACTCATGGCAGTGTTAAGGCCATCGAACTCGTCGATGGACAGGAGCACGGCATCGAAAGAGTTTTCGAGGTCGGTACGCAGCTCGTCGTCCTTTGTCGCGAGCATGCTGTCCATGAGTGCGTTGAGAATGGTTGGCAATCTTCTCGTCATGGCAGAGCTTGCAACTTGAGCAAGCGAAGCCAAAGCCTTTGCGTTGAATGCAGTGATGGGAGGAGTGAGAAGGGTAGGTAGAAGGTTTGGCAGAATAGCATTGGATCTGGTCTGCTCGGTAAGCAGAGTAAGCAGAGCCGAAAGAGCATTGTCTGCATCTTCGTCGGATCTGAGCAGGTTGAGCAAGTATGGTAGAACTTGATCGATGGCACGTTTGCCGAGAACCTTTTGAAGGGAGTCGAAAGCCTCTGCGGCCGCTTCTCTGACGTCTTCGTCGCTGTCGACCAATGCAATACGTACGACGGAGACCAGAGTCTTCTCGTGATCTTCGAGTGATTCGGCGGAGGCAGATGCAATCAACTCGCGCAAAGCGATACAAACACCCTGCTTGGCATCCACGTCGGTAGTCTGAAGACCCTCCTCGAGAGTGGGTAGCAAAGTTGACAGAACACCTTCTCCAGCCTTTCTGATAAGCTCTCCCAGAGCATTGCCAGCAATCTCTTTCTGCTCCATGTTGGGACTTGCAAGGCGGTGAATGAGGAGCTGGGTGAGCGTAGGGATAAGCTCGCGAAGAGTACGAGGCGAGGCGACAAGTGCTTTCCAGACGTTGATGGATGCCGTGCGCACAAGGCCAGAAGTATCGCAACGGCAGATGTACAGTGCAGACAGAACCTTGTTGCGCTTCTCCTCTCCAAGAACCTCGAGGAGAGATTGGCCTGCTTCATTGGCACCTTCCTCGGCCTCTTCTTGCTCTGCGGATCCACTAATACCAGAGAGGTTGAAGAGCAAGTCACCGACCAGCTCAACGGAACTGAGACGGATGCGGTAGCTGTCATCCGCCAGACCACGTTCGAGTTCTGGAAGCAGCAAGTCAATGGCGCGGGTGGCGAAGTTCTTGACCAACAGTCTACCAGCGCGCAGAGCAGTCTCACGAATTGTGTCGACGTCGTCAGCAAGACCAGACAAGATCGGAGGAATGATCTTGGACAGGTAGTTCGAGAAGCTGTTACCGAAACATGCAGGCAGGTAGATGAAGAGTGACATGAAACCTTCGCGGACTGCGGGTTTGGAGCTTGAAATGTTCTGCAGGATTGTAGGCAGAGTCTCTTCGAGGCGACTGGTACCGAGACCAGCAAGGACTTCACTGAGAGCCTGGGCAGAACCAAGTCTGTCACCAGCACCAGTGTCTGATTTGAGAGTAGCCATAAGACTGGGTATGAGATCCGGCATAGCGTCCTCACCAAGCTTCTCGACAGTTGAGCCAAGAGCCTTTGAAGCAGTAGCACGAGTGGTAGGAACAGGGTCGACAATAGCGACTCTGAGACCCGCAACCAATATAGGCAAATGGGTGATGAGATCCTTGCGTTCAGTAAGATGAGCCAGACTGCCAATGATTTGGGAAGCTTTTCTCTTGGTTGCAGAGCGGTCACCTAGACCACGCTCCAGAACACGAACAACCAGCGCCAGTGAGGGTGCATCAAGGTAATGAATGAAGTTGACCTTGATCAGAGCATCCAGAGCATCGTCGGTGTACTTAGTAGGGTCACTCAGAGCCTTCAGGATGATGTCGACCTGACTCTTGATCTCAGGGTTGCTGATAACATCACCGAAGCGTTGCAAACTGCGGTTGGCAGATGCTCTGACTTCCTTGTGACTGTCGTTTAGAACCTCAGTCAACGGTGGAATGATTTCAGGCAAGCTGACAGCCAGTTGCTCGGGATCAAGGTACGCCATGGCTCCGAGAGAGTCGCAGGCACCCTTCTTACTTCTCCATTGCTGCTCATCAAGACCCTCGAGCAGAGTAGGGAGAACCTGCTTGACACCGTAAGAGCTCAAACTAGCGAAACATGTCTTGGCAGCATCGAGACATGCTTCACGGACGTCAATGGTGGCATCACCAAAGCCAGACAAGAGCTGAGGCACGATTTGAATGACGTATGGCTCGAAGATACGGCCCAGAATGAGAGAAAGGAGTTCGTAGGCGAGGAAAGCACCTTGGCGCTTGTAGGGATCCTTCTTCTCTTCAGTAGCGCTGACCAGGTTCGACATGATACGGAACTCACGAAGAGCAGAAACACCTCTACCCTTTACGATACCAGCCAGACCATAAGCTGCACCTCTCTTGGCAGCGTACTTCTTGGACGTGAGCATGGTATCCATCATCTGCTGGACATATTGTCCAGCCTGTTTGCTTGAAGCTTGAACCAAGGGAGGTAGGCATTGGGCGACGGCGTATTGAACAGATTCTGATGGCGTGTTGAGAGTTGTCAGGAGACGTTGAACAACCTTGGGCACTCTGCTGTCACCAGCCTTCAAGTGACGAGCAAGAGCACCATACAGAATAACGACTGCCTCATTGACCGCATCCTGAGTTGATGATCCGGACCCTCCTTCAAGAGTAGTCTCGAACAACTGCATCAGAGTCTCGACCTGTAGATTGCCCTTGGCAGCAATAATGGAAGTTGCGGCATCAAGCATGGAATCACGAACATTCACATTCTTGTCTCCCAGAGGGCCATCTGCAACCATGAATTGCATCAGGGGTACGAGTTGTTCACTCGTGTAGGTCGGGGTGAGTTGGTTGAAAGCAAGAGCAATACCTTGTCTTGATTGCCAAGGGTCGGACAGATCCATCTTGATGGGCATGCCATATTTGTCGCGCTGAGGTGCTCTCGGCTTCGCATCTTCTCTGTATGTATCCTGCAGGCGAGAGATAACGCCGTCTGAGATGCTTCCGTGCTCTTGTACAAGTGCTGCCAAAGATCGTGCGGCAGCACGGCGAAGCTGAATATCATGCGAAGTCAGGTATTTAATAATGGTGTTGGCTGATTCTGGAGATGTCTTGAGTTCGTTCTCAACCCAGATCTCGTGTGCCAATTCAACATTTTCCTCAACATCATCGTGTGTAGCAAGGAAGATTTCGTCATAAAAGTCCTTGCCAGAGAGCTCGAATTCAGCACTGATGGCTTGCAAAGCTACTTCGCGCACAGATG